TACAAGTGAATTATTATTTTACTATGTTCTAGAAAAAAATATAATTATTGCTATAAATAAAGTAATTCTAAATTCTTAAGAAATAAAACAAATGAGGAATTTGAAGAGATAGAAAAAGATATTAAAATTGAATTCTCGTCAGATTTCCTTATGTTTTATAATTAAATATATTAATAATGGGATAAGAATTTCTGTTAGGGTGTAGATAAGGAAATTGTAATTTAATTTTGATTTTTTATAGATATGTTTGTTTAATTGTTTTAGAATTTTTTACTTAAGTTTTAAGTTTAGTTTTATTACATAAAAATATTCTTAATATAAATAATCTTACTAAACCATTTTCAATTTTATTATAAATAGAATATATATAGTATCCAAACCATTTGTGAGGGTCTCTCTAGAGGTAGCGTTTACTAAAGTGGCCCTTCGCGTGAAGGTCTTCATAATTCGCCGCCAGGATTTTTAGCCTTCTTCTATAAACGAGAGAGATATATATTTACTTTATCTCTCTCAGTTTAGGAGTCTTTACCAAATCCATAATGATTCAAGTAATTCTTCATTTGACTTGACTTCAATCTTCGAACGGGAGTAGACCACTCAAACAATCCTTTTACAATTTCATCCCTATCCTTACCATTATTTGGAACCATCTCGAAATAAGTATTTATTAAGAAGAGATGGAGTTCCATTTAATTTTGAATCAAATGATTCTTCACTATTTCCATATGTTATTTAAGCTCATCAGAGATGTCCAACGATTCCTTTGATAAATCACATTTCATAATCTCTACTAATTCATCACATGAAAGTCATATATGACTTTAGATAGAGAAATTACGAAAAAATTCATTTTTCATTTATATTTAGATGTCTGAGAATAGTTAAATTTGAAACATTTATTGGGTCGGCTGTAGTCATAATCCATCTTTTGCCCTTCATATGCTTAGTATAAGAGTTGACATAGTTTTCATTTATTTGATGGTGCATAATTTTATAAAGTTATTTAAATAATAAAATAATTTGTAAATAATTAAAATTATTAGTACTAGGATGAGTAATATTGTTATCATTAATATTCTTAGACAAGTCTTTTTGAATCCTAATGGAATATTCTAATGATTCATTTGAGCTTTATAATGAAATTTGTGTTTCCAGAGTTTAGAAATTCACAACCATTAGATTATTTTATGAACAATCAAGAACTGAGAATAGCTAGAATCGTTTCTATAAAAACCACATACAAAGCAGTGGTTTATTTCTCAATTCATGTACTCTAGATATAATTCAAATAAAGAATCTATCTCTAGGTTCCTTGCGTGTTTGTTTTGAAAATCTAATTTCCAATTCCCTAATTTGAATGAAAAGGGTAAACAACTATCTCAAATTTCTATTTTTATAACCTTATGATGGTATATTTAAGGCTAAATATTTTTTTTTGAACAAGGATTTTTTTTTGAATTTTTTCAAAATCAAATTACAATTTCCTTCCTTGTATTGCACTCTATTAAATCAGAAATAGACGATAAGTGTTGTGTAATAATAAATAGAAAATATTTATACTCTTATGTGCAAGAGTAGTTGTATGAAGTTTGATATTTATTACTAGTTCATATAAGAATGAAATTATCATAATTATTTAAGCTTGATATAAGAAGCATTTTATATGCTAATGTAATCGGCACTTATGTGTTAATATTATCTGCCTTGCCTGTTTTGTTTTTAAGTGAAGTGCGTTTTCGAATCATATTGCATCATAAAAGCAGTGGATATTGAGCACTATGAAATTTCCAATCACTATTGAATGCGTAAGATATGGTAATTTTGAGATTTAACTTGAAAAACTCCAAGTCATTCTTTACTCCGTAAGATAATTAAAATGAAAAATATAAAATATATTAATGATAATATATCCATTACCTTATGGATAAATTACAATTTGCAATTAAAATATGTGATTGAAATGAACAGTAGGATTAGAGAATTCAAGTTATTATGAAATGACTATGTCTAAACTGCTTTCACTAAAAGCTGCTTTACTTATATCGAGGGGGGGGGGAAATGGATTAGATGATATACCATTTTTTTATTCATTTCTAGAACTGATATTAGAAGAAACGCAATATTATCAGATTAAATATAATTAGGCACAAAAGCTCTAATTTAACATGCGATGCTATTTTGAATGGTGGAAGTGTTTTATAAATAAGCACTAAAAGTCAACTGCTTTATGTGATTCTTTAAAAGAGCATTCTGCATTCGCAATACTTTCCAAAGGCTCGATGAAAGTGTTCTATGCTATAAATATCAGCGAGATTCTATTGAAGGAGATGTTACATGTATTACTAGAGTAAAACTCTATAAAAAAATGAAAAGGAGCTCTTTTTAATTAAGCTCTTTGTAAGAATATTCTATCAAATCACACTTAAGCTGTTGCAAATGAAGACTATGATGAACACAGAATAGAATAGGATCACTAGAGTTCAATCCTTTAAAAATCTTTGGAAAACAACTTCTGCTTTATTGATTCAAATTGAATAATTAGTGTAAAATAACTCAAAAATTTTGTCATTGTAATAATTGGTTATAAAGAAAACACGACTGCTATAACTAGGTATTATGTTTGTTAAAACCAAATAGGTAAATTAATTACGTAAGTCTGTTTACCAATTACTTATAAAATTAATTTATTAATTACCAACATAACATACTCATTTATTGCCTTAGATTAAGATATTAAGAAAAGAGAGATATCAAGTGATTTAACAGTAGTATTTGTTTCTGATAGTCAGGGAAGTGATGATGAGAAAAAAATACAAAAATGTATGCCATAAACAAACAAACTAAGCTTCATTTGTATGAGAGTAGGAAATGGATTCCCAAACATATTTCAATGAGTCTTACATCACTTGATCACACAGGAAACTTGTCAATACCTCCTGTGTTTATAGTCTCAATCCAAAAATAATCAATTAAATAAAAACTGGAATTCTTGGATTCAATATTCTGAGAAGAATTACAATCTGTCGGCGTTATATTAAAACTAAGAAAGTAATGGTAAACTACTCCTTTCTTGTGCTTCCCTTGGAGTTAGGAGAAAACAACATGGTTTGGTCTAGTAGTTAAGTCGGAACCCATAACAATGAAATTACTCAATAAAATTGTAGTTGAGGCTTCAAATCCATCTGAAGCTATGATAGTGGATTTGGCATCATATTGGTTATAGAATATTTAGTTGCATTCATTGAAATCAAGGTGAAAGAGGAAGCATAAATGGCTATTGCAGAATTAGAGACATTATCAAATTAAACTCCAAAGCATTAAGGTTAAAGAAATAAAACAAATTAATGAAGGCTAAACTCACCTAATTTTTAATTTCAAACATTTGATATTAATAATAAGGCTCAACTATAGCCATTTAAGCACTACTGATAGATTAGTGCTTTAATTGAATTCCTTTATCCATAATAACAACGATAAGTATATCTACAAATATAAATTTCAATTTATAGCTGTGTTTAAATGCCAAAATTTATTAAATATCCATACTTCCTTAACGAATTTAGAAAAAATAATTCTACTTCAGTAGTAAATTTGTTCCAGACTATCCTTTAATTATTTTGATATTATCATTTTCAAATAAAGGAAATTTAAAGATTTAATTAAAATTCAAATATAATGTCAATATCAGATTTTTAGAGTTGAAAATCCCTATCAATATTGATTACTTAAATTTGACTATTTTGATTTAGATTTCCATTCCTGCTCACTATGTTCAAATTTTTTATTGGTGGAAACATTCAGTACTATAAATTTGTAACATAATATACATTTTTTCATTTATGCAATTTTCTCTTTTTGTTCTAAAATGCTATTTTAAATTTATCTTAATTGTCTTGCACCCTCTGTTTATTATTTATTATCTTGAATTTTTTAAATAAGCAGCAACTTTTCTCCATTTTCAAACTAAAAAAATAAGGGTAGAAATTACTTAATGTTTTTTTTCTGCCGATATTTCCTTTATGCATTATTGTAAATTATAATAAATATTTTCTGACCATCCCTCAATTGTAGATTTTAGACTTTATATAGTTGAGTTGTCTTTAAAAAATGGATTAAGTTCACTTTTATCAAAAATAGGATGAACTAAAGGTTCGTCCCCATCTTTCAAACTTTCTTATTTAGTTTTATCAACTTCTCTTTCTTCGAAGTTTTTCATCCTAATCACTCCTCCTGACTTTACCTTTGGCTGAAAATCATTAGATACTAATTTAAGATTATCACGTTGGATGGCAGCCATTTCTCGAGTGACTTCCAGTGCTAAATAGTATATTACAGAGCATATTGATTAGATATTTAAGCGATATTATTAGTTGGCTTTTTTTGAAGTTGAGGATGAAGATGCTGGAATTGGTTCCCATAGATCATTTAAAAATTGTAAATACATTCTAATTATAATTATTGTAATTATCATCATTTAACTTTATCTTTAGTTAAGTCTTGAATTATAATTAAAATTAATACATTGTTCCTCCTTATGGAGTAAATGATAATCTGTTTATCTCAAATTTCAAAAGGAAGTTAGCAGGTGTACAAAAAAAATTAAATGTAAAGTATAATAGATATTCCTTACAAAATTTTGGGATGCTAGCTTAATTATCAAATAAAGCATCAATAAAATTTTTCACATATATTTTTAATTAATCCATTCGCTTCTAAGCCTCCTTAGGATTGACTTTAGTGTCCAAATACAATGAAACATTAGAATTTTGCTGTTTTAATTTATCAACAATTATATTAGTGAAATCCTTCATCCATTTAAAACATTCATTTTGGAATTATAAAATATTTTCTGGAAATTTATCTTGAAATTATGAACTCTTCAATTCTATCAATTATTTTGTTTTTCGAATAAATGAAAGCATAAGTGTCAATCTTTTGCTCCTTATTTTAAGTTGAGCAATAGCTCTTTTTGATAATAATTATTCTAATTATCTTATCTCTTTTTGGTAATCTTCTTGTGTTGGCCCCAAATTTCTTTTCTATTATTTATACTATTTTTCGCTTTTTTTGCTTGATTGTTGCTGACTTTAACTATTCGAATATGATTCAAATGATTTTTCAGGCTGCTCTCCTCTTTCAGATAATTTCATTTTAAGAGAGAAATTTTCTTCCTTTAGCTTTTTCATTAATAAAAGCATTCTTAATTTTTCTTGTTATTATCTCTCTGCTTATTATTGTTGCATAAAAGAAAAGTTTGATGGCATAAATATTGGAGGAGGAGGAAGAGGCAGGGGTTACATCAATTGAATTTAAGAAAAATTCTAATATTTATCCCTAGTCTGCTCTTAGTATTATTATTATCCTTTTTTAATAAACTCTATAGGGTTGTTAAATCTTGCTGGTTCTTGTTTTTCCATAAGCATATTTATAATTTAGTTCTATTTCTCAATCTATTAAGCCAAACGATTTTCGGAAGCTTGTTTAAAAAATGAACCAGACCTATAATTATTGAGTAATTCTAAGGTTAATTAATCTTATATATCTTTATTTTCTTGTAAGATTTATTTACCCAATTGTGAGAATGAAAATGTTGAATAATTCATAATAATAATATCAAAGAAAAATGAATTAATTAATAAGCAAAACAACTTTAATATGGATTTGATGATGAAATTATTGATTTTGTTTAATAGATGCAAACGCAGAGAATAAATGTGTATTAGAATACAGAAAATATATCCCTCATCAAGGGTATAAGTATTATCAATAAAATTATTTTTTTTTATTATGAAATTAACCAATCCCTTATTAATCTCTCCCAAATTATTCTAATTCTCTTTTTTTCCTTAATTCTTTTTTTTCTTCCATTTTTTCTAATTCTTTTAAAGTTTAATAAATCGATAAACTATCAATTTAATCAAGTTATCTGTATTGATCTTTCATATCAAATCCTAAACGTGTTTTATTTTTATCATGTTGAGTAACTGATCTGAACCGAGTTGTTTTTTTTATTGGCAATGCATATCTTACTAATTATTAAAATAATAGGTACATTTTGGTAACTCTGCTTCAACTTAATCTATTAGAGATTATGTTTTTGTTTTAAATTGTGAAATAGTTACTAGATTTTAAGGTTGATTCTGTCCTTACTTTAAAATTAATATCAGTTTCCCAGCATTATTCCAAAACTTGACTTGCATATCAAGTGATAGTGATATTATTAAACCATCTTAGAATTCATAGCTTATTATAATCTACTTTATTTAGGTTTTATGAGCCTTCCATACTGTTACTTAATAAGCAGTTCTTTCACTTAATAATGGATTTAAAGGTTCCAATTAAACATCATACTCCTAGTAATTAAGTTAAAAAAATCTATGGGGATTTTTATTTTAAGCAATATCTTAATGCTTAATTTTTTTTATTTGACAATTTTTTATAATTTGAGTAATTGATAAAATTCTAATATCTCCATTTTCGTCACCAATAAGTAAACATCCATCAATATGATTAAATTCAATTGAATAAACTGGAGATGCTTTCATAATGGTAAACATGTTTTTCCATATAACAGCGCAAGACTTGGATTAACTTGGTGGTAATCCCAAATCATTTGATAACACAATATAAATGACAATATGGCCTTAATGATCTGAACAAGCTAATAGAGGATAAGGATCCATAAATTTGAGAAAAAGTACTTCTCCGCTTGCTTTTAATCTTGAAAATTAAGTTCCTTTTTCAAAATCCCATAAGCGAATTTCTGATTGTTTTGAACTTGTAGCTATTAACATCAAATTTTCTGAAAACGCACCACAATAAATTTCAGTTGGGTGAGCGTTTTTTATATTCCTTAAAATAATTTCTTTATTATCTTCGTCATGATAAATTCTTATTTATTTATCCCATGACGAAGCAATTAAAGTATGATACTTTTCGCTATATGAAAGATGAGAAATTTCTTTAGTAAAGTTATTTTTCATTTCTTTAATTATTTTTCCTGTGAATAGGTCTAAACAACTAAAAATAAGCAAAATGTTACAATATATTCCCTTAATGCGTTCCTATAAATCCCCTTCTTTGTGTATAATCTAAACAAAATGTGTAAATGTCGTGATTTACAAAATTTCCACTTAGTCTTTTAATCAACCCACTTCTCATACACCATGTTTTTATTGTTTTTCTTGTGGCTATATGCAATTCAAGATATTTATTTGAATAGCAAAGACATTAAATTGGCATATCATCTGTAACATTTGGATCAAATGATTATTAAAATTCATATATTAAGAAATTCCTACATCCAACAATGACAATATCTTTTTATTTCAAGTATATAATTGATTTGATATTGTTGTTAGTTTCATCAAGTTTTATATGTTAAATAGATTAAAAGGTTTTAGGATCCCAAACTCTTATTACACCTTTGATATCGCAGGATACAATTATTGGGATTCTTTTACTTATACTCAAAACCGAAACTAAGGATGCCTCATGTCCCAATAATTTAGCTACTGGATGTTCCAAATAAATATTCCATATAACTACATCATAATCATAAGAACATGAAATTAAATACTTAAATTCAGGGCAATAAGAAAATTGTTTGATTCTTTTTTTATGTCCTTACAATATTTTATGATCCCCGGACAATGTTTTTTTAATTCCAAATTTAGTTTTCATTGTTTCTGCTATTTTTAATTTTTATGTTGCTTTAATTTTGTTTTCATATAATCTTATTAAGGTATCATTTGATCCTACAGCCAGAATCTCTAAGCAATCTATGCATAACATACAAGTAATGCCTTTTTTAACTACACCATCTTATTTTTCTTATTCTTCTATCATTAAAGGTTAATCAACAATAACTAATTTAAAGCAATCTGATAATTTTGGTCCGGATTTTATAAACTCCAAGAATTCTTTAGAAAAAATTTTTTCAACATCCCACGAATAGATAGTTCCGTTATCGGTTGCAGTATATAAAACCTAATAAAATTATATGATACTTTGTTCTCTTAACTATATTACAGATGACTTTGCAATTCAGGCACTTAAAATCTACTCTATAATTTATTCGCTTTTAAATCATAAAAATTTAAAAATTTGTCATTACTACTCATCACCAAGGTTTAAAAATCCTCGATATAAAGAATATTTAAAATGCTAATATTGCTTATTGATATTTAAGCAATTTCTGAAAAGTTATTAGGATTTAAGATGCATAGTTTCTTTTAATTTTACTCTAAATATGCAAATTATCCATCTATTTCAAACATTTTATCAATTGGATTAGTTTTTTGACCTTCTATCTCTTTTTACTTTAATTTTATTGTATATAATGAATGTTCTCTATTTATCCAATCATGCATTTCGACTAAAAAATTTGAAAATTATTCAAAATTCACAAGGTTTTTTTCTAAAGTATCAATAAGTTGATAAAAGTACACTAAAGTTTGAACATCAGCTTTTTTTATTTCTTGCAAAATGAAAACAAACTAAGAAACATTTATGTATTAATCTTAAAACTCATTTCGAATTTATTCAAATTCTTCCTTTGTAAAATCTATAATTTTTTTCAACTTTCGTAATTCTTGTTATTCTGGATTGAGATATTAATTAGACTCATCATCTGATGACAGATGATTTGATTAAGGATTATATATCTCTATTTATGTTATCATAAATTAATATTAAAAAAACAGGGTATCTTAATATGAAAATATCATTTTTTTTCATTAAATTTAATGAGTTAATCAGCTGCGGAAATTAGGAACGTCATCAAATCTTTAGAGAAGATTGCCTTATAATTAGAAGGTGGTACTCCAACTTAATAGTAAAGTCCACAATCATTAGCTGAATTACAGCCATTTAAGGAAAAGCTTAATCTCTTTGTTGAGGCTTCAAAGGGCTTATCTGATTAATCACTTAAGGACATTGTAATATAGTATTTTCAACATCTAGACACCCATAGTAACGAAAATATTTTCAATAATGGAGAATGCAATTTTACATTCTACAAACACTAAAAAGCCAAGTCCAGACTAAATGAAATAAATCTAGAAGGCTATTACTGATTAAGTGAATAAAATTGCCAAGTTTTAAACACCTGCTCTATAATATTAAGTAAAGGCAATCATTGAAGGTTGCTAAGCAGCATTTTGGGTGACTTTAGATGGTCCTAAGATTTAAGTAGAGAGTGCCATCGAATCTGCTGAGTTTAATGGATTTAAACTAAAATAATAGAAAGTAGCAGAGGTGTCTAAATGGTATGATGCTTTTATTGGGGCATTAAAGTGGTTGCCAGGTATTATTTATTTCTTAAAAAGATTTTGTAATAACAAACTATAAAATGGGGTTAGAATGGAATGGCAAAGGATCTCTAACCTTCGAACAATATTTTGCGGCTTTGACTCAAGAAAAAACTCATGGTGCTCCTCCTCCTCCTCCTCCAAAAGGCCCACCTCCTCCTCCTCCTCCTCAATTTGCAGCTCCTGCTCATCAAACTGATAGTGGTGATTCTAGAGGAGCCTTATTTGCAGAGTTGAATGTTGGAGCAGACATCACTAAAAGTAGTTCTCAATTTTATAATCAGGATTAAAGCCAGTATAGAAAAATGTTGAAAAATAAGACCCTCTATAGCCTACAACAGCAAAATAATAGCAGTCAACTTAATAAGCAGCAGCTCAGTTACCAAAAGAGCCTAAAAGATATTGTAAGGAAAATTGGTTTTTGGAAAACTTTTAAAATGAAAAGCTAATTGAATTCAAAGATGATGAAATAGAGATGAAATAATCTCTTTTTGTTGAAAATTGCAAGAATTGTGGAATATTAGTTAAGGCCAAAGTGAAGTCAATATTTTTGTAAAAATGTGAAAGAGTAGAATTGGTTTTTGATGTAAATATATTAGAATACCTTAGCAAACTATTTCAGGAGTTGATGTTGTCAATTGTAAGAAAGTGAAAGTGACTTGTTTAACAAAGTATAAATATTAACTAAATTAGATGCCCAAGCCTAATGATCAATAATTCTGAATCTGTATTCATGGCATTCAATGCAGATAAGCAATGCGAAATAATTTCTTCAAAGACAATGGATTTGAACATCACATACTTGTAGGAGGATGGAGATTATGCAGTAATAGATCAAAATTATTAATTAGAAAGACACTAATATAGCCGAACAATTCTTAACTGTTTGGGACAATGATTCAGGAAAGTTTATTACAAAGGCCTTAGACATATCCTTTGGATGAGTATAATCAAATAAATAATAATAAAAATATCATTCATCTTTCTTTCATGATTTCCTTTTCAAGTTGATTTACATTATTATGATATTTAATTTTTCATAATGTCAGAGACAATTAGTATTAAATTGTTAGTGGTTGGAGATGGATCAGTTGGAAAAACCTGTATATTATTAAGGTAATCAAAAAATACTCATAGGTATCAGCTATACAACCGATAAATTTCCTACTGAGTATGTCCCAACTGTTTTTGAAAATTACCAAACAAAAGTCAGAGTAGACGAAAGGGAGGTTGATTTAAGTTTATGGTATGAAGTTTTTGTAATTTTAGGGACACTGCTGGATAAGAGGGATATAATAATGTAAGATAATTAAGCTACGATAATACAGATGTTTTCCTAATAGTTTATTCTGTTGTGGAGAGCAATTCATTCTCAAATGCATTACATAAAGTATTATTAATGCGATTCTTTAGTGGCATCCAGAATTGAACAAAGACAAATTTGAGTAGATACCAAAAATTTTTGTAGGCAATAAAATTGATATGAGAAATGAAGGAAATTCAAATCATGTAAAAAAAACAGCAGTATTAATTATTATTATAAACTAAGGCTGAATAACTAATAAAAAACCTAAAGTGCAATTTATTTGAAGTATCAGCATTAACCCAAGAAGGTCTTAGACCGCTATTTGATACAGCTATTTAAATTGCACTAAAGAAGAAACTTAATGCTATTAATGATGCTTAAAAGCCCAGTCAGCCAGCCAATGATTCTTAATGTTGCCAATTAATTTGAATATTAATGTTAACAATATTTGATATAATTTAAATTTACTATTAATGGATCCAGAAGAATAGCTGGAAAAGTTGTTAGAGGTTTTTTATGATGAAAAGATTGAGCCTAAAAAGGAGGCGGCAAAATAAATTCTAGGTTTAGCAACTTAACAATAAAATTTAGAATACCTGATATCTCATGGTAATTACTTGAATTAATAATATATCATTAGAATAATTATTATCTACTCTATCAAGGACCTTAAGAGACGAACATAAGAAATCAACTGAACTTACGCTCTATTTACTTTGTGTATTTTATATCTTATCCAATTATTTGGAATTCCATCAAATCCTTTCGGAGCACTAAATTGGAGATATCACCATGAAAATTATTGAGTCATAAATTCAAAGGTTTGATTTGCGATATGCTGAATTGATGGAAAAATAAGGTTAGCCTTAATAGTTTCAGGAATTGAGAAAATTAAATTTGATGATTGCAAAATAAGAAAAATTGTTTTATGTAGGTTTCACAATATTGATGAATATGGCAGAAGATCCAATTATTGAAAATAAAATGAGAAAAAGAAAAATAATAACATTTCTATTAAGAATGCTGGAAAGAAACAACTTTTATTTACTAATTGTGACATTACTATTTCTCAAGAAACTAAGTATAGTGAATGAATGTAAACTGTAAATGATTGAAGAGAATTGCATAAGAAAATTAAAAAGATTTTTCAGTGCTGATAATAATGTATTATTACAATTAAGTTTGGGTATAATGATTTTTCTAGTCTAGGATTATTAAAAAATTTGTGCTTTGATACTGAAGCTCGATCATAAATTGAATAAAATGGGTTCATTCCAGATATTGTAAAGTTATTGAAAATCCCAAACTATAGATTTGTGTCAATCGTGTTATTGTATTTACTCACTTTGGATGATAAATTGAGATTAACCTTTGGGTTCACAGAATGTATGAGTCTAGTTGTTAAATTAATGTTGCATTTTCCTGAACCTATAATAGGCAAAGAACTAATTGCTTTGGCAACTAACTTATCAACAAGTTCAAGAAATGTTGATCATATTACAGAACAAGAATTTCAATAAATAGTGTAAAGGGCCCTGACAAATGGAGATACATTGCTGTTTCGATTTATTAAAGGAATCATTGAAAATTCAACTAACCCCGAAATTCAAACATGTGCTAAGGGCTTTGTGAGGCACTTCATGAAGTTACTTTTAACTCAAGGAAAAGAAGAAGACTTGAAATTTGAAATTATAGGAATTGTAAGTGTCATTTAATTAAATGAAAATTGGGTTAAATTATTAACAGAACCATTTATTGAATTCTTGCATAACAATCTAGCTATAGGAGTAGTTGATGATGATATAGTTTTAGAAACTATGATGCTTGTGTCATAAATTGCTTCCAATGCTAAAGCTGCAGAAATCTTAGTTAACAGCAATATTTTAAATGCCTTAACCTAAGTCTTTACAGAGAAAGTAGATGATGACGAATTTATTGTTCAATACCTCTATAGCTTACATTAATTCCTATTTCATAAAATAGGAATATCATAAATCTTAGCACAGTAATCTGTTATTCATAATTTAGGGATGATATACTATTGTAATTGATTTAATAATTAAATGATAAAAACCAAAAGGTTAAGTAGATGTCTTAGGAGGTCTTGGATATTTTACGAGAATATGATTAGGAATTATGTGAGAAAATAAAAGAGACAAAATTCTGTGAATACAATCAATTATGGGTAGAACATATTAATGAACAAGAGATGATGTAGTTTATTTTATAGACATAGGTTACAAGAGGGAGTTGATATGGGGTTTGAAGATGAATATGGAGGCAATGAGCTTGATCCTAAAATGTGGGACTCAGATAATGATTGATATATTTTATATTAAATTTCAATAACATGAAATGTAGTTGTATCTAAAATCCAAGAGATAGTTATAGAGCATGTTCTAAAGGCATTGAAAATTTAATAATAAAATATTATAATATTTTAATTTCAATTATGAATGAAGAAACAGCCTAAGTAAAATAAAAAGGGAAAAAGGGAGCAAAAAAAAAGGCAGAGTCAAAAACTACTTAAAATTCAGATCCACCCATTGTCACTTAAGTAGATGAGAAAAAAAAGGCTAAACCTTCAAAAAAGGTGTAATAGGCAAGTCCTCCAAAAAAGAAAGATGAGAAAAAATAACCTGAAAAAAAGGGGAAATAGCCTTTAATTAAGGAGGATGTTGAATCTCTACTTGAATATTTCAAATCATCAAATCGTCCCTTCACAGTAAACTATTTAAAAGACACTTTATTTTTAAAATTAAGTGCACTTCAAAAAAATATTGATACATTGGTTTCTAAAGGTGATGTAGTAATGAAAGAAGTAGGTTCTACAAAAGTATTTCTAATTAATCAAGGCTTGATGCCTACAGTTAATTAACAAGATTTAGAATTACTTGGAAGTGAATTAGAATAAAAAACAGAAGAATACAAATAACTTGCTTAATAAAACTCAAAACTTAGCGAACAATTAAAAAATTTATCTAAAATACCAACCTTATAAGAGTTGATAGACATGAAAACAGAATTAAAAACCAAAATTGATGAACTTGAAAATAAACTATTGTTGTATGAAGACAAAAATTTTAAAATGGCAACAGCTGAAGAAACCTTACAGGTAGAAAATGAGTACTAAAATATGTTAAATATCTGTAAGAAGAGAAAAAACATCTATAATGAAGCGATCGGATCATTGCTTTCAGAGAGCGATTTGACAATAAAGTAATTTGAGAAAATTGTTGGTATTTTTAGAGATTGATTATTTATAATTAATAATATACTTAATGTAAAATGGTACCAATTTCATTCGAATGAATAGAGATTTAAGATTCAACGGGCTACAATAGACAGTTAAAGGAAATATTAAAGTAAAAGATGTGAAATTTTTATTGGCTCAAAAGGCCGATACATTTCCTTAATTATTGGTGGCATTTACAAAATTTGGTATATTGGAGGATGAAACTGAATTATTTAAAATATATGATAACATATATGTATATTCAATAGGGTATTTAATTGAAAAGTAAATTTACAATATTCAATATCATACATAGATTAAAAAATGATGTCTATAATAAGAAATCTAATCCCAATAATAATTCTATATAATTGAGCACAATAATTAGGTCTTTTAAGGATAGAAAGTCATTTAATGAAATTGATCACACATTTGATTAAAGATAATATAATAGCGTAGATACAAATTTTTGTTAGAAAAAATATAAAAATGGGATTGATTATGTTTAAGAATAAATAAAAAAATAAATGTAAAAAGATCAAAATTAGACAAAGGAATGCAATAATACGAGCAACATACATTATTATTGCCAAATCCAGAAAACTGAAGAATCTATAGTATGCATAATATTAATATATTAAGAAACCTTACGAAGAAATAAGAAACTCAAAAAGTTCAATTCCCCATTAATAATAACAAGGCTCAAGGATTTATTATAATTTAAATTCACCTGCTAGGGAACTATAGAAATAAATTCAAAAATATCAGGATATAATTGAATAAAAAGAGTACTAAATTAAACAATTAGAGTAAATAAATTAATCTTCTGCTTTAAAATTGTAAATATAGTGTTAATAAATTGAAAATCAAGATAAGTATATCATTAGATTAAAACAATAAGAGCTTAAATATGTTAAATTATTAGTAAAAATTTGTTTTATAAAAGGGAACCATCTCTGAGTATTTATAAAAAATAATTGGTTAAATATAATAAAAATTAGAAAGGTAAAATATGATTTAATTTCCATAGAAAATAAAAATAATAATTAGAAAAAGAAAAAACTTCAACTGATTTTTTAACAAGATAGATTTAATCAGCTAGAGCAGACTATAAGATAAAGATCAAATAATAATAACTTTTCATTTCTAATTAAAAATTAGACTAAATATTTAGTGCAAAATTGATAGATTTGTAAAATTAATTAACAGAAACAATATTGCTAAATTAATCCATTGATGATTTGGTATAAGATGCAGAATTCTTAGAGTTGGATAGTAGTTTCCGATTTGATTTTGAATGATTTGCAATAATTTTGTAAGCATAATCTAATGATATTTCAATTCCAACTACAATTCAAATTTTCCAGTTAGTCACCAAGCTGTTAATTCCATAAATGAATTCATTTTAATCTCTAATTCCTTCATGATTAACCAGTTGGATAAGTTAATTTACAAATTATAGAAAAAGTAAACTATATCAACAGTGAATCAAGAATACAGATTTTTACCCTTCTATTTCTAAGAATCATTAATTTCTTCATAATTTAATTTTCAATCAATTTATCATTTTTACTAACATTACTAACTCTGAAATTAAATAAATTATTGAAAACTATTAAGTTTGTGAAATTCTTATCGAAGACTGCAACAAAGCTCCCCAAATTTCATTTATATTTAATTTGTATATACTCTGCTATATAAATTTCCTATTTTTATAATTAATAATATAATTCACTCAATATGTAACAGAATTATGCAAATTTCATAATCAAAGATGCTTAGATTGAAAGATTCTTTAACACTTTGAAAAAGGAGCCTTTAGGTTCTGGAAGGAATTCTATAGTCTATTTGACTCAGCATAGGGTTTCAAGTGTTTATTTTGCATTGAAGGAACCAAGAAAAGATCAATTGTCCTAATAATCGATTATCGTACAATAATTATGATATGTAGTCTTTGTAATCAGAATGAAATTAATATTTTCATCAGGTTTTGGCAAAATAATAACTAGGAATTTCCACGGTGTGTGCCTTACATGGAAAAATTTTCGGAAACTAATCAAATTTTAATGGAATATATGAAAAATGGTTCATTATTAGACATTTTATTGACAAGTGGAAAATTTGCAGAAAAATTTGCTCGCTTAATCGCAATTAATTTATACAATCAAATAGGGCTGATGCATAGAAATGGAGTAGTACATTTTGATTTAAAACCTGATAATATTATGTTTAATGAAAATATGATGCTAAAGATATGTGATTTCGGATTCGCAAATTAGCCTATAGGCTTTACACAAGGATATGCTTCCCCAGAATAGATTTAAAATAAAATTATTGATGCTGAAAAATGCGATGTATTTGCTTATGGAGTAATACTATTTATAATTGTCATGGGATTTCCTCCCTTTTAAAATTATCAAGATAATTGGTACAAAATGATTTCAAATTAATAATGGGATTAATTTTGGAGCAAAATTAAATAAAATGGAAAGACAGATCCCTCAGACTAGTTTAAAGATTTAATAACAAAAGTCATTGAGGTTGATGTGAATAAGAGATATAATATGCAAAACATTTCCACTGCAGAGTGGTTTTCTTTAGAAAAGGTTTCAGATTAAGAATGTACAATGGAATTAATAAAAAGGATTAATCTGAGGAATCTAGGGTATTATAAATATTGACTCTTGATTTTAAGTCATTCATATTTCACATTAAGTTTTAGTTATAATATTATTTATTGTATGCTGCATAGTTAAGTCAGCAACAATACAATTATTCCATATTATTTAATGTTTATTATTCAATTAAATTATAAAATATTGTAGTTAATTTATAATTGCTTCTAGTCTATAAAAAATCAAATTTATTTAATCGACATTAAAATATAGAGAGATTTATTTTTAACATCAGGCAACAGACTAATGAAATCAAATTCCTAAATTTATTAAATTTTATTACATCATTGCTTTACAATATTTCAACTTTTCCTGCAATTTCTTAAGAGAGGTTTATTGAATTTAGTTACTGCATTTCTAAAGATATAACATTTAGAGCTTGAATTTATCTTCTACACGTTTAAAAAAATAACAACGCACAATCAGGAAATTATAAAATAGTACAGCAGATAAGATTATCCTACATTCTCTCATTAATTATTTCTTCTAATTAGTCTTAATTCACACTATCAACCACTAAAATTTAGAGAAAATAAGTACACTGAATCTCAATAGTGTTATTCATCGCTTGTCTTGGATTCAATTTCTTATATAAAATTAAAATTTAGTTTCTGTTCTCAAGAATAATCCCAACAATTTTTTTATCAGGCTATCTAGAATAGGGTAATGTAAATACCCAATAAAATCTTTAATATCCATATACAATTTGTGAAAATTACTGTTACTGATTACCTATTCACTTATTAGTGTATCTGTGATGTCATTCTATTCAAAGCATATTATCAATTAATTTGGATTCAAGGGGTTAGTTATGATCTGATCTATTCCCATATGGTTTGTTTTTAAAAATTATTTAAGTTCTCCTCTCTATAATAATATAAATTAATTGTTCTAATTGATATGTTAGTAGGATTGGTTGTCACTTCTTATTGATTGATTTCCCTATTTACTAGAAATTTGTGAATGTTTCAACAAACTATATCTTGGTTATTAAACTTCAACGTGCTAACTCTTTGTTGATTATGATTAAATTTGCCTCTGATAATTAAATTCATTTGATTGCTTTAGAATAGGCCTTTAAGAATATGATAGTTATTCTAATATTCTTCGTTTATCTCTTTCTCGATCTAAGCACCCACCCATATTGTTATAAAATATAAAGAATTAATTAATGAAACTTGAAATTTAATAATATATATAGCTTAAGGGAAAAAGAGGATAACAATATTATCTTTCTAAGCTTGAATTGCTAATTTTTCTGTATATACATAAAAAATTTGTCAGCGTATATAGACTTCAATTCTTTAAACAAAAACGTTAAACAAAATTCTGAACTTTTCTTACGCTTGACATACTTACAGCAGTTTAATAGTTTTAAAGCTGATAAAATATGAGACTTATTCTAATAAACAAAAAGAAATTGTAAGTACTACCTTGATCCATAAGCTGAAATTTTAATATTAATAAAATTAAAATTTTGTTTCTATACACAATTCAGATTATGGAAAGCTTATTTAGTTTAGAGTATTTAATCCAATAATTAAATACAAAACCTATAGCAGGAAATACAAGGAGCAGCATTGAGAAATTTTTGGAAATTTTAGACAAACCTAAGATTAATTTAAATGAATTAAAAAAGTTATCTAATTAAGGTGTGCCAGATGATATAAAAGGTTTAAGATCACTTGTTTGGAAATTATTGCTAGGTTACCTACCAGCGGATAGAACGAAATGGAACTCGACAATTAAAACTAATATTGAGATTTATGAATAATTTTGTAATGATCTGATTAAGTCGAAGTTGTAAAAACAGATGACTGAATCAAATGAATATGAAGACTAAGAATTGTAATAATCAAAAAAATAAGATCATCCATTAAGCAAATCTTTATAATCTATTTGGAAAAGCTTTTTTGATGATCAGGTAATATGGGAAGAAGTGGAAAAAGACACAGTTAGAACAAGGGCAGAATTATCCTTCTTTGTTTCCCCAACATAAATTCCAAATAAGTATCCTGTATATTTCAGGACTTAATGTCGGAGGGAAAGGAGATTGGCCAAAGATTATGAACATAGACATTACGATGTACTCACAAGAATATTGTTTATATATGCTAAGCTGAATCCAGCAATCAGATATGTGGTATCAAATATATGTATTTAAGCAAGGAATGAATGAGTTACTTGCTCCTTTATATTACGTTTTCTATAGCGACACGAACGAATTATTTTTATAATCTGTTGAAAGTGATGCATTTTTCTGTTTTACTATATTAATGTCAGATGCTAAAGATAGGTATACGATATTTCTATTTTCAAATTTAGTTTTTTAAGAGCACTTGATGACTCATAAGATGGAATTAAATCTAAAATGAATAATTTAAACACGTTATTACGAATTCATGAAATTGAAATATGGGATAATTTATAGAAATAAGGGATTCACCCTTAATTTTACAGTTTAAGATGGATTATGCTATATTTAACATAAGAATTTGAATTACATAGTGTTTTTATTTTATGGGATAGTCTTTTGAGTCATTCAAATAAAAATGAATATTTACTTTTTTTATGCTTGAGCATAATAAAAGAATTAAAACCTTCTTTATTATAGGATGATTTTACAGATATTATGGAGGGATTGCAATAGGTGGGTAAAATTCAGGTGGAAAGGATTTTATAAATAACCTCTTAGATTTATCAACATAATTGAGTAGTTTTATAAGTATTTATTTTATAAACAGTAAATTTAAATTATGCACCTCTGTAAAACAAAATAAGACATTTTAAAAGTATCGAAATGTTTCTTCCGAAATTTTTTCATTAGAACTAGTTTCCTCTTTGTTAATTGAAAAAAAATTGACCACTAAAGAATTTCAAAGAGCTTAATCAATTCTTTGTTTTTAAAGATCATTAAAATTAAATATATAATAAAAGTTACATAATCAGCCACTAAAGACTAAGAAAAATTAGAAATAGTCTTCAATTATAAATAATTTATAAACAACAACACACAAAAAAATGAAAAATAATAATATCTATTCAAATTTAGATTTCTTATTTCTATAAAAATGAAAATTATTTCAACGGTTGCACTGATTACATAGATAGATGAGATTTTTATATCATCATTCTAACTTTAATAAAAGTCTTAAAGCCAAAAAATAATAATAAGATATATTCTATCAACCTATTTTATTTTCAATAAGTAATCTAAGTATTTGCTCAATCCATAATGTTTAGGGCTTAGAAATAAGAATTTAAAAGTTTTATATACTTTCTAGTTAAGGGGGTATATTTAATTATAAATTTATTATTAATTAAGTTCTTTATTATTTGATAAAGGTGAATTCATTGACGAAGGTGTTAAAATTGATGAAAAATGAAGTGTGTTCCATTGTGCTGCACTATTTTGGACGCATTTTAGTCATTTTTTATGAAGAACATCCAATCAAATGACAGATATACGATTATCCTTAATCAGCCAATCAAATTGAGAATTTTTATTTAAAAAATAGCGCTTGGGTTTTAAGTTTAAAATATTAATTATAATGGCTCCATCAAAATCACCAAAAGCAGAAGCAAAAAAGACAGTTAAGACAGTTAAGGCTAAAAAATCAACCGATGACAAGAAAAAGGCAAGAAGAAGATAAGAAACCTTTGCCTTATACATTTACAAAGTTTTGAGATAAGTACATCCAGAAATTGGTGTATCAAGAAAAGCTATGAACATTATGAACTCATTCATTAATGACATTTTCGATAGAATTGCTCTTGAAGCCAGCAAATTAGTCAGATTCAACAAAAGAAGAACTCTTAGCTCAAGGGAAATTTAAACTGCAGTCAAATTATTACTTCCAGGAGAATTGGCCAGACACGCTATTTCTGAAGGAACAAAAGCTGTTACCAAATACACAAGTGGCTGATTATATAAGTTTAATTAAGTTCAGATATAAAATAGCTTCTTCCTAATTTTAACAATCCTTTTATTTTTGTTAAATTATTTTAATGATTTTAAATTATAGAATCCATTCCTTATGTTAATTCTTATCGAATCTTCATGAAGTTCAATCAAGTTTCTCAAGAAAAAGCAGAATCTCATCTCAAATACAACAAATCAAGCCTCAAAGATACTAACATATAATTAATTCAAATCTTGAATTATCCCATATTATAGTATTGGAGCTACTCTGTTATTAAGTTAAAAAATGGATTAGAAATACTAATTGGGAGATATGAACAAATATATTTGAGTTTTAAGGTATGACTGAAATATGAATTGTATTTTATGTAAAATTTATTTCCAAACCTACTAATAGACATTTCATTCAAAGAAATGGCTACTTACGAATTTGGAATGCAGTTTGCTTTGTAATTAAATCTAGTATTTCATGTCCATGATTTGGTCATCAAATTATCACAAATTTAATTATTTTAATTATTAGGATCTAAAATCTCTAAAAAATGCCAGATTTAATTATATCACGATTTTAATTTTGATATATTTCATCATCAATCTCATAATCTTTTTGTGATCATTACCTGAGATAGAAAATAATACCGACATCTAGAATCACTAATCAAGTTTCAATACTCAAAATTAAAAATACATAGTTAAATATTTGGAATTGATTTCAAATGACTGATGGATTTAAACAATATTGATGCGAACATAATTCTAAAGTCATTTATTAATTCAACGACAATTAGTGTAAGAAAATCCTTCTAAATTTATATATATTGATGGATAAGAATCAAAAATTAAAATAACAAAGGATTTTATTTTGATAAGAAAAAGTGGTATATATTCAGAAAATGCTGGAAAAATTGCAGGTTAACAGTAATTAGAATTTGATATGTATTCAAAGCAATTTACATCCTATTATTTAAATGAATATTAATTACTTATTTGATATTTTTAATCATGCATGCAGTATAAGATAAATTCAAAATGCTTAATTTAGCTTTACAACTTGTAATTGGAACATAATGATGTAAATATTAAGGTTTCACTTTAAATCATCTCTAGTTGCTTTTTAATACATTCTAAGATATTATTTAAAGTCTTCTATCATATCCAAAAGTTCTAGCCTGTACTTTATTTTAGTCAATGATGTAGAAACATCCTAATTTACTGTTTGATGGTTGTCCTAGTTACATTAATAGATTGCTTAGTCAAGAATTTCCCTAAGATTAGAAATTGATATAAACTTGAAAGTTATAATAAACTATAGATTTAAAGCTAGTACTCCTCTTGATGAGGAAAATATTAAACTCCAAAAAGGATTTTACCTAATTGGCGCTAAATATCTCCTTGTAATTCCTTCAATAATTTGAGATAGACTAAGATGAGAAGAGGAAAACAGTTTATATTTTCTATAAGCTTTTTAATAAAGACTTTTGCTTATCAATATTTGGAAGGAAAGCAATTTATTCTGCCAATAATTTTAGAATTAACATTTTTGTCTTGTGACATTTTCCATTTTTTTTAGATAAATATTTAATTAGGATATTTGTGATAGACTTTTTAAAGGAAAGAAAAGGATATGATTTGAAAGGTAGATATATATTTATATCCTTATTTATTAGCCTTGCATAGTTAAAAAGCTTCGAGGATTAATTATCGAAATGTATAATGAGTAAGGTCACATGATTTTACATGAGGATATGTTAATGAAAACAAAATATAATGTTTATTTATTTATAATTAATTTTCACTTTAACTAGAGCTTTAATTGTTAAGAATGATGTGACCTCCTTCTACTAAGATATGATCAAAAAATAAATATCATTTTTATGTGAATCTGGAAGGTTGACATTTGATAATGGGTTTTACACTTACTAGATATTTTTGAAAGAAAATCACACAGATTATACCAATTTTACAGATGCCGATCAGTTATGGATAATGTTAACTAATAATGGTTGCTCATCTATAATGCATGCCTATGATAAATATGGCCCATTCGTTTATTAAAATAGACAGCTTGACCTACATCCCTACTCCTATAATAAATTTATAAATTTATTATATATAGATCAGCCATTTGGAGTAGGCTTTTCTGAAGGAATTGGAGAAAAAAATGATAATGCTATAAAGATTTTGTAGTTTATTGAAGAATTCTTAGTGAATAAAGGAATACCAAATATGAAAATAATGTTATATGGAAAGGAGTATGTGTCATCGCTATTCTCAAAAATTATTGAGAATTCGATAGGATATAATCTAAATATAGAAGGCATCATCCTTGAAAACGCATGGGTTAGCCCAATTCATTAGATTGGATATTATGGATCCTTTTTGTACTAATTAGGATTAATAGATGATTAAAGAAGAGATGAAATCTATTATAATACAACATAAATTTAGGTCTAATTATTAAATTAGAATTTTACAAATTTAACTTAACTGAAAACTTTAGTAAATCAAAGCCAAAGTGAACTTAAATTAATAGAGAATGATGGAAATAACAATTTAGAGGATATTACTCAATTCATCAATGATCATTCATTCTAATTATTTGAAATCAATAAAGACGATTATTCGTTCTGTAATGATACCCAACATGAGAAGGCTTAGCAATAATTACTAAATTCCACCTTATTTGAAATAGAAATGATATTAAATAAATAAAAAATGGTAATTGTTTTAGTAAAACAAATATAATTCACAGTAACCACTCCAGGCATTGTGACTTGGGTTAATTAATTACGATGGCAACACATAACAAAATGGAGAATAAGTGACAAGAAATTTATACGAGAAGAAAATTATGATAAAGTATAAAATATGACAAAAAATAAAACAGTTGGATATATCAAGTAATTTGATAAATTAAAATATATTGTGGCTTACGATGAGTTATTCAAATTATTGAATTAAATTATTATTGATAATTGATTATAAAATAAACTTTATGGGTCTATGTTCAACTTATTGTTGTAAGAAAGATGATACAAAAATAGTCGAAAAGTAAATAATAACTGAGGTTAACCTTGCCTTAACAACAGAAGATCAAAAAGTAACTGAGATACAAGAGAAAATAACTTCAATTATTAAAATATAAGCTCATTACAGAGGTCATTCTGTTAGGAAAAAAATGAAGAAAACAGCTAAGACATAATAAAAAAAGGAAAGTTAGCTTTCTAATAGAATTTGCATTCTCGAAGCACTAAAAGCGGAGGATTAATTAAGAATTTAAGAAACTGAAAAAAGATAAGAACCCATATAATTGTCTGAAATAGAAATGGTTGATGGAAGCAAGTACGAAGGATAGTGGATGAAAGGATAAAGATGGGGGTTTGGAAGGCATAAATGGGCTGATGGTTCCGTTTATGTAGGAGAGTGGAAGCATAATTTAGCTTGGGGAAGAGGTAAACTCATCCATGCAGACGGAGATGAATATGAGGGAGAGTGGCAAAGAGATTAAGCAGATGGTTTTGGTATATATATTCACTCAAATGGGGCTCGCTATGAAGGTTAATGGAAAGATGATTAACAGAACGGGAAAGGAGCAGAAATTTGGAAAGATGGATCTAAATACAACGGGGAGTATAAGGGAGGAAAAAAGCATGGATATGGACATATATATTTTGCAGATGGATCATCATACGTTGGTTAATTTTTTGAAAATTAGATACACGGAGAAGGTGAATATGTTTGGTTCGATGGAAAATCTTATAATGGCCAATGGAAGAATAATAAAATGGATGGAAAGGGTACTATGATTTGGGCAGATGGTAAAAAATACGAAGGAGAATATTCAAATGATCAAAAGCATGGATTTGGTAATTTCTATTGGGAGGATGGACGTTTCTACTCAGGATAATGGCTGAATGGAAAATAGAATGGAGAAGGCGAATACACTGCAGCCACAGGTGAAAATAGAAAAGGGTAATGGGAACAAGGAAAAAGAATAAAATGGTTATGAAATTACCAAATACTCAAGATAAATTTTGATTTTCTTATTTTTTCTAACTAACTGTTTATAAAATATATTTAATGAAGTTAAACTCTGCCAGCCAATAAAAATTAGCTAATGCTAGGCCATGTACTTCCACTTAAAAGACAGGCTCATCTCCAATAAAGAACAATAAGTATGTTGTATCTGGATGATTTTAGATATTTGGTTTCGACAAGTATATCCACAGCACCTAAAACTGATAATAAAATACTAAAGTCAATAGCATTATCTCGCGATTTCATCTCATCGAATAAATCTGGAACTAATTCCTACATCAACAATTAATTATTGGATAAAAAATCAAATTTTCGCAGCTAATTCATACTTGATATTAATGATGCAAATTCGAAAAAAAATAGACCGTCTTCAAGACTATAGATGTAGCGATTAGTCAAAAATAATAATGTAGAAAATAATCTTAAGTATCATGAAAATTTGATTCAAAAGCAATTCAAAAAATTATTAGGTCTCCAAAAACAAACTCAAAATCTACATAAATCTCCTCCTCAAATACATAATAGAGCTATGAGTAACGGAGATCTCAAACCTACTAGTGATATTGCAAATAAATTAATTGAGTATATAAAAAAATAATCTGCTAAACAGATTAAGGGTTATAGATCAATATCAAATCCAGATATAATTTAAACAGATAGAAGACTTATCTCAAAATTTGCAGTTAAGTATGTATTCTATTTATTTTAATAGAACTTAAGCAGGAATGCTCTATACAAAATAAGAGAAAGTAAATCAGGATTCTTATGCAATTCATGAGAGGATAGGAGATATCGATAATTCATATTTACTCTAAGTTTCAGATGGACATGGTGTCAATGGGCATGAAGTTGCATAATTCGTTTAAGAGAAATTACCAAATATTATCGATTAACTATTGAAATCTCATAAATTGGGTAAGAAGGATTAAGATATGATGATATAAGTGATACTAAGATAAGCCTTTGAAAGAACAACTAAAGAATTATATTAATCAGGAATTGATATCACTTATAGTGGAGCCACAACTGTTTGTTTATTAGTTATTAAGCATACTGGTTGGTGTGCTAATATTGGAGATTCAAGAGCTATAATTGGAAGGTAGAAGGATGGATTACATGTGATTGAGCTTTCGCATGATTAAAAGCCTGATTTGCCTAAAGAGTAGAAAAGGATACTATAAAACGGCGGAAGAGTTTAGGCATATTCAGATGAAGAAGGAAATCCAATTGGTCCTGCAAGAGTTTGGTTAAAAAATGAAAATGTCCCAGGGTTGGCCATGTCTCGAAGTTTTGGAGATTATGTCGCTGCTTAAGTAGGTGTAATCTCGATTCCAGAAATAATTAAACACACATTTTAAAATGACAAATTCCTTATTATTGCGTCTGATGGAATTTGGGAGTATTTATAATATATATTATAGATTTCTCGATAATTAATGGATTATAGATACAGTTTTTGGTTATTATTTGAAAAACGATGCTGAAGGAGCTGTAGATAAATTAGTGAAAGAAGCTACAGAATCATGGAAAAAGGAAGAAGAAGTTATAGATGATATCACTTGTATAGTTGCCTTTTTAAATTGATTTAAAATCGCAAACTTATTTTCTAAAAATATTATTTAATCCTCTATCATTAAATTAATTCCTTAAAAATTCAGATCTTAATTTAAATTGATGATTTACAAAATAAACTATATTAATTAAATATGAATAACGAATATATGTATTACAATTTTAAAGATAAGATAATACTGATATATTTATGGCTAGATCATCATTATGAGTCCCTAAATTTATTAACCAATGTCTTAATTTATTCAATTGATTTATCATTTTGTTTTGGCAAAATATCTTTCTTTTCTTTCTTTTCAAATGTTTAAATATTAAAGGTGTTCATATTTCTTAATTGTTCAAATAAGCGAGAAAATTCATGCAACAATAATTAAACCTCAGTATCTTCCTTAATTAAAATATCATCAGCCTGTATTTTGTTTATGATTCTGATTTAAAATATATTGTTGATGATTTTATCAATTTTATAAGTGACTTACTTGATTGGATTTGTAATGTCTCTAGTAAATAAATTGACTCTATTTATTATGATCAAAATATTAATGAAAAATATTACTATTGTTATTAAATAATATGGCCATGCCAAATTGAATAAATCTAAGGCTTAGACTGAATCATTTATTCTTTATTTGTATATTACTAAATAGATTTTAATCGAGCTATCAGTTGATATGTCTCTAACGTACAATGAGTTGCATGAATTACTGGAATAATAGTTATTATCTCCTTTCGGCATGTCACATTCAAAACTGATATTTAAAATTCTATTTGTCTAACACTCACATTGATCATTCATGTTTTAATCATTGGAAACATAAAAGGAATTGTCTGTTTTAAATATTTTTATAAAAAATGATGACTCTAAGTTTGACAAAATTTATTTAATTATATTGGTATATCCAATTCCTAAAACCATCCCATAATTAGTTGGATATGAAAATATCACTGTTTCATTACTATATAGGATTTACTATTTCTATTCTAAATTGAGATAATTTTCATTCATATTTTCTATAACAGGGAAGTAATGAATAATTTTATTTAGCTTATTTATGAGGTAGAATTGACGAAAAAAGATATAAATATCATCATAATTAAACATCATTTCTAAAATATACTTATCAATTTGAGCTAGTCTTAAAGTTTATAACCATCCTTCTTAATCCATAGGTTCTGTTATTTTGTATAAGGATCTATATAACGATATATTATTTTAAGTCAATTTATGTGATAGTATGTACTTCTCAGTGAAAGTGTCATTCGAAATAGTAAAATTATTGAATGTGATAGGAGTATAAACATAAGTTGTAGGTGATCTTTCTGATAAATAGGCAAGCAGAATCAAATGTTTGTAATACCCATCAACTTTCGATAAAATCGTTTTAGTTAATTTTTGACTGTAATCCAAATCCTCATTCATATGGAATTTTACTTTATTTTCAGAACTTCCAATATAGCCAAATAAAATCCCTAGCATCATCACGACTTAATAGGGTTGTTAAGCTTACAGACAACTGACTTTAACATTATCAATTTCAGCATCAATCTACCATTGATAGAATTGAAGAACTTTATCCACAATTCTTATGAAACTAATTCTCTTAACTTATCTACAATTTTTAACATAATTTAATTATTTCTTATTTAAACATTAACTAATGTATAACAGTTCCTTAAATATTATATAATCTTCTGGCAAATAAGCAATTAAGATAACTAATAACCCAAGAATAATACTTATTATTTTTAAATATAAATATTAATGTTCTCTGGTATTTAATAGATTTATTAATAAAACTCTAATTATTCCTGTAATGGTTCTTTGAAGGAGAAACACTTTAATAGAGAATAGTAATAAATTAATAAGAACTACTTTATCCCATTAATATAAAGATTTCTTTAAAGGTTTTTAATGTTATGACTTTTGATCAAAATTAAATATACAATATATGGACTTATAATATGAGGAGGGAGAGATCTTGACCTAAAAAGGCGACAAAGTAGAAGGTGTAGATAGCGAATCCTCATTGCGTTCACTTGTAAGAATTTCTTAACAGTTCAGAGCGATACAAATAGAGAGGAAAGAGTGCGCAAGACTTTAAAGGATGAATTAAACACTTGTTCTTATGCTTGTCCCCTCTTTAACTTCTTAGGCCATTGTACTTAAGTGGAATGCAAGTATGATGATATATATTGTTAAAGAAAGAGACATATCTTTATATAAGACGGATTCGATTAATTAATAAATGAGAATCAACCATTACTGGATGTGCTGGTGAGAAATGGAGAAAAACTTAGAGTTCCTTATTAGAAAGTTCTCTCTAAAGAAAGTCACACAGAAAGGCATTCAATTATCAAACCTTGGGTGATAACTAATTATACTCTTGGATTTTGTGAAAAAAACAAAAGAGCATTAATTCATAAATTGAAAAAGGACATTGATAGAATGCAAAACAAACTTAAGATTATAAACTATTTGAAGAAATGGGCTATGCTTAAAGTAGTAGATGAGAGTGATTTTGCAGAATTGTACTGCTCGCTCAACCCTACATAGCAAATACATTTTATGAATATTTTTAGAGTTCTTGAGTTATAACCACCCTCATTTCAATGATCATAAAATTTAGAAATATTTTTCTTTATATTTAGGTCTATTTTCCATCGGAAAATTGGGGATCGTCGATAATTAGAACAACATTTCTTTCAATTCTAATTCGCACTCATCTCTAAATTTATTGAGCTCTTCCACAAATATATTCTCAGATCTTAATTTCATCTTAATATCTAGTTGTTTATCCCATATAAATGTTAATAATCTACATTCTAATTATTACTATACCTCTTTTCTTACTCAATGTCCACAAATAAGTCTCTCTCATGTTCTATAACTGTTTTTCTACATTGATTCCATTTGACAACCAAAGGAGTTAAATCGCTATTATTCAGTATACCATCAACAATCATACACTTTTCCAATATGGGAAAGGTTATTTTCTTTTATATTTATACAACACTCTAAATAAGCATTTAAAATTCTTACATGTTTTGGTCCACCTAAATATTCTAATATTTCTTCATTACTGAACATTCCCCATTTTTTTAATGGATCCTTTATTGTTTTTACTGAATTTAAACAAGATTTAAAGAATTCTGGATCCTATAATTTCTTAATTAGAAAGTTTTCTAATTTCTTTTAAGGATCCACTTCTTTTTTTTGTAAAACTACACATTCTTAACCTGCATAGAAGATTTTTTCTGCTTCGTCTTCGTTAAGAGTATACCAACATTAAAATGCATTTGTCCAAAATTACTCTAATTATTTTTCAGTTCTCTAAATAATTGCCTCGGGCTTTTGTTTCTTTGCTTTAGTTGATTGCTTAACTTGCAATTTATTATTAGCCAGTCTTTCTAAATTGCTCAATTGATTATTAAGCAATTAATCTCTATCCTTTTTTTCCTTTATTTATTCTTTTTCATAATACCTCTTCTATTAAGAAAGCTTTTTAATAAAGTCACTTTCATGTTTGACTCCAATCTAAAATAAATGATTTAATTACAAAGACTCCATTATAATCGACCATGAACTCTATTTCATTAAATTTTAGTTATTAAACATCCCCAGTGTTTGTATTATATATATCTACATCTCTTAATTTAAATTCGAATACATTCAATTATTCATTATTTTTCCAAGATAAAATAGAGTTTACATAATTATCAAAAGGTTATGTCACTGCTAACTTTTAGGTTTTGTATTAATAGTTATATTTAAATGTAACTGAAACCATATATACCTAACCTTAATCAGGCCAATCAAAAGACCTCTTTATTTTTTGCTTTAGTTTCCATATTTTTTGCTCAGCTACCTTAATTTTCTACTCATCAAGTGCCTATTTTTAAGCTCTGATATAATAATACAAATACATTCAGTATTAGTTTTATTTATTGGAGACAATTCATCACTCTCTAATTGTCTCTCCAATTCTTTAATATCATTTTGATTTAATCCATTTACAAATTGATCATAGGATAGATCCAAACTGTTATTATTTTACTAACTTGATTAAATAACGAATTTCTGATATTATTTTTTTGGTTATTCTATCTTTTTTTATGGAATTGATATTTTCTATTAACCTTCTATCTTGGAATTTCTTTACTTTTCTGCTTATCTCTTATTTGCTGCTTCCCTATATTAAATTAAATTAATAAAATGCCTATCGATATTATCATCAGGTTTGATCCCAACATCTTTTATTTTGGCCTACTCTCCATAATCAGGGGATTTAGGTCTATTATAGACTGGTATCTAATCTTCAAGTTAAGCTTAATCTGATTTTGGTGGATCTGGTTTTTTTGAAGGTTTAGAACCCATATTATAATATTAATAAATAGTAATTTTTATTATAAGAAATCAAACATTCTTTTTTTTAGTATATCTCTGTTAAATCTTATCACTCATTTAATTAATAGAGAGCTAAGTCTCATTATTAGTAAAAGCTTGTTACATAGTTAAGATTTCAGAATTCAATCCTAACCTTTGCATTTCACATAATTTTATTATAAATTATACTTCTCCTATTGTGAGCAATTTTTTTAATAAGAAATCTAATAAAGACTTATTTTCAATTATAGTCTATATCTATAAACTTAAGTTGAATTTTTCAAAATAATATTTTGATTCAAACATGAAATTCAAGTATGTATAATTAACAATAATGTCATTTGCAAAATCGAATCCATTCTCAATTTCTTAATATAATTGTAGTTTTTATTATCATTCACTTGATTATCAGATTCGTATAATGCTCTCGAAATTTATTCTTGAACTTGAAAAATCTTGACTTTGCTAATACTTTCTAAAGATTCTCAATTGATTGAGATTATCTATCTATACTACCATTTTTGTTCTTTTGTCAGATATTATCTATCATGGCACTAAATTAAACAATCAATAAGAATATTAATATTGTTTTATTTTATAATTTGAAGTGAAATAAAAAATTTCAAAATTTGTTTCCATTTAATCCTCTATCATTATTGAAGATTGAATAAATATTGGCTGAAGTACTTCGAAGAGGATGAAAGTTTGTGGAACTCTTTGATACTTAGGATTATTTATCACAAAGTCTAAAATTTGAAGTGGTTGTTTGCTATTAAAATATTCTAATTGAGGGTCTACGTTCAATGACATTATCATAATTAGTAACATTTTTTTTTTCTGGAAATAACATTAGAGTCTTAAATTCAAAAATAATACTCTTACTTTCTTATTTTAACCATCATCTTCATTTTATCTTGAAGGTAAGTAACATTGTTTTTCTTCGAAATGCTTCCTACCTGTTTGCGCTGGTTATTGTGTATTTTCTTTGTTAAACATTTTTTTCTTATGTAACTTCAAATCAGATTAAAGAGTTGTTCTTCTCATTCGTTAATAATTAATATTATTATTAAATTAATCTAGAAAATGAACTAAGATTATAAAAGTTATCCCTATAATATAATTTATATCTACGTATCTTAAGAAAGAACAAAACCTATAATGTATATAATTTCACCATTAATTTTAAATGTAATTCAATATATAATAAAAAGAAGGTTTACATTTAAAGTAGAATAACAAAAAGTTGATAAACAATGAAATGTGTTCATTTATTTTTATTTACTGTTTTTCATTTCTTTAAAGACGCATAGTCTTATTTAAATATATTATGAATATGAATTCTTCAGTAATTTCTACAAACAGTAGAAAGTTTTTATTAATTTCCCTTTTCATATATATAAACTTATCATTATTTTAAAAATAGATTATTTAGAATTAAGTTAATCTTAATTTTATTGATAAATGTTAAGTTGACTTAGTTTCCTTTTACTTAATTGAATTATTCTTTGTATTTAACTCTAAAATCCTGATCCTATCTAATGATACTTTATTAAATTTAAATCTTATTTACTAGATCATATATATTTTTATTTAAGAATTTGGATTAAGCTAAATTATATATAAGAAAATGATTATTAATTGACAAATTTTATTCTAACAAATCAATTAAACTCAAACTCAATCCTGGGTGCTATTATCACTACATGTAAATTGATTGTAAAAATAAAGAGAGAAATTATAAACTTGTATTATTATTATTTAAACTATATTATAACAACTATATGACTAAGAGACAAATAGAAGAGAATAAGCCAAAAAGAATACTAAGGATGCTGTTTTGATTTGCTATGATGTGAAAATTAATGAATTCTACAGAAATAAAGCGTACCTGATATGTTGATTACCAATGTATCAAGGGATTAATCTGTAATATAGAAATATCTATTTACAATTCATATCGAAGGATTAATCCAATGTAGTATCAAAAATAATTGGAATTAGAAAATTAAAACTCAGAAATTCAAAGAATGCATAGTGTTTATTTAATGAGATATTGTTTATAACAATTTCAATTAAATGTATTGTAATTTTTATAAAAATTAAGATGAATTCTGATTTGAATTTGATAAACATATTATATAAATGAAAGTACCCATTATTATTGTTTTTCTGATGAGAATTTTTGAGTTTGAAGTATCATAATGATTAAATATAATGTGTTTACTATTGAGTTTTTAAATTATAAATAATCTGAAGCTGAAATAAAATTTTTTTCGAGTGATAACTAGGTAATATTTAATCAAAAAGAGAGTTATTAGTATTAAAAAGACCCATTATTTGAAATATCTAAATTTCAAATACCTAAATATAGTAGATAATTTTTGTATGTTCATGTATTTTAGCTTCGTAATATTTGGATTTAGTTTTGATTCTTGACAAGTGCTGATAGCTAATTATTATTTTATTTTAAAGAAGTTTTTGGCGCTTTCTAGAGGTATAATGAATGACTCATAAGTTTGATAGGAAAATGTACAACATAGATCCTGGTATGAAAAGAAGAAAATAAACAAGAGTTCGTAAGCAATTAGTTAAAGCGAATTTGCAGGATGAAAGTGAAGAAAATTCCTTAATTGAGGTATAATAGAAAGTCACAAAAAAATATCAAAATTATTTGCATACCTTGAGAAAAATGGGGGATTATGATTGGACTGATATCGAAAATACGAATAACTCCAAAGTTATTTATCCAAGTATGCATTTTCTTATATCAAAGTTCAATTTTTGCAAGCATCTACACTCTAATTTATGATTGCAGCACTCTATTTCAATTGCGATCAAGAGTATCTCTAATAATGTCTGCATGAAATTGAGAAAATATTGAAGAAAAATGAATCAATATATGGGACTTAAATATAAGAGTAAACATCTTTTGATTTAATTAGTGATTGCAAAAAATAGAAAAATAAAAAAGGGTATGATGTGAATGATGATATCTTCATTTTAGAAATGAGAAACTTAGGTTAAAAAGACTTAGATGATTTAATTACAAACTAAGAGTACTATCAATAAATATGATTAGAATTGAATTAGAATAAATAACAAAATAGAATGAAGAAACTTTGCATTAGTTTGTCAATCTAGTACCAACAGTTAAATAGCATTTAAAAACAGACCAGCAAAATAATCTTTTGAGGGATATAGCAGGACTGACAGAAACAGAAAAGTAATACATAGAAAAAACTGAAATGAAAATCTAAGCAGATGAGTAAAATACAGTGGTTTAAGAGACAGGAAAAAAAACATAAGGAGGAGGAATTCACTTATAACCAAATTTAGATGATGCATTATGTTAAGTTTGTAATGATGGAGATTATACTGATGATAATCTAATTGTCTTTTGCTCTAAATGTAACATATCAGTACACTAAAAATGTTATTTAATTGAAATAATACCAAATGAAGATTGGATATGTGATGTTTGTTAAACATTTGGGCCAAATGGACAATATTTAAGATGTGCTTTGTGTCCTAAGTTAGGTGGAGCTATGAAAGCTACTCAAATAGATGCATCATGCTTTTAGAATTTAAATCAAACTTATTTTGAATCTTAAGGTGAATCTATGATGAAGAATGATTTTGTGTCTAAATTATGTAATAATATTCATTAAAATCAAGTTTAATAAATAGACGATGACTAAGAACTCTATTATGATTTTGGGAAATTACCAAATAGAGATATTCGTGATTTAGAAAATAATAAGGAAATTAAAGAACCATAGCCTTAAAAAGTTTGGATCCATTTATCTTGTTTTTATTGGTCTCCAGAATGTTTCTTAGATGAAAAATAAGATATCTTAAGAGGAGTAGATAATATCAATTCCAAAAGATTTGCTCTTAATTGCAGCATTTGCAATATTAAGAAAGCAGGAATGTGTATATAATGTGCCAGAAGTAGTTGTTCTACCTCCTTTCATGTTGAATGTGCCAGAAGATCTGGAATTTTCCTGACTTAAACTGTTGTTAATAACAAACCAGATTATTAGATTTTCTGTTAAAAACATGTTCCCCTTAAGGTTAAGAGAATCCTAGAATCCAAACACAGATTATATGAAAGAGAAATTATTGATTTCTTTAGAGCTTATGAGAAATGTCGGCAAGTGCATAAAAAGTCTGTTTAAAAGCCAAAAAAGATCAAAGCAACAAAAGATCAAAAATAAAAATAAGAAAGTCAGGAACACACAGAGAATGAGTTCGATTTAATTGATTTCGCCAATAAATTAAAAGAGTTTATAAATTAGATCACTGATTAATAGCTTATTGTCAATTTAAAATTAGAATAGGGATAATACGCTATTGAATCCATTTCAGGACCAGTACTCAAACCATAAAAATAGTATAAGCTCACAATTCTACCAGAAGTTTATTAAAATAAAGTTGATGCAAATGGCTTATTAGTTACATAATTTTATAAAAGTACTATTACTGCAACAGATGAATTGTGGAAACATTTTAAGTATAGAGATTATGAAAAAGACATCACATATAAAATGTATGAAAAATTAAGAAGAAGGGCAAGTAAATATATGTAAGAAATAAATCCCCAAAAAAAATAAGCCAAACTTATCGATATATTGATGTTAAAAAAATATAAAAAGAATAATAAGGCTGAATAAAAAAAGGAAATTATAATCGAATTAGTAGGAGATGAGTATTTTTAAAGAGATGACAATTTATATTGTGTATGCAGAGGGAAGTTTAAAGATGGGGATCCTATGATTTGTTGTGAATCATGTGATGAATGGTTTCATTTTGATTGTCTGGAAATGACAATACCATTCGAAGAAGCTTCTTAAATCGAATTTAAGTGTTTCCTATGTGTTGATGATTTGTCTTAACAAGAAAAAGCAGCCATCCATAATATTTAATCAAAAATCTTTAAAGATTCTTCTTTTAAATTACAAAGAGAATTGGCAGAAAAATGCAAATTAGATGAGTTAAGAAGGTAAAGAATAAAGGATTTGCAAGAGGATAAATTAAATGAAGAATAAAATGCTGATATTGGCAATCCTTAAACTTAACCAGAAGATAACATATTGATAGAAGAATAAAATAATGAAGAGAAGCAATGCATCTAAGAAGAATTGAATTTATTTGCAAATAATCAAGTTCAAACTAAAGACTAGGTCTTTGATTAGGATTAAATTTAAATTGAAATGCAATTAGATACAAACGAAAAGAACAAAAAGACTGAGGACCATGTCAAAACACCCAGTAAAACAGAATCTGTGGAAGATCAAGATAATCATAAATTAGAAGTTCCAGAAACCTAAGAAAAAGTTAATAATAATAAATTTAAACAAAAATCAATTAAAGACTATTTCTAAAAGGTAAAGTGATTATATTTAATTCACATTATTGCACAACATGTATCTCCTCTTCTCCATTCTACATAAGGACGTGTGACAAAGTTTGGCTAACCCTTCTATCTCCAGACATCATTTCTTGATTTTGACAGAATATGATTTCTGATTTCTTCTAAAAATTAATCCTTCTTGCTTATCTAAAGGTGTGGGCTGCTAAAATCATTAATATTGATATCTTTCCCTTGATGTGACATTTTATTTAATAATAATATTAAAATATATTATAACATTTTAATAACAAATACATATTACCCTTATAAGAATTTTAAGAATAGGAAAAGTAGCCTTAACTTCAATCGTAAGCCTCTATCAAGAAAGAAAATAGCAAAAATGGATTTTTGAATATTTTGGAAAAGAGAATTGGACATGTATTAATCACTAAATCCCAATTAAAATACTAACCTGTTAAAATCAATTTATATAAAATATTAACAATTATAGTTTTTTTGTCAAATGCAAAGTTCTCTAAATTCTAAACATCTAATTAAGTTTATATTTGCTGAATTAAATAATATATTACTATTTTTAGTATTTTTTAATAATCTTTCCTTATCCATTCTTAACGTAAATATGTATAGAAAGTAAAGCATTAGGAGCAAAAGAATGTTGATGAAATTGATTTTCAGTACTTTGTTGAACTAATTAGAGACTGTAAACATACTCAATGTTAAGATTAATACACAATAAAAAAAAATATGGAATCCAAGTTTTAATTATATTTGAAGAGAAACCAATCTTCCTTATCTATTGATAATTAAAAGTTATTAGAAATATTCCAAAATTATTAAATTTTGATCTGTTTTTAAATTAAATTTCGTTTTTATACAAATCTCACTACAAAAGGTTGCTAACCTGTTTTTAGGTAGCAAATATTAATTGAAATGAAAGTCACACTTACATTATTAATGATCTTGGCCATAGCTAATGCTAATATGGTTCAAAAGTACCCACTCACATATGGTGGTAAAAGAAGCATTATGAATATTATGGTTGAAGTTGAAAACAAGATCAAATCTCATTCACCACTAGATACAATCAAAGGAGTTCTTGATAATTTCAAATCAGCTGTCACTGAAGAATAAGGAACTCATGATGCAGTCTATGTTGCTCAATAAGCTGAATGTTAAAGTGAAATTGGCTACAGAAAAGCAGAAGTTGATGATACTATAGGCACACTCAAAATTGCCAATGGAATCCTGATGTTTGCTTCTGTTTCCACAAAAATGAACAAAGCTTTCATGATTCCATTGGCTGCCTTAGCTTCTATTAAATAAGAGGAGAATGCTGCCGGTGCAGCAGAAAGACTTGTTCAATTATTGTAAACCTTAAGAAGCAGATGTTGAAGAAGCTTGGGCTTCCTATACAGCTGAAAAAAAAATGCACTAGCTCTATTCATCTAATAAAAGATTTATTCTTAGCTACTTAAGAAAGACTTGAATCTTCAAAATAATAATTGGTTATAAAATCTGAAAATATTCATGGAGTAATCACAGTCTAAACAGCCGTTGCATAAGCTGCTGCTGGCAAGAAGTAAAGAAACCAAATCTTATGGGACGACGCAGAAGATTTATGCCTTAGTTTTGATGTAGAATACGAAGCTGTTAGTATAAGAGTTAGAAAGAGCCGTCGAGAGAAGAGCTGCAGAATAATAATGAGATATAAATCAATTTAGATATCATATCAATTTTTTATTCAATATTAATTTGGCTTCAAAGCCTTTAAAAAAGGACACAAATAATCAGCTGCAGATTGTATCATTTTGTTATTAAGATCGTTTTAGTATGAATAAATTAGTAAGAAAAAAAGAGATGAAATATTTAATATATTTCCAAAATGATATATAATAGCAAATTAAATTACTAAACCTTTATTAATCTGAATTAACTGAAAAATCACATATCTTATTGAGATAGTATCATTAGATTTTCAATATCATAATAGATCTCCTTTTTAATCTACTATGGCTTTATTTGGTATCATCTTTTAAATAGTAGAGTTTTCCATGCAGTATCGAATATTCTATCACCTATACTAATTATGGTGTACTTTATACATTTGAATGTATCTATTTGTTTTAATAGTAATACCATAGGCTTTAAACAAAGTAACATTTAATGAACTGATAATATGTTTAATTAGCTTTGTAGATAGGATATAAAATGATGTTTTCTGAATCATAAATATAATAAGATATAATTGTTCTTAAATAATGAGTATATTATCAGGAGAATTCTAGACTATCGTTAGTTGTGGATGATAATTTTTAGTCTTCTCTAAGCATTTTCTCTAATTTCGTAATTCTCTAAAGAATGACTTCGTTTTTCTAGGTTAGCTATTTCTAATTACTTATTAGGATATCTAAAGCTCCTGTCTGGATTTATGAATTTCAAGTATGAGCATCATGTTAACATTTTAAATCTCTGCTTGTTATACTTTCATCTATTCTAATTCTTTCTCCAGCCTTTAAATTTACAGACTCTGACTATGTGTGTGTTTTATCGGTTGTTTATTGGCTTATTGTTATTGACTACCACATTTTCTGTGTTTTGGCTTGGCATCCTTGGTGGAAGGTGTAGCTAACAGCATAAATACAAGTGATACAGCTGCACTCTGTAATGGTACTAAGATCTAAAGATTATTTTGGTTTAAATTTCATCTAACCAAAATTGAACATCGCATTGAATAACCCATAATTTTGATCATCTAGTTTTTCAATTATCTAATGATGTAGTATTGGCTATTGCTGAATTTTTTTAATGATTTCCTTTGTTTCATTGGTGTCATTGTCGTCATCTTAAACTAGAAATTCTGTTTATATGGGAAAGTAGTTGCCACTAGATTTCGTTCTTCGATGATGGTTGTTTTTCATATTATTTAGTATAAATAATTTAAAATTTAATCTGTCAATTTAATAATGAGAATACATTAGTTGGATTCTCAATTAGATCAATATTTTGATGGTTTGCTTTTAACTTCTTGACACTATTATTACTGAAAAATAATATATATAAATTATATTTAGATAAGGAATGTTATTAAATTAAATATTAAATGATTGATTTCGATCCCTCTACATTTGGCTTAGCTCACACCTATTAAAAGGAAGACAAGGATGAAATCAACACATTGGCTTTGCCATCCGCACCATAAGTGATTTACAGAACTTTGAATGGTCCAACTTAAGTCAATGGAGGAAATAAATTAACCAATTTCAAACATGGAACAACAACCTTAGGATTTGTATTCAAGGAGGGAATTTTATTGGCTGTTGATTCAAGAGCCAGTATGGGCAGCTTCTTGAGCAGCGAATAAGTAAGAAAAGTAATCGAAATTAATGAATACTTATTGGGTATTTTACATATTTAACATTCTTTAAGGTACTATGGCTGGAGGTGCAGCAGATTGCCAATATTGGCTTGCTTATTTAGCGAATCATTGCAGGACATATGAATTAAAAAATGGTAGTAAATTGAGTGTTGCTGCAGCTTCGAAATTCTTATAAGGAATTTTAATAGGCTACAGAAATTCAGGTCTCTCTATGGGATGTATGATTGCAGGAACTGATACAACTGGATAGCATTTATATTACATCGACAATGATGGAATGAGATTAAAAGGCGACATCTTTTCTGTGGGTAGTGGTAGCACATATGCCTACGGTGTTTTGGATAATCATTATAGATATGATTTATCTTTGAATGAGGCTGTAGAACTAGGAATCAGAGCAATCTATCATGCTACTCATAGAGACACAGCATCTGGAGGAGTAGTTAGAGGTAATAAGTCTTCGTATACATAGTTTATCATATTCATAAGGATGGATGGACTAAAGTTCATGATGGCATCGATGTTGTAGATTTACATTACTAATTTGCTTAACAAAAAGGACTGGTAGGAGATGGCGACGAGGCAAAATAGAGATTGTTTTGATATTAAATACATAATATTAATATTAATTTTTAAATAATTTATTCGAAAGTGTCAAGTAATCCAATTAACAAGAGTTTAATGCAACCATCAAATCGTTATCTTCTAATATCTTAAATTTCCATAAGTTTTTCGCAATTCGAACATAACTTTCATCAATTAAGTAGCAAGACTAGTTTAATAATAGAATCGTAATTTAAATGACCACAATATATTAAATGAATTAACAAATATTAAAAAATATGGGGATCACAGAATTTGATATGCAACCTCTCAAAAAGCTCAAAGTGCCAGTTGAGTATGAGAATGATGTCTAATTTTATACTGAGGCAATAACTAAGCAGCATGAAAAAAGGAGACAAAAATTACTAATGGAATATGAAGAATTACTACATTCAAAATAAGTCGAAAGCTCTCGTAATCCAATATCGATTGTTTAAGAAGAGAGATCTGAGAGTGTACAAAGTTCTAAAATAAATGAAAAATTGATGAAGGTGTAAAAGCTAATTTAAGAGCAGCGAGAATAACAACTACTACTATATTCTCAGAAACAATAGTTAATAGAATCACGTAAAAAACAAATCAGCAGTGAAAGAGAACTTAAAGCATAATAAAAGGAAGTATTAGACACCTCAAGAATGGAATAAGTTTACCGAAACAGAGCCTAGATTTAGAAACTGACACAAGACAAATATGAGAAACGCAAAATGAGTTATGATGCCAGATTATAAAAACACGAACTTTTCAGATAAGCTTAATACATTGCTCCAAGAAAAACAAGGTTTGATGAAACAATGGCTCGATATTAGAGAAGTGTTGAGGAGAGAAAATAACTAGATAAAGAGAGATTAAGAAAATTAGAAGAAAGCTTAGAGAAGGCTAATTCTAAGAAATCATCAAACATCATAGAAATAAAGAGGAGAGGCTTGCTTGAATAATTAAAAATGGAAGATGTTCTTTTCAACAGAGAAAGGTCATAGCATACCAAATAAATTCGATTGCTAGATAAATTACAAGTGAGAACAGAGATGTTGAGACCAAATAAGAACGAACCAAAAACCAAAGCTTATCCATTCCCCAAGTTTATCTGTCAAAAAGATTAAAGAAAAGAAAACTCATCAGCAATATTCCACTATGCTTCACAATTTGTTGAGTAACTAGATTAAGTTGATATCCATGACTTAGGGAGTAAACTACTAGAGTTGAGCTCCGAGTAAGACAAAGAGCAAAGAGATTAATTTGTTAAAACTAATTATTTGTTTTTATATAACTGATATGGATTATCTCACATAAGATGAAGTAGGCGGTATCGTTGCCAAAGGTCTAGCAGCTCTCTATTTAGAAAGGCCATAATTTCCGATTGATTATCTTGCCAAGTGGCTACTCACTTACTCAGAATTGCTTAAAAAATAAAAGACAAGGGAAGAAAGAGTAATGAATAAAATCTCATAATCATTAGTAACATGTGAAAGAAACAAAAATTAAGGAATTTAAAGTTCTAACTGAACAATTAGCATATCTGTAAGAAGAGAGTCTAAGACTTGAAAATTTGTAGAAGGAGAAACATGAATAATTTTTGGAATCAATTAAATAGGCAAAATATCATGATGAATTCTTGGGTGATGTATTCTGTGATTATGTGGCAAAGCGATTTGTAATTATCATATCTAATTAAAGAGAGTGAATACTTATGTTTGTGAGCTCGATTTTCCAAAAAAGGAGATTGATTTAAATTAGGAAGATGATGAAAATGCTCACATCAATTTAGAAGGAACAAAACTATTGACATATATTTATGCTGATCAAAATTCTAAATTCCTTGTTGGTCAAACTTTGCTCCCAGAAACAGGAGTTACATATGATGCATTGAAAGAACCACAGCCAGATGAAAATGGTGAAGTAGTTTAAACTAATGGAATCTATGTTGAAGATGTTGTCAAGGAACCTAGAATCGTATATCACAAATGGCCTAAATTGGGTGCCTATAATGCAATCCCGCTTATATATTAGAGTTGTCTTTATGAACAATCTTTTGATTAAGGTATTGAGCAGAGATCACAATATTTAATACTAAAAGAGAATCAAGACAAAGAAAGATCAGCAAAAGAAGCAGAATTTGAGGAAAGACTTGAATCTGAAGATCCAGCAATCATTGAATAGGAAAAATAAGCTTATTTAGCAAGTTTAGAACCTCTTTTGGAGCCATCTTTTGCATAGTAAAAAAAGGAGTATGTATTTTGCATTGACACTTTGGGTTAAGATAGATAAATACCTGAAAATCATAGAACAGAAATTTTGGATTTAGTTAATTTGTTAATTAAATAATGGGAACTCTAAGAAATACAGTCGATGAAGGCTGATGTTGAGTTATAATTACATTATTAATCTAATTTGGGTGCTCCATTCAAAGAAATATTAGAAAATTGGGCATTAGAGGAAGAATAATACATTGATAGTCACTCAGAGAAATTAGCAGAATTCAAAGAGAATGAAAAATTATTATCATATGAGACTGATTGTTTGAGATTAGAAAGATTAAGGGAGAAATTAAGTGATAAGGAATTTATTTAACCACTCTTAAATCTGAGTAATTGCAGAATTATCAAATTCAATACGATCATCTAGGCAGGTCTATATTTAATCGGAGCCAATAAAATAGATATCAATTTACCTGATACCAATAGATTGAACATAAGAAAATTGGTTCTTGATGAGAATCTCATTCAATAGATAGTGGCCTACAATCATAAAGGACCTAAGCCAGAACCATAATACAAGTGGTGTTATGTTGATAGAGTTTAGAAAAGAGTTGAAAAAATTGAATAAGAATAAGTTGATGCATATAATCTAATTTTGGGAAGATTGCTGAAATTTTTATAATTGACTTGTAAGTTAAGAAAACTAGATATTGAAATAAGAAGAGAAAATATTGCTAATAAAAGGAAGTAAATTGAATAATTGAAGGAAGAGGCATCAAAATTGTTAGAACAAAAAGAATAAGCATTGAAGGAACATAAAGAATAAGTAAATGCATTGTTTATCAAAGCTATCCCCTGAAGAATTAGAAGAATTTAATTAAGAAGAATGGGAAGTTAATTTTGATAGTGAACATCCAATGCCAGAAATACCTGAGAATCCAGCAGATGAGATTGATGATGATTATATTATTGAGCCACCTTAACAATGAAAGAATATTCAAAATAATATCAATTAAATTAATTTACAATTGTAATATTATGTAACAAATGTATATATGTTAAATTTTGTTTGATGTTTATAATATGAATTATTGGACCTAAATAGAAGAAAGAAGAATTCAAAACTTATTAAATAAATATTAATGACATCAATCGATATGTAATCTTAGACTCAATTCCTTGGAAAGAACTATTGGAGAAAATTAAGATAAATACAATTTGATATATAAGAAGAATAAAAAATGACTGAAACAGTAATGGTTAAAGAAAAATGTGAAGCAGATTTTCAATTCTATCATATGAAAAGTGTAGTTTGTGTTAAATTTTGTAAGTCCAAAGAACTTTTGGCAACAGCTTGTTTGGATAAAAGTGTGAGAATTTTTTCAATTGCTGGAGAATTAAAACATCAATTCTAAAACTAATTCGACTCGGATAAAACACTGTCATTTAGCTAAAATGGAGAGTTTCTTGCCAGTGCAGGTTCATATGATAAGATAATAAAAATCTGGAATATTGATAGTAAAGAACTAGAATTCGAACTTAAAGGACTTAAAAGCAAAATAAAAAAAATCGCTTTCTATAATAACAGAGACGACAGACTAATTTCTATTACATAGGATAACTAAATTTAGATTTGGGATATTGAATCCAAAACAATTATACATACTCTAACTGGCCATAGATATTGTATCACTTCAATTTAAATATTTCATGATGATTCTCGTTGCGTAACGGGATCTTTAGATGGCATGATAATGGAATGGAATTTGAAGAAGTTTTAATTAATAAAGTAATGGAATGGACATCAAAAGGGATGTCTTTCGTTGAAATATGCAAATGGAGGACATACCTTAGTAAGCGGTGGAGGGGATAAAAAAGTAAAATTGTGGAATATGGATAAATATAAACTATTCAAATAATTTAATGGCCATAGCAGTCCTATATATGCCATTGAAGTTCATAAAGATACTGTTATAAGTTGTCAATTCAATTCAACATTAACGTGGAATATGAAGACCTTAAAAATAGCTCAGCAGATTCCAAGTACTTAATTGGATTATTGCTTTGTTGAAATGATGAAAGATTAGTTCATTATAGGATAGAATAGTGTTGGAATAAAAGTTTATGATTTTTTGTGATTTTATTTTACTTCTTTAAAAACGTATATAATTATTTTTATATAATGTTTGGTAAAGTAATAGTCTTGATTGTTTCCATATTAAGTCTGTTACTTACTTACAATTTCATAAGGACATCCCTTGTGTATAAAAACAAGCAAGAGGTTGATCAAATATTGAGTTACTTGAACAAATACTTGACTCAAACCTATTTTACTCCAGTAGCAGTTAAAACCTAAGTAAGAGCTAGATATTGATTAAGTACTGTAGTATAACTCAATATTGGTCAGACCGGAAGCAGATTATTGCAAACGATCAGATATTTACAAATTTTATCATCCTGATATTGTGATGAAAGATACTTATACTTTTAGAGAAGCAAGAGGAGTTATAAGAGAGACGTTGAGATCCTCTTATTATGATTGCATCCCTTAGATGACATACAAATTAAAAAATACTTAATGTAATAGCAAATTTTAGATTATGTTAGATATACCAAGACACGTGTTACCTGTTTAATTAACTCTTCCTTTTACTTACTACGATTAATTAGTGCATAAATTTTAAGTAGGCTAAGGTATTATCATCGAATAACTAATTAGAATCATTATGTTTATTCCAAAAGTACAATCACTTAATTACTAGACATGTACTTTCCCATAAGGATAATCTAATGAATAATTAATACTTGTATTTGGACAACCTAAGAAAAAGCGGAGTCGATTAAGATTGCATAAACAATGCTACATTTATTCCTAAGACTTATAGATTATTTAATAAGTTAGATTGTGAAGAGTTTTTCACTTATTTGGATTCAGCTGAATACAAAAGTCTAATAGAAAGAGAGGGTCCATAATTTATAACTAAGGTGGGCTTGGAAGTTCATAGAGGACGAGGAATTAAGGTTCTCTTTCCAGATGAAACTCGTATATTATAAGATACTTACAAACACGGCAAAAGATGTGGAGCTGATAAATCATTGCTTGTAGCCTAAAAATATATTGGGAATCCTATGTTATTTAATGATCATAAAATAGAATTTAGAGTTTATTGGGTTCTCGCATCAACTAATCCCATTATTGCCTATGCATATGATAAGACGTTGATTAGAAGGTGCATAGCTACCTTCGATAAGTTTTCTTTGGATAAGGAGGCTCATGTTTGCAATACTGCTGTAGTACAAAGCACTTTGCAAAAGAAGGGATCTGACTTATATATGAGCGAAGATAATTCTGATGAATCAGAGTTGTACATAGATTGGAAATTAGATTATTTGTAGGATCTTTTATTAAAGCAAGGCAAAATCAAAGACACTAAGTGGCTCTAAAACTATTTGCATCCTACAATTGACAGAATGATCATACATGCAATTAGATCTGCATAACAAAAATTTAATAGAGATAGTAGATTAGCTGGAGTTTTTTGCTGCAGATTTTATTCTAACTGATGATTTATAAAATTTTACATTATGGAAATGAATTACAACCCATAAACTTAAAAGACAACTTTGGCCAGAGAAAAATAACATGCCAAAATGACCCAAGATATGATTGAAATACAAAATGCTTATCTAAGAAGCAAATATTTAAGATTTAGAAAAATTATTACAAGATTGGCAAGTAAAATGAACAAAGAGAAAAGACCTCTTGATTAATTGTTAACTAACAAAACAATAGATGAGATCAACTCAGCTTACATTGATAAACTCGATTAAGGAATTGAGATAAGTGAAGGCAATCTATTTAGATTAGTAATGGATGAAAATTTACCAGGAACTAAAAAATACAAAAGATCTGATTTAATAAAGGTGTATTTGATAGATTTGTTTAATATACATGTTCTTTATTGATTTTCCATATATCCAAATTATTTCTTTGATATTAATTTTAATTTTGAGATATTTCAATAAAAAGGCTTATAATTGATTATGAATTGCAAACCATTTATCTGGTAGCATTAAGATGTTAATTAAAATGTAAATATTGATTGTTCTTGTTTTGACATAAGCAAAATAGATAACGCAAACCTTTACGATAAAGTAGCTTTAGAAATAATAGTACATCCCGATTAACAGATTTGGCAGCAAAGGAATAGTCAATTATAAAATTTAGTAATTGAATTCTATTATTCTAGATCTCGAATCATCAAACCCCCAAAGGATTATGACAATAGATCATTTGATATTGCTTTTGACTTCTTTCAATAAGATAGTTGGCAGGCTGCCTTGAAAAGAGATGAGTGTGATAGGTAATAGGATGCGAATAAAATTGTGCACTAATCTATAGAAGCAAGTTAAGACCAAAAAATCTCAACACAAGAGGGGGAATTGAGATTTGGCAAATATCACAATGTTTGGATTGCAGTCTTTAACAATTGCTAACATAGCATTGATAAGGTTATAAAACTAAATAATAAAAACACTAAATTAGAAATCACAATTTGGTTTTTTGAAGAGGGAGGTCAAGAATTCTCTTTGGAAGAACAAGGACTATTAAATGTGGTGACCATTTTAACTGTTGTTACGATTATAGGATTTATTTATAATTATAGAATTTTTAAATCTGAAATATAAAAACATGGAGAATGGGATTATGCATATTTATTTGTTCTCGTTGTAATGGGTTTAGAGGCAACTCAAAACTTAATCAATTTTTTTCACTTAATAGTCTACAATATGAATGGCAAAGGAATTAGTGCATTTTCAACTATTTCAGAGATTATTTAGATTGTTGATAATTATCTTCTAATGGTTTTATTAATTCTCTTGGCATGGGGCTGGTCAATTGAATTTATGGATATGGAAGATTGGGATATTTATGGTCCATTAGCATTTTTACTTGCTTTTGCTTAGGCATTAATAGTTGGATTGGGAAGGTTGGTGAGCAGTCAAACAGATTATCATATTTATTAAGGATGGGTAGGGTACACAATCAGTTTAATTTATATTTCCCTTGCTATCTATTTTTATTATTCTACAAATTAGAGAAAAAAGAAGGGAGACTCAGTTGATGCCTTTTATATCTAATTGAAAATTTATGGGATGTTATTTTTTCTTGCTTTTCCTATCTTGTTATTAGTTTCTAAATTAGTAGATCCCTATAAATCTTACTAAATAATTTTAATGGGTAACATGTTTGTACGCTTGCTAAACATGGTTCTAATGGCAAGATTGTTTACTGGAAAATCTTCTGAATATTAAAAAATCTGTATTAAAGGTAAATCGTTTTTAGATAGAGGAAAAATATTATGAGTTTATATTCAATTATATATGTATGTCTTAAATTTTACGTTAGTAATTATTATATTTCTCTATAGAGCTTTATTTAATTGCGATAAAAATGGAGGAGCAATCTTAGTGTTAGTAGTACATAAGGTTTAGATCTAACAATCTTAGCTTCATCTCAATGGATAATGGATGAGGTTGAGAAATGACTATAAAGGATCTAAAAAGGATTGTATTTATGTAAAAATAATTAAATTTATAGTATTTTAAATTATCCAAAACAAAATAGAGAGTTCTAGAACTTTTAGAGTTGCCTCATATTTTTTAAAATATTTTCATTAATAATAATCCATTTTTGAAATGACTGAAGAAAATAAGTATGATGGTCTATTTATGACAATTATGTAGTAAACAAAAGATATTAATGTATTCTTTGATGCTGCATTCGGATTTTTGAGGTAAATTCAATTTTTTATTTTCAAAGACGACACACAGACTTTTTCTTAGATGAAAAATCAGCAGAAAAAGTTATCACAACATCCTGTGCTAAAAACTTCCAAATCTTTTAATCAGAAAAAGTTGACAAGGACAAGAAGGAAGAATAAAGAAAATAAAGAGAAGAATAAAGAAAAAAAGAAAAAGAGGCTGCCGAAAAAGCTAAGAAAGAAGCAGAAAGGCTATAACAAGAATAATTGTTATAATAATAACAAGAAAAATTGGCTTAACAAAAATAATAATAATAGCAATAACAATAATAATAATAATAAGAGCCATTAGATCCATCAGTACCAGTGTACTAACCAGTTTTGAAGGTGCCTGAATAGAAGCCATAAGAACCTGAAAAGAAGGAGGGAGAAGGTGAAGCTAAAGATGGAGAGAAAAAGGATGACAACGAAAAACCACCTGTAGGTAATGGAGGAAGAACAGAGAGATATATTTGGACCCAAACCCTTGAAGAAGTTTAGGTCTATATTCCTATACCTTCGACAGTTACAAGCAAATAACTAACTGTGAAAATTGAGGCCTGCTCATTATAAGTCGGACTAAAGGGTATTTATGTTAATCAAATTTACTTTTAGGTTAACCTTTTATTATCAATGGATAACTGTTTGAAAAAATTCAATCAGACGAATCAACTTGGTTATTAACAGACGGAGAAATTTAGGATTACAAAGGAAAGTATATTCACATTTCGATTGCAAAATACTCTGGCTAAATGAATTGGTGGTCATGTGTTATCAAAGGTAAATTATAATAAATAATCTCAAGGTGATCTTTAAATCAACACTCAGAAAATTAGTCCAGAGCCATCCTAATTATCTGATTTGGATGGAGACACAAGAGGAACTGTTGAAAAGATGATGTTTGATATGAGACAAAAACAAATGGGCAAGCCTTCTAGTGATGAGCTTTTAAAGTAGAATAAATTATCTGAGTTTATGAAAGCTCACCCAGAAATGGATTTTTCAAAGTGCAAATTCAATTGAGATATTAATAACCAGATCAATATTAAATTATGAATCTCTATAAGAAGGCATTCATTTCTTATTAATTATATTTTTTTCACTCACATCTTTGTATTTTCAGAGGTTGTAAATATAAGTTAATTGGAGCCTCTGAAATGATAGAAAAATAAATATCATAAAGAGAAATAACAAATTTAACTATATTTATATTTTGATAAGTAGTATAATTTAATTGATTTATTTCAAAGTTGTAATTCAATTCTATTTGATGAAAACACAATTCCATATGTAGAAGATAATATTACCTATACAAATGATATTATCCAATAATTTTTACAGCTTGTAAGGATTTTAATAGTTTCAAATGATTTGTATTAAGGTTTAATATTATTTTCTTAATTTTATTTCAGTGGAAAATTCATTTAAAAGATGATGAAGATATTTAGGAAACACAAAATCTAAGAATCTTAATTAATCATCAAAAAAATGCTGTTTTACTTAGCATTGACATGAAGAAAATATAAGATCTAACTATATTATTAACAATTATAACTTATGAACTATTCGAACTCTCAAATCTTGACAAAAAGTAAAAATAAGTTTAATACTTAAACTTGGACATAAATGAATTTGACTTTAAATTCAATAAATGTATCGAATGCTTAATACAAATGAATTCTAATCTAAAGTTATTTTCATTAATTATATAGACCATGATATAATTTATTAGGTATTAGGTGACAAATGAAATATAAAAAAGCAAATTTCAATACTTTTCAACTTTAGGTTATTACTTTTTACCAGCTCTATTATTTTGCATTTCCATCATTTCTTACATTTCAGCCATTTGTTGTTATTATTATTATTACATCCTTTTCATTTCTTCTCTCATTTGCATCTTTAACATTCCCACTTCTGCCAATTATATAAATCCTAAAATGATACCACCAAAAATGGCATTTCTCACAGCAATTCTTGTTCCAGCTATGTATGATTTTGAAAGCAAATACCTCTAATAGCTAAGAAGCCTCCAGTGAATGCTCCTGCCACAATTGGGTTAATAAAATCTTATTGATTTCTCAAATGCATAAGAGTACAATCAGTAATGCTGAATAACCCACCCCATAAAGCAAAAGATCCTCCTAAAATAGGGGCTCTTCTTTTTAATAATTAGATTCCTCCAAAAAATCTTTCCTTTTTTGGAGCAAATGACATTCCCTTTAAGAAATAAAAAATGCATCCAGCAAAGCATCCCATAGAGAAGGCTCCTCCAAAATCATCTATGATTCTGTATGGACAAGGTTATTCACGCATAGCCATCTTAATTCTGGTAAATATTTATTAATTTAATGATATACATCTCGATAATTCTAAATGGAAAATGATTAATTTTATATCATATCCCTAAAATGTTATAATATAATTTTATATCTATATGATATGCATATAATAATTTCAATATCTATGTTTTTTATTGAATTGTTATTCTTCCATGTCGCTATCATTGTTAAGGCCTGCATCTCTTGTGGACCAATCAATTTAAGGATTCTTTTTGGTAAATGCTGGCTATCCTCCTTATTAGATAATATGCTTCATCCTAATTCTGGTAATGAACCAATCAGATTAACCTTAATAATTGTGTCTCACATGATCTTCACAAAAGAATCTGAATTTTTATTCGTGATCCAACTATAATCCCATTAATCTAACTTGTTTTAGACAGTTAAAATGATAATGAACATGGCATTCTGCTTTATTGCATTTCAAAGATGCTCCAATTGATCCACAATATCTACACATTTAAGCTTATGCAAATTAGACTGCCTATATCAAAGTAGCAATATCCACTAACATTGTGTTGTAATCAACTTAAACCCTATTAGACCATAGCAAACACATTTCATGAGAACATATTTCTCTGCCTTCTTTATCCTTAAATAAGCAAAGCTTTCCAAATCTTGATACCAAATCAAATCTAAAATAGAATTGCACAAATGATCTAATTTTTAATAGTCTACAAAAAGCACATCTGATCGGAAACTTCAATTCTCCTTATTGCATTTTCTTCAAAGGCACTCCTCTTAATATTGGCTCTGGCAAAATTGAATCACACATCAAGGTGTTGTAAAATATCAGATAGTTACACAATTTAAACATTTGTTTTTTGATTCCCTAAGGAGGTTGTCCTTAATCTAACTTTGGAATACCACATTTTTCAACAGCTCCTATTTAATATTCTCTGCCAATGCTCATTTCTTCATCATCTTCATGTTTTACTTTACCTTTAACTTAGCCTTTTACTTTCTTTTTATTTTTCTCAGTTTTTTCTGTGTCTTATTTATAATAAGAATTATATAGAGCTCTCTTTCCAAATTCAGCATTTCTATTCTCTTCTGTTTCATTAGCCTTAGGTACTAAAAATTGTTTATTCTCCTTCAGCAAATCTCCCATTTCTTTCAAGAACTTCTAAAAGTGTTGTTCATGTTCTTCTACTGTTTTTCTTAATAATGATGTGAAATCTGCTTTCTTATCTAAAATATTCTTGATTCTCAATTGGTGAAATGCTTGATGGCTTGATTGATACTTCATGATTTTATGAGTCTAGATTGATATCCATCAATAGTCTGAAATTAATTTAAGTAATCATTAAGGGTGGATACATCTACTCCCCTGTTTCTTTCTTATCCATGTTGTAAAGTATAGTATATGCAATATCTACCTCTTCTCCAATCTCTTACAAGCTTAATAGAGTTTCATTCAGATTTTCCATGAATTGACTTAATTTATTCAACTTTTAGGCTTATTTGTATATACTTTACGAAGTCTCTTCCAAATAGTTCTACATTCTAGCATAACTCAATTATCCTTCCTTGGTTAGATCTTATTGTGTTCTTGAATGAATCTAATGATCAAATTAATAATATTACTAACAAATTTAATGAGAGCAGCCTTTAACTTAGCATATCCAAATGATGGGTGACCTTCATGTGCTCCTTCATGCACACACTTAGAACAAATGAATCCATCTTTATTGCATTCTGGACTATTGCATACCCTAGTTACCTATTCTTCAGGATGATGTTTGCAGTATATTACATCATTATTTTATTTCTACTATGATTCAGTTGGATCACTCATTGTATTAATTTATTTTCATTTTATCTGAATCATCAATATCACATAAATGAATAAAATATTAAAATGCTTTTTTAATTACCTTACTATTTTTTGTAAAGCAATATAAATTATATACCAACTATATTAAAATCAAATCTCAGCTGAAACTTAATTAAAAACATAAAAATGAATTAAAATTCACCTTAAATACAATGACTTTTAATAGAATATAGATGATATTTCAATCTTATGATATTTTAAATTTTCTATTTTAAAAAAATTACAAATTTGATAATTAAATTAACACTTTAACTCATTTCAACCAAATTACACACCATAATTTGAGTGCATCTATGGCTCAAAAGAATTTTCTTTATCCATTCTTTCGACCTTATTTACACTTGAAGTTTAGAACAATATTTTTACAATGTAAAACACTTGTTGTAATGCAAGTATTGCATCCACTATTACAAAGAAAAGTACCATAAATATGAAACCACCCGAACATCAATTTAGAATTATAAGAAAAATTGCATATATCGTAATCCCAGTAAATTTTTTTGTAAGTAAAAATTTGGTTAGAATACTATCTAAAATCAAGTTCTAGTAATATTCATTAGCTTTGATCTAATTTTTAAAGCAGATCCACGATAGCAAATAAAATGAGTCTACAAAGAAAATCAAAATAAATTATAAGATATAATTGCTCTAGAATATAACTAAGGAAAACATAAAGAGATCGTAAGATTTTTATGACTGTCCATTTTATACATCCCACCCTTCTTAATCAAAGCGCTATGAATTGGTTTCTGTCATGTAGATATGTATAATGTCGATTTTAGGCAATCTAACCTTGAATCACATTCATAAATAATAAACAGCCAGCTGGACAAAGTTATATCACAAGTCTGAAATTCTTGATTCCCCAAAACCCCTAAAAATGCAATATTTGCTGTAATCATGATTTATAAAGTTTCGAAATTATGGATGATTGTTTAATCTACAGAGAAAACATAATCATTTTCTCCACATATATTTAATCATGTAGGTAATTAATTAAATAGTTATTCAACAACTTTATACTATCTAAATGAACATAAATTGTTTCATTGCTTACCCAATTGAAAATTCTATAATATTGCAGCAATAGGTGTACTTCTAAAAATCTAAATAAACTTTGAATGAGGAGGAAGAATAAAAAATTTCGTTATCAATGTCATATAACAGAAGTTAGAAATTCCTCCAAATATTCGATTTGATCCACATTCTTAATATACGTTGATGGATAACCCATTTGTTATTAGCCAATCATTAAAGTAATATTAGTCAAATCTTACCATTAGAATTTATAAAACTATTGGTCTCAAATGAACTTGAGTGCAAAGTAAGGGTTTGAAATCCTAATGAATTTTAACAGCAAAGTAAAAAAAATCAGTTCATAAATATAACATTTAAAAAATTAAATTAACTCTAATAATCAATTGAATAAAAATTGACAATGAAATCCCCAAAATTAATTAAGAGAATATTCAAATACATTTGACAATTAATGACTTCATTATGGGTTAGAATACTTAGGTAGATTCATATTGAAATATTATCGAGCATTATATTGTACAATTCTGATTATAAATTTTATAATTCCTCACTCTAAAACGGAAGTTTAAAAAATAAACTTCATTTTAGAGTTAAGGTATTTATTTGAAATAGTGGGAATAGAATATAATAATATAGTTAGTCATATATTTAATAGATTGAGTATTTACTATTAATTGATGATGTCAATATTATTCTCCTTCAATTTGCATAGCATATTTGAAAAATTCGTGATTTATGAAGTCTTAAATAGTAATCCTATTGTATTCTTCAGCCAATCCACCTTCAATTAAGTCTTTAAAGTTTTCGAGTAATTATTTAGGAATGTGTTCCCTCATTAATTAAGAGTCTACTTTCTGAATGAAATCTAATTGCCAAAACAAATCAGGTTGGTTGATCAATAAATGATAATATTAATCATCTATAGTTGGGAACTTACCCATGATAGGCGGTCTCTTATAGACAGCTAGAAATAGCGCTGTGGTTAAAGCATACACATCCGAGGCAAATAAACAGAATTCATCATATTCACCATCAGCAACATTTAATCTAAAATTAACAATTTCAGGACTGGAATAAGCTGTGAGAGTTCTGGGTAACCATTTGGAAAGTAAGTCCTCGTAGGCAGGTCTATAGCTGAATCCAAAGTCAGCCAATTTGATAACATTTCTATTGATCACGAGCATGTTCTCTAATTTGATGTCATTGTGTGCTATGTTTTAGGAATGCAAATATTCGACAGCAATTGAAATTTAAGTAAAGTACTTGATTATAATTTTGAAGGATGTTTCATTTGATTTGCAGAGAGTATGAAGATCACAAGAAGCATTTTCAAGGAATAAGCTGCAACATTGGAGGTTCCCTCCAGCTGGGTCAAGCTAATGATTGGCAATAAATTATTAAGGTTTGATTATGTTTGGATGATTTAGCTAGCTGAGTATTTTCCATTCATTCTAGAGATCTTGGCATTCTCTCTAATGAACGGAGTGACAAACACTATCATCTTCCATAAATAGTTAAGCATGGAACACAGATTTTATAACCACAGTCTATTGAACTAATAATTAAAGAGTACATCTGATTCTCCCAGCTGTCGGTGAATGTAAGAGTTGTTGCCTTATTGTATTAAATACAAATGATCAGCGATCTAATTGATTTGCTACATGTATATATTTATATATTATAATTGTATGTTCATTCTTCCTCCTTTTTTTCTTCTTTTGGTCCTTAAACTACTATCAACAAGAACTCTTTATCTGGTGCCACCATAATCTCATTATTCTTAGACTTGATACGCAAGAAAGTTAACTCATTGTTTGGATCCAAATCACGCACTGTCGATCTTGTTAATCCTTAACATTATTAAGTACTTGGCCTTGGCAGCTAATGTAGGAATGGTTCTCGCTATGTTTTCTCCTTCTTTGCTTTCTGTTCCGTAGGTACTCCTTATTATTTAACCATCGTTATTGCAAATCACTATTCCTTAAACAGACTTGTGAGTCTTGATTCTATTGATTGTTTCTTCAATATCCGACATTAATAATAATTAAAATGAGAGCAACCCTATTCTAGTAATTAAAAAAAATAAGGGCCGAATCAGCTAAATCAGGAACTAACCGAAACAAACAGATCCTTGATACCTCAGAACTACTTCCAAGATCAAGTTTTCATAAAAAACGAAAATAAGAAGAACCTAACAATTCGTTTCATGAATATTCATGTTCATTTAGATTTCCGGATAAAGAAAGATATGAGTAAGAATTAAAGCAATTGAAAAATAACATGAATTCTTTGGAAAATGAAAATATTAGGCTAAAAACCAAAATTCATTAGATGGAAGGTATGTCTAATAAAATTAATTTCTAGACAATTAACTTAAATAAGAGAAAATGATATAAGAATTAGATCGAATAGGCCCTATCAAAGCACCATTACTCCAGGCATTAAATTCCTCGACTGCTTAAACTGCTTTAAAAAAAGAGATTGCTAATCTTAGACAAGAGTTGCAAAAAAAGGATAAGGAACTATAAATTATCAAAAAAACCCAAAGATTTGCTTAGATCAATGAATTGTAAATTGAAAAAGCTGCCTTTTAAGAAGAAACAATCAGATTAAAATAGTAGATAGATTCGCTATTGTAAGCAAGTCTATATAACCTACAGCAGAATAACGTAGAATAAGTAATTTAAGATAGAATATTTGCTTTAGTAGCATAAATCTAATAAGATTTAGTGCATTAGAGAGAACTGGAAAAGCTGATTGAAAGGCTAAAAAAAGAATGTCTAAAGTATAGAGTATTTATTATATCATTATAAAGTCATAATAAATAGATTAAGAATACAAAAGCAAAAGGGAAATTAAGAAGCTAATTACATAATTAAGAGAATAGACCTCTAATAACTCAAAAGAAAACAATAAAGAGTTGAAATAGATCCCAACCAAGGCTGATGAATTATAAAATCTAACTGATTTGATGTTTGCAAAATAAGAACTTAAATCAAAGGATAATGAGATTGAAAGATTAAGTTAAATCGTCTTTGATTTAGAGGTATAAATCAAAGAAATATAACTTGCTTAAAATTAAGAATAACAAGATCCTTAAAATTAATCATAATAATTGGAGACAACTTTGAAATCTAAACAAATTAAATTATCATCCTAAGTCTTTGCAACTGAAGTTATGTAAGAAATAGCTTTGCCAATTAAAAAATCAATTATTGTGTATCAACAATAGGTAGTAAGTAAATAGCCACCAAAAAGAAAGATAATACCTGTGAAATTTGATGATATCAAAATAATTGGAGAAACCCTCAAGTATAGATTAATGGCAATGGATATAGGAATTTAATAACTTGATGAGTATCTATTCGAAGGGGACGTCATGACAATTCGAGAATTAAAAGATAAACTTAGATTATATCCATTCAATTTAGCTAAAGATGAAGCCTTTGTATTAGCAAGGTATATTATGGAAGGAGACTCTGATGTGTATGAATTAGATGATTTTGCTTCAAATCCTACTCCATACATTCGTTCTGTAATTAGGAAAGTATTGCTTAATTATAAATTGGAAATTGTAAAATGCCAAATCGAGCATTCAGATAAATTAAAGGATGTTCTAACTAAACTTAAACCTTTCATTATAAGTAACATAAAGTAGCTGTATGGAAGAGATTGCATTAGAGTGAGTAAGAGTTAATTCAGAGATGCTTTGGTTTCTTTAAACATTGAGTTGAATTAATTTGAACTGGATTATTTAATCACTTAAGGCATTTTGGAAAGTAGAAGTGTGGAATCTTTAAATTATCAAGAAATGTTGAAGTATGAACCTATCAAAGTAGAGGATTAGTAACTTTCATTCTTATTGACAGAGATAGCAAATCAAAATAAATAACAGCCTGAAATGTCTGTAATAATGGAATGTCCAGAGAAGGTTTCTGAATTAGAATAATAAGAATATAATGCTAATTTTAATGTAGAGTAATAAGCTGAAGTCGAGGATTAATATACATTTGATGATAAATATGTAAGTGATCAATTTGAATCAGAGAATGAAAAAGTTAAATAAGGGTAATCATCAGATTACATTTTGCAACAGTGAAATTTTTTGATTTATTTGATATTAAATACTAATAAAATTTATTTGTTAAATAAAATATGAGCTTTAGAGTTGAAGAGTCTCCTTAATTTAAGGAAGAAGAGTTAAATCTATCCAAAATTTACTAATAAAGAGAATCTCACTTCTCCGGATTCTCGTTCCCAAGCAGTGTTAGGCATTAAAAACGATAGACATTTTAAGCATCTGTAGAAACGAAAACTCCAACTCCTAATCAAACCCACATTGAAAACTCTCCTTGTGAACTGAGCTTTGAAATAGAGAGAATGATTAAGGAAAGGGAACAATTGTTCACTGATGTTCAATTTTATGAACCTAAGGTTACGTTTAATGTAGATGAATCTCCTCAAAGAATTAGGATTCAAAGAAATAGTGCTCCAATGCCTAATACTCAATTATAGCAACTAAATTAATAGATCATTGACGCAGAACATACTTATAATTAGTATTGCTATTAATTAATTTGATTATATTGAAATTATTATAAAAATTGCTATGTCGTTTTATTTCAAACTGTATTCAAAATAAAGTTTCAACACTTTTAATAGCAATCAGAAGGCAATTCTAAGACATTATAATGAATAAATATAAGAGGTTATTTTGGTTAGTTAAGATTATTTAGATTTTATTTGAAAATATAGTATCAATTATGGTCATTATACTCCGAATTCATCATGGAAGATCTTGAAATTTATTAAGTTAAATCTATTCTAGCTTAACCCAATTCAGATGCCTAAGTTAATTGGATGAATTACTAATTTAGAGCCATTTTATAATGATTAATAATCGAGTAGATTGCTATACATACCTACAGCCATGGTTGTTAATCTTTTAAAATTTCCCATCATTTTCTTTTTACTTTCCTGACTGGTAAAATTACTGCAGAGACTATTAGAAGATTATGGTTTCTGTTAAGTATATTACGATTATCTTATAGGCGTATCGAAATCTTTATGAGTATTGAAGCTGGCTTACCGCTATCCTTGTGGACTTGTTAATTAATTCAGAGGGCTAGATAATTGATTTAGAGGACTAGTGATTTAGTTTAAAGAACTATTGAATGCGGCTGCATCTCCTTTTAAATTTTCTATCTCTTCTCTCAATTTTTAAATAGTTTGTTCTTGTTTCTTTTGGTCCTCTTTCATTTTCATCATTGATTAATGGATTGTAGACTATGTTTCATTTGATTTCTAAATTAAACAATTTTATTCTTAAATTATCTTGGTCTTCTCGACTATTTTCTTATGCAATTGTTTCTTTTCTCTTTCAAATGCATCCCGAAGAAGAACGTCTGAATTTTTTTACAATGCCAAAATTTAGCTTAGAAGTTATTACTCTAAATTTGATAGAAAAAGTGTTTACCTTGATTCTTGAGTTATAGGTTTTGTTCTTACAGATCACTCACTTGCATTTCGACATGATGCAATTGTTTCAATGCTTGATCGCAATGATTTTTCATTTCGTTATAGTTTTGAACTTCCATCTCAAAATTTGCTTTGCCCTATTGCAATTCTTCGATTTCTCTATTTTTTGATGCTATTTCTTCTTAATACTAAAATACAACAGCACATAATTTATCGATTTGTTCATCTAGATAGAAAGCGTCAAATACCTTTTTAAATTAATGCCTAATCTTTTTCTAGTAATTCTTATTGAAGAGCCTCAATTTAGGCTTAAAGTGCTTTTTCTGACTTCACCTCAGGAAAGCCAGACTTGTTAATCATGTCCAACAAAATTTATTTCCTTCTAGGATCTGGATTAAGAGATGATTATTTCATAATTTATCTATTCTTAATTTATTATTGCAATATTTTTCAATACCTAAATAAGGATTACAAGTAGTATATAAAAATAAGATCTATTAGAAACAGTGCCTTAATTTAATTTTAGTCTTTTCTACAATAAAATAGGTGGAATGATTTGTTACAATTTCCAATTGAAGGTTGAATAAGACTTGGAATTAATGTTGACAGGGAGAAATATCGATTGAAACTGAAGATAATAAGTTGAAGAGGGAATTGAAATTAATAAGATAAATCTAGAAATACTTGGTAAATTAAACAAAATGATATTACAGAGATTTAATTTCGTTTAAAATATCATACGAATAATAAATTTCAATTTATTTAAAAGAGTTCTTAATTTCTTGCAATGTAAAATAGCTCTAGAAAATGTTTTTAGCAAATTTCTATAGTTAAATTACTTAATTAAGATTCAAAATGACACTCTTTAATGAGTTTTATAAAGTTGTATTGAAATGAATTAGGGTTGTAATTTAGTGGTATCGCTCTCCAGGATTCATGAACGCAAAGTTACATGGTAAGAAATGCACAATGGGGGTAAAACTGGATGCAGAGAGTGGGTATGGAAATAGAAAGTGTTAATTATATGATACTAATAACAACATAAAGTAACTGGAATTAAGTTTAGAAATGAACAAAATTATAGTCAAATTCATTTGAGTAATAGATCCTCTATCTCTTACTTTAAATTGCCATTCTTTAATTCTTACAGCAAGGATTTTGTGTCAGGATAGGCTTCCATTATAAGTGTCATGTCTTTATCGTCGACATTCAATATGTCTCTTATTTCTAAATCTAATATGCTCAGCTAATGATTTACATTATGATTATTCGCTACGTCTGCGTGTTTACATTAAAGGTGCATCTTACTAATCTAGAAGTCTACGTTTTCTCTTTAAATTGATAAATTGACGATCTCCGCTCTGCTTTTTTATTTCATCATAATCCAGTAGACTGTCTTCCTCTTGAGGTATGTCCTTAATCATTTTGAGGTTCAACTTCACTTTGGTACCCTTTACCTAGACAGGTAGGTTTTAATCAGTTTTTGGTTAAGCTGGATTAGGAGGCTAAATTGGAAAGGGCATAACCATTTGTGGATGGGGTTGCATTTGTGGCTGAGGATTTGGAAATGGCATGCGCAGAGGGACCATAGAAGACATGGATGGAATTTATTGCATTTACTGCATTTGTTGTAGTTGTTGCATCATAAAGTATTAGGGTGCATAGTTCATGTAGGACTGCCTAATTATTCATATATGCATAGACTATATAGTATATTGGGTATAAGTGGATAAGAAAATGCTGATGTTTACATACATAAATTGGGGATTTTGATAAATCATCTGTGCCTATGGAGTCTGCTGCATTTGAGGGTACATTTGAGGCTTGGCTTTGAGCATTGCTAGATAATCTTAGTTAGGAAAACTCATTTTTCTGATATTTAAATATATCTCTAAGAATAAAACACAGATTTGATATTTAGATTTACAAAAGATATTATGCCATTTCAAAGGGGCTTATTTCATTCTCATACCATTGAATTTTGGTTTCTCAACTTGAATAAATGAGTATCAAACAATAAGCAAGTAGCCTTTATTGAATTATCAAAGAGAAAATGCTCTGAAAAAGCAAACTCATATTTCAAACACAAATTTTAGAAACTCAAGAGTTTGAAAAGCATTCATTTATTTGTCTTTACAAAATGAATTAAATGCTATGCTCCTTAGAGCAGAAAGAAGATTATTGATTTAAATTGGTATTATTATACATTATATTTTAACTAACGAAATGATTCCATCTCAATTCTTAATGTTGATTTTTAATATACGAAATCAAATGTAATAATTTTGTTAATTTTATTACACTCCAACATAAAATTAATAGTAATCAATATTAATTCTAGAATGTAAAAATATTTAAACAATACTTTAAATTGCTTTGTAGAAAAAGATAATTCTATAATATCAAAATTAAAATTGTCACTCTAGTGTGTAATCCTTATGTTCTAAAAGAATTGCTGTCTACACTAACATAGATAATTACTTGGGTGATTGATATAAATGCTGATTACATAGTGAATTAAAATTAAGCATCTTGCTTAGAGGGGTGATATCCTCAAAGAAAATGCTTATAATCAATCATTATTATACAGAATTTATAGGATTATTGATAGATTATAATTTCAATAATTTTTATTTTTGTTTGATTTCAATGAGGAAGTGATTGATTACTTTGATTATTATTATAAATAATGAACGACATATTACCAGCTCCAAGTCTTGTTAAATATAGTAATCCAATTCTAATATCTAACAGCTAAAAGAAACAAATCAAATAATCCCCTCCAAGTAATACTGAAGACATTTTGAATGCAATTCTGCTTCCTAGAGAATTTAATCATTAGAAAAATTAATTGCAAATTTAATGTGTTTCTCCTGCACCTTCAACTAAATAGGATGTGCTGGAATTACAAGACAAATTGGATAAGTGGTTATAATAACGGCTTGCAAGGGAGACTGGCTTATGTCCAATTAGGGAGGAGTTATATTCATAATGTTTTGATGAATTAATACGATAAATCACAATAAATTGTGCTGAAAGAGGTATGTTACTAGTGACGGTACGCAATGAAGTTCGGATGGTTATATAGACATATTAAACTTTGTATGCCTCAAGTATTGCTTTTGGAATGAGAAAGTTTTTATCTGAAGAAGAAAAGAAGGTATGAAACAAACACAATATGTAGGCTGAATACAGATAGAGGATTAAGTAACTCGAATAAGAATGCTCGGAACTCCAAAGATAAGTAGAAAATCTAGAGTAGAAACTATGTGACACAAAGCAGTAGGATTAATTAAAAAGAGAGTAAACTAAAGAAACACACACAGAAATTATAACCTAATTAAAAACAGATATAAAAAATAAAGTCTCTGGGGATCTAGAAAAAATACTTACTGGATAAAGAAAATTACCTGACAAGAAATGACAACATATATGTTTTGATATTATTAAGTTAAGAGTTAGATTAATATATTTCCTAGGATCCTAATAATATCCAATTATGTGAGAGTAATTTAATAGTTATTCAATTTATTAATAACCTTTTTATTTCTTTTTTCTAATATATTCTCCAATAACTAATTAGAATGTAGATTTCTAATTAAGACATTTTTGGATTTATTTTATTTTCATTAGCTTAATCCAAACTTATTTATGCAGTAAACTTACCTGAAGGATAAGATTTAGCTGCAAGGGAGAATAGATTAAAATTTAATATAAAATAACTAAATGAACTTATTTAATATATCATTAGTTCATTAACGATACCTTTGCACTCGAAGGCACTTATGGATTCTTCCTAAAGAACTTATTATAAACAAAAAAGGCTCCCCCCAATAAAGCAAGTCCACCTAAAATTCCTAAGATTACCCAAAGCCAAACGAGGGAACTAAAGTATAATAATAAAAGAGTACCTTCCGCCATCACCATCATCAGGAGGAGGAGGATTATTATTATTAATAATTTCAAAGACTCCTAGTGCAGAACTGTAATCATTTTCAATTTACAATTCAATCATCTAAGATTGTACTTTGTCTCCAGAAACTATTTTAATTTTAGGAACATCATGAATAGTATATTTCTTGACAACATAATTATTGGATTTGGCATCTTCTTCTATGTTTGTATAAATAGAGGGCTTTTATATTAGAAATATTGGATACCTCAGTTTAATTAGTAGGTTTTTGGATAACAAGAGCGAATTAAGTGTTGGAAGCAATATGCCTAATAATTTCTGCTCCAGAGATTGTCAACATTTTAGCCTTTGAATCAGCGCCTAAGGCTGTTGTTTCTGGCAATTAATACATGCTAATCATTATATGAGATGAATTATAATAAGGGACAGCAGCATGGCCTTATCCAATAGCAAATTTATTCAAGGTCTTCATAGTTCCATAATGATTCAATAAAAATGGAACACTGGTATCTTTTAATGGTGAACCCTTGCTAAGAGGATCGCTGATATCAAATGAAAATGTAATGGCATATTGAGCAACATTGTTAGTAGTGGTTATAACAGTTGCATCGAAGGTATTCTAATTTGTAGCACTTTTATATAACTTTATTTAATAGAACATTGTATCTTCTTTGACTGCGTAATCTTTGTTCAAAAATGAAGCTAGATTAGAGACTTACTTATGGTTATCTTTTATCAAACCCCCATCATTGTATATTTAAACAAAGTAGATCTATCCAATTGCAGTTTAAATCATAATCTTCTAATAGAAGGTATTTCCTTATTGGAATTAAACTACATCAAAATCAGTGATATAGTAGTCATTAACAGTTGGCAGATTGAAGTATTTATAATCAAATACTTTTTGATTCTTAGCAGTCCACTTTTAATCTACAGTCAATTAATAAACATACAGAACTCCTCTATTAGTAAGTGGATGATCTTGATCAGCATCCAAAATGTAAAGGTACGAATTTAAATACAAAACTTTGGATACTATAGTGAACATTCCAATATTAGGAGTGTCTGATTAAATAGGTGTGCATGTTGATTTTGCAATATCACAACTAACGATGTATAATAGGGTATCTGCGTTGTTAATGCAAGTTACTAATATATAATCATTGTAAGTTGTTAGTTGAGTGCAATGAGTGCCTGGTTCTATCTTATGGACAAATTTAACAGTGTCATCATCACTATTTTAAAATACCAATGATTTAGGATCTGCCAAATAAACAACTGAATCTTTGAATGCAGCACCAGCAATAATTTCATAATTAGCAAATTAGGTTCCTTCACTATTTTTAGTAAGAGGGTTGAGGATACTGATGAGTTTACCATCACATTATTTGCAAGTGATCTAGAATTTTGTAACATGACCAAAATACAATCCATCATTAGTGAAATTCAAATATTAAGCATTCTCAGTGGAATTGAAATGGAATACTGTTTTGGCCAAAAGAGTAATGTTAATTCTAACAATAGATTGAGTGTTAATAAATTTAACTGGATATATTACACTTGTTTATGAATCTGACAATGTATTAGTAATACCTACAGCTGCTTTCATTGATGTTGTGTAAGCATCACTCATTTGAGCTGGCACCAATTCCATCAATGAATCCCTCAGGCATACTATAACTCTTTGAGTTTTTAAATCATTAAAGTAAACAAACATTTGATCTTATCCAGAGGCAGCAGTCTCTAACACTTATTTATCAGGTATCAATTCATGTGTTTTTAATACCTTATGTAATGAGTTTCTATACAAGACATTGGATTCATAGATTAAAATTACTGTCTCTTTCTCAACAGAATCATAGGCTCTCACAAATAAGAATCCAGTTTCGTAAACAAAATCTATTGTGAGTGGAGATTACAATGAATATCTTCCATACAATGGCATTGCCTTCATTGGGTAAATATCATTAAGGTTTTCATAGTTGAATTCTTCGATGGTATCTTTTCTTCCCTTGGAAATGATATAGAAGGTCTTTTCACCTACTGCAACTTCAATTTCAGCTTCAGGTTCAATAGCGATAGCCTTTAATAAGACAAAATGAGTTCTTAATTCCCCAACTATCACACAATCATCAGTCAAAACAAATATGAAGTCGCTTTTAGTATATGAATTTCCAAATACTCTTTTTGGAGTCCAAGAACAACCTGTTTAATATTCATCAATCATATTAGAATAAATTGGATATTTAACTAGAGATGGAGATACTGAAAAAATGATATCAACTTCTTTTTAAGCATGTTAAACAACATAAATGGTTTACTTTAAAGCTGTGAATGAAGTAATCTTATATTCTGGTGAAGCCTCGTAAGTGATGTTACCTATTTTCTAATGATCGCCATCAAAATTACTATAAAATACGATTTCATAATCACTGACTTAGAATTAGAAAGTCACTACTTCCTATTCGAATGTTTTCCAATCAAATTAGGAGTTGGTTCTACTTAATTGTACAGGTAAATCAAATTGATCCTACTTCTCACAGTTAGTATGATTATCATGGTAATTATGTGATTAACAATCCCAAATAATGACAGTTTTATTTTTATGTTGTAAAAATAGATAAAACTTATTGTTGTTATGATGATGAGGATCAACTAAGACATCTGCATATGCAACATCTTTAGCATCGAACAAACTGACATTCTTGAGTTCGATTTCCCATAGAAAATGCACTTGGACTTCAACATGGTCCTAACTAAAATCTGGGGTGACATATTAAAGATTTGGTCCAGATGCTATATCTTATAATAAGAATGGTTCAGCTGGGTATGTGATCATACTCGGGAAGGGATCATGACCCAAATCATAAATATTGGCATCATCAGCAGCCAACACTTAGTAATTAATTTTACTACTGCATATTTTATTTCCATCAGTTCCATACAAAGTCAATGTTGATTTCTCAATTTGCACTGAATTCTCTGATGCCAAATACCCATCACTCAATTCATACCTTCTAGTTAAGGTTGGAGAAACTACAATGACATCAGGAGCGAAAGGATTGACCAAAAGGGTTGAAGATATCAAGGTTTCTGAGTGAAGCAAATATGGAAATATCATATTATACAGGTATAATTTTTATGAATGCACCACAACCACATACTTATCACTGAATGAAACTGAAGCTGGTAAGGATGCTTTGAATGGTAAATTGTATCCATTCTTTTACACTGATGCCACAGTAATTAACAAATTGGATTCATACAAAACAGCTATGGCTAATTCTGAAAACCCATCGTCATTCAACATATCAACAACATCAAAACCATAAGCTTTTTAGTTAAGAGTCTGGATTGTTTTAGCATAAACCCATTGTCCTTCCTCTGTCACTTTATAGACATATATTCCATGATCGGCATCCAAAATATAGACATCACCATTGGGCAACACTTTGAAATCGATTAAAGTGAAATTAACAGTCTGTTTAGTGTCTGCACTAATTTTTGCTTTGTCTAATATGCCAGCCTCTTAAAATGTTTGATTATCAAATCTAATTACAATATCAATAAAGCAATCGTGATCTAACACTGTGGTATTACCTGTTTCAGAATTGAAGGCCTATTATCCTCTTAATAACATTCTGATGGGACTGGGAGGTTGTGGACGGTCAACATCAACTTCAACTCCAAGTTCTTCTCCAGTTCCCTTTTTATAATAAACATGGTATTATATTTTCCTTCCTTTCACTTATTTATATTATTTGTGATTGGACACTTCGACTCTTTTACTGGCAGCAGTAATAGCAGTGTCTAATTTGTCCACAACATAGAGATAATTTTTCATTGGTTATGTTGGAGTAGCAGAATTCCTTTCAGCACAATCGACTACGAATAAGTCACGATTGATATATTCAAGATCAAAACAATCTATAACTGCGTTGCTCTCAGTCAATGGAATCTTTTTTTAAAATTGAGGGGTCTTTGCCATTTGCAAGGCATTTCTACATAGATTAAAATCTAATATGTTACCCTTCAAAATAATATAAGTCGTATATGTTTTTTTTGTCGTCCAATTCCAAAAATGCGAATGAGTTTGTCCAAGCTCCGGAACTTGCTATGTCGTAGGCTCTAATGGCACCTGTCTAAATTAGAGCTATTATGCTAATGGATGGATCGTACTTCCAAAATGAGTTTCTTCATCTGATATTTAATCGAAGGCAGGGTGATATCTCATAATGGTTGAGTTTGGTATCAAATAGAAATCGAGCCCGTTGCCTGCGATTAATGAGTCCACTCTCCATCTAAACTGCTCGCCTTTTGTGGTATAATATGTAACATTCTACTGTACAGTCTCTACAATTGACCAATAACATACCACACCATTGATAAGAAGATTCGATTAGCAAAAACAATGAGATAATTCCACAAAGCATTTTTTTAATTTTAATAAGATTTTTTCAGAATCAGAAAACTATCTATACTAACATTATTCAAACAACATATATTTATATTTTCATCCAGTTCCACATATCCAAGTGATTTTCATGAAAATCCTTATAAACAGAATTCAATTACGGATTGCACTTGTGACTCATTAGAAAAGTTCTAATTCTAATTTACATGATGCATCCGTTAGTTCAATTAAGTATAATGATCAGTATTAAAGAAGAAAAATCATAGATTACGAGAATTTATTGGTTTTTTGGGTTTCAATATTTAATTTGTTTAGATGAGGTGTATTAAAAAAATCGATGACGACAATAAGAATATTTTACAAATTTTTATTAATCTCTTTATCCATATTCCATAATGTTATTCAATTAGAGATCCATATTTTTATTTTTTATTAATAAAAATGTCTTAAGTAGTAGATACGTCTGATTAGATATCTCTATTGGAACCAAACAAGGGATCATCATTTGAGGAAAATCAGTGTCATAAAACCTTCTTCTTCTCGTGGGTTTATCCTATCTTGAAAGTAAAAGCTATATTTATCAATCCTTCAGGTTGGAAAATCGAAACCCTTGACTTAGTTTGATCTCATATCGATTGACAAAAGAAGCAATATGAGTAGTTCATACTAACGATTCATCAGTGTGTTCAATAAATCCAATTTAGCATTGAGTTTGTTCAATTCCTTCAGAAGTAAGTACAAAATTATTGACAATTAGAATAAATCTTGATATGTCTAATAGCATACTTGATTGTGGCGACTTTGTAGTTATGTCTCCCCATCATCACAGCGAAATCCCAAAAGTATTTCATGTATGATCAGCCAGAAGAAAGGCCATTGACTTCTAATATGTTTTTTTTTGCAGCTGTTCAACTCATATACATGTTGTCACTCTCCCTAATAAAGCCTTTCCAATAGTTTTTTGCTTCTCTGGTGAGCATTAAGATACAGGGAGCTTTACAATAGGAAATTTTGTTAAAAACTCTTAGGTTCCCCATTTCTCGATCTCAACATTATTCGACTGGGGAACTCATCAATATGTTGTAGGTCGATATCACGCAGACTTCAAATTACTTTTATAATGCAATCATTTTATATACTTGCCCAATCTAATTGGCATGTGCAGGCATAGTCTTTTTTGTGACTTTGGGTGATTAGGCATTAGTGCCTGCTTTGGGAGCAATAGTTTAAGCATTCATAGGATTGACTTTTGGTTATTTTTACGGATTAGTATAAAAGAAGTATATGATGGCCAAGGATCTGAGAATGAAGGCAGTGGATGAAGCCTTATTGTATTCAAAATAAGTTAAACTAAATTAATTGGAAGACTTCTTCGAATAGCGAGTATTTATGTTCTGTTATTTTAGATTCATGCCTAAAGAACAAACGAACTTTACCATCTTAAAAACCAAGTTATAATGCTTATTCTAATATAATTGTCATAAGGTTTGGTTGGTATATTTACTTGGGAGATCTTGTTTTTCGTTAATGACCCCATCAATTTTGCTATTGTAGCCATAATGATGCAAAATTATGATAATATCGTGAGAATCTTGGAAGATTTACCAATGCAGTTTAAAAATTATTCGATGAGTAAAAACTCTATTGATCGAATTGAAAACTTCTTCAATCAAAAGGAATGTAATCAGTTAGATTATGCAATTGAATAATCAAATGTTGCTATTGATATTTAGAATTGCTCATTTGATTGGGAATCTAATGATAAAATGAATAAGGAAGTTGAAGATGAATAAAATGATCATGTTCCAAAAAACACAAGTATATTCAACATCAATTTGAATATTTAAATAAATAAAGGCTAGTATGTGGCTTTTGTTGGAAAGTATTTTAATTATTAAATCTATATAGCTCTGCTTCAGGTAAATCTACCATTCTTAGATCCATCTTGGGAGAAACTCATAATCAATTCGGAAAGATCTCAGTAAATGGACGCATAAGTGTGGCTACTCAAGATCCTTGGATCATTAGTGGGACGATAAAGAAGAACATCACTTTTATGAATTAATTTGATAGTCTCAGATATAAAGAAGTAATCAAATGTTGTGGATTGGAAAGAGATATTGCATCATTTAAAAATGGAGATGAAACTGTTTTAGGAGAAAAAGGTGATAATCTCTCTGGAGGACAATAAAAGAGAATTAATTTAGCTAGAGCAGTATACAATGATGCAGACATCTATTTATTAGACGATCCCATGAGTGCACTTGACATTAAAGTTAAATATCAAATAAATCAATAATGTATTTAAGGCTATTTGAAAAATAAAACTCGTGTTCTCTTTACTAATTCATTATCGAATCTGTAGGAGTGTGACATGATTTACATAGTTGAAGGAGGAAAAATCATTAAGTAAGGCAAATTTGCTTAGATTATTGGTGTTGAAAACAATAAAATATTGTCTCAAAAAGAAGTCATTGATATATAATTTGAAGAGAAGCATTACACTCCAGAATTGACAGACAACCAAGATTTAAGATCTAGTTTGATTTAAAAGGAAGATTAAGAGAAAGGATAAGTATCAAAGGCAGTTCAATCTTAAATCTTCAGTTTTATAGGAAGATACTGTGCAATCCTTTGTGCAATACTGTATTTTGCCATTGTTCTTGCTTGTTAATTATTTGGCAATTTCATTATGGCTTAGGACGATATATCGGATGCTGATTACAAAGTATTGGCATAAACCTACTATCCGTTTATATAAGCCCCCATTATCGTTGCAATGGTTTTTATGAAAAGCTATTACTTAATAAAAGGATTGAGTACTTCAAAGGTTATCCATGATAATGTTATGAATAGCTTGTTGAATGCTTCATACACTAAATTTTATAATACTATTCTCATTGGTAGACTGATGAATAGATTAAGTAAGGATATCTATAGTATTGATTTATTGTTTCCGAATGAAATTCAGAATTTAACATACCAATGCACTTCTTTGTTATTGCCCTTATTTGCATGCTTCCTTTATTTGAACATAGCAGCACTACCTTTATTATTGCTGTTTTTCATCATTCTACTATACTTGACTATCATTTATTATAGATGTTTGAGAGAAATAACAAGGATAGAAGCCGTTTCTAAAAGCCCGGTTTTTTCTTTCTTTTAGTAGATTGTCCGAGGAGTGACTTATGTTAGAAGTTGTTTACCAATTGATAAGGTGATAGCCTTACAATAAAAAAATGTAGATATTGATTTAGGAAATCAAATTAATTTGTACGGATTTTAATATTGGTACCAGTCTTTAGCTGGGTCCATAACCAATTGCTTCTAAGCATTCTTATTCATCATATGTGTAAATCTATTGGATTATAATGTAGTTTCTATTTCCAGGAAAGACTCAAAAGATGACAAACCTTGTGTTGCAATAGATGTAAACAGTTTCAACTTTATTGTTAAACTCTGCAATTTCTTATGGAAACATATAGATGTATTTCATCAGTTTCGAAAGATGCTTGCATTTAGCAAAGTAAATTGTATTATGAATACCGTTTAGTAAAATTGAATTAGAGGAAAGGAATCATCCATTGATTACTCCATCTGGACAAATTAATTAAGCCAGCAAACCAAAATCAGACATAGTTTTGAAACTTGAGAATTGTACCTTCTAATATCGATCTAATTCAAAAAGTGTCTTATAATAAATGTCTTTGGAGTTACATAAAGGAGAAAAGGTAATCAATTAATATTAATGACAAGATTGGTGTAGTTGGAAGAACTGGAGCAGGGAAGAGTTCCATCATTTTAGCCTTGACTGCAATATTAGAACAAATTGAAGGATAAATTGAAATTGAGGATCAGAATATTAATTCATACTCACTTACTGAATTGAGATAGAAGTTTTCCATTATTCCCTAAGATCCCTTGATATTCATGGGGACATTAAGAGAAAACTTAGACCCCTTAAACTAATTTAGTGAAGCTAGAATACTAGAAGTAGCATAAAAGTGTAGATTGTTCGAAATGCAAAGCTTTAAAAAATATGGATTATAAAGTGAAATTGCTCTATCAGGAAGTAATTTGTCTTAGGGAGAGAAACAATTGCTGAATATCACAAGGTGCATTCTTGAAGATAAGCAAATTATATTAGTTGATGAAGCTACTGCTAATATTGATTAAAATACCGAAGAGCATGTTAAGGAGGTAATATTGTTAATAAATAAAACCTTAGATTTTTGAAAATTACTTTTAGAATGCTGCTATGTTGACGATCGCCCATAAAGTCACTACTATTATGAATTCAGATAGAATAATGGTGTTAAATGATGGCAAGATTTCTGAATTTGATCATCCTCAAAAATTATTGGCTGACCCCAATAGTGAATTTAAATTAATTATAGATCTTATCAAGTAATCAGAGTAATTGTGATTAATTGTTATATTTGATGAATATTTATATTAAGTAATTTAAGATATGCTTAAAACTCTATAGTATAAATCATTCTGGTCATATCTGACACAAATGTTATCTTGTATTGAATTGATTACTAAAAATTTATCAAAATATTTAATTAAACAAAAAATGTTTAGAAAATCTGATAAGGATAGAAAAAATGAAGCCATTTAACAAGCAGTTCCAGAAGAAAAATACAGAAAACCAAGTCCATTAGGAGGGAACAAGTGGGATGAAGAGGGTTTCTTAGAATTTAACGGAGTTCAAAAAGGTCAACAAATTAAACTTCACACTTACAGATGTAAAACAACTTTATCTGACCCAAAATCTGTAACTGTTTTTTTTCATGGTCTTAATGAACATCTTGGATTATATGCTCATATTGCTTAGGCTATCAGTAAAGAGGCAAATAGCATTGTTGTTGGATTTGATTTCAGAGGATTTGGCAAAAGTTAAGGTCTGAGAGGATGGTTGGAATCTAGAGAATAATTAGAAAGTGATTGTTCAAGATTCATAATACAAATTAGAACTATGTATCCAAGACTACCTTTATTTACTCTTGGTTAGTCTATGGGTGGAATGGCATCGTATTTGATGGGATTAAATGATATTTGTGAAGGAACTGTGTTGATTTCACCTGCAATATTGGATAATTATTATAATTAACCATTTATGAAGAAATTAGGATTGTGTTTTGGTGCTTGCTTTCCAACCTGGAATCCATTTCCACCTGTTGTAGTGACAGGATCAAGAAATCCATAAATCTTAGAAGAGAACTTAAAGGATCCATATTGTACTTAGGTAGCAGTGTTACCAGGAACAGGTAGAGTACTTGTATCAACAATGAGATCACTTCCAAGAACTTTTACTTAATATAAAAAACCATTTTTAGTGATCTCAGGAGGAATGGATTAAATTGTAGATCCTGATGTGGGACATGAACTTATGAAATAAAGTCCTTCTCAAGATAAATAATTGATCCATTATGAGAACATGTGGCATGATTGTGTTTAGGAGTAGGAAATACTTGAAATCATACCTAAAATTGTAGATTGGATATCAGAAAGATCAATTAAATGACTGATAATAGTATTTAGTTATATTCATTAATTATTTACATATGTAGTAGTTTCATCATTATCATATCCTGAAAATCTGATATAAATATATTTCTTCATTCATTCATAGTAGTTATTATTCCTTAAAATAACTCTTAATAATTCAAATATCTTATAACTATATTTAGTTAATTAATGTAAGTAACAAAACAAAAATAGAACTGCAATTAGTAAAATAATTTAATCATTATGAACATGATCTCAGATTACTTAATTGAAAATTGATTTCTTATCCTCTGTTTAAGTGAATTTTAAGTGATTCAATTTTTAATTAAAAATATTTTGTGATGAAAAGTTGAATCTCAAACAATCAAACTCTAAGAGAAAATACTTTTAAAAATATAAGGAACTTTATGAGTATAGCTTGTTAAATGATATAGCAAGTTAATTAAACTTAATACCATAATATTATTATTATTTCTTTACATATGACTATGTGACCTTTATTATTAAAATTACATTCTTACTACCCAAGTTGTTGGCAACATCGTTTGTGATCTTTATATGAAATAAATAAAATTTTGAAATGAAAGAATTTGATTCATAATTATTGGAGATTATCAACATTCTTAAATCATCGGCTAACTCTACTGCCTTAGGCATACATAATAGTCTTATGGAGTAGGAATCAATGAATGCAGATAGAGAATGAGCAGAATTATCTAATATCAAAGACTGATTATCTATTATATGAACTTTTTTATTATATTTCAAAATTCATATGGCTTCCATCCATGAACTTCCCAATTATTCCAATACCATAAATTTAAAACAATTACAAATCCAAGGTTAAATCCAGTATGTGCTAAAATGGCTGTTAAAACACCCTAATCACGAATAAATGCAAATTTCCTACTGAAAATTACGAATGGTATAGCACAGAATAATGCATACAAGAATTTACTAAGTAAATATAAATTAATAGTACCTTGTGACAACTGCAAAAATAAAGACGTAAAGTAATCCATAATGGATGGCAACTATCCAGATGATCCATTCTTTAGGGTTTGAGTATGTTAACCCGCCTGCAAAACCACTCTGTAAGAAGACTCTCCAAAAGAATTCCTCTAAAAATGGATCCAACAACAACATTAACACGGAGATCTAATTATATTTGTATTGACTACCACTATAATTTCTGTATTGGCCATGTAGAAGAAGTTGATGGTATGAAAAGACCAAAAGGGAACATAGCTGAGGGAAATGAAGAATGCTAAAAAGGAAATTGCTAAACAAGCAACAAACCAAATCAATCCCTTTTTTATTTATTCACTTTTTTCCAAGGCAATGTTGGCAAAGCTTGATGATAATCTTGTAACATGAGTAGAAACTTTGTCAAGACTAATTTGTAATTATAAAGAATTACTATAATAACAATCCTGGCACAATAAGATAGCAGAATAGTAAAATCGTTAATAATGCTATCATAGGATATCCATATTTCCAAAAAAGTACACCTGTTACTACTGAGGGGAGGAGCATTGAAACCTCTAAATATATAAATTTCCATGGAGGGATATCACCTGTGGCGTCCATATTTAAGTTTATTAATAATTTATCTAATATTTATTTCCAATAAAGATATAAACAAAAATTATGAAAATCAATTAGAAATTCTCATTATAATTGTCATATTTAAATATTTACTTTCTTTTTTCTTGCTATTAAGTTAATTGACACTTGAATTTATCAATATAGATTCAATTGATTTTATTGAATTTTAAACATCAATAATATCTTGAATTCTTGAATTGTTGTTTTGCTCCTTAAATAAAAATAAATTTTATTATGAATATAATGAATAGCAAATGAACATCAACTTAGTTTAAACATTGTCATAAATTTTACTTAGTTATTAATAATTTTGAAGTTTTCGATAAAATAAATTAAGTAAAATTTAATACTTATTGTTTAAAAATAAAAAGTGAACGCCTGAGACTTTCAAAAAGAGGATAGAAATTGATCTTTTGATTTTTGGCAGTTCTATTGAGTATTAATAAACTGTCTTAGCAATTATTGAGGACTATCTTTATACTTTTGATTCATTAATTTAAATATATCATGAAAAAAATAATTAATTTGATCTTTTTTTAGGTTAAGAAGAGAATGCTCTAAGTTCTGTTTTTAAAGTTTTTATTTCATTTTATAATTCTGAATACATTTTATTCCAAATTGTTCTTTACTATTATAAATCCTATTGAGTCTATAAAGGTTGTTTAATCAAATTTTTACTTATACTCTTATTTACTTTTCCTAATCGAGCTCCTCTTATAATGCATTTATAGTAGATTCTCTATCCTTAATCTAATTTTATAAAATCTCTATTTTTGATGAATTATTATTGTAGTCTTGATTTTCTTTATCATGAAAGAATAGAGATCTATCTTATTTTTCCTTTTGAAGTCCCTCAACTTTATTACGAAGAGATTAAATATCTTGAAGGTAATCTGTTGAAATATAGCTCAACTAATTATGGGTCTGAGAAATTGAAGGGCGGCATCTATATGATTTATTCGTTTCATTAAAATCAAGTCGTGGAGGTTTTGCATTTGCACTGACAATAAATTCAGGTGAAATACCCAACTAAATATTTTTAATCTAAATTAATGCTTTGATTCTTTCTACTTCCAATTTATTTAGATTTCTTTGTTTCTATTATTTTCTAAAGCTTTCCAATTGTTTTTTCTTGTAATGCTATGACTTCTGTCAATTATTTGACCTTTTTAGACATAATTGACTGTTAATTTCAAATTTAATATATAAATAATGAATTTTCAAATTCTCAGTTTTTACAATCTAAGCTAAAAATAATCCAAGTTATGAATGAAGACTAAATCCTCAGTTCATACAGGCGATATTGTTATGAAATTTATTAACTGATCCTAGCCTTTTAAGCAGAATAATAAAGAAAATAATTCTTATTAATAGTTTATATTCCTTGTACTTATATGCACATATTAAAAATGTGCATCTAAGAAGTATCTGAGCAAAAAATAATATTAAATCAATTATTCAGGTCAATAAAGATTTTGATTTAAAAATGTTTCAATTACAATAGTTACATACATACATATTACTTTAATCACTTTAAGTTGAGAATAAAATTTATAGACATTCTTTCATCACAAAAGCAATCATAAGTTTTAATAATAATTTATATTACCTTTATTAACTCTATTCAAAAACATGTATTAATCGAAAGTATTTTTTTGATTTATCGCCTTTTCAGATTATACTATAACATTTTATTTTGTATTTATTCAATTCATATTTACTAAGAAATTAATTCTAATTTATTAATATTTAAGCAAAATTTTATTCAACTTAAAAATTATCAAAAATACTAATAAATTGGACAATTAATAATCATCCACTCAATTTCAATCTTAAGAATATTGATAAAATATTATTTAGCTGATTCTAATTCTAAGGGAATGATAAATAGCATTTGAAAGTTCGATGTAAATTTTGATACGTCCCTAATTTAATCCAAGGGATTATCAGGGAAATTTAGTTGGTTATGTATAATTTCTATATTATGAAATGGAAATAAGAATGACTTTTTAGTTACTGATATTCATATTTTAGTTTGTTTAAAGTGCTAGTTGATTTTTATAATTAATTTATATACATTATTTCTGATTATAAATATTTAATTATTTGATCTGCAGTTACAAAACGATGATTATTTCATTGGAATATGATCAATATATTGTATTTATTTTAATTTACAATGTTGACGTCAAAAAGCAATTCCTCTATGCACCTTTTTGTTGATGGTACCTTGATTATAGGATTTATTAGGTTTGATAAGTCCCAAAGAATACATCTCAGATAAAGAATGTGCTAAACAATTTTACAAACAAAGTAATGCATTTTTAAATATTCTATAAGGTTAAATACTAATACAGTTATCCAGATTGGAAGAAGCTATGCAATACATAAATTAGGCAATCCATCTTGATCCATAATTTGAGGATGCATACTATTTAAGAGGTATTTTGTTCTAAATTATCATATAGGAAATATATATCGATTAGAGAAGAATCTGGATGAGGCTTTGAAAAATTATGAGGAATGTGTCAAACTAAACACCTAGTAATATTTTGTTTACTACAATATAGGTATCATAATGTAGTAGATTTAAGGCTTAATATTAAACGAGATGAATAGAAAAGAAGATGCAGTCAACAACTTTGACAAGTCATTACAATTCAAAATTAAATACGAAACTTTAATTAATAAAGGAATTTTATGTTTAGAATTATCTAGATACGAAGAGTGTATTAAATTATATGATTTGGCAATATCATTGCAACCAGATTGCCATATAGCTTATTACAGTAAAGGTAATTTCCAGATAATAAATTAGGATTCACCTTATTTAAATTATCCAAATATGAAGAGTCAATAGACAATTACAATAAAGCTCTTAGACTCAATCCACTTTTGACTAATGGGTTTAACAATAGAGGTATTTGTATTATAGTAGGTTTAGCTGTATCATTGTGCAAAATCAATAAGATAAATGAGGCTATAGACAATTTAAATTAAGGATTAAAAATATCTAAAAATGACCCAGTGATTATCTTTAATTTAACAAAATTATATAGATTAACCAACAAACCTGAAAAATACAATGAATTGAGAGAGATCATTAAACATGTCTAGCCTTAATGGCAAGAATTGTAAATTATGGAGGAAATAGAGAAATCACTACAAGAAGCAAAAACTGAACTTCAATTTATACTAGCCTCAAATGAAAACTTGTTTGATTAAAAATTTTCTGATTTCAAAGCTCGATTAGATATGGAATATCGAAATCTTTGGAACTACGACTTAGAATTTGAGAAGGCGAGTTCCTTATTCTCTTATAAAGATAAAGAGAAAATTGAATAAATAGTTTAGGAATCATTAAATACTGAGGAGTCCATAATTAAACATTAGCTTCTTTCGCTTGAAAACAGAGTTTACTTCTAATCATTATATTGGAGATTAAGTAATTACATTAAGGTTGCTCAAAGAATGTACTCATTTAGTGGAAGCAAGAGAGTATAAGAGTGTATAAAGGATGTGAATCAATCTCTCAAATCTTTGCTTCCAGTAGAACTAGACAGGATGTTATTTGAAAACAAAAAACTAAAACATTAGAAGACATAGAGCACAATTTCATCGTTTATTGTCCAAAGTAAGGGTTAAGATACACATCTTAAAATAATAAGGGATAAATTAAGAAAAGCAAGTAAAAAGGTATCAGCTACAAAACCTTTCACAACTTCAAAATCATCGGATATTTAAAAGTCTACTTACTTCTCTAAGAATAAGAGCATATCTGAATTTAATAGTCAAATTAATAACACTGCATAAACCTTTATCGAGTATCTACCTATTAAGATATCAGAAAATGTCATAAATGAGATAAATTTAAGTTTAGGGGTAACTTCTTTATCTGATTAAAAAATTGGATAGATATTAAAGGTGTTTGCTAATAAAACAAAGAATGAATAATAATTGGAAGTAGAAATCTAGATGGCTGTATTTTAAATGACTAAATCTGTTTCAGAGATTAGATCTTTAAATGACAATGTTGAAAATATTCTCAAATTCGAATAAATGAGCAATCCTAATTTATCCTATATATCTGGCTAAAAATGGATGATAGGAATAGATGATACCATTTAAGTATTGAAATACTTTCAAGAATAATATAAAGCACTAATTGATCCCCAATCATCTCAATTACATTTCTAAATTGTTGCAAGTTAGAACTATGCAGCAAAACCAAAGATCTCATCTTCAAATAAAAGCAAGGAAGTTGAAAGAACTTAAGAAAGTTGTGCATGTTTGATATTTTGATTTTTGTTTCCTCAGTCAACTGACCTTCACAGTAAGGTTCAAATTTGAAAAACAATTTATAATTTTATTAATTATTTTTCTTTCAATTAATATATATAATAATACATGAAGAGTTAGATAATTTGAATAAAAGGAAATTGAATTAGTCTAAATATTGACACTAAAATATCAGCATAATAGTTAAATTTATATTTAAGATATAATTACCAAGAATAGAAGTGATAGTAAGCCATCTAAAATAAATATATTAGAAATAGAATGAAATCAAATTAATTCTGTTAATATACAGAGTCTATGTATTAATAACAAAGATATTAAAATCTATTATTCCCTAAATTAATATCCACATCTATTATGATGAAAAAATAAAATAATTGATATATAGTTCAAACTATAATATTAAGGATTTTAAGCAATAAAGTTTATATTAAAGTCTAATAATATAATTTAATCGTGTAAAGTACATGAAAATGTAGACAACCCCCCAAATAATATTATATCTGTTGCCTTTAATAAAGAAGTATAAGTTCTATAGAAAGAATGTATTCAAACTGATAAATTAAGGTTTGTTTAAAAAGTCTTGGAAATACAATTGGAATTAGATGACAAGTTATTCCAACAATTTGAATTTTTGAATATATAACATGTCTCCGCCTTGATCAAAATATTAGATGTGCTTTTTGTTCTTAAATTTTAATAATTAATTTATTTAACTCCAATTTAATATAAGGAATACATATAAAGAGTATGATAATATCGGCATAGAAAATAATATTAAATGTTACTATGTCAAATGAATTTATTTTTTAATACAATTATGCTATATATGTCTTTTCAGACGTCATTAATCAATTATTATTATCATAAATAGTGATGCAAAAGTTAAATGAATTTCAAGAATACCATTTACATGAACAATTCGACGAAGATTAAGGGAGGGGGAGATTTCTAACGCCATCATTTCTGCCTTACAGTTTATCAAAACATGATGTTAAACAGGAGGAGAGATCCATGGTTTAGATTGATTCCCAGGCATCAATAAAGGATGATGCTTTCGGATTGCAGAATATCAAGGGACATGTGAAAAATACCTACATCAAAAAGATACATTCTCTGCTTAGTGTAGAGGGGGAGAACGAAAAGATTATCAAAAAAGTATAAAAGGAGCCGAGTTCATCCAGTAAGCAGTTGGAGAATGAGGATCAAAAGATGATAAGGAACAGAGAAAGTGCAAGAAATTCCAGATAACGAAAGAAGCTATACATCAATCTGTTAGAAAAGAAGGTTGAAGACTTAAATTAGGCAATCGGACAATTAAGAAAATCAACAGAATCAACATTTTAGACTATGCATTCAGTTTTGGAATAGAATTCAAGCATCCAGGATATGATTGTCGAATAGACTTAGTTGTTTGAGTAACTCAAGGTAAAGGAGCAGGAATTTAATGAATTGCAATAGTTGCTTACAGAATCATATAAGCTCAAGTTCAAAGCTACAGGAACCAAGCGCAAGTAATACATTCGATATTGCTTTCAAAATATTGCCAGACTCCTCTTAGATGGAAACTATGGCACGCTGTTATTTGGACAAAGCTACTTCTCAAAAAACTGTAATCTTTTATAGTCTAACAAATTGTAGATACTATGCATGACGAAGAAGAATTGGCCGATTACATCAAAAATCTCAGAGATGCCACTGGGATCTGCGATAATGGAGTGTTTTTAAATTTATACACTATTGTTAGGAGAGTGATTGATCATAAGAAGAATTTCTCTTTGTATTCAATATATATTAACTTAGTCTCATTAAATAAATTAAACTAAAACAAAAAGAGTTGAGAATCTGTCAATAATAAATTGATGATTAAATTGACGATATCTAGTTGAATGGGATTCAATTTGCTAATCTTATTCATTAAGTAAATAAAGACCAACTGAATTAACCCCAACTCACTCAACCCCTTGAAATCCCTCCATAAAAGCAAATGATATTGAAGATGGTACCTAAATATCCCTTTGAACTCATGAATAACCCATTTTTACTTCCCAACAGTCTGATGATCGATCCTCTTTAAATCGATCTCATCACAAAGAATTTACGATAGCCTTGAATTCTAAATATCATATTTATTTAATTTAAATCTAAATACCTATATATTGAAACAACATTTATATTATTAAAATATACATGTATTGGTTTAAGAAATCGGAAAACGATATAAGGAACGAATGTATATAAAAGGCTGTTCCAGAAGAGAAATACAGAATGCCTTCTCCTTTGGGAAATAGCAAGTGGGATGAGGAAGGGGGAATAACTTTTACAGGTCTTCAACGAAACACAACAATTAAGCTCCACACTTACAGATGCTTCCCTAAATCAAACTAAGCTCCATAATCCGTAACTTTTTTTTTCCATGGATTAAATGAGCATCTCGGATTGTATGCTCATATAGCATAAGCACTGAGTAAAGAAGCCAACAGTGTGTGTGTGGGCTTTGATTTTAGAGGATTCGGCAAGAGTGAAGGTCTTAGAGGTTGGCTAGAATCAAAAGAACAGCATATAGAAGATTGTACGAGATTTATTTAATAAATTAAACAATTGTATCCTGGAGTACAATTGTTTGCTTTGGGATAATCCTTAGGTGGATTAACATCCTACCTTTTGGGAAGGAATGATCTCGTCCAAGGGACTATTTTGATTACCCCTGCTTTGATGGACAACTATTACAATAGGCCTTATCTCAAGAAAATTGCTTTAGTGCTAGGCATATTATCGCCAACATGGTCTCCCTTTCCACCTTCATATCCAAATGGTTCTAAGAACCCACAGATCTTAGATGATAATTTGAAGGATCCATATATCAATTGGAATTCAACTTTACCTGGAACAGGCAGAGTATTGTTAAAAATGTTAAGAGAAACTCCTAGCACTTTTAAAAACTACAAAAAGCCATTCCTGATCATTTCAGGGGGAATGGATCAAATTATTGATCCCGATGTTGGACATGAACTTATGAAGTAGAGTACATCCCTTGACAAAGAGCATATCTACTTTGAAAATATGTGGCACGATTGTATAGCTGAATAAGAAATACATGAAATTATCCCTTAAATAGTAAGATGGATTAAAAAAAGATAATGATTATATAATCACTAAAAATCCATAGAATAAAAAATTACTTAATTACATTTTATTTTATAATTTATAATTATAATTAAAAAATAATGAAATTGAATTACAGTCTAAGTGTTCATAAAATTGGATTAGTTTTTAATTTCTTTGTCAAAAAAAGCAACTTATCAATTTAACTACTAATGTTAGAATAATTAATCATAAAAAATTTTTAATATTAATTGTTATTTTTGTGTATATTTATATTACTATTCTAAGGTTATTTGTTTTAAATAAAATAGCTTTCATATTGGAATCTGTTTAATGCCTATATAGAATTATAAACCTTCATTAAAAGTTGTTTCATTAAACAAGCTTTAATGGGAAAATTATAATTATTAAGTCCAAGTTGAAGATTCTTTTATATAAGACTAATGATCCATAGATAGTCTGTAGTATTACAAATTAGGAAAAATATTAATTTTCAATATATCTTTATCAAACCTTATAAAGATCTATAAAAAATAAAAAGCAATTTTAGAAAACTTAATCTTTTGAAATGAATACTAATTAAGAAAAGTAATAGTTGAGCTCAAGTAAGCTCTAAAAATAGAAAAAGAATTTAAGAAGAAAAGTACAATAGATCAATTGATTACTAACTTTTTAAATAGAGAGAATGAATCATGATTAGCAAAATTAAGTAAATAAAAAAGAGAGGCAAAAGTTGATAATGAATATATTGATTATGTTGTATAGTGGCTGAAATATGAAATCAGATCAATCACTCTTCCACACAGTTTTTGATAATGACTATGAATGAAGAAAATGAAAATTACTAAACCATATAGTTTATTTAATTTTATAATTTTCTATTATTTCAAAAGCTAATAGTGATGATTAATAATCAACTTTATATATATAAAAAAAAAATAATTATAATACTCAATTTGAAAATTAAATATAAGAAATGTAATTACATTTGATAATTATTCTTTTGTTGCACTTAAAATTTCCTTCTATATTAAAGTAAAATGAGATGAACCACATACAAATTGGATGAATTTTTCATCTAATAATAGGTCAAAATCAGTACTTTAAATATATACATATTTTACTAATTTGAATTTTAATATAATTAAAATTATGATATAATCAGTATAATATTTTTCATTTTGGTAAGATCTAATTAATATTCTGGTTATTATTTTATTTCGTTAATTCTTATATCTAAAAATTCTCAAATGTAAATTTAGTCATAAATTGGTTTTATTCATTACAGAAATCCGAAATAATTGAGATAAAGTGATATAAGTAATATATATTAAATTAAAGATGAATTTAATCAAGAATTTTCAAAGAAAAAATTAATTCATATATGATTATGATTCCAATCAAATAATTCATTAATAATTTCAATGGATGATTATGATGACTTTTCTGATAACTCTATTGAAATTACAATAAATGAGTGTCAAGGGAAAGAATCACATAAGGTGGAAAAGGGCGTTATCAGATACTTGAAAAACTTGGGCCTTAAGATGAATACTAATCCCATGATAAAATAAATACAATATGAAAGGTCGAACAATTAAATCATTGATGTTCTAACTTCAAAAGCCCTGTCTTCTTGTGGTAATTTTTTGAAGGAAACAGAAACAGATTATAAGACCTAATTCTCAAAAAACCCATTCTTGAGAAGAATCAGAAAACCCATTAGTCTTTGAAAATATTGGATCAAACATGAAGGTTATTAATTTCATTTTTAATTAACAATTATTAACACTTTTGCTTAACTCTCATGAGCCTTAAGATAAAGGCAACAAATATATAAAATTCAGTTTTCCGAATCTGAAAACTAAATCCTAAATAAACACAAATATCATCAGACCCCTATTCATTAAAAATATGAAATTCTTATTGAAAGATTTCTGTATATTAATAAATTATTGAAAATGCCCCCTAAAACTCAGAAATAGAAAGAAGAAGAGGCAGCTCGATTAGCAGAAGAGCAAAGGATGAGAGAAGAAGAAGAGGAAAGATAGAGAAAGGAATTAGAGAAATACAAAATTAGTACACTCAACAATACAAAGTAATTCAATATCTTTAATGTCAGCATGCCTTTGCCGATCACCAAATATTGCATTGAGTATGTATTTCCACACTCAGAATCTCATAAGGCTATGATGGAATATTTGCATAAAGTATAAAGTGATTCTAAATAACAAGCTCGCTGAAATTTATAACTGCAAAGATCAACTACGAGATATTGATTTTTAGATATCAGCAGATGTGCTAATAAATGATCTAATATTTGCCAAGTCTTTAAACAACTTAAATGATGAAAGTGTATAAGTTTTGATCAACATATTATTTTTATCATTCACCAATAATAACAGTAAGTTCAGTCAGGAGATGAGGTTTAATAATACTCTTCAATAAAAGACTAAAATTTCAGATGCAGAATTATTTAATCATTTATTGAAAGTGCATGCAGAGGCAGGATATTTTCGATCTATGCATATATTGCCAATCAAAGAACATTTCTAAATCTATCTAAATCATTTTGATTTGATTAACCAGGCTTTTATATCAGATTAAAGAACTTTGGAACTTCATATGGATTTGTAGATGGACTTGCCCTTGTAACCATTACCATTAGATGAGGCTTTGATTTATCGACCATTTGAATAAAAGGACGAAGATGATGGATTAATTGAAACAGTTGATTAGGAAGATCAATAAGCTCCGCCAGAACCAACTGATGAGGAATTGTTAGACCCAATAATAATGGATGCAATACAAAAGAAGCTAGATTTAGCAAAATAAGAGTTAGAAGAGAAACTAGTATCAAGATAAAAGGATATGGAAGAGAAATTAATGAGTATGGCCACAAAGAAGAAATGATATCATAAGATTTTACACTAATTATATTATATTATATTATAAATTTTATTCATGAAATTTATTACTTAAGTATATTATGAATAACAACATTGAATAATCTATTATAGCTAATGTTTATTACATCAAAATAAATGCTATCTCCAATGCTATTTACTTCCATTATATATTAAAAGTCATTTTCAGTAAAATAAGTAAAGGACAAATTTTATAATTTTCTTTATAATATTCCTACTTAAGCAGAATCTCAGCCTATTTTTACTTGTTTTTTCATTATTTCTTCAGAACTTGAAAGCGAAAACGGAAACCAATATTATACTTTAACATTTATCTATTATGTTCATAACTTATAAACACAACTTTTATAGCATTATTTAGATGAAGTTATTATCTATGATAAATAATGAAGGGACTTGATTGTAATATTAATGATAAAATAATCATTGTTATTGCTTGGATTCTTTTATTAGATTACGTAATTCTTCTGATTGTTTTTTCCAATTAGGATCTAAAGGAGCTTTTCCTTATTTCTTTTATAATTATTTTTCTTTAATTTATCCTTAACGCTATAATTTTTGCTAATCGTTTGTAACAACTCTAGCTTATTTTGAATTGAATTCTTGTCTTTTCTATTGGAAAACTTGTTTACAGACCTTTACATGTTTCTCCAAAGCATCCTATTTAAATTATCTTCCACATCCTTCAGGACAAGGGATTAATTCTAGATCTTCAATAGGTTCTGCTTCCTCTATATGTATTATCACATAAAATACCAAGTTATTAGAGCACTCTATCTTGGTTTGCGACTGCTAATTTATTTTCTATTGGATTTTTAGAACCTAATAAGGCTGCCTCTCTTTTGTTCGATTACTACCCAATGGATGGCATGTATTATTCTGCTTAAACAGGCTTTCCAGATGGGACTTCTTTTTTTTCTTGATGTGATTGTATCTCCTTCTTCTCAACCTAGATTTATTTCTTAAAGAGCTCCTCTTAGCCAGGAAGATATAGTCCTTTGGAAATTGGAGCAGTGTTTTTCTTTTCGTCTGATCGTTAGATTCTATCCTTCAATGGGATTTTCTCTTAAAATGATCCTGTTTTAGAGAAATCATCCTTTGTATTTATTAACAATGGTTCTTATTCTTAAAGTTGAGGAGAACTGTTGCGAATGTTAAAAGCAGGTTTACAAGCAAAATTAGGTTTTAAATTGATTGCATTATATTCTAATTTCTACGTGCTTTCGAGAGACAGGGTCTACTCCTATTTCTTAAACGAGCCAGAAGTACTATCCATCTTCAGGTTCGGTTTGTAATTCATTTTATTATTTTTTATATTTAATATTTTATAATATCTAATGATTTAGACATCATATTCTGATGGTTTATATCAACATGGTACAATCCTACTTTGATGCGTAACAATCCCTTAAATTGATTCCTACAGTAATAAGGAATACATTTCATTTAAATAAAATTTCTTTGATAATAAACTTTAAAATTAAATTTAATCATGAATCTGCTGAAAAAAGCAAGGAATGTATTTTGCTCAATTCCAGAACATAAAGATGTAGATCAAAAGATTATCCATTTGTGTCTTGATCAAAAGTGTCAAATTTCAAAAAAGACCTTGTGCGGTTTATGTTTGGGAGATTAACATTTTGGTCATAAATCGATCAATCTATCTAATTTGGACACTCTCATTAAAAACGAATGGAGTAGAGAACTACAATAATACAATTAAAAAACCAAAGATTTGACTGATTGCATTCAAATGAGCATTGCGGCTATTCTCAATAAGATCACTCTTCTGTAATAATAGATTCAAAACTTTGTTAATCAGTAAATGCAAGAGAGCAAAGTTTGTATTCTAAAGCGTAAGTATTTAGATGAATAAAATTTGAGTGAAAAAGATTTTGAATAATTGGCAAAGGATATAAGTGAGTCAATCTTCTACAAAGAAGGAATTCCTGAATATAAACAAATCGATTATGAGCCCTCTGATAAATTCCAAAGCCTAGCCAGTAGATTAGTATTTGATGCAGCCTTGTTTTGTAGAGATATTGCTCTGGTAACCAAGGCCAACATAATTCATTCGAGTTTTACGGAATAAGTCTAAGAGATTTTGTATTAAATTTAAAATCTCACAACCTTGATTGAACGTCCACTTAGTTAGATAGTGTAGAGTAAGAGAATCTTTGGAAATGATAGAAGTGACACTCAGTCAAATCAGAGATTAGATTTTGATTAATAAAGTTAATTAGGAACTTTTGGTTAGACTCAGTTCTGTATTTAAAAATAAGTGAAATTAAGGAGTTTAGAAATGAAGGGATTCGTTAAAATTTACGATGAATTCTTTAATAAGCCCTTCACTCAAACTCACATAGAATTAATAAAACTGAAGTGCAATTCTCAATCTCAAATTTGTATAGGTGGAGTAAATATAAAAGAACCTGATCAATTTATATTGTGTGCTACTGACTATGCTTCTGAATTCTACACGGAGACTCAAAATTTGAATCTAGCTAGAAAGAGCAGGAACGGAGAAGTGTATTGGTATTATGTCAGAAATAGATGCATTGGATTTAGTCCTATGAGTAAAATTGATCTTAAGTATCCGGATGTGGATAATGAGGAGGGAGATTTGAGATTCTCTTTGTGGCTATTTCATGGACAAGGGGGTTATAGAATTGGGAGAATTGAGAGTTTAGAATAAAGTGTTGACTATAAATGTGTGATTTATTTAAAAAAATGATTTAAAACCTATCTTTTTAATCAGTTCAATATTGTCATGATGATTTCAGAGAGGCTTCTGTTTATTTTAGACCCTACTTAGAATCACAAAATAAATACAGATAGCAAAAAGACACAGCAGAAGAGAATGAAATTACATAACCTTGTTTTTAGAATACTCTAAAAAGAGCCAATTCATGCAAAATTCTAAAACCATTATTTTAAGTAGTATTTGATCCTATGGAAATTGAAGAAGAAGAAAGGACCATCCAAGAACTAATAGCATCTTAACCATCAATTATTAATGTGGCAATTTAAGTTGATTTGGATTAATATTTTCAAAAAATCAATGTCAAATTGAATAAAGAGCTCATGAAAAATAATCATCTACGTAATAGCTATTTGGACATATTTGAAAAAGACAGCATACAAAGGAAACAATGCTCAACAACTGAATTATTAATCAATTTATTCAAGACTTCTTATACAGAATTTATGAATAAATAAATCGACAATATTGGAATTATTAAACTATTTATTGAAGACAATATTGATGCCTTCATTACAGGGTCACTGATACCTCCTCAATAAGTTTGGCATGATTATAAGATATTGATTTTAGCCATTATTATTAAAATTATGAGAAGTATGTTTGCTAGTTATATTAGTGAAAAGCACTACAGGACAACTAATTTATGAATGCATGGTGGCTCAATTATATCAAAAATTAGCTTGTGTTTTTAAAAACGAGGGTCCACCTATACCAGAATTCAAAGATTATTTTGAGTGGTACTTTTGGTCAAGTGACAGAAACAAACAATTAGAAATTAATGAACTGACAGAAGATGAATAGCGTTAATTAAGAATAGTAAGCATCATCAGAAAATATTCCTTTCTTTTTTGGAGTTTATTATGGGTTGATCCCAATTAAATTCTAAACTTAAATCCAGACCTACAACAATTTAGAGAGTAATAGAAAATTCCTGCTTATAGATATTTGGATAAGGATAGATAAATGTTTGCAACGCTAATTTTAAAATTCGTTTAATGTGATACTTTTGCCTTTGTTCCAGCACTTAATGCATTGTTTGATGTTGTTTAAGACAAGAAAATATTGTTGCCTATTTTCAATAAATTTTCAGATAAATTGAATAATGAAGGACTCCTAGAGAGTTTGTTGGATGATATAGGACCATTGAAGGAATAAGCTAAAAATGAGTTCTTTGTTTATCCTTAGGTTCATGATAAAGGATTAGTAAAGATTGTTTAAGGGAAATTAAAAATACTCAGGAATGAGGCAAGCCAAACAGAAAATGATTTTTATGCAAAATTATTTTTAAACGATTAGAGACCTACATTCTATTAGGATTGATTTAAATAACAGTTAATATTTTAATTTTTGAATTTATTTTACGCTATGTTAAGTATGAATGCATCTCTATTTAAGCCTAAAACTATTATGATTTAAGAGGAGGAGACAAGATGGGCAGTAACAATCGATAGTTAGAGAGATATGAGAAATTAGAGAAGATTGGAGAAGGTACTTATTAATTATATTGTGTTTAGGAACCTATGGGGTAGTTTACAAAGCACGTGATTCAGTGACCAAGGAATTGGTAGCATTGAAGAAAATCAAATTAGAAAACGAAGATGAAGGAGTCCCTTCAACAGCAATGAGAGAGATTTCAATTTTGAAAGAACTCTAGCCGCATCCAAACATTGTGGGCCTTAAAGAAGTCATCTATCAGCCTAATGAGAAGAAACTCTATTTAGTGTTTGAGTATGTTGAGATGGATTTCAAGAAATTCCTTGATTAGAACAAACACAATCTAACATTAAGCCAAATCAAAGTATTAATCAAATCAATTATAGCATTTCACATTCCAAATCTTAAATGGTCTCAATTATTGTCACTCCAGACGTATTATCCACAGAGATCTCAAGCCATAAAATATCCTAATTGATAAATCAACTGGAATCATCAAATTGGCTGACTTTGGATTGGCCAGAGCTTTTGGAGTGCCAATCAAAACACTAACACATGAAGTCGAAACCCTTTGGTATCGAGCACCAGAAATACTGTTATCTTAAAAACAATATTCTTTGGGAGTCGATATCTGGTCTGTTGGATGCATTCTCACAGAAATGGTTGAAAAACATGGGTTATTTTGTGGGGATAGTGAAATTGATTAAATCTTTAAGATCTTTCAATATCATGGAACTCCTACTGTATAAGATTGGCCAAATATTGCAGATCTTCCAGATTTCAAACCAACATTCCCCAGATTTAGAGCTACACCTCCAGAGCAATTTTTCAAAAATTTTGAAAAAGTACACTATTTATTCTAATATTAGAATGGATTAGATCTAGTTACAAAAATGATTGCTCTTGATCCTGCTAAGAGAATCTATGTTAAGGAAGCTATGAAACATCCATTCTTTGATGACTTAAACAAGGAGGATTTAATTAAATACTTTCCCCCTGGACAACAAAATTTAGCAATGTAATATGGAAAATGAACATTAATTAAACATAATATTAATATGATCAATTTGAATAAAGGTATTCTAACATTGCTAAAGCATTCCATTCTGAAGAATTCAAAAAATTGATCTATTTTAAGTAAATGACTGACTGGCTAGAGTATGGCTTTTTGGGCTTGCCGACAAAATTGGATATTTATAAATTTTAGAAATATGGGTTAATTATTGTTTGTGAATAAATGAAACTTCCAAATTATTTTGATTTGTTTTCAAATCTAATAATATTTCTCTGGATTTGAAAATAGGAATAATTATAGACAATAAGGATTCTTGAAAATAACCAAAGATTAGCAAAAATACTTTACTTATAAGAGAAGATAAAGAATGAAATTTACTTTTTAATGGATAATGAAATTTCAAGAAATTAAATCTACAAATTTCCTTCAAAAAGACAATTTTTTGTTTTACATTGTTAACCTTAAAAATTTTGGCATTCATTTTGATTTTTAGAAATATGACTTAAATACTAGATTGTTTATTATTGTCTTAATTTACCAAAAATATTCATAGATTTTAAATATAATTAAATTCTCAAATAATTCTTCTTAAACATTCATTAATTGTTAAAGTTTGAAAATGGATGAAATTTTTGAAATGATGCTTATGGTGTTCAAGCCAATTGGGATATTTCTCACATTTAATCAAATAATCTGTAAGAAAAATAAGTTCTTTATCTTTCTTATTATCTTCAAATGGAATGATTGGAATTCCATTATCTGGCTGTAAAAAATAGCAATAGGCTGAATTATCAACTAATGCCATAGACTTAATGATAAATGTATATTAATATACCTCCATCTTTCTGCCTGCTAAGACTCTTAAATCCTTTACAAGAAGGCCGTCTCCTAGTGTAACACAATTATCTCTATATAGTCTATAAGAAAAAATATTTTTCTTGGGATCTATAAATTCTAAGATTTTATCTGCATATTGTTGAAAAGATGCAGTAAATAGAATTAACTCATAAAATTAAGATAAAGATTATAACATTTCAATACAATATGGCCTTATGTTGAATCGAACCTATATATAACTTCAATTCATACTTATTAAGCAGGCTCATTAGGAATCTAAACAGTAACTTCATGATCGGTTTGATTAAGATTAATATCATTGCAATGTATCAGAGTCTCGTCTAGATCAAATATTATAGTTTTAGGAGAGTTTTTGCTTGATTTAGGCTATTTTGGCGGATCCATTTAAATTGGCTTTACCATTGTTTTCTATTACAAAGTTTAACATAATTTCAAATATTAAAAAGTAGAAAAAAAATGATCACAAAACTTTTATCTAAAATAAAGCTATTATTCTTAGAATTCGATTTAAAATTAAAGTTTGTAGGGAGTAGTATTAGGAAAGTGTTACTCCCTTAAAAAATGCATAACAGGAGTTATATAATATTTAGCCTCTTTAAAGATGGGTCTAATAACAGCAATGAAAGCTGTTAGTTTTTGAGTTTACTAATTTTAATCATGATTTGGTGATTTTCCTCTAAAAGTTGTAATTAATTTATTGGGTGGAGAATTAGATACCTTTTATATCTCTAACCTTGGTGTTAATGAAATTTTAGGGTTTTCTTGTTATTTTTTCTAATTTTTTACATCCTCTCTTTTAGAGGTTGGATTAGCAGCAATTTATAAGTCTTTTTTTTTATCCAATGTTTTTAGAGGATATGATTTTTGTTCAACTTTTTATTATTAAACTGGAGTTCTTTAATTTTGCTTAGATGGTACTTAAATTGGTTTCTGCTTTAAGGTTGTTTCTGTTTGTTTAAAGTAAGAACGCTAAGTATTCATATTAATTGGTTCGGTATTTTTGATCTATGCCTGCTCCTTAATTAATTAATTTTAATTCGAATTTCTTTGCTGAAAAACTTTGAAGTCTGTAGCGGTCGAAACGGTTCTATTTCTGAAATTCTTAAATGTCTTTTAGGGTGAAGCGGGGTCTATTTCTTTTTATTTAACTTAATCTTATTATGTTCTCTAACTAATTGGACTAAAATCGAAGGATTTTTTATCTGCTCCAATTGGAGAATTTGTCTTTTACTCTACCCTAATCTTTTATTTATCATTCTTTATACTAATTTTTAATTTAATTTCTATCAGCTGATGTACCTCTACTAATTTTATTCTAAATTTAATCCGTCTTATTTTTTCCGCCTATATACTTTGCCTTACATTAAAAATTTGATCTGCTTTTAGGTGTTTAACTCATATAGGTAATAGAATTCTATTCAAATATAAAAATTAGAATATGTAATTCTTTTTAATATTATTACAAATATTCAATTCATTACTTCTTATGAAAATGTTTGAAATCCTATCTAACGATGCTCTAAAAAGGTTTTAATTTCCTCAATAGTTCTCCAGTTCATATAGCCTAATTGATAAGCTAAAAGTTTCGAACTCTAATTATTACAAATTATTTTACTTTAGCTGGGAACTCTAGCTCATCAATTTATTTAGCATTTTCTCTTGAGCTATAAAGTTCACTTATCTGTTCAAACTTAAAATCTTTTCTATTAGAGAATTCTGACTATAATTCATTTCTTTGCTTTAAAATATTTCTTATTTAAGTGAAATTCAAAGTTTGATAACGAAACATATTATACAATCTATTGTACTAGTTCGAGCTGCACTTTATTATTTATTCTTCTAATTTTTTGGTCATTTCTTATAATGGATCGTAATCTTGATTAATTTCATATTTTTAACATAAATTTGTTAAATTTGAGATAGAATCCCCAATTTCCTTAATGATTTTAGATATAGCTGTTAAATGATGTGTGATTACTTTAAACAGATTTTTTATTTTAACATAAATTGGTTCTTCTTATTAAATATAAGTTTCAAAATTATTCAATTTAATATCTGGTACAAAGATAATAGTGCCAGTCATATTTAAAAGACTTTCGAATTTATTTGGTTTGCTTAGTTTCTCTCCAAACTTTATAAGTTGTTTAAATTAAGCAGGATCACTCAGACGAAGAAAGTCTACAAAATACTTACTATTTCTGAAAAGTTCACTCTTTGCCAACTCATTCAAAAAAAATTCTAGTATAATTGTTCTTTTTTGAACTGTATTTTTTGCTGTTTTCTTTGCTGTTTTTTCTGAAAGACTAGGTATGCCTACTCCTGGGAATAATTTGAAAAGTGTTTGTTACAACCATTAGAAATCCGAGTATCTTCTTTATACAACATAATCATCTCCTGTTTTCACACTATATACAACATAATCACTTTTAAATAATCCTTCTGTTTTCTTTTCAAAACTAAATAAATTATATTTAAGTTACCCAGTTATTTTTATAGATGGCACACCTTTTGCAAAGATATTAAAACCTAATTTTTTGCATTATAATTTTGAGCATTGAGAAAAAGAATAAATTTCAGGGGCTTATTTCTTAGGCATTTATTGTTGTATTTCCTACAGCTTTTGAGCAGTTGGTGATATCGACAATGGCTTACCAATGTTGGAAATATCTAGTTTTTCTGAGACTCTTTAATTAATTTCTGATGTTTATTGTTAATGAATTTACTAAATTTGTTTTTGAGTTTATTAAAATGGTTAATCATATTTTTTATCTTCCTATTGCTCTACGACAGCAGATGGTCCTGTATGATCTAAGTCTAATAAGTTCCACATCTAAGGATCGCTTTTTATATCCATTTATGGAATGACTTGATCAAATGCATTCCACCCAATTATCATTTCATCTACTGGCTAATCGAAATCTGTTGTAAAAAATTCTATCTTATATTGGTTGACCAACTACACAATATCTTCGAAAGTCCATTTGTCAATATCGCTTTCTTATTTTATATTGAATCCATACCTTCCCCCTTAATCTTCTCGCAAAACTCTTGAAAGTGATTAGGATCAATTCCTTTATCTATAATCTCCTCCTATAAGTAAGCTTCTTTTTAACATCTTAATTTATTATCCATATTCAATTAAAAATAATTTATACGATGTACACAATATAATAACTAATTTAAATTAAATATTTTAGTAACTCAATTTAAAAGCAATTGAAATTGAAATGATTTAATCCACTGTTAAAATCTATCAACTATTAACCACACTTAATTTTAATAGAGGATATTTACATAGAATTATAATAATTATATGATAAAATTAGATAAAACAATTAAATTGGCTAAATTTTGTTAATTTTTGCAATATTTTTGTTTTACTTATCCCTAACTTTAGCTTATTTTTACTTTTTGGATGCCCAACATTAGCTTGTTTATAATTTTTAGGATTATAAAACAAAGTTAAAATTATTTTTATAAAAGAAATTCTAAATTATATCGAAATTTGAATTAAAATAATTGACATCATTCTATCTATTCACTTTGAAAAAAACAAATTATTTTTATAACATTCTGAGTGTTTAGAAATATTAGATTAATTTATTAGTTTAAAATTTAACATTAATCATGAATTCATTTATGTATTCATTCAAAAATCTAAGCAGTGAATTTGTAGAATCAGCTAATTTTGTTTAAAACAAAAGGCCTAACCAATTTTGCCTCAAAATATTTAATTAACAGTCATATGAAGATTTTAAATTGGAAGAATAACAATAACCTTCATAATAATAATTTTAGGATCAATACCCTTAATTGAGTATTAGTTAATATTTCTTGAACCCTTAATTAAGTTTGGAGTTAAAATCGAAACTTCCTTCTCTAGATAGGTATATTAAGAAAAAGAAAATACATAAAAAGGCTAAATAACAGTCCGCTGCAATTAGAGATTATAAGAAAAATATATGCAGAAATATTTTGAGACATAGTATAAAAGGAATAGTTAATTCTTCATCTCAGGAGTTTTTGTTAGAAGAGTTTAGAAATAACAATCAAAAATTAATTGAATTTCAAAAGTTTTATTAATAAAATTTAGAAATCATTTCAGGTTTTAGAGTGCTAAAAGATCATTTGATAATTTAAGGCGATGAACCTAAAGAAGAATAAGAACGAAAAAGCGTTTTTTAAAAATATTTAATCTGGTTTTTGTCCTCTTAGGCAACAAAATGCATATTGTAATCAGAGGCTAATAACATCGCTGAATATATCCACTACAAAAATGATGTCCTATTATATTATGTCCAGCAGCCTTCGCAATGGTACTCTAACAAGCCTTTATGGAGAAAAAAAGAATGACTATATATAAACATAATAATTAAATTGATTTATTGAGTAGTATTTATCGGAAGTATGAATTATCTACAAAATTGTTTCACCTCTTATTTGGCGAATTATAGGGTTTTTTTTTTTTTAATAAATTAGAGATGGCTTACTCTAGGATTTGCAATGCTAACTAATGAATTTTCTCTATTTGTTAATCTTTATCTTCCTATACTATTGAAAAATATAATATTTTACTGTTTGAAAAGATTTTAAATTTACTATGTGGATTTCACTAAAATTTATTAAATTTAATACTTTCCCTAAAGCTAAATAATATATTGTTGCTTCTAATTAAATAAAGCAAGATTTATATCATTTTCATCCTAATTAAGAGTGATTGTAAAATATTTTTAAAGTGTGTCTAGTAATATATTTATCAAAGGATTGGGTATTTCCGTTTGAGGCGTTTGATTATAATTTTGAACACTTTTTTTTTGATTGAAATTAGAAAAACTTTGCAAGGAATCTTTTAACATTTCTTATGAGTTTAATTCTGACTATTCTTTTATTTCCGTCTAAATTCTTTCTGCGCTTGAGCATAAATCTAATTCATTGAAATAAAATACCCCAAAATTTTGAAGCCTTTTAATCAGCTATTTGAGATTAATTCATTTCTTTTAGACTGTTAATGGCATTTTTATATTCCATTCTATTGAATTCGGCAAAGGCTAAGCATAATAACTATTAATACCTTTAAACATAGAAACCTTCTTTTCATCAAATTCATTTGAGTACTAGTTCTATAATTCTATTAAAAAGTTGTATTATTTCATTTTAAAATAGCAATTTTCTTCTAATATAGCTATATATATATCACATAAAGTTAAGAAGATTTGATTTTTTAATTCTTTCTTTTTTGACATTTTGCTAAGGAGGAAAGCCTTGAGCAAGTACTTGTAAGCTTCATCATATTATTGTTATTTTAGAAGTATATTTCCTATAATAAATATGCTAATGAGAACCTTTTTGATAAAGGGAAAACAATGATAAAGGATCCATTTTCAGACTATCATTAATCGTCTCCAAAGCTTTAACCAAGTTATTATTAAATTCATGCATAATAGAGTATTTTTGGTGTTTTTTTGATTCCTTCTTCTTAAACAAATTATGTGATTCGTTGAACTCATTTATATAATCTTGCACTGCTTCAAATTTGTAATCAATATCTTAGACCAGCTCCTTCTATACGTCAATTATATAATCTATATTAAAGTTAAACGGAACAATGTCCTCGAAAAAACCATTATCGCAAAACTACTCAACTTTATTTATAATATATTTTGTTTATTGAAGTAGAAGGGCTAATTTTTGATTAATTTTCTAATTTAGATTGAAAAATTGCATTTCCAATTCATTATGTTTTTATTAAAGCAAGGCTCTGGAACCTTAAAATCTGTCACCAGTTTTACAATTAACAAAATGTGATTTACATTATTTAAAGGCGCATTTAAAGCATTATGGTAAATATTAATAATCGCAATCTTCATCTTCGCATAATACAATTTCCATCTAAGATTCCGCTTATCTAGGATGTAGATGATTGCACATATTATCCACTTAATATTTTGGTTATTATCAAATATATAAATATTTAATATAATTATTTAGATAAGGATGATGGTTATTTAAAACACTCATATTTATATTATTTTGAAGACTCCTTCAGTTTCTTCTGTTTTCTATCTAATCTTGTTATGATAGTAACGTATAACTCAACTAAAATGTTAATAGTCAATTAAATGTATCTTTTAAATAAAGACACTCAATTCAAATGCATTAAAAGAACAAATTTCTATGAATATCGCCCTCTTAGATTTTTTAAATAATTTTAACAATAATGTTAACAAGAAATTTAATAGAGAATATCAAAGAATGTATGATAGTTCAAATCTTTTCAATTGATATTCATATTGCAACAAATTCTTAATAAAATTTATATGATAATCTAAATCCACAGATGTAATGCATTTTAAATGAATTAAAATATAATTTATATATTAAATGAATAGAAGAAAGAGTCCAATCTACAAATCACCAGGATTAAGCCCAAATATTAAACCTGGCTTATTCTCAAATCCATCTGAATTGAATAAATTGAATAAATAGAAAACTGTGAAAGTTGACGAATCTTAATCGCCTTTATTGAAGGAGAGTAAAGAAACTAAAATTCCTCCTAAACTACAAAAGAGCTACAGGTTTGATCACTTATTTAATAGTAGTGCTACTAAATTATTCAGCAATAATATCAGAGTGGCCAAACAATAGACTGAGGATAAAGATGATAAGATCATGGAAACTCTATAGAAATTGTTAAAAGAGTTAATTGAATTCAATGATAATATTGAATAAAGCCAAGTAACCAATATTGAAGAATGGTGCTGTGAAATTTTGGAAAAGTTAAATTAAATTAAAGCAAATATTGAAAGTAAATAGAATATGATATTTTAGGAAAGGAAGATCATTCAGCTTGTGATGCTGTGATGTAATAGTAATATTATTAACTTATTTAGATAGAGAAATATTAACTAAGTTATTGAAGGAACTTCAGGAGGAGAAGAAGGAGCGTTATAGAATTGAGGAGGAAGCCACCAATCTTATTACAGAATAAGAGATCGAAATAAATCGTTTGGAGAAGGAGCTAAGATTATTGGAAGAGAAACACTAATTATAATGATATTAAAATTATAATCTGTTAAAATTTATGTTGAGAGATGCTGGAGTGGAAACGACACATTAATTAATAGACAAAATAGAAATGAGAGTCAAGAACTTTCTCAAGACTCAATCTACCAAGCAAATATAACCATTGCAATTAAACAATTCAAATTTAGATTACAATAATAGACACATATCTATGTATTCAAAAAAGGAAAAAGGAGACTCCAACATTTTCAGTCAATTAGAGAACATTCCTCCATAGAGATAATTAACTTAATGTTCAAGAACTTCAGATTGTCAAATTCCATTATTGAAAGAAATCCAAGAAATTGATCAATCATACAAAATTGAAATTGATTAATTAAAGAACACAATTGTACAATTAAAATAAGTGATTGAAGAGTTAAAGGAATGTATTTCTGGATTAACACAACAATTGGACTTTAAATAAAGGTAAAAATTGTATTAACTTTAGAGAAGCTGATTAAGTAAACAAAGAAAATGAGAATACTAAAATACTTGTATAGACTTTGAGGGATGAGAACTCTTATCTAACAAGGGAAATATAATAATTAATAAATGAATAACACTCCAACAATCCAAAAGTCAGTTCTTTAAATATTGAGGTTCAGGAGGAGAGAAAGAGAAGTGAAAAATTATAATTGGAGATAAGTGAAATCAAAATGAGAGTTGAAAAATAAAGAGATTCTGCAAAAACAAATTCAGACTCCTAGATCATAGAAAAATTGGTTCATAAATTAGAAGATGCTCAAGAATAATAACAACGTTAGAATCAATAGTTTATGAAATACGTGATATAATATTTGGAGAAATAATAAAATTAATAATTAAAACCAACTTCTACTTTACTATTAAGTAATCACAAAAAGCAAAAGTCTAGTTTAAAGAAAAAATGATATATATACATATTAAAAATAATTATATAATTTAATTTTAAATGGCAGAAAGAGGACACGCTTTAAAATAGGACATAAGTAAATTGGCTTGGGAGGAGACTGACTTTCCAATTGTTTGTAATAATTGCCTTGGTGAAAATCCTTATATCAGAATGGTATACATTAATTAACTAATAAATTTCCAGCTCAAGGATAGATTTGGAAAAGAATGTAGAATCTGTGCAAGACCATTCACAACCTTTAAGTGGAAGCCTGGGAATAATTCAAGATAGAAATAGACTGAAATTTGTCAAACTTGTGGCAAAATTAAAAACATTTGCTAAGCTTGTTTTAAAGACTTGGAATTTAATATGGGAATATGCACTAGAGATAAATTTCTAGGAGATTAAAAAATCGAAATCCCTGAACATACTGCAAACAGGGACTATTGGGCTGAATAAGCCAATCGTCAAATTGAAAGGTTGATTCTACCATATGATACACCTCTACCTATGTTGGATCAAATCCTAAAAGAGCCAAGATTAGCTGATGTAAATAATCAATTAAATGATGGAAAATCGGAACCTGCCAATCAAATTTATGCAGAGCCCTTAGAAAATCCTTAAGATATTGACCTATTATACAAGGAAAAGTTTGAGGCAAAAGGATTGTTGCCACCTGATGATCCTAAAATTAGTAGTCTTTATATATCCCACATGACAAATGACATCAAGGAATCAGATTTAAAGTATAATTGAATATTTAATAGACATTTATTTTCGAAATATGGAAAACTAAATTCAATTAAAATAATGGAACATGGTCAAAGCTGTTTCATCAATTTTGCAAAAAGAAAAGATGCAGAAACTGCTGTTAATGCATTATATAATAATATAATAATAAAGGACGTCATATGCAAGATTCAATGGGCTAGAGCTCCAAATAAAAAGGTTCCAATTAAAGGTATTGTTTTTAAATTAATAAATAGATTTAATACAATCCTTACAGCCAGAAGAGAATAAAAAAGCCCATCCTCCTTAAGCTCCACCATAGAATATTGATAAACGCTAGCAGACTGAAGATAAGTATGGTAATAATATAACATTAGTTTGCTGATTGGATTACTTAATTAGTAAATGACATATCCAAATTAAAATCCATATTAAAAGGGTGGTGTAAATAATAAAGAATTATGATAATATTATTCTATTACATGGTATTAGTACAACAATTTAATATATACTACTCAATCATAACATATATAAAATGAATGAAATTTTGAATTATTAATTATTATTTTATATATGCAAGGAAAATCCGTAAGAGCTTCACATATCTTGTTGAAATCCACTCAATCAAGAAACCCCTATGATAGATTTAGAGATAAATAAATCACCAGGTACATGCTTCGTTTATATCAATAAGATCTGATGCAGATGCAGAGAAAGGAATTAGAGAAATAAGAGCCCAAGTAGAAAACAATTTAAATTTATTTGCTAAAATAGCTCAAGAGAGAAGTGAAGTATTTAATAATGTAAAAACTACAATAGTGTTCTTCTTGTTAAAAAGGCGGGGATTTAGGAGACTTCACAAGGGGATAAATGTAAAAGTAGTTTGAGGATGTGGCATTTGCATTAAAAGTTGGAGAGTTGAGTCAACCAGTCAAAAGCGATTCAGGATGGCACATCATTCTTAGAACCGGTTGATGAAAATTATTATTACAACGCCATATATTAATAAATGAAATTTATTATCTTCAATATACTAGTTTATTTTGCAGTTAGCGAAGTAGAAACTGTCTTTGAAGATGGAATTGAATGGACAAAAATGCCTATTGAATTCGAAGAAGTAGAATAACCAATAGAGAATTTGTAAGGAGGCGAAGGCACTACAAATTATGGAAAAGTTGATTATGGGATTACTGAGGAAATGGCAAAAATGTTTAAAACCTTAAACGATCCTCATTATGATGTCATAACTCGTCCCATCATTAAATAGATTGGGTTGGAATTCTTTGAAAGCCATTATTAGAAATTTTGCAACACAGATTAATTCTTCGAGAGATTAATATATCAAGGAAGCAATGTTGAATTCAATACCATAAATATGATTGTATTTTATTAGTTCATAAATAGTACCATGTGAAAATGTCTGTGAATGAGTTTATGGTTGAATTTAGCCTCAAAAATTGGGACACTGATAAAAACGACTTTTCAATCAAGGAATTCACCAAGTGTGAAATTTATGTGAGAAAAGAAAAAAAATAGGACTTATGAAAAGTATTTTATATTGTTTTTAAATAACTGGGAATTTCTTTATAATTTTTGAATTACCACAAATCAAAAACATATATCTACTTATCACTCTGTATCTAACATCTTTTATAGATTACTGTAATCTACTTTCTATTAATCATCTTTTCTTTCTCCTTAATTTTATTACTCATTTTCATTAATTTATTCTTCATTCTCCTCTCTCAAAGATCGTAACTCAATTCTATGATCATTTATAATATTATATACTGAATCTTTTTTCCCATATATTACTTTCCATTAGCAAAATACTTAAATTTTCTTGCATCTTCCTCATTTTTAAAAACTACTATTGCTTATCCTCTACTAAACTCCCCTTTTTTATCTTTTAAAATCTCAATATTCTCTATCTCACCAAAGTCCTTAACTAATTCAAGCAATTCTTCATTTTTTATTGTTCTTGGTAATCCTGTTAAAAATGTTTTTTTTTTTTCTCTTTTTTCCTAATCTAATGGTTTTCTGTATATTTTTAAAACTAAAGGATTTATTGAAATTTTGGTTTGAGCATCCTACTCTTCTAATTTATTCTCTTAAAACTTTTTCATAAATTCTTTCACCGCATCTTCTGACTCCATCTCAATAAAGGCTCTTCCATTAAATCTATTTAGTGAATCTATTACAAAATGAACTAGAAATAATGTTTGTGCTTTACCTTTTTTAATATATTATGTCTAAGGATCAAAAAACTCTTAAAATTTTTCTTCATTCCACTCCTAAGGGATCTATGAGGCATAAGCAAAGTTTTTTTAGTTCCTGTTGAAGGATTCTCTTAATTATTGAGTATAGTTTTAAAGCTTTGAAAATTTATATATATAATTCCTCAATTAAAACATTAAATATTATTATTTTTTAAGTCTTTTTGTTTGCTTCTCTGAGTTCTAATGTTTCAAGATAAATCAGAGTTTCCATAAATAAGATATAATGCCTACATTAAGGAAAATATATATTATTTTTTTTTCTATCACTCATAATGATACCAATTTTTTCAAGGATTAAGAAGTTAGTAAACTATAATAAGCAAAAATGTAAAAACATTTAACTTTAATGAAAGATTAAGATGTGAGAGATAAAGTATAATTAAACAAGTTTTAGATTATTTAGAAAAAAATCCTGATAAAAATACAGAAAAACGTTTGCTTGTTGGACAATAATTTTTGAGAATTAAATATTATTTGATTTATCAACCAAATTTCCAATTCTAATTGTATCTTTCATAAATATATTATGGACAAATACTAAATCCTAAAGATCGAAATATTACAGTTTGTGATAATTTACTTTCTAAATATATAAATAAAAAAAATCAGAATTTACAATTAAATATGATTATCAGAAATTAATTAATATTAAATTATGATATTAATAAATAAATAACCTTCTCATTAAAAATCTCTTATCGGTTTTATATTGCAGGGCTTTGTAATTCTTGATTTGTGAATTGAAATTTATGATAGTAAAGGTAGCGTTGATTATTAAAAATATGTTAAGTAATTATTCTCAATTTTATTAACATTCAATTTACTTCTATCGCAGTTGTATATAAAATATATAAAGTAATTAGATATCTGTACACAGGAATTTGTTTGGAGGAATTTTTTTATTTCTATTTAAGATTCGAAAATTTCACCTTGAAAATTTATTAAACTGGAATTATAGTAAATTCCATCTCTTAGTCGTATGAACTATTAAATATCACAACACATTGGAATTTAATTCTCATTTTGTATATAAACGTCTAAAATTTCTTCGTTTATGCCCATCAATCTAAGAAAATCATAATTCATTTTTTTGATTATTCCAACCAACCTCCCTTAAGTAAATTAAAAATTCCAACATTCATATGGATTTTTAATAGTATTTTGAAACTAGTTTCTATTTTTTTCTGTTATTATCTCTAAGGGTAATTGATCATAAAAATTCATGATTTAATCATATTCCAAATAACATTCTTTCTAAGTTTCAGTTTTTTAATTAAGGAAAGATAGTCTACATTCAAAGAATTCATTATTGTACTTCCTTTCTAAAATTTAACTCTTTTTTAGCAATTTGTCTATTAATAATGCTCCCAATGTTTGGCATTTATATCTACTTTTTTAATCTGATTCTGCAACTCTCTTTAAATAAGTAATTTTGTATAACTTATCCTCTTGCTTTATTAGATCAGGACAATCTAATTAAGAAGATCCAATATATGATTACTTGGTTAAATAAGCTAACTTTTCTATTTAGTTATGAGCTTATGCACCATTTTGGTATTCTTTATCTTTTAGGACTACTGATGGTTGGATGAGGAAATCGAAGTTTGTAATGTACTCATGAGACGTAAATATTAAAATGAATGATTAATACTTAAAACTAGCAATTACGAATGCCTTTTAAAAAGTCATAATTAATTGCGAATTACTATTAATTAGCTAAAATGAAGATTTGTAAATAATATAAATAGCAATGATAATGTTTTATAAATATAAAATATAAAAAATTATATGATATTTCGACTATAATTTATGTTAATATTTTGTGTGAGTTCATTTCTTTTGAGAAGGCAAGGGTGTATTCCTTTTTCTCTTAGGAATTTTTACTTTAAAAATCAATAAACATTAATTTTAACATTTCAAATATTTCTTAAATCATTTGTAATATTAAATGAATTTATTCATCCACAGCAAAGTTATCTGCTCCTAAATTATTATTGAACTTGCAAAACATTCAGAGAAACATTCCAAACGAATTTTGATATAACACATCTTACACAAAGGATTGATTTCTAATTGTTTTTATTAATATTAAAATAATTAAAATATTAGTATATTAATAAAAATTAAAATATTTGCTCTTGTATAATCCACATCTAAATTAATTAAAATATTATTTTAGATATACAATCCAAAAAAACTTTAATTTTTGTCCGACTAAAAAGTAGGTGATTTAGATTTGATCATCAGAAAACAAAATAAATTATAAACAAATTATGAAGTCAATGTTTTTTCCAAGCTTGATACTACTTCTAAATTCTATGCAAGATTTCTATTTCCTCAATTCTTTTCCTATCTTCATAGTATTTCTAAAAATTAATTTGTATGCAACAATCCATTTATGGTTTTTTGACAATATTTCTGAAACATAAGAATATTATTAGATCGTATACAAATATTGTATCTATCTTCTTTTCATTGTATATTTGGTGTTTATTAATAGGCTTTTGAGTTTCTAAAATCTATTGATAAATGGGTTCTAATTGCTGAGCTAAAATTAAAAACAATTCTTTAAAATTATCATTTATCGCCATAATCAAGTATTCATTTTCTTCAATACTGTTATCCTTGTAAGCATCTCCTCTCTCTATGATAGAGAACTTTTCCAATTGAAATTAGGCATCATATAGTTACTCTTTCCATTTGATGAATTCTTTTCTAGAAATATCAAAATCCCTTTAAGTACTCTATCTAATTTTTTATAAATCATTTTAGTGATATTCAGATGTCATCAATTCTAGCCAATCTTGGGGATCAATTTCAATGATGCCAGCCTCATTACAATCAAACAATAGCATCTAATTTAAGGATGAAAAAACACAGTAAATTCTTTTGTAAAGAAGAAACATGCATTTGATATATAAATCTTCAGGTATCAGATTAACAGAATCAATTTTTTTTTAACTTTCCAACTCCTTGGCCACTTATAGGAAATAATATCCAATCGATTTTTCAAATTCTAGATGATCTTTAGCTTTTCTGGCTCTATTCAAAATATTTTAATGTGCCAAGTAATTCCTATAAATATAAATTATCTTTACAATGTTTATCTTCTTCCATATTCTTACATTTCATCCTGTTCCTTGTCTGATAAACTAAGACTTCCACTTTAAAGTACAAAATTATTCAATGTCAAATCCTCAACTGAATCTTATGTTGATAATGTGTATTATGGATCCTGTTCAATTTTGATTGCTTTATGATTGAAGAAATCCTACCATGAAATTCTGTTGTTTTCATCTATTACCAACATTCTTCTTAACAAATCCTTAGTGGGTTCTGACAGTGTACACCCTTCTGGAATGAGATTGTCAACTAAAGATTAATGTATTTTTATACTTTTTTATTGAATCTTCTTTAATAATTTCAATGGGTTGACCTCCTCCCATGGATACTCTCTAAATAACATAAAATAGAATGTAACTCCCAAGGACCACATATCACTTAAACTATTATAGGATTCTTATTTAATTATTTGGGGAGACATGAAAACTGGAGTACCACTAAAAGTTTAAAATTTTCCACTCTAATTCGATTGATCCATGACCTTAGCCAATCCAAAATCAGCGACTTTTACTTATCCATTATGTAATAGTAAATTCTATGGTTTAATGTCTCTATGAATAATCTTTTTGCTGACTAAATATTTGAAAGCTGCTGCAATTTATCTGAAAAATACAACGACATCTTCTTCTGAGAGATTGTGATTCAAAATAAAATCATCTAATGCTCCTTGATTACAGTATTCCGTAACCAAATACATAAATTCTTCATTTTTTTTTGCATCTATAAAGCCTACAATATTTGAGTGATTTATTTTTCTCAACACATTGATTTCCTGTAAAAGCGATACCGTTACTTCAGGTGAAGCTTTTACAGGTATTTCCTTAATGGCTAAAAAGATTTTTTCGTCTCCAGTTCCTTTAGCATAGAATCCCAAATAAACAGTTCCGCAATTTCCTTTGCCCAATTATTTTTGGGTGTCTATCATATATTTATCAATCTGAATGTAGCGAGATTTCATTTTTATAAATATTTATAATATTGATATAATTCAACACAATTTTACATAATAATCATCTTTCTGTCTTAGTTACTTTATGAGCCAGTATTAGTTAAACAAACTACCATATAAGGAATATGTAATCAAGGGCAAAAATTCTAATCTCCCTTCAAAAATCAAATGATGGAGGAAACGATCGTAAAAAATAACCAGGCCTCCAGCATATAGATATAATTTTTCTGCATTGTTTAATGTGATTTAATATTCAGCATAAAATACTGTATGAAAGATAATTAGCAAAATTATTAGTATTGGTTATTCTAAATTAATTATCATCATTACCATATGAAGTAGGAATCAATGGCAACAATGCTATGCCGTTTATAAATGAAGCCATAAACATTAAGTTTGGGTTCTTCATTTATACAAATTGTAAAATTATTGGAATCATTACAGCTTTCTCATGAACATGATACCCAAAATTGAAGAATATTAAAGAAGATATTGTGAAGATGTCATACACATTCTTGTACTTTTTTCTAAACAACAACTAACATTTATTAATTTGATACCAAACACAAAGATCCAATAATTATTAAAGTTGTTATATTCCCTATTGAAGGCAGCACATTAAACACTGTTTCTTAAACAACACCAGAAGCAGTTGAAGCTTTATTGATTTTAAGGATAGCTCCTAAAACTTTATCTGCTGCACAATATATACTCCAAAAGTTTTAAGCCCAATAAGCATGAACAAGTCCTCTTTGAAAAGGAAATAACCTTTTCAATATTTAAAAGATGTCCTAATAAAAAGGTAAAAAGATGACTAGTAGCAATGATGCTGATAAAATCCCTATTGAGATGATTTGCTTAATTTGACAATTCTTCAACAAAATAACTCCAAAAGCTGGCAATACGTAGATGTATATGTGTTTAAAGCTAAGCAATATAACGTACAATAGAGAGGCTTGTAGATATTGTTATTGTTGTAATTTATAACAAATAAACAACAAAATACCATATAAGAATCCATTGTATTAGAAATGTATATCTAAGTATAACAATATTGATACTATCAATTAGTAGGCATCCGAAAGGAATCATATCAATGAATTATTTTGTAAATGATTTTTATTGCTTTTTGACTGCAAAAAAGTATAGAAACTCCGATACTATTACAGTAATTCTTTAGAACCAGACCAATGAATCTGTGATATTGTATAAGTCAATTCCGAGCAATATTGCTATTTTGCCAAAAAGATATTCCAAATAAGCAAACAAAGGAGGATAATCAAGTGTCCAAATGGATTATTCATCATAATACCATTAATTAATTGGTTATTCTGTGGTGACTCTCATCCAATTTCTATGTACATCAAAATCGGTGCTGTAACTAAAGATATATTCATATTGTTTACTATAAATTAATCAGCATGCATTTAATCAGCACTACAAGAATAATTAAATACATTATTTTTATTTCATTTCTTTTATTTTTGAATAATAAAAATTTATATTACATGAAATTATCCACATCATCAATTTATAAACATATAAGTCAATCATTCAAAAACAAAATCATCCTAGTTTTTACTTATGTCTTATATCATTAAATTGAGAATGTCAAGATTGTATCCAGCAATCTTCTTTTCCTTCTTAAAATATATTTGTAATTATGTTCTAATATTTATCACTTTCATCATTATTTCATGCGAATTGAATCCAAATCCATCAACCTTATTAAAGATATAAGTGATTAACTTATTAATTATTATGGGATATTATTTTAATGCAATATCTTAATTCATTTCATCAATTAAAGTTACCAAATGTTGATGATGCAGAAATTTCATAAGAGAACTCAAATCTGAATTTTAGAGATTATCAAATAAATATTCAGTGACATTTTTATTGTAGAATAGATCTTCATTTGGAATTTCACCTTAATCTATAGTTTCTCTATATTATTTAATCTTTTCCAAAATGTCCATTAATTATTCAGTTTCCAATAGCTTTTATTATCCAATCTATACTAATGTTAAATCTTTTTTGACTTAATCTAAGCCTTAATCAAATCCAGTTTATTGTTTATTCTTATTTTATAATTCTTACATCAGAGATTCTTACAATCTCTTTTCCTCCTCTTCCGAAACAAAAATTTATTCTTTGGTTTGAACATATTTTCTAATAACTCCATTTTTTGTAGCTGAATAAAACAAATCTCCAATACATCCAACAACCATTGATTATATTCCAGCTAAAGCTTCATTAAATTGCAATATTAATTAATATGTATCTCCGTCCCAATATTTAATGATATTGTCTTTGCATCCACTAAAGAAATAGTGAGTGTCATTTACTGTTTTTATTTAAATCACCTCTGCTGTATGAGCTTTAAGGGTTTTCTTACAATTTCCGAAATCAGTCGCCCATAATTTAATACTTTTATCTGCACCTGCTGATATTACTATTGTATCATCTGAAGTATAAGCAAAAGTTAAAACTGGTAATGAATGCCCATATAATTCAAGGTACAATTTATGAGAGTCACAGTAATAGATTGATACGATATTATTCATTTGGGCAAATGCATAATAATTTCCATCATATGAAAATTAGGCACTTCTAATATTTTCCTTTAAATAGATTGTGTTAACCACTTAGAATTCCAAGCATTTTTATGTTTTATTAAAAAATAACTCTACAAAGTTCACTTTTTTATCTATTTCAGTAGTCATTATTACTAAACCATTAAATGCCTTACAATTCTCATGGCATTCGATACTGTTAATATTTGAATTATGAGTTTTCTATTCAAAAACAATTTCATTTTGATTCATATCTACCAAATATAAGGTTCCTTATTCATCCCCTACCATAAAGTATTTATTTTTTGGCAAAATGCATAAAGAAGTTAAATTACTTGTATTATTGAGACAGTTCACCTATTAAGCAGTTTCATTATCAAATTAATAACATTTATTTGATGCAATTACTACCAATTTATGATCATTTTAGGTTAATTTAATTTATTTGATTTGTCCTGTAATCTATGAAATTGATATATTATTATTTTCATCCACATTATCATTATTTAATTCTTTGATTACTATTTAATTGTCTGATGTGAATATATATATTTTCAATAGGTTTTTAAATACTATTGCTTAAAAATATACAATCTTATTCAATTAAGATATTACAGTGCTATAAATTAAGGATTGACTAAAGTTTTCAGCTTTTTATAGCTTCTTTCCTTATTTTGATTTATAAACCTCAATTTTCTTTTCGTTATCTAAAATATTTAACAATTTTACTTAGAATCAATAATTTTTATTAAACATATTGGCATTAGACTGCTCTAATAAAGGATTATCTTTTAATAATGCCATCATTATCAATCTGACACTTGCCTGAAATCAATTAACATGATTTAATAAGAACTTCATCAGAGTTAGTGCAGATAAGCAAATAATTTTCATAAACGCATAAACATGTGACTTCACTATGCATACTGGATAGAGTGGCTATTGAGCATTCTAAATTCAAATCCCATATTTTGACTAGTCCATCTTTGCTACCTGATACGATAAATTATTAAGTTATTGCCAGACTTTAATCTTCAAGGCTAATTATGTCTAAGGCAGTAATTTAATTTGAATGTCCTATCAATCTAAATTATAATTATTAATCTGCTAGATCCCAAACAATAATAGATGTGTCGCAACTTCCACTTATTAAAACAGCTTCACTCAAAAATACTAGTTATGTTATTTCACTCTAATGATTAAAAAATCTGCATTAAATTTCATTATCAATCAGATTATATATAACTATTTCACCGTCATGATATCCTATTGCCAACGTGTTGTCTTTTATTGCGATTTTAGTTGTTTTTATGTTCTTGCCTTCAATTACTATTTATTAAATAATCTCTTGAGTCTTGATATTTAGCAAAAGCAAATACTAATCTACTATTGTATATGCGATATCATTTATTATTACTCCTCCATTGTTGCCAATACTGCCAAATAGGGTCTCAAATTTATATCCAAAATAGGCTTTTACCATAAATAATTAATTAATTATTATAATGAGTTTTAGAGAAATTCTAAATAACACTTAAAAAGTTAAAAAAATCACAAAAGTTGCTTTCAATGCCTTGGATGAGGATGACAGTGGTTTTTTGGAGAGGAAGTAAATAATTGTACACATAATTTGAGGGAATTAATTTCAATTTTAAATAATTGTGCGGACACTTTAAAAATTGAAAGACCATCATCAGAAGAAATGGATGAAATATTAAAAGAATTAGATGAGAATTCAGATGGCAAGGTTTCAGAAAATGAATTTCAAGCATTAATTGAGAAGGTCTTAAGAATTATGGCTAAAATAGAAGAAAAATGAATAACATTTAATTATTATTATTTATATATTTTATTAATAAAATGGTATTGGCTAAGATAGCATTAGGAACAGCAGGTGCAGTGACTGTTGGATACTTATTTGTTCCACCATTCAATAGAAAACTTGAAAGAAATGTTCTCAGACCAATCAGAAATTATAGAAGACACTTATAATAAGAGGATTCATTCAAAACAGAAGTAATGTAGCTTTACAATATTCTTAGGAAGAATTCTATTAATTTTTAGGAAGTGTAGCACTAGGTACCTTGAGAATGTTTACAATCGAAAGCGATTGAGCAATTATAATAGATATTAATAAAAAATCTAATACAAAATTAAGAATTTTATATAATTAAAAGCAAATCCATTTTTGACATTCTTCAAGAGAGTTTGCATTTTTTATTCTTTTATATTTAAAAAAGAGGCAATTAATGCTAAAAGTAATGTAAAATAATTTAAAATATAAAGAAAATTTAATATGTCAAAATTATTCGGAATCCAAATAGATAGCTAATTCAAATTATCTATGCTAAATTGATCATCCATAATGATTCTTTTTTCAAATTATATCAGAGAGTATAATCTATTGTTTATAAATTCATCTTACTAAGATAATTTTATTGGAATAATAATATTTTATAAAACTTTCATTGATAAATTGGATTGTTATTTATCCAAGTGTATAACTGGATCATAAATGATAAACAGTGTAAAGTAAATAACTTAAAAAGGAATCAATTGAGAAAGATCTGATATAACATATGGATGAATAAAATGATTCAATAGGAAAAATTTATTTACATGATCCAAATGAGAATTGAAATAAATTCCTATTTGCAACTAAATTGATATCATAGTTAAAAGAGAAGACTAAAATAGAAGAATATTTTATAAATTATAAATTTTTGTATAAAATTGCTTAAATATACTGCTAACTATTAAAAAAGCATAGCAAATAGGAAAATGAATCATCTCAAAATAGTGTTGCAAATATTTTGAATGAAAATGATTGAATGAATTAAATAAAAGACATTTATTATGTCAAATCAATTTTTTATAATAAGTATTATTAATTTATACAATTATTTTATGAATTGTGAATACCATATTGAAAAACAATTTTCACTTATATGTTTGTCAGAAGGATGCAAAAAAAGACTAGTTTGTGATTTATGTTAACATCCTTCAAATCATTTTTTAGTATTATTTCAATGCTTATACAGATTCCTGTCCAGGATTTAAATAAGAAGATTACAACAATTTAACCTAAATGGGCCGAATCAAAAATCAAACCTGTTCTTGAATTTCTCAAATAGAATAGCTAAACTGAAATAAATTCTTTTGAGATAGAATAATAATTGCAATATATATTTGACACATTTTTAGGAGAAATTACTTTAAAATTAGGGGAAGTATAGAAATATTTTAATGAAAAACTAAGAATCCTGGCTGAAAATGCTCTAAAAAATGTAGAGTACTTAAGATAGAGAGTAGATTCAATCTATAATTTATAGGAATTAGGATTAGCTTTTCAAAAATATTCAACTGGCATTTATTCTAAAGAGTCATTCGATTAGATAATAAAAGATTACTCAATTAAAATATCAGGCAATTCAGAAATTTAAAATATTTATACTTACATCACTAATGATGGAGCCAATCATAATTATTTAGATTTAATCCAAATAGATTTACATGGTTTTCACCAATTTAAAAGTAGAGTTCTGGGTCATCTAGCAAGATTAAATGATTTTGATTCATATTTACCAATCAAATACTCATAACTACCTTTCAAAAACCATGCCACTTTCAGTTGGAACATAGTTCAAGGTTAAAACAGCCACTCCTTTAATATACAAAACATACTTAAAAATATGACGGTGGATGAGATATTTTAATCTAAAAGCAAGATAATATGTGTCTTAAATCAAAACTAAATAGTCTAATATAATCATAGCTATAAATTTGTTGGAATCCTCCATTAATGCTAGTAAAATGATTTCTATTTGGCACATCATATAGATCAAAATTTATAATTAATTGTTAAATGGTAAGAACCAACATATATACATATGTATTCAAATTTTCGAAAAATAAAAACTTTGCAAAATGCTTCAATAAATCCAATATAGCAAATTCTTTTCATTAATAAGTATAATTTATATAGTAAGGGACATGAAACTTGCATACTGACACTTGATAGCAAGGGGATAATAAAAGTGAATCCACTCTCTAATAACTATCTCTATGAATTTACATATGGGTAAGGTATATTGCAAGTGTAGATTTTACCAGAATCAAAAAATGCGCTTAAATTTTCTACTAGTCATGGTTTTGATTCAATTTTTGACTTACTTTTGTGTTCCTATTAAAAAAATTAAGTAAAATTGGCCATTAGAAGTCTCTTTTAATCGCAACCTTTATCTAGAATTTGGGATGATGAATCGTTGTCACATAAACTTGGACTTACAGAGCATTGTGAAGTTTATTTCACAATATTTAAGTTGAGTCCTCAAGAGAAAAACTATCTGAAGTCATAAAAGGATGTCGAAGGAATCGATTATGTAATTGTGACTCTATTAAATAATTATGTTACTCTTTGGAACTGGAAAACAGGTAACGCAATTAAAATTATCGATGTATCTGAAAGTTATGGACTAAGAACAATGTAATCAGTTCTTGGAAGTACTCTGCTTACTATAATTATTCTTGTAGGATTTGATGGCTCCATTTATTGGATTAATTGGATGCAAAATAAAGTAATGTCATGTAAACTAAAGATTGGAAATGATTTATAGATTCATAATGTATTTATCTTCATTTTTAACTTAGATGTCAAAATGCTTAAACAATTTAGGGTAATCAGAATTCATTGTAGCTTTGAGATAACAAACTCGAACATTTATGACTGTTGCACAATTAATCTATTATTGATTACCATTACTATTGTTACAGAAAATTAATATTTTAAAACAATCAATCAAATTTTATTTTTTCTATAGAATAAAATCATATTACAAAAATCTAGAAATGATAGTTCTGGCCATTTCTTATCAATAAAGTGAATTACGGTTTTTTCTCTTATTTAATAGAGTAAGAAATTGCTCAGTCTTGTTTCCCCAGATGTTCTTAAGAGAATATCAGGAGAGTTCAATACCATTAAATGAGAATTTAAGTTCTAAAAAAATTCATTTTTAGATAAGCCTTTAGGCATCGATTATATTGCTTTGTCTAATTCATTTGTAAAATTATAAGAGAAGCATAGGTTAAGTCTATAGATAATTATGTTTGAATCTTACTTGTATTAAGAATATTTAGAACTATAGTTTTCAAGTTCTTATAGTTTTTCTTTTAGCTCTTGATCTTATAAGAAATCGAGGTCTCCGCAGCATTTAAAGTTAACTTGATTTTTGTCTATAAAATTAAGATCATGTTGCAAATGATGTATTTTTTATTTCATTAATTGCATTAGAAATTGTACTTCTTCTTTTTATCTATTATAATTCTCAATGCTGAATGCAAACACACTAATTTCTCGGATTCCTAGTTTTTAACTCCATTAAAGTAAATTCAAGAAAGATTGATATCCTTAGATGTGACCTTCAGTTGACTCTATTCTCCTTTATCTAGCATATCGTCTACATCTAACATATAAAATACCGATTACCATCCATAATCACACCTACGTGGTTTGGGATAGTACCTAGTTTTAAAAATTGAATGAAGGAACTTTGTACAATATTCATTTATTATCGTAATTAAATTTCAATTTAATTTATATATTTTAAATTATTCACAACACATATGTGTCATTTTATTAATTTATCCAAATTATATAATTTTTGGTTTATTATTATTTAAATGTTTGAAAATAAATATTGGATATATATTTGATTTGACTTGTGGAAGGATTTCGAATTGAAAAGATAAAAATAACTAATAATTATTTAATTATTCGTCATCAATTTTACTCCTCTTTTGGGTCTGACAACGATTCTGGCTCTCCTTATTGTTGTGATTACTCATTAGATTTATAAAATGCTCTGTCCTTTACTAGTTCTGGATGTTTAAGTTTGATGTGTTAATTGAGAGATCCTTCAGCTCTATTTAATTGATAAATTTTATCTTAAATACCCGTATTTTTTTTGGCAATTTTCGACTGGACAAGTAAAGTGTCTTTCAATTTCTTGTGCTGGTCTCCTCAACCTTTTCTTTCTCTCTTCTCCTGTTTCTTCCACATTCGAATTTAGCTCTTGATTTCGACGCTAGAATTAGGGTGGTATTAAAAATTACTTCTAATTTGTTTAATTTATTGACTAGTTCATTCTTCTCATTCAAGAGTTCTTTTAACTATTATAAGTTTCAAATTTTACCTGGTTTGTTAGGACTACATTGGCTATATATAATCTCAGGTACTCGTTGTAATATTCTAAATTTTGATCCTATTATGGGACTGAGATTTGAATATGAAAATACCTTGTTGTTCATCCTATCCTCCTACATAATTTTAAAATCTCACAGGTTCATCTCCCATCATATATTTTGGATTCTCTCCATCTGATCTAAGGGAATTGAAAAATTAAATACTTAGCATTACTCATATTTATAATTTATTAAATATTTTTATTAATAAATTGTCTAACCAAAATAAAATTAATATTTATAACAGTCTCCGAGGACATGAAAACCTTGGTACACAAAATTAAGAATAACACAAGTTCAATTTTAGAAATAAATGAGTTTATTAAAGAAATAATTGTATTAATATTTATTATTAAATTAACGGATATATGGATCGATTTATACCAAAAAGTAAATCGAAATTACTATATCAATCACACACATAATCAAACTACAACGACGTACAATATATTTAGAATTTAGTTGATGTATCACATAAACGAAGAAAAAGTCTTAAATTTTGGAAACGGCAAATAATAACAGAATTTTCCAATTTCCTTCCTAGATTAGTTACATAATTAATACAAATTGCCTTAACAACAAATAGTTAGATAAATCAGTGCAATTCCAGAGAAGATTCTAGATGCTCCAGACATTGCAGATGATTTTTATCTGAATATATTGGAATGGGGAAACAACAATGTATTGTCAGTGGGATTGCAAAACAAAGTGTACTTATGGAATGCTTCGAATTGTAAAGCAAATTTATTAATATAATAGAACATATCGAACAACTTTTATAAGCAACCTCAAATGTGACATCAGTTAATTGGATTAATGACCATATTCTGGGCATAGGATTCGATGATGCTTCTATAAAGATAGTTGATGTTTGTTCCTCTTAAACAATAACTTAGTTATATTATCATAATGAAAGAGTGTCAACAATGAGTAGTAGTTTCGATTTGTTGTCAAGTTCAGGTAGAGATAATGTGATTTTCAATCATGATCTCAGAGAGAAGAATAATAATGTAGTTGGAGTATTCTAGAAACATACCTAAGAGGTTTGTGGATTGAAATGGAATTCGTCTGGTAGTACTTTGAGTAGTGGAGCAAATGATAATTAATTATTGCTTTGGGATAGACGATAAATGTCCTTACGTTAATCTTGCCAAGGTCATTGTGCTGCTGTCAAAGCAATGGCCTGGTGTCCTTGGTTACAAAATACTCTTGTCAGTGGAGGTGGATCAAATGATAAAACTATCAAATTTTGGAATGCTGATACTGGCACTTGTTTTAAGAGCATTGACACAGGATCGCAAGTTTGTGCTCTGCAATTTTTGCCAAGATATAGAGAATTGATATCATCTCATGGCTTTTCTAAATTTTAAATTAGTATATGGAATGCTGATTAAATTTAGTAAGCCAAATTAGTATAGGAATTACAGGCTCATAAATCGAGAGTTTTGCACTTAGGAATATCTCCTGATCAATCTATGCTGTGTTCGGCTGCAGGAGATGAGACATTGATATTTTGGAGGCTGGGCACAGAACAAAATAATCAAAATAAATAGGAGATGTGTTCCAGTAAAAATTTATTTCTCAGATGATATTATTATTACTTAACAAATTATTATTAAATATTAATTATCTAATTCTTATGATTCGTAGAGATTCTGGTGAAATGTAATAACATACTTTTAGCCAACCTAATTTCAGCAAATCAACTAAAGATATTAAATCCTCCAGAAAAGAATATTTATTCTAAAAATTGCCTTCCTTAGATTCTACTCAGTCGAATAATTTTTGGCAAGTTAAGAAAGGAGGTTCTGCTAATTACATAGACACAGAAAGAGTAAATACAGCGCAGAAATCACTTACACCCTAGCAGTATAAAAAGAAAAAAAATTAAACAATATAAATTGAGGAGACCACTTAATTTGATCTTGGTTCTAGTCGAAATTTTTAAAGATTATTCACCATAAAAAATCATCCTAAATCATCTACTGGCAGTGTAAAAACTCAAAGAGAAGATAACACAAGTATCATTACCAATCTAGTTTCTTAAAAAAAATCACATTATCATCAAGCATCATAAATATAGTAAACTTAATCTTCAGTCCAATAACAACAATGTCCATTTTCAGCTGGGAAATCAATCAAAGACATTATTTCATCATTTAAAGATAAAAAGTAATTAATTTACTTTTATTTAGATCAAAAAATGGTATGACTCGTCATAGTGAATTTGAAAAAATGGAAGGATTGGATGATTACACCAAAGAATTAGGCTCTATTTTAAATGATGATGATCTCATAGGACCAATTCTCAAAGAAGTCATTGAAATGAAAGGAGTGGTTAAATCACTCATAGATCTAAGCAATGGCAATAAACTTACCTATCATTTTGAAACCTTGAAGCAATTACATTCTACTCTAAATATAACTGATCAAATGTTCAATAGATTCAAATATCTATATCTTAAGTACTTGATTTCATTAAAGATAAACATGGAGGCAGTCTTCAAATGTGCTTAAACTGTTGAATCCTACAGAGGGGCTATCGTTTCTAAGGTACTTTCCTTATTTAATCCACTAGTCTCGGTCTGTATAAAATGTTAAGGATAACATCAGAATTATAGCTAAAAATATGTATAGTCAAATCTTCGAAGATTTCTCTTTAAGTCCATTATTTAAAGGAACCAAGCAAGAGGAATAAGCAATCAAATTCAGCAGAATATTTGGATTTATTTTGGGATCAGCAGAATCTACTAATTATGTGATGGATTCCATGAGAGATTTTCATAAGGCTTTTGAAATTACCTCTGTTTAATACTCTATTTTTAAATACTATTTATCAGGATCTTTATCCAAACATACTCAAAAGGAAGTCATTTGGTATGTTTTAGAGTAAACTGATGCATATAAAGCAGCTGTTATCAACTAAGATAGCATTAAAGATTTGGTGTATAAATAATAAGGATTCGATAATCTTACTAGTGAATTTATCAAATTATGTTAGCAAGATTAACTTATAAATAAGAATTTCATTCATAAAGTTGGATATGATCAATTTGTAGAGCACACTAAATATTTTTTGCATTATGCTTTTAATAAATAAAATAACTGTTTTACGCTTGAAGATCTGCACTTATTTCATTGTTAACATTCGATTAGTCTAAATCTCTATCAAAGTATCAAAGAAAAAATGATGATCTTATTGTCGAAATTGAATCCCCAAAGAATAATATTCTAAGACTTTGAAGATGAATATGATTTGATACTTCCATACATTACCAATTAACAATTACCTTGTGATATTGTAGGCTAATAGAGATTATGTGAATTTGTTCCATTAATATCCGATGAGTTGAAATCAAATGTTGAAATCAAGAACATATTTGATAGCAATGATGCAAATATAGATAAAATTGTTTTAAAAAAATTTGAATACTTGTTATCAGGTAGAAAATATTTTAAAAGATCTGACATTCAAGCTATTCATTCTAGACTCAAAATTAGTGAACATTTATTTCAAAAATTTGTCCATCTTATTGAAAAAGCTATAAAGCAGTATGATACTTCATTGCTGTGGATGGTTGACGCAATAAAGCTCTGGAAATATATCATTATCACAGTTTGAATTTTTATTAATTAAGGATTATATAAATTCTACCTTGAGATATATATTTCAATCTTATATCATAGAATTAAATTAATATTAAATATTATATTCTCGCTTGAATGTCTTGATTTGAATTTAAATATTGATTAATGATAGTCTTATAAAATATTAATGGATTTTATTAAAAGGTTTAATTAACTTAAGATGAGCAATTAAGAGTATCTCAATCTACAAAAAATGAATCCTCTGATTAATTTGAGAGAATTAAGATGGAAATTTATCAAAATTGAATTTTCAATAGAATAATTAAAACAATAACATAGTAAACTCTACTAAATATAAATGATAATTCTTGTTAACATCAGATTTAAAGAAGGAAATATTTTATTTAAATGATGAAAAATGAAATTAAAAGAGAAGAAGCTGAGATTTAATAAATGGAACAATATGTTGAAGAACTATATAATCTGAAAGAAAAACTAAAATATCAGATTGAAGAACTTAATAATCAGATTTTATAAGATCTATTAAAATAAATTAATAAAAGGTAGAATATTCAATCTAAAGAGAAAGTAAACACTCTGCTAAGCCATCGATTAATCGTGAATACAATACAATATTTTTACAACAATTCCCAATGTAAAGAGAAATAAAAATGGAGATGGAGAAAAAAAAACTTTAGTAAACGTGTAGCTCCAATTCATTATATGGAAATATTTAATACATAATAATTGCTTCTCTTATTTTAGCTTCAAGTTATCCTTTTTATAAAAAATACATTTTGTCATTTTTTAATAGAATAACTTTTTATTTCAAAGCATTAGAAAATTGGTAAAAATATGCTTTAGCTACTGTTATTTTAGGAAAGTTAGCATTTCGTTTTTATTGAAAAAGATGGGTATGAGTATGATTTTTAATAAATATTCAGGATTCAAATCTTTCAAGACTTTCCATATACATTCTATCTAAATTTTAGTTTAATTCCTCTAGATTTTAAATAACAGATTAAACTGATTAATCTTTGCCCAAAGGAGATTTCCTAAGTATGGATTAATTTGCAGATCTTGGCTAAAATTTCTTACTTAAATCGCTTAACAAGCCAAAGTTGGTTTGACTTTTAATCGCAGAGTTTTTTGTAGGTTTTAACCAATCAGGCTTTAATTTATCATAACTTTAAGAATGCAAGGATTCTTCATCGTGTACAATCTAATTTAATTTAATATTTACATATGGTTTTTAGTTAGTGTTCTAATCCTCTTGTAAAACAGATGATTATAATTGCTAAACACTCTAAATTAGATGATCACGCTTTTATTGTAATTAATCAATTTGATCAACTAATAATTTAAATTCTTGTCCTTTGATTTCTATTCCATCTTGTAATTTTTACAATTGAAATTAAAAATTGATGATTTGTTCCTACCCTTAATGCATCTGATAATGTGTTTAAGTTGATAATTCTGTTACTTTCTACTCAATTTATTTATTTAAGGATTGTAAATTAGATTATTAAATTTGAAACTCTTATTTAATGCTCTACAAATCAATAGTAGCATCATCCACTTGTTATTGTAATTTTGCTTTTTCGATATTTAATTTTTTCATTTCCTTTTGCAATATGTCGAAATCATTACCCAACATGTCTTTTTATTTCATTTAATCCTATATCTATTTTTCAGTATTGATTAATTATTTCTCTATTTATAACAATTCTTATTCCTTCTCTATTGTTAGTTGTGTAACTTATTAAAGATTTTTTTTGCCTTTTAATAAATTATCCTGACCAACCTACATTTAATATTCCAAGTTGTCCAATTCTGTCCTTAATTTCTATGATTCTTTTTTGATTTATAAATTCTCATTCTTAGTCTATTTTATTTTTTCCTTTTCAATATTTGCTTCTTACATGATTTTTTCATACTTTTACATTTCTTACTCTTTATCAGCCACGGCACCATTTAATTATTTTAACACTCTATCTGCTTCTCTACATAATTATTCTGTATTTTTTAATTTTGAATGACAAGTATCCAATTCTTCGAGTAACAATTTCATTTTGTTATGTTCATTTTGATATTTGATTTATAAATCCATAGTATCCTATTCTTTTTTAGCATGTTCAAATTGTAAATCCTCTATATCCTTGCTTAATAATTCTTTCTATGAATTCAAATATTCTATGTTATTCAGCGCTCTTTGTTGATCTTCTCTAATCTAAAAACTAACTTAATATTGATCCTAGATTCTCTATTATAACATTTCAATCTCTTCATTTAACAACCTTATTGATTCTTCTTTCTCTGCATTTGTATCCTTTAGTCTTTCCATTTCACTCTACAGTTCTTAAACTTCTTCACACTAAATAATTATTTATATCATTACCAATTGTTCCTATTATCTTCCAAGTCTAGTAATTTCATCAGTTAAACATTTCCTAGCTTCATTTTGTTTGGCTCTAAATATTTTAAAATCTTCATTAGATTTTGAGAATTAGACTTCCACTTATTGATGTTGCATTTTCAATTCTTCTTTCTATTGCATAATCTATTCAAATTACTCTTCCAACTCTTTACTTATTGTTTCTTTTTCTTGGAGCAATTATGCCTTCTTACTTTCATAATCTTTCCATTTCTCAGCCAATTATTGTGTTTCTATTTCAAAATCTTTAATAAATTATGCCTTTATTGCATAGAATTCATCAATCTTCTTGTATTTCTTTTCTGCCCTCCTAAATAGCTTCTTCAATAGAACAATAGAAGACTCAATAGGTTTATCTTAAATTCCTATTGAATTTAGAGAATTAGTAGAAACTCTCGAGTATAATTCCTAGATTTAATCATGAACTTGAGCAGCCACCTCCTCAAGAACACTTTCTTATGGCAACAAGGGTATTCTTTCTAACACTGTTTCTAATAAATCGACTATACTTTACAACACTTACTCAATGCTTCCCTGCAAAGCCATTTCAAATAGAGTTCTTTAACATTATGTCAAATCTGTTTAAAGTACTGCTTGTAGTCTAACAAAAAGAGAATTGATTCGATTCAATTGTTCAGTTGGTAATTTTTCCTTTGGTTATGACTTATATGATTCAAGCTATTATTTTAATTCCTTCAAAGCATCATCTGTTTCTTAACGAACCTAGTAGTGTTCTTCTAACTAAGATTTCAGAGAAAGAAAAGCTTTGTTCGTTAATTATCTGTCTGTTTCATCTTCGCTATCAGAATCATTCTAATAGGTTTGAAGTAAATTTGTCGCTCTCTACATTTTATTCTCTATTTACGCTATTTCAGTGTCAATCTCTTGCTTTTTTAATTAAACCAATCTAATGTTTTAGAGTAGTTGTTAATGATCACTGGGAATTGGTTCTCCATACAATTGTCTTGCGATTTCATGCTAATTTGAAATCACCTTATTGTCTAAGACTTAAAGGGTAGGAGTTAGAAAACATAGATATTCTATGTAACTGAATGTTCTACAAAAAGGATTATCACTGAGAGAAAGGATTTTCAAATTTAAAAGGGGTTTAAGGTTTAATAACTACAATGGATCTTTAATTTAATTTCTAGATAGCTTGAGGGTTTCTAAACTATGATTTGTTAAACTAATCTCAGTTATTTAATTGCCATTCAAATTCAAATTAATCAAAGATGGCAGAAATTCTAATCCATGCATTGATTTTATAAAATTATCTGAAAGATTAAGTTCTTTAAGTGCTGGCAATCTTAAATTCTCTATTTTTGTAATATTGTTATGACTTAAGTTCAATTCCTACAAAAGCACCAATTAATCTAAATTTTCTATTTTCTATGTAAAATATTTAGATTACAGTCAATTTCATAGAACGCAACGACAATTTTGTGGTTTTACCCGGCTCCTCCCCTTAATTTCGAATAAGCTGATCCGTAATTTTGTTTTGAGATACAAACATTATATATAATTAAAAAATTCAATTAAAAAGAAGATGCCTGAGGAATTCCTCTATTTTTTTGATCCTAAATTCTTATTTTCTTATTGATTATTATTAGAATTCTTCTAATAAATGGTCATTCAAGAAATTTCACAGTTTGTAATTTTAGAAAAAAATAATTATATTTTATTTCTCTTGTACTTTACTAAATAATAGTATTTATCTATATTCTAGTTTTACATTATAAGAAGATTTAATAGAAAATAATAATGATTTTACAGTTATTATATATCGAAAATGATATTTTATTTTTTAAAGTGTTTTGTAAATTCGATTAAGATTATAAGATGTAGGATTTTCAAATTAAGTTAAAAAATATTTGATACGTAACTCCTTCTTATATTTAAACTACTACAATTAAAATATAGTTAGAAATGCTGTAGTTAAAGTTTTGATTTCTTTGAAACTTTTCTATTTAGACTTTAGAATAGTACTGAGCAGTCATAAGAGTTATTAATTGTTCACTATTCATGAAGATCTTGGACAATTATACTGTAATTGGTAGAAATAACATATTAAATTTAGATTTAAAATAGAAATCAAAAATGAAATCATCGAAATACCTTTGAAAATTGAAATCGATTTCTACAAATGGTTTTGTTTTAACAGTTTTAGAAATTAAAAGAGTTCTTTTGATATGAATGATAATTTATCCTTAATTTGACATCGTTATTTAGTTAGATTAATTTCTCCAAGCTTTCTTAATGCAAGATGGTTTTAGGTTTGCCTAGACAAACAAATAATTAATTTTATTTGGAAGTCTAGAACCTGTTTTACAATACCTTTGAGTAAAAAAGTTTTCATATTAAAATATAATAATAACGGAATGATCGAATTCCGCACTCCAAAGTACATTTGTTTAAAAAAAATTGATCCTCCAGTCATCAGATATCAACCTCGCACAATGTTTGTTAAGGTTTAGCATTTGTTACAGACAAGAGAGAGTGTTGACACATCCTTGACTTTAAGCTAAACAGATGCAAAAATGCAGTCTTAGCAATCAGAAATCAGCAATCTCAGCACATTTTATTAAAGTTCCGATCAAGCTAAAGAGAACAAAGAATAACCAATTATTGATGTAGTACTTAAAAAAACCAATTCTTTCCATCTAAATTCTAAGATGAGAAGTAACAATAAAATCTCAAGAGTCTCTAAGAATCAATTAATGGATGTGCTTTAAGAAATAACATCTCCAACATAGACTAGGCGTAAACAGTAGGTAATTTTAATAATTGTTATAAGGTTGTGAACAGGGAATGGGAGTATTCATATAGAAAATAACAAGGGAATAGTACATTTTTCTAATCAATGGATTCAACTAATGAATAGGCAACAGCGTTACCGAAATCCAGAAGCTTCAGTGTGAGATAATCAACTCAACAATAATCATAATAATTGAAGGAAATGATTGACAAAGCAATTGAAAATACAAAAACTTTTGATGAGTACCTATTAAGTCTAGTAAGATGAATCAATTTATTTGTTTTTATTCTACTTTTGTAATTTATTTTATTGCATTGAATAAATAATTAAATATTCGAATTTTGTACATAAATGAATGTAAAATGATTGAAAAAGTAACATAAGAAATGACCATTAAATCGATAAATTGATTCTATGATATGAAACAATTTCTAAATAGTTCAATTTTAAAGAAGAAATATATAATTTATAATTTAAAATGTAACAGCAAGATTAATAATTCAAAACGGTGAAAGTGAAATCAAATTTCCATCAATTCCAATTATTACCAAATCGTTAAATCCATAGATACAAAATAGAATTGACTAATTATTCAGAAATCTTTGCATAAAAAGCAATTACCACTTATAGACAGAAGATAATAGAATGTCTAATTACATTTTATTGCATAAATTTGAATATTTATTCTCCAACAAAACTTGCCACTTAGGTTTTGGGAGCATTGAATGATGGTGAAGAGATATAGAATGTTGCATCATTGAAGCTTGTTGAATCTGTAGATGGAGGGCCGAAACTTTAATAAATATTAGCAAGAATAGTAAAGTAAATAATGAGCACACAACAAGGGATGGTTTAAATAGGTAAAGACAAATTATTTTGGCCTAAGAAATCTCATTCATTTCATGATTATAAGTTTGAGATCTGGGAGGGAGTCCAAATTGTACAAAAACAATTCGGAGTAGTCATAGATTGTGCTTATAAAATATTGAGATAGAATACCTTACTTGACGATCTTTCTGTTACCAAAGAAGCAGATCGTTATGAAGGAATGATAGTGATGACAAAATACAATCAGAAATTCTATAGAGTGGATCTAATAGAAATTGGGATGTCTCCCAAAGATATATTTATAACAGAAAACGGAGAAGAAACAACCTTTAAGGAATATTATAAACAAAGATATAATTTAAAATTAAATGAAAAATAACCTTTAATTAAGACTACTCTCAAAATTAAAGGGAAATAAGAAGAAAAAGTTATATACTTAATACCAGAACTATGTCAATTGACTGGATTGAGTGATACTGTTAAGAGTGTATAAAATAATATATATGTTAGAATTTCTCAGTAATGAGAGAAGTAGCTAAAATAACAAAACCGAATGCTTATGACAGAATCGATTAATCCGAGAAATTTGCTAAATAAATAAATTCAACTGTTAAGAAGGGATCCAATATAAATTTATTAGATACTTGGGGTTTGAAATTAAACAGTGTTTCAATGAATGTTGAAGCTAAAACTGTTCGTCCTGGCACATTAATCATGGGCAATGACAATATTGATTTATCATAATAAAATCTGAACCTGGATCAATAAACATAGAAGAAGATGTATTAAGTCCCAGATTAGAAGTTAGTCTGGGTTCTTATTCATTATTACAAAGAAAAAGGACAAGAAGCCAAAAAACTATTACTTGATAATATGAAACAAGCGATTTCTGAATATTAATTTTATGGTTTTTACTCTTAACCCTTGGTTAGACCATTATAGGAGGAGAGAGACAAGGCATTGTTGCTACTATGTGATGACATAAATAAGGAATGCTAATAAAAATAATAAAAGATAGAATTCATAATCTTCTTATTACCAGGATAAAAGAAGAATAGTCGTCTATATAGATGTGCTAAATTCATATCCTTATAAAAGATTGGTTGTCCAAGTCAAGTTGTCTTAGAGGACACCTTAGCTAAAAACACACGCTCTATAGTTAATAAAATAATGGTTTAAATTTGCGCCAAATTAGGAGGAGTTCCATGGGCAATTGATAAATTACCTAAACTCTTTTAATAATAGCACACGATGATCTGTGCAGCTGAATGTTACGATAGATTACATCAAATTAAACATTTAGCTTTCTGTTCAACTGTTGATAAAAATATGACTAAATATCATAGTCAAATATTAAAAGGGGCTGACTATAAAGGAGACAATTTAAAGAAGAGTTTAATTACTGCCATGGAAGTTTACAAAGAAAAAAATAATGTTTTTCCACAAATAATCATTATTTACAGAGATGGTGTTTCTGATGGTCAAATCCCTGTGGTTCTTGGAGATGAATTTCCTCAATATGATTAAGCAATCAAATAGATAAATCCTTAAAGTAAATTGGTGCTTGTAGTCTGCAATAAAAGAGTAGCAGGAAAGTTCTATCAAGCTGGACATAGACCTGATAATCCTGCTTCAGGAACGATTGTTGATACCAAGGAGATTTGCGAAGGATAACAACCTAACTTTTATTTGATCTCCCAAATTACTAGATAAGGCACATCTCAACCTACACTTTATAAGATATTGCATTCAGATATACCTAATATTGAAAATGATATCAAAGTACTTACCTACAAATTGTGTTGGTTGTATTACAATTTTGCTGGTCCTATAAAGATTCCTGCTCCTGTTAGATATGCTCATTGTTTGGGTGAATTTATTGGTTCTAGATACTAAAGAAATGATAAGGATCCCTTTGTTCCTGTAGAAGAATTAGTTAAAAAAGGAGTATTATTTTACATTTGAATAATTTAAATTTATATATATATATATATATTTTTCTTAGATGCTCATTAATCATCCAGATTAATTTGACTACCAAATTTGGCATACAACTTGGCTTTCAAATTGTTCATCTATTTATGTGTTTCTTCTATTTTCTTGGTGTCTTCTTCAAATTATTTCTTAACATTTGCTACTTATTCATCAATCAATGTTCTTGCCTTTTATATAGTTAAGTTCCTTACTTTATCAACGCTCACTCGAATGAAAGAATCACCGAATTTGAATGGAATCTTCTCGTCATCATCCATCAATTCCATTTCATCTTTACCATCTGACAAACGTGTTAACTCATCTTTTCGACTACACCACTATTTTTATTATTCTATACGCTTAATTCAATCGAATAAGTTCATGGTATTGCATATTCAATCTGCTAAAAGTGTTTATTTTCTATTGGTCTTGTCTATCCACTTCTATGTTGTCAGTACTTGTAAATTTCATTATTTATAATTTTAATGTGTTGAGTATTAATCAATTGCATAGCTAGCACTTTCCAAAAAATCAAAGGATGGTTTAAAAAGGATCGAGGTGAATGTATATTCTATCTTTAGAGCCCCTCTAAGATGACTAAATTAGACAAAGTCCATCCCCATCTATGGCAGCTCAAGCTCCAAAATATTCATGAGGATGAGAAAGATAATCATAACCTCAATGGTACCTTCCAAAAGTAATTGACATTCCATTACTTTTTTAATGACATCAGTACCTTAAAATTGGAGGTATTGATTGATGAAAGAAGAGTGCCATTGATTATAATAAAATACATAATTTTCATCTAATATCCTTAAATCTTTCAATAATCATCTCACTTACTGAATGAAGGAATGAATTTTATGGGTTTGCCATATTTTAAGATTTATTGAAAAACACTAATTAAAATTATATAACAATCTCAAATATTATATTTAAATTATATATATATAACAAGCAAATGCTTTAACCTATCAAATGGGCTTAGATTAGTAATTTAGTATAAGATTTAAGCTAGATACTCCCTGTTGGATTTTCAATGACCATAAATTAATACCTGGGGTTATACTTTAGGTTTCCCCCTTCTTGATTAGCACAGCTGAAGGTAATATAGCTGATTCCAAAAATGTGTATTAACGAAGTTTAGATAATTTATAAGAACTCGAGGATTTGATTGATCTATCGATTTTGAATGAGGCTGAAGTTCTTAACGCTTTGCATCATAAATTTTAACAAAAAAAATTTCAAATTTTTTGCGGAGCATCTTTTCTCATCATCAATCCTTTTCATAAAGAAAACACAAAATCTCAACAACTGCATTAAATTGCTCAAAATGCTTATCATCAAATGACTGACCTACCTTAATCAATTATAATGATTGGAGAATCAGGATCAGGAAAGTCTGAAATCAGCAAATAAATTTAATTATAGCTGTCCAAATTTGGGAATTTTCACACTAAAGTTCTGGCTTGCAATTAAATTATCGAAGCCTTTGGAAATGCCAAAACACAAAGAAATTCGAATTCATCTCGTTATGGAAGAGTCACAAAAATGCTGTTTGATAAAGATTATAAGTTATGCGGAGTTCATTTAAGTGCAGTTTCCCTTGAAAAATCACGCATATATAATGTACCATAAGGAGAATGCAATTTTAACATATTATATTAATTCTTAAATCATGGATAATTGGCTTTATTTAATATCAATACTAATCAATAATAAAACTTGATTCCAAATCCATTGAATTCCAAAGCATATTAATAATAATCTTAGAAAGAAGCACAACAATTTTAAGACACACTGGATGCTCTGAAACTATTCAATATAAATATTGATGTAATTTTAGGGATATTGGCTTGCATAATTAAATTGGGTAATATATAATTCGACGATCATGATAGTGATTGTTCAATTCAAGATTTGAAATCCATTCTATAGATTAGTCAATTGCTTGGGATTTCAGACAAAGAATTAATAAGGTGTTTGTGTTATAAGCAGAGATAATTGCTGAAAAATGAAGTGGTTGATACTCCATTAAGTAGAATAGAATGTATAAATCAACAATAGAATATCATCAAGCAATTATATGAAAGACTATTTGAATTCTTGATTGATTCAATTAATTGTTAGATGTCTACATAAGTAAATAAGTACTAAATCAGCATAATCGATTATTTTGGATTTGAATAAAATATTGTAAATGGTTTTGAGTAATTACTAATCAACTATTCTTAAGAAAAGTTGCACTAATTTTATCTTTTTGATACTTTTCTATGCGATTCAAAAATATTCTAATAGGAGGGATTGAGCAGCAATCAAGGGCCAATTAATTATATGAATAATCTACCAATTTTGGAAAGTTTAGAGAGACCTCCTTTGGGAATCTTGAATATATTAGATGATAGTTGCACTGTGGCTGGCACTGATGAAACCTTTTTAACTAAGGTTAAGAATGCCTTTGTGAACAATCAAATAATTACATATCCAAAATCTTAATCCCAACCAATATTTAAGGTTCGACATTTTGCAAGAGAAGTTGAGTATAATGTTATTGGGTTTCGTATTAAGAATAAAGATGAAGTTAATAAATAGTTTTAAATTCTGCTTTAAAAATCCAAGAATTAATATATATCAACAATGTACTAGCAAATCATTACTTAAAAGTATGTAGGAACAGTGGCAAGAACTGAATTACAAGGCTTAGTTACTTCTCTTAAAGATAGCAACAACTATTTCATAAGATGCATCAAATCAAACGATTAAATGATACAAGATCAATTTAATTAATCATTCGTTCTAAATTAGATTAAGTATTGTTGTATAGTAGAGAGTCTGTAGATGAGGAAGGAAGGTTATGCATACAGAAGAACATATTAATAGTGTTATTTTCAGTTTTTTGCAGTAGTGTAATAGAAAAAGGTTGATTACAAGACAGCAGTCATTAATTACATGAAGAAAAACTTTGCATTCACAGATGATTAAGTGTTATTTGGAAATAGAATGGTGTTCTTTAAATATCAAACACATAAAATCATTTAACAGGAAATTAAGAAATAAAATAACTTAAAGCATTAGGCTGCATCCAAATTGTAGAATGCTTGGATTTGTTATAAAAACAAAATGATATTTCGAGAATTTCAATGCAGAGTTATATACATTTAAGCTCACATTAGAGGTTATTTAGAAAGACAAAGACATGTTAGACTTATGCAATCTATTGTGTTTATATAATTTAAAATTAGAGAGTGGTTAAAGAAAATACAGTATAAAAGAAATTTATAGGCAGCCAAAGTAGTTCAAACATATTTTAAGAGAATATGTGCAATTAAGTAGATGATAGTTGAAGAATAATGTGCAATAAAAATACAAAGATTTGTAAGAGAAAAACAATAGTATTAAGATTAATAAGTTGAAAGTGACATAAAAAAATTACTATACAAAGTGACAGATTAAGCTTGGAAAGTTATTGTATATAGAGCTGCTACTAAAATTCAGAAAACATGGAAGGGTTACATTACACGTTTAATAAATGAGGATAATATACAATCTATTAAGTTAGCAGGATTTTTAGTAACAGCCAATCAAGCTGCAATTACTATTTAAAAATATGCTAGAAGACAATATTAAAGAAGATATTTTTAATCATTGAGAGCAGCCACTACTTACATTTAGGGGTGGATTAGAAGTAAGTGGTTGAGAAATCTATTTCAAAGGATCAGATATGCGGCAATCGTAATTTAAAGAGGAGTGAGGAAATATTATAATTAATATAGAAAACAACGAAAGTATGAAGATCTAGTTCTGAAACCTTTGGAGAATGAATTGAATAGGATAAGAGAATAAGAATTTATGAATTTGCATGATAGTTATATTGAGAATATATTGGATGCTGACTAAGAAAATATTCCTGGCAAAAAAATTGATTTATTCAGTTAAGTAATAGATTTGGAGATATTGACAGATGTAAGTGAAATCTATGATACATTATGGACATCCTTATATAAGAGATGTTTCAAAGAATGTTATGAAAAATAGAATTATATTTCAACATACTCTATAGGAGAATGTCATGCATATGTTGGAACATTACAAAATAAAATCTACTCTTGGGGATTGAATGATTCATTATAGTAAGGATTGCTTAAATAAAATGCAAACAAAATTAATTCGATACAATTTCCATTTAAAGTAAAGTCTATCAAATCTGGAGCTAATCATGGATTAATTTTAAGTTAAGAAAATGTTTTATATTCAACAGATGAAAAACAGAGTATTTTAAAGAATGTTAAATTGTTCTCTGTATACAATGACGATAACGTGGCTGTAGATGAAAACAATTTAATTTATATATGGAAAAAGAAACACAAAAATCCAATAGAACTGAAATCATGGACTGCATTCATAAGAATGAGTTAGATTTAATAAAAGATTTAAGTACATCAAATTTCCCATGGGTTATCATTCTTCATAGTGTTGTCTGCAAATGGGATGATGTTCTCTATGGGTGAAAATACAGTAGGAGAACTAGGAATAAATAGAGGTCATTCGAAAAATGAATTAACTTTAATTGAATTATCTGATAAAATAGCAGAAGTGCATTGTGGTATGAAGCATACTATTGCCAAGTCTACTTTAGGAAAAGTGTACACTTGGGGTTGGGGTCAAATGGGATAATTAGGACATGGAAACCTTAAAGATGAAGCATTTCCAAAGATGTTGCCATTTGAATCAAAGGTACTTTAGGTTATGGCAGGTCACAAGCAATCAATTGTGATTTTGGACACAAGAAAGATTTATTGGTGGGGTACCAACTCATGCTTACAATACCAAACAAGACCAGTTGAATACATGACTAATTATCCAGCTATTAGAGTGCTATGCAGTTGGAGCAGAACTTTGAGTGTTGTGTATATAACATTTGCCAAGACTTATAAATGCATAGATAATAACATCAAATTGAAAAATAAGATTATCAATCAGATGGTTAGCAAGTGGAGTGAGAATGACATCTATTCGTTAGATCCTCCTTACTGTGATAATTTGGCTAATTATTTCAATCAAATGAAAAAGCCTTAATAAAAATTAAACATCAAATTTGCTTCAAAAATTGAACATCAACAATTAGTTAAATAACTCTAGTAATCTCCTTTTAATTTACTCGATGAAGTCAAAGACACAAGTTGCTTCTTTAGTTTCAAGAATGAGTCGAATATATAATTGTAAAGATAGTTATTGGAACATTCGGAAAATACGGATATCATCAATGCCAAATCTTATCATATCGATAATTCAAATAAGTATTATTTTATTGTGATTTAGACTCAAATTGCTGAAGTCTGTTAAAAAATATCGAAATGATCCTTAATTATAAGAAATACTAAAATAATCTGAATTAAGTGATATATTATAATATATAAATTGATATATTTAAGCAATCAAAATGAGGTATTCTTAATGGAATAATTAGTGAGGAAAATAAGTCAGAATAACAATTGGTCTTTTCTGTAATAGAGGAAGGCTATTTCGATTAATTACTTAAGAGAGTACTCAGAAAAACCCAAGAACCCTAACATCCAATATCATTGAAGGAGGCTCAAGCAATCGTGAACACTGTTTCTCGATCTTCAGATTTGTAGTCAATAAAGGAATTAGGATTCAAAGATTTTGTTGGCTACTTGCAATCTATAAGGGATGTTTATGTTGAGTATAGAAAATTTCAAAAAAAAGTACAATCTTCAGATATTCCTGATGATTTAGATGAAATGGTATTAGGATGCTACAATACAGTGCCTGCATATTTCTTCGATTAACCATTCCGATTCAATTATCAACTATTCTCATTAGGCAAGGATAAAATTAATCAGTATTTAGAGGAGATCAAGGATCATTTAGACGATGTAGAGATTACTTTATTCTTCTAAATTAATTCTCGCTTTGACAAATTTCTCAGCGTTATATTAAATCTGAATGAGATGAATTAAATCATAGATTAGAATATTAAGAAAGTCAAGAGAATACGTGAAATTTACAGTGAAACTAGAGAGCATATGATTAAAAAGAGCACTGAAATCACAAAGAAGAAACAAGTATTAATTCTTATTGAGTTTAGACAATTGAAAAGGTTGAAAACATTTTGTTCACTCTTAAACGCATTTAGTCGATTTAAAAGAGTTTCGTAACATTAACAGAACTTATAAATACTAAGAAATATTCCTAAGCAGTCTAATTGCTAAAAGTAAGTGAATAGACATATCAAACTATTAAATCAATCACTGGCTTAAAGTTTATACCTTAAAAGTTAGAACAATTACAGAAGACTCTATAAACCACAATTTTGAATCATCTTCTATCAATAATGCTTACTCAAATGACATCTTTATTAGCACCAAACAAATAACTTATTAATTAAATAAATCATCAATTGAATGATCATGAAGATTCTGTGCTTGCCAATTCTTATGTTAATGATAGTTGGTTTGAATAGTAACAGCAATCAATGATCACTCCTAATAAGCAATCAGATGATAGTTTTATTAAAACCCTATTGTCTTCTTCAGGCATTATTGATATGGCAGACAAAATATTTAAATAGAAAGTCCTGGAGGAATTGTAAGGGTATTATTAGGAGTTTCTCATTGCACTTAAGAATTTCTTCAATCAAGAGGAAGCTGAGTAATAAATGAAATTCGATGAGTAGTCTATCATGGAATAAATATCTTAGTATATGGAGGAACAACCGTTAAGCATCTTTATTAAGATTGTTTAATTCTTTTCTGAAAATTTAAAGAAGACTATTAATCTATAAATTGCACTTGCACAATCAATTGCCAAAAATGTATTGGATCAACCTAAACACATGGAGATTATCGAGGAACACTTTTCCATTCCAGTGGCAATGTTGAAATTTGCTAATGAAAAGGTTGCCTTGCTCTTATCCTCAAAGAGAATTGCATCTGACTCTTCAGTCAAGGATTTTATAGATTTACTTTAAGTTTATAAATTTTGGGATTAATTTTTTTTATAGGACATGTCCAGAATTAATGAGGATTTACAAATCAATGATAAAATAATGTAAAAAATTAGAGGATAATATTAGAAATGTTCTATAAATCAATTAGTTTATATGCGTAGCGCTCAGGAAAAGTAATATCTCTAAAATTTTCATAAAGAGAAGAAAACACAGTTGAATAAATATCTGGAGAATGAGACATGGTTGGCATCTGATGTGTCCTTTGATAACTATGAAATTATTACATATCTATTGGATCTGGAAGACTTGAAATAGGTTGAATAGTTGGATGAAAGTGTTCTTCTTAATAACAGCACAATGGCAGGGAAGAATCTATTGCCTTCCTATGTAAATAATTCACATTTCAAAATTATTAAAACTGAAATTATCATCTTAAAGGACAATTCTAAATATAAAGTAACACAAGCATTCTTATTCTTTTTATAAGCTATAAGCTAATATTTGCATTTATTTGAATCTTACTCAGTAATCAATTACGAACAGACCTAAAAGTTGGTTGAACTTATAAAATGTTACAATTCTTTAGCCACACAATACATTTTGGGAGCTGGAGCTGTGCATTTTGGTAAAATTTCCACGATTACAGCTAAAAATTTAGCGATTTCCTCAATATGTTTGAGGTTATTCTTATACTTGTTGGATCCCTTATCAAATAAACTATTTAAAGTGATCAAGTAAGCATTTAAACATAATTGTTTATTAGTCAATAATAACAAACCGAATTCACTAATCTACAACAAATCCAGAATGATTTTGCAACGATCAAAGTGGACTATGAAAATCACAATGCTGAAGTAATGGCCAAACTTACGACTATAGTGCAGGATAGATTTTATAAACATTTCGAAGACATTGCTAAATTAGATTGGAATGTAATATTGTGAAAGTAACCTTATAGGATTCTTAAACTAAAATTACTGTTCCAACTAAGATGACCAATCAGATCTGTTAGAATACGCGGTCTTTATATGTGGCTATAGAGGACATCATTACAAAGGAGGATCTTTGCAAGGTTTTTGGACACATTGTATCGATTCTCAATTCAGATTTTGTGAAGATATTTAAATAGCTCAATATAACTTCTAAGTAAGGACGTTATTGAACTTATTAGAATTGGGTTTACGAGGATTAAGGAAGAGCTGGACTATTTTATGAATTCTTTAAAGGACATAGGACAGTTGCCTCAATTTTTGGCTGATCAATATAAAAGTTTGGAATCAGATATCACTACGGTGATGGAAAGTAAACAATAATGAATCCTTATGTTTTATATATATAATTAATATATATATAAATTAATATTACAGTGGGAATTCCAAATTGGAGCAAAAATCAAAATGTAATTAATATCTTTTGAAATATATCTGAATTGAATCAAATATAAAAATTAGTATTAACATTAATTTTATGAATTAAAAAGAAACTTCTTCTGTTAATACATCTCACTAATAACAACAATCTCATTAAAATAAAGAAGAGAGTAAATTAAAAAGTCTATTGTAGGGTAGCTATGATTACATTCACAGAGAAACTGGCAAGATGATATAGAAAGTAACTTGATTTATTAAGTTGAATAGAAACTCTACAAGCGAGCATTTTAACTTTTGGATAAATTTTCAAGTCAACGTAAAGATTTGGAATTGAGTGAGATGGTGATGTTGAATCGTAGGATAATAAATTGCATCAATAAAATCCTAAAAAAAGGACTGTTAAAACCAGACATCGAATAAGATAGGCCTGAAATGATGATATTGATTGTTCAAAGAGGAACCAAAGCAATATTTGAATTATACAAATACATAAATCTCTACATCCAGAAAGTTATGCCAAACGAAATGAAAGGAGTCGTGTAATTAAATTATGTCTATTGTTAGATTGGAAGAGGTTTCGCATCTGACAAGTTCTGATGAGGAAGGAGAAGAAAGAATAAAAGAACATGAAGTTACTGTACTATTTTACAAGATTACCGAATATGAAAAGCCTAAAAAAGAGAGAACCAAAAAGTAAGCAAAAGAAGTCAACTTTTTTGAGTAAGAAGTATCAGAGTCAAGTCGCATTGCAAATATGATAGTCAAAACATTAAAACCACTCAACATACAATTCGAATTAGATCAATACTTCTATAATTTAATTGAATTACTATTAATGGCAAGTTTGGTGTTTAAAAAAGCTAATAAACCCAAAGTCGCTTACTATTATTTATTGGAAGCTCAAAGAATAGCTAAGTAAATCCTCAATACGACAAATCCAAATCTAATAAATGCTTGTGCCAAAGCAAAGGTTTATCTGGCTAATTTTTATTTTGAAATAAGCGAATATCAAGAATCATTGAATATTGCTGAAGAAGCCATTGTAATTTTATGTGGAGAAATGAGAATTAGAATAAATTAAGAGAAATTTGCATAAAGAAAGTACAAAAACAGAGAGAGAAAAAGGATGAAAAGATGTGTTATTACAACTTTGTCAGCTTTGGTTACTATGATGTGTAATTATGAAGCTCAAAATAATTATCATAGGATTGTGGAGTCATTAACAACAGCTAGTTGGTTAGCTGAAAAATATATATAGGGAATAGATGAGTTCAAGAAGCATATTATAAAATTGGCCAGTGAAGGGAAGCATCGAGTAGAATAGAATCTCAAAGACTTGGCTGATTTGAGTTTTATAGCTGAATCAACACTCGATTCAGAGTTGAATAAGATCAGGAAGAAGCATAGAGACAAATTGGAATAATCAGAATCTCAATATCTCAAAAAATTTAATAATGATATGTATCATCTCTTTCAAATCAAACCTCTAAATTAAGAATTATATATAAAAACATAGGTGAAGTAAGAACAGAAAATAAATAAATAAATTGATTAGAAAGTCGTCGAACAATCATAACCTCATGGAACTGATGCTTCAATCAACATATTTGATAGTGACTCGAATAGCTAAGATAGTTTTTTCGATGGAAGTTTCTTTGCTCCTTCAATAGACAATTTATAATTTGATAATGATATCTTCGATATGAAAAGAACATAGTCAGTGGCCAAGAAACCTATAAGAAACAACAGAAAACTATTGAAACTAAATAGAAAATTAGGGAAATCAGTTGGTTTGATTAAAATTGGCTTGGAAAGACCGTTGGATCACAAATCTAAAATATTAACAACTAACCAGTATTTCAATGAATTTCAGAAGCCCAAAAAGTAAGAAGAGAGGAGTGTAAGTAATGCAGGGAGGTTATTGAAAAGACAGTTAGAAAATATTGAATATAGAGAACATCCAGATCGAGATGAACATCATAAATAAGATTTGGATGTCTATGTTAATAAGATGGTTACTGGGAAGATTGAAACCAATGAATTTCAGGATTATAATGACATTCTCGGATAGTTATTTAATCTAAGGAAGAAGGAGGACTTTGACAAGAAGGAATTCTACTTTGGGAGGAAAATGTTAAATTTGAAGGCCAAAGAGGAGATCATGTTTTATAAGGAGTCATTTAATTCACCCCCAGTGAAAGTGGAAATAGACACAAAGGTTAGGGATTAAGCACACATTATGGATGGTAAAATAACAGCAGAGAAAGAGTTGAAAGAATTAAAAAGGAAGAAGATTGATAAGATGGTGGCAGGCAAAAAGATAGTATAAACAAATGTGAATATCGATTTGAAGGACGAGGAGGAGACTATTTATTTGAGGAAGGTCTTGGAAAAAAGTAAAAAGAAGAAACTAAAAGATTTTATTTATAAACATCGTGAGGCTTTAGGATTATCAAAGTTTTTTGCCAATTTGCATAGAGAACAGAAGGAAAAGGAGAGGATATAAAGATTAAAGTCAGCTTTTGAGAAGGAAACATTAGTGGAAGTCCATGAGAATTAGAATGTGCAATAGCCATCCACTAAGCATAGAAAAAATGTTAGGATTTTTGTATAAGAGGTTGATAAGAAACCTCTAAATCATTAATTATCTCTGTAACCCTCTCAGGGTCGAAGTTCTCTACTCGGATTAGATGATACCAAGATATAATCAACTCAGAATCTTGCTCAATAAAAATCAAGCTCGATACCGAAGCCAATTCTAAAGAAGCCGTCTGAAATCTAAAAAAGTTCGTAAGTGAGTCAATCTATTACTAATCTCGAGGCTTAAGGAACAGATTTGATCTTACAATAGGAGAAACAACAGAAGACATAGAAATAGATGCGAGATCAGATTGAAAGGCAATAAAAGAAATCTCATCAAGTGATCGGTATGATAATAGATGGAGTGGAGAGGAAAATGGATATTGAGAATAAGGAACTGAGCAAGATGCTGTTCAAACAAAAGGGAGGATAGAAATAATATATAGATGATGATGAGAAAACTTATTTGAAATTTACACCGAAGTTTTCAGATATGAGCAGATCAACTTATCTGATGTATATTAAGAAAGAGTTGGCTGAGAAATAATTGTTCAGCTTAGAAGATAGTTAACCTCCAAGAATGGTGATGCCCAAGAAAAATCAATTGGCAGATATGGCTCAAATGTTTAAAGAATTTGGTTAACATTAATGATTTTTATATAATAATATTTTATAATAAATATGATTGACAAAAGAATTATATATTACGCATTTATTGATGACGAAATATCTTTGTTCGCAAATTAATAACACATATGGTCTGCGATTAGATATTTATTTGAATTCAATGACATCATAAACACTGTTGTTAACCTTGGGAGTACTGATGGTTTTGGGAGCTACAGCCTACATGAACTATGATGGCAACGTTAGCACTATAGATCATGGGTTCACTGCAGATTTTGCATCCTTCATTAAAGCCTTTGATTCCAAATATGATTTCATTAGATCCGATATCACTTGGTCCACATATGGGTAAGCAATCAACCTATTATTCCAACTAGAGGTGCCGAAACTAGACCAACCACTGCTCCATCCAAATATCCCATTGTTTTTATTCATGGAAACTCCGATATTGGAGCTGGTAACGGTGGAACTGTAGGATGGTAGACTGGATTCACATAACTTATTGAGTATCTATAAACCAATGGAGGATACACAAAGGCTGATTTGTACGTAACAACTTGGGGTAATTTTTATAATAATAAAATTTTAGGTCCTGCCAATCCAAATATGGCATCACAAAACAGTCACAGTGAAAAATATGTGATGACTACTAGACGTTTCATTGAAGGAGTCCTTGCTTACACCAAGGCCAGCAAAGTTATAGTCATTGGTCATTCAATGGGAGTCACCTTGGCAAGAGCTGCCATCATTGGGGGAACATATTCTGAATCTTTGTTTGCTAAATTCACAGTTGGAGACCCCATCACCAACTCTATAGCTGCCTTCTTTGGATTAGCCGGAGCCAACTATGGTTTAGTAGATTGCACTTACGCAACTGGATTACCCACATGCAGCACATACAATGGATTTTCACCATCATCCCAAATGCTCACTGCCTTGAACTCAAAGACTCGTAGAGAAGGGGCCAAAGTTTATTCATTCTGGTCACCAAATGACGATATCATCAAGTACAACTGCATTGTGAACCAAAAGAACACATGCATTGTGCCTGGAAGTGACGAATCAGTAATTCTATTGTTAATAATCTTAGTTCTAATAAAGTGGATACACACACTTTGATGTAAGAGATAAGTTTTCAGCAGACATACTTCGTCTCATCTAGAAATTATGATTATTTTATATATTAATTAAATATAAGACTCAAATCTTTTTCATCAGAAGGGGGGTATTCTAACAAATATACTGCTAAAAAAGGGACCAACATCAAAGACCCTAAGCATAACAATTTTTTAATTATGCAAATGAGACACATGAATAAAAGAGGTACAACATCATCATTTTCAGGTTTGTGATAGGAGTGTGTCTGAATTACAAATAATTAATTTATTAATTGCTTTTCAATTACAATTACTTTAATCTAGACACACCCCCTAACACAAACCACTTGCAAAATCCCCTATATATTAACGTCTATTCTTAACTTATATAGATTGCCTTAAGCTTAAGTTATAGAAAAAGGGAACCTTCATTGAAATTGTCTATCCAACAAAATCATCAGACGAAGAAACCATCGTTAAGAAACGCATTATCAGCAATTTTAATGTCAATCCAACCTTTTGGATCACTTCCAAATAAGAATTTCCACCTTCTTTGGACTTTGAGAATCTGTTTAAAACACCTATTCCAGACTAAGCTGTCAGACACAACGAAACCTTTGAAAAACTCGAAGTGGTCACCAATACCAATTAAAAGATACTAATCGATGTTCCATCCAGACCTGCTGCTTATTCTTTGGAAAAATTAAATTTGTAAGGAAAACCAACTCTTGAACAGTTGTTTTAAGCTATACCAAACTGCATGGATTATAAGGAGAGAGATAAACACTTTAAATATGGAGGATATAAACTCAATTATCAATCTGGTTATGCTCCAGTTGAGATCTAAAATAGACATAAGGATCCTGAAGATTACTCAAAGAAATAACACTTCATTAGACAAAAACAATCATAAGCCAATTTGAATTTGAAAAGAACATGTGGAGTTTCATATGTAAAGAAGAGTGAGAGTGAATAAAAGGATGTTAATCATATTTTTAAAAAGTACTGATTGAATTTTATTAAGACTTCCTCCACTTGTTTATTAATGTTCATCAGGTTGTTAACCAATAGCTGGATATGATGAGGCCTTTGATAACCTATTTCACAATCTTTTGAATGGAAAGAACCTGATAGTGTTTACACTTTTCAATTCTTAGGATGAAAGTGTGTTGAGAGAATATTTATTGTATCCACACCTTAGAAATAAGATTTCAAGAGAAAGAGTTATGATGGCTAGAAAATTCCTAAACTTATGGATGATATTTTAAGATGCTTTATGTTTAGTGATTCACTATAAATATGACGAGTATAAAATAAAATATAATTAATAGAAATTAATTATTAAGACCAATATAATTGAATGAATAGGATGATATAAAGCAATAATTAGTCGACTTTATTTGTGAATCAGAAATCTCCATATGTTTATTATTCAAAAAGAGTGTATCAGGCAGAAAAGCATTTTTGAAAAGTGTTGGATTGTGGAATGAAGGCAACGACAACTCTTCAGTTTGCACAGAAACACAACGAGAGGATATATAAACTAAATTTGTTATATCTGTTCCCAAAGTTCCGATCAATAGCAATTCCACCCCACAAAGTATATTCTAAGAATTTACTCATATCATCTAACAATAAGAAAATTATGTTTTAGAAACCAGATCTTAAACTCAGATTCCATAAACCCAGTAATAAACCCATAGTAATGAAAAAGAAACAAAGAAGAAAAAGAGAGCAAAGATCTTATCGTCAACAGATGTAAGAAAAGATGGAGGAGCCAGTGAATAATTGATAAATCATCTTATTAAAGAGGATGGAAATCATAATATTAATACATGTAGTATAAGGATGGAGATGTATGTTAACGAAGAGAAATGGAAATCAGCTAATGATCACAACAAAGATTTGCTTAATGCATTCATCAAGAGAGTTGAACATCATGTAACAAATTCTTACCTGATTAAAATGATGAACAAAAGATTCAAAGCTAATGAAAAAGGCTAAGATTATATCATCAGAAGAAGCAATAAAATCTATGAAATTCAAACTGATAATGTGTAGATAAAATAGAACAAAAAATCAATTAATTGGACATCTATATTTACTCCTGAAAACTTTACAAATCTATCAACATTTAAATTAAGCAAGAAATACTAACCAATATCTCTAGACATCCTTAAAATGAAGGAATTAAGTTTTCTTAAATAACCATTATATTGTATAACAACTAGAGATAGCTTTGCATTTGACTTAATTACTAAAGTAACCAAGGTTAAATTAGGAGATAGATTAGTAGATAGGTATTAAATTAAAATCTACATAAAATTAGATTAGATTTCTTTTTTGAACCCAACAATTGTCCTTGTAATTTCAAGTCGTTTTTGCCAATGTTCCCAGAATATTAAGTAGGTGCACATGCATATGTTGGCTATTTTACAAATGAAGAACTATTGTAAATGGAAAAGGAAATTTATGAAATGGAACTAAAAGGATTTGATGGTAATATAAACATATATGATTTTAAAGGTCATTATTTACCTATGACTGCATAAATTTCACATGCTTAATCGAATCACCATTCAAGTGTACGTAGAACAAAATTCTTTTTTGGTTATAGATATATGTGGACTAAATGTCAATTAGCAGAACCACATTCCAAGGTTGCTGCTGGTGTCAGAAGAGATGTTTCAGCTCCTCCATTGTGGATGAGAAATCTCATTACTAAACTTGAAAATGATAATGTAGTTCCTAAAAAGTTCATTAATTCTATTGCCTGCAATATTTATCATGATGGAAAAGAAGGATTAGCATAACATTTTGATGATGCTGTTAGATTCAAACAACCAATCTTTACTATTAGAGTATTCTCAGATTGCAGATTATCTTTTGGAAGTCAATTCTATGGATTTTGCAATGGAGCATTTGCAGTTCCTTTACCAAGAGGGTATCTATTAGTATTCATTGTTTTTAAGTTGCATCCTTTGTATGGAGGAAGGCTCCTATGCTGCTAATGCCATCAAACATTGTGTAAGACCCTGTGATATGACTGGAAAAAGTGCAGCCTTAATATTACGTCAAATGCATGAGCAAGTTACTTAGGAAGCCATAAAGTATGATGAATTTGTTGATCTACCATGTCATATGTCTACTTTGTCAGTTGATGAAAATGCAGTTCCTTTTGGAGAGTAAAAGAGATTGGAAGCTGAATTACTAAGCTGAATCATGAATTATAAATGATATTGTTATTTAATAATCTACTTTTTTTGAAGTCTTAATAACATTTTTACTCATAAAATAATATATTTTATACTTAATAAACTTTGGAGAGACATTAAGAAAGAAATTTTATTAATTATTATGAAAGAATGATTCGTATTACAAATTACATTCGAATGAAAGAGTAATAAAATCCTCTCTCTTTTAATATGAAAATGATAAAATTTATAATATATTAATTCTATATGAAATTTTATAATTAAATGGATCTTCAAAGACCAAATTAAGTTTATTATTTTAATTCGAAGGCCAATAGATAAAAATACTGACAAAAAAAGCAGTTTCAAAAATTTCCTTGAACTGATTAGTCCCTTATCTGAATAAATGTTATTCCAAATAGTTTTATATCTTTTAGAACTTATGAGATTAAATAAATTGCCAAATGTTAACAGCTAACTGCAGGGATTTAAACAAATTTTAATTTCTTACCTAGAACAAAGAAGAACATTGAATATGTAATTAATATATAAAATCTAAACTCAGAATTCTAAAATCCTACCCTAAGTAAAAATATGAACTTTTTTTGAACCAAAAAAATCATTCTCAAGGATGCTAGTTTGGTAAATTAAATAGATTAGAAATCTACCTCTACTCTATGCTTTAACAGCAGTCTCTAAGTCTTGATTAGAAAAAATTTATTTAAATATTTTTAAAAGATGCTCTCTTTTAAAGTTCTGTATCTTCAAAAATTTATTATGTAAAAGTGATTAACTTCTTTGTCTTGAACAATATTTGTTTCTAATGAATGAAATAGATGAAAATAGAAATTCTGATCTTACCTCAAAAATGTCAGATATTCTATTAAGGATTGATCAAAATCTTCTAAAAGTTTATATGCTTAAGAACTTCAAATTTTGGACAAATGGGTAGAAAACATAAAATAATTGATCTAAAGATTGCGACTATGTAGGAATTCTTTGCTATTCTACATTGGAATTGATATTCTAAATAGATGATATACAAAATTATTATAAATATTTATGCAATAATCCCATTTTTATTACGATATGTTCAAAATCATATCATTACTGTTTTAGTAGGATCTAATTAATAAATAAGAGAAGGATGAATTGAAATGTACTTCAAAAATTTAAGTTAGTTATGGTACTCGAATCTCAATCTGAATTGATGTTTTAACTGCAGGCCATCTATCGTTCGTCTGTAAAGGGAAAATAACTATATATGGTCCACGAGATTAAAAAATATATAGAATCTCATCGATAGGGTTCTCCCAGAAATAGTTCACCCAGATCATCAAGATATTTGGAAGCCTCACGTATGTGGAGCATTTACGAAGAGAATGAAGAAGAAGAAAGAGATAACGAAATTAAATTGATTGGAATTCGACGCTGATAATTGGATTGTTCAAAAGTTGTGACTCTTTTTGTTTATTAATTATTTATGGAGACTGAAACTCAATATCAAATTTCTCAAGAAGGTGTGTCACTAATTATATCTTTAGATATCGAATTTCTGAATGAAAAATATCGTCTGGTTTTTACATATCCTACAGCTGCCTTTGCCATTTCCGCTGCCATCCTCGCATGCACTAGATTTTTGAGTTTCCCAAAATTTTTCAGAAACCCTCTTGAAGTAAGCATCCAAATAATTTCGCCAGTCTCCAGAAGGAAACGCTCTCTTCTATACCAGGCTGTCGAAAATGGCAAAGCCTCCCTTGTTATTATATGGAGCATGCGTCGGAGGAGCTATAGGCTTATTTCAATATGAATTGGCTAAATATCATATGTTTGTGAAGTATAAAACTTTAGTAAATACATATTTGGATGCTTGTGAAGCAGTCTATGTGAGTGAATTAAAAAAGAGTTAGGAAAAATGAATTTAATTAAAAATGAGTATATTATTATAAGTAAAATAAAATCACCATAGAATTTCTTATTTAATTATTTTATGGCTCAAAAAAGAGATAAAGAAGTAGGATTTTTGAAAATCCGAATGGTTTAATAATCAAAAATAAAGAAAAATGATAATATTTTTCTGTAAAAATAGTTATAAATTACAAAAATCAATGATTTACTATTTAATAAATGTAATTGCGTTGAAAGTTCTCTTTAAATTCAAAAGAAAATATATTTCAACCCTGAATAATATTAAGTATGAATAAATTTAGATAGAAAATAGAGATACTTTAGACTATGATATTATTTACCATTTTCATTGCACTTACAATCAATACTGAATTCAATAATTTAGATATAACAATAATAATGAATCTAAAATTTGACTTAAATCTCTTTTATGGCAAAATAATTTAAAATTAGCATTTCTACAGTAGTTATTAAATAATGATAATTCTGATTCTTTTTTTTATATATTTATCAATATGATTTGCATTATCTAGCAAAATAAACTGTGGCAAACAAAGATAAAGCTGGTACTCCACGGCTATTTAATAATTAAAATATATTACAGAACCATTCTTTTGGCTGGATTCATTCTCTCAAATTTGATTTATCTTGCAACATCTCCAGCTGGTTATCTCAAATATATGTATGATATAGTGCATATTCCTGCAGATACAACAGAAGCAATTGGTGAAATGTACTAATTTTTTCGTATTTCCTTATTACATTAGAATTAAAAAATTTTTGACTAAAGGATATGCATTCTGAATTAAGTTTAAGTTTGTAAGATTCAATTATCCTTTATTCTGTTGGTATAGAATATAATTCTCTAACTTCTGGGGTTACTGTAAGGAAATCAAAATCCTAGTTTAACATTTTTATATAAATTTATTAATTATAAATATGAATAAAATAATGAATAAAAGACCCTGCTTGTTTTATAATATAATAATTATATGATAATACATAATAAGTAAATGGATGTAATGTGAATGGAAAGTATTTAACATTTTTGTTCTATTATTTTATCAATAATTAGTAAGTAATGAGCAGCCATATATCTGTATTTTCTCTTATATGCAATTTGGTTAAATATACTTCTCATGTTAAATATATTGAGTTTAATTTTCATTTATTCTAATATAAGTTTTTTAATTGAAACCATTTCTTTATTAATGTTATATTATTTAAAGATATTTTGAAATTTAGGATGTTGCTCCATAAAAACCATAACTTATCACTTAATTTATTTATAAAGATAATAAATGTTAATATTTTTTGACAATAAAATTTATTGATTATCCAACTTGAAGATCTCATTTGTGCAATCGCATTTAAATTAGTATTTATAAGTTAATGAAATAATTTATGATAATGAAAAACATAAATTGAGTGAAATTAATATTATTCCATATTTATATCATAATTTATAGCTTTGCATTTCATTAATTTTTGATAAAAATATCATTTAATAATCGGAATGGATCCAAATAAATTCATAAAATATTAACCTTATTAAATGACAGATTCAGTAAAGGCAGGTGGTCTATTTAGCCCTGAATAATGTGAATAACTTTCAAAAAAAATTCTTGATTTATTTGATGAAAACAAAGATGGATAATTAGATTTGTTTGACGTAAGCCAAATGCTATAAGATTGTTATAGAGCTATGAATAAGAGTTATAATCCAACACCTACTGACATTGCTGCTTTTACAAGAAAAATGGATAGTAAAAATATAATTAGCTTTTATAGCAAATGGTTAAGGCAGAGTAGATGAAAAAATTATCTAGAATTTATGTATGAAATACCTTTGTACAATGGTTTCAAACAATAATTCTTAACTAAAAGTAGAAAAACCTCTTTAAGAGATAAATGTTAAAATATAACCAACTGATAATTCCAATTAGGAAGAAATCTTATTACAATCGTCCAACTAAGAGAGTAAAGAATTCATTTACAAAAGCTACGAAAGAACAAACTTAAGAAGCTCCCAAAGTTGAACAAAATCAAATATTAATTTAACCAAAATAAGAGAAGAAACCGATTTAAACTGTCTAAAAACCTGCTTAGCCGGAGATTGCAAAGACAGCTAAAAGTACTGAACAACCCTAACAACCAATTCCAGAAAAAAAATACACAAAATAAGTTCAAGAAAGACTAAAAGTGGCAAGGAGGATATTTACTATGATAGACTCAGATTAAAGTGGTTATATTACAGAAACGTAATTTAATAAATAAAAAAATAGTGAAGTACCTTAACTGCTTATTGAAACGTACAAATAAATGGGAATGACAATTGAGCCAAACAAAGAGGATGTTGATTTATGGATGGAAATGGCTGATACAGATTAAGACGGCAAAGTATCCCTAATAGATTATGAAGATCTAATTATCAGAGGTTTAAAACAGTAAGGAATTTAATTGGAATGAGAGATATTAATTTGCTAAAATTTATAAGAATTTTAAATCTTTAGTATATAATATAATAATAGTACTATTTATATCTGCCAGTGTTAAGAAATAAGACAAGTAAATTAAAACTTTATATAAAAATTACCCAATATACTCATTTATTAAACAGGCTTTCTTGAATCCGAGATAAAAACGATTTTCTGACTTTAGCTTATTCTGGAACTGTACGTTTAATTGATTAGTCTATAGATCTTATGATGGAATAGTTTTTTTCTTTTAAAAATTTGGATATATAGGATTATTCAATTTATTATTCATGATTGGAAGGAGCTTTTGATAAATTTTGTTCATAATCTGATACTAAAGTCTTGAGATTCTATTTGATACTTTTTATAATTTACCATCAATTCCCCTTCATTGTGCATTGATTTTTATTTGATGATTTGTTACATTTGGACTCGTATTTTGGATTCAATATCTTAAGATCCTTAAACAAATAATCGAGCAGAATTGACTCCTTCTAAATGTTCCTGCTCTTTAGAAATGTCTGAAATGATTTTCATTATATTTGAATTTGTAACCACTCTTTAATGTGTGTATTTTTAGAACTTTAATAGTTTTTTACCAACAACAAGATCAGATTAACAAACTTTATCTACTTCTTATTAAGAAGATATTTGTTGTTTCACTGATTTTAGAGATTTAATCTGTATTGTCTTATCAAAGGAGGATAATACTTTTTACTAATAGTAGAGATCCAATTCCTTTTTTGCTTTTAAAGTCGAAAATGACTCAATTTCTCTTTTTGGAAACCTCTGCATAATATTATCAATATCAGTTGTATATTTAAATGATCTAGTTTTAACATGATTGATGCTAGCAATAGTTCTACGAGAGTGTTAAAAAGATGGGTTCCCACTGGGTTATTTACTAATCTTGATCTCATCCAAAGAATTTAATGTTCTGCATTTCTCATGTTAACGAGGTGTGTGAATATTTGATTGGATAGTAGTTTCTTATTCTGTGAGTCGAAATTAATTCTTTTTGTAAGTTGTATCCTCTGGTTATTAAAGGATAGAGTATAATTGCACGTTTATTTGTTTATTGAATTTTTTGTAGAATTTAGTATTGGTATCTGTCCAATAATCATTTTTTGATGTTTTATTCTAATTTGCCTTGGGCTAAGGAAATATTGGAGCAAGTATTTGATTTATTTCTTTAATTTCTAACATATAGACTTTATACTATAAGAATATTATGTTATGATACTTAGTTTTGGTTTAAATAATATTACTCATCCAAAAACACTGATAATTCGAAATTATCAATGAAACTTGAAAGCCAAAGAGCTACTCTATAGGTTTCTAATAGTTTATTATAATTTGATTGCAATTCATAAATAAACGTCATGATATATAGGGTTATAATGATCCAAGTGATCACTTTTTAATACTGACTAGAAAGTTTCTTCAGGTGATAGTCTTTATCTAAAATATCCGCAAGTATTAGCTGACATTCTTCAATGGCTTCCTTGTAGTATGATATTGCAGAATCAAATATTTTAAATTAGAAGTGAAGATGGCCAACTTATAAATTGTATTCAAACTTAGTTTTATTGAAGCGAGAATCCTTAAAATAATATTCTGGTTTCCAAATTAACATACACCGAACATCTTCATGAAGTTTAGATAATTAAAAAATTAAGAGCTGAATTTAGGATATTCGATAAAGTATATCCTTAAGATAAAATATTTCTATTAAATAGTGGATAAGATCATACTATATTCTTTTGCTTGATTTTCAAGCAATTCAAAGTAAAACATAATAAACTGTTATAGCTTTCTCAATAAATGTAATTAGTTTTCATTTTTAAGTCCATTTCTAGCCTATGATTTGAGAATTTTGATAAGACAAACAATTCCTCTTCTTAATAATTGCAAGCGAATGCGCCATCCTGTTTACATGATCAATGATCTTTCAAATTCTTTGTTAATTTTTTGAAATGCCATCCTATACTTGCCAGAACCTTGAATTAGGAAATAGAATACGAATATTTTATGTAATTTCAAAGATTTAGTTTTGGAAATGATTTTCTTGTGTAATTGTTAACTACTTTATATGACTCCTCATTATATTAATTATTAATCATAAATTATGTATATAATTTTCAATTTGATGTAAATTTGATCCTATTATTTAATGACCCTAAAGGTTGAATCCAAATAGTCCTTAGTCATATTTTAGTCTTACCTTAGATAACTTTTGAAGTGCACCAAATGTATTTTTTACTCTAATCGTTTATGCTGGTATCTTTATCCTCTCAGTTTGTATCAATATCAATACTAACTATCGATAGAATCAATAATTTTAGGTTCAATTTAATTATTTAGAAATGAGCGAGCGATGATCTAAAAATATTAAGGTCTTTTTCATAGGTTCAAATTATAACTAATTTTAAAACTTCAAAATTTGAATCTTATTTATATAAAATTAGCCTTGCCAATAAAAATTATACTTATATCTTTTAATATACATAATGATTTAAAAATAATCATTTATTTCAATTGAATTCTAAATAGTGTAATAATTGTTTACTAAATTAGTTTTTTTTTCTCTTATTTTAATAAAATCATTAAAATCAGATAGATTCACAAATCCTTAAGAGATTTACATTTTTTCATCATATTGGAAATATTATTGAATCTGAAGTCTAATTTAAATTTCTTTTTAGAATGATATAGTGTTCATTTATCCTTGATAATTATTTTTAAACTAAAGAATTGCTATCAGCAAATAAAAATTATAAAATACAGGGAACTTAGATTTACCCAGGAATTTACCTTTATATTCATGCAAACTTAACAATCACATGGTATAAACAGCTATAATTTAATGATTTAAATTAAAATCAGAATTTTCAGGAAATTATATTAAAAGTTAATTTTTTCTGTTCATTAAAGAATCTTAAGACAGAATAGACACTTCTGAATCTTTGAATATTTTGTCATTGTTAAATAGCTTAATATTCTGTATATGTATATGGAGAGAGATTGATATAACAAATATATACTAGATTGTTTTGTAAGGAAAAAGTATCCTTAGAAATTGAAATCTATATTTGCATCTGATAATCCTTTAGATTTTAGTGAAATTTTTAGTTTTTATTTAATTTTAATGTAATCTATTCGGGCATAGAGAATGAAAAAAATAATGCAGGTTCAAGGAGAGGTTGGACAGCATAAAGGGTACACAGCGATAAAAATAGCTGGAAATGCTCATGAATTAATTAGAAAGAGTAAATCAGCTGCTAATAATATTGGTGAATTGGCAATACAAGATGTAACTAAGAAACTGTTGCAAGACCAATTCAACTCCATTAAGAGTTATGACATCGCCAAAGGTGAAGAGAAACCTGGCCAATCATTTAAGTCGATGCATAATATGTACGACTTGTAAACTTTGAAGATTACGAAATTGTATAAGAAAAAGGAAAGGAATCAACTTGAGTAATAAATCAGAAGTCAATTGGCAAGGGATCCTGATAAACAACTTTTGCTTTCAGAGATTTACGAGTAATTGGAAGATAATTCAGATGGAGAGGTTCTAAAGAAGAAACAAAAAAATAAAGAAGAGTCTCTGGCTACTCACTAAGAGGATTACGATGAATCACAAGATCAAACAGCAGATCTTAAAGTGTGGACAAAAAGATTGAAAGAGCAAAAGAAGAAGGAGGAGAGTAAACAAGAGGATAGTAGTAAATTTAATGTAATTCCATAAAGAAATAAGCAAAGAGCGTCAACTGAAATCAAGAAACAAATTCCATTCTAGTAATCAGTTAGGCAATTGCCTCTTGAAAGATAAAATTCATCATAAAATTCAGTCCCCTCCCAAAGTACGCCTAGATCCTTTAAAGATGTTATGAAGAATGCTGTTTAAAAAGTTAAACAACTAAAGAACTTAAATGAAGATCTAAGTGTAGAACGCTCAGTAGAACAATACATCTAAAAGGCTTCGGCAGTAGCCTTAAGTGAATTGAAGGAAATTGGAGAACTTAATGTTGATGAAGAAAAAGGATTAACCACTAATTTTGATTTTACTAGCGAAGGTGTATAAAGAATGTATAATACTTTGGTTAAAGTCTAGATGTCTCAATTTAAATCAGAAGCTGAAAAGGCCAAATTTTATAAAAAACAAACACAACTCATTTCCAATAAATTGATCTTCAAAATTAAACAAAATAATATTATTATCGAAGCAAGAGTGGTAGCTTAAGAAAAATTAAGATTAGAAACCCATGAGTACCATGAAAAAATAGGATAAATTAAATAACTCACTGAACAATTGCTTCAAGAAATTATAGATCTAAAGGATCCTAGAAGCTAAGGTAGTCTCTCAATGAGTAAATCAAGAATGTCTTTAGTAAATTCATTCATGAATCAATAAAATAAATAAAAGGAATTGGATTAAGACCTCTAAATCCTCAGGGATAGCAAAAAGGCATATAAATAAAAGATATTATTCAATAAAAAGACTTTGGAGTAAATAGATTAGGATATTCATATTAAAAAGAAAGAAAACAAGTCCTTATAAAAATGCTTAGTGAGTTTTTATTTTCAAGTGCTTAAAAATGGGTAGGATGTTAGAACCACAGGAATAGCATGGGTTATTTCAAAATTAAATTCATTAAATGAAAAATGTCATTATTCATTTCTGCCTGATTATTTGGATTAAAAGGCTAAGGAATATTTACTTCAAGTACTTATTATTTTTATATCAGAAAGCAACAATGTTATCGGACATCGAATAGCTAGAAAAAGAGTTGAGCGAATCATTCAAGCAATATAAATAAGAATAATCCCTTGATAGTAGTTTGGCTATTTTATAATAGAGTTTATCCTAAAATGATTCCTTGGAAGCATCTTCATTGCCTTCAATATTTCCTTTTGATAGTCATAAATTATCTTCAATAGACTTACATCAAGCAAGACAAGATGTTGCTAAGACTTGCAGAAATAACTATTCATTGGAAAAGTTGGGACCAATTACTTTAGGATTGACCAATGAGGATATTGAAAACTTAGAAAATATGTTAGCGAAACTAAACCAAAAGAATTAACCAGTTACTAATGGCACATTAATTTATAAAGAAACTCAAAAAAGAATCAAATAGTAAATCAAGTAAAAAGGGCAAATGGAGGTCTCATAAATCAATGATCAATCTGCTGTTCTCAAAGAATAGGCAATACATTCTTATGATAAATGCAATACATAATTAAACAAAATCAAATTGAAGGTATTAATTCAACCTAGTATTAGTTATCACATTCAGAAGATGAGTAAGTAATTAGAATAGTCAAGGAATTTGATTATAAGAACTATGGCAAAAGATTCAGCATAGATCCAATAACAGTGATTTCATGTCTTGTGGGAGGAGCTAGATGTGATAGGGAAATTGTGAAGTACGGAATGAAAAAAATCCACTATGAATGAAATAGTATACTTGTTATTATATATATATATCAGTAATTTTCTTTACTTATTTGTACATATTTTGGCTTTCCCTCTGATCTGTTTGTGTTGAATTGTTAAGAACTTAAAAACTACTATTGCTACAATTTATTGAGTGGCTACTTTAAAACATTATAAATACAAGATAAATCATGTTCTATCTCAGGGGAGATATATTAAATTGATTGGATTATCTAGGGGACTTTGAACTATTTAAATGGTTTTAGTAGAAAGGTATCATGTTGTAAATTTTATCCCTATATTTGTCAATGAAATCTTTAAGCATTTGCCAGGAAGGTCTCTCCTATTCATCATTTAATAATAACTGTTTGATAAATTCAATCAAGATTTAAGAGTACCCCAATTACTTTATTCGATTAAATTTTTGTTCCAATTTATCTGTTAAAACAATACCTTTAATATAATCAAAGCAATCATAAACTTCTTCCATTAAGATTACACTTAAAGCAGTCAGTCCTAAAGCATAAATATCGCTTTTTTATGGATCATGAGTAGGAGTTACGATCAATTCTTTATATTACTTCAGCAGAATAGGAGAAAGATACGCTTTGTCCTAACTTAGTATCATTTTTTAATATCCATTGATTTCATCTTTAAGCATGCTGCATTCAGCTATTTTAATGCATCCATTCTCATCTAAATAAAGTGTAGAAGGTTTGATATCCCCATGAACAACATTTCTTTCTGATAAATATGTGCATGGATCAATAATTTATTGTAAAAGAATCCAAATATGTCCCTCATTGTAGGGCTTATTGTTAAGTCTTCTTATGTTGATCTCACTTGATAAGTTTTCTTAGTAATATTAAATAATTATGGCTATTGAAGTCTGGTCAGAACAGATTTTTATTTAATCTTATTGATGTATTGCAAGTATTTTAAGCAAGTTGTCTTATTCAAATGCGTTTCTTTATCTGAGATGAGTCACTAGGTTGGATAATTCTTTGTCACTTTTAGTAAAATACTTCTTAAGACATACTTATTCATTAGTCTATTTTAAATTTGATCATACTTAAATGTGTGTAAACAATTTAATTGGCCCAAATTAAGGATGTGTAGCCTCTCTTTCTTAGGAGTATTGCAATAGAAATTATTTGTACTCCTATGTCTTTTCAGTTGTACTTTATTCTTATCCCATTAACGATAAAAAAATTATTTATAAAATCAATTCCATAACTCTTCAACAGATTTCTATTTGTATTTTTTAGATTGAGGAGGATTAAGCTAATTATTAGATTTGCTAGGTTTAATAATTAATTTGTTTATAATCTCTTATTGCTTGAGATTGGAGGTTTCCTGTTAAAACTTTTGAACTGCCTTCTTAGGGGATCCTTCTTTCTCAGAAAGAATCTTTTGCAGCCTTTGTAGTTCTTAAGCCACAGTGGCTAGCGAGTTTCCATTGGCAGGCTTGGTGAGTTAATTCAATATCAAATCAACAGATTCTAAATATGGAAGATAAAGATACTTTTAGCTTAATCAGTGGTGGTATCATTTTCATATTTCTGAATCTGTTCCTATAATGAACCTAACTCTTTTTTCTATCTTTCTTACTCCATTCTGCTAATCTTTAAATCAAGTTCTAGTTTTTTATTGATATCAATTTAGTTTTTGAGTTCATACTGAGTGACTGCTTCAGAAGAATGATGATAAGAACCTTATTAAGGGAGTGTTTGAATATAACTATTTGATGAGGGATCAGCAACTAAAATCATTTTTGAAGAAGGCATTTCAGCTAATAATAGTTGTTATTTTGCATTATTGATAATAGAATTGGCAGGTAAATCTAAATTCATTGGGATTTCAACATCCTTTTACTTTAGAAGTTCCACCAACTATTGGATTCTAGACTCCTTAGTTTAGTTGATATCTTCAAGTTCTTTTTGCAATTTCTCATAGGCATCAAGTTCCTCTTATAATTGTAGAATTGTCTCATCTCTTTCATTCAATCTATTAGTTAAGGCAATCATTATATCTCTTTGTTTTAGTAATAATTATTTGTATTTGTCTGTTTAAGCCTTATCTTCTTCTATATTCTATCTTTCTTTTTCCAACTCCTACAATTTCTCCTAGTATTGTTGTCGTATGATCTTTTGCTGTTTTTCAAGAGCATTTTAAAACTAAGGTGTTTCTTCAATCTTCTACCCTCCAACAAGCATTTGTGAATTCAAGGCTGATATCTTTTCTTCCAATTGTTTTCTCATTTCTCTTTCCTAAACCAGATCTCTGTTTCTTTATTCATATGCACTCATAACTTCTTGTTTGTCTTCTAGAGCCTTTTATCGTTCTTTTTCTAATTCAGCCACCATAGAATCAATTGGCATTTTGCTTCTTTCATCCAACTCTTATTTTAATTTTTAGATTTCTAATTAATATTTTCTAAGTAAGGCTCCTTGATCTTGATCCTAATTGACCATAGGAGTGTTTCTAATATTTTTAGCTCTGTTTGCAAATTTCAAAGTGGAGAGAGATTCACTAAAAGCTTCGATAGCTGGTGATATCATTGCCATAAATGTTGTTTTACAATTACCTCCCAAAGAGTCCTCCAATAATCTAGTTATTTTAGAATCTCTATATGGAATATGCGATTTTGGTTGTTTTAATTCAGTCAAAGCCGAAATGACATTTCCTAAGGCAGACAAGGATTAATTAATCTTTTTAGACTCCTCTAATCTGATACCAGTTGCACCAGTGACTCTAACTCTTTCACTGCCTGCCAAATCTACTAAATTTAGTTTTCCAACTCTTGCTCTCTTTCCATCAGGAGTTTCCTCAATTTACTCAACAGTGATGATAAAAACTGCATGACTTCGCGATGATGTGTCGTTCATTCTCGTGCTTGCTGTTACTCTCTTGGCATTACCTCGTCTCATCAATTGATATATTTCTGGGGGAGAACGTACTGCCCATTCTGATAGATTCTCAACAAAAACTCCTCTTTTCTTATCTTCTCTGATATTCAATTGCTAATGATCTGGTCTTAGGAGATCACTTATAGATTCATTGTAAATTTATAAATATGATGCCCTCACCATAAATGTTGTCATCGAATTAGATTTCATCTGTATATGTGTAAAGATGTTATGCAGTGATCTTGGGATGATACCCAATTGATCAGAGTTTGGAGTGAAAGAGAATCCGTGCATTGTGTATGTTTTGCCAGTTCCTGTTTAACCATATGCAATAATCGTTGAATTATATCCCTTTTGAATACTTATTCATTTCATACTTGAAGTGTCGAATCAACTGACAACGCGGCAGTGGTTTCGTAGACTTCCACTTAAGTGCTTTCTTAATCATATACATAATCAAATGTAAATTAATGAATGGTGTAATTAGCTGGGTTTTATACAAATGCCTCCAATTCCTCATCTGGCACTAACTCTATTGCATGATAATCGAAAATGCAAAGTTATTGATTATCCGGAGCCACTTGTACCTTTGAAATTGTAGATCACATAACCTTACAGTCGATATGAATTTGCCATCCTTAATCTCTCTAGCCATAGGAGGACGAACCCTAATTACAACTCTAAGATTTTCATTCGAACCTTCTTTCTCTTTCTATTTCATTAATTTTAATGCTGTATTTACTTTTAAACTTAGTTTTATGTAATATATTAGAATCTATATTTTGCTAATTTTATATCATCCTAAGTTGTAAAAGCCAAGTAGTTTTAATGTATTGAAGTCGTTGATGAGTTGGTAGTCCAAATCTTTCTAAAAAGTAATGGTGATTTTAAAATATACAATTACTATAGGATAAATCATTTTTTGGAAACTCAAGTTGATTAAGTTATGAATTAACTTTACTTTAAAGGAAATAACTAAGCATATGCTTAATTCGATAACTAGTAGAATTTTAGAAATCAAATTGGATTCTAAAAAATAAATTAAATTCTATGTCATGGATGGAAGATATCTTTGATTTGAAACTATAAGGAGATGAGTTAGAAGACAATTTGGATTTTCAATATCTCCAAATTTGAGGGTATTATAGAAAATTGATGATATTATTAAAGTGAAATAAAATGTATATGAGTACAAAAACAATGAAATCTCTTTAGCAAAGTACTTACAAACATTAATTACTGTCTGATGTATTCTCTGATAACAACTTCTATAAATATCGCAGTTAGTCAAATACTGAATAATATACTCCCCTCAAGGGATTTCAGATCGTGAAATTAAGAGGGCCTTCTCGAGTATCGATTTAATAATCGTAATAATCTATTAAGACTGTTAAAAGCATTAAAAAAAGAAATAATTCTTAAAACAGTGTCAGATTTGATCTCTTTAAACATGTTACAGAAATGGATGACTGTGGAATGCATGAAAAACTTATGAATCTTTTTGAAATTGATCTAAAAATACGTAAGAACTTGGAAATCAACAGAATGATAGTGCAGGATAAATAACAATCATCAGCCTAATTGGATGAGATCTATTAAGAGATTTTATTAATGTTAAGCAACACTATCGAAAGAATACATCAATATATCAATGCAAACAATCTCGAACGCTCAGACTTGAAAAAGGCTCATCGAAGAACTGCCATTGAAATAGAACACCAGTTGCAAGAGTTTGTCAATATGATGTTAACTTCTATTGCCAAAAGAGATTTGACTTTGGCAAGACTAACAGAGAATGCTTGGAAACTCATTTGTGTTGCAATAGAAATGATATTACAAAATGGGAAGGCAGAACAAGAATATATTCAATAAGAAGTATTAAATGAATTATAATAAGAAGTTGTGCATTTAAAATAAGAGAATGAAGAGATCTATCATAAATATATGGAAGTCTCTGAATTAAATAACAAATTAACTCAATAACACAAGCAAGAAATCAATATTCTAACATATTAACTAAATATGGCCAGAGTTGAATTTAATGATTATAAATAAAATTAAGAAGCCTTGAGTACTTTAGAGCATGCCACTGGAAGTCTTAAAGATGTAGAACTCAATCTCTAAGATACTCATAAGATATTGAATAAAATCGAAGAGAACATTAGCAATAGAGATAATTAATTATTTTAGACATTGAAGTCTGTTGTCTAATAACATAAAATGGATAAAGATAGTCAAATGAATAAGGCATAGAAGTTAATTAATAGATACTAATTAAAATCCTTAAATTCCAAACAGTGTATAATTGCTTCAGAATATTTCAATCATCCTTTTGTGTAGTATTTGGATTTAAATTATGAATATAATTAATAGGATGAAAAGCGTCTTTAATAATTGCTTATAGATTGGTTTAATTAGGAATGTGTGAAACCTCAATTTGGTACTCATCCAGCTTAATAGAGATTAGAATAAATAAGCACTTATGAGAGGAGAACCAATGCTGAAAGTTTTATACATTTCTTAATTAAAAATGAGAATCTGAATCAATTACAAAACTGCATTGCTTATATAAGCTAAAATATGGAGGTTAGTGATCTAAATTAACTAAATAAAGTAGAAAAATTCAATAGATAATTTTGTATATTTTTTGGAGTTATATTTCAATTCGACATCAATAATATTGAGATTGATTTGTAAACATATGATCGAATTCGATTTTTTTATTCAAGCCTAATGTAAACCAATTAAGAAGAATAAACTTAAAATTAAAATAAATTCTAATGGTACAATTTTGTTGTTTAAAATTTGAATGAATTGTGTGCTTAAATATTTTTGGATTACTCAGAAAAAGTTGTCAATTCATAGCAGACAATTGTTTAAATTTTGGTATTCATATTGTAAAATGAAAGTGATAAACGAAAACATCAACTCAAAAAATTGATTGACGATTTCAAGAGTGTGGATATTGAATTGAATCTGTAAAGAGAAGGAATGTTCTAGTTTGTAAAAGAATTATGCTCATTTTACAATTATCAATATAATGAATTGCAAGTCATACAATATGCATAAGCACTATTTGATCGTTATATTCGAGTTTATCAGACAGGTAGAAAAAGAAAATGTCTTGAAATTGGAGAGTGGATTAATTTTATTTAGGAATTATAGTCAATATTGAATAAATTGATTTAAATTAAACCTCATTTGCATCATTAGATCTTTATGCTTGAAGATCTTCAATATGTGAACAAGGAATTCTAAGTGCATACTCGAACTTCATAGATTGAAAGAAGAGATTCCTAGATAAGAAAAAAATGAATAAACTATGTAATAAATCAAATATTATAATATTAATTTCATTTACTTTTCTTAAATGGCTTATATTGGAAATAATAATATCCAGCGGTTGTTAAACCCACTAGAAGGGCAATTCCACTGGTTATTTAAATGATAGATACACCGTTCTTTGATTTTAATTCTTAAATTTGATGCTCAGAATATCCAAAATTACTTAGAGGATAAGTGTAATATAATACTTTGTATGAATAATTTCTGCAACTTTCGAAATTTGTGCATAGACATCTTCCTCGTCATTAAATGAGGTGATGGGAATAAGTTATTCTGTTTAAAAACGGCAGGAACTTTCAATCATTAAGAAATCAACGATGCACAATCTACTAATCTCAATCTATTATTCTGCTTATAATTCATCGTAAATGCTGATCACATAAGTTTTAGATTTTATTGTTGTTATTCTAGGTGATAAATTATTGAATTATTATTCTAAGATTTTCTAAATAGCATTAATAACTAGTTACCTTGTTGTTTTTAGTAATAATAGCTATGTGAAATACTTTTCTCTCAATTGTTTTTTAGACAGCATACCAAGAATCTTTTTTATTTTGTTCTTTGAATGCATCAACTATTTTGATATCCACTCCAATGTAATTCAACAATTTGTATGCATCTTTGTAGTTAAAAAAAGAGAATGCACTAAAATATTATAGGATTTCATTCATACTTCCATAAGGCCAACCACTATGTCAAAGTGATTTGTTGTGATTCTGAGCGATATTATTAGAGAAGTGGAAAATTGGTTTAGAACATCACTGGATAGAATATGTAATTAAACTGAGTTTAAGTTAAAGTTTATCCATTCAATAAAAAGATTGATTTGAGTTTCTATAAAGCAAAATCACTTAATTCAACGGTTTGGCCTGCATTTTAATCGAATTTTAATCTAGTGTTGTAATTATTTAAATACTCCTCCTAAAATAAAGATTCCTCAAGTGTTAAATCATCTTTGTAATTGAAATAACGAAGGATTGTCCAGCTGATTTGTATCTTCATCAACTCAATTCCTCGCTTTTATAATACCATGAAACCTTGCAAAGTAATAAACGATTTTTTATTGGAATCATCTTTCAATTCCTCCTCAATCAAATCTTTTATTCCAGCAATGTCACTTGAATCTAAATGCTTTTTAAACACCTTCTTTTAAAATCGTTCTAACTCAAAATCACTCCATTTTCCATCGCCATCTCGGTCACATATCCGAAAAATACGAGTCAATGCCTTTTTAAACCCTTCTGTTAGGGATTTGTTTACTAGATTGTACAAAGGAGCCAAAGGGTACAAATAGGTTCTTTAGGCACAATTAATTACATCTTATACCCCCTGCAACTTAATTGATGAGCATTCTATTCCCATTTCAACTTACTATGTTATATAATTGTATTACACTGAAATCTTTTACCAATTGTTTAATGACTTTAAAAATTCTGCAATATTCTCTATCTTCATCCAGACCCATCAAATCAAGTTTATTACCTACTACAATGATTGGCTATTTAAACTCCTTCTCCTTCAACTCCCTGAGCCAGAACTTATTTAATCTTTCCCAAGAACCATCATCATCAATTGCGTACATTAAGAGTATAACATCTGCAATTCTGACTTATTCTGGAAGTTAGTTGGGCTGGCATTTCGTATCAATCAAAGTGGTGTTGCATTATGGATGATTGAACATTTCTGGAGGCAATTGAATAGGTTGATGCTTATCAATATGAGTGAGCTTGTTGAGGCTTTCATTAATTAGAGCTGAAATGAATGTAGATTTGCCAACTCCACCTAGGATTAACGATTAAATAAAATATGAATACTATCCCCAATTACAACGACTTTAAAATCTCTTTTCCTCATTTTAGTGATTGCTTGATTATATATATTTTATTTTAATGAATTTAGAATACCCTTGGGATGTGTAGAAAATAAAGTTTAAGAATATTTAGGTTTTTAGAAGTCATTAAAAGGAGGTAATTTGATAGCATAAAATCCCTTAGAAGTACATACTAATTGGCAATCATACATTATCATAATAGTATTGCATTCTATATTTGAATATCCTAAAAGGACAGGATCTTTATCAGAAGGAGCTTAAGCAATATATCCATGAAGAAGAACGTTAGTTTGAGACCCTGGAGGATGCTAAACTGTACTTATAAAAATACAATTTGACCTATCTCTACACTGTATCAGGAATAATAGGATTCATAAAATTACTATAAGGATATTACGTAATGTTCATAAAGAGACGCAAATCGATTGCCAAGTTGGGCAAACACAAAATTTTCACGATTGAAGAAAGATCAATAGTGGAATTATTCGATGGCCCCTAGGATTCAAGATACAAGAAACAACTATAGGATTATGATCTAGAAATTGGTTTCTATAGTAGTTATACTTATGATGTCACGAGTTCTTTATCAAAGAATATCATCTCATCTGAAGATGTTCAAAACAAGAATCAAAAATATCATCAAATTGGATAATACCGAAATCTATTTATGTGGAATCACTATCTATTAGCAGAATTCGATAAGATCATCAAAGATAAGAGATGGGTGATTCCAATTATTCATGGTTATTGCGAATAAAGTACAATTAAAACTGTTGCCAACTATTTCAGTATTACTTTATTAGCTAGAAGATCCATAAAGCATGCTGGTGCTCGTTATCTAACTAGAGGTATAAACGAATAAGGGTATGTTGCTAATTTTGTAGAAACAGAACAAATTGTGATTGAATTAGACAAATCGACATGTTAAAGACCTGCTTGTTCTTCATTCATATAAATCAGAGGTTCTGCTCCTGTTTATTGGTATCAAGAACCAAAAATGTATTTATTTAAATTGCCAATTAAAATAAATTAGAGTGATCCTTACTTATATGCAACTAAAAAACATATTTGTGATTTGATTTCTTCGTATGGCAGACAGATTTATATGGTGAATTTGGTTAAATAAAATGAGCATAATAAAAGAGAATAAGTATTAGCTGAAGAATATTTTTCAGCTATCAATACCGTCAAAGAGGAAATGCAGAATCAAACAGAAATAGAAATAGGATATTTAGGATTCGATATGAAGGCTCAATTAAAACAGGATAAAGAAGAATTTGTTAACAAGTGCTATTCATTAGCATATTATTGTATTATGAAAACAGGAGTATTTCTATTTGTAAAAGAGCCTAAATGCAATGAGAATGTTATTATTGAAATCTAAAATGGAGTTGTAAGGTCTAATTGTGTTGATTGTCTGGATAGAACAAATGCATTTTAATAATTGATAGGTGAAATGGCACTTGGAATTCAATTGGCTAAAATTAATCACAGTAGTTTGAAATTTAATTTGCTATTATTAAATGAATCCATCCTATAAGAATTTAGAGAGATGTATGAACAATTAGGTGACTTTGTTTCATAATAATATGGTAGTTCATTAGCACATAAATAAAACATTGGTTAGAAATCTAAAAGAATAGAATTGTTCACTTCATTGAAAAGACATTATAATAATAATATTGAAGATCCTTAGAAACAAAATTAAATAGATTTATTTTTAGGAATTCACAGACCTTATCCAGAGGAATCCTTTAATGGAGAAATGGTTCCTAAAGGTCTGTTTCCAGATACTAAATATTTATTATAATACACTCAACATAAACAATGGTGGGTTAATCCTTATTTAGAGTTTCAGTAGAAATCTCTGATTGATGAAATTAGCAGAAGATGCAAAGAGGCTTGTCAATAGGCTAAAAAGGATTAGAAAACGAAGATAGAGAGAAAACAAACAACTTTTAATTTTGACATTATTGAGAAGATGAAGCATAAGGCAAATCAAAAATTGAAGGCCAAAAATGTATTTATACTCTAATCCCCTTACACAAAGTTGAGAGAAAAACCAGCTAATTATATATCCAAACCTCTTAATTTAGAAGAAAAACTTAAGAAACCATATAACGATGTCATTCAAATATTTGAAACTGAATAATTGGATGATTCTCCTTGTGAATCCCATTAATCATCTCCAAAATAAAACCCATAGAATCTGAAAACTCAATTTTCTTTTCTAAAGGGGGATGAAATCCTTGAGATCCAAAAATACACCAGAATCAAAACATTCGAAGAATTGACTGATGAGGCAAATCAAATAAGAAAATATCTAAAATATAATCTTTCATCCGATGATGAAGAAAAGCTTAGAAACAACTTAAAAAGATATCTGAATGGAGAATAGCCTAAAGAATAAGTTGCTCTAATTGAAAAAAATTTAGATGTTTAAAAATAATACAGTGAAGTGAAACAATCGATTGCACATTCGGAAACAGTCTAAGGTGTATCTGTATAACAGGCGAAGAAGATACCGGTGGAGTAGAAATCAGTGAAATTTTTAGAATCTTTGCTAAAAAAGAATTTTGCTTAATCGCAGAAACTAAAAATTAATAAAATATGAATAATATGATTATAAAATACAACGAACGCAGAGTTTCTATCACTCCTAAAACCTAGACCAGTCTCAACAGTCCTGTTAGAAAGTAATGAGAATTTTCTATCATAGTAACACGTAGCCAGTATTTCTAACGTCTCCAAAAAAATAATTGTCAAGCATTAAGGAAATCACTAATAAATAATAGGAATTAAATAAGCTTCTTAATTAGCATGTTGATTTCTAGACTTAATCCGCTAACACTTCTATGCATTCGTTTGATTGCATTACGGCTCAATCAAGATTCAGAAGGAAACAAGTCAATGCTGATATTAGTTCAAAATTAATGCACTTAGACGAAGAAATTGTTGAAGTATATAATGAATTCGAAAAGAATTACAGATAGATCAATGATTTGGATAAATTAGAATATACTCCATAAGCTAGTTAACAATAAATTTTTGTGAGTAGAAAAAGTCTAAACAATTTAATTTAAACGCATGATGGACTCATGTAATCAGATTTAAAGTTCGGTAATTTGAACAGAATTAGAATTAATAGATTCAAATTTTATTATTTTCGTATTAAACTAAGAGGGAAGGTATCTCCAATTTAAGTATTCTTCAACATTCCAGAAAGAGTATAAAGTTCAGCTGTAAAAATGTTTTTATCAACTAAAGCAGAATTCCCAACTAAATTTAACGCAGAATATATTCTTCACTCTCGATTTGCTAAAATATTTTCTGAAAGAAATCAGCATTATTTTACTGAAGAATATCTTTTCATAACAATATATTCTGATGTAGATTTCGAATTCTCAATAACATTTCAGTTTGGAAACACTCAAATCACTAAATCACCTCCCAAACAAATTGCAGAGTCTCTAGACCTTATATCCTAAAATTGCTCTCCAACCTAAAAGTAACTTCCTAATGACAAAATTATATAAAATCTTACCTTAACCTAATATCAAGGAAGCTAAAAATTGCGTAAAATATTATCAGTTCAATCAGAAAGAACTCACAAATAAAAATAGGCTAAATCTCTGAGATAATCAATGCTCGAAGATAAGAAATTAGATAAGAAATCTAAATTACTGGTTAAGGATTAAATACTTCATTTTAGGGAAGTAGAAAGATAGATCAAATTGAAAAAATTATAAATGCAATTCGTCCAATAAAACTGGTTTCAACTTTTTAGTTTGCTGCTTATTACTGAATATGTTTCGAATTCTCTGTAAGAATAGAAGAGAAGATAAAAGGTTGCAGCCAAAGGCAAACTATTAGTTTGGGCAATGAAAACTAAAGCCTTGTTAGATGTGAAGGAATATGGAGAAAGTGCAAAAGAAAGAACCATTTTCAAAACTAGATGTGTAGTTTAAAGTTTTGCATGTATGATTAGAGATAAGTCTAAAATCAAAGCAGAATTTGTTGTTACCAAGTTCATGGGACGCATACTTTTGTTTCTAACTATTCTAAATAAACATTAAAGCACTTTAAACAAAGGTATTTTTAAATGTATACTAAAAAATAGTCATGTTTATTCAAAGAAAATTTCGTTTATTAAAAGCTAAGAAAAGAAAATTCAGAGATAAGTTTTGGAAGTTAATCAAAGAGAACATAGCTGATATTATTTATGATCTGAGAAGGTAAAAAGAAACATAATTTTTCTTTGATAAATAATAAATTAACATTGACATGTACATAATAATAACATATCTAGACCTGCAATGAATATAGTCATAGATGATTATTGTAGAAGGCAAAGGGTATTGTGGCTCGAATATATATAACACACGTTTTTAGAAAAGGATTAAAAGAGAGTATAATATTATTTAATCATCATTATAGAAAATACATGAATACGCTAAAAATCTCAAGGAACCTAAGATTTATGATTTACCGAATAAAAACGAGTTAATCCCACTGATAGAGTAATATGCAAAAATGAAAAAAATACTATGACTATAAAATAATTTATTTAAATGGGAAATGCATGTTAGGCGACACAAGATAGTCTCCCAACAGAAATCAGTGATGAATCTACAGGACCTCAAACAGTAAAGGAGACAAATGATAGAGTTATATTCAATGAGATTTATAAAAAGGAGAATGTTGAGGTTCCAGATAAATCATACTCCTCACCAATTCTAATTCATCTTCAACTCATCAATCTTGACTTGATTGAACCAGATTAGTTTATCCCTTAAATTAAGCCAAACAGAAGAACTTTGAGTTTTGTTAATGAGAGAACGTAGAAGCAGATAGTCAGAAGTAGAACACCTTCTCATAAAATTGATTCAGACACAATATCTATGACAAAATAACCGATCAAATCCTCATTAAAATCCATCAATTCTAGGAAAGGCAGCTCTAACAAAAGTCAAAAGTCAGTTAGATGGGATAGTGATTTAAGTGTTTTCCTTAATTTAACTCACTATCAAAATTATTAGATATGAAACTATTTTTTTATATATTATAAAATGGATGAAAACCAAAAGGCATTCTATTTCTTCTCTTATAAATCACAATTGTAACACTCCATATCTATACAATAGGGCTGCATAATCGACTAGAAGTCAAATTTCTCTTTCGTAAAGTCAAGAATAAGCATCGATGGCATTTTAATCAAGGATCAAAGTTTAGAACAGAGACCCTCTGGCATTGAGAAGGAAATTGAGTCCAGCAGAATTGATCCCATTGGATGAGGAAATTTTAGAACTTTATGATGACTTTTCTAGAAACTATAAACTGTTGGGACACATTAATTAAACTGAACCTTTTTCTTCAAAATAAAGCCAGTTTGAAGTGATTATGACACAGCCTATTCAAGCAGTGAAGAGTGCTAGGTCATTTGATTCAGAAGAGCTATTTTGTGAGCAGAAGAATAAGTTAGTTATCGCAAGATTTAAATTTTATTATTTTCGCCTGAAAATTAAGGGCAGACCTTCTCCTTTGTCATTATGCTTCAATTTTATAGAAAGAGTGATGGGGCTTAAGATTTATTTGTCTACAAAGGTAGAATTCCCTTCATCTTTCAATGCAGATTAATTTGTTTAATCAAAATATGCTACTTTATAAAGTTAACACAATCATAAAAAATTTCATGAAAATTATTTATATATTTCTCTGCATTGTGAAACTGATACGAGATTGAATATAAAAGTTCAATTTGGAAAGCAATCTTTAAATCAAACAGAAAATATTGCAAAAAAATAAAAATCTGAAGTTAGTGAATAATTACCTGATATACAAGTTGAGGAAAGTCAATTTAGAAGAAGCATATTTACGAATAAAGATAAAATTGTCAGAAATTTAAATGTCACACAAAATTGCATGAATAAAAAGTTTAAGTTTTTATTTGACTTATAAGTATATCTAATTATCTACATAGTCTGAAAGAATAAGCAAATTAAAAAGTGCCTTGCAAAATAAAAAAATTGTATCTCGAGAGTTCTAAATATCAAAATTATTAAAATATTAAGCTCGATAAATCATACCAGAATATAGGAAATATGAGAGAACATTTAAACAAAGATATAGTGTCTTATAATAACTTTAAATCAATTGGTTACAAACAGTCTTTGTATTACAATTGGTGGACTCTTTGAATCTCTGTCTGAATGAAATCAAAAAAGCCTATCACATAAGGGCATCAGGAATGCTTTTAGCTTGGAGATGGAAACTTAACATTTTATTGGTCCTCAAAAGAAACGGAAATACAATCCAAGAGAGAAGCATTTATTAAGCCAAAATGGTTCTGAAAAGTCATGCAAGACATATAAAAAAAACAATAAGATTGTAGGCAACTTAAGTTTTGCATTCAGTTTTAACTTAAACGCTTCCAGTGATTTCTTTAAAAAATAGGATGATTAAAGTTAGATCAATTGTTCTTAGTGTCTAAGTCAAATTCAGATGGTTAAAAAATTAAAAAAGATTATTTTATGATAGATTTTGGAAAAACATTAATTAACTTTATCTTTAGGTTTTAACTGAACTCTAAAATAAAGGCAAATAAATGCCAGAGAAACCAGTGTTGCTAAAAAGACCCTCAATTTATTTGATCGATACGTACTGTTGAATATTTATGAAATAGAAATTCTATGATTCCCTTGGTAGAGTCTTATCTATTCAAGATAAAAAAGAATTGGCTTGAATACATCCATTTCAAAAGAATTAAACGATACTCGATTTATTCCTTCTAATTTCCTTCTTAATTCGATAGATTGAAAGCAGTTGCATTTTAGATCAAGGAACCTAGGCTGTTCCGAGATCCTTCAATAAATGATATAACATTAATAATTGAATAGTATGCTTTGATTAAAAACTTAATATGAATTTACTTATATTTTTATTTTATGATACCCTAACTATCATCATTTAAGGCTCCTAAGTAAAGACAAATAACCACAACAACAAGCAGCAATACATATTTTCTAAATTCATAAAGAAAATTAAAGTAGCCTTCTAAATATATTTTAAGCTTCCTTACAACCAGCAGTCTATAATCAATTTCATACACGCATACAAGTTAGGTATTAAATTAAACGCCTACTCTTATTGATATCAAAGATGTTAAAAAGGAACAGAATCAGATTTAAGCTATACCTCCTTCTTTCATGGAGCTTTATGATGAATTTGAGAATAATTACAAAATTGTGTAGAAGATTAAAACTGATCTCAATATCTCATTGGATATAAAGACAGAGGAAAAACCTCATTAGAGTTAGGTTAGAAGCTAAAACTCAATAAAGAATCCTTCTCAAGCAGAAACTCGAATTGCAAATTTATAGTTTTGTGATATTGATTAAGAGTTGAATTAGAGATTACATATTAATCGCTTTAAATTTTATTATTTCCGAGCTTCCATATCGAAATAATAATCTCCTCTATTACTCACAATTCAATTTGAAAATCAAATAAATTCTGCCTAATATAAATTATATCTTTCTACTCAGCATGAATTTCCTACTAAATTTAATGCAGAACATAATCTCACCTCTAATTTTTGTAAGATCTATACAAGCAGTCCGGAAGGCATATTTCAAGAAAACTACCTTTACGTAACCTTCTATACAGAAATTGATGTAATTGTAAGAATTAAAATATAATTTGGTTGGGTCCAATAGAGTAAATCGCCCAAAAAGTAAATAATAAAAAGAGAGTATCCCAAATTCCCAGGTCTGATAGCAAATACAAAAATTGATTTAATTAAAAGGAATCTTGATACAAGTCAATTTCAATTGGTAAAAAAAACTGATCTCTTGGCTGGATTACTTGTAAAATCAATTAAATATAAAATAGAGTGAAAGAGAATCGAAAAGGAAGTAAGTTATCTAAAAAAAATAAGAGATTGATTGCGAACAAAAGATAAAATTAAAAACATAATACAGTGCCTAAATGCTAAGAAACGATTACAGATTATTTGAAAAGATTTATAAATTAAAGTTGAATAAAAAAATATAAGGAGAATTGTTTTGGGCCCAACTTGTCAATTTAATTAGGTTTATTGCTCAACTTAAAACTAAATTGATAGTAATAGAATTTATTAATATAATTAGTAATTTAAATGCAAGATGAGCATTAAGGCCAATGGGAGAATTAAAGCTTTAAGATGTGGATTAAATCTATTGATTAATATCAGGAAGTTCGGACCAACACCTGAGAGAAGATCATTTTGTAAAAGCTTATTAGCAATTCAAATGTTTACTGCCTAAATTCAATGTTTAAGAAAACGGAAAGCCCAAGCCATTGCTACTTCATTTATTAAGGAATGTATCTCTATTATCCATTTGGGACATAGACTACTCAAGACTAGACATTATGGTAATAATAACAAATCTATTTTTACTTAGTAATAGTCCTGTAGAACAAGTTCAGATTCTTTTAGAGATAGAAGAAAAAGTATTACGAGGAGTTTTGGCAATTGGTAATACGGAACTACAAGGAAGTTATAAGGGGACTTACTCAAAGTCAAAGTAATCCAAAATAGAGGAGCAGGAGTTAAAAATAAATTTATGCTTTTCAAATTGATAATCAATTAATGCAATTCTAGATAGATAATTATTATTGTAGGCAAAAGCAGATGTGGTTGGCATTTATACGTCAAAAGATTCAAGACAAACAACTGACTCTTTATTTAAATGAGAGAAAAAGCGATGAGATTAGAAAAGCCTTGATTAAGTTTCAAGAGCCTAAACTGTTCTAACTTCCACAAATTAATGAAGTGGCTGAAATAATTGAGTTGTATGCAAAACATAAAAAAATGATTTGAGAATATGATGATATATATTAATATGATAAACTCAGATTAAATGAGATAATCAAGTTCCAAAACTCTTACCTTAAGCTCTATGTAGAACCAAAGATTTTACTTTAACTAAAAATTAAAGACACCGAATAAGGAATTTCTGAAAAGCAATCGAAGTTAACTTACACTTTCAGATTTCTAAGACAGTAAGTCCAGAGCGAATACATTGTTTGAAAAAATAAAAGCGTAAAATACACATATACACAAATCAGAAAGCAACCTTTTTTTTAAAGTTGAAGAAGCGATATTAGAATTGTATAATTAATATGAGCAAAATTATTAAGGACTTGGATCACTTGACAGAATTAAGACAGTTTAAGAAAATTTGTCAGTGGAATTCAAAAAATAAAATAATTAACTGATCAAGACTTTTGATGGGTTAAAGTTATCAGACTTAGATCAAAATGGAGTTAATCAAATCTAAATTGATAGATACTAATTTTATTATTTCAGGTTAAGAATTTTAGAAAAACCCACGCCAGTTCACATTCACTTATAACTGCCAGAATCATTATCATTCTTACTATTTAAATTGATGCTCTCGGTTAAAATTGAATTTCCAACTAAATTCAATGCGGATTAATTCGTTTAAAGTAATTATGCAAAAGTCTATTCAAGTAATCCTCAAGCACATTACTTTAAAGAAGAATTTCTATATCTAACATTCTATTCTCATGTTGATTTTATTTTAAAAATTACTGTACATTTTGGATAATTTAACACTGAAAAAACACCATCAAGAGGAAAGGAATCCAGATCGCCCAAATTAATGATGGTTCATTCTGATGAAGCAAGAGCCACTAAAGGGTTTTCCCATATCAAATCACATATCTATTAATCATCAATTGAAAGAGAAGCAGAATCTAGTAGAGTTTAAACTGAAAATTCTGAAAGAAGGAAATTTATTAAAATACATCAACCTGTGTAATCTAAATTGAGCACTCTACTAACAAAGATAGGCAAAGAATTTTAAGGTCTTACAAAAGAGGAGAGAATAAAGAAGATTGAAGAACTGCAAATATAAAAAAGAAGGGAATTAGAAGAGGATTATCAACAGAAATAAAAAACATTTATCTATGAATTAGAAAAGAGAAAAGTATAAATAGAACAACATTCTAAAATTAAGAAACAAAAAATTGAATTAGTATAGCAAAATAAAAAAAATAATTATAGTGAACGATAGTAATCTAGAAGAGATAGATTGTTACTATAAGAGTAAATATCTCAATTTAGAGAGATAGAGCGTTCCTTTAGTATTCGAAAGGCTTATGCATATAAAGTATCATTAAGTTGGGGTAGTATAATAAAATATATCCTTTTTATTGATTCATTATTTAATACTATTAAAGTATGTGATGTATTCTAATTTGTAGGATAATAAGAAAAAGTCCAAGGTTTAAGCAAGAGGCAAATTATTGGTTTGGACTATTAAAACTAAAGCATTAATTTCAGCAAAAGAATATGGTTATACCACTAAGGAAAGAACAATTACAAAAAGTTGTATTGCTTTAAAAATGATCGCTATCAATTTAAAACACAGCATTAAAAAAAAGTCTGAAGCAATTTTGGCTAAATATTTTACTTAAATGAGATTGGCAGTTACTATAGTACATTAACATGATAAAACATTAAAAAAAAGTATCCTTTATTTAATATCTTTAAGTAATTTAGATCCAATAGAATTTTAGAACTTTGAAATAAAAGAAATTAACTTATAGAGATAAATTCTTGAAACTCATTAAAGACAATATTAATTAAACCATTGATGAGCTCTAAAGATAATATGGGAAAAAAACATTTTATGATAATAATGATAAACCTGTATAGCAAATGGATACGTACTATAAAGACAATATTATTTAGCATTTGTGCAAATTAATTGATTGATGAATATTCGAAGTAAAAAAAATAGATTTGGTATGAATACATAAATAATAAATTCTTTGAAAAGGATTTCCATAAGGTATTAAATACTCAATAATTAGAAAATGAAAGATTTTGCTATCAACTTGAAAGAACCTTAATTATATGAACTTCCTAAAAGAAAAGAGTTGATTTAAATAATTGAAAAATACGGTAAAATTAAAAAATTACTCTGATTATATATATATAATATGATAAAAAGCAGATTACTTTAAAGAAGTTCTTCTAAACTAACACAATCTTAAACCTCCTTGATGAACCAATCAATGACTATGTAATCAATTATTCTATTTATATAGGGTTAACAGTATTAGAAAGTTATCATCCAATTTTTCATTGGACAAACAAATTGAAGAGAATGGAACTGCAAAACTAATTAAAAGAATCACCTAAAAATAAACTCATAGGAGCAAAGATGATATTTCAAGATTACTACCTTTAAATCTCAATAATGTTTATAATGATTTTGAAGATAATTTTAGAGTTATAAGTGAATTCAATAAAGTCAAATAAGAATTACCATAGCCAATTAAACAAGAAATTGTATAAATAAGCAACCCTAATTTCCTAAAAACAGCAGATGGTCTAAATTTGTGCGATTTAAATGCTGAGAAGCTAAATCGAATCTAAATTTATAGATTTAAATTTTATTATTTTAGAGCCAGAGTAAAAAATAAGCTAAGTCCATTATAAATATATTTTACTTTTCCAAACCACTCACAAAATTAGATATACAAGGTGTTTTTATCAACCAGCGTTGAATTTCCAACAAAATTTAATTGCGAGCAATCTACATCGAGTAGATCAATCAAAGTGAAAACTAAATCAGGAACCAAATTATTTTTCGAGGATTATATTTTCATGACATTATATGCTGAGTCAGATTTCATCATCAGTATTCATTTAGTATTTGGAGAGTTACATAATTCAACTTTGAATGAGAAATAATAAGAACCTTTAAGACATTTCAAATATTGGGATGATAAACAGAGTGTATCGCCTAAAAAAGACAAAATTCTTTAAAACTTAGATTAATCTCGATATAAAAGTACTTATAAACTTAAAGAATTTTTAAAGGGAGCAGGTATAAATAAAAATAAAAATCTATTTAGAAGTGACTGCTAAAAAGATGATTTCAGTAGTTGAAAAAGGAAAACAACTAGTAAAAGAGAAATAAGAAGATAGAAGTATTAAAATGATGGTAAAATCCTAAATTCAAGAATTTCGCAAAGTTGAAAAAAGCATTTTATAATAAAAACTAGAAAGACAGAATTAATGCCAATACTGGGAAAAAATAATTTCTTTAATAAACATTGGGAGATTTGCGTATAATATTTTACATGTAATTATTCCTAAATAACATAGGAAAGGAAAAGAAAACTTAGGATTCAAGCAAAAGCAAGGTTAATAGTATTGAGAATTAAAACAAAATTATTGATAGAAGTGTAATAATTTGGACAAAATCCATTTGAAAGATGTACCAATAAATCTTTGCTACTATTAAAGACAATGAGTATCCATCTGTAAGAAAAATGTAAATTAAGAGCATAAAGAATTGCTACTGACTTTTTGAAAAAAACTTTAATCTTTCAAACTGCTGTAATAGCTCATACTAAAATGGTTTCAAAAGGTATGTTATATTTAATGTAGTAAGAATGATTATTAAAGTCTTTAAATCTAAAAAGTTTTAGAAACGTGCCTTTAAAGATAAATTTTGGAGATTGATTAAAAATTATTTTGGTCAAAACAATGAGACTCCGTTGTTTACTACTTCCTAAGTCAAAACAGTTCAAATTGATAAATCTGTCATGTCCAAAGTTATTGAATAATATATACAAAACAGAAAATTATTATGGTTTAAGTCTTTTAAGGAAAGCAAGAGCTTAGATTCTAAATAAAATCATATACCAGTCATACAAATATTCTAATTACCAAATGATAAAGAATTTTCATAGATTATGAAGGAATACTATATATTAAAAAAATTCAATTGAATGATATTTTATATATTATTTATAAAAAAATTTTAATCTGAAAATATTAACAAAGGAGAATTGATAAAGTGTAGATATATATAGGCTTTCTCAAACTTAAATCTTTATTTATTTGCTGATTTTTCTCAAAATATTTCGATTTGACCTTCCTCAGGTTGTTTTTAAACTTCTTTTGAGCTCTTAATAGCCACAGGTTGTCCAATTTCAAAAATAATTACTTATTTGAAATATTTCTTCTAAAATTCTGTGTAAATCTTCATCTTGAAAATATTTTTCTCTCTAATTTTTACTTCTTAAATATATGATAACATGGTCTCTGTACTTTAAGCCACTATGGGACTTGAGAATGAAAATTTTGAATTTAACTATGCTTTATCACTATGCTAACAGTCTATAACTTTGTAATTTATAGTTATCAGATTATTTTTATTGGTGTATCTGCCATTCCTTTAGAATAAATAGAGCTTTGTTTCGTCATAACTTGAGATATAAGGTCTGTTAGAGACCAAAATTGGATTGAACATAATTTGTGCTAGAGGAGTTGGTTTTTCATTTGATTTTCCACATATTGAATAAAGACTGTACGCTAATAATCGATCAATCAGGACTATTATGAAATGGTCATTTTTAACATTGACCGAAACTATCTTTTGGAATTTCTGCTCCCCATTTAACTCTATGCATTCTTTTTAAATACTGTCAATCTATACTATAGAGGAATCGGAAATGTATTAGTCTTTAAGTTTTTGCTAAATGAGATCAATAGAAGCACAATGAATTTCAATTTCATTATATTCATTTAATCTAGTAATAATGAACTTCCTCTCTTTCTCACAAAAAATAACAACTTCAAAAAAATCAAAAATTCTCAGCTTCTTATTCTCACCTAATCTGTAGTTAGTGAAGAATTTAAAGTTAACAGAGGATTGCTAGGATGATGTATAAGCTTTATAAGTCTTTGCAGCCACATCTATAATCTGGAATTTAATCATTAAAAAAAATTCTTAAAATTAAGTGGTCAAGATAAAAAATAATTCTATTTACAAAAGGAGCTTAATTGAATAAGATATCGATTTAATCTTATATATAGATTAACTCTACATTTACAATATGCTTAGTAAGCTTAATATCAATTTCCTTATAATTTGTATAAAGCTGAACATATAAATTTGAAATGTTATAATTATTTGTAATTTTCTATTAATCTTCATTATAATATAGAATATAATCAATCATAATTTAATGTAACTTTGCAACTACCAGAGATTTAAATCAACTTAAAAAAAATTTTCTCTAGAATATTAATTTTAATTATTAAGTAAGTCGGGTTTTAATAAAATTGAGAGATGAATTAGAGGTTTAAATATTTCTATTTAATTGTGAAATAATAAAATGATTGTGCTTTATTTAAACTAAACTTTTTTTTAATATTTGATAATTTCAATAAAACTTAAAATAATTATAAGAATTGAAATTTTTATAATGCTCTGCCATAATTCTATTTAAATAGTGAATGTAAAAATATTAGATTTCAAATGATTGAATTTATTTTAGATTATAATTAATATAGTTCCAAATTATTGAGTATATAGGTATATTTCTTTTAATAGAATAACATTCTTTGATTTAATATTATTTATATATATTGGAATTTTGCCATAATTTAATTTGTTGATATTATTTTATGATGAATTAAAATCTTGATTGAAGAATAATAGAAATATCTGATATTCTTTGCCAAAAGATCAAGAACACATTAAATGATAGAATTAGAAGTATTAATAGTGCTTATAAATTCATTTAATAGAGTATTTTAAGTTAAATCCACTTACGTCACCAAAAAGTAATTAATTTATTTTCTAATTTTACGTCACTATTAAAATATATATAAAATGAATAAAACATTGATCCTAACTCTTAGATGATTGTTTCTATTTTATCACAACTATAAAGTGAATATATCCATTATAAAGTAAACTTGAGGTTTAGCTTTTAATTATTTATTTAAGATTATCAGTTCTAATTGCCAAACTCTTCTTAAGAAATGACTCATTTATTCATTTATATTATATATGAATATTACAAGCAGAAACTGGAAATGAAATCATTTTAATTTATTTTATCTAATTTGATTTGGGTCTATTCATAAAGAAAAGAAAATAATAATAAATCAATATTGATTTACATAATCTTTTATTTGAGTTAAAATAATTCTAAACACTAATTATTTCTTGCCCTCTTCTTGCCCTCTTCCCTTCTATTAGTTTCATTACAGAAAGGTGTTAATCATTAAACTTTAAAAAATTCAGAAATGAATTAATATATGTTAATAATAATTTTATACAACCTCTTTATTCTCTATTATAAAATAAAAATAAAAAATAAATAAGGATAATATTCATCGCAGAATTTCTTAATTTTATATACAAAATTTAATCAAAATAATTAAGAAAATTAAGAACTATCACATCTGATTCCATCAGATAGCTTTAAAAGCAAATCTTTTAGTTTAATCTTTGTGATTGGTTTTTCAACACCAAAAGCTATTCCACAATCCTTGAATTATTCGACTATTTCTTATGTTAATTTATGACCAGAGCATGCTACAATCGTAACATTTCTATCTAATTTATGAATCCGAGTTGAAGCCTCTAAACCAAGCATGAGTGGCATTTCCAAATCCATAAATATTAATTAAAAGGGGATGTTATCTTTCAATCTATCATTTACCTTCTCTATTGAAATGATTCCATTCATAGCAGAATCTGAACTGATTCCACTTAGTTCTAGTAAATATTATAATGCTAAAATATTAAATTCATTATCATCAACAATAAGAATGGGAGGATGTTGCTAAGTCAATTCATTCCATTTTTATAATAGATTTTGAATTAAACGACTTTGAATAGATGGTTTATTCGATAAATTTCTTTCCGACTCATTTCTAATCCTCAGAGTTGCCTAGTAATTTAATGAGCTAGTCATGAAATTGATAGCCTTTAGATTCTTTTTTTAAATAATTCTTTTGCTACTCTCTCCCATAGGAATGGCTATTGAAACTGTGGGCGACTTTTATTAGATTATATTTTAAAGGATTCTAAATTCTAATGTTGGTATTTTCTAGGCTAATTTTTGAGATATCTGTGAATCAGAAATGTCTTCAGAAGGTTGCTCTTCATTTTCGATTTCGAAATAAAATTTAGATCCAGTTCCGTATTCTGACTAAACCTAAATTCCTATCGAATGATTTGTAGACAGTAATTTGGCTAATTCATTACTAATCATTAGACCTAATCCTATTCCAAAGGGATTGGCTTTTTAATTTTCCAAATCATTCACTTTAGAGAATTCTTAAAAGAGCTTTTTAAGATTTTCTGACTTGATTCCCATTCCAGAATCCTAAACCGAAATAATAATTGAATTTGATTTTTACTCACTTTAAATGCATTCGATTAAAATAGATCCTTTTGGTTGGGTATATTTGACAGCGTTACTCAATAGATTCATAATGATTTATCGAATTCTTAGTTTATCAGAATTTATTTTGAGTGGCAACTTAGGATCATAATTAAAAGTGATATTGAGCCCCTTCTTCTCCTTAAGTAAATCAAAGAGGGATATTGTTTTGTCTATTAATTTGGCTAGATTGAATTTACGACACACAATTCTTATGGATTTGTTTTCAATTTGAGCTGCATCCAAAATATCATTTATTAAATTTAAGAGTAGATGACAGGAATTTAGAGAAGGCTTTAAGAATTTTTGAAAGAGGTTAGGGTCTATCAATTCTGACAAACACATTTGCATATTAATTATTGCATTCAAAGGGTTTCTCATATCATGTGAAACTTTGTGAAGTGTTTTAATCATTGTTTAAACTTATTCCTTTTGTTGTTGTGATTGCAGTTTGAATGACTCGATGTTGTATAACTTATGTTTGATGAGCAATATAAATTCTTGGTTTTCTATTAGTAATTTTTAGACACTCACTTAATAAAGGGAAGTGTTGGTTGGCTCAAAAATTAATTTTTGATCTAATTTAAGAATTTTCTTTTTTAATTAATCAATTATATCGCCAATCAATAATGAAGGTCTTGTTGTGATATTTTCCAAGCAATTTGATTGTTTCACAAGATTTGTTGTTTAATCTCTGGGTGTTAAAATTCTGCTTTAATAATGATCAGATATATTCATAACCTACTCTTTTATAATTGAATAAAATAATTTGGATTCATAAACTGGATTGTATTGCATATCCAATATACAAAATTCCTCAGATGAAATTTAAGATAAAAGACTCTTTATGTTGATAAAGGATTGATTTCCTTTCTTTTTGTAAATTTGGAGAATCAAAAAGAAATTAACTACTGCTCTCAAAATTTCCACTGTAATTTCAGAAACATTTCCGAAGCAAATGCATGGAATGCATGCTAAAAAGAAAAACAATGTTGTTAATTTTAAATACTATTCGTTCAGTTGAATGATCAACACTATCTAAATCCCAGTATAAATTTACCATTAAGGCATTAGTAGATAAGACACTCCTATGATTACAACTCCCTTAATCAAACATATTAACAAGATTAAGTTAGATTTCTTTTAACACATGTACTCGAAACAAAGTATAATCAAATGAAAGCATGCTAAAGTTAGGCCGATAACCAAAAAGCTAAAGTCTTGAGTTACGTAAGTCTACATATGAACTATTAAGCCATCTATTATCAAAAAGAACTAAAGAATTCTTTCTTTGTTTAATGCTTTACAAAGAGCAAGCATAATAAATATTTAAATTACAATTAAGAATATATTTTTGCGAATTGATTTTTTTAATCAAGATGGTATCCAGATAATTATATCTAATGATATATTTTTTAAAACATTTATTTATTTTTCAACTTAATTGTTGATATCAATTAATGTAGTGGAAAGCTGGGTTTTAAAAAAAATAATATTTCTTTATCTATAAGCCTTGCAAAATTTGAAAATCCCATTATAGGTACAATTAATATAAAAAAGAATGGATAAAAAATAATAGAATAATAATACGGCATATCTTAGATTACATCGATTAATCGAAATTAATAATTATTACATTTCGCTATTTATCCTTAAACAGAAACTAATAAAATTGAAGATATGAAAGTTAGTGATTCATGTTTCGATCATAAAACCCCTTATCATAAATAACAAATTAATTTAAAATTAATTTATTTATAAACATACTCAAATTAATATTATTTTAATTATTCAGATTGCAATAAAGTGATACTAGGTTTTTATTTTCAATTTTAGCATTCATTTATATACACCATGAATGCTAGAATTAAATTTATATACAATATAATTATATACATATATCAACATTCAATTCTTTTTTGTTTACCTTTTTTCTATAAATCTCTTCAACTTCTAAAAGAATTTATCTTGCTTATAATACGATTCTGGTTCAGATTAAGAGGATACATTCATAATTGAAAAGAACTTATCCAACTTACCAACTAAAAATGCATTAACATATATTCTCAATTTTTTAAAAGTCCAATTTATATCTGTAATGGTCTTGATATCAGAAAATACATTCACAACAATTAATTATACCTAAATTAATATGAGGAATCATACATCTTAATACTATTTAATCTTTTCTTCAATTTAATGCAATTTTTTTAATCCACTCTTAAATAATATTGGAATGGCCAATACTATGAATTGAGTGTTCTCTTTAACTTAAAATTTGCTTGATAGAATTTCATCAAGATGAACACATTACAATTAATCGATTTCGTATTTATCTTACTGTAAGCATTTTTCAAGCATAAGTAAAGTATTTTTAAAGCATTACTTTATGACTTTATATATCTATTTTTAATTGACCAGTTTACCAGCTACAAAATTCTGTGTAATATAAAGAAAATCTGGTTTTGTATTTTCTTCAGGAAAGAATAATTATTTGAATGTAGCATTTGGATTTGAAAAGTCTACTTTAGTTCTATTTCTCATGAACCCATCAATTGAATATAATAAATCGCCGAAATAGATAAGAGTATTTAATTTCTCTCTAAGTAATCCATTTTACTTTGCCATGTTTTTCAAATGGTTTACTATGAATGCAACAGAAACATGGTTTGATCTGTGACCAGGTATAATTAAATCTGCTTAACTCATCAAAGGCTCGATGAAATTCTCAAATGCTCTTTTCACGAATTTGGTATACTAAAAAAGCACACTTTCAACAGTTCTTTGTCTTTCTTTGACATCTCTTAGTATACGACGGCATAAACGAATATCATCTTTATTTAAATTAATAAATACCATCACAATGAATAAATATTTTATAAGACATCAAATCTCTTATTCTTTCATCATAAAGTGCCATAATACCCTCGAAGACTATAACTTGAGCAGGCAGCATTATCGAACATTGATCTAATCTTTTATGATTAACAAAACAATAAATTGGTACTGAAGCAGGTCTTCCTGAAAGCAATGTGGAAATGACTTCAAAGGCATTATCAAAATCCAATGAGTCTGGATGATCAAAGTTATATTAAGAAATGTCATAGAATGATTTATCCACTCCTTTGTAAAAGGAATCGCAAGAAAGAATAGTCATATCTACATCAGAATCATATTGGATTTCCCTTTTGATTGTTTCGCAAAGAGTAGTTTTGCCAGCGGCTGATCCTCCCGTAACACCTACAAGAATACGTTGAGGTTCGTACTCAGAACTCTTCATTTAATAAGAACACTACTTTTCTTTAAATGATGGGCGATTTCATTTGGTGAGATTCATTATTCATAATTAAATTTTAATTGAATTTATGTTATTAATCAGAAATCTCTAGCTAAAAACATCGTTAAGAATATTTAAAACAATGCATTTATATTAGTTATCTAACAAGACTCATCAATCAAAATAATAAAATCTAAAAATTTCAAAGACTTTCCAGAATCATAAATATAATAAGACAAAAATTTCAAAAATTATCAAAGTTATTGCAATATTTAATATTATTAAATACTTAGTTCCAATAATTTATACAAAATATAGAGTTAACTTTTATTAAAGATATAGAATTAGAATTAAGTCTAATAAATTGAAATGAATTAAATCAATTAGGGTAGTGCTCTTTTTAGAATAAAATCTCAACTTATCTTAATATGTGACTAGGTATGGATCTTTATTTAATCGAATTTTCTTCAATTAATTATTATAAGCTTTTATTTTCGTCTTGATTTATTGCATCATAGAATTCAATAGGAGTCTTCCAAACACATGCTATAGCTTTTGCAGATTCTAATCCCACTCCATGTATACCTCTAAGCATACTTCCCCATAAATTAAAAAGTGACTCTGCCTTCTTTGAATTATTGTACATAAATTCTGAAAATTTGATTGCATTTGGTAACACTTTAACAGTTTTAGTAAATAAAGCTAGCCATCTTAAGGAGTCTTCTAATGTTTCAGTTTGCTAAATAAAAAACCCATCCTTAATTTAAGTATTCCTAATTGCTTTGTCAATAGTAGCTCTTGGCACTGGCAAATTGGATGATGATGAATTTTCAACTAAATAAAATCTATTATTGATTCCACAATGCTTCAACTTATGTTTTTAAGCCTAGTATCTTTTGTCGAGAATACTGTGAGCTAAATCTTGAATGGTTTTTCTTTCAATGATATAGTCACATATGTATTCATCATCCCCTTTTTAGCATATCCACATAAAATCTCCAATGGGCAATTAACTTAATCTGCACTCTATTTGGTATATGTTAGTAAGCTTTTCGAAGATTATCTACCTGTTGTTACTCTAAAATCTCTCTCGATTATCAATCAATAATATAATCTTTGATGGTCTTTCTGAGGGTACAGTCATTTATTGTTAGATCATAGTTTCTGTGAAATATTGCTATCCTAATTTAATGCCATCCTCAGTTAAAGCATATTTAATTTCGTTGTCTAGGACAGTTCTGATTAATGTTATCTATTTACTTTTAAATTAATTAATGCTTCTCTAATGTCTCAATAGCATTCCAACTAGATAACTCAGTGTTACAAATACTAAATTAATGATAAATATACTCTCTTAATTGTTCTTTTATTTACTTTTTTGAAGCAAAAAGTTTGTTCTCACTTTTTTAAAACTTATACAAACTCATTAACACTTATCCACTTTTAGAACCCTTTCCAGGTTGATATTATCTCTTGCTTTTTGATTGTACCTCAGGTATGGGTTTGATGACTTATTTTCGAAGTTCTTCGATGAATGATGCCTAAAATTATTTATCCTTTCTTTTTGAAGTGTCATCATTATATACCATTGATGGTGGACAACTTTCTGAATAGATCTAATCAATATCGTCCTCTTGTTCGTTAATCACATCTAAATTATCTTATATTAGAGCTTCATTAAATTTATGAAAAGGGATCTCATATTGTTGATATTACTTTTTTATCAATTGCAAAATCATCACAGATGTTTTATCTCCTACGCCTTACAACATTTACACTTAGTCTTCGCATAATAGAGGCATGGGATATTTTTGAAGTGATTGTATGATCTTTTAGTAAATGAAAGCTAATTTATCTTAACCTGTTCTGAGGCATCTATTCTTCAATTCGACAATGTGATCTAGAATAAATTAATTATGCGGATTTTTAGATTTTATCAATTGTTTAGGCATTCTTGTATTGAAATTTGTATTTTTAAATTAATTTCAATTAAAGGGTTATTAATAATTCTTTAAAAACAAAAGCAAATATGTCTCAACATTGATATAAAAATAGTAAGGCAAATACTACAACTCAACTGTGGGAGTTAATAATATATGGATCAAATAAAGTTTGAAGATAATCAAATACAACAATTAGATAAATATATTGAGTATATTAGAAACATTGAATGATAATAATTTTATATTTACATTATTGTTTTTAATGGTATTTAATAAAATGTTTAAATATTTTGATTCATCTTAAGCGAGAATAATTAAGATTCTTAAAATTTATAAAGTGGATTGCAAGAAATAGACTGAAAATATTCTTTTAAAATTCTGAAATAAAATTCTAATATTTGTCTTAAAATATTTATAAAATTAATTATAAACATATATGAGCTTCGGGTATAAATTTGGTGTATCAAGTAGTGTGTACTCATAATTTTAAACATTTGGTTAATCTCAAGAATTGGAAAACATTTTAAAAAATAATAACCCCACTTTGGAAGAGTTGTTGGAGAGAGACAATTTCCTATTTGACATCAAAGCTGGAGCTATGAATGCTTTTACTGAATTGTAATAAAGAGTATTGATATAAGTGTTTGGAGACAACCTGAGAATTTAGAAAAGATGATTCACTATATTATTGTCACAAATGAGCAGATGGAAGATAATGAGAAAAGTCGAAAATTTCCATATATAATAAGCGGGATCTTCAGTTTGGAAAACACAAGATTGTTTGATTTGTTATTCCTGAGACATCGAAACGAATCCTAATCCTCGTTATTGAGCAATGAAAGATTGGTTTTAATGAGAATCTAAATTAGACTACTATCGAAGATGATATATTGCCAGAATATTAGATGCACCACGAAGATCAATGCAAAGAGGAAGAAGATTTTAATGGGGGAGGAATATCTGGAACGTCAAGTTAGTATATGTCAATAATCATAGTCTAGTGTGCATCCTTCAAATCCAAGTCAGGAATGCATCTGAATGAGAATGTGAGATTGAACATCTTAAATGCATTTTTCAAATACCTAGAGTCTCCAAACATAAATGATACATCAATGGGGTATTATGCTTAGATTTTAAAACCTGTAGCTAGTAAATATGGAGGAGAAGTAATACTAAATACTACATCTTTTTAGTTTTGGGATCACATCGTTGTCAACAGCAACATCATAAGTGATTTGCTCCAGCACATCAACCATTATTAAATTGTAGAAATTGTGGTTAAACTATTAATTTTAGATTACAAAATTAATGACAATGTATACATCAACCAAAAATGTTATGTACTCATTAAACATAAGCATAGAAGAATTATAGAAAACAGCTTTTGGAAGAGATGATACACCAAATGGATAAGTTTTCTGATAACATTACAGTAAAGATTATACGATTATCCCTCATAGATGGTCGCAGACATCACTTAAATATTTGATTTGCTTTTGGAGTAAGGAATTCAGTAAAAGTTGTATGAGTCCTTGAGAGAACTATTTGATATTGTTTTAAAACCATATTACTTCTTTAAAATAGCTGTAAGTGCAATCAATAATGATAGAAAAAAACTGGGGTGCTTACTGTCTATAAGGTGTTCTCCAAAATCCTATTATTTATTTAAGTAAACTCCTTACAAGGTAATTAAATCATCATGTATCTAGATTAGAAGACTTCTGATTTACTGCAGGTAATCTAATAAATAAGTCCCCTCATTATCTCAAATTTTTAAGATGAAGAAACCTTTGGACTCAAGAACTTGTGTCTTGTTTAAGCTCTCGATGTTTGCGATAAGTAATCTAATTCAATAGACTAGATTAAATAACCCACTCTTATTTGAGTCAATGTTCTAAGCTCAATTATATTAGAGTTTAATAGAGTATGCCATTAAGTATCAATGGAATAATTAACTCCAAATCTATGTGACTTCAATCATAAAATCCAGAATCTAAGATGAAAAATATTGTCAAAGAATTCTAAAGGAGACCGACATCTTGAATCAAATCAAAAAGAACTTAATTGATTAACCAAACAATTCCAGCTTTAGATCCAAATGCAGCCACGGATATAGTGGATTTTTAAAAACTGTAGGGTACAAGATATTGTAGAAGCAAACAACGAGCAAAAAGATGAATTCGTTATTATAGGAGTGTAATAATCAATATGATAATTAGAGCATGGTTAGATTATCGAGGCTTTGTAAAGGTTATAAAAGATTGAACAGACTTATTTATGTGATGTCGATCCAAAAACACACATGTAAGAGGCTCCACCAGAAATCAGCATTGATAGATAAATTGAGATGCTTATAGATTCCCAAAAAGAAAAAGAAGATCAACTCACGAAATCAGAGTAATAATGAAATTATTGATTAAAAAAAAATCATAGAACTCTAATTAAAAACGCAATTATCATTATACATATGATATGGATAGTTTCTTTTTTACGCTAAAACCAGTGTTATATATTCAAAAAGTCAAAGTCGAAAACATATGCAAAACAGATTTCTAAATTAGGTTTAAAGGCAATCCAATTTTAAATATAAATAAATTAATTCAGATATGTTTTTGAGGAATAGATTTCATTCTCTTCGTAAATTGGCTTAATTTTGCACAGCTGAGAGCGTCTCAGGAAAGAAAACCCCTGCAACATCAACCAAATAAGGTAACGTTGAAAGAAACTACTAATTACAATTCTCCAAGTCAGCATTAGTGGATTTTGGAGAATTACCAACAGGTGAAATTCCTGAAGCCTTAAAATATGACAGACCACAAGGTATGTATTAAATATCATAACATTAGCTTTAACTTAATTGGACACTGGTCTTAGAGTAGTCTCAGAATAATACAATTCCCCATTAGCTTCAATTACAGTAGCTGTGAAAGCAGGATCAAGATTTGAAACTTTAGAAAGCTCAGGTGTTTCAAATTTCATCTCAAAATTAAACTTAAGAGTATGAATAAAATATTTATATTAGGGCACAACAACTAAATCAAGAGAATAGGTTGAAGCCGAAATTGATTACTTGGGAGGAGCATTGAAAGTTAAATAAGGAAGAGAATTATAGACTTACACTCTCACCTTTTTGCCATCAGAACTCGAGAGAGCAGTAAGCTTTTTAGGAGACATTTTGACAAATTCATTATATTCACCAGCTTAAATTGAAGCAGAAAGAGAAGGAATTTATAGAGAATCAGTTAGCATCAATGATTAATACAGAGTTGTAGCTGAAGCTGCTCATTATACAAATTATAGAGATCATTATCTTGGTTAACCAGCAGCAGGAATTAGAGATAATATTCCAAATGTTACTGAAGAATAAATAAGATAATTCCACAAAGCCAATTTTGTTGCACCCAACGTAATTGTCTCAGCTGCTGGTAATGTTAATCATGAAGATTTGGTTTCTGCAGTCAACAAGGCATTCAAGGGATTGGGTACATCTGTTCCAACTGAAGTCCCAAATTCAGAAAAGCCATATGCCACCCCATCCATTATGGTATTAACATTTTATTAATAGTGTAGTTAATGAAAGACGACGAATTAACTAATTTGAATGTTGGTGTTTTCTTCGATGCTCCAGGATGGAATCACCCAGATGTTTTTGCTCTCCATTATTTCTAAAGACTTATTGGTGATTATAGAGCTGACAAACACACAGGATTCCATTTGAATTCTCCAAGCAGATAATATAACACAATGCATTCACTCCTTGGTGGATTACCAGATGTTACATACTAAAGATGCGCTTATTATGCATATTCAGACACTGGTCTTTTTGGAAATTACTTGATTGGTAATGAAGTCTTTGCAACATAAATGGCATATATCAGTCAAATGGTTTTATCTGATTATGCTTCATCTGTAGGCTAAGTAGAAGTTTTCAGAGCCAGAGCTAAGGTGTTTAATGAATTATTGAGTTAAGAAAGTTCAGCCAAATAATCAAGAGAAATTGCTTAATAAGTCTTGTATCTATATTCCAGTAAGATTTAGCTATTGGGGAAGAAGAGTACCAAGAAGTGAATTTGCTCGAAGAATCTCTGCTCTTGATGCTGGTCATTTAACTAGAGTTGCTACTAGACACTTCTGGGATAAGGTAATCATATCGTTTTTATATATAATAGGACATTTCTGTTGTCGTATGGGGACCAACTCACTTGTTAGATGCTGTTGCTCATTACAATAGATCATGGAAGAGAAGCACTTTGGGTGGGTATGCATAGCCATACTATGAGGGTTGATTCATTAAATAATAAATATAAAGTTTATTCAATTATTTTTAACTCTTGTTTTCTCTTTGTAGCTTATTCTAAAAAGTTGTATTGGGTTTTTAAAATAACTATAAATTTATGAGGGGATCTATACTTTTCAATAGAATCTTTTTTTAAGATGCTACATTTATCCTCAAGACAAGGACTCTCATCTTCATTCATTTGATTTTAGCTCTTCTCAGTGAAATCCATAATGGATGGATTGTTCATCAGGCCAAATTGCAATTCTACGATAGAGTTATAACAATTAGCTTTGACATCCAAACTTAATTTATGTGCAACTCTAATCTTATTTTGTGCAGATGTACTTCTTTCTGGTTGCTTTGGAGTATTGAGTTCGTTATGAAATGATCCAAATCTCACATTTCTTTGATAAGCTATCATACAACTGACCTCTGGTTGAATGTCACTGTATTGTTGATTTGACTCATTAAATGAACTTGTGCTTTTGTGTCTTAAATTTTGTCTGCTGTCACAAGGGACAAGATTATAAGAGTTGTTAGCTATTGATAATCTCCCATTAGACTCTCTCTTCGAAAGTCCAGTATCATCAAATTCTTCGCTCTGCTTTTTCTTCATTGGGGAATAGACTTACGATATCAAGTGTGGTTGATCCATAATTTTAATAGATTTCTGCTTTTTCGGAGACACTGAACTAGATTTTTTCTCTTAGTTATTTTCATCTAACCAATCAAATCTATACTCAACCTATTATTAAATGGCCACTCTTCGAAATAGTTATTGGAAATATCTAATATTGTATTATTTAATTGCATTACTTATAGCCTGGTTTCTCTCTATAACTCATCTTTTTCACTAAGTCTATAAATCTCATAAATTCAATTGGCAAATCTTAGCATAATTCTTGAGAAGATATTCTCATTTTCATTAAACCAACAATTTTAACCTTTTCTTCTTCATTTTTATGACTAACATTTTACCACGGCAAACTTCCCTTCAATAAAAATCTCTTTATTGTATCAATATTACATTAACATATAACCTAATGATTCCAGATCATCCTTTCTTGATAATTCATATCCCTTATGTGCTGCTATACTCGCATATCTGGAAGTCCCAAAGAATGGTTTGTTATCTTTGAATGGACTAAGGTTAAATTACTTTTATACATATGTTTATCATCTTTATCTTTAAATTATTTTGCAATCCCAAAGTCGACCAAATATAATTAGTTTTTCTCTTTATCCTTTCCCACCAATACATTTTCTGGCTTCAAATCTCTGTGAATCACTCCCCTGAATTTGATAGAAAATTTACTTATGGTGGACGTTTTCGAGTATTGTCAGTAACTAATCTGCGATACCCAAAACACAAGGCAAACTGAGTCTTTTTCTCTATCTCATATAATGTGTTAGATCTCTACCCAAAAGCTGAATTACCATCACATTATTTCCTTAGTCTTTTCCTGCCCATTTGAGTCTAGGAACTTAGGGCACTCCTTAAACTGATCTCAGTATTTAAATCTACATCAATAACCATTACTCAACCTCTCTATCTAAACTCAATAATTCATCCACCTCTAACTTTTCAACCTTAATTGCCACAAGCTCTTATGAATGTAAATCGAGTCCCTAGTACACTACACCAAATGAACCTGAAGAAATCCTTTTTTTTACAACAAATTAATTATTGAAGATCTTTTATTGTAATCCAGCCATTTAATTTAATATTTATTATTACTCAACTTTGTCATTAATATCAATCCATATAAGATAGGATTTGATTATGAATTTTCCCTTATAGTGTTAAAAACTATAAAATAATTATGTACATAGATCCAAAGGAATAAATCTAATAAAAACCCCTAAAAGGTTCAAAAAAATAAATAAACATAGTTAAATAATCCTAAATCAAGCATTTGTAAGTTTATTGATTAATAGCAATAATACAAGAAATTGTAAATATTGTCTGGAAAAATAACGATTAGGGATTAAATTTTTAATCTTAACTTAATATATTAAAAAACAATCCGATTTAAGGACTATAACTATTAATTTCTTAATTTCAATTTTAGTCACAAATGGGACAGCGATAAATATTAAGGTTTTGTCAAATCCTCTGAGGGATTATAAATTAAGTTTAGATCTCAAATTCTAAATCAAAAATACACTACATATGCTGGCCTATCAGTTTGAGCAACAAAGTCCAATGAATGGCAGTCTATTAATTGAAATTTTTAGAAGGGATTGTTGTTATAAAAAATGACGAAATAAAATAAAGAAAAAAATGTTAATTAGTTATAAATATTTAATTAAAATTATTATTAGAAATGCTACAAGGTGATGTACTATCTGAAGTTTAGCTTGCAATTCCTTGCATTCAGCTTAAATCATAATCTGTTAGATTGACAGCCAATATGTAAAAGTGTGAGATTGATTGCTTGGCTTCTTATGAGCTCACAATTGGATTTTCTGATTCAAAGGATAAATAGGTTGACCTTAATTAAACAATGGAATTCATTCTATATGGACGTCAATATGAAATAAAAAATATTACTTACATTCCTTCTGTGAAATATCCTTAAGTACTCAAGTTGGTGAAGTAATAATATAATTCGAACGAAAAATAATCGAATCTCTTGAAATCGTAGAAGCCTTTTAAATCGCCATGCTCTTATATGACAATGAACGCACTTCTGAACAAAATTTAGGATGATTGTTAATAAATTACTCTATTATTTTAATTTGCTCCAGAGAAATTGGAAAGCTGTGATTATGACTTTGTTAAATCGCTAGAAGACTAGATTGTATTTAAATTGCAGATAAGCTATGTAATATCCAGACCTATATCTGGTTTGAGATTTGTCAGTAATTTGGACAATAAATTTTTGATCACAGAAAAAGGGTTGCATAATTCGAGGAACTGGATACCTACTCCTCATCATAAATAATAAAGTAGACTTATAATATGTATAAATAGGATATCCTCCATATTGTCATGAGGAAAAGGACTTATTGCATTACTCTAAGATCATAATCACAGTTCCATCCTCTTATTATGTTGTTGCTTCTGGACAGTTGTAAGAAATAGTGGAGATTGATGGGAATGATTTAGTTGGATATGTGTTTAATGTAAATGAATTCATAAACCCTGACGATTTGGGGATATTCATAGGAGAGTTTTAACATCATTATGCAAATCATGATGAATTCCGGTTAAATATTTTCCATATGAATGAAAACAAATCCTACTTATTTGAATCTGAAACTGCTCGGAAAATATTCGAGTCAGTTGATAGATTTTGGTTTAGAGATGCTCTACTTTAAAAAGCCAGGAATATATTATCCATTGGATCTGGAGTCGAATTTTTTAGATCTCTGAATGTGCTCATCTTGCCTAATGTACAAAAACATGGATATCTTTCATTTTACCCCTTTCGCAATATTTTAGTATTCGATGAATCTCAACTTCCTGAGTCTCTACCTTGCAAACACACTTAAGATGAATTCTATAGATGTTTACACCTCTAATTGAATGCTCTGTCTCTCAAATTTTTCTTGGCTCCCTCAGTAAAATTGTCAGATAGATGGATTGAGCTTGGTTTCACATTCTAATCTACTTGGACTGAGGATTATGCGCAATTGCATTAAAAGTTATTAGAATAAATAAAGAATGGTCAGGATGTTAAATTGGATCAAACTTAATTTGAATAAAGATTCTTGTTAGAATCATTAGAATACCAATTAAAAACTAGAATGGTTATAACTATGCTTGCAAGAATGACACACTAGCCAGATGTTTTCATAAAGGAGATATTAAATAGATTCTATCAAGATCTGAAAGGGAGTATTCCTGCACCTTTAAGTACTGATAAAATATTCATGAGTATGAAAAAGGTATTCTCAGTATCCAAAGGAAAATCTTTCTTAAAAATGTTTATCAAGTCTGCGGGAGCTTGGCATTTCAAGGTTTCATATGATTATGAAAGAGATCATAAACTAAATCTGAATATCACTTAGTCTCCACTTATAGGTCATTGGGTACATGTGTATACTAATAATTATATACAAGGAGCCAAGGCACTGGACATTAAATCTGACATTATTTATTAGTTTCTCCAATTTTAAGAAAAGATTAAGCAGACATAAAAATCAATTTAAAAGGCTTTCAAAGATTTTGAAGAGTAATAAAAGGAATAACCCTATGATTAGAGTAAGAAACCACATTCATCTTCAACAATCAAAGATTTTAAAAGAAGAGATTATTAAATCTAAGCAAGTGGATTAATACCAGAAGAATTGTCAATGCCTTTACATTTTTCAGGTTGGGTTCGTATTTAAGTCTCAGAGACGAATGAATTGAAGCTTGAAATCGAGAATACTGAGATAAAGATACCTCCAAAGTTATGGACTAAGATAGACATAAATTGTACATAAAAATTAAAAAAATACAATATTCCCAAGAGGCATTTGGAAATTAATGCCTAAGCCTATATTTAAGAGGAACAAACTGGAAAGATTGAAATAGAAAATGATAATAATAATCAAGTCAAAACTCCAATGATTCATGGTATTTTAGGAGAGGCTGTTCTGAAATCAGGAGTGAATATTAATACTGGAAGGGAATAAACAATTAAATCATACTCAGAAGAGATATAAAAAGAGCCTCCTTAATGGATCAAGTGGGATCCAGTTGGTTTGACTGTTAAAGAGGTTGAATATTAAATTCAAAAGGAACTTGTAGTAATGTGTTAAGTATTGAAAGAGAAGGACATGAATTAAATAGCTTGTGTCTTAAGAAACATTAAAAAATTAGAAATTCGAGAAAGAGTTGTCAGAACAATTGTGTTGATTATTGAAAATTCATATGCTCATTTGGAGAGTAATATCATTGTTTAATTATTGCAACTGCTTAGAGAAATGGTTAATAAGAGTTCAATAAAAAGGTTGGAAGAAAATTGTGATTTTGAGGATATGGCAGAATTACAAGCTTATTTAAAATTAGCCGAAAAAATCACTTACAGGTTCTTCTTTAACTAAAATGACAACAGTCTTAAGTATTTGAAATTCAACAATTTTGATGATTACGATGTAATTGTAGCTCTTTTAAAAAATCTTAGAAGGCTTAATACTGCCTCAACGTTAGGATTTCATAATGAACTAATAGCATTATTGGTTAGCATCCTTTAAGGCTATGACAATTCATAAAATTAATATGATTGCAGTTACATGATATCAAAACTTATAAAATTACTGTTGTTTACAAACTGCAATCAATCCAAATTCTTGATAATGACCACCTTGAAGCATGAGTTAAAGAAGGTTATCTTTTTGAATACATCCAAGAATTATATACTGAAGACCATAATAATTCATTACAAAAGATTTACTGATATCAACTTTTCAGGAGAGATGGAGAAAAAAATAGAGGAGATCTATAAAAAATATGATGAAGAGATATCCTCAATCATTAAACATCATCAGTCGAATGTGTTAGTTAGAATTGATAACGGTTATTTAGAACGAGCTTATTATAAGAAATATTTATTAGAACAATATGAAAAATAGAAGAAGGAGCCTTATCACTTTATATTGGACCAATTGTATTATTTAAGTAAGAAAAGAGTGAAGAATGGGTCTACTACGATATATTTCAATGTGTTACTGCAAGAACTTCAAATCTTTATGGCTAAAAACTATTAAAGATTTGCCCATGAATTGTCTAGGGCTGACATCAATCCAGAATTAGCTAAGACTTTGGCTCATACTAACTTCGAGTGTATAATATCTGGTCCAGCTCTTTTAAATTATAATGTCTAAAGCAATTTTGCATCTATTTACAGAATTTTATTCTATTACTTCGCTCCTCTCAGAACTGATGAAGTTCATAAAGACATTAAACATCTACTATACACTTTAACTAATTTTACACCTGATCAATAATGGTCTTAAGCTCATTCTTCTTAATTGGTGGAGGAATAATAAGAACTAACCAAGCGAACTTGTGGCTAGCAACCCAAGAAGAACAGACCTGTCAATAGAAGCACAACCCAAGATCTTATTTAATAATTGGAGAGATTTGCAAGAAAGTTTCCTAACAAATTATCAGAAAGAGAAATTACTAAGTAGATTTTAAAACATTTAGGTACTTTACCTTAAATTGGGTAACTAGAAGAAAAGGTTGGTGAATTATCACCATCATCAAAATAAATTTATAGAATTGATTAAGTCAGGGCTTCTATGAAAAGAAAGAATCAACCTATGAACATAATACTGGATAATGTATTGTCAATGTTTGAATACTATTATAGAAAACAGTAATTGAGTAAAAATGAATTAGATGATTATTGTCAGATGGTTAGAAAGTTCTTTGATGATGGAAAGAAAGTCTTAGAAAACTATTCAAAAGCTAATGTAGATAAGAAGGTTTAAAAAATGGTCATAAAAAGCACCTCTTTAGAAACCAAATTAGCTAACAATACTTATATTGATGAAATCATTGAATGAGTTATTATTATTTATGTAAAATCATTATTAATTTTATTCTTCAAAATATTCCTTATTAGAATATTGGCTCAGGATTACGTTATTTTAGTACTCCATATGGATCTTCAAGAGTATTCTAAATTTAACTTTTATTAAGGATTTAAATTGTTTCAATTTGAACAAGAAGATAATTCCAATGATTGTCTCTTAAACTCCAAATTTAAGCTTAAACAATTTTCCATATTCTATGGAATTCTAAGATTTCATTATTGGATAAATCCAACAACATAAGTTAAATAAAGATGTAAATCTGTCGATAATTGATAATTGATTCTTGGTCATATTAAATTCTTTTAATGAATCTAATTCGAAAAAATCATTCTCAATATTTTGATCTTGTAAGTTACAATCTGATGCATGAACTACTTTCAAATTGATTAAACTCTATATGCTTTATGTTATTATTTATATTTTGTTATTCGAAATAATCAGAATTTGCAGGTTATTCAAACCAAGAATCAATTCATAGATTGTAGTGACTTCTTTGTTTCTTATGGATATTAACTTAACTATCGATATTTTTGCCTATTCCACAATTTCTTTAATTCTTAAGGTCGAATGAATTTTTTCATTCATCTGATTTTACTACGGAACTCCTCAGAACTGTTGCAATTTAGTAACTAAATCTTTTTCTTTCTAGTCTTCATTCACCTTGATTTCTTCCATCTATTATCTAGTTTAATCAAAAGCCTCTATAATCTCTGCATCACTCAAATCTAATTCACATAAGTCTTTCCCTTTTTTCTTAAGAAATTTTTCTAATCAGATCTTGGCAAAATTTATAGATTGGGGGTGTATTTATGAAATTGATGGCTATTGCTATAATATTGTCTTTCTCTTTCTTTTCTTTCCTCCTGTTTAGACATTTTTATTTTAAATAAATATGTGCATCATCACATAATTTTTATTATTAACAGCAAAATGGAACTAATTAACGTATATATTTTAGTTAATTTAGCACTTTCCATCCAGAAAGTTCGGATAAGAGCTAACTAATATTTATTATAGGCCTTAAACAAGATTGAACTTATCGCAATTGAAAAAGAAGGCTGAATCAACTAATACTTCAATGAGACATAAATCTTAAAGAGAGATCAATAGTAATAATGTTTGGTACTAAGTATCAATAAAGAAAAGAACAAGTAGTTAGCATAGTAGTGGTGATTCAGTCACTCATAGATAGAAATCATCCAGATGCTCAAGCAGAAATCAAACAATATAAACTGTGAGATTTTGCGATGTGAAATAGTTGCTAATAGATGAATAGAACAAGCAATTTATTGAAAATATCGATATGGTCTATTCAAGCAAACCTCAATATTGTAGTGTGTATGCATACGATATCTAAGAATATTTGAAATCTATTGAATTATCATACTAATTTAGTGTGTAACAGTACTTCCATCACCAACCTTAAATAACTCAGAAAATGAGAAGTATTTTGATAGAGTGGATAATTGACGTGACAGCAAAGTTCAGATTGAAATAAGAAACACTGTATTTGACAATAAGCTTGGTTGATAGATATATGTTGACAACTCCAGTTTCTAAAAACATATTATAACTTATCGGAGTTTCAGCTCTATTTATAGCAAGTAAAGTAGAGGAAGTTCATTAACTGATGGCAAAGGATTTAGCTTACATCACAGATAAAACATATACAAAAGAATAAATTGTATACACTGAATCCTTAATATTGAAACAGCTTAACTTTAACCTAACTACACCAACTATAATATATTTTTTAACACGATACTAAAATATATGCCCTTTGAATTTGAAACATTTCTTCTATTGTCAATTACTAATTGAAATTTATTTATTACTACAACCTTAGACTCATAGCAGTAGTCAATTAGCTGCAGCTTCATTTTGGCTGATTCGGAAATAAAAGAAATACAATCCAATATGGCCTGAAGAATTAGAAATTATTAGCAATTGTAACGAGAATAAATTACATGCAATAGTTAAAGTGCTTTAATCCTGTTAATCAGAATTTCAAACAAGATAGACGATATTTAATTCATTATATACTAAATATTCTTAGTATAAATATTGTAGAATAATTAATATGTGAAAATAGATAAATATTTTATATATATTTATTATACTTATACATTAATAATGAATGATCATCCAGTTAAGGTGAGAATGGCTTGAACTGTATCATTGTCTGATTTTCTGAGTGCTTCGACAGCTTTACTTCTATCACATTTACAGTGTTCCATGACCATTTTGATGGACTCAGGGGGAATGCCTTCATCACTGACTTGCTCTGTGGCTTCAGAAGCTTTTGGTTCTTTGATTTCTTCTTATTTTGGACTAAATGATAGAAATTTAAATATTACACTTATTGAGCTAAATTTTCGGCTTCTTTTTTGCCAATTTAACCAGTTGGGTCATGCACTTTGGCTTCACCAATCACAATGTAGGAATTATCAACATTGGCTGATTTTAAGACTTCTGGGTTATCAATATAGAGAAGGAATTATTTTCCTCTTTTGATAGTGACTCTATTGATTCCAGCGACTGGTTTCATTCCCAATTTGAGCATTGCCTTTCTGAATTTTTTTTCTCCTCTATTGGCCTTCTTGTCTTTGTCATCTCCTCCTTTTGGATTGTTACCATCATCAGAATCTGAATGGTCATGGTCATGAGCATGATCATGATCGTGGTCATGATGGTGTTCTTGAGTTTATTCTTTTTCCTCTTTTATCTCGATCTCCTTTTCTTAAGCCATTTATTATTATTATTATTACATAATTTAAATTTTCCAATCTTGATTAAATATTTCAAATGAACACAAATTAACAATAGTAATGATTTTAATATATCTGATATATATAAATAAAAATGATTAGATTCTCATTGAAGAAAGCATCACAATTATTGGGAAAACAATTCCAAGCTTTCTCCACACAATAGAATCTCATAGAAATATTTATAGATGACGTACCTCACAAAGTAGAAATGTGTGTTTGATCCTTTATAGGTTGATCCATCAGCAACAATATTTTAAGCATGTTATTCAGCAGGTGTAATCATTCCCAGATTCTGTTATCATGAAAGATTAGCAGTAGCAGGAAATTGTAGAATGTGTCTAGTCGAAGTTGAAAAGTCACCAAAACCTGTATAATTAAATGAATATTGTAAAAGGTGGCAGCTTGTGCAGCATAAGTCGCACCTGGAATGAAAATACTCACAAAAAGTGAGAAGACAAGAATAGCAAGAGGAGGTGTTATGGAATTCATGTTAGCAAATCACCCATTAGATTGTCCCATCTGCGATCAAGGAGGAGAATGTGATTTACAAGATATTTCAGAGCAATATGGGTATCTTCTTAATATTCAATATCTAGTTATGGAGATAGCAGACATAACGAATACAAGAGAGCTGTAGAGGATAAGAATTTTGGTCCTCTTGTTGCTACTAGTATGAACAGATGCATTCATTGCACAAGATGTATTAGATTTTCAGATGAATATGCTGGTGTAACTGAATTAGGAACTAGTGGAAGAGGAAGGAATACCGAAATTGGTACATACATTGACAAAATGATCACTAGTGAATTATAAGGAAATCTTGTTGATGTCTGTCCAGTTGGTGCTTTAACCAATGGACCATATGCATTCACATCCAGACCTTGGGAATTAAAATCATATGATTCTATTGATGTTTTTGATACTATCCTTCCACTTATTCAAATTGACACCAGAGGAGCTGAAATTATGAGAGTGTTACCAAGAATTCATGAGGAAGTCAATGAGGAATGGTTAAATGATAAATCAAGATAAGCCTTTGATGGATTGAAAAAATAAAGATTAACACTACCATTGGCAAGGGATGCTCAAGGCAATTTTACAGATTTATATTGGCCAGATGCCATTTAATAAGCAGCTAAAAAGTTGTAATCTGTTAAAGGAGAAGAAATTGTTGGAGTCATTGGAGAATTTGCTGATTGTGAATCAATTGTTGCTTTGAAGGATTTATTGAATAGATTTGATAGTGACAATTTTGAAATTAGAGGAACAGGTGTCCCCTAATTAGATGCAGACTTTAGAGCCAATTATTTATTCAATTCTAGAATCACAGGAATTGAAGAAGCTGATGTACTTTTATTAGTTGGTACCAATCCAAAGATTGAATCTCCATTATTGAATTCTAGAATCTTAAGAGCTACAAGAAAGAATAACTTAAAGGTATTTTTAATTGGACCAGCAAATGATTTAACATATAATTATGTCCATCTTGGAAATAATGCTTCAATTCTTGATGAAATTGCTAATGGCACTCATCCATTTGCTGCCAGACTCAAATCTGCTAAATTGCCTATGATTTTAACAGGAGCAGGTGTCTTAGAAAGAGTTGATGGAAATGCCATTCACAATGCATTAAAAAAGATTGCACAAAATTCACCAGTAATCAATGCATAATAAGGATGGAATGGTTTCAATCTATTACATAAGGATGTTGGAAGAATTAATGCTCTTGAATTAGGAATCACAGCTAGAAGTAGCAGTGTACCACCAAAAGTTGTTATTCTATTAGGAGTTGATAATAATTTGAATGCTTAAGACATTCCAAAGGATGCCTTTGTCATTTACATTGGTAGCCATGGAGATGAAGGTGCTTATTATGCTGACCTCATATTGCCAGGAGCTACATATACTGAGAAGAATGGCACATATGTAATGCTTATTATGTATTAAACTAGGTTTCAACCGAAGGAAGAGTCTAAACCACCAAGTTGGTAGCACTCCCTCCATCAGGAGCAAAATCAGATTGGGAAATCTTGAGAGCCTTATCCGAGGAGTGTGGATGTGCCTTGCCTTATGATAGTTTAGAGGAAGTAAGTCTTTTTGTCAATATTTATATAGGTTAGATATAGAATTGCTGAATTGGCTCCCCATTTATTGAAATACGATTACATTGAGTCTAGTGTTTTGGGATAGGTTGCATTAAAGCCTGAATCATCAAAACAAACCATTTCAGCCACTCCTTTCAGGGATCTTATTGATGTAAATCATACCATTTATCAATAGAACTTCTATATGACTGATGCTATTTCTAGATAATCAGTTACTATGGCTAAATGCTCTACGGCATTTAATCCTCATAAATTTAGCACATTTAAATAATTATGATATAATATCCAAAAAATGATAGCAATAACATATATAATTATATCAAGCCATTTTTTTACTTACAGGACTTAAATTTGATCTTTGTGTGTTGTAAACTTCGAAGATTCCTTTGGGATTACTTTTCAAGGGACTACTGATTCGAGCAGTTTAAGAGCCTCCCTATTTTAACTTTGTAGATGATTTCAGATCCTCAATATAAATATTAACTATATTGTTTTAGTTAATATTGTATACACCACCTCCCTTCTTTGAAGAACCTTACACGCAAATATTGTTGGTTATTCTTAATGGATCCTTTGAATTATCGTGTTTTTGAGGCTATTTCGGAGGAGACCCTTTATAATTCCCTACATTATCTTGAGATTTAGTCCTGTAATGCATTAATTGTGCATTAAGAATGGGAGCTTACAAATTATTATTAGAAATCAAGGTGGATTTCTTTTTTTGATCAGAATTTTTGACCTGCAATCCCCTTAAAGTCGACAAAGCGTACTAAGTGAACTTTTATGGTAATTTTTATCTTCATAAATGTGTATATTAAATGATACATATTTTTAGATGCTGTCTTCTACAAAGTCTATTCCCCTATGGTATATACACTCTGTCTCTAGACTCTATCAGTGGCCAAAGGTTGTTTACCTAAATAAAATGGTTGTGATACTTTTATTATCATCTTCGTATTTTTAAAGTTATGAGGCAACTCTGGTTCTTCTATTAATGGATTATCAATAATAATTACAAGAAATTCACTTAATAAGATAACAAATCAGCTGTTTACTTTTATGTTGAATTTTATCTACTTGGTAATCTGAATTAACATTCAGTTGTATTAAAATTGCTACTCACTTTTCTTTGAGAGTTCGATTTCTAAGCATTATTAGCTTTTTATTGCTTTTGCATATTTTGCTATTATTAAACAAAGTTGGCAAATCCCTCAATTTGCGAATACACTTTTTACATTAATTGCGATTATTATGAACTTCTTTAGGGAGATTGTTCTTAATTCGATCTTTTAGTCTATTCGCCAGCTTTTAGAGAATTCTCAGCCTTTAAGGAAGAGACCTCTCCCTGGTTGAACTGCAAACGGTTGATATTGATTTTATCAAAACTGCCTTAACAACTGACTTGATGGGTGGTTTTTGAATCGAAATTCTGCAATTAAGAACTTTTGTTAACTTTTGGTTTAAGATTAGTCATATAGTTAGACTTTAAATTTTTAGTGATTGTCGAGAGATCCTATGATCTAAGGAGAAAACTATTGCTTTAATCAATGGACAATAATCCTGAGATTTATCCAAGACAATCGTACTTTTAGCCGACTTACTAAATGAATTCTCTCAATTAGACACTACTAGAAATGTCCACTTTTTTCTGGAGATAAGAATTAGTGTCCAATTTTAAATCTTTCAATAGATATTTCAACTATCCTATTGTTAGATCCTCATCACTATGCTTTTATTTCTTTTTCTCTTTCTTTTTGGATGGTTACTAGATTTAGTGATTGTATTACTACATCCTCATCTGGAATGTTCAACTTCCTCTTAATATTCGCATATTCTAATCTCCGCTTTTTTTCATGGAACTTATTTATGGTTAAATAGACATTTTGCATGAATAAGCGAGGGATATCCTTGTGATACTTATAGTACTCCTACAATGCCTTTACTTTTTGTATTGCCTCTTTTTTTACATATGATCTAAACTTTATGGTAGCATTCTTACCTTTTCAAATACTCCTCCTCTTCTATCATACTTTCTAAATCTCTGTAGAATACAACTGCAGGAGTTGACTCCTCTTCTATAATGTCGTTGATGTCCTTTGAATAATAATAGTTTTATGAAGATGAGTATTTAGCAAATAACGCTTTATTTAAAAGTGGAGCATATGATTCTTCTTTGCAGTTTTTGAACTTTTAACAAAACACACAAGGAGTGGATTTCTAGTTGTTGGGCCTATTCAACATATAAAATCACATAAAATACGGTGAACACAAAGACGAAAATCGCTTCCTCACTGTCATTGGATTGCTAGCAGATTGTTTGCTATTTGATCTCGATGTTTTCCCACCAGTGAATTACTTTTTATTTGACATAGTCCTTAGCTTTTTTATAAGTTAATAAATTAATTGTATATATTGTATTATACTATATGCGTCATTTTTTTGTTTCCTTGGCTTGCTTTCTCTTCTCCTTTACACCAACAAATTTAGCGTTGTACCATTCCTATCTTAATTTTCTGTAAACACTCTTTGCTCTTAATTCTTTTGAAATAACAGTGGCCTTTTCTCTCTTTGGTGTTCTTTAGAATGTGATGACCTTTGATATATAGCTGTATTCTTACCTCTGGATTGGTATTTTAAGCTACTGGGTGAGCAACAACTTCATTTGCAGAATCCTTAACAACTCCATTCTTTGGTTTGCCTGCAACTCTTGGATAAAGGACCAATTTTGAGAGGTATGCCTTTATTCTCTTAACATTACTAGTCAATTCTTCTTAGTTCAAATTTCTTCTTCTGTGATCAACAGAAATTCCAATTGTTCGGGCAAATGCTGCATTGAGTCCTGCTTCCTTTAATTCAATCAATGAGAATCCTCTTCCAAGTTTTTAGACGTTGTTATACTTAATTGTTTGACCTCTCACAACTGGACGAAGAAGCTCAACTGGTCTGGGAGATGCAGCTATTATTAGGGGATTGACACTTACATAAAGCTTATGTTCTTCTTCTCAATTGTCTTCTTCTCTTAGCTGCTGGTTGATTATAAAATGTCTTCACAAATCGGGTCCAATGTTTCCTCATGTGAGCATTAGGAAGTTGTTAATTGTGTTTCATATAGGTAAATTTTTTAAATAAAAAAAATGTAGATATGTAAAAATCAATATTAAATGACTTAAATAAGTCATATATATATATAATTTCACAAATTTTATATTCATCAGAGCTGAGTTAAGTGTTTCATAGACTTTCTACTATCTTTATAAATAATAGCTACCTAACAAAAGGCTTAGACTTCTCTGTCGGAGTTTGGTTTAAATTCGGAGTGGATTCTCTTGGCTTTGATTCCTTTGCTAATTCTTCAAAAGTTTGTAAGTCGGTTATTGAGTTATGGAAGGATAGTTTCATCTTTTTCATGTTGTTCTCATCCACCTCTTCCACCAATTAAGGTTTAAACATCAAGTATGGACGGGAAGGCTTCGATGACTATTCCTTCTTTGTAGTTTAATCAGGAATATACCCAAATTAACCCTACTTTCTAAGAAAATACAATTCTATATTACATGATTATATCCTATTAACTCTTCTGTTGAATTATTGACTTCTACTCCCTTGGTGTTGGAAGTGTATAGACTTTTTTCATCATCTTATTTAATTAATTCTAAAACCTTAAATTTATTAATGAAAGTCATCTAATAATTTCAAATTTACTATTAGACAAAACAATATTTATCACTTGCATTCTGATCTCATACAATTTATATTTATATTTAAATAACAACATGTCCCTAATCTATAAGACAACCCATTAAATATTATATTAACTTAATGACCTTATAAACAGATCCCTGAAATAACGAGATATCAAATAATAGAGTTGTCACACTCCCACCAAATCTAATCTTTGAAATTAATTACTTAAAACAAAAGTTTATAACTAAAATACTTAATCACGAATCACGTTATTAAATACAATTCAAAATATTATTTCACACTTAAACAGGTAATCAAAATAAAAATAGAATATTTAGAACTATTATGAAAAGAATGAAAATAATTCTTCCATTCTTTCGTATCTAAATCAACTTAGACAATTATTTTAAATGTTTTCCTTAGCAATTTTACTTATTGTTTAAAATAGAAATCCGCCTACTAAATTTTTTTATTTGCTTATGGGTTTAATATATTTTCTTTGTATTTAAATAAAAAATAGTAAACAAATTTTAATTTATATTTTATCATATTATTCCTATGTTTAAGTAAAAGTTTACAATATTGAGTTATTCTCCCAATCTAATTATTATTGCGCCCTTATCAATAATACATATTCTGTATATCCTATAATTTTATATAAATCTATCTATCTGCTAATAATCTGAATTATTCTTCCTAAGTATTTTTACTACAATAATATTGATTCCTATCAAAGCTCTTGATAGTTGTAATTTATAATAAAACTTCAAATCTTAAGATTCGATTGTAAATTAAAAGAATTGTCAAAAATTTTATTTTCATATATTTAATGCTTTTCGTTTACTCAATATTCATTCAAATATATTGTATTTATATCTATAAATTTAGCTAAATTATCAATTTGGAATGGACTAGAAAATTGTTTTAATTAATCAAAAATTAAATAGATATTTAAATATCTTTTGATGAAAGGTTTTTCTATTTTTAATCAAACTAGGAAGAATTTAATCATTTAGATTGCAAGTTTTAAAATAATACTATTAATTAAATCAATTGATTATCAATTATGTTAAATTTTGAATTTTTATAATCTTATGCACACAATCAAAATATATTACCATTTATAAACGAATTGTCAAATCAAAATTAAATATCTTGAATCAATATTGGTGAAACAGAGGAACAAGTTAGAAATAGAAATATTTACAAGGAACATTGATATAGAGGGGATTAATTGTTTTATCATATGATTTGATGATAAATAGTATATTCTATTTATTTATAAATCTGAAAATAATCCAATAAGTAAATAATTATCTAAATAATAAGATAATAAGTAAGAATATAAACTAAAATTTGAAATTTTTTTATGAATCTGAATCCTTATAATTGATAAATTAGGTAATATGATAATATTGAGAAAACCTTAATCTATGAAGAAGAATATAAATTTGAAATATCAAGTTTTTTTAAAAGCTTATTTTTAGGATTTTCTTTAAATCCTGAAAGGAAATATACAGTTATACATGATTTCATGTAAAAACATTGTATTCTCCTTTTAAATGCAAGTCAGCATATTAGGATTAATTATCCATAACTATTTTTCAAATTTTGATATTGATTATTTCCTTAAAACAGTTAGTAGATAAGGCTTTAGATAAATTTTATAAGCAAATACTATGAATTAATTAACCTGTTTGATTATTATAAAAGATTACAAAACTCCTTCGTCTTTTAATAATATGTTTTCTTAGTATGTTCATTATAAAGTGAATGGAAAAAGTGGAATCCAGGTTTTTAATTGAAGATTAGTATTGTATATTAAAAATTGAGGGATACTAATAAATTACGAGATATGATAAATTGATTGTAATTTTGAGGGATTGCATATAAATTATTCTTAATTAATGGAAAAAATATAAGAATTAGTGGAAAGCCAAAAATTTCAGGAAGCAATTGAAGGATTGACTGATATGTTGGAGAATGAATTGCCAAGTGCTAGACTCGAAACTTTAGAGGTGCTAAATCGGATATTAAGTCTGAGCACTAAGAGACAGGATTTGTAAATAGCAATTTTAAGGCTGGCAAAATTTGAGAATACAGGAAGATATTGTGATTTGATTCTGAATTTGGCAAGGCTATATATTGATTTAGGATAATTGAGTGCTGCAAAATAAGAGTTGGAAAAGTTAAGGAGCTTTAATAATAATTATGTTAGATGCATACTTTAAGGATTTGATCGAATGTTCAATTAAAAAAGGGAGGAGGTGTAAAAGGAGGATCAATGGGAGCAATTTTAGCTATTGGAGAAAGAAGAGAAGGATTTAGATTATTTCTCATAAGATGGCTTATGCAGTTATCTGATACCAGCAGCTTGGTTTTAGAAGTGGAGACTATACGTTAAAAATGAAGATCCGATAGTGATTGAGGATCCGATTATGGGGTTGGATGTTACAAAATTGAGATAGCTGCTGAATCTGAATGAGGATTCTATTAACGAAGAGACTGAAGTGATACCAGGTCCAATTGACAGTTCGAGACTCATTTAAATTAAATGGAATTTGTTGCCCGACCCGACTTAGTCGAAATAATATTTGAATTATGTGTTACGAAATGACTTGAGAGAAGGCGTTGATTTTGTCCATGTAAGCGCAAAAGTATTTAAATTCTTTGAAAAAATTTATGGCGCCTTTGCTGTAAAAAGACTCATTGTAAAATAAGATGAGCAAGACAGAATACTTGTAGATGTAATCATTATGATTAATTTTTAAGTTAATCCCCAGAGTAGTTGAAATCATAATTCTGGAAAATTAATTGGAGGAGTCATCTTTATCAGTAAATGGGTTTGAATAAGTATAAGAATTAACTAGAAAAATTAGAGTCATAAAAGGTATTGGCAATGAAATCAAATGGTGGAAGTTTAAGGATCTATAAAGCCAAATGGATTGGATGTCTATGATATAGAAAGGAACTTTCATCAAAAGTATTAAGGGAAAAGATTTGGACTTGAAAATTAAAATTGATGATTTAAATTTAACCACCTAAGACATCCTCATATGCGAAATCAAACAAGGGAAGAGTTGGCAATTAACTGCTGAAATAAATTCTCTATAACAAAAAGAATAAAATGTTTCAGAACTCTATGCGAAATTTGGCATTAGCAATATTCCTAGATGCCTATCTGATAGCAGAAGAGGAATGACAGGTTTATAGAACTTGGGAAACACTTGTTTTATGAATGCTGCTCTTCAGTGTCTCAGTAACACCTATGAATTTACAGAGTACATGGTGTATAATCATTTTGCATAACATTTAAATCCCAACAATGTATTGGGAACCAAAGGATTTTTGGCAGCATCATATGCTGAATTAATGAAATCTATGTGGTTTTCCAATTACTCCAGTGTTTCAGCCATTGATTTAAAAAAAGTGATAGGAAAATTTGCACCTCAATTCTATGGATATGGTTAATAGGACTCTCATGAATTCTTGTCATATCTCTTAGATGGATTGCATGAAGATCTCAATAGAGTTCTTAATAAGCCCATTGTCACAGATATAGAAATTACAAATGAAAGTGATCAACAGGCTTCTGAAAAATTTTGGATCAATTACACTTTGAGAAATCAAAGCAAAATCTAAGAACTGATGGTTGGACAATATAAATCTACTTTGGTCTGTCCAATTTGTAGCAGAATATCAAAGACCTTTGATCCCTTCATGAGTTTGTCATTACCCATTCCTAGTTTTTCATCCTTTTCATCTTCTTTGTACTTTATATATGATGACAGTGAAACTATGCCAGCTAAAATTAGTTTGTAATTAAGCAGTGATATGACAGGATTAGATATATTAAAATAATTGGAAAATCTATTAAGTATCAGTCACAAAAGAATGAATATGTTACTCATTAAGGAACATCAAATTTAGGAAAGAGTACCTTATGAAAAAGGAGCCAAATGGATAAGCGAACATATTGGAATATTATTCGTTCAAGAGGTTGAATAGAATATCTAAAATATGAAATAAAATTAAATGAATGTTGATTTCTATTATGTATCCAAAGCAACTAAAATCTATGAAGTGGATAAGATATTATCTTTTCCTAGATAAGTAGTAATTGATAGAAATTCAACTGCATAACAACTCTATGGATAGATCTACTATAAATTTAGAATTCATTTAACCCTTGCAGTTAAGGAGCTAACTGCTCAAGAATTCCCTTTAAAAGATCAATTTTTATCACTTCCAAGACCTAAAAATTTAGAGGAATCTATACAAGAATTTGCAATATTAATATAAAACCAATTATAACCATTTACTCTAAGATTCAAAGATCTCTCTGATAAATCAAAAAAGGAAATCTAATTTAGTGTATTTTTTTATATTATTCTAGGATGATGCAATAAGCAATATTTCAGGTTCCAATCTTTCTATTGAAGTTATTATTTCAGAGTACCTAACTAAAACAGTTCAAATTCTAAAATTGCAAAGGTGTAAAGAGTTCACAACTAATGATACAAAATCTTAGGTAAGAAAGGGAGAATATGATTTGGATGATTGTCTTAAAGCATTTACAAAAGAGGAAATTTTAGGTAAAGGAGATGAATGGTATTGCAATAGATGCAAAAAGCATGTTCAAGCATCAAAAAAAATGGAAATCTATAAGGCTCCTTAAGTAATTTAATTAGATATATTATTTATAGATATTAATAATTCACCTTAAAAGATTTAAAACAAACAGAATATCCAATTTAGGTAATTTTTACTTCAGCAATGGTACTTAGAAAATATCATCAATGGTATAATTTCCACATGAACTTAATTTAAATAATTTTGTGTTGTCCAAATAAGCTGGAGATAATTTAAATTATATATATGATCTCTATGGAGTGGATAATCACTATGGTGGTTTGGGAGGAGGACATTATACAGCCTATGCTTTTAATAGTGTGTTAAACAAATGGATAGATTATAATGATTCCAATGCTAGAACTACGAGTAGTAATGTTGTAAGTGAGTCAGCTTACTTATTATTTTACAGAAGGAGAGATTCTGAAAAATGTTAAATGTTCAAATGATAAATATATATAATATATATTCAATATCATAAGTTTAATCTATCAAAATTAATTTAACTAAAATAATTCATCTTATTTCCAAAGTTTCTACTCAATTTATTAGTTTACTTAAAAATAATAGATTATATTTCTTTCATTATACCCAGATAATAACTTCATTTATAGTATTTTAATAAGGTTAATTATCCACTTAGCATGGATATATTACAACTAAAGCCTAGTTCACTTATTATTGTAAATGAATAAAAAAATGATTCATTTTCTATTTTATTTAATTTTAGTATTTACAATCAATAGGTTAATTCTACTGAAATTTATGATAGAAACACATATCTTGCCAAAATATTATGCAAATCACTAGATCATATCTTATAAATATTATTTGTTTTTTGTTGATGTTTTAATGAAATATTATTGATGATTATGTCATAATCAATTTTGCCTCTATTTAGAACGAATTAGATTTATTTGAAATATAAATAATAAGTGTATTATAATTTATAACTAATGGACATACCAAAAAGGACAGAACATAGACCACCCAGACCTCCTATACCCAAGTTCCGACTTGTTGGGGCAGGAACTGATACACCTGATTTCCTCCCTCCTCCAAAATCTGAGGAATCCTCTCTTATTGCATTATCTACGGATAATACGTCTGAAACATCTATCGAAGATAATAATGAATCATATTTTATGAGAAAGAGATTTTCTGCTATTGTCGAAGAAATCACACATCAGATTGTTCTACTGGGATTAAGTTAAGATCTTTTAAAAATAGGAATCACATTTTTAAAACCTGAATTACTTGACGGTTTAAAGTAAAAAAAGTATAAAGCTATCGCTGTGGCAATCATCATCGCTGCTTTGAAATAAATCAATGCTCCAGTAACATAGAAAGAGATTTTGTCGAAAACTTCAGTCTCAGAAAAACAAATCAAAAAGATTCTTCTAAAGATTCACAGTTCATATGATTTAGAGGCTATCGTTCACTCATTTATTAAACAGATTTCAAGTTCAATAGGACTTAATGAAAAATTCATTAACTTTTGTCTTTAGATGTTTAAGGAAATAAACCAAAGGAATCTGATCTAAGGAGAACATGAAAATGTAATAGCTGGAACGATTATTAAATATTGTGGAGATATTATCTTTGCTGATAGAGGAGGAATAGTGGCACAAGTAATAGCGGATCATGCGAAATGCAGTATTGGACCACTGAAGAACTTTCTAAAAAAAGTTGAAACTAGCTTGCCCTTTAATCCTTAACATTAGAAAGAAAGATGATAATTATCTACGTTCAATATATTAGATTCAATCATATTTTATTTTAAACTCATTCCTTTTTGCCCTAAAGAGTGATTATAATTTATAATAATGAATTTAATTCAGTTATATCATTCTAATTATTAATTAAGACATTTCTTTAATAGGAGGAATGCATCAAATTCTTCCTTAGCTAGATTCCTTGTAAATTAGTTTAATTCTAGAAAGTTTAAATGATTATTTTAGAAATTATGCTAAATTAATCTTAAGGTATCACGAATGCCCTTGATTTTTGCATCTAATTCTATGAGCTGATCTTAATAAGGTGTTGTGGAAATATGTTATAAAATATTATATTCATCTACAACTTTATCTATATTCTGATTCCTAAATTAATTCAATTTATCTTTTTCCTTTATTAATTAATCTACCATTTCTTATCCATCAATTATCATCTACTTAAGACAAGCTTTCTTTTTATATTCATTTATTAGTTCAAAAACCAGAAATTCATTTATAGAATTTAATTCACTCCAGTTATCTTTTATCTAAAATCATGAATTATTGATATTAACATTTTTTGCAAATGAATTTTTCTCTTATTCTTAAGCTTTTCCTACTCCTTCGTACGGATGCTCTTTTTTAAATTATATTTTCATTTTGGAAAAGATATCAATCAATTTATCGGTTCTCTCAATATATGTACTAAAATCTATAAATCCAAGGTTTGCTTAAATTAAATTAAATGAATATCCTTACAATCATAATACGGATTTAACTAGGTTTCCTATCCTTGCGGTTTTACTATTTTACATCTTATTCCATTTTCCAATGGATTCAAAAATAAAAGTTCAAAAGATATCGAAGTACTTTCAACATCTGATAACTCACCAAAAATCTTAAATACATTTAAAAAACTACTTGTAAATGAATTTACCCTTATACATTTATTATTTTTAAATTCATGTTTTTCAAACCAGCAAGATTTTAAATAGCATCAATTTATGAAAGAATTGATGCTCTATCTTCTTCATCGTATATAGTTAGCACTAAAATATCAAACGCTATGGATAGCATAATTTAATACTATTATTGTTATTCAATTATATTAATAAAACCAAAATAAAGATCTTATTATTCAAGAAAGAATAAATATACAAAATTACTTAAAATATCAAGAAATATAAGAGCATTAAATAAGAGTTTTAACATAATTTAAGTCTTGTTTTAATATTTTTATTTAGACTTATGATTTCAATATTCGTATGTTTTATTTCCAATGTAGAAATCCTTTAAGAATTCACTCTTTCCTTTGAGCTTTTAATTTTCTAAATATGAATATCCAGCATCCGATCTATTTTGATTTGCAAAGTATTGGAATAAATGATCTCTATTTAGCATATGCCATTCAGCTTGGTAGAGTAATTCATATCCTCTATAAACCTATTAATATCATACATAAATACTAACCCATCTATCAACGGCATCAGGATCTCTTAAATATGCTCTTTTTCTGATTACATTTGCTACATTTAGCATTGCTTATTATGAATTACAGGTCACTTCCATATCATGAATTCTTAATAAAAAGGGAATAAGACGACACACTTTTCTATAAAATCTCAAGACTTTAAAATGAGCTTGGATGATATTCTTTGATGGTCTTCCAGTTGTAAGCCCTTCAAAAATTTCTGTTCCTCTCATTGTGATATTATTTCCACCATATTACTAAGTTTATCTTAATTTGTTACTTTTCCTCTTGATCCGTGTGTTCCTATTTCAGGAAATAGATTAAGATTGCTTGTAAAGTTTTAATTTTAATTCATTTATATTTATAATTCAATAAATATCAAACACTCATTTACCTTTTTTTGGTTTCCATAATTTTAAGTACATCGAATTATTATCTTAATTAATATCCTTTAATCTTTTCCTATTGTATGAATTTTTCCTTAGGAACAAACAAATAAGGATCTTCTAAACAAGACTTAGCACTCAATCTAAAAAATGAATTGGGATTCATCATCCTGCAAATTAATCTTCTTAATTTAATGGAATAGAAATCTAATTACTATAATCAAATACCTGATCCAAAATCATTAACTGACAAACCTTATCTTAATTTCAACCATTTTTCTCCACATGCAGGTAGAGTCTCTCCTATCATAATTTCATAAATTGAAGCACCCATTGAGAATATATCCGATTTACTTAAATCAGATTAAGCTGTTAGCTAAAATTGTAAAACATTATACATTAGATAAAATTTCAGGAGCTAAATATCGAGAATCTCCTTCATTAATATCCTCTCCCTTTTTTAATTAGGTTTGTCTGGAAAGACCTAGATCAGCCAATTTGTAACACCCTTAAACTTTGCTATATAAGATGTTATCAGGTTTGACATCGAAATGCGTGATTGATTATTCATGAAGAAATCTCAAACCTTTCAAAATATCTTTCAGTATCTTTTTAACTTCGAATTCTTCAAATCTTTAATTTTAATCCCTTTTAGATTCCTAAATAATATTATTATAAATTACTAAGAGGGAAGTCACATTGAAATTGCAGTATTCCATTTATAAATAATTATAGCACTTTTCATTCCAGGCAGTATAATATCTTATGATATTTTTGCATCTTCCTTTAGCCGTCAGATACGCAAGTGCCTATGCTTCATTAAGAGTTTCTGCTGCATCATATGATTTGCCATATCCTTGAAGTTTAACACATTTTATCGCATAAATTTGTTTATCAATATTATTTCTGCATTTATAAACAGTACCAAAATTTCCATTGCCTATTACTGCCAATTAAGTATATTCATTATAATATCTAGATTTCTCAAAGGAAGGACTCTCTTCTTCTGACTAATCTTCAACATCCATGGCCCATGCACTTGTCTGGATACTTTTAATCGCACTCTTTCAGTAAAATATTTAATTACTTTCTTTTTTATTGGAGTGGCAGTACCCTATTTTTAAGCAGTTAATTCTTTATGAGATTTAGTTCCCTTATTTTTTGGGGTGCTGGGAGGACTTTATTAGATTTAATCTAAGGTCATATGATTTTAGAATCTATGAACTAAAGAACTTCCAATGCAATCGTTTTCTGAAGTACTTGGAGTAATGTGTGAAAGATGATTTTTTTATTTAATTGGTGTTTGAGTCTTGATAGGTCTAATTATTAATTGAAATAGCTCTACATAATCTAGAATTTGAATTGTTTTTTGCTTGAATTATTGAATTGTTGTATTTGATCATCAATGATCACTTTCTTACACAACTCTGGTTCCATAGATTATTTTTCAGGAGTACTGAATAAATTTCTTGCAAGAGGAGATTAAAAATTCATTTCCAATTTGAATTTGAAAAATGCTACTTTTTATAATTAATTGATTTATGCTATATATACAGTACTGTAATTTTATTTTAAATTTTATTAATGCCTATTCAATTCATAGATAAGTGATTTAATTTATTCTTAATAATTATCTTTACATAGCCAAAATAATTGAAAATTTAGAATGAATTCTAACTAGTATAGTTTGAAAATATAATAATAATAGATTCATAAAGATAATCTCATTTAAATTAAATCATAGAAGACCTGTTAGAATTCTTTTCACTATCATAGAGATTGATGATCATTAAATAATATCATAGGATATTATAAAAGTTAAATTAATTAAATAATAAATCATTCATAATTTTATTCATTAGAGCAATTAATTAATGAGGAAGAAAGCATATCACATCTTCAGGTTCAGGTATTATCTACTATAAATGAAAATATAGTATTGAATAAATTATTTGAATTGTGGTGTATATATTTATTTTTATCTGACCTTTCCTTAATCCTTCAACATTATAATGTTAAAATATTAATGATTTTTAAGAATTAATTAGAAATTTTGGATTAAGATCATTTAGCAAAGTAGTATAGTATTTAAATATTTTAAAATATATTTGACTGAATATTTTCAATTCTGAGGTAGTATAACTTGTAAACCATCTATATTATAGCTTCTTAATTGGGTTTAATCTGAAAATAGATCAAATAATGTTGACATTCATGTCTTTTTAATAAATGAATTTTAATGAATTCTGAAAAATATATAAATATTTTGAAAAATGGCTAATATGGTTTAGATAAATTTAGATGAGGGGAATTTATGTTGGTTTAGTTTCTATTTATTATTGATTGGATTCTTTATAGAGCCTAAATAAATATTTTAATATTATTAAAATTCCTAAATAAAATTTAATGAATCGTTAAACAAGCTAAATTTCTCACAATTCCTCGACATAACTATACTATTCTTAGTATCTTAAGTAATAATAAGTGAGTCCAATTACAGAAAAATTTGTTGGGGAAGAGGTTTAAGAGCTTAGAAAACAAGTTGAATAACTCACCAAATAATTAGAATTCAAAGAATAAATGATCAGCGAAATGAGAGCACATTAAAAAATATTAATGAATAGATTATCTGAACCAACTAATTATTAAAAAGATAACTTAATAGAAAAATTAAAGGAATTCGAGGTGCAATTAAAAGAAAAAGAAGTTTAATTTCAAAATTAATTAATTGAAAACAGCTTGCTAGTGAAAGAAAACAAAAGTTTAAAGCAAGAGATCACACGCTTGGAAAGTTTAATCAAAGATCCCTCAATACAGAAGTTCGTTAATTCAATAGTTGATCTAGTAATACAGTGTCATCCATAAAATCATTTTCCAAATTCGAAACCCGAATTGCGAGAGTGTTGGAGGTGGTTGAAAAAGATTCTCAATGATTACATACAACTTAAGCAAAGCTTGCATTGATTATTTTATTAAAATTATGAATAAAGATGGACTTGAAGCTATAGTGAATTTTCTCCAACAAGTTAGGCAATTGTTGAAAGAAAGTAGAGAACTCTAACAATTGCTAACATCCAACAAAGAAACCATTAAAATCTAAAAAGATTAGAAGGTGTGTTCTGTGTTATTGAAAACATATTTCAGCAGACCAATGCAAATTCAAATATAAAATAATATTAACCAATTAATGAAAAGAGTAAAGAGTTAAAAGACAGAGTTTACCTGATTGTTTGATATTTTATGACCATTCTAATTACTCTAAATGTCTTTTGATTAATGATGATATAAAGAGAAATCCATTAAGTAAAGAAAAAACTAAAAGGTTTAATACCTGAATAATAGGTTAGGAATAAAATTACTGATATTTAAATGCAGAAATGTTTAAAGATAAAGTAAATCATTTGTAATTGAAAAAGATATGAAATTCTATACTTAGAATTGTTATTTCTCTATTAATACATTAAGATAAATTTTTGTTGATGGTTTTTGGATGTTATGATAATCTATCTACAAGGGAATTAGAAATATTAATTATAAATTCAGACATAAGAAATAGTTTCAATTTAATAAATTGACTTCCTAATACTATAAAATATTAATGTAAAAATCCAAATTGACATATATTTTTGAAGTTCTTATCGTAAGAAGACATAGATTTGCGTAAATTTAGAAAAATAATATAAAATAAGTAATAAATACCAAATTATGGATTTACAATATGATTATATAAAATATAAAAATTCTTTATTTATTCCACAATAATTAAAACTAACTCATTAATATACAATTTTGTTCTGTTGATTTCAAAAAGCATTAATTTTGATAACACCAATATATAGAATTATTTTAATTGGATTGAGTAAACATATAAAAAAGACTTGTGTAATGGTTGGATGAAAGGAAACGAAGACCAATGTAGAGGTTTTTATATTTTATACATAATGTACTTTCATTACTATTTCACCTTCTTGAATTTTGAATTTTATGCTAAATCTTATGAGGCCTATCTTTTATCTTCACCTTTTTGGAATTTCTACATCCATGAGGCTCCCTAAGGTTAGAAGTCTGCTTCTTCTTAATATTAAGCTTAATTGGAAACTGGCTTGGCTTTTCCTCTTTATGGTGCTTTCACATCTCTATAGTTCACTCCTTCCTCTAATTAATGAACTCTCTTTTCTAAGAATGCTTTGTTGGTGACTCCAAATTCAGCATCTTATCCCTCACCTAGAATACGTTGAATACTAAAATATACCTAAAGCATCATATCTAATACACAAGGCAGTTTTAGCAGCTAATGTTCTGGAGACTTTACCTTTCAATTTAGCAGGAGCACTTCCAACTAAAACTGGCTTAGAAGATCAAACCATATTTTGGTGTGTTGTGTTTGGTTCTAATGGCTTTTAACAGTGCTTTCTCTGCTCCTAAGATTTATACTGTAGAAGCTGGGTATTTAGCTAGATTAACCAGAGATCCAGCATGAGATATCAATCTTGCTCCTACTAATTCTCCAACCATAGTTGTAAGATTTGGGGCGATAGCTTACATTCTTGTTTTTCAAATACTCTGATAATTAGGCTCTGTAATCAGTCAATTCGATGACTTAGTCAGCCAAACAGAGAATGAACTTTTCATCTTCAAGTGTGATTTCAGTACCAAAAGACACTTCTGCAGCCTATTTGACATCTGCTTCTAGATTGTCTGGTAAAATGCCAGAAAGATCAGTCTAGCTTGTCTTGATTCTCATACCAATGGCTTTAACAACCTTAGCATATATTAGGTTATCTGTAATGATTTTGCCTAATTCTGGAAAATGCCATCCGAACCATTCTCTCAATCTCATCATGTAATTGTTAATTTCTTTGTCTAAATCATCCAAAAGTGCAATAGCTTGGATGATCATGGTGTCTACTTTTTCAGTTGAAAATTTGAGCTTGTATCTAGATAGACCATGTGCCAAACCCAAAGTCATGTTTTTGAGTTCAGCTTCACTTAAGCCTTCAATTAAATTGGTTAGTTGTGATTTAATGCCTCTAAAGAGTTGTTCTGTGACTGGGGTTTAAACGCAAGTCAATCCCAGTTAATCTTGAATCTGTTTAGCTAGTTTTTTATCTTAAACTATAATAATGTATAATTTATTGATACCTGCAATTTAATCTTAAACTTCCTGTGAAATTACATTCTTTTCCAAAAACTTACTGAGTTTCTTGGGGATCTTACCATTAATAAGCTTACTAGTGGCAACGAGAGCTTCTTATGTATCCTTAAATTGTTGGAAAGCAAAAGGGGTAATCCTAAGATCATTTTCTATGCAAATGCTTACAATTTTTTAGCTTGCTTCTCATTTTGCAAGTAATCGTAGATATTATCAATTTTGCTAAGTGCCTTAGTGTTAGCAACTTAAAAGAGGGCAAATCCTGCAGGAGTCTCGATTAATATTAACATATTAAAATATTTATGAATCTCTGTCCATATATTAATAATTTATCATCGATAGTAAAAATATTAAAAGTCTCAATTTTGAACTCCTTCTAAAATTTAGCTATGTAATAAACTATTCATAACACATAATATATAAGATCCTGACTATTGATGACATACTTATCACTCATTAAATCATCATAGTTAATTGATCTAAGAATTATTAAATAGATAATTCAATCTGTTGCACCATTCATTCAAGTAAGGTGTGACTTGGTAAATCTGTGAATTAACCATGAATTAATATCTTTATGGATGTAAAATCAAAAGAAACTTAATAACTAGATAAATTATTTATATGAAAGAACTATAAAAAGAAAGCATCTATATTAATAGTTAAGAAATTACTTAATGAATGAACTTTTAGATCAATAAAAAATAAGTACTTTAGATCAGATATGGAATAATATTTGATATTTAGGAGCTCTGAAAATCTATTCTTATTAAGAATAAATAATGGCCTATTGATATTGATAGTTATTTGATATAGGAGATTTATAATTATGGTTTAATATGTAGTTCTCTAGAATTTATGAAGCTATAAACAGTATATATAACTAACTGATTTGTAAAACTACAGAATTGGATACCATATTCATAATTTGATTATCAGTCTAAGCCTGACCAAGAAATCAAATTAAAACCTCCTGGATAATTTGCTAATGATTTATGATATATTTAGATAGATATTTTGATACTTAATTTAAGTATAAATATAGTTTATTTTAAAATTTATTTTTTTTAGGTATAGATATATCTCATTTTATTGAGAAAGGAACCCTCAAACAACTTTTAACACAAGTTTAGATTTCTTTAAAAAATAGACCCCGATTAATGGACTTTCAATTGTAATTTTGGTTTCATCTTTAACTTAATGATTTATTTTTATAATTATTTAAATGGAAGAACTTGAATAATACTATTAAGTCATCAAAGTCTTAGGAGCTGGGGGTTTTGGGAAGGTAGTTGAAGCTGTATACAAAGATGGGGGGAAAGAACATGTGGCTGTGAAAGTAATATCAGAGTCCTAATGTTTAATTAGATTCTTCCCAAAAAGGATTATAAGGTAGCCTAGATCTTGTCAGAAGCCTAAATCCTTGCTAAGATGAATCATCCCAATATAGTTCAATTTAAGAATGTCAGAGAAACAGAAAGCAAGCTACTTATAGAAATGGCCCTTATCAAATAAGGTCCGTTGAAAGTGCGCAAATATACATAATAAGAAGCTAGAATCATTATGACCAGTATTTTCAAAGCAGTCTAATTTATTCATGAACATGGAGTGGTGCATCGAGATCTTAAGCCTGAGGTAACTATAATTGAATTAAGATAAGAGAATATACTAGTAGAAGACTCTAACGATTTCAGTACACTAAAGATTGTCGATTTTGGATTATCGGCTGGACAAATTGTATTGCATGGACAATGTGGGACCCTTATTTATATGGCTCCAGAGCTATTTAGTTAGCGTGTATACTCTAAGCCAATAGATATTTGGAGTTGTGGAATTATACTTTACTAAATGCTAACAGGGAAGCACCCTTTATATAAAGGAGGAGAGCATTCGCACGATTATAAGAAGAAACTACTAGATCCTAAGTGGGATTTCCCTGAGGATTTCGATCCAATGGCAAAGCATCTATTTTTGAAATGCGTTTCGATGGATCCTATTCATAGATATAGTGCAAACTAGATCTTATAACATCCTTGGATTACGAATTCCAAAACAGATCCAATCCCATTAACTCTACCAGAGATGTATCGAGCATTCACTGCCAGAGAGTAGATTCTCCAGAAAATCAAGACCATTATGCTTCTAGTTTCAATGAAAGGATTGAAAGTAGATACGACGTATTGAAATTTAATTGATAAATCTTAGGTATTTGATGAAGCAATCCTAAAAATTGTAGACTAACACTTCAAATTTATTAGACAAAGATTACATAAAGGAGATGCTGAGGGAACACTAAGCATTAAAAGAAAACCAAAATATTCCACCAATTAAATAGTAATTGAGATACGAGAAGATATTATAGGTATTGATAATTTCTTATTCTAAAGAGGATCCAAGAAAATGGAGCTAAAGAACCTGAAGAAAAGTGTGTAACTAAAAATTCTGAACATGTGCACACTAATGAAAATAGTCAACCTTCTTCCTCTCAAAAATCTTTGAATATCAGTGTTATCCATCATGATTCACATAATAAAGATCAACTTTATATTTAAACTGGAAACAAGCATCATTTTAAGAAGAGACTTTTCAAGAAAACACATTAAAGTGATAAAAAGAGATTATCAAATCCTTTTGAGATACCTGCACTTCGTTCAAGATCCACAACAGCTAATCATAAAACTGAATTGAAGTAGGTCTAACCATAACACTTTGAATCTCCTAAAAAACCGATCTCTATGGTTCGTCCCTTTAAGCAACAGTTTAATACTTAACAACAATAATAACAAAGTCAATCTCCAATCAGAAAACCTCCAGATATCAAAAATAGGAGCAACAGTTCTACAAAAAAATTAAGTATGGTAGAGTAAGAGTGTGTAGATGCTTACCGCTTCGATTAAGAAAGTATTATAGATTGTTTATCATTTCATAGAAGTTGTACATAGTATGTTCATGCCGAGAGTGTTTAATAAAAAGATACTGCCCTTTTCAAGAAATTTTTAACAAAGACTTCCTGTTCAACCCCAAAGTTTAGAGTTGAACGTACTTAAACCACCACTACCCAAAAAACTTATCTGATTATGTTTTATATAATATATATTTATTTATCTTTTAAAGAAATCACATATTTTCTGAATTTTCATTTATTGGAAGAGATACTTCCATCTCATCCATCCATTTCTCTAATTTAATAGCGCATGCCAATCTGGAACTACAATATCTATATAATTAATTACTGCTTGGCAACAGCATAATCTTATCTATTGATTATCAATTCTTCCAAATAATATGGGACTCTGATCTTTTCAATCCAAGGTGATGAAATCAGAATATGGCAGGATCCACATGAAGGACCAAAAGTGTTTGTCTAAACTGGATCCTCCAAGATGCTATCCAACTTTTCTCCACCTTCACAGTCACCTTTTATATTGATATGCAATTTACCTGGTATATTTGTTACGCGAAACCTTCTAAGTGCAGTCAAAAGGCTTTCACCAATATAGGCAGGAATTCTTTCAAATTCACCATCATTATAAACATTGATATAGATCCTAAATTAGAGCTTTGAGATTACATCTTGTCCTAAACAGATGGAGCAAAGATTGGGCCTGTTGGTTTGTGTGATCCATGAGCGAAACAGTATCTCACGATTCTTTATAGCATTTTAATAAAATTATTATATTAATTTAACTTCTAAAATAAATCAACATCAATTAAATTCAGCTGTGTTAAGTGCCAAAAATGGAATCACCTAAATTGAAACACAAGCAATGAAGATAGTATTTAGTTTTAGATTCCTTACTATAGAAGTACTTCCTTTAATCTGAACATTAAGCTAATTACAAGATATTTCCTTTAAAGTTTAGCATTCAACAATGGGATTTCTAATTCAAATCATAGTGAACACCAAATGATTCTTTACTTATTTCTTAGACAAATCCAAAAATCAAGTAAAATATATACTTAATTATAATGGATAAAATTATTATACATATTTTGAGTAATTCTAGATTGAATTTAATGAAATTGATAATCTGAATGAAAATAACTGAATGTATATACTCGTTTTTTTATTCATTTATTAAATAATGAAATTAATATTATTGATAACATTGTTCACAATATGTATATGTTTGCACTATGATGATGGCAACAGTGGTAACTCTGTAATTGAAGAATAAATTAAAGACATTTAATAACATAAAATTGGTTAAGCCATTTTAAAGATGGCTGAGTTAAATTATAAATTACAAGGTCCTGTGGATGAACTTATTTCAACAATTAAAAGTTTTGGACGTTAGTTGATTGTATTTTTAAGAATAATATATAGGAAAGAGTGGAATAAGAGAACCTCGATTACGAGGCTATTAAAGCAGAAAGCGTTGTAAAAGTTCAATAATTAAAATAAATAATTTCAGATGCTGAAAACGAATAGAATAAGCAGAGGAAAAAAATTGGATAAGATCTTGAACTACGAAAGGTAATGCTAACTTATTATTGCCTCTTAGAATGATATCGAAAAAGAATTATTAAGATTGAAGGATTCTAAGCAATAAAACGAGTCTAGACTGAAAATGCAAGAGGCTCTACGCAAATAATAATACGAGAATTTTGAGAAATCCAAGCGAGATATTGGTGATTTGATTAAGATCACAGATGAAACCTTGAAGATGGTAGGATCCTTACTACCCAGACCCGATTGCAGTTTTATTGAGATGGATAAAATTTAATTGAGTAAAGAGGAATCAAAAGATTTGACTAGAAGATTAAGAAGTATTAAAGGAAGAGTAATTATTGGAATCAATTGTAGGTAGATGGATTGAAAGGCTATGAAAGTGTGATGGAGACTTTGGTGCAATTAACCGATTCCAATTTCAAATAGAGACACTTTATAAAGTCAGTTTTGGATCTATTAAATAAGCTTAGAAAATCTCTGGTTGATTCTCAAAACAAATTAATAAATGATGAAAAGGAATAGGACAGAGCCTTCTCTTAATGGGACAGTGCTCAGGATGGGGAGACTAACGTTTTTGAGAGAGAATGGAATGATTTACTGGAGGAAAGAGAGGACATTCAATCCTTCATTGCTGATTGTGAAAATATCATAAAGATCCATTAAGCTGATATAGATTTATATGGGGAACGCGTGAAGTTGGAAGAACAATCGTTATTGATAAGCAAATAAACCCATGAGGAGTTGGTGAAACAAATAAATAATGAATTGGATATTATTCAAAAATCCATTAAGTTGTTGTATTCGCCTGCTGTTTTTGAATACTTGAAATACAAAATAAACTTAGGTCCCTGATTATTAGAATAATATACATATAGAAGATTTAATTATTTATTTTATCATGATATACGATCAACCTGAACACTTCGGACTTTTTGAAAAAACCTTCACTGCTAAAGAGAAAGAGGAAGTGAAACAATTCTTGAAATATGATAGACATGTTCCTTTGAAATTGACAGAACAAGTCTTCCATGCTGAGGCGTATTTATATTCTTCTCAACAATAGAGATGCATCGAGATTCGAAAGATTAGGTTAAGTAGGAGGAGCAGTCTATTCATTCTCATTCTTTTTCTTCCCAATCATCAAAGGTTTACCAATTAAGTAGAGACTCTTTTGGGCAGCAGTCCCAGGCGGCATTGTTGCATGGCTAGGATGGAGAATCAAGGAAGAATTAGAATGGAATAGAGTTTATAATTGCTATTAGAAATATCAAGTGGCTCATTCAATGCACAAGAAAGTGTTCATTTGAAAAATATAACATCGCAAATATAAATATATACAAAACCAAAATATCTAATTCAATAATTAATTTATCATGTTTTTTGAGTTGGACGACATCAGAAGACGACATTCCTTATATTTTGATTGTTATAATGCTGGTGTATGGACAGAATGCTCCAGAAAAGTAAATTGTACTTTCCATAAATTAGTTCATTGAGATGGAATTACACCAGAGGAGCAATATCAGGATTACTAGGTAGTCTTATTGGCGAAACATGGCATAATTTCTATGAGAATTGGAAACTATTGTATCATTATTAGACTATCAAAGGTTACGATAGTATGAATAACCAAATACTGTGAAGGAATTGTATAATTTTAGCAAAGCAACAGTCAATCTTGAGAATTTCAAAAGATCAATGGGCACTAGAATGTAATTTGCCTTTGCTTCAGGTGGCATCGATTGGGCTTTGAGATTGGCAGCATTCAGAGCAGTCAATCACGGATGGCAAAGTAATTAATTAATATATTAAACAAAGGAACTTGGGGTACATTCGAATATGGATTCTTGAGAAAAGTACCAGGCACTATGTTCATTTCTCTTCTTACTGCTCCAATTGGAATTCCCTTTGAAGTTGCTAGAATGGCTTATTATGCTGATAAGACATTCCCCAAGGAATTGTAAAAGGGATATACCTCATTTTTCAATGCTTTATGGAGAATTCCTTTTGAAGAGGGACCATACTATTTCTTCAAAAACTCCTTCCCTCTATTTGCAAGAAACTTCTTCTAAACTTTAACTTTATTTTACTCTTTCGATTGGATGAAGGATAAGGATAATAATTAAAGCATAAAGAATACTAGCTTTCTGTTTTGACAAGAGTTGCTGAAATTCCATATTTCCCAGTTAAAGTTGTAAATTGTTTCTTATCTACATACTTGGCTATCTTGACAAGTTATTCCCTATCCTAAGTTACAAGAGAAATGGTAGATTTATGGCCAAAACAAAATGGAGTATGTCCTTATGATGGCAACTACAGAAAGGCAGCTACTCATATTTGGTAATTAGAACCGTTATTATGCATATAGGTATGCCAGAAATCTCAATAATTACTTCCCAGGAATGTTAAGAAATTATGCCAGCAGATAATTCTTGCCAATGTATGTGACTCTTTGGTGGGCTGACTCTTTTGGATTGTTTACCTATTGGAAAATCGATATGTTTAGTGGAGCAGGATCAAATACATGGGAAGATTCATTTTGCTGAAATATTAATCAATAATACATAAGAATTATACAATAATATTTATTTAGTTTATATATGCCGTTTTTAATCGAGTTTCTATTCATAAATTAAAAAAATGAAAACAACATTGCTTCTAGTCTTAGTTGCTTGTGCTTTCGCCACAAACACTGCTCTATTTGACAGAATCGAATAAAGCGATTTGGGCAGAACACTTTTAAACACCATTGCAATTCAAATGACAACTGGAGAACCTCTTGAAAGAATTTTCTAAACTCTTTATGACTTGGAAGACAGATACATCGCTGACTAAAAAGAAGATGATGCTAATAACCAAGCCTTCTAATAAGTTTGTGATGCAGATTTGGCTGGCTTGAACCAAGAACTTGCCAATCTTGAATAAAGAAATACAGAATTATAGGCTGTTCTTGATGACCTTGTGCCAATCAGAGACTAAAAGATCGGATAAAAGAAAGCTAAGGAACTCTAAAAGGCTGAATTATAGAAGGTTATTGATGAAACAACAGCCAAGAGATAAGAATAAGCTGATGACTTCGAGGCTTAAAGATAAGAGTACACCTTTGTTTCATCAGTTTTGGCTGAAGCAAGAAGACTCTTCACAGATAACCTCTAAGCTCCATCTTTCTTATAAAAGGGTGAAGAAAAGGTTCACGTTACTCCATAAATCATGGCTTAAGTTGCTAGTCACATGAGTCAAGGTGCTCACAAAGCCAGCACAATGAAACACGTCAGAACCTTTGGAAAAGCCATCAAATTGTTAGCCAATCTTGCCAACAGAACCTAATAATTTCGCCAACTAAGATTTAACAGGAAGAGTCATCAAATTGATCGATGATCTCTAAAATCAATTAAGTCAAGCATTCGATTTAGCCAGAAAAGCTGAAGATGACAGAACCAGAGCATTCTAAGCATATATCGGTTTACTCAATAAAGACATGAACAAATACAATTCATCAATTGCTAATTTTGACTGCTGAAATCTAATCACTCTAAGACAGAAATCGATGCTACCACAGCCAGTTTAAAAACGATGTTCTTTAAAAGAATCTAAGCCAAGACCTAATAAAGAGATGACAGAAGAGGAGAATGCTAAGAAGCTGCTTATGATTACTAATAAAGAAGAGCTGCAAGAGACAAAGATAGATAGACTGTCAGTGATTTGATTGGTATCTTGAACACTAACATGAGAGATCTTAAAGAATACATTGCTTTAAGAATTGCTGCTGGTGATAAAGACCTTGAATGAAATTGATAAATTATAACATTAAAATAGTAACTAAATCAATTTCAAGTTTTAAAATCCTCTTCCATTTTATTGAAATGCTGCAATATATTTCTTATTTAATCCTATCTCACCAAAATCAATTCAAGTAGAGTCTAAATTCTAATGAATATTATTAAATATGGATGATTTCTTAGCTAATACATTATTTTAAGTATATTTGAAAGCAATTATAAAAATAATGAACCGATATATTGTCTATCTTCAGGTCAATTTTTCTTTTTGAAATAGGATTTCATTTGAAATTCAAAATCTAAGCATCTAGTAGATTTTATAAAACATTTTCTATAAAATAGCTTCCTTAGATTAATCTCATTTTTTGATTCATTTTAATAGAAATAATTTTAATCTTATTAAATAATTTTACTATATAAGGGCATCCATTTATTCAACTCAGTATAATGAAAAATTATATAATTAAGACTATCATTTCATTTTTTCTAATTAAGAATTATTCACATTCTTGAATATCTATTAAAATTTCAATCATCAAAATTAATTTCAATCCATTAATTCATGACATTTACTCAAACAATTTAAACCTAATTTAAATAACTTTAGACTAAGCAGAAGTAAAATTTGGAAAAGTGATTTTTTTAATTCTAGTAATATTAAATTACAAAGGAAAATAAATTAAAAATAATCAAGCTCTGTAATGCTCAGCAGAATGATTATTTCCTCTAGTTTTTGTTGGGGCATATTTTAAAGGCGATTTAGATGTACTATGCTACTATATTCTTGCCATTGCATATAGTTTATCTGTGGAGACTGATTAATTAAACATTAATTCTTTGATTTTACTTAGTAGTAGATGTCGATTGAAATCTTCAGTCTAAATTATTGCATTTTAATACATATAGTTTAACTTTCTATTTATTTACTAAAGATTGTTAACTAGTGAGATTCGAGAGCTGGATTTTTGGACTTGTTGCATTGTCTAACTATGAAAATTTCTGTAATAAATTATTAGCTAAATTTAACTGTTATTACATACAATTTTTTTATTATGAAGAAATTATTCTGGGAGAGGATGCAGCTGTGAGATTCCTGGCTGCTTATCTTTGAGTAGAACTCTATCTTTCATACTTATCTATCTCATGCATTTGATTTATTAGGTGAATATATTTTCCCATAATCTAATGGCTAAGTTTACAACAAACTCAAAAATTATTCCCAACATTCCACTATATATCCTTGTTAACTCATAGGATAATAAGACAAATTTGATCTTATGAATGAATCAAACATAGAAAAAAGTGTGTCCATTTAAATTATTTAACGATTAAAACTTATCTAAATAACTAAAAAGAAAACATAATATTAATATCAAAAACATAGGTTTATTTGGCACTTAATCGCTCTGATAATATTCTAGTAAGAAATCAATAGTATTTAGTACAAATTATGCATTTTTATTGCCAAGTTAAATAAGATCAAATGCGAAAATTGAAATCCTCCTTATTCACAGAAATATTAGAGCCTAGAGCCATGACTAAAGAGTGAAAATAAGATTGGATTGAGTGCAGAAGTTGATTTCAAAATAGAGTTGATAATACAATAATGGAGGGATTTTTATAAGCTGATGAATTTACTATTTTTTATTTTATTTAATACTATCATTTTCAGAACTTATCTAATGTAGACAAATCTTAAGGCAATTATTATAACTTATCAGGATATTGTTTAAGGATTTATTATAAGACCTAATTTTTAGAATGAGCAATTTACTTCGTCATCTGTTTATTTTTTTCCATCACTTGCTTCTTCTTCTGATTTAACGAATGAGATAGCAACACCATTAGTCTCTTATCTTCCTGCTCTTCCTACCTAATTTGCTAATTGTGATTATTACTCTATGCAAATAGGTCTCCAAAGAATCAGGCATATCAAAATTGATAACATAATTGACTTTATCAATATCAATACCTCTTCCCATCAAGTTAGTAGCCACTAACAATCGGAAATGACCATTTCTGAATTATTCATAGGTTTTTTATCTCATTTTTTAATGATCAGGACCTAGTCTATTACCACCATATAGTTGTCTAACAGACTCTTCCCCCTTCTTCTTTAGTTCAGTGACCAAAGCATCAGCCTTCTCAGAACTCTTAACAAATATTATGCATTAGTTTAGTTTGCAGGTGTTTAAGATTTATCTCAAATAATGGAATTTGAGTGCTTCTGGCATCTTCATATAATATTGCTTTAATTTGTCTAAAAAGAGTTATTCTGGTTTAATAGTAATTTCATAAATCTAAGGAATATTAGAGAGTATTACATGTTTATTGTCAGCAATAAATCTTTTCAATGATGTTCTACTTGATTCTGTGAATGTTGCACTAAATGCCATAAATTATTTCTCCTATGGTGACTTTAAAAAGATGTCCTAAATGTCCTTTCTAAAAATAATTATTTCCAAAAATCAACACCTCATGTTCAAATCTTCAATCATTGTATCGGCTTCATCCAAGATAAAGTACTTCAATCTATCCACTTTCAATGCTTTTCTCTCGCAAATCAGATCCTTAAGACGTCCTGGAGTACTACGCATTAGGATGCATTTATACCCAACTACTATTTATGGCTTCACAGTCTCGATAGTTTAGATATTCACAGATACAGGTTCACCTCCACCATAGAAGCATTCCACTTTCACGCTTTTCATAAACTTTCCCAATCTCAAAAATTCATCTCGGGCCTAACATAATTCCAATTAAATATTACCTATTGGGCCAACTCTCTTGTATGTGTAATTACGAGGCATTCAACTTTATTACTTTCTGTATTTATAGTATTTAACACGGTCAGCACAAACACAGCAGTCTTTCCAGTTCCAGCCTTTGCTTAGCAGATCAATTATTCCCCTAACAAAGCATTTGTCAATGACTCAGCTTGGACTTTGATAATTTACAATATACGATACCTCTTGTTGGATGCTCAAATCCAGCTTCTTTAACTGCTCTCAAGAGCTCCTCTTTAAGCCCAAAGTTTTTAAATTAAGAGACATTGTAATTGTCAATTCTAGGATTCTCAATATTTGCTCTTACTATATGTCTTTGCCAGTTGGCTATTGTTCTTCTTTAAAATCAGGAATATCGTCCATTAATGCGCTGCTCTTTTGATAAAAGATTTATATAAATAATATCCTAATTAAAAAGCTTCTATTTAAATATGCATTTTCCCTCTGTTTTCGAGAATTAATATCAAAATCTTTAATGAATAAAATTAATATAATCACACTCATTCCAATATTATCCCATTCATTTCCAAGCTATTTATCTACACCTTAACAAAAGCCAAAAAATAGCTATTCTGTGCCTCCTCAAGTGTAATTAATTGATAATAAATACAATACTATTATTACTAAATATGTATCATCAATCTATCTGCTTAAGACTAAAATAGATGAAAACTATGAATACAACTTTATCTTCCTCAGAAGATGTCTAATTTTCGATTAAGCTTCATTATCATTTCAGAATAATGAAAAAAATCAATTTTATTATTTTTCCATCTTATTTGATGAAAAAGGCTTAAAATAAATTGTAATTTAGTTTGATGAAGAATTTGATTAGGTCTAAAAATACAATCATCCTGTCAAATTATAACTAACTACATAAGCCAATGATTAAGGAAAAAGTTAAATGTTTATTAAATTATCAAAAATATACTAAAAGCTAAACATAATCATAAAGAATCTAGTCTAGATCTACTTCATAAAGTGTAATTTATGTGTTTACTTAATATTCGGAATTGTTTATTGCTCCTAAAGCAAATGATAATTAAACTAGAATAATTGTAGACAAAATAAGAGTTCTGTATAAAATCATCACATTTATTAAAAACAAGAAATTTGGTCAATTTTATTCTTCCTTATTTTTTGAATGATATTAAATTAACATTCCTTCAATAAACTTTCAAGGAAATTCTTAATCTCTTTATGAAGTTCTTAATTCATGAGAAAATAATATATTTTTAAAAAAAAGAAGAATAGAATTAGATGTTCAATGCAATTCTTGCAAAAAAATATAAAAGAAAATAATGCCTGAGAAAAAAGTATTTTAATTTTAAGTGATGAATTAATTAATAATAGTTAATAAGAATATATATATTTAAAAGAGAACATAATTACTAGTGAAATCATTCAGGAATATTTAATTAAGATGAAAGAAATTAGGAAATAAAAATCTCAAGGATATTAATGCATTCACTTGTATATAATTAATTTATTATTATTATTGATTTATTATTGTACTATATGAAACTTAATAAATGCTCAATCAAAGAGACCTCCCATATCAACATCTTCTTCGGGTTCTTCAGCTTTCTTTGGTGCTTCAGCAGCCTTTGGTGCTTCAGCCTTTTGTGTTTGAGCTGCTTAGGCAACTGGGGCTGAGCTTTATGCTAAAGACTTAGAAATTAGAATTACAAGCTCCTCCTCCAACTGACAAACTTGTTAGTGATTTTGAACCTTCCTTAATAACATCAGCCAAGGTCTTTCCTTTTAATGCATCGACAACTAATTTGACATCTGCAGCAACTGGCTCGACTCCAGCTTCTTTGAGCAATTAAGTAACTTAATCCACAGCTATTGGGTAGAGATGCAATAATACTGGGTTGGTTGGTTCCTCCTAAAACAAGCAAGGCATATGCAGCAACGTACTTCATTTTATTATTATTTAAAAATTATTTTTAAATATGATGCTACAAGATTATTGTTTATTTATAATTTCTCATTAGAATACAAATTTTATATTGCTTTTATTCATTATTTTTATTAATTCATCTAATCAATGTTATCCCTGGGGTATTGGACATACTAAAACTCATCTCTTTATCAAAGTGCTTAGCTTAACTTATGATGTAGAATATATTAAATGAAGAATGATTCATAAAACAAAGATGTAAATATATATAGAATAATCTAATTGTGGATTCTTAAAAAGATCGGCTATATCCTATAAATAAAAAAATTAATATTATATTAATAAAATAATTAGATAAACATAATTTTATAGAAAAATTTAGAAGTAAAATAGATATTAAGCATTAAATTGTCAATAAATTTTCATCAGAAATCATAAAGATGTCCATTTTATAGAAAATACTTGACATCGAATTAAAATAATTTAAGCAGTCTTTTGATATTTTGATTAAGTGGAACAAATCCTATATCTTCTTCCTCTGATTTATGTTTTTGTTTTTCTCGATTAATGAGGTGTACAGTTAAATCTCGATTGCAGCTCCATTAATTTATTAGTACTCGATGTTACGAGATGTGTCTGCTATCAAATACTGGTAATCCTTTTTGCCATTTGAGAATATTGTCTTTTTAAATGATTACATCTAAATCCATATCATCAATACTAAATGAATCCTAATCATTCAATTATGCCTTCAATTTTTATGTGTTTAAATAGGATGAAACTCCAGCTATTCTAATATTGGATTCAGCAGCCTCAAATTCTCCTTACACAAATTTCGAATGGAAGAATTGAGCTCTGTTAACATCTCCTCTATAATAAAAATTGATAGCAATCATGTCATAGCATAACAATTCATAATTTCTATCTTTAACAACCCATGATAATTTTAACAATTTCTTAAGATAAATAGCTTCTTTATCCAAATCTCCTAAATCTAAGGCACACCTTGCTAATTACCTATAAGCCAATAGCTTATATTTTTAAAGCTTCTTCCCTTGTAAATTACAAGTCCTCAAGAACTTTTTCCATATATTGTAACCCTCTTTTCTTCTACAATACACAAATTGTATTTAAGTTTAAAAATAGATTGCCATGAAATAAAAGCTCACAATCCCGCATTATTTACAGGCATTAACAAGTTTTTCTAAATCAGGCAATAAGGTTTCTAATTGTTCAATTAAGACTGATTTTATCAAAGCCGAAAGGATAGAATAGATTTCTTCAAAATGGTTTTTGTTAATAAATGTAACAGACGGGGTGAAATCGTTTAATTATGAAAGAGATCCAATAAGAGTGAATTTTCTCGCTTGTTCCATTTTTTTTTATTGTTATTACTTTAAAAAAGGTAGCAAAATACTATCTTTTCTATTTCTTCTTTCTTTCTCTATCTTCTCCGTTGCCAATCTCGTTTGGGAAGCTTCTCGAAGAAAAACAAAATCTTAAAACATCTCATTATTTTATAAGCCCCTCCATTCGCTTTTCATTTTTAGTAATTCTTTTTTTTCATCAACAAATTATGTTTATGTTAGCAATTATTTCATCTTTGTAAAAGATGCTGTAGTTGATAATGAGCTTGAGTTCATAATGTGAATTAAAAATTAATAATATGTTTAATTAAACGATTTACAAATTATTTCTATATACTCAAGGGTTAAATATAAATATAAAAAGAATTTGCCATTATTGAATGAAGAAATTAGTATAAGTATTAAATAACTAATTTTTTTATGTTTTTTGATATTCTGTTGACAAGATTTAGTAAATTATATTAAATAAAATGATTGCTAAGAATAATAATAGTGTAATTTAGAAAAAATATTTAATTTGGATAAATTTTTATATTTATAAAGATTAAACTTAGATTTATATAATAAATATAGTATTCAATGTACTTAATCATTAAATTCTCTATTCCTTAACTTAATAGATAAAAAAAAGTGAGAAGTTAATTTGTAATAATATAAAGCTAAAATTTTAAGGATAACAAAAAAATTTCTTGATTTGGAATATACCTTATATAGATATCATATTAGTTAAATAAAGAATTCTAATAATTTACTATTTCAGATTTATTCATTTTTTACCTGCACATTATTTTTATTTTATATTTGTTTATCTTAATCGTTTAGATGGAGATCTTTAATTATGGTTTTTTTGAATATTTTAGATTCATAATTCTATCTTTGAAGTACTTATCTAATTTTTACTTTGGAGAAAATGGTCAGTTATTAGTTTTCTAAAAAAAAAGTTTATATTTAAAATTATTTATTACTTTAATAATGTATTTGAAATTTATCAGAATAATTAATTTATTTGATAATTTTTGCTTGAGAAGAAATATTTTAATATCTAAAAAATAACATAAGTATTGAAATATTAAATCGTTATAAGTCTTATCCGAATAAACGAGTTATTTAAATTAATTCTAATACTTAATAATAAAAGGCAGTATTTATGCAAATCAATTAAATATTTAAAATATCTTCTCTTAATATAATTTATGTCTAATAACTATAAGTAACCCAATACAAGTTTTGATGAAAATAAAGAAAGTTTCACTTCCCTTTTAATGATGAGCGAACAAGAATCATAAGAATAAGGTTGTTTTAATAACTATTTGTTAGCTTTTTCTAATTACAGTACTTAAAATAATTACCTGAATCTTTTCAATTTCGATTGTCAAGAGAATTCTAGCGACAATGCAGAGAGCTTAAAACTCACTATAAAGAAAGGGATATAGAAAGATCAATTTCAAAAAAATATCCGCAACAAACACTTAAAGAAAACATAATACAAAAAAAAGGTGAAAAGAATTAAAGAATTCCAACTTCAAGAGGACATAAGACTTCTAAAATTAGTCTATCAACACGGAAGACAATTTTCCAGAATAGTGAAGTAATTCCCCAAAAGGACTGTTAGTATGCTTAAAAATAGATATTACAAGAACCTAAGATATAGATGGGAGGAATTGATGGGAATGTAATACATATATATATAACATAGTAAATACATGGAAAATGAGATTGAAGAAAAAACTAACAAATAGATCGTTGGATTCAATAGAGACAACCATTCCGTTGATCGTCAAGACTTAATCAACATGTTACCAAATGCATATGGTTGTCCAATAATATGTAATATGCTCTCATCATTCATTACAAAAATGGATTAATTTCTCAAAACTCAATTTTGATTATAACAACTAATTTGATAGAGTTTTTTATATTATTTTTTATCCAAACACTTATAAAAAAGCTCTTCTTAAATGTCCAAGAGACTAAAGCAAAAATTCCATTATTTATATATAAATAATAAAAAAACTGAAATTCCGATAAATTATTTATTATATTATAAGGTACTACTTTTTAACATTTTAAAGTTTAATTAAATTGTTTAATGAGTTATTCCAGCACAAAATGTGTCATTACATAAAATGCCCATGATTTAGAGGCAATCCTATGCTGTAGTTTTTGATAAATAGAGTTAATAATACTTATAAATTATATTTCAAGTTATTCTTAAATTAATTTCTTGTTTTTAATAAGGTCTATGATTTGCTTAAGAAATTATTGTTATCAATTAATTCACCAATAAAATTATATTTAAAAGTATCCTCTAAATTCCAATTAGAATGGAGTAGGATGGATTATGGAAATTAAAATCAAAAAAAAAGGATACTTCTCTTCTTTTAATGATTATATCATTTTTATTTTTAATATATTCTTTGTAGGGCAGAACTTAATTAAGAAATTTATAATTACAAACGACATTCATTTATAAATATATGATAAAATTATCAAGCTTTATATATTTATTGCTTTCGTAAGTACTATGTTTAGATTAATGGTAATGCACATGTGAATAGTTAATGACAGAATTTGATTGTATGACATAGTAGAAAAATAGATTTAAATTGGGAGAGATTGACTAATCATCTATCTGCTTTTGGTATTAAGAGAAATGCTAAAACTTAATGAATTTTCTATCTGATGTTAGTTGTACTAGTTTAAGCAACTAAGAATGCTCATTTATAAGTGAAACTCTATTTACAATCAATCCAGTTTGTGCTTGGTACTATAAATCAGATGGTGGACAATGCACAAAATTTACAAGGTGTTAAGATTATAAATACTCATCTGAACTTATAGCTGAAGTAGAATGTTCAAATATTGGATGTAACAGAATTAAAAATTAATGTTCATTTGATTACAGAGGGAGATAGGAATAGTATTGTTCAGAAATTGGAGATCAAAAGATTTGCGATATCACTTTTTTAAAGGATAAACTTACAATATGCAAATGGAATACGGGTACTAAGAAATGCGGAGGTTTTAATTTTGAATAATGCTCTGATTTAACAACTGAATACAATTGTGATTTGGCAAATACCTTTTGTAGATGGAAGGACTAATTATGTGTAGAAAGAGCTTGTGCAGATAAAGAGTCGGAATATAAATCAGGCAGTTAAATTTGTGTATCATTTTATAGTTTGACAAATAAATAATATGTTTAATGTATAGAAAATAAAAGTGGAGATTGCATTGAAAGTGACCCAGAATCATTACTTCCATACTAGTGCAATTATTTTAGTAGACTTACTTATTTATGGAACACAACTACATCATCTTGCACTCCATGCTTATACGTTGGTTATGGTGATCTAATCAAAGTTGTTGTAATTGTTTTATTTGTCATTTCTTTGTGATCAAATTTTGAATATATATAAAATAAAATAATAAATAAATTCAATGGAATATGATATTAGAAAATTAGAAGATAAAATCAGAAAAATTGAGAATGAATGTGTTGAGTTATAAACTAAAATTGACTATTCCATCAAAAAAAAACAAAGTGTTTAAAAAAAAAATGAATTTCTAAAACAAGTAATTGGCAGACTAAATGACTTATATACATGAATTTAACATATGCATATTTAGAATAGTCATAATTTGTATATTTCAAATCCTACATAAAGTGATTAAGAATCTATGTCTATATTTAATAATGTTTGAGACTCTTTCTAATAATTTCTAATTTTGATTCATCTATGTTATGGTAGTAAAATAAGATTGATTCTAAAGGTATGCCCATATATGATTGAAATAAACTATTATTTGAGTCATAATTATTGAAAAAATTTAGACTATTCTGAATTAACAAATTAATCATATGTTTTTGGCATAATTATAATTATGTTTTAGTAATAATATTGATAATACATTTATTACTTAAATAACACTCTTTTCTTATAATCTTTAGATTTATTGATACCTCACTTTTGACATAACTTTGAGACCTACAAATATTGTTCTAGTCTTTTAGAGTTGCACTTTTGTGTACTACACCAAACTCTCCTTAACCAAGTTAATAATTTAATTCAAAATTTTAGGGGTTTATCTATATAGATATTAATAATAGATTAATAAAAGCGGTATAGCTTTATCCTAAGAATTTGACTTTTCACCACCTCCCAGATTTATTATATGAGATATTATTATAAAAAAATGGAAATCTCTTATCATAATAGAATTATTTTAAAAAATTAGAGAAAATCCTAACTTTGTGTTGATCTTGAAATTAGGATTCTAATCAAAACCCAGTAATTTTTGTAGAATTAATAGAAATTATGAATATAGTAAAAATCTAATCAATCTCTAATCATAATTTATATTAAAAATACTGGATTAAAGGATATCTAATAAGATTTCAATAAACTTGTGATAGTCCTAATATCATTTAATTACTTCAAAAATAATATAAAAATTTAAGAAAAATACATCATTTTTGCAAATACTAACACCTCTCTTTTAATGTTATTTCAAATCTTTACAATGATTCGTTCATTTCGTCATAAGCTTTCTAATTACAAGATTGTTCATCCATTTCAGTTTATTATGAATTAATGCTTTTTGATCTGACATTTTTTGCGGATTACTACTTTTATCTTGTTTACATACTCGTTGAACAATCATACTTCTTCACGTGCTAATATAAAGTCGGGCAATGATATTATTCAAGAGCTGTCATATTCAATAATAGCATTCCTTTATATTCTGGCCTCGTCTATCGTAAGAAACTAATCTCTTGACCTTAAACATTCCCCTTAGAGGATTGCAAAGATTTATGTTTTAACAATTTATTTCTAAAATCTACTTATGCTTTAAATTTCATCTGCTAAAGTTCGATGTCGGCTTAGAAGTTATTATCGATTTAGCTAATTGCTTTCTTCTGCCTATTAAAGGTTTTGGGTCCGTAGACCTATTTTAAATGTTTCTAGTCGAGCAGTTCCAGATGATTCCATTGATTATCAATTGAATTTTCCTATTATGGCTTTCATAATTACCAAATGTGTAGGAGATCTTTAGTATAGAGGCAAAGTCAAATCCTCATCTGTTACTGCATACTTACTTGTCTCACATGACTTCTATTTGCTTTTAATTTCTAAAATAGTTCTTCTAAATTCATTTCGCTTTAATCTCAATTATGATTCATATTTAAACTTTTGGAATTATTCAATGTTTGGTTACTCATTAGGTTTCTATTGAGAAAAAGCAATTTTGGAAAAGAACTGATTTCTTTTGCATTCCATCAAAAATATACTTGTTATTCCAATAAGTTTGATCCTTTTTTGTAATTGTCGTACTCTCTGTGGGTATCTCATCTTTAATAAAATCCATATAAGCTTAGGGACCTAATTTTCTGGCCTTAAACATGGATAAAATATTATTAATAATAATCATTATAGTTAGATGTCGTTAATATGCCTGAAGCACTTCTTATAATACCCCTCAAAATATATATCATAAATCCTAGCCTTACACTGAAATCTCTAACATCATTTTCAGAAATTATAAAGAATTGGTTTTCTTTCCGCTCATTATTGATGCGACGAATTCCTTCTGAATTTCATTGTTTATAGAATTTAAGGACATATCATTTGATGCGTTAGAATCTCAAAGGATTTATTAAAAATAAAGTGGTGAATTTCAACAGGTAGATAAACTACTATTAATTTGATAGAATAGGAATTATAATTATTATTACCTTATTTATCAAATGAAATTGCAGAGTTTCGAAATTTTTGAATGATATTTCTTTTGATCAGTAAGCATATTCAAAGAATTGAAATAAATAGTATATTTCATAAGTACTTATGATCAGTTAGTAAATAAACAGCGTAAACCATATACATAATTGAATTGTTTTTTCGAGAATCTAAGAAATTAAAAAATATGATAATCTTATTAGGTTTATCTTAATATTAAAAAAATAGATAAAAATAGGGTAAATTAATATAAGGTAAGAATTTATAATGATCATAATCATCTTCTTGGCTTTGGAATTTTCGAATAGAGAATGGCTTACCTTTATTCAGCAACTTGTTTATAAGTAACTGGCTATTCCTTAGATTATGACCTGATCTTATTATTATAAGAGGATAGCGTATCAGCTTGGATATTTTCTTTTTCAATTGAAATGTTGATTTATTTAACAGGTCTTGAATCATATTATTTTACATCATTCCTTTAATCTGGTTTATTTGAAATTGTTTGCGATTATTGAGTACTAGATTGTTTCACTTTACTATAACATCCAACGTAATGCTAAGGTTTTAATTTTGTATTAATTTCACATTCCTATAGAGTCTTAATATTTTGAAGTCCTTGACAAGCAGAAAAAGATTTACTACGTGACACCTATAAATCAACACTATTTTCTTGATAAACAGAAGTCTAAAGATTCTGTTTCCTTTGAATTTCAAATTCAAACTATTGCATCTTGCATTCTGCATTAGAGAGCTGTCCGAAAAGGTAATTATTTTACTCTCTTAATTCATCAATCTATTAATCTAATATCTTTCTTTGATCGTCTAATTATTACTAGTACTTTTATTTTAAATCTCTATATCGTTGTTGATATAGTTCTTCATTTGATTTCAATCTACTCATGAACTCTTATTAGAAAGTTGAACTTTATTATAATTCTTCTTCCAATTCGCAGATCCTTCTTTGATATTCTTCTTCCTGATTAATGATGTTTTAAGTTAATAATTAATATTCTTCATATTCTTATTTTATTTATTGATAATCCTATTAATCATTTCTCATGGTTTCTTGTAATTTGTTTTAGAGATCCAGGTATTGTTTCTGTAATTCTTCGAGTGCTCTATGCAATTCAATGACATCAGGAATGTTTTCTTGTTGATTTTGAAGATTCTAAAGATCTTCCTACAATTATTAATTTTAATATTCCAGTTGTTGATTTCTTCGATTCATTTCAGATAATTATTGGCTGTATTACCTTTCAGTATCGAATAGCTTTTTTTATAGTTCTTAGATTTATTAGTTTTTTTATTCCAATAAACTCTTTTACTTAACAGAGCTTTTATCTAGATTGTTCTCTCGAATCACATCAGAATTTTTAAGTTCATACCCTGTTTTTAAATACTTTTATTCTAATCTCATCATGGTTTATTAATTTTGCTGGCATCTCTCCTGCATTTCTTTAAGTTCTTATTTAAAAAAGTTTTCATCAAATTTTGAACTGTCATCAAGTTATCTACTTCTCTTTAAGGCCTAATTTACTTATTCCTCCAACTCTTCAATCCTTTTCAATTCTTTATCAGTCTATGACATTTATCTAACGGATAATAATTAAATATTTATTTATTATTTTATGTATTTGGAAGCAAAGCAATATAACTGCTCTCTCTCCTGAGAAAGTGACGAAAAACCAACGAAACAATTTCAGATAAAACTATCCCTCATATATCTTAAATTGAAATACTTTTAAGGGTTATTAATTAATTATTAAATTATTTAATGAAAAGGAAAATTTTTCTTGTTTTAACAATTATTGCCTCATTTATTGGATACTTGAGATAAATTTAGATTAACGAGTAAGTTCAAAGACTTCAGTTCGCCCCAGAAGTCACAACACCTGGCGATGTGTTGAAGGATGGTAAATTAGTTGTAAACGGGTTTGCAAGGAGAGACATTAGGAAATTTGATTCTTCCTAAATATCTTTACTAAATCGACTATTTCGATTCAAGCAATGGGATTATTTCCATTTGACAACATCCTAAGTTTATATAGCCGTAGCCTTTGTGGATTTAGGATACGTTCAAAGCATCTAATTTACATTTTATTCGGTGAAAGATAACTACTTCATCCATAAGGATAAAGTGGTCTATCCATTCTAATCTAAACAATTCACTTTAGAAGATGATTGCACTCTCAAAGGTAATTTAACAAGAACATTTAAATCTGATGCCATCAATGTCGAATACAAAGGATGGTTACATAATGGTGTTGAAATGAGAGGAATTTAAATCAATTTTGATGGATTTGAAGCCTCCTTCGTTATGGAATCGCATTAACAAGATGATCTATTCATTTTGAAACCATTTACTGAAGAAGGAGATAAGTTTTTCTACAGTAGAAAAGCCTATGGATGGCATTCATATGGTTAAATTAAATATAATTAATAAACCCACAAATTTACAAAGGCAAATGCTGGTATGGATTACGGAAGAGGAATCTTCAATTACGCAACATTCTGGTTATGGGTCTCAGGTATGGGATTCTCATAGGATCATAGAATCGGATTTAATTTGGGAGCTGCTGGAGACAATGTTAAGGGTAAGGAAACTTCAGATGAGGGTATATTCATCGATAACCAATTGTATGTTCTTAGTGATCTAGAGTATAGTTTTGATTTGAATAATCTTGAAAAAATCATAACTGTCAGAGGAAAAGATTTCTATTTAGAATTCGTTCCAAAAACAACCCATCTTTTCACTGAAGATTTATTATTAATAGACGTTAAATTTAGATAGTTGATAGGAGTATTCAATGGAAAGTTTAAGGATATTGAATTTTCAGATATTGTTGGTCTTGTTGAACTCAATAGAGCAAAATGGTGATAATATCATATAAAAATATTAAAATCATCACGAAAGAGCTTAATCTATAATTTATTTTGTTAATCAACATAAATTCTGTTTTATTCTTCTTATTTTGATCATTTTTTTGAGTGTTATAATCAAAATATTGTTAAAGAGGGTATTATATTATAGAATTCTAAATCAAAGTAATTTTATGATGAATAAAAAAATACTTATAAGTTCTTCATATGTAAAATAATATATATTTATTATTTATATGCGAAATTATAAACTTTGCTTAGAGTAACAGTTTGAATAATATTTGAGTCCTCATATTATTAATGAGACTTAAATATTAATAGCAAAGCAGTAAATTTTATAATTAGACTTAATTGAAATATATGTTATCTAGAACTAGGTGGGTTAAATAATAATTGATTTAATATTATTATTTGGATCATAATATGGTGATATTTCCATTATTTAGACCATTATGCTCTCCAACAATGTGGGTATCTGAGTATGGAACAACTGGCTCTTTGAGGTTTGGATTCTTTTGTAATGCTTATTTGGTTAGGTTTTTCCACTAATTATATGAATACGATATTAATACTTTCTCATCTATTTTTAACCTGTCTTTCTTTTGATTCTTGGCATCTTAGATTATATACAAATATTTTGGATCCTTGTTATTCAAAGCCTTATCAAATGCTTGGTAATCAATTTCCTTTAGAATTGTTTTTAAAGCATTCAAAGATTCTTGTAATACCTTATGCCAATGAGTGTCAGCTATTTGAGCAATGACTGGAACTAATAGGGGGAATGTGAATGGCTTATAACTCTTTAGAATGGTGAGGAAGTAATCATTTTCAAAGAAGCACATGGCTCTGTCAGCCACTTACAAGTGTGGTCCAGCAATACATTTAATTAACCTTTTAAATAGTTTAGGGATCAAAGGCTCCAATTTGGAAATTTCACAGACCTCCAATACTTCTAAAAGTTCATTGAGAAACATCACTTCTTTGGCTGAATTAGCAAATGGCCAATACCTAAGCAGACCTTCTACTAAGAATGTTGCTAAGGTTGGGTCTTTGGATAAAAAGAGCATTGAGCATCTTAATAATTGTTCATGATAGAACTGGCAGGTTTAAACCTTATGTAGAGGAATGATGACAGTCTTGAAGAATATTATATGTTCTTCTCTTAAAGGAACTGCAAATCCACTGATGATGCTTGCCAAGATATCTAAGAGTTCTGCGGCACCGTTAAATTTGTAGGTTTCATGGATCAAAGTGTAGAAGCAATCATTTATTGCCTTTCTAATCATTTTTCTTCTTGGTACTAATTTTGCATAGAGTCTATGCAAAATATTCTTCAAGTATTCCCTTTCTCGAGGTTCTTCTGAATCAAATAATTCAAGGAATTCTTAAATAAAGGAATGTGTAATGAAAATCTAAAAAATTTATAAAAGAAATACTTTAAGTGATTTTACATCAGGTTGTTCATTAACAATTAATTGCAAGAAATACTCATAAACAGGCTGTAAATGAGTCCAGGCTGGGTCAATGAGTTGCTATTTTTATAACGGGAATAATTTACATCATCATCTTCCATACCAATTTCTCCATTAGTTGCTGTTTTCTTTAAAATTGGTAAAGGTCTAAAAATATTCTTTTCAATCATTTCTATAATCAAATCTAAATGAGGGACAACCAAATTAGCCACAAAATTAGGTTCCTTAAGTAAATCAAATAATTCCTATAAGTATTATGAACGTTCCTATTTTTCTTTAACATTTTTGGTGTCATCATTAAAATCATAAGGCTATGAGCAAAAATGAATTTTCTTTAAGAATTAGTCTCTAATTTCCTTAGGCACATGTTTAGGATCTGTTACTCTGGCCATATTTTGAATCATTTATGGAGGAGCCTAGTAATATTAAGTATTATTACTCTTGTTTGTTGAGTGTTAGTGGGAGCCTATGCTTATGTTCTCCCTGTTGCAGTTGATTTTGAACTAGAAGTCCTTGACATTATTTATATATTTGATTTTAATAAAGATGTGTTTTGAATATTTATATTGGACGATTTAATAATCGTAAAGGAATCTCTATTTCATTTACACCAACGATCTTATTGACTTAATAGAGGACTAACTATTACTCTCATATTCAACCTGATTTATTTAAGAAGAATATTAGAAGAGGCTGTAATTTTAGAATAATTAATATCTCAATTTATGTTACAGTACTTAAGATATCAAGTTCAATTGATTTCTTAATACTGAAAGAATGGTTTTGATTAAAGTAAATCAAGATTAATATTCCACTGCTAATATTTTAAATTAAAATATACTAAATAACATAGTCTAATTTGATGGAAAATTAAAGAAAATATTATGGCAAAATTGATGAATTTATCACTTATTTACGATAGTTAGACGAATAATCATTAAATATGAAGAGAATAATAATCATAATACTAAGTAATTAGAATTAGAATTGAAATTGATAAGTTGTAAATGAAGATAACTTATAAATAAGATTAAAAATTGATCTCATAATTTAATGTATACTATAAATGTATTATACTGTGATTTTTAGAGGATTACCAAATTATCAAAAATATGCATAAAAGAGAAATTTGAACTAATTTAAAATACATAATTTAATTTCATTTCTCATCCTGTAAGTTAGAATAAGGATCATATACTTTGACTTTCTTTGCTGAAGTTTTTCTATCTTAAACTACTTTATCTAGAGTTTCCATTGGTAAAATGTCAGTATTTCGATATAGATTGTGGATGATTTAAAGTTAAGAACTCGGAGCCTTGAATGGCTTCTCAAAAATGTACCATGAATGTGAAAGAGCCTCCATATAATATGGCTAGGTAGAAAATGCTGAAGTAATCACTTGGACTAAATCACAGGTGAACTAATCCTTTCAATAATTATCGATCACCTTAAATAATTACTACAGAATAATACTGATTATAAGAATCGATGATTTTGTGCAGCGTCATCTTGAATATAAAATACAGAAACAGTTGAAATATTTTAAATTGTTGCAAAGATCATAGTATTTTGGATTTACACTTCTAAATTATATTAGACTCCATTAATCTTATGCTCAGCTTCACTTCTAAAGAATATAATTTTCCCACCATATGCAACACTATCAGACCAAGAGTTGACTGTGTATAAAGGACCGAAGTTATCTTAATCATTAGCTGATATTATATTATGACAAGTATAGTTTTTTATATTTCTCACTTTGGTTGGTTTGTATTTTGGAAAAAATAAAAGTCATCTTCCTTATTTTATGATTGTATATTCTACATTCTTATTAGTATAATTATAATCTAGGTTGACAAGGGACTAATTCGATTTTCTAAAGTAATATTCGTGAATATCAGGCCATTTTTTACTATTCTGAGTGTAATCATAGTCAGCACTACAATGAACAACCCTTTTCCTTAGCATTAATAATCGTAAAATCTTGAATCAATAATAATATTATTTTATTGGATTCGGCATTTATTATACATATATAGGAATTTCCAAAAATCTAAACTCAATTTATGATCTTAAGAAATGAGATATAAGATTAGATCAATTTTTAAATAACTTATAATACATTGTTCAAAATATGACACATTCCTTGCATTATTGACATCGTTATTAATTATCACTTGGCTTACTGTATTCCTATATATATCTCTACATAAATTCAATATACTTTGGCCAAATGGTATCCCCTATCGATTGTAAACAGATTTACTATATGATTTAATTTCCTCAATATTTATCAATTACTTAGCAGCCGTGGACAATTCTCCTGCCAATTGAATGCTGGCATCAATCAAGTCAAAATATCTGTGATATAAATCAATTATATCTCTGTCAGTATGAGGCTGTTGTTTCTTGGCGATATCATATAATGCATTTGTTTTTTACAGATAATCAAATGCAAGGATCTATCTTCCTGCCTTAATTAATAGCGATTTACCCTACACTTCCCTTGAGGACAAAGCAAGCCCTCTCAACCCTTTTTTAATCAAGCAATTATACGGCTAAGTACAATTCTTGCAGTTATTTTTCAAAGGTCATGTTGATAAATTTGGAAATGATGGAAACATATATTTCCTCACTTCCATATTCAATCTTCCCTTGTTCGTAATTTATGGTTTTATAATCCATTTTAATAAAATATATTTATTAATTATTGCCAATCAGAAGATTAATTTATAATTTCTAACGATAATATAAACTTTATCTTTTTCATCAATATGAGTTGGATTACTATAAATAGTTAAAACGAAGGTCCTGGAGGTCGATGGGGACACTCAAGCATTGCCTTAGATGAAAAACTATATATTTTTGGTGGTTTCGGTATAAAGTAGAATTATAATCAAGATGGCAATTATCTAAATGATTTTTATTCTTATGATTTCGACAATAACTTATGGCAAACCATACTACAAATTGGTTAAGTGCCAGAGCCAAGATCAAACCATATCATGTTTATAAATAACGGAACCATATATGTTCAAGGTGGAGGAGGCTAAACTAAAACTAGATTTGGAGATCTCTATTCATTTAACAAAAACACTTGGATTAAATAGAAAACCAATTTGATACCTAGAACTTATCATGCAGGTTGTGTTGGCGATAATAAATTATATATATATGGAGGCGAATCTGGTAAAGATCTAGACGAATTAGAAATTGTTGATTTATGCAACAATACATAATATACAGTCAAAGTTGAGAACTAGAAAAAGCCAGAACCAAGACGATTTGCAACTCTTCACTATCATAATAGTTAACTAATCTTGATTGGTGGATGTACTCAATCTTACAGTCTTACTCCATCAATTTATATAGCAAATTGCAAGTAAGAAGAAGATTAAATAAATATTTCATGGTGTTTACTTAAAACTTAATTTCCAAAGTGGGGACAATCTTGTGTACAATTTGATGATTTATTCTATTTATTTGGAGGAAGGGATGACAAAGATTCTGATGAACTTTACTCTTTTGATTTGTAAACTCATCAAATTTAGATCATAAAGAATGACATTAAAGTTAAAGCAAGAAGAAAACATTGTGCATCTGTTATTGGTAATTCTTTGGTTATTTTTGGTGGATTCGATGGAAAATATTAAAATGATTTATGCTTCTATGAACTACCTCTAGTTAATACTGTGCCTCTTTCAGTTGAACTACCATCTAAACCTTATGAAGAAATATCATAACATCAATTTGAAAACTATTTTTAATTTGAAAACGGAGTTCATTTTTATAATGATTAATATGATTGCTTAATCTAAACGGATGAAAAGTGTTTTGGAGTTGATAAATCTGTTCTTATTAACGCTTCTGGATACTTTACAGAACTATTCAATGGAGATTATGTAGAAGGACAATTACTTTAACTAGATTTATCATATGTTGATCATATTGCTTTTGGGATTGTTCTGATTTTCTCATACAAAAATAATTTGATACTTCCTATTCTAAATAAAGAGGAACTTTTTAGACTATTAGAATTGTGTGATTACCTAGACATGATATAATTAAAACAGAAAACATAATATTATATAGCTTAAACTGTTGATAAAAACACAATATAAGAAATATACAATCTTTCTATTGAACATCAGAATAATTAGTTATAAAATTTTTGTGCATTTAAGGTTTCAAAATTGAAAATGCCATTGCAAGAAATTGACAATTTATAAAGTTAACAAGTAAATAATATGAAAAGAATAAGAAAATTGTCAATAGTTAATGAATTATGATTAGTTATATATACTACTATAATAATTATGAAAATAATATCTTCTGTCTAAGGATTGCAATTTAATCGCATATATTGAAATTATGATCACAAGGGTAATATTTTACTTAGAATTGCAACTCATTCTATAAATTATTTTGTTATAATATCTATTCTTTTTAAAAGAACCTTTTCTTTTTAATTCATTTATCTAAAAGGAACTTCTTTAGAGTATGTCTTTATTATATTATAAATCAACCAAAGGAAGAGTATATTAAAATAATGTACTCAGAGACTTTAACTGATTTAATTATTACTAAAAAAATGCATAAAATAATTAATTCTATCTTATGAAGACAGATCCTTATAAAATTTATATAAATAAAGGATTATTATTTCCTGATGACATCTATGTATAGTTGGTTACATAATTCTTCTTTTAGATGTAGGCTATCAGCTAAATTGATAAAATATACATTTTATTGTTATAATTGAAAATCAAAAAGTAATTGCCTTTAGAAAAACTTATTTTCTATTTTCAAAGATTATAGCTTTAGAATTTGCAATAATTCTAAAATAAATAATGGAAAAGTATGAATTGGAAATTTATTTGATATATTAAACAATCTGATTCTTCAACTAGGGTTAAACACTTAGTTTAATGGATAATATTGTAGATAGGTAGAAGAATTTGACAAGAATAGAAGAAGTTAAGGCAATATTTTAGAATGATTTAACAAGAATTCTATAAAAATAAGATAAAATAAAAATGGAGACTAACTGATTCCTAATACAAAATGATTATAATTATTTAGAAATGTGTTATTTACAAATGACTTCAAATCAGTTGTAATAAATTTTGATATTAATTTAAATGACGTAAACTTGTTCTTAATTAAAATGTTTGGCATAGATGCAACTTCCAAAAATTTTAGCAAGTATCATTTACATGGTCCAAAACACTTTCTTGGTGTCTTATGAACCTCTTAACAATATATTAATAAAGTTGATTTGATTCAAATGGGATATCTGTATGTTTTGATGAAGATGACGACATTTTAAAATCCTGCCTCCAATATAAACTAAAACTAACAGAAATTATCAGAAAATTTATATAATCACAATTTGCATCATCAGAATTAATGCATAATTTTCTGCATTTTCTGATCGTATATATATTCAAAAATGTTCTAATTAAAACTCATTAATTTATAAATATACATTCAGCAAAAAAAACAAGATGACTGAACAACTTAAAAATCAAACTTAAATCACATTGATGACTGAAAGATATAATGAATAATACGAAAATAACAAAGAAACAGAAATAAAAATGCAAAAAGGAATAAAAAAAGATTTGACCGATTGTGTCACAAAAGTAGTTGGAGAAGTGGCAATGAAAGTTTGCTTTGCTTTAACAGTTGCTTTCTGTATCGGGTGTTGAGAACTCATCTATAAAACTTTCTTTTCTTGACTTTTATATTTTTGTGTATAGCATTTTAAACCTTAACAAAAACAACTAATTCTTATAAATATACATCTAGATTATACAATTTTTAGTTGTGTAACCATACTATAAATTTAGACTTATACGTTCCTCTTCATAAAAGGACATTATGAAAAATTTTTTGTATAACAGATTAATTGCTGAAGTAAACTAATACAGTACTATTTTTGAATAAATGTTGCACAATAGTTATATAACTCATAAAATACCACTACTGTCTTAGACTTTAGACATCTCTAACTTTAATTCTCTTTTCATTATTGAGAAATTCCAAAGGTACATACATTTAGTAAAGGAAGATTATTATTTTAATTTTCAAGCAATGAGTCTCTATTATACTGTTATAATCATTAAAGAACATATTTATATAATAAGTAATTGTAAATTAAACATGTTACAGCTATTTAATTGTTTTAAGCATCATAGATCTCAATTTCTTGAAAGAAATTAGACCTCATATTAAAATTTTATATAATTAAAGAGGAACATTCTTTATAATTAATCTCAAAATATAAACAGCATCATTTGAATTACGAACTATATCAAAATGACTATGCTTCATAAATTAGGCAAAAGTATTAAAATAAATTATGAGAAAAAAAAAATCACAAATAATACACATATTAAAGTTTGCATTAAGAAAATAAAATTATATTAATCAAGAGATTCAATACAAGTATTAATTGCGCAGATTTTCAAGGAATAAGAAATTCATTCTTTTTTATATAAACTGATATAATATTACAAACAATTTCAAATAGGCTATATCATATTTCAGTTAACAAATTGTGTATAGTAATCAAATAATGGCTAATAGCAAAATTGAGGTTTGCTTTTGCAAAATGGAACTTAATTTATAAGATTATAAAAACAATCATTCATATATACTTGTTAACTTGTTTTATAGGTGATCAAATTATTTAAACAATCTTAATATTGAGATAAAGGAAAGGATAATTGACTTAATAATATAAAAAGTGATCATTTAAAGCTTTGTTTCAACGTTGAAATTATAATTAGTAAATTATATCGGATAAAGAAATATTTAAGTTTAGTTATATTATGCTAATTTCATTAAATATGCATTTAATTGTATAGTAAATCTTTAACTAAGATATGAAAATTAGCTAATATGTTATAGATTAATATCAATCTAGATTGTATCTTGTGTATTTTTCTCTACTTTATTCAAACAATAGAAATGAAAGTCATTATTATCGTATTACTAAACCTTAAAATTTATGAACATAAAATAATGAAGAAATGAAAAAAAAATAGATATTTGACTTTATTTAGAAGATTAGGAATAATTCAAACATTCGCAATAACCTTCTTACTTGTCAAAATACTATGCTTAATGCTTTAGTAGATGATAATATGAGATTGTTAGTAATACTTAATTTCTGAATAGAATAAGATAAAAGATTTAATATCACCTAAAAATGTGATTTCACCGATTAATTAATCAAATTTATTTATATCTTGTCTTCATCATGTTAACTTAAGTTAAAATAACAAAAAGAAACTCAAAAGCCATAAAAACTAAGAAAGATAAGGATTAAGGAAGAAACAAAAATGTAATATTATAGTAAGAATTTCATCATCCTGTCAATTCAAATTCTGAAATCTTCATGTCTGATCACGAATCATTAACTTCAAATAATGAAGAACCTAATAGTAAACATTTATGTCATTCTTAGAAGTGTGTGATATAACTGAAAATGCAGATAACGTTTATTCGCAATAATTTCTGAAGCATAAAGATAACTAAGCAAACAAAAACCTTAAACAAGAGAAGATGAAATAAATACGCTATTCATTGAAGAAAGATAATGAAATAAGACATAAAAGGTCTAAAAATAGAGTTAAGACATTTTCTAAAGAAGATGATTAACGATTACTCAACTACGTTCTTAAGAAAGGACCCAAGTTCCATAAGTTCTCCAGATATTTCCCTGGAAAAACATCAAACATGTTAAAAAATAGATATTACAAATAACTAAGATTCGTTTGGGATAATATTTTGGGAAAGTACAATGTTAAATATTTTAGACAATACCACCCTGTGGATTGCATTTCAAAGGATCAACTTCCAAAAATAGAAAATGAAGCCGATTAAATAAAAATAGAAACGATAGAAGAACTATAATTGTTTCCTGAAGCAGAATGTGTACTATCCAAATTTTTAGGTTGTTTATCTACAACATTTATTAATATTCATACACAATTTTTATGAGAGTACTGATGATGAATATTTATAAATAGTATATCGAGTGTATATTCATTATTATGTTTTTCAAAAAGTTAGATTTTAATTTGATAAACAGATATTATCACGAATCCTCCTCACTTCAAAATATTCATTTGAAGTGATGGAACTTATTTTATAAAAATCATTTTCAATCCAACTCATCATATCTTTTTGAAAAGTTTTGATATACAAATAATTTATAGAATTCACTTAATATTCTTCGGCGAGTTTTAACAAGTTCTCTGAAAAAGCCTTTACATTCACCTTCTTGACCATTTAGTTTTAAGTTAGTTTAGAGATAAAATAAAATTAAATATTTAACAAGAAATAAAGAAATATAGTTTAACTAGTAATTAATTCAAATTAAATAATTGGCAATTTATTATGATATAGAGCGGCGTTTTTTTGGGCTTTAATAATTTTTATGAAACTCCGTAATTTTGATGTTTGCAGTTGTAAATCAGATCAGTATTTATATAATTCAAGCCATAGAGTACTTTAAGAGAGTTATAATAAAGCTGTTATTAATAGTACGAATATAAACCTTTTACTTAGATTTTATTTATACTAAAATATTTACTCACACCTTTTTTTAATATTAAAACAATAATATCATTTATTTAATATAAATATTATATTATATTATATATTAATTCAGTGTTATTGTTTTCTTTATTTAGTAAATTCATTCATTACATATGTAATAGCCTATAAATTTACTATACTTAAAATCAAGAAATGAAACTAAAAAACAAAATTTCGAAAAAAATTTGAATAAAAATCGCACTCATCAAACATGGATAGATAGACATTATTTATTGAATAGAATTTCGAGAAATTTTCATTTAACTACCATTAGGATTTAGAGTAAATAGTTTAGAATAACATAATACTTAATAAATAATACATAAACATTTAGTATATTCAATTCATTATTTTTGTGCTTCTTTATGAGTAGACATGTATGAGACGTTCTTTCCTTCACTTAAGGCAGGAGAAACTCCAGTCAATATTTGCTTTTTGGCCTAAGTAATCCTTGTGGAGTTAATTTTGTATTCTCTTGATACTATTCCTTCCTCTTTGCTCATTTTTCTACCAACTTAAAGGGGAACATCAACAAAACACATATCCTTCTTAGATTTTAGTTTTGTTTATGTACAACCCATTTATTATAAAATAATTTATGTTTTTTTAGTGGTTTTGATAAAGAATTATATATCTGAAAACAAAGTTTATCAAATTAATACTTGATAATCCAAAACGAGAAGAAAATTGTAGTAGTTAATATATATTATAAATTATTTTCATTTTAGTTTTTGAATAGAAAGCGTATTTAAGGTGTGTAAATCAATTAACTGATTATGAAGGCTATTATAAATGAAATGAGCTTACCATTCAACCACCATGTTTAAGAGTATCCTTTTGGTATATTATTTGATTAATAACTATTTCTACTCTATTTATTTGTTTAAAGAGAATTGATTGAGTTGAATGAAGTCAGATAATTTGATTTACTTGCCCAAAATATAGCAATCATCTTCAAAAGCATAAATAATTGCTTTTCAGTACTTTTTCGAAATAACAATTATTCTTTATCCATCTGGATAATTATGCACTTAGGTTTCAGTTTAACTTTGAGTTTAGACTCTTTTTTTTCCTGTCCCGTTTATTTTGAGACATCTTATTTTGTAAGTGATAATTACCTATCTATATTTATACCTTTGAAGTATAAATGCTATAGAGCTGTCTGAGCGGATATCCTTTTCGTAGGATCAAGAGTCAACATCTAGTCTATAAGATTGACTAAGAGGGGAGACATTTTCCTTTCAAGTAATGAATGTAAGATCTTGGGAAAACTCTCACTGTTGATCAATTTAGAGTAATTTCTTAGTGTGGTCACACCTTACCAAGTTTCTACGAAAGTTGAGTATGAATCAAATACCTTCAGTAGGAGTTCCACATAGTTTTAAAATTTATTGAAAACTATTGATTTCAGACGATCCCTTGAAGGGATTGCTTCTAAAGAGAAGTTCGATAAACAAAACCCCTGCTGACCAAACATCAACCTTGGAGCAGTATTTTTAACCTAATATTAGTGATTTAATAAACCAAGGAACACTTCTGGAGCCCTGTATTGATGATTTTATATTCTGGTGGTTTGAGGCTTGAATTTTTTTAAATTTTGAGCCATTCCCAAATCACAAATTTTAATTGTTAAATTTTTGTGTAAAATATTGTTAGCTAAAATAGGTTTCAACAGTTTTACGTTTAAGGTCTCTGTGTATTATGCCGAGATCATGTAAATAAGCTAAGCCTTTTAAGACTTAAAACATAATCTACTTGGCTTAAACCTCAGTGAAGATGTCTCTTCTCATAGCGGTAAGCAAATCTTCCTCCACATATTCCATTATTATATAAGTCTTTCGATTTTAATAAGCTAATTCTTTAAATAACACTATTTAATCACAATGAAGAGATCGGAGTATTTCAATCTCTCTTAGTGCTTAAGCATTTATCTTATATAGAATAATATATCAAACCCCTTAATCATTAATACGATGGGATAATTCTTTGATGGCGACTGTCTCTCTGGTGTGCATATTCACACCTTGATATACAGTTCTAAGATTAAAATGATCAATTTACCCATAATCGCCATACCCAATATTCTTTTGAATAATAAACTTTGATTTTAACTCTTTGGTTTACATAGAAGAAGAAGATATTCGTTAGAAAGTGAAATCCTAAATCATTGAAAAAAGGAATATATTAATTTATATTTATAATAAATATCAGATGTTTAATCATTCTATTTTTTGGGCAAGAAAGCAGTGATCTAGTCAGATTCCTGAAAAACTAATATAAATTTCTGCTTCAACTCAAACACACTATAAAATTATCATATAATTAATATAATCAACTTTTATAGCATTCAAATTCATCGCCAACTTTCACTTCAACATTTGATATAATTGATAATCCACAATCTTTCCCAGATTCTATACGGTCAACCTCCTCTTTAAAGTGCTTTAAATTGGCAATTTCCAGATCAGCAGCAACAACCTTCCCCCCTCTCAATAATCTCACCCTGCATTTTTTATTCAAAATTCCATGGGTGACAGTCAGACCATAAATCTTTCTTGATTGCCCTTTGAGTTTCACATCGAAGACATTCTATACTTTGGCTGTTCCAATAATACTAACTTTAGCATTTCTAGGAGCTGTGACAAGAGTTTTTAAGTCATCAATTAAATGATAGATAATCTAATGCTAGACTATGTCTATCTTATCTTATTAAGCCTATCTAATGATATCATTTGGAACATTGGAATTCAATGTAACTATCGTAGCACCAAACAATTAAGCATCCTTAAAGTCTTTTTAGGTTACATCTCCAACACCTGATGAAAGTATCAATATCTCAGCATTCTCCTTCTCCTTTAATTGATTCACTAATTTTATAAGAGTCTCTAAAGTTCCAAAATCTTAACCTTTAATCACTAGTTTTAAGACTTATGTATCTGGAGCAAGATTAATCATTTAAGATGAGAATAATTCATGTTATCTAAGTTTTTCTACCAAAGCTTCTTTGATTTCTGGATCCTCAGTTGATTCTATTTCTTCTCTCAACATATTTTAAATTTCCTTATATTTCTCTATAAGATGCTTAGTATCACCATAAACATCTCGCTTTTCATGTTTATTTTAAAATTTAATCTTTCCAAATGATCCATCAATCATTTCTGCATTTTATAGTTATTTAAATTCTGCTTCTTTTTTTCTTTTATTTACAATTAATTGAGCTATTAATTCATTCTTTGCAACAAAGAATTTGGAACCACTCTAAGGAATCTCCTTTAATCCAATCTTAAAATATAAAAATGATAAAATACAATTTCAATCGCACTTGAAGGTCCTGCTATCTACATTGTATTTGCTCTGTCATCTCTCATTACTCTAACTTTTCCATATTAATTGCCAACAACAATTATATCATTAATTTTGAGACTTCCTTTTTGTACAATAATTGTAGATCCTCTTTCTTCAGTCAATTCTGATTATCTTGCTTCTAGAACAACTCCTTAAGCAGGAACTGTAGGATCTGCCTTTAATTCTAAGAGCTCTCCTTAAAATTGAATCAATTCCAATAATAAATCAATATTCTTCCCATTTTTTGCACTTATATGTACAACTGGGATATTTCCTCCTTAAGATTCCAAATCAAGACCACACTCCAATAATTCTAATTCAACATCCTCTGGATTAACATTAGGAACATCGATTTTATTGATGGCAACAATAATAGGGATATTTAATTAGGAAGCAATTTAGATGACTTCTTTGGTTTGAGGTTAAACTCCATCTGCTGCAGATACCACTAAAATAATCATATCAGTAAACTCAGCTCCTCTCTATCTCATATTAGAAAATGCCTCGTGTCCTGGAGTATCAATAAATGTGATTTAATTGTCTCCCACTTTTACATGAAAAGCACCAATTTTTTATGTTATTCCCCCCACTTCTCCTTCAGCTATATTTGAATTTCTTAGTCTATCCAATAATGTAGTTTTTCCATGATCAACATGCCCCATAATAGTTATAATTGGTGGTCTTGTAATTGGATTTTCTTTGTAGGAGCTTAAATTATATAATGGCAAAATCGGTTCGATAAGATCTTTAGTTATTTTAGTATAATTAACAGGTTATTTAGAAAATTGATTTATTGTTCTGATTAGTTCTTTTTGGTCAATATCAGTCAAGATAGAGAGCTATTAGATTGAAAGCTACTCAGAGAGGGTTATGTTTTTTAAAACCATTTTTGTAGGGATGCTGTCTGGGTTTGAATATTTAGAGATTTGTTACTAGGATTCTTATATGGCTTAGGCAAACCTATAACAGAACTTTCTAAAAATAATCATAATTAAATTTTATTACATCAGAACCCCAAAATAAGGAAAGTTTTATAGAGCTCCCAGAGAAGATTCTAAGAATAAAATGAAATATTATAAAAAGAATAAATCATAACTTGTATAATAATAATTTCATTAAATCATAATTAATATCGCTAGAATGATGATTTAAATTAAAGGGGCATAGCAAAGTTCACAACTTCCACTATGCAAGTTCCCATTATTCCATAGTGCATAATTCAATGTATTTAAGCTGCATGTGTATGCCGATAAATCAGACAATGAAGCATCCCGACATTTTGCTGGTGTTGCTGAATAATCAACATAACAAGGTTAAATATCAGTGTTATTACCATTTTTGGATAAAAATAATGTACATTCGGATGGAGCTTTATTATCACAGGTAGCTGTAACACATTATTGAGTGTTAATCATCCAAGTGCAATATAAATTATAGGTTTAACACTAAGATTAAGTATTTATTAGAGAGCAATTAAAATCTTAACATTAATTATCACTCCATAAACATAATTAACCTTAACCAGAATACAAGCATTCTTATTATACTGTATATTGGGGACATGCATTCAGAGGCAAGCTTTAGCATACTTTCGATGTAGTATTATATAATCCGCAATAGTATGATTGCGACTCACAATCTTATTAGGATGTTGCAGTCAATTGACTACACTCTGCATAAACTCCACAAGTATTATCCTTAGGATTGTAAAAGCATCCTTGCGAACTCTTACATTAAAATGGATAATAAAATTAAGAGCATGTTTTGGTTTAACAAGCGGAGTTGATCCACATACATTATTAATTTAAATTGCATTCAAAATCATTTAGGTATGATATGCAATCGCATTTTTTCTTTTAGTTGATGTTGATTGCAGTTGTGTTAAATATGAAAGCCATTGTTATTATAAATGATATCATTTTAAAATAAATAATAAATAGTTTCTCTTATTTCTTTTTATATATATTATAAATCACTCCATGCTAGCCTTCTTGCGTTCATAAATGTTAAGGATAGATATCTTTTCACCTCCCTTCTATCTTCCAATTTTAACACCTCTCATCATAATTCTCATTTTTCTACCATCTACTAACTTCCTATTGAATTCAAGTTTTTTCCATTATGTCATAAATGGAAACCATTATCTTTTAGGATATTATAAATCATTACGCTGGATTCCATACAGGGACACTATACTATCGAGCTCTATTTTCGCCTGAATCTAATCTCTTAATAGCCTTCATTCCATTTCTCAAATTACCACCAAAGGAAATTCCAAATATACGAGCTGCTACCAGATCTAATTTTTATGATGGAGTCAATTTGTCCATTTTATAAGATGATCTAACTGATGGTTAAATACCAAGTCGAAAGTTAGGCAACTTAATATGAGGCATAAATATAATCTAATAATAATTAAAAATTTTGAAAGAAAAAACAAGAAATAAATTAGTATCTTCTTTTTTGTATTCAGGAAGTTTAGTATGTAGAAATCCATTTTACTCTTTTGCCATTGATCCATTCCCCTTCTCTATATAATCCACTTTTTGAATGGAAAGTTCCTTATCCATGTTCTTTGCCATCAACCCAGTTGCCTTTATACATTGACCCATCGGCATATGTGAAATCCCCAAATCCATGTTTTTTATCTTTCACATACTAATCATTATAATTAAACTTACATATCCATCATAGCATCTACCATCCGGCCAAGTAAATGTCCCATATCCATCCATTTAATTATCCTTCCAGTATCCATCATATTTACGGCCATCTGGAAAGTTAAACACTCCTTTTCCATTAAATTTATTATTAACAATTTAACCCTTATACCTTTTTTTAGCTGAACTAATACTTGGATCCATCTGAAAAAACAAATTCTCCGAAACCTGTTTTGTTTCCATCCACAAATTTTCCTTTGAAATTTGTTCCATCTGAAAACTTTTCATTCCCATCTCCTTATTATTTATCATTAACCCAATAGCCTTCATAGGAATACCCTAATGAAGTCACTTATTTCCCAAATCCATTTGCTTTATTCTCCTTGAATTCTCCTTCATAATAATCTCCAGTCACAAAAATCAACCTACCATAACCATCCATTTAATCATTTTTCCAAAAACCTTCATATACACTTTTGTCTTGAAAAATTGCCCTGCCTTTTCCATGTCTTTTACCCAATTTCCATTAACCTAAATATATTGTTCCATCGGCAAGTAAATATGGGTCTAAAAAGGCTGCACTCAATTCTTCCTCCTCATAGTTTTAGCTTTCCTTCTTTAAATACTCTTTATAATTAAAGTTCCCGATTCGAAATATCAAAGAATTGATCGATGCAGGATATTCACTCTATTTTCTCTCTACTTTGACACCATCAGGAGGAGAATGATCTACAATAATAGGGACTTCTTTTATCTATTCCATCTATGCAACTTCATCTTAAGGTTACTAATGAACAATTGCAATTTCAATAGGCTCCTAATGACTTCTCTAGCTGTCGTTTGTAATAGATACTGGAACTGTTGGTCGTCTCTTCCGATTCTTGAACTCTATTTATTGTTTAAACCCAAAATACATCTGTAAGCCCTTTGTATTAAAATAGCTTTTTAGGTGTAGACACTCAGGAAGGATAGTTCAAATTTCGGCATAACAATTTACAATTAACCTTGCGTACCGCAACATGTTCCCATTATTTAATTAAATTATGTAAATTATTAATCAAAAATAGCAACTTTTCATTCTCAGCTTAGTCTAACTTTGACTCAAACTTTGCTCTAAAATCAAAATACTCATAACTTTTTGTGCAAGTTATAAAACTTAACAACATTTATTTTTTCTGGAAGAAATCTCTAACAAAGAAAATAATTATTAGAATATAAACTCCTCATACAAATACATGATACTCTTTCAAATATCTTTTCTATTTATTTTTTCTTTAAATAGTGTAAATTACTGATTTAACCGAAAAATATTTTATTATAAACAAAGTCAGGTATTATTAAATCAGTTGAATAATTTTGGTGAAATGTATATTTTCATCCAATAAAATGATCTCTGTATTCCACTCTTTATTGAGCAGTTTTATATTAAATTTAATGCAATTTTAATGAGTTATATAATTAAGTATTTTAAGAAACGAAAGCTTATTAATGGCAGAAAATTTGAATAATTAATCGCTAGTATTTGAAAGTTGAAAATAGATCAAAAATATGTACAAAAATTCTTTACAAATGTTATGAATTAGAATTAATCCAAGTTTGGAAGTGAAATTTATGGAATTAGCATTTCAAAATATTTACACTTTATAAATTATTGCAGATATGTTTATGATATAGATTGAATCTGTTATGGATTAATGAATAGAAGAAACGCATAATTATATTGTATTTTGTTTGTTTATTCTCATACTCATTCGCTTCCTTTATACATATCCTCAATTTATTTAAGGAAATGTTCTCTTGCCTTATGTCTCATCACCTTAAGTGTGTTACTAGTTAGACCATGAGCAATAAAGGAGGTTGGTTCAATGAAAATCTTCTTTACATTTTCCATGCCATTCAATTTTTCTGCTTTACCCTAATAGATAAGATATTATGTATACTTATTTAACCATCTCATCAAAAAAGTACTTATTTACTTTATCATTTCCACACAACTATTCAAATGTACCTTAGATTCCTAAAGTGTTTGCTAAGTCTAAAACAAGGTGTTTTTCAGGAACAATAATAGCTACACAAAAGCTTTTGGTTGAGTCTCCATAAACAAATACTTCTGCGATGCCTTTGACCTTCAAATAGACTCCTTCAACTTTTTCTGGAGCAATATATTCACCTTGACTTAACTTAAAAATGTTTTTAACTCTATCAATAATCTTTAAAGATCCATCAGGTCTGATCAATCCAATATCTCCAGAATGCATCCAGCCGTCAGCATCAATCATTTCCTTTGTTTTTTCAGGTTCTTAGTAATATCCTGCAAACAATCCATTTCCTCTAATGCCTAAAAATAATGATTGACTAATTACAGATTTCTCCTCTGGGAGTAGGTCTTCCTTGTTCATCTTTATCAGTGCTGAAATAGTTCATTTATGGAACATCAACAACTTTAAATTCGATGTTTGAGAAGACACCTCCGACATGCCCACTAATAGGATCATCAGCTCTACTAATGAATGAACCGCCACATCCTTCAGTCTAACCATATCCTTCAAGGAATGGAACACACACAACACATTTCAAGAAATCTACAACTTCAGGTGACATTGGTGCTGATCCAGATAACATTAGTCTGACTCTACCACCAAAAGCTTCTCTAGTCTTTTTGAATACTAAGTTGTCCCAAACTTTGTGTTAAACATGTCCTCCGTTTTACAAATAATACATTTTGCTTGCTAATCCCTTTTCAAATAATGTTTTTTGATATCCTGTTATTTTATCCGCTTTTTCTTTAATTGTATTGTATAATCTTCTATACAATCTAGGAACACTCACAAAAATAGTTGGTTTTACCAATTGAATATCAACATTAATTTTTTATACGTCCCCACCATACATGCATATTGTGCAACCGAATCCAAGTAAGGCTGTTACTACAACTCTCTCTAAAACATGGGGCAAAGGTAAATAACTCAAATAAACATCACTAGGATATAATTAAATTCCTTGATAAACAACTCCACCTGCTACTGTTACAAAATTCACATGTCTTAACATAACACCTTTTGGCATTCCTGTAGTTCCTGATGTATAACTGAATGTGAATATGTCGTTTCCATGTACTTCTGCAAATGGGTGTATTTTATCCTTTCCAGCATTCAATACTTCTTCGTAATTCAATACCTTTATTCCTTTTTCACCAAACTAAATAGATACTATTTACTATTACCTTTTAAATTGTGTCTTATGGTAATTCATCAAAAGTAACTACATTTTTAAGTGCATGGTATTCTTTAACTTTTAGAAGTGTTTCAACAATTGAACTTGATATGAACAATGTAGAGATCTAAGTGTGTTCTAAAATGTAAGGAATGCTCTCCAATCCCAAAGTGTCATACAGAGGAATCATTGTATTTCCATACAATGTATTGGCTATATCTAAGAGTAGCCATTCTTCTCTGTTCTTTGAGAATATTCCTATCATTCTTAATTCTTATCCCTCGTATTATACTGGATTTGGTATCAAGTTTAAATTCTTTATACCTGACCCAAGTTATCTAGTTTCTATTTAAGATTTTACTCTGCAACATTTCTGACATCAATATAGGTTTTGTAGACATAATGGCTACTATTCCCTCCTGTGGCTACTTGCTTACCCAAGCATCTATTGTTAGGAAATTTACGGCAAGATCTTAAGAAAATACCCTAAACTGTGGTTTCTCCTTCGAAGTTGTCCAAGAGCTTCTCTGTATTATTTGGATTTCGATAGATATGACTTTCTCCTTCTTTCTTCTCTCCCACTGGCACTGCGTAAAATTTAGATTATCCTTATCCCATATTTAAAGATATTTAAATTATTTCTGAGTTATTTAATTCATATAGCCTATATATTATATTAAATAATAGATAAATTATAAAACATTCAACACAATATATTACTCCTTCTATGTTTATTTTTATTATATAAATTATAATAAATCTAATGATAAAAAAATAAACTCTGTCAAAATAACAATCAATCTATGTTGGAACTCAAATCGTTGAGTTTTCTTGGTTTAAATAACATGAAATAATCTATGAACAACCTACCAATCAATGGAAGTAGCTAATGTTTGACAATCTCGAGTGGTTCCTAATACTCTTATTACTGATATACTGCATAACATTTTACATTTTGTACAAAGCCTTTAGCAAGAAAGCTACAAATATGGTCGTTAATGTCAGAAAAGAAAGCTTAGCCAGCGATGACATGCAAAAGTATAGAGTCTATATTGTAACGTAGTTCCTTAGCATTGAGTACTGAATAGAATGAGTTACCCAAAAAAGATTCTACATCCAGCACAGAAAGCTCTCCAAGACAAAATATTTATGCATCCAATTAGGATATTGTTTCAGACATCAAACAATCAAATAAAAGAAAACTCACCGATATTTCTTAAGATAGAGAAGAATAACTTAATTTGGAAAAGAATGAAACTGATAATAATTTTGTTCATAGAGAAAAAAATAAAGACTTATATTAGTTTGAAGATTATGTAATATAATAAAAGTTCATGAAAAGCAATGAAAAATGTAAGAATCTTAAGACGTCTAATAATATTGAACAAAATAGTGGAAGGAAATAAACTCATAGAATCTAATAAACTAACCCAGATTGGAGTCAATATTTGGAGAATGGTAAATTTGAGAAGTTGTATGCATCACCAACAGTTTTAGGGAATGGGGCATTTGGAGAAGTTTATAAATGTCAAAAAATAGTTGATCTCAAATAATATGCAGTGAAAAGAATATTTTTCAAAGTTTAAAATGAAATAAATTTGAGAGATCATCCCATATTCCGTGAAATCAATGGCCTTTAAGAAATTAATCATAAAAATATCGTAAGATATTATACAAGTTGGATTTAAGAATTAAGTACTGAAATGATTGAAGAGATAACTAAACTACATGATCTAGTTACTGAAAAACAATAAGAAATGTAAAACAATGTCTTTATTGATTAATTGTAATCTCAAAATACTGATGAAATATCACATCTAAATGATTGTGTGCAAATTGTTGGAGATAGTGGAACTGAAAATGATAAATAAATATAAACTAATTCTAAAAACTCTAAAACTAAACGAAATTTAATCCCATCTGATTTTAGCAGCTAAATTTAAGCCCTTATGCGAAAATTTCATTTTAATCCTAATCAAAATGATGAATAATATTAATTATTTATGTTATTTATTGAAGTAATATATTAATAATATTATTAGATGGAATTATGTGATTTTACATTAAAAGATTTTATAGAAAATATTGATAGAAAAAAAGATTAAAAATTAATAAAATCTATCTTCAAATAAATTATAGAAGGAGTTGTTTATATGCATAATTAATAATTCATTCACAGAGATTTAAAGTATATTTATATATTATCCAAGACCTCAGAATATATTTATCAATTCAAAGAAAGAAGTTAAAATAGGAGTATTAGGATTATGCAATAATCAAATAAATTAGGGTGAAGAACAAGCATTCGAAACAAATTTAGAATACATAAATAATTCAGGAACATCAATATATATGGCACCAGAAGTCAAAGGTGGTTAATTTGGTTCTGCTGCTGATATCTATGCTTTGGGGATTATTTTGTTTGAGATGTTATGGAAATTTCAAACTAATTCTGAAAAGCTTAAGTAAGATAATATCTAATATTTAGGTTGATATAAAATCTTACATAAGATTATAAGTTACCCTAATAATTATTTAATGATTATCCAAGTGAATTTGAATTAATAATAAATATGGTGAGTGAATACCCAGAGAGAAGGCCAACTGCTATGCAAATAATAGAATCACTAAATGAATTAAATTGATCTAATTATAACAAATTCTTTTAAAATTTATAAATCATATACAATTTTTCCTTTAATATAAATCATTTATAAGTTTACCCTCTACCAAATGATGTTTGAGGTCTAAGTGAATTTAAAAGGCTTTAAGCTTCTTTATTATGGCGATTTATATTTAATGCTCCTTAAAGCTGTTAAGTAGCTTTTATCTTGTACTCTGGCATAGTATTAATACTTTTGAGATAATATCGAGCTTTGCAAATTAGAAGCGTCTCATCTAAGGGAAAACTTCTAATGCAGTCATCCAAAAAAGTATCTGTGAGTGCGTATGAGCATTCAATCAAAATATTGACTAATAAAATTGAATTTGAAATTACCAGCCTCATGTAACCATTTTTTATAATCCATTCCTTAAAAAGGTGGAACTTGTGAACATTACTACAATTACCTATTTCTAAGAGTTCTAGAAGAAATTTGATTCATCTAGTTTTTATCCAATTAATTCTATTAATTAATATTTTATGAATTTAAAATTTATTAAGCCGAGTCTAACTTATTATATAAAACTACTTTTTCCATCCTAGGCTTCAAATGATTTTATTTTTAACTTAATATTTTCTCAAAAAAATGTATAGCCAATAGATACTACTTATTTTCCAATAAACACTTTCCATAAATTGAATAAATATCAATATCATCATCATAATTTTCTAGGAACTATTAACAATGGACCATAGCCTCCTAATATTCTCTTTATTCAAGAAGAATAAATGCTAAAAATAGATATTATCAATACTTTTCAATTTCATTAAATTCTTCTTATCCTTATTTCTTATTTATTGATTTAATTATTAATTTATAAGATCCAAACTTTATTTGTATTCTTTTTTTTTTTTAAATATTTGAACTTAAATAAATTAATAACTTACTTTAAATTATAATATTTTAGAAATCATTATTATTTAGTTCAGTTGCTTTCTTTAAACTTTTTTCAGCCTCCTCCAAATAACCTTCCAATAAATAACATTTTGCTTTGAAATATATTACATTTTCTTTACCAAATTCTTAAAAAACATCAAAAGCATTATCCTATTTTGATGCTAATTATTTCAATATTTTTCTAGCATCAACAAATTAATTATTCTCCATATAGTTATTGCCTTTGATTATAATAAAATTTACAAAGCAATTTTAATAATTGTTTTTCTTAATTTGGATCTGAAAAATTGTTTAATTTAGGCGAGATATATGCAATAGATTAACTGTATTGTTAATTTAGATAAAATTTTAATCCTAATTTACAAAAATACTGCATTACCTTTATAGAAAACAGCGTCAAAATTTAAAGGATCCCTTTCTTTTAATTTTTCTTAAAGAATAAAACAGGAGTGAAAATAATTCATTTCTTTTAGAGCATTTACTAATTTAATATTTATATACTTAAACTAGATTTGGCTTCGATGTTTTCAGGCCTTTATGAAAGAACTTGTTCAAAACAGTTTATTGCTATTTAATAATTTTACGAAGTCATGTTTTCTTCTCCTTTTTTTAGTAGCACCTCTAATTAATCATTTATAAGATCTTGTTAATTAATAGTAGTTTCTTCAAGGTTTATTTGCATTTAATTCTATTGAGTTTATGATAATATTTGGGTATTTCTCTGAATCATTGTAGCCTACAGGTTATCTTACTTAAACTATTTTAATGTGTCAATTTTTTGAATAGAGCATTTTTCTAATACTTTTTAAATCGATTCTGAAATTTCTTTTATTTTATAATAGACTGTTGGAAATTTTGTGATTACTTTTCCCAAATAATTTAAGTCCTCCAAAGAAGAAATGACTTTGAAGCTTTCATCAACTTTATACCCCTCTAGGACTTCATTTATAAATTTTATATTTTCAATAAATTTTTTTTCCACTTTATTGAGATTTCTTTATGTTTCTTCAAACAGTTTGTTATGGCTTTCTACATGCTACGGAACATCTTTTATCGAAATTGAATCACAGCTTAAATGGTCAACATCCTTTAAACATCTCATACAACTAATTTTCCAGTCTACTTCGCAAATTTGACTCTTGCAAATCTGAATAATATCTTCATCTTAATGATCTTTACACTTTATTTTCTTTTTTTTTTAAGGAGGATTCATTTCTTTTATATAATTAATTTCAATATAATATAACAAATTGTTTGTTTTTATTCACATATATTACCAAAATTTTGAATTTATATACCCCCTCTATATATATGATATGAATTTTTAATCTGAATATCCTCAAGTGTCGAATTTTTAAAATAGAATAATATTTCACTTCCACTAATTTTTATTTATTTAGTTACTTACCTCATCATCATATAGGGAAATTCTCTTATGAAATGAAATTTAATAATTTTAGATTCAGGCATTTATATTGCTAATAAATTACAAAACTAAATCATTTTAATTGATAAAATTTTTTAACTTATAATTTCAATATTGAAATATATAAATATAAAATTTTCAATATTTTCTAGGAAATCTTAACAATTATAATCTAAAATATTGATTTCAATTTAGATTTAATCCATTAGAATATATAATGTATCAATTTACTTGATAAAATACTGTGTCATAATAATTTTATTTTATGCAATTTTTATTCAGAATTTATTGTTTATAATATATTACTATAAATGAATTTAGAAGCTATTTATAGTTTTGATTAATTTTGGAAGATATAGAGTTTTGATTTCAATATATATATTAAAGCATTATCCTCCAATATGATTTTAGCGCCATTTAATCAAAAAAACTTTATAGCATAAATGAAATGAGATAAAAATAAACTTATTTTAAGTATATTATCAGAAAGCAATTTACTAAACTATTCAAACATAAATTAACCTGAATTATATATTCTTTTACCTTTTGGCTATTCATTGTTTTAAATAAAGTTAAATATTTTTAATATTTTATTTTTATATTTATTAAAAATAAATTTAAGAATATCATATTTTATATAAAATGCCATTCATCAGCTACAGTACTTTTTCATGTTAAAAACAACAGCGAAGATTCATTAACTCTTATTTTTGTTTATGTATGAAAAAAGGATATCTAAATTAATATTTCTTTATTATTTATTGAAATATCAGCAATTTACAATCTATTTAACTAAACATCCACCATTCAGCACTAGAAATCTAATTTTATATGATGCCAAATTTCTTATAAAATTTACTTTGAAATAAATTATATTAATGTAAATTTAAATCTATAACATAACAACTTATCTATATAGCAATAATATTTATCTGAAGAACTTTAATTAATTTAATTTGAAATCAATGCATTCAGAAACAAATAATTCAGAAACAGACATTTTAATACTAAACAAAAACGATGAATCTTTAACTTGTGGGTGTCGAAAATAAGATAAAAAGCCAAATCTTCAACTAAAAAAGAAACCAATTCATAAAAAATAAAAGGCCAAACAATTTACTTTAGAGGAGGATTAATTACTTCTTTTGCAAGTGATTAGGATTGGAAAGAGGTTTGAAGCAATTGCAAGAAATTTTCCGAAAAGATCTAAACATGAATTGAAAAATAGATACTATACTCACTTAAGAGACAGAGAAAATGAAATCTTCGATCCTAAGTATTATTTATCATCATTATTTAGAAGTCTCTTTTATGTTTCCCATGAAGCTCCGAAGAAAAATAAGAATTCTTAAAGCAATTATCACGAATTAAGTGTTTAATTACAGAATGTTGGCATTGAAGAAGAATACAAAGTAATTTTAGAAAATTTCATCGGCCAAGTAAGCGATCTGTTCTCATTTATCAAATCTTTTCCAATATGATTTTTAAATTGATTTATTTAATATCTTCGAGTTTTATTTATGATGAAATAACATCTCACTCTTTCAGTGTGATATCCAAATACAATTTAACAGTTTTATGGTTCTTAACTTCATGTTTGTTAAGTCTTTATGGTCATATTAATATATTACTTGAACAAATAAACCGTATGATTATTAATTATTGAAATTTAATTAAAATATGGTATTTGTATAATAAAATGACAAAAACTCTTTAACTTAATATTATATGCTTTTTTCACCAAATTTCGCAATTTCAGTGCCTAAATATGTCTGAAATATAGAATTAAAAAAAACAAATTTTTTAAAAACCACTTTTCTATAAATGAATAAACATAAATTTAATTTCAAAGATTTGTCTTCTCAAAGTCCTTGCTTACTTCTAACGTATGCCTTCAAACGATTATATGTTCTTAATCAGAAAATCAATTCTCAGAAATCAAGAAATGTAGTTATAATTCAAATAGATGTAAATTTTACTTCACTATTTTTTTTTTTGAATTTCTTTATAAAATTTGGAATAGGTTAGACTCAATGGCTTCCTTTTTTAAATTACTATCATAGTATTTTGATAAAAAAAAAGCATGATAAAATTTTTAATTTATTTATCGTTAATTGTAATATAGTTAATTACAATTTTTGTAGAATAACCTCTTTTAATAGTCAGTTTAAAAAGCTTCTAACCTAATTCGATATTGTCTTAATTTAAAAATATTATTTAGCGTTAATTAATATAGAAATATTTTGATAGGTTAACCCTCAAATTTTTACAGTTTTACAACAGGAGAATTAGCTAATTATCCTAATTAGCCTGAAAAGATAGCTACTTGGTGTTAATATTTTAATTGATTAACATTGATATATTATTTTTGGATGAAACTGACTGACTAATAAACTTGTTTTGGTTAAATTATCAAACAATTAATATTTACTATATAATTATTCTTGAGAATATAAATATATATATATATATAATATACTTTATGAATTAGGAAGGATAGGTTTAGTAAGTTTAAGAATCTTTAATACTAAAAAAACCACAGAGAATCATAAATAGATACAAACATAATTAATTGCTTTATAATTATTTTGTGATTAGGGATTTCAAATCAGCTTAAGAATTAATTGAAAAACTAACTTAAGAACATGGAGATATTCATGAATATGCAAACTAGATATAAGGATATATTTTTAAGATGACTGGGTAGCTTTCCAAATCAACTGAGACATTCAAGAAGTTTTTATCATTTAATGAATAAGATCAAGAAGTCCTAAAAACTATTGCAAAGAACTTACAATTAGGTATTAGTATCTGTAATATGCAGATGGTAGATTCAAGATTAGTTTAGATGTTGCTTAGAAGGCATTAAATTTGAAAAAGAATGATTGGGAAGTATTTTATACTATTGGAAATTGCTATTATGCCTAAAAAGATTTTGATAAAGCACTTATAAATTATAAAAGGGCATTTGAACTCTCAATTAATGAAACAACCTATAATCGATTAGGAAAATTTTACTTGTCCTTGGAAAAGTACGATGAAGCCTTAGCAGTTTATAAGACTGCTCTAAATTCATAACCACAAAATAATGAACTTAAGGCATTGCTTGGTGTATTGCTTTTGAGGATGGGTTAAACTCAAGAAGCCAAGAGGTATTTAGAAAGCGTTACTGCAACCGATACAAAGTGTATATATGCATATATAATTTAGCATTGCTGGGTCTAGGGTCAATAATGCAGGATCAAGAAAGCTATGATGAGGCTCTTGTATATTACAGAAAGCTAATAGCAATACATCCGACATCAGCATAAGTTTGGAATAATATTGCCATGTGTTATTATGGGAAACAGGAAATTCTTCCAGCAATAATTAGTTTGAAAAGGGCAATTTATTATGATCCTTTTGAGTCTACAATCCACTTTAATATGGGTTTAGTACATCTATATGAAAAATAATATATGTCAGCATTTCATTACTTTTAAACTGCAATTACTTTAAATCCAGATGATTCCTAATCATATATGTATTTAGGAATAGCCTTAAATAAATTGAATGATTTCCAGAATGCATGCCGATCATTTGAGAGAGCCTTGGAGCTTGATAAAGAAAAGTATAATGCAGTATTGATTATTGATTAGAGACTATTTGATCTATTTGAACTATTGCATAATTTTGTTGTAGAGAGGAGATGAATCATCATAATATGCTTAACAAATTTTTCGATATTTTTGTGATTAATACAAAGAGCAAGAATAACATTATGATAATCGTTGCAAAAAGGAAGTTGTTTAAGAACTCAAGTCACAAATATATAAATATCTAAAGTCATGATATATTATTATATTATAAATAATCATTTCTTAATAAATTTTAACACTCTCATCTTCCCACTCTCAAACCCTAATAACAATACCAATTGTTGATTCTAAAATTCTCTTTAAAATATCAATTTGCCTGTTAATATTTAATCATCAAATTGTATTCCTTATAAAAGTATTTTATTATTCAAATCTTAAAATTTAACTTTTGTTTCATTATTCTCTAAAACGACAAGCATAAACCCTTCTTCTTCCAAACCATATTAATAGAATTCATGGAAAATGCAATGGCAAGTTTGAGAAAAGCTATATACTAATTTATAATTATTCTCAACAACATTATCATCATAAGTATATACATAAAATCCTCTATTAGTACTAACACACAAGGTATCTTATTCCTAAAAGTTGTGTAAAATTGTTGCTTATTCTATACAATCTCTTACATTTTATAGCTATAACGTCTACTTTTTGACTCCATCTATTAAACCAAAAACATCAATTTTATTTTTATTGCATCTAAATATATGCTGATTGGTCTCACTCATCAATAAATCACCCTCATTTGGAAATGAATATTAATATCTCATTAAAATGCCAAATTATCACATAAAAGCAATTTTATTTACATCCTCCTGATGCAATTAAAAAGTTTTAACATGGACTAATTAGTATTCTATAGAGTGTCATACCTTATTTAGGACATATGAATTGTTTATTTTTAGAATTCATGCTCTTACTTGAAATAGACATAATAGAATTATCACCAAACAGAACCACAAATTCATCTTTCTTATCTGCAACACATACATATTTTAATTTTAAAAAAGGCAAAGGAGCAATTGGTTTAAATTCTAAATAACATTTACTATATTTCCATAATTTAATTTCATTAGGATGCACTGTAATCAAGTTTTCAGCATTTAATGGTAAAATTTATAAGATCTTAGGAGTTTATGTTGGATCATCTTCATTTGTTGCTAAATCAACTTCAACCAGGACAATGTTATGAGTAGAAGAATTTGGTCGAATACTCATTTTACTTTGTGATAACATGCGTTTTGAAAAACGCTTCAAAGCACCAGCTAGTTTATTCATATTTCTTTCCCATAGATCACCTGTCAATCTCAATGCCTTTATTTCTTCTTATTATTATGTTTATAAGGATTAATTTTGTTGTAATTTTTATCTTTCTCTTTCATCTGCTAAAAAGAATTAATCCACAATTTCACTTATCTGCCTTTGTAATTCCTTTCTCTTTCTTCATTGTATTGAAGTGCCATTTATTAATCAACTTCATCTTTAACCAAAAATTCTTAATGATGTTATTTAAATTAATCTAAATTCTGATGTCTCACAAGTTTTAGTAGTCTTATCATTTTATCAAATGCCTCCTTTCTTGAGGTGGAACTCAACTTGATCTTGATCTTCGATTCTGTTGTATCTTCTATAGATCTACACTCTTTTTCAACCTTTTTCAATTATTTGATTATGTATTTCATATATTTCATCCTCTTTTTCCTTTGTTCACTCTTCAATATCGAGATTTCATGAGTTGTAGTTTATTGCACTCCATGTCTACGCTTAATCTTTTCTCTTATGTGATTAATATACCAATCTAAACTATCAGTTTTATGATTTGGATGAACAAAATGTGCACATTCTTAACAGCATAACTTTTATAAAATTCTTCATTCATTTTCATGACATACTACATCTAGCTTACATTCCCTGTTATTTTCATGTGGGAATGGTCTTGGTCTTATGTAATTAATAGACTTTTTTTAACCATAATGCTAATCATCTTCATCCTATTATAATAACCCAGCATTTTAATTATTAATATAATCTTATTCATAAGCTTTTCTCATAATCCTAATCCTAATCTATTTATTTTAATTCGCAGATGTGTAATTATGCTCTTCCTAACAAATTAATTTAATGATTTTTATATTGATATTATAAATTTGCTGTAAATAAAATATTTATATAAATTATAATTCAATCGCAATGAGTGATCATATCATATCTTCTATAATTTCTTTAACTCTTCATCACTATCCAATTCAATTATTTTGTTTTTTTCTGTATACGACAACAATTATTCTATCAACACTTTTATCTAAAACAGAATCTCAATTTTGTCCGATTTTTCAATAGGCTTATTTGATTTCTCTTGACAAATACTGAGTATCATAAGTAAACTGTTATTAGTTTATTTTGACTCCTCAAAAATACTCTTTAACTCAACCAAATATTTTGAACGCTCCTAATACACTAATTCAAGCATTTTCTCAATTATTTCAGCCTCACACTATTCTGTTGGATTTAATACTGAAGTTCTACAAAAGTTGTTTAATTGAGTGAAACTAGTAACACTATAAAGTTCAACAAGTGGTTTTTAAATATATTAAAAGTATTTCCTTAGCACTGTATCAGTTGCATCAAATTTAAGGTTTCCATTTCTTAATTTCATCAAATTTATAATTTATGGGAATCCTGTTTTATCCTTTATCATTTTCAAAATAACTTATTTCAAGACAATAACAATATTGACTTTGAGATTTCTATTTTATTGTCTTCTCTCTGTCATTTGTTATGATGTCTCTAATAATTGATTAAATAGAGTTTTCAATCGATTGATTTAAGGACAATTCTAAATTTTCAACGTTTGAGTCAACAAATTTCTTATTTGCACTTAATTTACTTCTATTCCTTTCATTACAAGAACGGATAATGTTGAATCGATTAAATCTTATTCAGGTATCTCTAAATACTACTTATAATATTGTAATTTGAGTTCTAGAAGTCCTTGTTCTGCTAATGATACATTGTTATAACCCAATTCTTCAGCCACCTTTTTTACTTACACAATTGACAATATGGTTCTTTCTAGATTCTAATCTATTCTCAATTTCATCTGATCTCCAGTCAAATACAAACAATTAATGAAGCAAGGCAAGGGAATCTGCTCTTGATTACAAACAGCAATTAAAATGAAGACTATTCTCTCGTTGTGCTATAACAAATAGATTAATGTTGGAGGCTGATTAATTTGATAGAGTTTAGTTGATATTGAATGCTAAATTTATTAATCGAGCAAATATTTGAGATGCTCCATATTGACTCTGGTTTTAATTCTTTTTACAACTTCGTATATGATATCTTATAAGGTGTACAAGTCGTCAGTATGACTGTCAGTGATATGACTTAGTTCATCAAGATGTGCTTATGAAAATTCAATAGTATACTCATCATTAATTATTTAGATGAAATTCACAAATTTAGGAAAAGACTTGTCATATTTGATGATGGCCAATAATTTGCCTTTTATTTTTTATTCAATGACCATTTGCTCTTTCATAAACTAATCTAATTATTTGAGTATCAATCCAAACTTGATAATGTTCTTTCTGTCAGGAATATTGTCTTCAATCTATTTCACTGATAAAAATTCATTAATGATGGGATCCTGCATAATATCATTCATTTGTTTAAAGATGTGCTTGTAGGTTGAATACATTTAATAATTAAAAATTGATTGGATCAGAGATGTCTAAATATTTTGGTCTTATTTTCTTGTTTTTATTTATATTCAATTAATAAAATATTATTTAAAACATATCTCATTATTTTGATCAAATATATAATAATCATTTCTTTTTAGGTTATGTTTTTTTTAATTTCTTAATTTCCTCGTCTTCCAACTTTAATTTCTACTGTTCATTCAACGATTTATCAAATGCCATATATTTAAATACTTTTCCAGAATGACTAAATGAGGTGCCATTGAATGTAATTTCCACACCAACGTCATGGATTCCTGTCGGCAACTCTAATTCAGGAATTTATACTACTAATTTGCTTTTATTTTTGAATATAGCCTTTTAATAAATAATATTTTGTACCTTTTAATTAACAGCCATGTTGCCGTTGAAAATGAATTAAACTAAAAGAGATTCAGTATTGGCTAGATTTTCTCCATAGACACTCAAATAATGACCAGCCTTCTTGAAGAAGTAATTGATTTCTTATTCTTCAGCCTCCAACTATTTCTAGACTTCATCTTTCTTCTTTTATAAATCAGCTCCTTGTAAATCCTTTAAATGGTCGACCTCCTATTCTTCTTAATGAATTAATAATTTCTTCTATTCTTCTGGTAATTTCTCATCAACAACGAAAGGACCAAGACGCAAGACTTCTGGATCAATGTAATAGAATGTTCCAATGGGTATCCATTCAATACCAGAAAGTGTTAATAAAGCAGTGACTCCATTGGCTTTAACAGCATTAAGCAACTCTGGAGTAGGTTGTTATCCACCTAAGAGCCATGATAAAGGAGGAGCAACAAAGGAATAAAACCTATCTTGCTTATCCCACATGATTTCAATGAGTCTTTCTCCAAATAGAGTTTTAAAGATCACTCTTTTATTGGTTGTATCAAAAAAGCCATCACCTATAATTTTAACAGAAGCTCCTCCTTCAGACATAACATTATCTGGTTGTAATTCCTTTATTTAAATATCATAAAATCTAAAGACCATAGGGTTTCCAGTAAATTATTATCCATTGATACTTACATCGACATTAAAGTTAAGACTGTCTGTTTGTAATTAACTTACATTAGGGATAGTACAAGAGATCTTTCCCTTTTCATAAAAGCCTTCAACACACATCCAGTTTTCTTTATCTAATTCAGGATCATTGATACTGAGATCCAAAGGATTCAATGGTTTGTTAGTGCTTTATTTCATAGCGGATTTATCTTCCTTCTTCTTATTTCTTGGTTGAAATCCAACATTCAAATGTTTCATATAGGAGGCAGTCAGATCATCTATATTGATATTGATAATGAGTGTTGTTCCTCCTTAGATGGATGCACATTTAGGTTAGAGTGAAGAAATAACAATTTTGGATGAATACACTAGAAACTTCTACTCACATTCAACATACACATTACCATCAAGAGTGACCTCGACTACACATTCAACTGGATATTTATCAAGATGTTCTTCAAAATTTGGAGTTGTACATCTGAAACTGTCAGTTAAAGAATCATATTCACATCCAACCTCAGTATATTAATCACCTAATTTGAATCTTGCACTTTATCTGCCAGTATCACAGAATCCTGTACCAATCAAACTAATAATGGTGCCTCCAGTAGAAGGTCCATGATTAGGTTTCATAGAGATTGTTCTTAAAGAAGCAAAGAAGGCTGCAGCTTATCCATTTGCATACATGTTAGTGAATTTGCGATCCTCTAATACTATTTTTCTTGGTAAATCTACTAATTTATCATTTTGATGACCAAGATTACCTCCACCCCAACTCCAAAGACCTCCTTTTTGATCAATAGCATATGTAGTGTAATATCCACACATAACCTTATTAAAACCAGGCAATTAAATTCCACTGATATCTTGCATTAATCTTTTTGGATAATAACTACTCTTCTTATCTTTATCTCCATTTCCCAATTGTCCTCTCTGATTAAACCCCCAAGTATATAATTCCCCTGTAGATGTAACAGCTGCAGAATGTCCATATCCCCCTGAAATAGAAACTACTTAAAAGGAAGTTTCTTAAGGCAAGAATTTACCTACTCTTAACTCACTCTAATTCATTGGCTACTCAGGCGGGAAGTCTATTCTAGATGGCAATTGTTCAGAAACCTTTCTACCTGTTCCCAATTAACCAAATCTAGCCTCTCCCCAACCATACAATGCTCCTTATTAATCTACAGCCAGTGAATGATAGGCTCCACATGCAATCAATTAAATTTTGTTCTTATAAAAGTAACTTAAAAACATAGGAGATGCTGCTGTTTCAACGTCCTTTCTAATTCCTAATTATCCTTCAAACCCTCTTCCCCATGCAAATAAATCTCCATTACTTAATGCTAAAGTATGATACTCGCCACAAGCAATTGTATCAACCTTTGAAATTCGTATAATCTTCTTAGGTATTGGTAACTCTATTATTCCACCATGTCCCAATGCTCCATATTCTCCATAACCATAACTATAAATATCTCCTTAATCACTTAAGAAAACTGTATGCTTTTTCCCAGTCACTATTGTTTTGATTGATCCTTTGAAATCAAATGATTATAAATTATGTGAATCTTGTGAAAATGTTTAATCATACTCGTCATGCTCAGGTGAATGCAATGTTGATATTATCCTACATATAATTACATTCATACCCTTGATTATCTAATCCTTCTTCAATTACAAACAATTTCCTACAACCACCACATAAACTGCTAATTAGTTTTCCCTTAAACAGCTTCAAGTTCTCCAAACCTCCCTGAACATCATCTGTTGTTAAAAACACTTCTCCAAAAGTTGGAAGTTGCATTAAATAAATTAATTAAATGTTAAATGTTAAATGGAAGAGCAACTTGCATCAATCCAATAGCAATTTCAAATGAATACTCTACTCATATCAAATCAATATGATGAGCTAGCGACAAGTACATTACAAAAGAAATTCAATTGCCACATATACTATTACCATCCGCGAATGAAAGAAAAACCTAATAAATCCTATTAGCTCTAAAAATTATTGTTGAACAATCTTAGTTTAACCCTAAATAGATAATAGTCTAATTATGAAGCATAATTCATTAATTTTAATAAAAATGAAGCGATTAATAAAGCTATAGTGATATACTATAAAATTTGAGAGAATGTGAAAATAACTATCTACAAATACTCTTACAATACTACTTAATAATACAAAGGGGGTTAGAAGTCAATTTTATTTTTTTCAATTAAATCTAAATTAATTCAAAATTGAAAGAAGATGAATGACAAATTTTATAAATTAATTACTTTCCACATTTTCCTAATTATAACACAATAGATTAATAAATATTGCATAATCTCTAATAAAATCAAATAGTTTTCAATTATATTTAAATAAATTTAATAAATATGCTTTAAATATATCGATTCAATCATAATTAATTATACAAGGATATTATTTATATGATCTTAACTTGAATATGTTTATTTGTATTCTTACTATTTAAATGCGGCTTGGATGAGTTATATTTTTAAGGGGAGCTTAATTTAAATAAAGTTAGTATTATTATTATTCAACAAAATTTATTTGAGATATAGATAATGAATAAATATGGAAGTCTTTCTTTAAATTATCCATTGAATAATAGGCAAACCAATAGATAAATTATAATCACATGTCATTCTATTCAAAATAAAAGGTTATGGTTAATAAGATTTAGTGAGCTTAGGAAAGCAACTCACTTGTTCATTTTAATAGAATTAAAAATTATCAGAGATAAGTAAATAGGATTTATTGAATTATATTTTTACTTAAATTAAAAAGACTTATAAAAAATTTTGTTTCATACCAAAATAATAAGTATTTAATAAATCGAATATAATTGAATTTCAAATTGGTGACAATTTATATGTAGATCGATAAACAATTAATAAATATGGAGCCAATCTTAGTGAATTTGGAGAAAAAGGGAATAAATTGATTAAATGATATCTTTATGAGAAAGAGTTTATTTTATAACAGTAAAGTAATTAAATAAAATTTATTCATAAATAATAACAATGTCTCGCTACATCAACTTAGTAAAAATTTGCATCATTTTTGAAAGTAAGATAAGACTGTTCCATGCAAGCCCCTTGAGGAGTTTAATATCAAAATATACAGAGAAAAACTAAATGATTTATATGGAAAATCGCCTGTAGCATCTTAACATACTTAACCCTCATCTCCTAAAAAGAATAATAAAATTGTGTATTGAATATAGTGAGTAATAGAAATCCAAGTTTTGATTTATTACAAACTAAATTAAAGGAATTTTCAAATAAAAAAAGTGCTTCGCCATTAAAATCAAAAGTTGATCACGGTTCTCCAACTAGAGCTTCAGGCATTCAATAGTAGTAATCTATTAAGAAAATAATAGAATTTCTAAGATAGGGACCTTTAATTTTACATTGCCATAAAAACAAATGAGACTTGCATCTGTTAATAACAATTAATAGTTCAATGGACCAATAAGTGAGGATAGAAAAATATATCCAGTTCGATTTGAAACTGAGGTCCAAGAAAAATCATCTTTTGCTTAGAAGCCGTAAGGATTTTTTATAGTTTTTCAAGGATTACCAGTATGATACCTCTACACGAAATTATGAACATGAGAAACAAATTAGAAAATGCCCAGTTAAATGTTAATTAAATTAGTTCTGCTTATACAAGTGAAATGGTTAAATTGGCCTCTGTTATCAACTCCTAATTGAAAAAGAAATAAAAATGATTTGTATTTAACTTATTATAATAATATATAATATTATAAATATAGAGTACTTATTAATTTTAAAGTCTTAATCATGAAATTATAATATCAATTATTTACGACTAATTTATTATTAAAGATTTCCTCTATTATATATGTGTTGAGAATAAATGATATTACAATTTAGAGTATGAGAATAACTGTTTTTAAATTATGAATTACAATTAAATATATCTTGTAAGAGAATTTAATAGATATTATTTATTAATAATAAATCATTAAACTACTTTAATTTAATTATTTTCAATTAAGTGATTGATTTTATAAACTGCAAGTAGCCCTAGAAAGCCAAAAGTTTAGAGTAAAATTAAGGATAGAAAAGTATTGTTATCAAAATTGCAAGATATAAATATAAAAGCTAGGACTGCAAATGATAAGGAATAAATAAAGTACATCAGGTCCACTAAATAAATATACTATTATAACAATATGTTATTACTTTAGGAAATCTCAAAGTCAAGACTGAAATAACAGTAGAGGTCATTGATGAATCACAAAATCCTGTTGTGATAGAGAATACTAAGATTAATATTTCATATTTCAAGAAATAAGAAGTCCAAGCTACAAAGCATCCAAATTAGAATACATAAAGTATATAAATTAGAGCACTACAATTTAAATGTAAATTACTTTATCTTATCTTTAGATTCTCCAAGCATTCCTATTCCAAATGAACCAAACAATTCCCCAACACCAACATATAAATACCCTTATAAAACTAAGGCAGCTTAATTTGCTAATTATTTAGTATCTGGTTAAGCAAAAAAAGGGAAGAAATAAATATACAAAAATGATTAAATGCTGGCAATAAAACATAATAAGAAGAGAACCCATGAGAAACCATCCTTGTATAGTTTATCTAACGTAATGTAAAGTTTTGAAAAGTAAGATCGATTTTGATATTCATCTATAGATATAAAATTTGAGCAAAATTAATTGTCTTATGAAGATTCTAAGAGCTCAATTAAGCTTCTTTCTTCAATTGAGAAGCATTATAAGGTCAGGATTGACTTTGTATTGGAGTTTTACAAGAGTTTGGATGTAAATAGATGTAAGTCATTTTGCTATTTTTCAGATTGAGTTGAAATTTTATCACTTTATTCAGTATCATTAAATGTATTGTTTGAATCATCATTATAATCTGAACTCGATGATTTTAGTAATAGTTCTCTGATGTCTTGCTAATTAGTATCTAATTTTGATTGTTTTTGTGATTTCTAATTAAAGAAATGAATTAATGTTTTCTAAAAGCTATAGTATCTTCCATTAGATTTCTCTGGGATAGTAAGATAGATTAAACTTGTTGAGAATTGCATTATTATAATGATTCCAAAGACTTTAGATATGGTATTATTTGCACTCATATTATCATAGGTTATGAAAATCTCCCCTATTAAACTTCCAAGTAGCCATTAAAGAGAATGTCTATTTAAATAGGACCATCGATTACATAAAAAAAAATGAACCATAATATATAACTTTTTCTCTACTTTTTGCTAAATTAGATAGGTAGAATAACATAACAAATAAAAGTAAAGATTACATTAAACCAGCAATTATCGAAACTACAAATGCACAACAATATATGAACAATATGTTGCAACCTGAATTGTTTGAGTCTTTACAAATACTTGCATACAAAGCAGGGGTCAAAAATATTATCGGTCCAAGTGACGCAATTAGGAAAATAAACTTGAATTTCATTCTGCCAATAATATCAGGTATTAAAGGAAGACTCAATGGTCCGACCATTTCAAATAGAAACCATCTATGTTATCTTTAAAAATTGAATTACTGAAAGTTTGCCAAATTTAAGGAACGATAGTTTAAGATTGAAATGCTATCTGAAAATGAATAGATGTATGTGCAAGTTAGAAAAAATTTACCACAAATGTTAAAGGATCCAAAAAGCAAATAAATAAGGCAGACATAAATAACTAACCAAAGAGTATTAGATGACGACTATTCTCTAATCTTCAAATTTTTCTTATAATTTAAAAATTCTGATTTATTCATAATTTAATTAACAATAAATAAATTGTATTAACAATTATTTTCTTAATACTTTTTTTATAATTATTCGATATTAATATTAAAATTTATTTAATTAAACCCTTTTATTTTGGCTATAGAATAATATGATAACAATTTATAATCAAGATGAAATAATAATAAATAGATAATGATCATATAAGATGATAATAAATTTAATTTTGAATTGGTTTTTTAAAGATTATAATAAGAATTAGATTCAAGACTTAATTAAAGTATAGATTAAATTTCAAAGATACAATCACTTTTACTTTTAATTTTAATGTGTATCTGATTCAATTATCTCATCTTCAAATAATCCATTTCGCATTGAGATTTATTAAGTTGAACTATCAAACATTTCTTAACTTAAGGCCAAGCTAAAAGATGGAAAGTATGACTTTTGTAGGGAAGTGATAAATCTATTATCATCATTTTAATGATAACTATTTTCTAGTTCTTGTTTTAGAATTTTAGCTGAAAATGGATAAGGTTAATTTGCATGATCTATGGTTTATTCTACCTCAAATTCATCAATGTCATTTTGATGACTTTTTGTAGTGGCGAACGATCCTCCTATTTATTTCCCTAATTATTATTAAGAAAGTAATTGAATAGCCTCCTCTGATGACAAACGTTTATTTGGATTCACTTCTAAAAGACCAAACAAAATTTGATTAAGGGCATTGCTATAAAAATTATGATAAGTTTTGTTAATATAGCATTTTTTATTCAATTATAGCAAATCTTTGGTTTTTTCAGATTCAAACAGTGGTTGTCTATTCATTCTAAAAGGATTAAAATAATAATACAATCGATAAAGAATGACTCCGATGCCAAACATGTCTACTTTAGAAGTAAATCTAAATTTCTAACCTTGTTTGCTCTCATCATATTAAAATATCTCAGGAGCTATATACCCTGGTGTTCCACAAACAGCAAATGAAACAGATTGAATATTCGAAATTGCCAATCCAAAATCTATTAGTTTTAGGGAACCTATGACATTGGGCTTACAAAAAACAATATTTTCTAATTTGATGTCTCGATGGATATAATTTTCAGAATGAAATGAATTGATACCATTTAAAAGTTACTAGTGTGTTAATATTCAAACTTACCAGCAATATAATCCGTATTGAAATATCTGGAATGAGATCAGTTTATAATTTTTAAAATTTATGTAAAGTTTCACCTTCTAAATATTCAAAAACAAGATAATATGTTTATTCTCCTTCGAAAACATCAATCAACTAAACAATATTTCTATGATTCAGGATAGATCTCAAAATATGTATTTCATTGAATAATCTATTTAGTCTATCAGGTGTTTTTTTCTTTGTTACATATTCTTTGCTTATGCATTTAGCTGCGTATTTTTTTTTTGTTTATATATCTGTTATCAAAAGAACTTTGCATGAGGCTCCTGATCCTATTTATTCATTAGATGCATAGAAACTAGAAATGCTATGAAAAAATATTCGATTATTTAGAATGGCTTTTATTTGTAACAAATCCGAAGGTTACCCATAAAACCATTTCCAAGAATTTTAATATTTGAGACCTAAAGCCTGTAATATCCCTTTATCATTGACTTTCCAGCCTATTTTATTGTGCAAATTTATTTCCAACTCATACTTTGCTGGCCGATCCTATTAAAACATTATTATTAAATTGTACATCTAATCCAATAAATAATTTATCTTCCTAGATCTACAACCTGTATGTCTAATTAAACAGAAAGTGTTTTCGAATGACTTAGCAGCTGTAAATCATCTTAAATTAATTAAAGTAAATAAGAAACTATAAACTATTCTAAATTATAATAAATGCTCTATTTCTCATATCATTTTTATGTTTTTATTAAACATCTGTTTCCATATTATATTATTCTTAAAAGAAAATATTATGATCTTTAAAGTAAGTTAAAGATATCTAATATTTTTATATAAATAAATAACATAAATAAATGATCTGTTAGGTACATCTCTATGATTTTTGTGTATTTTTAGATTCTTATTAATTCTATTTTAGTAATTAAGGGATGACTCAGATGTAGATGTAAATTCTGTGAATGAATAAGAAACTTTAATCGCAAAATACTAAGAATGTATTGGATGATAATTATCAACATTCTATATGATTTAGATTTTAGGAATACTTTGAACTCTGATTGTTAATAGTTAAATATTGTATCTGAAATTAACATTTAATAAATAATACATAATAAAAATTATAATTAGAGAGCAATGGAGGGTTACTTATAGAAATGGGTTAATCCATTTTAACGATGGTAGAAACGATACTTTATACTTAATGATCATATACTTACGTATTGCGATCAACCTGGAGGCAGATCAAAAGGACAAATCCATCTGAAGGTGGCAGGAATCGATGAAAGCAAGGATGATGCTTTAAGAATAATCATAAATACAGGAACAGGTTAGATTTTGTTGAAGGCAGCTACTGTCGAAGAGAAAAATAAGTGGTTGATCGCTTTAAAGAAAAATCAGGAATATTGTTAAAGACATTAAGTGTTTAATTATGGTTAAAGAATTTAAGAACTTTTAACAGATATATGGAGCAATTTTGCATTATTTGATGAATAACTGACCTATCTTCAAGAGAAAGTCACCTTGAGCATGTATAAAGAAATCAGTAACATTATTAATCTAGGACAATACCTAAAAAATGGAATTACCTTATGTTGTACATTGATAGAAGAAGCAAAAATAAAATTATATGGGGAATCAGATACAATATATGAGAGTTTCGATTTTGAGAATGAAATTCCATTAAATACCTAAACATCGAATTACTCAAATAGGTTAGAAGAATAAAAATAAAATTAATTAGAAAATTTCAACTCCAATCAGTTTTTGGAGAGTATTAAACTATTGAATCCAATCAAATATAATAATATTAAATTCAACAGAGTCTATTCTAGAATCAATATAACTAATGAAGCTACGAGGAAATGTTTGCCGTATAAATAGGATCCAGATGAAAAGTTTGCATTCTGGCCATTTTTAAAAGAGTGCATAGGCAAAGACCTAACAAGAATTCCAATGCCATGTATACTTATGAAAGTCTAATTTAGTATTATTTCATCAGCCTCTATCTGCTTTGTAGTTTTTTGCAGCCTCATTTGAATATTATGAAATCTTAAAACAGGCAGCAAGGGCAGAAGATCCATACAAAAGAATGTCATATCTGATAGTTTTTTCCTTGGTTAGATGCATCCTTGGAATAGATTGTCAAAAGAAATTCTTCAATCCTGTTCTGGGGGAAACTTATGAATACTTCACTCCTGAATACAAAGTGATAAGTGAATAAGTGTGTCACCATCCTCCAATCACGGCTGTCCATTGTGAAAGTGAAGATTTCATATTATCAATCACAATGGAAGCCACAGTTGGTTTCTCTGGAACCAGTATCAAGGCTAAATTACCTGGTTTAGTGCATTTCAGAAATAAAAAAACAAATGAACATATGACTTATTCATTCCCCAGTATTGCTGTTAAGAATTTGCTATTTGGCAAAATGTATTTCGAATAAGTAGGCGAAGCTATTTATACTAATCATACAACAGGAGATGTAGCAATTTTAACATTGAAGGAAAGATCTAGTGAAAAAGTATATAATTTATCAATTTCATAGGATGCTCATTAGGTAAAAGCAGCAATTAAAGACAAACATGGAAATGTTAGATGCTAATTAAGTGGGTATTTCCATAAAGAAATTTATGCCAACAATGAATTAATTTGGAAAAGAAATTAGGCTGATCCAGAAAGTAGATGGTATTACTTTTATTCTCATCATATTTTGCAATTAAATCATTTAAATGAAGACATTTTAAGAGTATTATTCTATTATTATTATATAAGAATATACCACAGACTGACAGTAGAATGAGATCAGATATGAGAGCTTTGGAATGTGGATTCAAAGACCTGGGTTAAGAAGAAAAAGTCAGAATTGAAGAAAAGTAAAGGGAAAGAAGGAAAATAATGGAGGAAAAGAAATAATAACATATTCCAAGATTCTTTAAGGAAGAATTTGATCCAATATCTAAGAGAAACTAATGGGTGTATTTATACAATTATGAGAAAGAGAAACATTTAATAGATTTAGATTTATTTTGATTTGATTAATATTTTTAATATTAAACAGGTATTTATTTATATTATTTGAAATTACTCCTTTTAATAATAATTTATTAATCAGAATCTATTGATTTTGATATTTGTTCTTATATACTTCACTTATATTATAATCTAAAAGTAGGGTTAATACATAGACTTTTTAGAATGTCTATAACCACTAAGATATTCTAATTGTTTCCAGTATTCTCAGCATCCTCAAAAGATCTATGTTTTTATCATCTTTTCTTCTATGTTCTAGTGGTTCATTTTGATTATTTGAAAATGAAATTGATCAAATTTTTAATTAAAGACTAAGTCATTTATTATCCTTTAAAAATTTATAAGTTTTCAATCTATTTTATAGATCAACTTCTCTAAAAAGTATTTTTTATGATGATAGATGCAATAAATTTCTTATTCTTAGAGAATAGATTCAAATCAAGCATTTTAATAAATTCGATTACCTAGGTAGGTGTATTAAAAAACACGAATTTGATCATTAGTATACTTAACTAATATAATTAATTAATGCTATTTACAATTGACTACTCCAATATTGAATAAAGCAAAAGGATTGCAATTACTAACACTGCTCAATTCCCTATTTTGGTAAGAATCTTAGACCATAATGTCTATAACTTTATTCCAACTTTCTCATTACTAAAATTAGAGGAATGCAAATATTTTCAGATACTGCATAAATAAAATTAAAAGGATTTTCGGGATATAAAAATTGAAGCAATAGAGTTTGATGAACGCAAACTTGATTCTTTCGTAATTTGATTATATTCTAATTGTAAGTCTGTTCCACCGTTTTGGAACGAAAAAGTGCAAGGTTCCCTAAAGACATAATCTACCTCTCTGCCTGCTCCTTCTAATGTACATAGATCTAATTCCTTCACCTCATTTGAAAGGTTACCATCAATGAATTAGACGTTTCAAGATTAGAAAATACTATAAATTAATAATGATAATTCAATCAAACTCGACAATCAAGTTCTTAAATAGAGTGACAATAATCATGAAAGTGATTATTAATCAAACAAACAAAAATAACATTCTTAATAGTCTTTATAAATTATCAATTCAATCAAGATTGGAGAAGATAATAAAAATCATTAAACCTCAAATCAAAATATTTTCAGAAATTCTACAAATAGCTTTGAATCATATCACCAAATCTAAACTACTCCTGCTTTACAACCGTTGTTTACTATGCAAAATGATTTGAATTAGTTTTTGGATCAAATAGATTCATTCAATAGTCCCAATTACAATTTAACTCCATCTTAATTATAATCTTAAACCCATTCTTAAAAATAAATTAGTGATAATGCATAACAAGACTTGAGTATAAGTGAGACTACTTCAATTTAGAGATTTGAATAGCGAAAAATATCATTCTTATAATAAAGTAAATAGTAATTTAATGAAAAACCTAAATTAAGAGTGTCTTAAACCTTGATTGCTAATCCAAAGTCAGCAGTTGGAAGTCAGAAATGCTTTGACAAAAATAAAGAGATTGAATCCTAAATCTAAAAATAAATTGTAAATATTATTATTAAATTCTTAGGGAGAATTGAAGGTTAGTAAAGAAGCCCTCTAAGCTGAGCTATAATAATTGAAATTTAAAGCTATGTTCCATTCCAAAAACAAGTCATCCACTTATCATTATCATATATACATATGGCATATGCTTTTGACTAGCGTTATATTTCTTATTATAGGAAGTGTTATGAAAAAAATGATTTAACTGTTTTGATATAATAATTCTTAAATAAATACAACTTATATTTGCTTAATAAATATAGAAACAATAGTTTTATATTATCAATCTAGTTTTAAGTACTCCATTAATATCTTATTATATTTAAGTAATAAAAATAAATGATAAACTTATCAATATTAAAAATCCCATAAAATATCTTAATAGTTATGTTTTCTATTAGACTTTAATTAAATATTTTGCTTGTTGAAAATTAATAACAGTTGATTAATATCATTTCATTTAGAATAGCATAATAATCTTTTTCCAGTATGATAGAAAAGAATTCAAGTAAATGTTTTTTATATAAGCAATTATCAATCAATCCTCAAAATCAAAATCAGATATAGAAACTATGAAATTCTAAAAATAAGTTTATTTTAATTGTTTTTTTTAAAGTTATTAATTTAAAAAAGACAAATTTTGAAATTATTATATATTTGAATCAAAATATTAAATATTAATCATCAAAATTAGTCAATTTTAATATTTCTTAAATAATTTCTCCTTCATATTTTCGATGGCCTGACACTTTTTGAGTAAAATTGTGGTTTTTCACATTAGGATACATACTTTCAACTGAATTAAGTCCTAAATTAATATCGATTTGATATTTACCACAAGGATTAATGGCATTATTATACAAAGGAAGCGCATAACCTAATACGCCATCTTATTCACTATAAACATTATGAAAGGTCCCAGAAATACATCTGTAATCCAATTTTGATAATAAATCCTTATCTGCAACTCCTCCCATCATTAATACGTTATGTATTATTTAATATTTTTCTTGCTTTTGCAATTTAATTAATTATTTTAAACAATAATATACAATAACAGTTCCCAAAGAAAAACCAACTAGATTTATGGATTTAGTTCCTAAATAATTTTAATTAAGAAAATAAGCTAAATATTTTCCAACTATTTTTGCTTCTTTATAAGCATCATAAAATTATTTTATAGTTACGCAAGTCACAGCCAAAAAAATCGGCTATATTGCTATTCCAACTACTGTGGTACTAAACATGGCAGCTATTCCAGCATATTTTGCTAGAGAACTAACAGATGATGCAGTCCATCCAAGAACTAATGTTTCAAGGTAAGAATCTTTATTAAATGGCCAAAGTGAAGCAACTTTCTGGTCACTTTATGTTATAAATCCATTAACAAATATAGTTATCACATTAGATCTCAGCTTACCTTCGCTTAGAGATTATAAATAGAACATTTCTGGTTTCGCATATTATTTTAAATCTTATGGTTTCTATTATACGATATTATTCATAAATTAAGAAAACTTATCGTTAAGAATAACATCAATTTTCTGTTACTTATCATTATTTTGATATAAAGAGGAAAAATAGTAAGCCTAATTTTAGGATTTAAAATTAGCTAAAGCTTGTGGATTCTTACGAAAAAGTTCAAATTACTGTTATTTATTTTAAATCTTAAGAACTACAATATTTGTTGATTTTTCATTTAACTATTACACTATTTAGTAATGAATTTTTCCCAGAACCTTATCAGCCAGCTTTAAGATACAACAATTAGTGAATTCCCATTTCCCATCGTTGATTTCTTAACAAAATTTCAATAAAAAAGCATGGCTTGATGGTTAATATTTTTCAATATCCAATGATTAATTGTTATATTTAAAACCTGATAATAAAAGGAAGAGTTCAATAATTAATTCCATCGTTTGTTTTGCTGAGAAATTTTCGAAAAAATACTTGTCTTTTTAATTAAATATCTAATTAATGTCATCTTAATTTAATTAAAGATACTAAATACTAGATAACTCTATAATGAATTTTTAAAAACCTAATTGAACATCTTAAAATTTCGATTTATTCAATTTGTATGCAAATTAAATAAGTTATACTACATAATTTTTATTCAACATCTAAAACTTTTAATTAATTAAAAAAGTTTCAACATAATATTTAACAATTGGTTTGTAATATTTTTTTTGGGTAATTGCTTTTTATATTTCAATTGTTTAATAAATCAATTTTTTCTTCAATTATTCTTCAAATTTAATCAAAACCCAATTCATACTTTTTGGTTAAAGTTAGTAAATATTTTATATAAATTTCGCATAAGTTTCTTAATATTCTTCATTTAATAAAATAATATTCTTCTTTTTTGACAAAGTTATATCAATTTTTTGATATTTTTATTTTAAAGGTGATAGAAGTTATTAATACATTGAGTATTAATTTTTTTTTGCTATTTTTCTTAATTTTTTAGCAATAACAATTTCAATTCTTTATTTGTACATAAGGTAATTATGCTTTGATTTATTTTTGAATTGGAACTCTATATCATTACATGTATCAATATACACAGAACCAAATTTATAAGCAAATGCTTACTAATTATTTAAAGAATTTAGATCTTGAACTTTAAGTTCAATGATTTTTTAAACAACATATTAGGCTAAGAAGTTTATTTCATCTTCATTATTTACTATAGCTGATTCCTAATATATGAATAATTTTTACTATGTTTTTTCCAAAAAGAAATTCTTATAATTAAATCATTTCTAATAGAAATTGTTTTAAAATTATATTAAATGCAATTAAAAAATTAATATGCATCATAATATTCGTTTTAAATAAGAAAGTATAAGTTTTGCGTAATTCAAGATTTATTTTATTCTATTATTGTTTGTATAATAATTACTTCTAAGATAATAGATATTTTATTTTTTGTATTCAAAATTACATGTTCCTAATGAGTAGTCTTTTCAAATTTATTCGTACCTTACTTTTGTTTATCCTAAATTTCTGAATTGAATTTATTTTTCTTCTATTTGTCAATACTATTTGGCTGAAACGTATAATTATATATAGATTAAGAAGTATTAATCCATCAAGGCTGTAGAGTTTATAAAGTTCATAATTTTTGATTATTCTTGTTTAGATCCTTCAAATTGTGATGAAAGTCTTGCTCTTAATCAGAATAAATATTTATTTTATGTTATAATTTATATAATCAGGCAAAATAATTTTAAAGATGTTTTTTCAGTATATAAATAATAATACTGATTATTTTTCAGCTAATCAAACAGCACTTTTAATTTTCATTATCGTATTTATTAAAGTTATGCTCTTTCCAACAATCTACCAATATTATTTAATGTATTTTTTTTTCTTTGATAATTTCATCAATGAAAGTAACCTAGTGCATTTTATATCCCTTCAATATAGGATGACCTTTTTTATCAATTCTTACTCCTTCACTCAATTTCTTAGAACTCAACCTTGTTCTTGATACTTAAGGCACTTCCATTTTTCAATAATTTTAAATTAATCATATTTAAGATTATTTCAATGTAAGTCACTTCGTATCCTGCAGTATATTTGAATTTTAAGTTTACTGTTTTAAATGGAAGTTCTAAATATGAATTGCTTGGCTCTTTGGTTTTAATTATTTTTTTTCTAATTTAGTTAATCACAAATTGATTCAACCTTAGTAATAAAATAAGATTTAAAATAGACAATTAAATAAAAACATAGTATGGATATAATATTTCTGCTGATGCTTTGAAATATTATATCCATGCTTGATTTGATATGTTTAAAGTTATTTGGGTTAATAATTTTTAATTTTTTAATTTGTTATTAAGTTTATTTTTATATAATTATAATTAACTGAAGAATTGCGAATATATTGATAATCAAATAAGAGTTCAACCTATCTTGCTAATAACGAAGATTGGGTTATAATAAATATCTTAATTTTTATGAAAAAAATATTTCAACACATTACTTCTCCTAATATTTTGAATGAATTATAAAAAGAATATATTTTATGCAATATGATTTTTTATATACTTATTATTAAATTAAATAAAGATTATTACTAGTAATCTAAATGTATAATTTAAAGATCTCTGTATTTCCTATTCTTAGATAATTGAATTGATTGAACTTGATCTTAAAATTTTATAATATAATTTAATAATTATATATAAATATATATAATTGTTCAATGCTTAAGGATGAAAAAGGTTGGGAGATTGATGAATCTCAATACCTTGATAATTTGATTAGTGGAAATCTTGAAAAGACATAGGAGAAAAGAAAATTCGTTATTACTAGCCATAGAGTTAGGACATTGTCATAACCAAAAATAGTCCCTTCTAGTATTTAGTCATGTAGAAAGCATATGATATCCAGATCATAAATTCAAACTGCGAAATAGAACTTGTAATTTAATTTTGTAATTTTGGATTAAATACTTTAAAGGAAAAGATCAAATCATCTTTCTCATTTATCATAATTATCCTTCTCTCCAACTAAACAAAGTCTTTAGTTTTCATCATAAAATTCATTTACAAAAAATAATTCAAAGTGTAATATAGTAAATATGAGCAATTTGCTGTTGAATTCTCCGAAAACAATATAGAGATCTCAAATATAATTAAGTCAAGTACTTGGTAGAGTTTATAAATGATAATTATAATATTTTGATATGAGAAAATGACTAAATAAGAGAAATATTTAATGATTGAATTGAACACATAGGAAAATATAAGGATTTTAATTTTATATTTATATTATATGAAAACTTCAATTCCTGTATTATCAAAGAAGCCAATAAATCTTATGAAACTGAATTGTTAGAAGATAATGAGCCAAATAAATCAAGAATACGTACCTACACAAACCAATTTTCATAGTCCAATCAAACCTAAAAAGAAGAGAAATTAACATTTCACATTTGCGTTATCTACAATTGAACAATATTAAACAATTAACTACAACGATGAACCGAAACTACCGGAAATACGGAGACAGAGAAACGATTCTTTTAATTAATCATTTAAGTTACATGTAGACATAAAGAAATCGGAAGACAGTTAAATTCTTTCACTGGAGAAATGGTAAGGTCCAAAAAAGAGAAGCTAATCACCAGCCAGAAGATCGACAAAAATATTACCTCCTATGAATGTTAATTATAAATAAAGAAATAGCCAAAGTCTTATGGTTTTGAGAGGTCAATAATTGGAGGAAATGAAAAAATTGTAACGACTAATCAAAGATGTTCTGACAAAATAAGACCATTAAATGAATCATCATTTCGATTCATTATAGCAAGAACTTTCGGAATGAATGGATGGTATTTTAATTGCTTTCTCTTTTTAACAAAAATTAAATTATATTTAATAATACAGTATTATTTTTGGCAAGTTCTTAATTTAAGATAAATATGAAATGCTATTTCCATTCAATAGTCTATTCACTAAGCCATCAAATGAGGAGAAGATTGGAAGCGTCCATCGTCTTGTTAAATGAGAATTCAGACTGATCGAATTGTATATGGAATTATTTGGATCATCAATCTATATTAAAGAAGGTATTATAGATAAACGTTTATGTGTGGTTCAATATATTTAATTAAAACCAAAAATAATAATTTTTCTCTGTTATTTGAGTATATATATATTTTTACATGTTTTGCTATCATTAAATATTAAATGTAAGATAGTGAAGCTAATAAATAATCCTAAAATCAAGAGAAGGCTAAACTATATAAATGGAGATGGGTTGTCTTGATTTTATTCACCTTGGCTGTGTTTATGAATAGCATACCAGGTGAAATTTATGTTCCTGCTTCAAGTGAGACTTAGCTAATTTATTCTGAAAGTGAAACCATGATTACCTTGGCTTAAACTAGTTATGTAATTATGCATCCGATTTTATCAATCCCTTGTTCTTAGTGTAATGAATACAAACATAAAAAATAGTCATTGTGAAGTATGGATGGGCAAAGGCAACAAACATAGGTGTGGCATTGACAATAGGAGGCAGTTTAATTAAATTGCTTGTTAATCAAACGGGGTAATTATTTTATAGATTCATATAGATTTTATATCATAGTGGTTGGCTAAGCATTAATTGGAGCTGGAAAGCCTTTTATTTTGAATGCTCAGGCTTCAATGGCATAAAACTGGTTTTATCCAGAATCAAGAACCTCAATTATTATAGCTTTAAATGTTCTTAATTTGATATCTAATGTCGTAACATTAATGATACCAGGAAAATGGATTTTTAGAACCTATGACTTTGAGGACACCACCGAATCCATTGAAGAGGGAAAGGATTTGATGAATAAATTAAATATGGTTTGCTTGTATATGGCATTGACGTTGATCCCTTGCTTTTTCTTCTTGAGGAGTGCAGCTCCCACAGCCCCATCTGCACTAGTATAGAAAGAGGAGAAGCAAGGCAACATTAAGAAAACTATTATTAAGATATTGTCCAACCACAATTTTCAGTGTTGTTTACTGGCATATTCCGTTTATTTAGGATTAGTCAAATGCTTAGTCTTGATCCTACCTTACCTCATCAGACCTGCTGGTTATGGCAAAGGGGAAGTATCCATAGCTGGATCAATAGCCATGGCTTCTGCGGCCGTTAGTTAATCTACATTGGCTGCTTTTATATAGAAATTTAAAAATGTAAAAACCTAACTCATTAAAGTCCTGATGGCAATATCGACAGGCTCTTTGGGATTATTCTACTTTTCTTTAGTAAATGGCAATTTGTTTTTCATCTACTTAGCTATTGGACTTGTGGGATTCTTCATCATGCCAATAGCACCTGTTTTGATGGATATCAGTTGTGATGTCATCTTCCCCATCAGTCCAAGCTTTGCTATTGGGATAATGTATATAGGATCTTAATTATTGTTGGTTATCTTCACTCAAGGGGAGGCTGTTTTGGTTGGTGGTGCCAATAGCACTATGGCTAGAGTGACAATCACTTTGGTTTTGGACATGGGTTTATAATTGCTTGGTTTATTTTTGTTCTCATTCATTAGAATTAGCAGAGGAGCAGTCACTCAATCTACTGTAAATATTGTATATGAATAATAGCATGATGTCGCTCCTACTGATACCTAAGAATCTTTGGTTCAGGGAAGATCTTTATTTGAGAAGGGATAAGCATTCTCTTCATCCTATGCTGGCAGTTCCTTTTTCAATGTTTAATCAGCTATTGCCTTTATTGGAACTACTCCAACAGCACCTTATACTGATTATAAGAAAGGCTCAAAATTTAATGTATTCACCTCAGAGATAGGATAATGGTAGAACAATGAAGACCAACAACAAGAATAGGGTCAATAGTAATGAATTTAAATAACAAAGTTTTCACAATTATTTTCTTTATATTTTTCCATAAGTTTTAGTATAGTCTTTTAGAATTAGAATTAGGAACAAAGTATTGTTGACATCATTACATAGAAAATCTATCTTTAATTTTATATATTAAATAAATATTATAGAATAGTCTAAATCAATATTCACATTAAAATATATATTGAATTGTGTTATTATTTTTTTAAGAAAATCAGCTCTATTTCATATGGATTAAACTTCCCAATTAAAATAAGGAACGTTGATTTAATTAAGACATGTGACTACGAAATAATATTTAAAGGGAACCATTCATTTTGTTGTAATTAAAGGCTTTTTAAGGAGTAAAGAGCTTTAAGATTACTATTTGGGAACCACTCCGAAAGAGGATGACTTCTATACTTACTTCATTATTGAAAAATACCTGCCCACTGATAATAATTTAGAACTAGGGAGTATTGTATCGATACAAAACTATGGATAACAATAATATGTGAATCTAAACCCATCTAAATAATCAGAAGTTACCTAACAGGGTTATGTATGTCTCAGTTAAGATAAACACTATTTTGTTATCCAACCTAAGAATAATATATTAACTAATAATAGCGACTCTATTGACACTTCTATAGCTTAAAAATAAGTTAGATTTACATCTATTGATAATGGATATAGTTTGCATTCTCATATAGTTCCTTATAAATCCTAAAATCTATCGCAATATAATGAAGTTTCAGGAGTTAAGGATTGTGATAACAATACTTTATGGGAAATCCTTCCTGTTCAAGAGAACTTAATCAAGAACTTTATTCACAAGGTTCAAACTTATGAATAAATTAAAATATACAACGGAGACATCATAATAATTAGGAATCTTTTGACAGGATGGACCCTACATTCTCATACAACATGCTATAAATCAACGAAATTATAAGAAATCTCTCTCTTCAGTTATCCAAGAGATTGTACTATATTTAATATTAAATAATAGACAATGACTTTTGGATTATTACAAAATCCAACCTAAAAGAAAGAGATGATGGAATATTTAGAAAAAACGATGAAATTGTGCTTCGACATAATTAAACTCAAAAGTTTCTTTCATGCTCAAATAGATAATCATACAGCCAATCAGGATATTAAGTTTATGGGTCTGAGTGCAGCACAAATATAGGATTTCTATTTGAAAGTATAAAATAATATTATTTAATTTAGAATTCGATAATCAACCTCTGCAAGTCAATCACCCATTCTTAATCAAACATAGTACGAAAAACCTTTACTTATCCTAATCGAATTTTCAGACAGAAAGCAAAATAGGAATTTAAAAAGAGGCTGTCTTTGTGTAAAAAGTCACTGACTTATGTTTATGGGTAGTAGAATTAAGAAAACCATGAGTTTTTAGTTTCAATTTCTTAAATAAGAAGATTTTATAATTTTATTGTTTATGTAATGATTATTCATTTATTTCTTCTCAATGCTTTCCTGTTAGCTAAGCTATTAGTTTTACTAATTCCAAAAATAGTATTATTATGTCGATATACAAAATGAGGGCCCCAATAATGTAGTCATCCTTTTGTAAAGAGTGTCTCTGTAAAATAATCTATAAAATTAATACCTTGGAACCAACTATTAATTGGGTGTCAACAATAATGTAAATGGAGTACAAGAATATCGCAAAAATTGAATATATGATTGACAACAAGCGGCTTGGATATATCAGAGAGAAAATAAAAAGCATTATTAAACATATAGCTAAAGACCAAAGGAGTCCTGTGCAAATTGTAAAATCCTCTTTTGTTGTGCATGCATACAGTGTTAATCCCATTGTCATTAGGACTGTCATAGATAAGGCAATAACTATTATCTCGACTAATGTAATTATTCATCTAATACTTCCATTTGAATTTTCAGTGGCAGTTGAGCAGCAAATGAAGGCGACTACATATGCTTCACAGAAGGTGAAAAGACTCAATAAAATATAGTTTTTTGGTGCTTTTCTTGCATTGGCCTTGCAACAAAGGAGAACACACATCAAAACTATAGCAGTTATGGCAGCAAGGACAAAAAGAATTATTTATTGTACTACAAAATTCTTCACGGGTTCTTATGTTATACACCATATAGTTAGCAATGCTGTAAATAGTAATTGTAAGGATAAGATAGAATACACCTAAATTCATAAGTCTAAAAACGTACTTTTCTAATGAATCCTAATCTACTGGTCAAAGAAGAATCTACTACATCTGCTTCTTTTATATGTAAGCTACTATCGACGATTGGGTGTTTTTCTTCGTCCCTTGTTTACATTGAATTGAAGAGTTTAATAATAAATATTGAGTATTAAAGTCTAATTCAATACATATAATATGATATTTAATTTCTATCAAAAATCTCTATGATTGGTGCCCAAGTTTCTCTTATATTCCTTATTTTGATTTTGCTACATTTTCATGAACATCTAGCCCTCAAAATCTAAATGAGTAACATTTAAAATTATTATATATATAAGTCAATTATTTATGATGTAGCTATTTTGATACTAAATTGGGATACAGAATTTTAAATGCATTTGATGTTTAAATGATGACAAAATTACTGTAATTTCGATTAACTTATTCTTTAATCTTGTTTGATAGATAAAACAATCATAGAAAAAATAAATATTCTAATTAATATTTGCCCGAATTTCATAATTATTAATAATCAAATCAAATGAATGATGGAGACAATAGCAAGATGTTTTCCAAAAAATTAAATCCTGGAACAGTTATTGCAGGCAAATATAAATTGTTGGAGAAAATTGGTGCAGGATCTTTTGGAATGGTCTTTAAAACTTAAAACCTCAAAAATGGGGAATTGATAGCAACTAAATTTGAGAAGAGGGACGAAAGTCAAAAAGGTGTAAGTTTGCTAATTAGAGAAATCAAAGTTTTATAAGATGTAAAAGGTTTGAAAGGTATTATTTTATTAAATTTAAAGGTTTTCCATAATTAAAATTCTATGGTCGAGATGACCATTACAACTTCTTTATGGAATCTTATTTAGGAATGAATCTAGAGTAACTAATGAGAAAATGCAATGGAAAGTTTAGCTAAAATACTGTATTGAAGATTGGTCTATAATTGTTAGATAGGGTTTAAGGTATTAAAATTTAAAAATAGTAGCATTTCATGAAAAAAACCTAATTCATAGAGACATCAAACCAGAAAATTTTACGATTGGTCGGCAAGATAGTACTCAAATTTTCGTTATTGATTTCGGATTATCTAAGTATTATCGAGACAGCAATGGGAAGCATATTCCCTTTACGAGTAACAAAGGATTGATTGGTACAGCTAGATATGCTAGTGTGAATGCATTAATAGGTTATATATACAATAGATATAGCTATTAGGAAATGAGTAATCCAGAAGAGATGATATCGAATCATTAGCTTATGTACTCATTTATTTCTATTTGGGGGAGTTGCCTTGGTAAAATATTTAAGTAGTTAACAAAGAAGATAAATATAAGAAAATACTACAAATGAAATAAAACAATTCTTTGGATAAATTAAATGACTTATTACCTAAAGTATTAATCAATAATTTATTAAGTCCCTAGTAAAGTTGCTGAAAGTATCAATGTCATACGAATTTCAACAGACTCCAGATTATGCTGGTTTGAAGAAGCTCCTTTAAGATGATTTAAATATAGATTCTAAATTTGATTGGGAGAAAATACAAGGTCTTTTTTCGGAGAAGAACAATATGAGTGTCTCAATTGATGTCTAGTCAAATACAAATTAATTTGATGATTTAATTGATATATATCCTGGTTTGTAAAATTCGATGTGTAAAGTGACACAATAAGAAACTAAATTTATAAATGGTAGATTAGATAATAGTCGGAGAAATATCATATATTTGGAAGTTCCCAAAAGAAACTCTACAATTCTTGAAGGAGCTTCTAGTCCTGGAGGAACTATAGTTTCCTTTAACACCTCTAAAATGAATCATTATGAGGGATCAAATAGAAATCTCGCCTCTTATAAATAATTTATTGATGTTTAAGTCTAGTCTTTAGAGAATGACTGTGACGATGATTATACACCAAATCAAGATGATTCACCTTGTCTATATGTTAGAAACTTTGTAGTAGGCTCTAAATATAAGGATCATCATTGAATTTTGTTTATTGATTTCCCAATATTTTTATTTATTCATTATTTATTAATAACCATGGATAAGGATCTATTCATATAGAAGTATGGATAAAAAAATTCAATTCAATAAATATTTCTGAGGAAAGCCTATCACAATTTTTTCATGCTCAGATCTAGTGTAAAAAAGGACTTAAAAAAAGTGAATAGGAGTGTGGATCCATCTAAATTTTTATCCACAAAAATCAAAACAGACTAAAGTAAAAGTTCATTTGTTGAAGTGTCAAACATCACAAACAAAGATAACATGTATAGACATTATAACTAATGTTAGATCATAGATGACAGAGTTTCATTATAATAATCTAAGAAACAAATGGTTGATGGATGAGAAATAGAATGAAGCATTCATATAGATTTTGTAAAAAAAGCGGAAACAATTAGAATTGGAAGAGAAATAAAGATAACTGGAAGTCTCTAAAATTTAATAAGCAATTTTATTGAGAGAGAATTTGGAAACTGATAGAAAGAGACAGTTTTATAAGGAAGCTGAATTGTTTCGAAACCAGTAAAGTGAAAGAAGACATTTAGAATAAGAAAAACTAAAATCTAAAGAATAAGAATATTTATTTTTGGCAAAAAGAATGGCAGAAAATGAAGAACTTGCTAAGTTAGAACAGCAAATTGTGCACAGACAGAAATGTAAAATGCAATTTTAAATGCTGGAATAACAAAGGAGAACAAATTCATTTCTACTATCTTGATTTTGATTAAAGTCTATTTTTGATATTTATGTTGCTCTACTTATAATTATAACTTATTAATCTAAGATTTCAATAGTTTGATTATGTTTGATTTAAGTTTGTAGTTAGATATTGTAAATTGAGTTCTATCATTTTGGAAATGCACTGAATATTCTTCTGGTTGGAAGGATGGGTTTCATAGGAATTAGCTTCTCACCTGAATCAAAAGCCAACGAGTTCTTTTTGGGTGTTAATGCATTGTCTTTTGGACTATGAGGTACTAATTATATCAAGTTCAGCTTATTCGGTTAAGATGAAAATGGCCTCCAAACCTTCTCTTTGACTGATGGAGGACGAGGAAATGGCTCTGTATCAAAGGGTGTAGCACTAATTAAACGAGAATGACTGTATGTAGGCAGCCATGCACTTTGAATTCTTTCCAAACCTTATTTTTGTGATTTAGGTAAGAGGAAGTCACTTTTCTAAAAATATTATCCAACTCCTTTGCCTGGTTAAAATGAATAAGGATGTTTAGCTAGACCATCAGTCTATCCAAATAATAGTAAATTGCATTATTTACAATTTTTTTTTTGTCTTATTTAATTTCTGCTATTTTTTATTTCTTTAGTGAAATCATTTCTTGTTTTTTGAATAACTTCCTCTCTTCAGCTTATTTTTATAGGATTTCAAATAATTCATTTTATTTTTCCTGCATAATTATGATAAATATTTTAATTATGTTTGTAATTAAAATTTATTTATTTATATTTTTCGGTTTTTAGTCTTTATTATAATATCTATTAATTTCATATCGTTTAGCAATTTTTAACAGTTGATAATTTAACTGGCTTCGTTTATTACTATGATCATTAGTTATTCTGAAAAATGAAGAGATGATTATTACTATCTTTTTCAAATTTTAATTTGGATTATATACTAAATTTCATTATTTTATATAAATGAAACATATCAAAAAAGTTGATTTAATCAAAAACTCAAGCAAAAATAAGAAATTTCATGACATTTATGAATTAAATAAGAATGATGTATGATGATCTTATCAATGTAGAAACTTGGTTAAGGGTCTTATGGAATGGTTTTTAAGGCAATTCATCGAGCTACTGGGTTAGCAAGAGCTGTGAAGATCATCCATAAAGCAAGTGTAAAATAGAAAGAGAGACTGACCAATGAACTGAGAACAGTTGAATTATTAGTAATTATTCAAAATTAGATTTACCAAGGATCACCCACATGTGATTAGAGTCTTTGAAACATATGAGGATAATGACTATATTTATGTAATAATGGAGTATAAAAATAACAATTAAAATTAGAATATGTAAAGGTGGTGATATTTTTGACAAGGTCTTAGAATACGGAAATTTCGATGAATAAGGAGCATTAATAATATTCATATAAATTATTAGATCAGTGGTCTACTATTAATCATTAAATATTGTGCATAGAGACTTAAAACCAGAAAACTTTCTATTTCAAACGAATAATGATCTCAATACACTTTATATAATTGATTTTGGTTTGGCTCGAATATTCGAACCTGGAATCTTGCATTAATGGACAAAGGCCGGAACTGTATAAATAACTTACATATAATTTCAAGGCATATTATGTGGCCCCAGAAGTGTTAGCGGGTACATATGATAATAGGTGCGATTTATGGTCAATTGGTGTTATATTATATGTCTTATTATGTGGATATCCTCCATTTTATGGTGAGACAGAATAGGAGATCTTGTATTCTATCTAAAAGGGGAAATTTGATTTTGATGGTCCAGAATGGAAGAATGTATCACTTTAAGTCAAGGAATTGATTAGCTAATTGTTGAAACCCTATAAATAGCGATTAAATTTACAATAGACATTATAGCATGAATGGCTCTAAAAATATGTGCAAAAGGGTGAAGTCACTCTAACATAAACACACATTGAAAGATGGCAAGCATATCATTAAATTAAATAAATTGGGTTACTCTATCTAGCTACATAATTGGAATAGAGTGAGATAATTAATATCAAAAATGGATTTTTATTTATGAATAAATCATAATCAGGAGTATTAACAAAAGCTGAGATTGAGTAATTAATCAAATATAAATATTAAGATCTGGAATACTATTGTAAAATATTTAATCATAAAATTAGAATTCATAGCAATTTGCTTAGAGCCAAATGTATATAAAATAGAAAAATATTTAATATTAATGTTTCAATTTCTATCATCGAATGGTCGAATAACTAAAGAAAGCTTAAAAGCTATTGATATTAATCTTGAATGTAATTTAGATTATAAGCAATTCATCAATCTATTTTGATTATCATATTTAATTTGTAATTTTTATTTGCATAAAATATATTATTTTTTCTATGATTTCTTAATTTACTAAACCTAAAAGAAAAATGGAGCATCCTGATTATGCACCATACCCATTAAGGAGACCAGGCCCAGGTTAGGATGACAGAAAGAGTGATATCCCATTAGATTATAATTTAAAGGAATTTAACTTTGCAAGCAAAACTTTAACCAAAAAAATTGTTTGGAGCGATTTAAGGGCAATAGCATTAAGTGATTCTTTAGACAAAGGAGCCATATTTGTGGAAACTAATGAAGGATCTGTAGTTGTAAAAGGGTACCCGAATATTGCTTAAGGATACTTCTTTTCATAATTAGCAATTGTGTTAGGAATCCCAGTTCCAAATAAGAGAATTGTTAGATGGGACTCAAGTGAATTCAAAGTTCTGACTAAGGAATTATAAAGAGCAACATTTATGCTAAAATAATTGCATTAAAAAATAACAAATCGACTTGAGAATCCTTATTTAGAGATCTAAGAGTATTTGCCTGGAATCACACTATCATATATGGGAAAGGCAAGGGCTGGAAAAATATTTAACTTTTATGACCCACAAAGCAGACATCGATTAATTAAAGTTGGATTTCTTATGGGTTTAGATATTTTCATCAATAATCCAAGTAGATTCCCATTAGAGATCTGGAAAAATAGTGGAAACTCAGAACATATGATTGTCAGAACAGAACCTAGATACACTGATACAACAAAGGATTTGCATGATATTGATAATCTATCTTTTGATTATGAATATATTTATGGGTTGGATAGTTACTCATTTGAGAGACCACCCAGTTACTATACGAATGTTGAAGAGTTTTTAAATAAAGTATTTTTAGAGATGAAATCAATCATGCAAGCCTAATTGGATCCTCTTTATGAGACAAAAGATTAGAAGTATTTAAATAAATTTATTGTTTTTTCTCTTTAGAATTGAATGTTTAAATGAATTCAAATAACTTGTTTACGATCATACACTATACGAAATTAAGGAGATGTCTTTGCTCTAAGTCCTCCTCGGCATAGTGCTAACTATTGATAACATAGTTTACATGGGACCTGTACGTTTGAGAACTCTCTGGGAGTCAGTGACAGTTGAAACCGACTGGAATAATGCTTGGATGAAGAATCTCTAAGGAATCAATATGGATTTTTTGGAATCTATGATTTCTATCTTCTAAAAGTTTTGTACAATCTATGAGGATGTGGTCAAATATAGCAAAGATATTACGCTAAATCAATACTCATTTGATGAATAAAAATATCTTGAAATCATAATGATGAATCCAAAAATAAAGGAAAGGATTGAAAAAGAGAGAGAAAATGATCTGATGAACTCTTAAAAACTAGATAAATCTGAGGTTGTAGATGAAGATGAAGGTGAAGTTCTAGAGCGTAATTTAAATGATGTAGAATTGGATAGAAAAATTGAGGAGATGTTTATGATTGATCCTAAAGATATTCCTAAGGGAGAGAACAAAAATCAAAAATAAAAGAAGCCATTAACTCCAGAGGAATATCAATAATAAGAATTAGAAAAGAAAAAATATGGGGGTATTTTAGCCAAAAAATTATATGAAAATGAATGATTTCTTTATGAATAAATATTATGCTCAATCTGAAAAGTCAACCTGCGATTCTAATCTACTTCTGATCCAGTCTTCCCATTCATTAAATGGTTTCCCTGATGCCTTACATTCCTAATAGTAATTTTAAGTATCGATATAGACTATGTCATCAAAATAATCTGAATTCAATTTTACACATTAGCATAACTATAAATATTTGTTAATCTTACCAAATCAAAGAACTCTCTATATGGATCTCTCTTATTTGTAGGTTTTCCCCCTCCTATTCCTGTTTAGATCATGCTTTGTCTAAGTCCTCTATCAATTTGAGTTGTAATCTTAATTTAATCCTATTTCATATTTAAGAAGTAAGCTTCATTTGCCTAATAAATTTCTTTATACATTTAATGGGGAGCACTAATCAACTTTGATTAATTTTGTTATTATTGTACTCCTTGTTAATTTTATTATTATTAAGATTATTAAGCTTATTATTATTATTGAGTTTATTGAGCTATTTAAGTTTATTGCAGTTGCGAAGCTTGCTAATTAGATCCTTCTTAAGTCTACTAATTTCCACCGTTTGCTCCTATAGATAAAAGAGGTAATTTGAATTGTTTTTTTGCTTAAGGAGCTTTCACTTTTTCTTCATAAAAATAGGTTTCGTAATCATCATCTACAATAGAGCCTATGTCAATTTCATTTCTAATTGTAATTGGTTGTGGTTCCTATTATTATAATTTCCATTAAGAATCTTCTTATTTTTGAAGGTCGAGTTTAGTAACTTAGAGCTATGGCAATTAGATTCTAGGGGATGTTAAATTAATTTAACTTTATTTAAATTTATCTTGCAATTTAGCTGCTCTTAATTCTTAAGATTCTTAAACTGCTTTTGAAATTACATTCCTTGGAGTGACATTAGCTTAACCTCTTGGAGTCACCAATTATCTAGGAGTGGCTAATTTTTAAAGCTTTTCTTCTAATTTTTGTATATCATATTATTGATTTTGATTTTAAACAAATTCAGGAGGAATAACAGTATTTTTTTTTGAATGCATAGCTGATTATTCTAAATTTTCAGGTGCTTCTTTTATCTCTTCGATTTCATTGAACTGAGATGGATGGGGTTATCTATACGATAATTCAGGCAAATCACATTTAAGATTGCTATTGATTGCATTACTAACCATTGAATTGTTGTTATTAAATGAAGCAGTCTATTAATTTTATTATTAGAATGTTGATGTTGAAATAGAGTTTCTTTATATCATTGAGCCATGAATATCACCATCAAATTTATATCCAGAAGCATTTTATAAATCATATATTTATTTGTTAAGTTAACCAATCTTCAGGTCAGCAATCTAAGATTTCTATTCATAGTCCATTATAATCTGATTTAACTTAGATATTTCTTATTCTGAAGCTTTAACTTTGGAGTCGTTCTTAATCTTTTCCATTCTTAGAACTGCTAATTCATTCAAGGCATCCTCTAATTCTGTCATTTACTTGTCGTATAGACTTTTATAATAATCAATTTTTTCTTTTTGCTTAATATTCTCTGCCTTTTAAATCGATATCTATTACTTTAGGTCTTCAATAATTTTATTATCATTCTATTCTACATTTTTAAACTAATTAGATTAGTGCACTTACTTTCTATTCACTTAAACGATGTTTTTAGTTTTAATTCAAAATTGCTAATTCGTTGGCATAATCCTGCACACTCTATTCTAATTTCTAAATTTCTGAGAGTTGCTCTTTAACTTTTTATGCTTCTTCTTTATACATTTTCTTAGAGAATATAAGGATTTGTTACTTGATACTCCTTTGAGTTTTTGGATTCAAAGTTAATTTTCTCTTACAATTGATTGATTTATTCTTCATGTTAAGCCATATCCTCTTCCCTTTCAAAATTACTTTATTATGCTTTATCTAAAATAAACATGCACAACTCAATTAGATTTTTTATGGTTTACTCATTTTTTGTTATCTACTCAAGGGAAACAAAAAACTCGGCTAATCATAATCTTAGTTCTATACATTAGTAATCATCACTTTAACCACAAATTCTAGCTCTTTTTTCTACATAAGGTTCATTGTATTCAATCAACAAATTTTGGAGAGTCTCAATAACGAATTAGTCATTCAAATTCTCTGCGTCAGTCATATGTGTATATAGAATATATATATATATTTATAATAATTGTATAAGAAATATTTATTCAAAGAATTGAACAACAATTACACAGTTCAATTTGTGAACTGATTTTACATAGCAATGAAGATTGATTTCCTATGTGTTTCATCTTAATTGAATAGTAAATAGATGTCATTTTATTTTATATACTTGTTCAACTTATTATTAAATTTACCATGTACTAATTATGTATTTTTAAATTGTAAATCTTTGTAGTTTGTATCAATACGAAATTATTCTCAAAATCCATCCCAAAATTTATTGGAGTAAATCATTTAGTTGGCAAAATTAAGTTTATCAATAAAATTTAATAAAGTTTATTATTAACTGAAAGATCTATAAATTATCAGATTAATTGAATTATAAAATATCATGAATGCAAATAATGACGATATCTATGACATATTTACAAATAAAATTATATTATATAAACTGAAAAAATGAATCAAGTTTCAATAAGTTTTATCGAGAAAAACTATAGGATTGAGAAATAAATTAATCACAAAGTGTTTTTAGTGTACTCCATATCTAATAATTAAAAGTTTGTAAAGAAAATTTATGACTTTTCCTATGAACTTTATAATGTAAATATTTAAATGGATTAAGATTTTAACAATAATTTAGAGAGAAAAGTTTCATAATTGCATATAAATACATACAGTTGAATACCATTAGGATATAGAGAAAATATTTGTATTGGAAGAGTATAATTAACAAGGGAATTTGCATGATTTTCTTAAGAACAATCAGAATTTTACAAACAACTAGATTATAAATTGCTTACTTGATATTATAAAAGGATTATAATAATTATCCTAACATCAATATATGCATAGAGACATTAAACCTCAAAATATTGTATTTGATGGAACAAAATTTAAACTTATAGATTTCGAAACCTGCAAATATTATGGCTAAGATTTCTCCAAATTACAGTCTCGAATAGGGTAAACTCAATAATTCATTTAGAACTTTTATTTGTAGAGCTCCTGAAGTTTAACTTGATTTTGCTTATTCATCCAAATGCGATGTTTGGAGTATTGGGTGCTTGCTTTATTATATATTATATAAATCATTTCCTTTATAAAATTATGATCCATTATAACTTCTACTATTGTATTAGAATAATCATTAATTAAAATTCCCATCTTAAATAATAAATAAGGAATTAAATGGTTTGCTGTAACAAATGCTTAAAATTAGGGAGATTGATAGAATTAGTCTTAATACTCTATATTTTTTATTGAAGATTATTAAATGCTTAATTAAATTCAATATCAATAATCCTGAAGAAAATCTTGCCTCTTTGATTGAGAGGATATAACTTATTATGTGCTCTGAAACAAATTAAGAGATTTGCAAAAAAATATACATTTGTTTTAAGACACTTCTTATTTACTAAATAAATACAGAGAACTAAAATGATTAATAAAGGGAAAAGTTGAAACGTGCTACTTAAGAAATTATAAGAGAATTCGAAAATGAACAAATTTTTTTAGATTTGATGAGATAGATTAACTAATAAATATAGGTATGAACATATTGATTTTTATAATTTAAACCAATATTTTTCTTATTAACAGAAATTAATTATATTTTAATATTTAAAAATTTGCAATTAACCCGTTTTTTTAAATTAATGAGATTATAATAAAGAGTAGGAAATTCGTTTATGTTAAACATTTGATTTGAATAAACAAATAATTTACTTCCAAATGTAGAATAGTTTAAAAGAATTTATATCTATATAGATTATAAAACATTCAAGGATTATTTAATTTTTATATTTTCTTGTGTTTTATTATTACTAATCCATCGAGGTCTGAAGAATTAAATTCTAAGAATTCAAAATTCTTATTTTCAATATTGGCTTCATTTTGACTTGTCGATTTGTCACATTTATTCAGATCTCTTGTTAATGTCTCAATGACCGAATCAATTAATAGGATATCCCTTTCTTCTTTAGGTACTCTACCTAATCTCTATCTGTTTTCCTCTTATTTTAACAAATTGTAAAATCTATTTTTTATTGTATTTTCTGTTCTCTTAAACTTAAAAATTTAAGCTGATATATCCGCCCATCGTTTACCCCTTTTCTTTACTTCCTAAAATAATTTTAATTCTTCTTCCTTATACCATGGTACACTTTTATTTTATTTTTAAATTTTCATACTTTAGTATTTTTGGGTCAAGCTTATTAACCCATCTGTCTCGACATTATTTTCCCAATCTTACATATGGAGTTTAGCAGATTTTCATTAATTCTATGGCGATTTCGCACCATTTATTTGGATGTAATTATTACAATTACACAAGCACTTAATCTTCTTAAGGAGTCCAGTTAACTTTTTTGCGTTTCTCATTTAGCCACCGATTCCTGCATGCTTTCCAATTATGAAATTTGAATATTCTAGAGATTTAATCCCATTACAATGTTGACTATATTTATAAGAAACTTTATATTACCAAATCTAAAGGCCGTGTTCTAGTTTATAAACAAGTTCCAAAGACTATTATTTTTAAATATTAATCCTGAGCCTCAGTCCAAATTCCTTTATTTTAAATTAATTCAGCTTCCACTCTGTTCAAACTACTCTCAATTTATTATTGGTCCGGAATGCCATATATAAAAGGAAAAGAATTCGATATTAATGCTTAAGCATATATCATGTCAATGTTTTGGAATAGATCATAAATAGCTTTTCTATCAATAGACGTTTTTTTAATCATCTTAATATTTATTTAATGCAAAGGATTCTTTGTATGATTATAAATATAATGAAAGTATTAATTAAATTTGGGTTAACCTTTTAAAATGGAACACAAGATAAAAGAATGATATTTGTAAAGAGAAGTTACTGTTTTGGAAATACAAAATTAAAAGAAAATAAATGGTGTTTCTTTATTATAAATTACGAATTTTTTATATCAAACTTTTTTTATAAATCTTGAGATTCTTAATTTAAATTTATTGTTTATTTTAGTAAGAACACATCGTTGATTAAATTTCTAACAAGTTTTTAAGAAAGTGAAATTTTGCAAACTATTGCCCTCATTATTATAATGAGTGGATAGTAGAAATACATAAAAGTAGCAATTATAATTAAATAGTATAACAAATAATCATTTTTTCTTTTTATTTTTTCGATCGTTTAATGAACCCAATAGCATCCACATATTTTCATCATTAGAGTAGCCAACTACCGGATAGTCAGAGTGCTACTCCTCCTTTATTTAAGGTAATTAATCTTATATGAAATATTAATTATACATATTTATGGAAGTGATTATTTATGAGAATTTGGAGGTGGGAATAAAACATCAAGAGTTAGTTTAAATGCATCATCAAGCATTCTAGGAATATACATTTTTAACAATGGACTTGATTCTTCTATGCATGGATTTGTATTGACTTCTATTAACCACACTTCTTAATCAGCATCTAAGATAAAATCAAATCCAAATATTTCAAAACAGTATTTTCTATCTTCAAAGTTTAATTTATTCTTTACTGAATTAAAAACCATCCAAATTCTTTCCTTCATTTTATTAATTAACTACTTTATATATATATAAATACATCTTAAACATTGCAATTAATCTTTTGTGATTGCAAATAATCCTAATAGTTTTTGAAGGATAATTGATTTCCATCCTCAAATTAACCATAGTTTTGAGAATATTTTTAGATAGCATTATTTGTTAAATGGACAAATGTATTTTCAATATTGTATGTAAAATCTTCAGAGGATGTTCTTATATACCCTTCTTAAAAGAAGTAAGCATCTAATTCATGAGTTATCAAACCCCAGACTCTGATATCAAATTTTCTCTTATTAATTAATGCAGGCTTTTCAATATACTTTTGAATAACAAAGGAATGAGATTTAATTATACATTGTCCTGATGACTATTACTTTATTTATTAGTTTGGTTCTTTTTTTGTTATTTAGGCACTCTGAACCTATTTCGGAGTTTCGTCTTCTCCTGATGATTCTTCTTTTTAATTTAATGCCTTCTCTTTTAATCCTTCTTGAAATTCAGATACTAATTTGACTAATGTTTCTAGATTATCAAAAATTTAGATTCCTCTTCCTCTATTTAAAAACGTCGGTTTCAATAGCCACATATAGGTAGATTCCTCTGCTAAGAAAGTGTTGTTTAATTAGATTTTAGTGAATTGTGACATCAGTTCTCCTCGATAGGCACAACAAAAATTTCCCCTCAATCTTCTTTTCACATCCAACATTTATTTAGATGAGGGTTTTTTTGGAGCAAATTACTCATAGGTTTTAAGAAACTGTGTTATATTGTAATCACAATTTTCATCACTAAAATCAATTACAAAAGTTAATGGAGTATAATCAAATACATTCAGTTTATGTTTCTAGTGTTATTATTATGTATTACTTCACAATATTAAGACAAATTTTTAATCAGGTAAGATTTGTTAGATATCTCTTTGTGATGTTCAAAATGATTGACAAGTTATTTATAATTTTAACTTACTATTAGTCTTTCATATCTGTAACCTCTTTCACTTTATTGCCATTTAAAGTTTACAAGCATTGAACTTGAGTCAGTTGTCTCTTTCCATTATAATCTCTTTGACATAATTCGTTTCACTAATGCTTCATTGTTACCCCATCCAATATAATACTATTTTATTAAAAACAAATACTTTTAAAAATAAATCTTAAGTAGCAGGCTTAAATTGATTTCTTTTTTTTGTAAAGCTAATAGACTTAAGGTTTAGTTTTCTCGATAATATAGGCAGTTGCTCAGAATTCTAAGATAATTTTTCCTTGGTTTTGCTTTTCTTATGCTGTTATTAATATTTAGTAAATTAAGGCTTTATTTGAGGACTTTGTGATTTGCACTTAGTTTCTGTTTTGTTTCTTGATCTTCTGCTCTCTAAATTAATTGTTGATTCCCCAGACAAATTCATTATTAATATATTATTGAAATACATATTAAAATTATCATTCTTATTTATTAAAGTTGATAAATAAATCAATAGTAATATTCTGATGAAAGAGGAGAACAAATAAAGAAAGCATTTATTATGTAAAAATATATTTATATCACTCTGTTATCTTTAACTTCTCCAAACCTTCGAGTTTTTAGATGTTTTTAATAATAATTTCTCTAATGATATTAAAATGGATAAAAATACTTTTTCAAACTTTCGTTTTTTTGAATGGATTTAATTGTTTTACTAAAGCCATCATGTTATCTTCCAAGCAGTTTATTTTGTAAACCAATACTTTGATTATACAAGGAATCAACATTAAATTCATACATGGAATTCAAAGAATCATCTATCGTTTATGAAGATTTTTGGGATAATTAATCTTTAATATTTAAATAGGTTTGTTTATTGGCTTTTTAAACATTTTTATGGGAATGATGATTTGGAACAATTCCTGCCGATATGAGTAAAGATTTCCTTATTTTAGATTAAATTTATTTATCATGAAATGGATCTTCTACTTAATAATCAGTAATGTATTTGATGAGTTCCAAATCATTATTTATGTATTGGTTATTTAAATACTTTTATTTAACAAACGGAACGACAGATTTTACATTTCTAAGATTGTGCAAAGATTAAGATTATTTATGGACTACATTTTTGTATTGAGAATTGAAAAATATTTTCTTCTTGGCCTTTTCATTTGAAATACAATTCTTGGTTTATAGTTCTTCAATGTACTATTAAGCCTTTTAATCAATTTAGAATTTGATGGTTGAGGTTTGAGTAGGTGGTTCATATTTATTTTTGGTTTCATTTTCATATGATGCAGTTTTAAGAATTTGGTACGGGTTTTAGTGTTGAATAAGTTTGATTTAATATCCATTAACCTAATTTTTAATAATTACTGGAGTTGATCGTTTTTCCATAAATCTTCTTTCTATTAATTTAATGTACTCATCACTTATATCATACATTTATTTGATGACTCCCACATTTTTGAGTTCTCTGCTTCTTTTAATAATATCTTCTTCTTCTTTCATTTTAATTTTGTGTTCTATTAAATTCCTCAGAACAGCGAATCGTGATTGAATTCTAAATTATTTATTTACTTCCTCAGTTTTGTCTTTCAGTAATTTTAAGAATCCAGTTTATTGGTTATTTTAGTTGAATTAATTCTTGCAATTTTCTACTCTGAATAGTCTAATTTTTTTAGGAGAAGTAGGTCTCTATCTGTCCAACAACTCTGATTGATTTTTGCGAGCCAAGAACTCACAAGCTGTTATTTCCCCTTCAATGAATTTCTCAAAATTATCTCTTACTGAAGGACTATCGTACAAATTATTTCCACAATACAAAGGAGCTTCTTTTAGAAATACTGGATCTAAATGTTTATTTTTCTTCTTTTAACGAACAAGTCCTTCCCCTAAAAAATTTCCAAACATATTATTCCAATTTTTCAGTCTTTTATCTTGTTGCTTAAGTTCCTCAGGCTCAGTCTTCAAATCGCTAAACTATAATTTATCAAATTTATACACAAACAGTAGTTTCAGTTGGCTCTCTTCTTTTTTATGCTAATCTTTTCATTAATTTATATGCTTTTTAATCAAAGAATCTGGAAAAAATTAATTCATCCAATTCCCACGATATTATATTTTCCACCCACCTTTATTTGATGTTAGACCTATAATAATATATGAACTTGAATTGCAACATAAACTGAAATAAGAATATTAGAAATTAGCCAATTATTATCAACTAAGCCAATGAAGAAACATTATAACAAAAACTTTGGGTCTGCTCTTTAATATGTAAATTTAACAATCATTTTCTATTGATGTCTAAATTAGATTTAATCTGATAACACAAAAACTTAATTAGGATGCTACAATAAATATGAGAAAAAAGTTTCTTAAAATTCTTCGAATTCATTTGGTTAACATAATTCGTATTAAATAACTCTTTCAGAAATGTAAACATAACAATTTTCTAAGTAATAGCAGAGAAAATGGAGAAGTAGGCCAATCAATTTTTGAAAATTTGAAAGTGGCCAATTATGTTCAATTCCTTCAGCATCTCAATAAAAAATGTAAAATGATCATCGATTTAAATTTATCTTTAACTTTATCGATATTGCAGAAAACGTACATCAATTTTATAAAATAAGCAACCAATATCAGATAGAAATACTTTAAAAATACAAAGATGGTTTCTAATTTTTTTTTCAAGAAATTAGACTGATCTAATAATGACGTCGCAATTAAAATCAAGGTATTTGGATTAAGATTTCAAAAATAATTGACTATATTAATTAATTTAATTATGAAAGAAGATATAAAAATACTTTCGGTAGACTGCAATGAATTCATTTGTTCGATTTGCTTTCAGATTTTCACTAAGCCAATCAAAACAACTTGTGGGTATTGATCTAATTAGAAGTTAGGCATAACTTTTGCATTAAATGTATCACGAAATGGGTGCAAAAAAAGAAACATTGTCCTTGCTGTAGAAAATGGTAATCTGATGACACCGTTTAAGAAAAAGATGAAATTCTGGCTGAAAAGGTAAGTTAATTAGAAGTAGCATGTTTAAAATGCAATAAATGGACTGGACTTATGAAGGAGTTAAAAACTCATCGCTTCGACTAATGCACAACGTATTAGTCAGAAAAACAATCAATTCAATACTAGCTTGTTGAGGACGACTCAAATGACAACACATCTCTTATTATTAAAGAACTTCTTTCAATAAAAAACTAATAGAATTTTATTTAACTCATGGAATTGGAAAATGAGGAGTTTGTATTTGAAAAAATTCCAATTGGAAAAAAAACTAAGAAAATTAGAAAGAGAAATACTTGTAAAAATTAAGATTAAGATGTTTAATTGTTACAAGAAGATGATATAATTAAGCTAAAACAATCAGAAAATTATATCACAAAATAAATAAATAAAAGGTTTCGAATCTAACAGAACTTATTAAAGGACTTAATAGATAAGAAATATAAAATGGAAACATATCTCTTCTTTGTATAACTTTTTTATAACCAAAATGAGTATTTACTTTAAAAGTTGAGAAATAACAATGATGATAAATTAAGTGTAAATTGTATATAAAAGTGATCTCATTTAATTTAAAATTCTGTATGTTAGACCTGCTAAGTTTTATATTTTTATTATTTGAATTATTAGCGAAAATTCTTCAAGATACATTAGTTGTCTTTTAAAATTTTAACTTCAGAGATTAAGCTGAAGTTGTCAAATCTAATTCTTATTAAAATAGAAAATGCTAAGCTTTTAATTCATAAATAAATAATGATAAAAGTATAGCAACTGATGAAATAAAAATAATTAGTATACTTATTTTATTTATAAACATTGTTCTATGGATATTTGATATAGTAACAAAATATTAGGAAGATCATTAAATTATTATAAAATTCTTTAAATATGACATTTATTAAATCATATAAATATTAATTTGTTCGTTAACTAATGTAATATGGAAATCACACTCCTTCTCCTTAAAGATCTAATAATGGATTATAAGGATAGTAGGGGAGATCATAAAATCAAAAAAAAGGGTTTAAAGCATCATAGAAAAAAATGAATATAATTTCTATTTAAAACCAACGAACAAACAAGATGGCTCAATAAATTACATCATAGAGAAGTCCTGTTAATATGTCAACCAAAACTACTAAATAGACAATTGAAACTAAGAGAAGCGTATCACCAGAAGAATTAAAAAAAAAGAGTAGAAGTATTAAATCATTAAAATGTAGAAAGCCCTCAATAAACAAAGCAACAATCATCTAAAGACACAAATAATATAAAGTAAAAAAATGGTTCACCTTTAAAGAAATATATAAAATAAAAGCAGGTATCCTAATAGATGAAAGAAAATGAACTAAAATAGAAATTAAGGGATTATGAATAAAAGAAGTATTTTGAAAAACTTTAAATAGGTAATGCAATTTAGATAAGTTGAAGAGAAAAACAAAGAAAATATTTGAAAAATCGAAAAAATAAAAAAAATAATGCATAAAAGATAAACCTTTGTAAAAAGAAAAAGTTATAGAAATAAAAAAAAAGTTTGAAGAAATTTCTAAACGATTTGAAAAGTTTTAGAATGCTTAGATTGAATAGTTCTAACAATTAATAGCTTAAAAATAATTGTAAAATTTAGAAAAAGAGAAAGATCAAGAAAATATTTATGAATATTATCTAAATTAAGCTGCTTAGACTATTTAAGTGAATTGGAGAGAATTTTTGAAGAGATAAAAATAACAGAGGAAGTCTCTTCCATCCTAAAGGTAAAGTATAGATTGGGAAGCAAATGCAGTAATGTCATAATAAACATTAAATAGTGATGAAGGATTATTGTTTTGTCAGGGAGGAGAAAAGCAGGTTCATATATCAAACATTAGAAGTTCTGTGGTATCTGAGGAGTCTTTATCAATTATGAATCAACTCAACCAAGAATTAGATAATTGGAATGTCTATATTTAGAGTATTGTTAAAAATCAAGATCTGTCTTAAATCAATAGATAAATGCAGCAATCAATCATAAATATTGTTTAAAACCATTTGAAAAAATCTGAAAGTTTATCTGACAAAAGAAGTGAGAATGAAATACATTAAGAAAGAAGCTTTAATTCTTATAGAAAAAAATTAAGCGATGAATTATCAAAATCCTCAATTTTGTAACTCCAATAATAGGCTTTGAGAGGAGAAGGAAAGTTATTAGGATTCCGAGAAGAGGCAATATATTTAAGGTATGAAGCTGAAAAAAAGTCAGTTAATTCTGAGAATAAGTAATCTCTTGATGAATGGCTCAATAATGAATTGGAAGATCTATAAAATACCAGAAAAGCAATAGAGATATGTCATAAGAGAGAAATATCAGCCTTAAAAAAGATTTAGAGGGATATTTTAATAGCTTCAGAAGAGTTAGATAAAGATTCTTCAGAAAATTAACAAATCTAAATAATATCAAAGCAAATTGATGATTCATTTAATTAAGTGACTAAACAAAAATATGAAAACATATTTCAGGAAGATATTTAAAAGACAATTAATTTGATAACTGGAGAAATCTTTAATGATCTATTAGATGAGTTAATAGATGAAGTGTAAAATAATAAAGACAATTTCTTTATATTTTTTTCAGATCTTAATAAGGATATTATTTCAATCGCTCCTACTTCTGTAAGAGAAATCTAGTCTTATCTCGAAGCCCTTTTTAAGTTTGTACTCGAGAATTATTCTACTGATTTATTAAAACACTTGAATTTACCTTTCGGTTTTACTCCTTTGAAAAGAATGAAATTGATCCATGGATATGATGATGATGAAAATAATGAAGAAATTGATTAAAACATAGCATTTCCATTAAGCGATCACATATTTATAGAGTTTGAAAATTAAAGACTCTAAGAATTGGATTTGAATGATTAGATTGCATTTACTATTCGTGAATTAGAGCATATACATAACAAAGCTATTTTTGATGCTAGCAATGAAGCTCTAAATTATGAGAGACCATATTTTCTAAGTATTCATATTCCTTAAAATAAGATTCTGGGATTGTTTATCCTTGGTAGAAAATTAACCAAAGAATTTTTATGCCAAATCAATTGGAATAAATCTTAGAGTAATCAAAAAAAAAAGTAATCGATTGGAGCAGTTTTCTTTGTGGATTCTTACCTTTAGAGGAAAATGAAAAAGTAAAAGAGGAAAAGTAATAAATTATTGAAGAGAAAAAACTATCTATGAAATTACAATAATTAAATTTATTTGAGAATCCTACAGGATCTGATTATAATTCATCTTTCGATAATTTGGGTTTGATTAGAGATGAATAATTATATAAATTACTTATTTAAGATGTATAACTTTGATATATTTAGATAAAAGAGTCAGAAAACAAGTGGTACCTTGTTGAAGATGAAAGAGTTGACTATTTAATGGAATTAAGCGACTAAATATTTGAGTAGCTAATAGAAGAATTTTAAAAAGAATTTTGAATTTTTGATTTTATTTTTTTAATGGATTTTTATTTATAACAAAATGATTTAATGCTGGATTAATTTACTTCAAATAATTTTAACAATAAAAATCATAAATTTAAAATTGCCATCTATTTATAATGCTTATTTCATTCGAAGAAAATGTTTGAAATTATTGAACTCAGATTTCCATTTGATTTTAATACAGAATTGAATTACATAAAATATGCTATTAGACTTAAAGTTGATAATGAAGCCTCATGGAATTATTTGACAGGATGGTTTAAATTCAAAAATGAATAAGAAAATCCTTATAAGAAATTTATCTAATATAATTTAAAGATTATAATTTGATTGAATAACATAATAACGCAAATTTATTGAATCTAAAAATCTATTTGTTAAATTCACATTAATGTTAGTCTATTACTCAGGATAGGTTTAAATCTGCCTTTTTTTAAGAGGCCTCATCTAATTCTACTGTAAATATGATTTACTATAGGTTCTTCATATATTTTTAGATTTTTTCAAGCTTTGTTCCTTCATTTTGTATTCTAGAATTTAGTTGTTTCTGGATTCAATTACCCACTTTAAAAATAAAATGATTATCTTACGATATAAAAATCCCTATCCATCCTATGTTTCTTTCTATCGGTATTATTGAATATAACAAGAAATATAAAAAGATTCATTTAAAAAGGTGGATATTAAAGAATACGTAGGTGTCATATTTACATTTCTAATTTAAAATTCATTTAAAGTAATAAAAGGTTCCTAATTTCATAATAAATATTTTGTATAGCGCTTATTTAAAAATTAAATTATCTAATTTATGTTATCCACAGCCGCAGGTTTCCAGTCTATGTTAAAAGAAGTATGATGAGTTGATTGATAATTTTAAGGGAGCTCGTCATTATTAAGGATTAGAGGAGGCCATTCTTAAAAACATATAAGCATGCAAGGAAATATCAAATATGACAAAAACATCATTAGGACCTAATGGAATGAAAAAGATGGTTGTCAATCATATTGATAAAATATTTGTTACAAGTGATGCAGCAACAATTCTTAAGGAGATGGAAATCTAACATCCTGCTGCTAAGATGGTTCTTATGGCAGCCAAAATGTAAGAAACAGAATAAGGTGATGCAACCAATTTTGTGATCACATTGGCTGGTGAATTATTATAATAAGCTGAAAGTTTGATTAAATTGGGATTACATCCAAGGTAACATTAAATATCATTTATAAGCTAAATTGTGGTTGGATATGAAACTGCCCTTAAAAGCGCATTAGATTTATTAGATCAATAAAAAATTTGGGAAATCACAGATGTAGCTGATGAAACATAAGTACTGTAAGCAATTAGAACATCCTTAAGCAGCAAATTATCAGAGTAATATTTACTTTAATATTCAAAGTTATTCTAATTTAATTGCTGGCTTAGTAGCAAAAGCCTGTATAAGATGTTTGCCCAAAGAAAAGACCAGTTTTGATTCTGAATATGTCAGAGTTACAAAAATCTTAGGTGGTTCAGTATTAGACAGTCATGTTCTCTCAGGACTTATTGTAACTAGAAATGTGGAAGGATAAATTAACAGACTGGAAAATCCAAAGATTTGTGTTTTTAATGCTCCATTAGATCCATAATCTCAGGAGACTAAAGGAACAGTGTTGATTAAAAATGCAACAGAATTAATGAATTACACTAAAAGTGAAGAGGAATTAGCTGAGAAGATTGTTAAGAGTATTGCTGATGCAGGTGTCAATCTTATTGTTGCAGGAGGTAGCATTTCAGAATTAGTATTACATTTTGTTGAGAAATATAAAATGATGATTGTGAAAGTCTAATCTAAGTTTGAGTTAAAGAGATTATGCAAAGCCATAGGAGCTAGTGCATTATCTAGATTATCAGCACCTATGCCAGATGAGTTAGGAACATGTGATAGAGTACATGTACAAGAAATTGGTAGTCAAAAAGTGACTATCTTTGAAAAACAAAGTGACACTTGTAAATTAGCAACCATTGTATTAAGAGGAGCAACTCAAAATTTATTGGATGATATCGAAAGAGCTATTGATGATGGTGTTAGTTGTTATAGATCACTCATTAAAGATGCAAGATTTGTTTATGGTGGTGGTGCAACAGAAATTGTAAAATACTTTAATATCGCTTTAGAAATTAGCATAATTATTAGAATAAGAAGCTAATAAGATTAAATCAATTGATTAATATGCCTATAGACAATATGCTTAGGCCTTTGAGATAATCCCAAGAATTTTGATTGAAAATGCTGGTCTTGCTTAAAATGAAATGATGGCTTAAATGCATAAATTAAATTCTGAGAAACCTCATTCACTTAACATTTCGGTATTATTAACAATCATAGTATTATAGACAGCTACATTGTCACCATCCTAAGATTTGAAAGTGTTTGATCATCTTAAAACTAAATGGTGGGCTATCAAATTGGCAACTGATGCTGCTGTTACTATTTTGAGAGTAGATTAAGTAAATATCACCTATTAAAATTAGATTATCATCGCTAAACCTGCAGGAGGACCTAAAATGCCAGATAGAGGACATTGGGATGATTAAGATTGAGTATGAAGATAATCATATAATTATAACATCAATGTATTTGATATATAAATATTATTAAATGAAAGTTTTGGTGGCTGTCAAAAGAGTCGTAGATTCAGGAATAAAAGTTAGAGTCAAACCAGAAGGCATAGATCTTCAAGGAGTTAAGATGACAATCAATCCCTTCTGTGAAATAGCAGTAGAGGAGGCTGTCAGATTGAAAGAAAAAAAGTTGATAGCTGAAATTGTTGCAGTCACCATTGGACCAAAATAGGGAGCAGAAAGTTTAAGACATGCTCTTGCTTTGGGGGCTGATAAAGCAATTCATGTCACAACTGAAGCTAGAATTGATTAAGCTGTGTAGCCATTAGATGTTGCCAATATCTTAGCCAAATTGGTTGAGAGAGATAAGTAAATCAGTTTGTAATCCTAGTTATAATCTCGTCTTAATGGGTAAGTAATCAATTGATGATGATTTCAATTAAACAGGATAAATGTTGGCTGGATTATTGGATTGGCCCTAAGCAACATTTGCTTCCAATATATAAATTACAGATGGAGTAGCATAGGTTATCAGAGAAATCGATGGAGGACTCTAGACTGTCAAATTCAAATTGCCAGGAGTAATCACTTGCGATTTAAGACTTAATCAACCAAGATTCGCTAGTGTTCCTAATATTATGAAAGTAAACAAATATTGATGTATCTCAATTTAGGCAAAATCTAAACCATTAGAAACTATTCCACTTGATAAATTAGGCAAATTACACAATTCCATTTAAATCACTAAAACTGAGGCTCCTGCAGTTAGAAAAGGAGGAGCTATTGTAGAAAATGTGGATGTGCTTTTGCAGAAATTAAGAACTGAAGCCAAATTATTTTGATATTGTATAAATAGAAATATTACATAACATTTATGTTTAAATTTGAGAATTCAATTGTTTTACTATTCTTTAAACACTTATATCGTTGTGTGGTTTATATTAGCTTAATAAGGAAAATATATTTATAAATAATAATTCAAAGAATTATAAACATGAGAGATGAAACATCAAACGATGTAAATATAAAAATATGGTAATTGTTGTTTCTGTAACAAATATCATAGTCTTATCAGATTATATATCTTTCCTATCTCATTTGGAACTTTGATCCTTTATATTTGATGTCATAGTATTGGCTGCTTGATATATTTATGTTAACAGCTTTGGGTCTATTGAAAATAAAGTACATTTGAATTAATGTAGATATAAAGCTATAGTACATAATCTAATAATGGATACATTGATTGGGAGTGTGCTCAAATTATTACTATTAATTAATGTGAAATATTATCAGCGATTCCAAATCTAATATTTTAGTTATGCAATCATGGCTTACTACTTCATCAGAGTGCTAGTTCAGAATATTCGGAAAATATCTAACAATCAATAAATAACATAATACTCTTTCGTAAACATTTATATAAATAAGAGATCGCTTAAGGAATCAAATTACTCTTTGTTCTATAAATAATGCTGATGACAATGAAGCAAACCAAGACTATCAATTGGAATTGGTACAGTGTATTTAGTATCTCTTGGGGGTTGTTGATTCTATCCTTCATTGTATATTTCGTGTTCTTACTCTCCATTGGAGAGACTATCGTGGACTTCATTAGGAAGAGAACAACCAAAACTCAATGTACATATACATCATAATAACAGTGATAGGAGGCTTATGGCTATCGCTTTATATGAATTCGTTCTCAATATTTCCAATGTGGTTTCTATTAGAAGTTAGTTGGCATGAAGAAACCAACTATTCAAATACTTTGTCCACTCTATTCTTAGTCTTAATCATTTACAACGGTCTCATACTTTTGGGATTAATATTATTCTTTTCATATATTAAGTAATAATCTCAAGTATTTAGAGATTGTATATCATTGAAATGAGATAAAACTCATCTAATGAAGCAACTCAGAAAGTTCAGAAGCAATTCATTAAAGTCAACATCCCCTATAAAATCATTCAAATATCATCTACTTATTTTGACATCATCAATTATTAGAAGAACATCATCACTGTTACTCATAGCAATCAATCTGTGATTCATAATAAAACTAAGTTGAAGGCATTTGAATTTGTGGGAAAGACAGAATAATTGCAATCTCCCGCAGCTGAAAGGGAATTAGAACTAATCAAACACAGCGAAGAGAAATGTCAAATCTGTTATGACGTAGAACCTAATATCGTATTATTGCCATGTCAACATGGAGGAATATGTGAAGAGTGCATTTAAAAATGGTTAGAAAAACAGAAAAATTGTTACATTTGCAGAGAAGTATTGTGTTCTTTAATACATAAGAAAATTGAAAAGTATCTAAGAATTGCAAAAAGCCATGAGGAAGGCAAATTTACCATACGTGATATAGCCATTTGCGATTGACAATATAGAATTATTAATAAATCTCTTTTAATTTAATGCGTTATTATAATATCAATTCAGGTTATATTGTTCACAAACCCCTATATTTTAATAAATTAATTTGTAAAGTCAAATAATATGAAATATCTCATTGTTTAACATTCATCACAAATGAATTATGAGCATCAACTTCTTCATCTTCAAATACTTCAAACACATTCTCATTAGTATAGGATTAGTGCATATGAGCAACTTCGATTTATTTATATGAGAAATTGCTCGGACTCATATTATCTATGTCTTATTGATCAATGTCCTGTTTTGACACAGAGTACATCTCGTCTTTTTCATTGTTATAGCTTAAGTTATATGAAAACTTACTGATTAGTATAGGTTTAGTAAAGATCTTAGTGTATTTAAAAATATTGTTAAATAAATTTACAGAAGTTTTCTATAGATTTCTTCTACTTAATTGCCTCCACTGCTCTGTAAATAAGATTTTGAATTCCGATGTTTCTATTGATCAATTCGAAGAGCCAGAATAAATGTTATTTCTGAATCGAATTGAAATCAAATTGAACCTTACGAAACTATTTAGTAAGAAATTTAATTATCTCTGATTATTTAATCTAAATAAGTTTAGATGATCAATAAATACATCAGATACATCTCCACAATACACTACTATATATTCAAGTTGTTGATTTAGAATGATCTACTCTATTTCGATGCTGCAAAAAGAGGGGCAATTTTATCTAAAATAGGCAAATTGAGAATTGATATTAAGCAATAAAGGCAATTAAGATATATCGATTTGGGCAGGCAATTGAAAAACAAAGTTCCTCGTATTTTTTTAATGGTTCAATAATATTTTGTTGATATCAGGATTGAAGCTTTTTAATAAGTCTTTTTGTTGAGATGCTTCTGCATTTAAGCTTGGGTTAACAAAAATTACATCAGTTTTCAAGTTATTCAAAGTAAAAATATCTGCATTAATTAGATCTACATTCACTCTTGAATGGTGGCAGTTCTTCTTTGCCAATTCAATCAATTTACTCTCTATTTCTACCCCTATGACATAATGACACTCTTTGGCCAGTTAAACTGTATTACCTCCCACTCCACAACCTAAATCAGTGATAATAACAAATTCCTTGAGTCTTTTTGCTATGTATCTAGCAACATGATCAGGAGTGTATTCTATTTAGGATAGTTACTCCTATAGTGCTGATTTTGGAGAATCTAATCCTAGAGTAGAGCCAGACAAATCATTAATATTAAATCTCTTTTCTGTAATTTTAGCTATTATTTCTTCTTTACTAGCCTTATTTCTTAAGAAAAATAATTTATTTTTTGGATAGTCGGAGATCTTCAATACTGACTCCACTACTTTCAAATTTGAATCTTGCATTACTTATCTTCCTTATTCAATAATGTGATGATCGTAGGATAAATGCTGCATGCTCATTTTGTCATTTGATTATGCTTGAGAGGTTCTACTTTGTTATTTCTTTCTACTTATCGTAAAACAGAAGAAACATGTTTCTTCCTCATCATTTTCATCTACTTCCTTCAGCTACATTTAGACTTATTATATAATTTTAATATAATATAGTGATTAAATTTATTCAATGAAATATTTAATCCTCTTCTAATAAAAATCAATCTAAAGGAGTAGAATAACCAAATTAATATACAATTTCCTGATTTAAAAATAAACATACTTATTTTCTTATTGATTATATAATGTTTAGCATAAAATACATTTTGTTTAGTAATGTAATTTTTTATTTATAATTTTTATGTTTAAATTTGTAGAGTACAAAAACTTTGAATAATTTCATTAGTTCTTGAATTCTCATCCTTAAGTCACATATCAAGAAATTATTAAACATCCTCTATAAGAATTTCAATTTGAAAATGAATTTGTTAATCCTATTATTGTCAAGCAATCTGTTAAGTTACCCTTTCAAGAATATATAAACATTATGCATTGTTCAAATAGATTCGTATACCTAGGCAGTCAAAAAAGAGTCCAGGTTTTTGATATTAGAACTGGAATTAAATTGATTCAGAAACTAGAAATATAAAATTCCCTTATAATCTAAGAAACTGAGGATTGCTTGTTCATTTTACAACTAGAATACATATTATTAATTGAAATCTCAAAGGATTTTTCAATTATTGGTACCTATAAATTAGAATAAGTTTAGGTTCCTTTTTCATTTCTAAGAGTGATTAATGAATCCTAAAAACAATTAGATTGGTATGAAGTTGTGATTGCTGATCTCAAGGGTAACTCTTCCAAAATCAAATGCAACATTTTTAAGCTCTTTAATAAGAGGAATGTATAATTTTCAACCTAGGAGCTAACATAAAGTGGATCAATTATAGATTCAAAACAAAAAAAGTTTAATGATTCAGGATTTAGCATCCTTTACGAGTTATTAGTCTTACAAGGAAGCAATGAAAATTATGCATTCTTATTATATCAAATGCACAATCGAATTTCAATTATTAGAGTAAGCAAAACTAATAAAGAAACACCAGTTCAATTGTATAATTTATAGAACGATCAAATAGATTCTGGTTGGGCATGTCTATCAACTTGCTTAGATAATAGTAGTTAAATTAGATATTCATTTTGCTGTAGTTATGGCAATGTCATTCATTTGTTTATGTATGAAATTTTTGGAGGCTCAATTACAGTTGATGAAATTGGAGTCAAGCAATTAGAAAATGAAAGAAAAATAAATGGTCTGGAATGTTGTGATTCTGATATATTTGTAGTTTTATTTGATGATGGCTTTGCACTTGTGCATACAACAGAATTCAAGATGTGTGAGAACAAATTAAACTATCTCAATCAATCTTTGAAAATCAAAAAATTTAATGGTCACTTTATGTTAGGCTTAACTGAAGACTCTTTTGAATTCATGATGCTATAAGATTGTAGAACTTTGTTATAGAACCAAGCAGATTAGTTGGAGTTTAGAAAAGCTATGTAAAATGCAGTTAGAATTATGAATGGTGATTTATTAATGATTAAAATTGCCCCTTCTGATTAATTATCAGAATTACTCTAAAAATTAGCCTTTACTGAATGCTTATTTTTGGGCAAATAAAAAAATCTAACTGTCTAATCCTTATCCGAGATTATTAAGTTTTTAATAAAAACTAAACAAGAGCATTATTTATTTACTATTATCAGTGATGTCACATCTGATTTGGGATACAAAGATGTCTTTGTTAATACAATTGAAAGCCTACTTAGACAGCATTAGATTCCTTACATACCTGATTAATAATTATACGAATTATGTAAAATGTATTAAAATTAATAAAATGTTGAGATGATACATCATTTAGTTTGTTCGACTGATTTTCATAGGATATCAAGTGCTATATTAATTACTTGCTGTGAACAAATGAAAATGTATAATGAGATGATCTATGTTTGTCAAATGTCTCAAGACTTTGTAACTCCGCTTGTAAAATTGTTTGGAGGAGATTAGTTATTAGAGGAATGCCAAAAATATATTTTGAGCATTTTAGAGGGTAAATCATTTGAAGGAAAGAATCTAACTGACGAATAATTTACTATTGCTTTACGGAGTTTAATTTAGTTTCTATTTGTAAGTGAAAATCTATTTAAATTTATTAATAAAGATCCAAAGGGAGCTATAGATATAATATATTAATTTTATATTGGTAAAGCATAAACTTGCATTGAGAATAGTGGAGCAGAGATTGTATTAAAATTTTAAGTCGATGAGACTGAAAGCTCTCTATTTGATTTTGACTAAAATAATGTGCGAAGTTCAACCCATAGACTAATGTATTTATCAGTTAGAAAATTAGAGTTTCCAAAATCAGATATTTGGATATCATACTTAACTGCAAAATTGTTAATATAAAAGTTTTCTTTTTCATCCCAAGTAGCCTATGAAACAATTTACACACTATGTAGAAACTACGAATTTCTATTATAACTCAACAATGATATACTATTAGTTAATCAATTTATCATCCGTGTGATGATGTCGAAAAAACTTACAGAACAATAATTGTCTGATTTAGAGTTTTCAGCTTCAATTGTTAAAAAGTTTTCTTTAGCTTTAGTCTTCATATATTCTCAATAACAACAATATAAAAAGGCTTTTGAAGCATTTAAAATAGTAAATCCTTAGATTAGAGAACTAATTTTTCCGTGGATTTAGTAATTGGTTGAATTAAGGCCAATGATTTTGAATTCTCAAAATGATGAATTTATATTAGAAATTTTGAAATACCTAATTACAATAGATGAATAATAAACGTATAAATTAATTGAAAAATGTTTTCATCAGAAACACTTTTAGATATTGAGTTGTTTTTAAAAAGATTTTGAAGATTAGAAATACTTTGCTAATTTCATATCCTACTTGTTTTAATCTTAAAAAGTGTTTTTAATTAATGATTAAACCAAAATACTCTATCTCAAAAGATTATGTGAAACTCAGCCTAAATAAGTATTATAGGCTATTAAAAGCATGAATTTTCCATTGGATGAAGCATTAAGATTGGCAAAGGAATTTAAGATCAATTAGGCAGCTGCCTATATTCATTAAATTAGTGGAGCTATAAAATAAGCATTGGATATATATATCAATTCGTTCTTAAAGAAAATCAAAAAGTCTATAGCTTTGCTAATGAAAAAGTAGACTCTGGATAATAATTGCACTGATAAATTAAAGTGTAAATTAGAAACCATTATTTAAATGATTTTAGAGGATTTAAAGTAAAATTAATCTAATAATGATGATGATTAGACGTTATGGATGCATTTTGTCAATCTATATATAAATCAAAATAAAATAAGAACATTCATTATGCCAAATATCCCTTAAAGTGTGAAAGATTTATTGAGTCTTTATTTAAGTGAATATTTAGCAAGAATCAGTGATAAAGTCTAAGTCTCATAAATATTTGATCAATTAAATCTTAACTATCCTTAATTACCAGTATCTGTATTTAGATAGACTATTTATAGAGTTGTGAGTAAGTTTCATGATGATCTAAGAACATTAAAAGAAACTTCATTAATCTAGAGTAATGAGAAATATCAGATCATACAATAATTAAAAGAAATTAATGTAATAATTCATTTAGTTTTAGTAAAGTGCATGGATTTGCAATCATATTTGTTAAAGATGTTAAAATCATATAATTGATTCTGAACTTGCTATTGCTTTTACATGTTCTCACGTTTTCCATGATTATTGTGTCTTAAAAGGCATCTATAAAATTCCATTTTGTGACACATGCTAAACAGAAACTTCATATAAGAGTAAATTATCTGAAATATCAATAGTTTAAAAGGAGAGAGTTTTGAAATAATATGCTGTCACATAATAAATTTCTGAGTCTAAGTTCCTTTAGTAGATGTCTGTGAATAAAATTAGTGTGATATCAAATCAACAATAATAGTTGTAAACAAGGAAGGATAAAAAATAATTGATTAAGAGATTTGATTTTGAATTATAGTAAAAGTATGATTATTCTTGGGCTTGAATACAAAAAGAAATGATATTTATACATTTTTATTATTTAATGTGTAAAATAATTAAATAAAGTCTTAGATAAATTCATATATCGAATTGTTTATTGAAAACAACCAACTTAAACTAAATTAAATTTATTATCAACTTAGTGGTTTTATAAGCTCGTCAGATATTAATTAAGAATATTATTTAGATGCTAAATTAATAATATTATACAATTAAAAATTTAATTAATGATATTAGATTAAGAAAATCTTATTATCTTGGCATTTATTGTGGTTTCACTCTTTTTTGTCAAAGGCCCCAGCATTTCATATTATTGGTTTATCATTAATGGAATATGGATTCATATTTATCTTGATGGATTGGTCGGTTTATGTCAAATGAATAAATGGTATTAACTATTAGTATTGTGAGGCTCTTTGCTTAGTACAGTTAATTAGATGCTAGATATCCAGAGAAGGAGCTAACAGTAATAGTTGTGACAGGTATAGAATTGGTATTTATGGGGCCAATGTGTATATGGATTGCAATTAGATAAAGATCTAAGGCAAATCCTATATTGACAGCAATATTAATTACTTTTGTTTCAGCTGTCTAGATTATGGGAACTGTGCTGTTTATAGTCAATGCATGGCTTAGAGACTTCGTAGATGTATGTCATGGAAGTTGTTTTTCATTTACATAATCCAATATATTTTATTTTTGGTTTGTCTTTGTAATAGTAAACCAAATTTGGATTGTCGTTCCACTTTAATAAATTTTCTTATAGTACAAGGAATTAAAAAATATTCAAGGAGACAAAAACAACAAAAAAGTAAAATGAATTTTAATATAAAATAAATATCTATGATATTAATTCTTATATTCGGTTTTAGATTATTTCTTTATAATGATTTAAATTGTTTTTAATGATCATTATAGAATGTCAGCAAAATACTATTAAATACTTTTTAATCATCAGATCGGTATGAGTTTATAAATATATAAGTTATGAGAAAAAAAGTCTATGAAATTTCATTTATAGAAAGGTTTTCTTTAAATATATTTGAATGTTTTGGTTGCTTCTATTTCAATTGATTTGTCTAGTCTTATAAGAATTATTAAATGAAAGCAGATTTTAAATACAAATTTACACCTTTGATTAATTTGATAATAATCGAACTCTCAAAATGGTGTGTTCTAATATTTTTTCACTTTATTTAGTTTAACTTATTGGATTAATAAGTTGCTAAGGCATTACTCGAATCAAAATTGTCAGGGATTCAAATAATAATATTTATAAGTGCTATATTTACAAAATCATTCAATGTTATTGTCTATTTTTGATTGCAGGTTAAGGAATGCAACAGAATTTAAGATTTATCAATGATTTACACAATTATCTTATTTCCTAATTCAAATTTTCTTGTAATAATTCTCGTAAAAATTGTGCTATGTCTTCATTTTCTTCTAGTTTTGCATCCAGCATTAATCTTAATACTTTGCACTAAAACAATAAATTTTTTTAATACTAGTTCTGACTCATTATTTTTAAGTTTCTTAAGTATATTTAACATATCTAATTCCTTTGCAGGCGTTCTCTTTCTCTTTTCATATAGAAAATTAATTTACCTTAAATTACTCATTTAAAGCTTTCCTTCTCAAATCATGTCGGAATTGTTCTCTTTTTTTGTTGGTTTCTCGTATTACTACTGTCTACTCTTGTTCAACCTACACTTCATACATCAACTGATAATAAGTACCTCCATTTACTATTAATTAAATAACTCTTATTAATAATGAACAATATTGAAATATTACAGAAACTTTTAATTGAAGAAATCATAAATAAACAATACAGCCAAGAAGAGTTTGAGCAGTATGTGCAAGCCTAAGCACCAGAGAAAGGTAATATAGATATTCTGATCTTAGATGATCTATCATCGTGGAGTTATGAGGATTTAAAAATATGTATAGACAATTTTCAATCTCTCAAGAAGAATTAAAAATTACCTTAAAATTAAGAAAACGAAATCTACGGATTCTAAAACATTGATGAAAAATTATACTCAGTAATTGTTTCAAATTAACATAAAATCTATATTGTATAAATTCCTAAACTATTTAGGATAATATCTCTTTGGATCCCTATGAAAAAGTTATAAGATGTTAATAAGAAAAGTATCTTATTGAAAATGATGTTGAGTTATAATTTTAAATTTCACAGTAAACATAAATGATAATTTAGTCCCTAGGAAGTAAGAGATTCAGGATTATGGTCTTTTATCACGTAAAAAAGTATTGTAGTATTCTAAATTTAAACGTTTCCAATGTAGTGGAAAGTCTAAAGAACTTTACAAGAATTTGCAGAATTGAGGAATATAATTTGTCAATACTTTCCTGAAAAAATTGTATGAGATTAATCGATTTAATAGATTCCTAGATTCCCTTATGGAGGATACACTAAATTAGAGGATATGCTACCTATGATGGAGGAGATTATTCTTTCAATAAAAGTAATTTTTATTAAAATTTAGAATTTACTCTCCATTTATAACAAAATACCAATAATAAGAACAATATAGCCTTGTTTGTGGTTTGTTAATGAAGTCAATGATCAATTGTTATAAAAGAAACTTAAAGATGAATTATAAAAAGAAAAGAGATATAATTTACAACAAAAATAGACTAAAACAGGGGAAATTAAGGTCTCTTTAACTTTTGATAGTTATTAAAAATTCTTAGATCAATCATCTTATCCAAAAAATGCTATCAATCTCCTCAACTAAGTAATAGGTAATATGAATGAATTCTTTGCTTATCAGAAAAAATCTTAAGATTTTTTAGGAAATGCTGCCTAATGTTTATTTGAACTCACTAATACTTTACCAAAATATCCCGATTAAAGTGGACTTATTGATTACATTAATTTGGTTAATGATCATTTTAATTAAATAATCTATGAGATAGATGACTCTTGTGCTTTACTTGATAATCATTTAAAATTAACATTCGCAAAGTTATTGGGAAGTCATAAATCATACATTAGATTATGTTAAAATGTTAATGAAATTAAAAATAAGTTTGTGTAAGATCATAATAATTTAAATAAGAAGAAAGATGATCTTATTAAGAATAATGAGTTGAAATTAATTGTATAAAGAATAATTTAATAAAACAAATTTGATTAATCTGAATTTGATAAATTATCAGCAGATTCTGACTACTTAAAAAGCTTTCTATATGTTCCAGAAACTTAATAAAATTAACAACTTTAGGATCAATTAGTGTATATGATACAATAATTTTCTAAGGCTATGGATGAATAATTTAGAGCTGACTTACTTAAAGTAAATGCAAATTTTGGTGGATTTCTATATGCTAAGCAAAAACTATGCCAAAAATATGTAAGTGTATTTTTAAATCAATTAGACTGAGCAATGGAAAGAATTAGTTAATAAATATGAGTCAGTAAAAAGCAAATAAGGTTGAATATATATGTTTTTAAGAATATAAAATAAAATCTTATATGAAATCCAATAATATTTATAAATGTCATTAAAGCTTATAATTTTGAAAAGCCAAAATATTATTTAATGATCTCTTAATATTTTCTTAGGTTTTCTAAAAATAAGCCCTTTTGGAGTTCGATAAACAGAAATAAATGTTTTAAATTTTAGAAATTATTTTAGGAACAATTTACAAAATATTATTTAAATGAATTCTCAGAAGTAAAATAGACATTTTCTGATGCTACTATTTTACAAAGCTAATTTTTTGGAATATAAATTAATAAGATCATAATTTAGAATTTTATAATTTTAAGAGCATAATTCTACTCAGCTCTCAAAATATATGACAATTATTTATGAAGTTATCTAGTTCATTTTTGAAAAACTTAAAAGTTTTATGGATGAATGCATGAAAGAAAAAGTTTTAAGTTCTAGCGTTTTATAAAAAGATTATTTTAAGAATTATATTAGAATTAAATTTGCAAGCATTTCTGCATTTTATTAAATATAATGGATTAAATATTGATATCTGGAGTGGCTGGGGGATCTGCTGGAATTTTTACAGACTTTCTTTTCTTTCCTGTAGAAACTATTAGAACAAGAATTCAAGCATCAAACATCAAAATTGATTATTATAAATCAGCAGCCAGGATTAATAAATATAGAGGAGTATTATTGTTTTAATAGCTAAAAAGCTGCTTGCCCAGTTGACAGTCTCTTTTCCATCTGCTTTTTTATTTTTCTCGACTTATGATACAGCAAAAAAAAACGGATGTTCACATATAGTTGCAGCTGGATTAGGTGAGTTTGCTGTCGACTTTTTTCGAAACCCATTTGAAGTAGTGAAAAATTAGATGTAAGTTGGATTAGATCCAAATATTAGAAATACTATAAGATCAATATATTAAATTTAAGGATTTCGAGGTTTTTATGCTGGGTTTCCCACTTTCATTATGAGGGAAATTCCTTTTAGTGCAATATAATTTCCATTGTATGAAAAAATGAAAACTCATTTTGGTAATGATGGAGTTGTGGATCATGCTGTAAATGGAGCTGTTGCAGGGGGAACAGCCGCATTTTTAACTACACCTTGTGATGTCGTGAAAGCTAAATTAATGACTCAAAGAAACTAATTCTATGATTCAATTAGTGAATGCATAAAGCTGATTTATGAAACTGAAGGAGTTTTAGGATTTTTCAGAGCAGTTCACATCAGAACTATGCAGATATCAACCTCGGGAATTGTTTTTTTCAGTGCCTATGAAAGATGCAAATTTCATATTTTAGCATATAATGATAAATCATGATTCTGATTTCCTAAGTTGGTTTTCTAAATAATCAACTGTTATCTCCTTTAAGATATAACTTTCTTTTTTAGTATATATTCAACTCAAATTATGAAATAGCATTAATAAAGAAATGTCTTAAAATAGCTATTTTAATTTCTCAATTAATTATATACATTGATGATATAATAAAAATATTTTAAAAGAGTCTGAAATGTTATGTTTATTATATGAAAATGTAATTATTTTTCACTTCAATCCAAATTATGAGTTTGTAAGAGAAGTTTCATTTAAAATTTGAAGTCTCTTTTAAATCAGATCAATTAAAATAATGGGATTTTTAGAAATAATTTAATCGAAATCCAACTCTTGGACAATATGATTTATGTTATTCAATAGTTTCTATATCAAAATTTGGAGGTTTTAAGAAATGAAGTTAGTTACATTAGTCTTAATAAAATATGGAGTATAACTAAGTTATAATTATTCATATTAATAAAATGTAATAGAATCCTTTATAGTTATTTTTAAGTATTCTGGCTGCTAGGGAGGAAGTTATATTTATGATAAGAATAATTGGACATTAGATGCATGAAGATTGTCGTAATAGATTAGGCACTTTGAAGGAATTATCAGAGGAGATTTATCGAGGAGAATAGAAAAGAGAAAACCTTGAGAATTTTCTGTATTAACATTTAGGGGAAGGTTATCGCAAGCTCTTTCTTCCAAAAATTATACAAAAATACACGAAGATTACTCAATACTATTTAGTTAAGACATAAGTAAATTATAATTTTTTATATATTAGATATACTTTCCTAAATAGGGATAATAATTGTGTTAAGATACTGTCAATTAGCCCAATCTTAGGGCTACAATTCAATAAATAATGCACGAACCTCTAGTGGGAATTTTGAAATTTATAATCAAAAACCAGCAATAAAAATTAAAACATGAACTTTCACATTTGCTCAATTATGAATAGTATATACCAATCTTAAATCAAGAGAAGACCGATGTAATAGAAATGAGAAATTTTACAGTGAGCCATTGATCCTAGGGGTTTTTGGATTAAGATATCTTAATGATCTTCATCGGAAGTATTGCTATACCGTCAGTAGACACAGTAAAAGAAACGTGTATGATGTGTTAGCTATTGATGATAACACAAGAGTCTTATATTTGCAAGGAGGAGGTAATGTTAATATTCATCACCTATAGGATTCATTAGTTTAGTGAGTAGTATTACAAAGTTAAAGGATAAATCAGTTGATAACACTTAATCAGTGTACGTTCCAGTTGAAAGTACTGTAGAAATTATAACTCAAAGATACGAAAAATTGATTAAGGAACTTATGGATTAAAATTCCCATGTATAAAAGTCAGTAAATAGATATTATGAATAATACAAACGATATAAATTGAAACCTTTGCCAATAAAGAGTTACTCTACACCAAAATCTAAGGTGCAGGAAATCAAATCTTAACGCTCTAATTAATAGAAGACATTTGAGTCTGGTCCTATGCTTAGTGATATGGGTAGATATTCAGAACCAATTAGTAGAAATCCCCTATTATAAGATTTTAACAACTCAGTTAAATTAAAATATGAAAAATGCAGAACTTAAAAATAGAGTGATATCATTATGAGTGGTTTTGTTTCTCCTAAACAGACTCTTGTTAGAAAACATAGAAGTGTCAAAAACTATGATATTGCCTTCTTAAAACCAACTGCTCAGCAACCCTTTGCTGATTTTCCTCTCAGAATCATTTCAAATAAGAATAGGAAATAAAATTGATGATCACATTATACAAAAATATATTTATCTCATTTTTATCAATATCTAACTAATCCATAAGTAGTGTATTACTGGATTATGTAATTCCTTTTAAATATTACTATCTTCAATACTATTACATTTTTGTTTCATAAAAAGATCCCTTTTTGAATAATTTAATGAAGGTTTATTTGATTATTTTACAAAATTAAGTGAATAAATTTATTATATAGAAAGATAATAAACAATAAGGTACTTAACACTTTAAATACTACCTTTATGATGTCTATATACAATTATACAGTAATAATTAGGTCTTGATCATAATGAAAATAAATTCTTAGGGATTATTGAAAATATTATGATATAAGATTCAACCATGCCTTAGTTAATAAAGATACTTTCCTTAACCTCTTTAGAAAATATTGTAATTAAATTACTCCAATAGTAACCTAAACTAAATATAATTTAATATTGAATAATTTAATATAACACATAGGCTGATATTATAACTCTTAAATAATATTTAAGGAATCATTTTATTTGGCATGAATAATTGATCTTAATAAGCAATTAATTATTTGACTATCATTATTTCAATATAAAACTTAAATTAATTATGTTTATTCTTTCTGTTAATCAACTAGCTTTCCTTTCTTCGATCAAAATTAATAGTCTCTACTTATTCTGTATTCCTGTGATATCATTTATTAAACAAAGCTATTTTTATAATATTTATTAGAGAGAAGTTAATAAGTCCAATATTCTGCCATTTTTTGTTTTAGTGATCTTTATGAAGCTATAAGTATATGGATTTAGGAATACTAAAGTTACTCTTTTTAATATTATTATCCATAATTAAATAATTACTAATAATCTCAAAAAAGAATGAATTAAACTCACACAAGGTAGAGTCTGCAGAAGATAAAAACTTCCTTCAATTCTGACAACAATAGACATTTGAATTTCATGCTTCAATAAAAAACATATTCAAAAACCCTAAAACCTGTTGCTAATTATGTGAAACCCTTTTCTTTTAAAAATTTAGATTTAGCCACATCATTAAAGTATTTGAAAATTTCACTGTATATATAGTTCTGAGTCTCCCATGAACGAGTCCTTCCAAGATAATAAGAGTTGCTGCTGTTTGGATTGTGGAGCAGTTAGTAGGAAAGCAAAGCATTTATAAAAAAAGTTTATAATCTTCACAACCAAAATGTCAGTACTAAGAAAACAACGATTATAAAGGAGATTCAAAAATGCAGTTCTCTGTATCAAATATCTTTTGGAGAAGTGGAAAAAAATTAGATAATAAGAGAGAGCAAAAAGATTATTTAGATTTAAAACAAAAGTTTTTGAAAATTAATCTTTTTTTCCTGGACAATAGCATCACTACCCAAATCATATTATATATAGCAATCCTTAAATTCCTTATGATGACAAAGTAAATCAGAATCAACAAGTTCAATCAATTCAAGCTTAAATGATAGATTAGAAGCACAAATAGAGATAATCAGTAAGACTCTACTTATAATAAAAATTGAATAACAACAAAATAGAATCCTCTGGCACACTACCAACAATTGCCTATAGCAAATATCATAATTCCCATTCAAGTAAATTCCTTTAACCAATGAGAATTTTGAAAACTCTAGAGGATGAATAAAAATCCCCTAAAAAAGAGTATAATTTACTGAATTATAACTCTTCTCTGATTAATTCTCCTTACCTCTGCCAATTTAGTGGATAGAAAGCATAAGAATAATGTTTTTCTTAAGCAAAATCTCCTAGATCTGTTATTAAGAGTATATCATCAGAAACTTTCTTTCCTTATAGATAAAATATACACAAATCTAGAAAAATGCTTGTTAAGAAGTTTAAAATTATAGATTGATTACATGTTTATATTAATTTGAATATATATATCTATCCATAATTTATAATTGATTTCAAGTCTTACACAAGACCTTATTAATTTTATCCATTAGATCCATGCATTCTTTCTTTAACTATTCAAAATTCATATCTTTTGATTTGGTTTCAATAAACATCTAGAAAGTATTGGCTTATGATTCTAATTAAGACACTTTCTTTTCTAAATCAGCTAAAGTGCTGTATTATTCATGCATAGTGTATTTCTTTTCTTTGACATCAAATTCATGTTTCATATTTTGACTCTAGAAATATGAATGTTAAATTTACTTATGCAGTAAAATCATCTTTAAGTTTGAGTAAGTCCTTCTTTTGATTTTCTAGTTTAAGCTTTTTATCCTGAGCTTTAACCTTATATTCATCTATTTTATTGAATTTAGTATCGATTTCATCTTACATCTACTTACATTTCTATTTGTATTATTGTAATTCAATTGGTAATTATTCTTCAGCTCTTTCAATTTTTTTTAAATCTTGGACTGTCTGTTCGTAGACTCCTTAGAGTTTTTTTAGTGTCATTTCAGAATCTTTGACTTAATTATCTTTGTAATCCACTTCAGCAGATAGGCCAGCATAATCAGTTAATGAGGGTATAGTCTTAATATCTTATACAATCCGTGAAGATTATCCTAGTAATTCTACAATAACCTATTCTACAGCATTGACTTTTTCTAATTCTTGTTATCTTGTTTTATCAAAATTATTGATGTAATCAGTCATTTCTTGATCTCTTTAATATAATATTTCATATTTCTATTTGTCTTATTCTTATGATTTCTTGTCTTCCAATTCAGTTTATAATTCTCTTAATCTTTTTTCATAATTTTCGATATTTCTTCTAATTTCTCGTACTCTTTTCTCTGAATTTTAAATAAAAGCATTATCATCTTTAATCTTATTTAACAATCTATCTCTGGCTTCTGGGAATGTTAGATTGGCTTCATTTAATTGAACTTCTAAATCATTTTTTTTAGAGTCCATTTCATTGATTTACTCTTTTAGCATCTAACCCTTCAATTTCTAAGCATCCATTCTCAATCTATTATCTGCATTCTACATTCTGGCATTTAATTCTTCTAATTCTCCTTTTTGGTTGTTAATTTCTTATTAAAGGGATTTATTTTCATTAATCAAACTCATATATTCATTTCTTTATTCTGGATCCAACTCTTGTAATTTCATATCAGCCAATGATTATAGTTCATTTAATCTATTTTCGATTTAATTAATTGAGTCTTCCTAACCTCTTCTTTCAATGAAGATATCATCTAATTGAGATCTTTGTCTCTCATTTTAAATCTAAAATTAATCTATATGTAAACTTTGATTCTTTCATAAATATTTTTGATATCTTCTGGTCTAGTGTTGGCTCTCCATTTATCGAATGCTAAATTATAATCAGCCAATTAGCCTTCTAGATCTCTGACTTCCTTTGTTAATTCTTCATGTCTATGATTTTAAGAGAAATAATACCTTCTTTCGAATTAAACATAAAGTGTATTGGCTTTTTAAATTTCATCCTATTATTTTTTGAATCTTTCAATTTCATTAAATATTTCCTTCTGCTTCTCTCTCAATTGATTTAGATAATATGATTTATCTTAGATTTATCTGCCAGGTCCAGCTGTCGTAGGTTTGACTCCAATAATTCCATGTTATGTAACAGGTCTCTCCACGAATTTTAAATTGGTTGTATTTGCTACTGATTAGAAATTTGGATCATTCTATTGAAATAGTGAATGAAATCTACTCTCATAGCTGTAGTCATTCGAGTTGGCACTCGCATGGCTGCTGTTCCCATTCTCTGCTGTGGTTACATAATTAATTAATTAAATAATTATGTAGAGATCATATTAAGAATAGGTTAACTAGAAGGATTATTAACATAAACTTTATTTCAAAAATGGTTATCCTTAGAATTAATCGTTCAAACGAGATCCAAAACAATTACTTAGAGGTTTAGTATGAAAATTAGATTTATTTAGATTCTTAAAACATGCATACTTCACTTTCTAGATTGGTTGAAGTAAGGCTTTAATTTATGGCTCTTCGTGGTGATAATATTGTCTGCTAGTTTCAAAGCTAAACAACAACTATTTATTTGCATAATATAATTGGCTGGTAATTTATTTATGTCTTCTTACAAACTTTATCAGTAAATTTGTAAAGCATTAAAATAAGTTAATGAACATTACGATTAAACTGTATATGTGATTGGTTGGGATCCCAAATGCCACATTAGCAAATGTCCCAAACGCGATGTGACAGTTGGTAATTTGGTGTTCCTCAAAAGACATTAACCAAGTCCAATGAGTATTTTAATTCTGAACTCTCAGGAAGAGAAGTTTATGGTGTAAACATCAGAAAAGGAAGGGATGACGCATATGACCCAGAAGCAATCAATTAAATTAACATCCACCTCTGATCAATAGAAAAACCAAACATTAATTTATTATAAGAGAATATTGACTGGCAAAATAGAATTCGATTACTTGGACACTAATGATAATACCTTTAGAGGTTTCATTAAACTGTAAAAGGATCCCAAAGGTGAGTATTTGGACTATAGGAATATCGTGAATTAAAGTAATATGATAATCAATACGGATTGGGTAGTTGGTATTGTGATAAGTCATGATGATGAGGATGTCATTAAAATGTGGCAGAATTGTTTTAAAAAGTCCACTACTCATTTTGATAGATACTTGATGAAATTTTCATTAATATTTTCTCTTTTGTACTTCATCTAACTTGCATTCTGTATCACAATCATTGTGAGATTTCAAAATTAACCTGATGATCTCAATATTTACAATATAATTTGTAGAATATTTCAGAGCATAACATTTGTTCATCCTTGTTTTATTACTGGTTTATGCGAAGTGACTTTTCAATTCTTCAATAATATCTTTGAGAAGAACAAAAATATCATTGTATCTCATTCATCTGAACTATTGACTTTAACTAAAGTTGATCATTGCATCTACGATAAAACTGGTACACTGACAAACACTAATACTGTCCTCTGTGGAGTCATATGTGGAGTCTATTTCTATAATCTAATCAATGGAGATGTAATTAGGAATGCTACAAAAAATTATAGAAAATTAAATACCACTCCATATATCCATAACAACATGCAAGAGATCTAGGAAGAACAAGAGGATTAAGAAGAGAACAACATTGGTATTGGTTCATTACAGAAGAGTGAAAGATTCATTTAAAATCCAGGAAGTCATTAGTCAGTAAAAAGTAGACTTCAATCACAGCATGATGAGGCAATTAGCTTTAATTAAGATGATGCAGTTTTCAATGAGGAAGAACCTGAGAGCAGGAACATGGTCTTTAATTTCAATCCTCATTTTATTAGACAAAATGAATACATTAAACCCAAAAAGGCGTAGAGTGTTGACGAAGAATTGTCTCCCCCAGAGAAAGCGGTTTCAAATAGATATAATAGAAGAACATTAAATAACACTAGTAGGCTTTTAACTAAACCAAGGAGAGAATTAAGGATTGTTGAACGAGTACTTGAATAAACTTAAGATCCTGCTAATGGATCAATGTTATCTCCATCTCCAATTACATCTTCAAAGGATTTTAGAAAAGAAAATAAACTTGGGGAATCCCAGATAAATGAGGACGAATTGTAATAAAAGTAGCCCTCAGAAAGTGATTGTGATGACAAGGAATAATAAGGGGGAAGAAAAGATTTATAAGAGATTATCAAAACTGGTTAAAAGTAAGCAGACAACTTTATGAGATCTTTAATATTATGTTAAGATGTTAAAACTAAATACTCTAAACCATAAAATAAACCTAGTAGAGATAAAAACGTACCAACTATAGGCATGTCTGGACTCATGAATGAACATCCAAGTATGAATCCCCAAAATTTCCTAAATGAAAACACTGAGGAATATTAAGAATCTATTATCAAGTTTGCTAAGTAATACTAATTTGAGTTCAATTGTGCAGGGTTGTTAAACAAGAAAATTTGCTATGAAATCAGTGCTAAGGGACTAAGTGAAAGATATCTAGTTTCTAAGAAGGTTAGTGACAATGAAACATTTGCTATTTTCATGAAACCTATCTAATAAAGGATTAGAAATTAAGCAAATCAATTTGAGAGGTAGGGAACTGAAAGAGGATCAAAAAAAGGAGCATTACTCAAATTATATGTAAAGAGTGAGAATTTAGCTTTGCTTGATAAATGTAAGTTATCATAAAAGAAGAGAGTGAATTTAGAAAAGTAAATGACTCATCAAGCCTAATAAGGCTAAAGGCTTATTGTCTATGCAGGTAAGGATATCCCAGAAGATGCAGTCAAGAATAAGAATAAATATTAAGAAGCAAGTTTTGATACTATGGAAATGACTCATCATGATAAAGAATTGATTAAAGATTTAGATTATTACGGTTTGATTTGTCTCAAGGAAGATTAAAATCCTGGAGCTTATGCTTAAGTTAAGACTTTTAAAAGTTTAGGAATTTCATAATGGATATTGAGTGGGGATAAGAAGATGTAGACCTTATCAGCAGCCAATTATGTTGGAATTGTGAATAATAATAATACTCTGCTAAGAATTGATGAAGTAGATGAAGAGAAATTAAAATTATAAATTAAATCCTAATTGCTGTTTATAAGGAAGTAATTATTGAAGGAGGATGAAAGTTAGTAAAATGAATCAACTAAGAGTTTTGTTACTTAAAAATCAGTTACAGAAATGAAGAGAAGTGGACTTTAAAAGAAAGCTACGTTTGATGAAAATATGATTATGAAATCAAAGAAGGGAGAAGAACCTTTACAGATGGTGTTCTTATTGGTAAATGGAAAATCTATAAAAACCATATTCAGTGATGATTATACTAAAAGCCATTTTTTGTTTATTGCTCTAATTTTGAAGACTGTCATTGCATATGATTGTTCATCAGCAGATAAGGAGTTAATAACAAAAGCTGTCACGAAAATCTTTGAACCAAGCAGTACACTTTTAACAATATCAGACTCAGTTGATGATTTCAACATGAATTCTCATGCAAATGCTACTATTCAATTTTCAAAAGAGAAAAGGTCTTTAAAAATAGCATATCAAAACATATAAGTTAATGATTTGTAACACATAAAATAATTAGTACTCTATTTTGCTAAAATATTACCAATGCATTTGAGTCAGTTGACAGTCATGTGTACAAAAATAAGTTTATATTAATTGATAATTTTGACTCTTTTTGTTTGCGTTAGAAAAACTCTCTATATTGAAGAGGATGTTGTTTATTTGTTGGCTGTATAGATTCATATCATAATTAATGGGTTGTTGCCTGCCTTTGAAGATAGATCCAGTCATGAACAAATTGAATTGATGCTTCCATAGAACTAGCCTTAGACATATAAGTGTTTCAAATCAAATTTCAGATGGCTATAAGAATTATTTTATGAAGCTCTGATTTCAGCAGGAATCACAGGACTTTTAAACACCTACATATTTGCAGAATTCATGATGTTTTTCACTTCAGATTCTAATAATTTAGCTCATTTGATGTTCTTATTTTAATTATTCAGTGTGTTTGCTTTTGGAACTTCTTAGATGATTCATCTTAATGTGCCATTTTAGAAGATAATATGGAACTTAATTATTACTTTGGGTTTATTAACTATATCATTTGCAATAGTCATATAAGCAGATTTAAGAGTTTAGATAATTCGAAACATATTCAAATGGCAATTCATAATTGGTATAATAACTGGAATTATCATAATAATTACAATAGATTAGATCGTAAAGTAGACAAGAGAGATGATGTTTACTCCGAGAATAATATTGAATTTTGTGAAATTCGTAGAGACAGCATTAAAAAACTATGGAGGGAAGATAGTTTCAGAGTAATTAAAACAATTCCCAATGACCAATCATATCAAAATAAATCGATAGTTTTTCAGAAAGATCAAGAAGGTATTTGAGAATGTTTCGATTGACCCTTTTATTCGTTCTCTGTTTGAGAGTGAGAAAACCCAATCCTTCAATGGAGAATATTCAAAATTTTCATTGGTCTTTAAGAATCATAATTACGAAAAACAATTTAGACAATTTAAAGTTCAATTATATTACTAATAAAGAAGAGAAGTAGTTTTAGTGTTGTTTATAGTACTAAGAGTGAGCAGTGTAATAGCATGGGCTCCATTCCTTACTCAGGAAGATACAGTATTGAATATCTTATGGGCAATCGTAATGATTATGTGGATCTTGACTTTGCTGATAACTAAAGTAATAGAGAAGAAGTAGGCTGATTAGACAGTATTCTAAATAAAGTGTGGAACTATTGAGGCTTACTTTTTTATTCCAGTAGTGTTAATATTAGATCATTTTTTGAGTGTGACACTTCCAGAAGATAAGAGTCAGTATTATTTTAGTACCTTTGGATAGTTGCTTTATCAGCAATTTTTAGCATGGGACATATTCCCTCCTCCCCTTTATTATCCGATTACTTTGACCTTGATCTTTTTTGTCAATTATACTATTAGAGTTGGTCAATTTTATACCATTTAGGTTAATTCTGATTCTGAAACTCCTACTTTCACAGTAGAATTCATAACATTGTATGTTCTGCTGTTCTTCTTAAATCTACTATCAAATTACACTCACTATAATGTATAATTATTTAATTAAGTTTTAGTTTTAACGATTCCAAAGATTAGTATTTTTGTTTGATCAGGCATTATAAACCCAGTAGGAGTAAACAAATTAAATTTTGAAATCCCTATTGCCAGCATTTATATATGAAAAAATTGAATAAGCAGAGGAAACCTAAATTGAAGAGAATCAAGGATCAGTCTCAATTATATTTCTAGAAATATGTGAATTTGACAAAATATTATAATCAAAACAAAGATAAGTGGTTTCATTTCTAGATGATATTTTTAGAGTTTTGGATAAGATATGTTTATAGTATGGTGTATAAAAGATCGAGACTGTTGGTAAGACTTATATGGCTTGTTCTGGTTTGAAATCTACTGAAATTGAAAATAATAAGGATGGATTGAATCAACAAAAGAAAAATGAAACAGCTCTAGCATTAGAATTGTCATTAGATTTTTTGAAGGCAGTGTCTGAATTTAGGTATGAATACAAAGAATAAGAAATTGTGAAATTATATAAATTAAAGATAAAAATAGGAATTCATTATGGTTAAGTGTTTGCAGGAGTCATTGGATATCATAAACCATAGTTCTCATTAATTGGAGATACAGTCAATACAGCCTCTAGGATGTGTTCCACTGGAGAAGTGGGTAGAATTACAATCTCTTCCGAGGCGTATGAAAGAGTGAAGGACACAGAGTTCTTGTTCACTTCCAGGGAAGTTGAAGCAAAAGGTAAAGGTCATTTGATCGTTCATCAAGTAACTCAAAGAAAATTATAATAAAAAAAGCATCTATCTCAAGTGAAATATTTTGAGGGTTAGAAGAATGGAAGAGTATTAACATTCAAAACTCACAATACCAATAATTCAAATATTAGATCCACTCTAATGAAATAGACCTTTAAAGATATATCTCCGCCTTTATCTCTAAATCAAAATGAGCATCCAACTACTAAAGATTATGGTCGTAGATCCAAGATAATGAATCATCCTATGTAGGGATCTTAGATGATAAAATAACCTAGAAAAAATAAAGGACCTGAATAAACGAGAGGAAACAAAAAGGGAACCATCAAGGAAGACTTTACTTCGATAAGTGAAACAGTTTGGAAAGACAGAGCAAAATCTCAGGTCATTTAAAAGACAGATTATAACACGAACGATTGGGAAGAAATTAAGGAAGACGAGATTTAAATGAAGTAGGTCGAGAAGGATCCTGAAAATAGGATAGTTGGTGTTTCTGATAATGATGTGGATGTTCCAGAGAATGAAATGAAGAGTGAAAAAATAAAGAAGATCATAGATTTGGACATATTGAAATATAACAAATTAACATTAGAATATGAGAAATGTAATGATGCCAATATAGTGATGCAATTTGAACAATACTATTAGGAAGTGAGATCTGCACTCAAAGATATCTTTTATCCTATGACTATTGTGTACACCTTATTTAAAGCATAAATATAATTGCTTGATTCTGGCTATGATGGATTAACAATTTATATTGTAAGGATGTTTTTAAGTTTGTACTTAATAATTCTGTACTTCATAACGAGCAGACTCAAAAAATACAATATGCACAATTTGGATCTAGCATTGACAGGGTTGTATTATGTTAGTGCTTTCTTAACAATGTTTTTTGTGACTTTTGACAATCAATAAAGATTCTTAATATCAGACAATGCAGAAGCATACTTTTTTGCATTTTCAGCTGTCAACTAATAATCATTAAAATTTAAGTACATGTTCTTCTATATTTTGTTACAATAAGCAGCCTGGTTTGTACAACTGTTATTGCATCATCATAACAATTTATTAGTGTTCATTGTTTTATCAACTATTATTTTGGTCATAGTCTCCCATAATAACTTCGAATTGACAATCAGGAATTTTAATAGTGCAGCCAATGAAAATTTGAAAAAAGAACAGAGGGACTCATTATTAACCAATTTATTGCCATCTCACATTCTCACTAGATTTTATTAAAATAGCAAGATCAAATTAGAATTGTCAGATGTGTTGATAGATGCAACTCTCTTGTTTGCAGATATCAGTGGATTCACTGCGTATTCTGCAAGTGTTCCAGCTGAATAGGTAGTCAAAATGTTGAGACAATTGATGACTTCATTTGATAAGGAGTGTCTACAATAGAATGTGTATAAAGTATACACCATAGGGGATTGTTATGTTGTATTGGGCATCAATGATATGGAGTAGAGACATCCTGGTTAAGAGGCTAAAAACGTATTGGAAATGGGGTTGGAAATGGTTGAAATCATTAAGAAAGTAAGGAGGGAAATCAACTTTTAAAATTTGAATATGAGGATAGGAATACACACAGTAAGTAGTTTGATATATGTTAGGGACAATTTTATGGGGGGATCATCGGTACTGATATTGTGCGATATGACATCTTTGGAATCGATGCTGTCATAGCAAATAAGATGGAATCATAGGGAGAGGCAGGCAAAGTTATGGTGAGTGAGGATACTAGACGATTGATTAATATTCATTTTCCTGGTGAATACAATTTTACTTACAACAAAGGAGTAGATATCCCAGTTGCTAAAAAGAAGGTGGAGGCATATTTTGCAACAAAAGCTGATATCTAAAATAGATAAGACAATTCAAAATTTATGTGATAATTTATGGTTATTTAATCGAATACTTAATAATAAATAGAATTAGAACTCAAACCCACCAAGTTAGTCCACCTAATCCACTCTCATTCATCCTTCCTATAATAATCTAATCCATCTGATCGACTGTGTCGAAATTTAATGAATGCACTTTGAATCGCACCTCTTCTCCTAACAAATAAAAAAAGTTGATTTCCTCGTAGTTGCATATCCATAATTACTTTCCTTCGTCGAATCTGGCATTTAATAACTAATCCTTGGGAACAAAGCAAACTAAATATTGTTTATCATTATTATTGTTTTCTAGGAATTTAATTTTCAAGCCCTCTTTTGAGGATTTAAATATTGTGCCATATACTAATTCGGATTGGAAGGGCTGAAAACTCAGGATCTCAATAATGACTGAATATAAAATATCTCCATCTTGGATGTGTCCATCAGATGTTTTAATTCCGAGTACTTTTATACAGAACCCGTAATTCTTCAAAGGTTTGTATTCAAACTTCTCTCTGATCTTTTTGGTTAACTCAGCCTGATAATTGAGTATGTGTCCACCATTAATATCAATAACATCGTTTAAAGTTATTATCTCGAACATCAATTTATTAAATGAAATATATGTTATTATATGAATAAAATAATAGATCATCATTTGCATTTGCTAAGTTTCTTGCATTCGTACAAATTGGATTGTTTGACCTATTCACACACTGCCCTTTCATTCCACTTATTAGAAACCAACTTGACTTCAGTTTCAAATTTACCAACTTAAGAAGGAGCCTTGATTTCCTTGATTATGGAGCCTAGACTTACAATATTTAAGTACCATATTCATCACTTGTAATTAATAAAGAGAATTTAGAAGCATCGTCTAAATTAGCTGAACTCAAGGAAGCATAATCAAATCTTCCTCTTAGATCAGTATATCCATCCTTGTAGAAGGATTCCTTTCCATTTTTCTCCTTGATGTAAGCCTTCACGTAAACCTTGGATAGGTATTTTCCTTCAGAATCAGAGACTCTGATTTAACCATAATTTTCCATAACCTGGACTCCCAGAGAAGTAGAGTAGAAACGATTTGATGTTCTCTTGCTAGCACCTTTGATTTGAATGAAAAGATTGAACTTTTTCAATTCTTCAGGAATGGGAACTGACTTTTTGTATGTCCTATAAATTAAAAATAAATAGTTTACAATCCTGGTTATTGCATGGCTTCTAGTGATGCTTCCACAATTGAATTAGGCAAGACAAAGGCAAAGTCTTCTTCATTTTAATTTAAGAATGGATTTCTAGAGAACAGTATTTCCAAATCTATCTTGTAGAATTGAATGACAACTTTATTCAAATTGGAATATGTAATTTAGATTTCGTTGCCCTCAATAACAGATGACAAGGTTTCTTCTTTCTTGGCTTGTTCTATTTGTTTTTATTTAACTGTGGTTTCTGTCTTCAACTTTTGATTCTCATCATCATCACCATCATATTCTGCCAACAAGTTAACCACCTCATAGAATATATTTCTCCAATGTATGACTGGATAGTTGAGATACTTCTCACAGATTTCTCTGGCCTTAGCAAAGTTGGGATATCCAATGTAGAAATCAAGATAGGCCGAGAAGTAATCATATTATAAGACAGCTTCCCCTTGAGCTTCAACATCTGCGACAGTCTTGTAAACTTGAATTGCTTCATTGATTCTCTCTTGCAACAATAGATAATAGATGAATCCTAATTTATCACTCAAAGTATGAGTGGGTTTTTCAACCAAGTAAGTCAAGAAATCAACATATTAAGTTCTGAATTCAACATTTAGAATTCCTTTAGCTTCAGATGTAAGTTTATGGACTCTCTTGGTGATAAGGGGATAATACTCCAACATTCTAATATTGCTAACTTCAAAAAGTGAACATTTGAAGTACTTGAAGGTTCTCTTGAACAAGTCTTAGCAATTGTTATGAAGGAACAACTCTTTCATGCTTTCTTTATCTGCATGATAGATTGAGAACTTCAAACTTTCGAAATCGTTAAATCTTCTCTTTCGATAGATAGCTATTACTTTCAAATAGAACTCTTTGTCCTTCAATAGATATCGGATTTCTTCAGCTCTGAAAATATTTCTATTGAATATATTCTTGGTTGACAAGAAATTTAAAATGTCATCCTTGCTGCCTTTAGCTAAGATATCATCAATGGCCTCTAAATTTTGAATAGACTTTGATTCAACTACTTTCAATTGGCCTTCTTAAGCAACACAAACAACCTAACCAAATCTAGACACATTGGCTGGATAGACAGAGAATGTGCCTACCTTGGGGAAATAGAAGAAGTATTCAATTCTTTAGGTTGTATATGGTTGGCAATTTATGGTATATGATTTTGTATAGAATACTGTGTTAACAGGAATTGCACCGTTAGGTAACTCCACTAAAACCTAATAATCAGCTCTAGTTGAAGAACAGTTTGTAATGATGACTTAACAACCATAGATCTTATCAATCAGACATTCTGATACATCTTTTTCCAGTTGTAATTCTGGATCGTCTTCAGATATTATGTATCTATCGATTGGATCAAAGAATCTTTAAGCAATTAAAATATCCTATCTTAATTAGGCCTTGCCTTCTTTGATTTCCTTCATGAAGAACAAAGCAGAAGATTTTGTAGTGATCTCAACTCCCTTTCCTCCAAATTATTTATACTCTTAAACTGGGGCCTCATTAGGTAAACCAATGAGTGCTAAAACAGCAATCATTTCAGTTTAGTTATTGATACAGTAGATGAACTTAGAAGATAGGAAATCTTCCTTTAATATGCCCTTAGTGATTGAATGATTTACTAAGTCAACATAGAATCCATTTAAACTAACCAAATTCTTAAAGCTATCCTTCTAACATCCAGTACTATAATGTTTTTCACAATATTCTTTAGTTTTTTCAATATTTTTGAAGTTCTCAATGAATTAAGAACGCTTATCTCTATAATAGCTATCGTTCTTAGCTGATTTTGATTCGTAAGCACATTCCATCATATCATCACCCAGATATAAATCTTAGCATGCATTATTATATGATGCATTTCTCAATGAACCAATAGATTATTAAACCATTGGCATCCTCATTCTATCCTATTAAATATTCATATTCATCATTGCAGCTTAAGGTGCCATTGCTTGCTATTGCATCATCATCATTCTTGGGGCAGGTGCTTAATTCATGCACATCAAATTCCTTTGAATTGGCTATTGTACTTGTTATATCATTTGTTGTTATGCATACATTACTTCACCTTAATTAATGTCAAAGTTTTCATCTTCAGCTTCTATTTTAGCACCCAAGACTGTATCAAAGTACTTCTTAAAGATTCTCTAATCGATTATGTTCTATTTATTAAGATTTTCTAAGTAGGAGGCTATTTATTTGGCATCTTCCAATTGATTGGATATTTCTGCAAAGTAGATCACCAATAATGCTTGTTCTAATGCATTCAACTATGTAATCTTTTACATAGACCCATATTATCTTAATGCAGCATCGTCCTTTAATAGGAAATAATCAATAAAGCTTTTCTCAATTTTGTTTTTGATGTAACTCTCTGTGTAGGTTTCAAAGAATGCGGAATCCTTGAAGAAAATAAAGAGGTTCAACTCATCACATTGATGTTCGTCATAGAGCTTGTGTTTTTGCTCAGTAGTTTATTGGTACCACTTAATCAAGAATTCCCACTTTTAAAAGTCTTTAGATCCACTATCATCTCCATTAGCTTTTTTCAATTCTTTTAAGACAATAAACATTTTATCTAAGGAATCCACCAATTTGATTTCTGTTGATGTTAAATCTTGGACTTAAATGGGGACATTCTTTTAGACATTAGACGAATTTCTATAAATTGAATAAAATTTATCCTTCTACAATGTGGAAAGATGAGCGAGGTTTCTAGTTTGCACTTCTTCATTTTCAAGTGGCAATATTTAAAATTAATAGGATGACTCATTGAATACAAGCAATGTCACTGTTGAATAATGAGCTGGTACATCAATTTAGAAGTTATTATTTTCATCTAGACCAACATTTGAATACAATATGGCTGGATATTTCAAAAAGTCATTGAAAGTAGTCACTTATTAATGTCTTTAGCCTGCTGATCCATAACCTGCTTATTTGTTTAAGGCTCGTGGTTGTTGATTTTGTTATTCGAATTTATCCTTATATGATCCCTCTTGATTCAATGATTCACCTTGAGTTGTAGTTTCTCTAATTTATTATCTCTTCAATAGGAATTATGGCTTTTCAAGGGTGTTACCAATATATCTCTCTTATGTTTTTCTATTTAAAACATACTTTTATTCATCCGACAATTCTTTGTTTGATTAAAATACACTACTGTATAAATCTATAGATAATTGTTCAGATCTATCTTTATTTATCAATTACTATATCTGATTCACTTATTATTCAAATTATTCATTCAAAAATGATGTTGCATAAGCATAAACCTACACTTTTTGTTTTGACACAATGTTACCACTGATCTTAGTTCCATTCTCCTCCTTCTTTTAATCAACCTTCGATATTGCTATCAATTGATCCAAACCCTTATCAATTATTAATTGATTCTAAGATTTTATAATAGAAGTGCCCTTCCACAATTCTCCATCAATCACATTGATGTAAATGGTAAATCTATCTTTCACAAATTGCAACTCATAAATTCCTTTACTTTCCAATTTAAATGCTATGAATTATTCCTACTTTTTGATTGAATCTGTCAAACTTTTGATGACAGCTCTCTCTGTTTATCCAAAGACTTGATACAAGACAAATGGATTATTTATATCTCCACTATTGCTAAAAGGTAGATTGATTTCTTATCCTGGTAACACTGTGATTTTGGTAGGATAAGAGATTTAACTCTTTTAGTTAATTGGCCATGATTTCTATTACACATTGATGTCTCCTACACTTTTGATATTTGAACTTATTGAATTTACATTCCTCAACTCTCCCAAATAGACTCTACCTTTTTCATCTGTTGTGAATTACTCGTTGTAAGTATGATTTAAGGAATTCAAAGTGAATGTGACATTCACTTAAAATCCTCTTTTTGGTTCACCATTCTTTCCTACAATCAGGATTTAATATCCATTTATTTTATCATATTTCAATAACTAATTGCAAATAACTTGTTGTCCCTCAAGATTGTCAAAATAGATGAAATGTGATTATTCAAGTTAATCTTCTTACTTTTTCTCATCCTTATGCATTCTTGTGATCTTTCCTGTGATTTTAATTTCAATAGCCTTTAATTTAGAAGTGATAGGGAATTACACCTCAAATGGCTTGTCATTTTCTAATTTAATATTATCAAATGGTAAAGTTGCTGGAACACCTGCATCATTTGTGCTTGTTACAGAAATCTTTTGATCTTAAAGCAAGGCCAAACCTACTTCAGTGCCATTCACAAACAACTTTGGAATTATAACTGCCTTGGCTTAACATCCCATTAACAAAGATTCATCAGCAATCAAAAAGGCACATTTCAATTGATACTTCTCCTATTAAATGAAAACAGTTGTAAATTCAGCAAAATTATCATGGACAATTACTGCATTAAATTATTAATCCCTTTGACCAAATGGTATCAGGATTTCTTTTCTTGATTGATCCACATTGTAAAATTTCTTATCAATCCAAACTCCTGTTTTCTCACCTGTGCATAATTCGAAATTCTCATCACATATTTAGAATCTGTGACCGGCTGCTGTGATGGTTTCTCTTAATTGAAGTCTACCCTTCTTTATTAGAGCTCTAGAAGATATACCATTACCAATAAACTCAACTATAAAGATTCCTCTCTAGATGTTAGTAATAGTTTGAAATTCGAATTCCTTTATTACTTTTTAAATGGGGGGATAATTGTAAGAGAAATCAGTTTCTTCAAATGCAATCAATCCATCCAAATTAATTGAAGAATCTAATTATTATTACTTCTATAAGTAATAGTTTTCAGAGTTGAATTCAAATATTTTAATATTTAATTTTGGAATATTCTTGAGTTCAACATACAATTTAACTGAATCTCCATGTTTAAAATACATCTTATTGAATGAACAAATAGTCAGCAATTTGCTTGAGTTCATTTATTCAATTTATGCACTTGTGAGATAATCATAAATGTTTTATAATTCTAAACCTTGATGTAATTTGACAGTCGCTTAAACCTTCTTCAGATATTTTGTGTCGAGATATTATTCTAAAATACCTAAATCGTCATTCTTCTCAAAATATTTTTATAAGTATTTCTCAATTATTTGATCTGTGGCAATCCATCTATTTGTGTTCAACTAATGGTATTCGTGCCATTATTATTGATAATTTCTCTTATTGTTTTTTATGAATGTTTTTTATTTTTCATTTGCAGCATCATAATCATCCTTTGGATCTTTTAAGAAAACCAAGAATAAATCGAAGTCATATTCGTTCACCTCAATACCAATTTGTAATAATTCGTAGAGTATCTAATCATTGAATGACTTGAATTTTGGAGGCAAAGTACTTGTCCAATTGTAGACATCCTTGATGTTTTATAAGACTTTTTTCTTTTCTTCCTCAGTCAATTTAGAATATTGAATGTCTTTCAAATTGTATTGGAATTTTTTGAGATAGTATTCTCCGACAAACTATTGGTTTTCCAGAAACTTCTTGTTCAATTGAAGCAATCCTTCCAGTTAAGACAAACTCAACTTTCTAAAATGAGCCTATTGAAAATCGTTCTTGAAGTCCTTCAAATTAGATAACTTATCATAGAACTCAGGGATGCCTGGGAAGCTATGTATATGAAAATAGTGATTACTCTACAATTTCGTTGCCAACGTTGTTCAAATAAGTTTTGATTACTTTAATAGAGCTGGCTGCTATTTTGTTTACATCCAATTATCCATAAAGTTGTTGCTTAATTTTTGCAAATCCAGCCTCTGTGTATGCATTGTCTAAGAATTTGCTTACTTCAAAGACGCTGTCATTGAATTTCGACTTGTAAGTCATTTATTCTATAAGTCCTCCAGATTGGGATTAACCCTAAAATAAAACTAAGCTTCATACTCTTGCTATTGCGGGGGCCTCTTGAGCAAAGGAAAATTTAAAGTATTATCTATTCATTTTGTCAACTATAGCCTTTAGTTATTAGTCAATTTCTTCTGATGGAGTTTCACTGCTTAATCGATCATATTCTAAAAACAATGCTCTCAAATTAGTTTTATTGGCATTAGCAGTTTGCATGTCTTTAAATGCTTCCAATTGCTGCTTTTATTCTGTAGTTAATTGATATCCATGCTGATTGAAAATCTTTAAAAAATAATAATAATAATATTGGTCTGTGCCCTTGATAAGTTTACCTATTGCCTCATCCTTAGACAATAAGAGTTAATTTTCTAACAATTATAAATCTTGAGTTGACATATTTAAAAGATATTTATTCTAATCAATAAAAAGATATTCATCGACGCTATTATATGATTTAAATGAATGTAAATTAAATATATCTAATAAATTCTGATATTAGCCGAATTTGTAGAAGGGAAACTCGATTTAAAAAAGTGGACAATTGATAATTCATTTAAAGCAATTAAATAGAAAGAAAAAATATAATCTAGAAATTAAACTTACTATTAATAGTGATAAAAATACTTTAAACGACTTATTATATTAATAAGTTTAATATATCATATAATCATTGTATCTTAATGAAGTCTCAGTTTATAGATTAAAATGGACAGAGATAAAATGAATGATGATTATAATTTAGATATTATGCAATATAATTAAATGAATGTTGTCGTTAATTTATTATTTGAATGTTAATTAATCGCTGTTATTATCCTGAAACTCGTAAAGCAATCGATCATTACAGTTACGCTCTGAATGAAGAAATAGGAAGAGGGTTTAGTAGCAAAGTTTATAGAGGAAGAGATGAAAACAATTAAATGACTGTGGCTGTTAAAGTATGATATAAATTTGTAAGACAAGGTAATTGACATGAAGATGGTTAAACAGAGTATTCATGCCACTTTACTAAAGAATGAAATAAATGCTTTGAAATCATTTAACTCAAAGAACATACTAAAATTGTATGATGTTTTCTAAACACAGAATAATACATACATCATAACAGAGTATTGCGATTCTGGAGATCTGAGTGGTGTGATAAAAAAGAGAGGAAGAATAGACGAGACTGAAGCATTGCGAATCATGAATGAAATAATCACAGGACTACTGGAGATTAATCAAAAAGGTTACATCCATAGAGACATTAAGCCAGCAAACATTCTCATAGAGAAGCAGACTCCAAAAATAGCAGATTTTGGTTTTGCTGTCCAAAATAAACAGCATGGAAGTCAAACAACAAGGCAGACATTACAATGTAGGAACTCCCCTCTACATGTCCCCACAAGCCTTGAGACAATAGGGCCACACCGAAAAAGGAGATGTATGGGCCATGGGTGTAATGTTCTTTGAAATGCTATTCGGACAAACGCCATTTACAGCCCAGACTGAATAGGGATTGCTAACAGCTATTTTGCATCACCATCTAGTCATTCCTTCACATCCCTCAATATCAGATGCTTCCAAAGATTTCATCCGTAGATGTCTTTGCATCGATGAGAATCAGAGAATGAGAGTCAAGGATATGGCCACTCACGCAATCTATTCACAATACTCCCAACCAATTTATAAACCCATACCCTTATAAACCCAACAATCATCCAACGTTCCCACACCTGCAACCAGAACTCCTATTATCAACAAGGACAGATCTCAAAGTCAGGGAATTAGAGACTTCTAATCTAGACCCAAGTGCCAAGTAATTATGTTCAATATCCAAGACTCAAATTCATAATGATAGCAAAGTAAGTAAGAGATGTCCTTCCGAAATGTATCATCTCCCTCATCCACCTACCACTGTTATTGAACCTCCTATTTCTGATCCCATGAGATCCAAAAGTCAAAAGCAAATCACAGAATCAAGAAAAACCATTACTCAAGAAAATTAGTTAGAAAAAAGGAGTTTTAAAAAAAATAATACTGTACTTTAAGAGTATTTATTCAATTCATCATCATAGACGATCTATTAATGTATAAACTCAGCCATCCTAAAATACTACTCCGGTTTAGTCACCCATAAAGTTCAAGTCAAATAATGACATCCTATTTGCCTAAATTAACTATTGTAGATTTCTGTACAAATTCTCATAGCAAATCATTAATTCAAGGTCATTGACTCTATCCAATGGCTTAAAAGAGAAGTTGTTATTCTTGATGGCTAAGAACATTGCCATGAAGATTTCTAAACTTCACACAATCATCGATAAAGAGAATTCTAAAGATAACACTTTCTAACTAGAAGATTTCGATGTGTACAGAAAGGCTGAATCATTCCAGAAGTTTAGTTAAGCTATTGCAGAATATAACGAAAACTATAAGAGATACTTTGAGAAGACTTACTAAATGATAGTTAATAAAAGTAACATCTTATGTAATTATACACAGATCTCCCTCAAGATAAGAAATTTGAGGCCCTGTTTGATAAAGACTTAAGTGAATTTGAAAGTTTCTATTTCATCACTCAATCCTACTTAAGGCAAGCCTTGCAAGAAATGAAAAGTGAATTGCCAACCTCTAGTTCTGATTTAGATGCTTTCTTGCCTGAAGAAGTACTTTTAATTTATTATTCCTAGTATAATTTTAGTTATTTTGTGGGTCAGCAATTGTGCAATTATTTGCTTATCTGTCATTGTACTCTCTAAAATATGAATGATTATAAGAAATTCTCAAAGATGCTAAAAATTGATTAGATGGTTGATTAGAAACAAAATAGATGCACATACAGACAAGTTGAAGAACTGAGGAGTAAAATGTAAGAGTTGGTTTCTAAGTGATTTTGATTTGTAAATTTTATATTAGATTTTTATATTTAATAAATGAAATAGTAATAAGGGGTTGTTGTTGTTTAACCTAAATATTATGCCACCTTCAATCAGACTCAACCACCATCTTATTGGGATTATGAGAATGCTAAAATTGAATATGGGTACAATTACATTCTTATTTATCAGATCCGAAGAACCTTACGAAGCAATTTGTAAAATTGGAAGAGGCAAATATTCTGAAGTCTTTGAAGGTGTTGATAATAAGAATGGAACCAAAGTAGTTCTTAAAGTTCTCAAGCCTGTCAAAAAGAGAAAAATACGCAGAGAAATCCGCATTCTTTAAGTGTTAAAAGGCGGCACTAATATTATTGATCTTTACGATGTGGTTAGAGATGAAAATTTAAAAATCCCAACTTTAGTAAAAGAATCAAGTTAACCTAGATCTTCCCTTATATGGAGAATACAGATTTTAGAAGCATGTTCCCTAAATTAACAGATAATGATATCAAGCATTATTTATTTGAATTGTTAAAAGTAAACTAAAACTTAAAATAGGCTTTAGATTATGCTCATTAAAGAGGTATATTTCATAGAGATGTGAAACCATAAAATATTATTGTCGATCCAAAAACTAGAACCTTGAAACTTATAGATTGGGGATTGGCAGAATTCTATCATCCCTCACAAGATTATAATGTTAGAGTGGCATCACGATATTTTAAAGGACCAGAATTGTTGGTGGACTATATTTATTATGATTATTCGTTGGATATATGGAGTACTGGTGCAATGTTTGCTTCCATGGTACATTGATATAGTGAATTTTAGATTTTTAAAAAGGAACCGTTCTTCCAAGGGAATGATAATTATGATCAATTAGTAAAGATTGCTAAGGTCTTAGGAACAGATGGTTTAAAATAATATATAAAAAAATACAATATCAAATTGGATAATGCATACAATGGACTCTTACTTAAGTATAATATTCATACTATTTATTTGTTATCCAAAATAAGATTGGCTGTCCTTTGTTAATCAAGACAATTCTAATTTGTGTAGTTTGGATGCCATTGATTTGTTGTCCAAAATGTTACTTTATGATCATGCCGAAAGAATCACTCCAAAAGATGCCATGTTACATCAATATTTTGCAGAATTAAAAAAAAATTGAACGATATAATAGATATATTAAATATATATTATTAAAATCATCTGTTTCGCTTACTTTTATTCCCACTTTTCACGTATTCCTTAAATTGCCTTATGATAATATGTTATATTTACGCTTGAACTTATCTCTCTAATAGTTCCTAATATTGGAAACAAGGACCTTCTTCATCCTCACCTATCAGCATAGCAATTGTATCGTTATTCTCCAAAGGTTGAAAACCAAAATTCTATGCTTGAATCATATCCTATTTCTTCTCTGTTGTCTCTTATTATTATTATTATTGACTATCATTTGCAAACATATCTATGTGACTAGCTTGATAGTTTCCTGCAATGCTTGATTGGACTGTATTCACTTAGCTATATTATGATGGTGCTAATGATGATACAGATTTATGTCTATCTTAACTTCTTTATATAATGGCTCTAGCCTTAGCATAAGGATCAGGAGGACGAAGAAAATCAAATTGACTAGATTATGATTAATTTTATGATTGCATTTCTGGTACCAGAGATTACCTTTTAGTATTCTTAGCAGGACTTTTTGATTTTGATATTTTTTCACTGTCTATTTCTGGTTTTAATTTACTTTACGAGTTGATATTATTCTTCGTTTGTTTTTTATTAGGATCCTGATGGGTTGAATCTTTTTTAATATTCCTCTAAGAATTTTGCTGAGATTACAACTTTACAATAATTATATCAATAATTTACATCAGAAGTTCTTCTTTCTAATAATGCCCATTCATATTTATAATCTAATTCAATTTTGTTATCACTTGCACACTTGCGCATCAATTATTTTAAATACTCATAATCAGGTGTTTATTTAAATTGCAGTTTTTTTACATATTCAAAGTACTTTGAAAATTCATTGGGCATGTCTTTACATAGCTCTTCAATCAATATTTACATTTTCATTTTTCCAACTACTTTAGTTTTCTCTTTATCACTTACATTTTATAAATTTTACCAAGGTAACGAACCTTTATATAAAAATACCAGCATATATCCCAAAGATTCTAAATCATCTCCCCTTCCCAATTCGAAACCCTTATGAGCACCAATCGAGGCATACCTCGTCGTTCCTATGAAGGGTTTTCCATCTCTGAAAGGTCTATATTAATGTATTTAATGTAATTTACACATGATTTCCATTAGCATCCTTGTAGATCTTAGAAATCCCAAAGTCCACCAGATATATTTCATTAGGATCACGTCCCACAAGCACATTCTCTGGTTTCATGTCTCTATGAATTATTGATCTACAATTATATTTTTTATCATATTACTTTGTATGGCATTGCTCCAAAATGGTTATCATCTACTCAGCCAACATGATCAATGTTTTCAGTTAAAATCTTTTAAGATGCTTTGCATAATAAGCCAAATCTCTTCCCAGCAATTGAATTACCATAATGTTGTAAGGTCCTTCTGAACCAAACCAATACAATTTTGGAATGCCTTTTATACCCTGCAACCTCTATAATATTTATGACTAAGCTATAGATTCTAAAATTTATGTACTTCTCTATCCAGAGACTTAGCTTCATCACTCTCCTCCTTCTCAATCTTTAAAGCTATTTACTCACTCGTTTTCTTGTCTTCCCCTTGAAAAACAACACCAAATGATCCAGAACTTAACTTTTTCAACACAACAAACTAATTGTTGAACACCTTCAACTCCTTTTATTGTTAAATAGAACTAGATGTCATTAATTAATTTAATTATGTTTTGAACTTTAAACTACTCTATTCTAAATAACTTCATATAGATTTTATATTAAAACACTCTTCCTTCAAATTGAATCAACCAATTTCAACAACATTCTAAGATTAAAATATCCACAAAAATCGATTTATTAATTATATCTACTCATTTTACATATTAAATTCTTTTGTGGGAAATATATGATTATTCATGACTAACAAAGGAAAACATACTATAAATTTTGAATTCTACATCAGAAACTTAATTTTATTAATAAAATATGAAATATTTAATCTCATTCATATAAATTTTCATATTTAATATCTTAGGAGCTCTCATTGCTAAATATTAATGCGATTGCTCATTATTTGTAGAAGAATCGATTTGTTTAGGAATTGACACTTGCAATTGGATTAATGAACTCTGTGTTAACAAGGATTGTTTTGACATGGATGAAAACGAATGTGATTTAATAGGAAAATGCAGTCTTAATCAAGAAGGCAATTGTGAATCCTCTTCATTTTGTACCAATTATCAAGTCAAAGACCAAATTGATTGTATGATTAAGAAAGGAAATTGTGGAGCTGAAAATCAAAAGAATGCTGCTGGATTTTATTAATGTAAATCTTATAATTCCGTTGATTGCAATTCATTAGCAGCAGAAAATTGTACTAATAATTATGAAGATAGAGAAACATTTTGCTGGCTAAATTCAACTAAATAATGTCAAAGCTATAACATAAACTCTTGTGAAGGATTACCGTTAGATGTCTGTGATAAATTAGAATGCAAAAACTCAAATAGTCAATGCTCAGCCTTCCTATGTTCTGACATTACTTCATAAGACCAATGTACGTATGTACAAGACGGTACTTGGGGTTCATTGACACTTTGCTAATGGAAAGAAGATTAAACTCCAAAATGTATTGAAAGAACTGAAACAAAAGATTTTACTAATATCACTTGCTCAAAAATGACTGATGGTAGATATTATTGGAAAAATGAATCTTGTGTCTCATGCCCAAAAAATTATGAAGATAATTCGAGTTCCTCCCTGAGTTTAATTCTCTATTTAATTTATGTTTTGCAGTATCTATGAACCTTTAAGCTAGATATATATATAACTAACTTTTTTAAATAATAATCATTGATCGTTGTTGTCTTAAATTATTTATATAAGGATTTGAATCAATAATTTTTTTTATTCGATTAAATAAGAGTAAGAATTATATTTGATTTTAGTTATTATGTAATATCCATATATCTTTACTCTTAATATTTTGTAGGAGCATCTTAAATCAAGTATAGAATAAATTTCAATAATGTTAAAAATTAGATCTTATTTGATGTCCTAACAATTTTATGAAATTTATAGGTGGGGAGTGTTGTTATTGAGAATAATATCGATTTTACGTAAACTAGAATTAATTATTGAGTTCTATTAAGAGATAGAAATATCTATAGATTTATAAATGGGATATAAAATTAATTAATGTAAATATTTATAAGAAATGTCATATAAAAAATTATTAAATTATTTAAGATATTTATTGAATAGATTGTTATACTAACTTAAATTGGGAAGATTAATTATACTTGGATGGTAGAATCCTCGATATTCATGTTTTAAATTTTCACTTTTGATTAAATTCATATATATTTTATGATTGGTATAAAGTAGAATTCTGATTCCTAATTCTAAGAATCATTCAAAGTTAGGAGATTATTTTACTGTAAATTAATGAATGAGGTGATAGGATATTAATTATATATTGAATCTCAAATTAGATAAATATTTATAAAAATACTAAGCCCCTTATAATATGGATTCAATAGACTACTAAGAAGCGAAATTCAAATTTCAAGGTGTTCGCAAACACTTCTTTAAGGATGTCATTTATCACATAACTGTGTTTGATGATATGGTCACTATGGGAACAGTAAAAACATTATATAATTGTTTTAGACTTCGGATTGCCAAAACCCGAAATACAAACTAAAGCTGAATCTTGAAACAAAAATAAATTGGGAGTTACGAAAGAATAAGGCGGAACTCGATTGCTTTGAGTTTGAGCATTAAAACAAAAGGAAAGTTGTTCACAGCTAGCCAAATGATTTATTTAAGTACAGTTTTGTTTCAGTATTTTAGATTCAAAGAACTATTAGCAGGAAAAGTAACCTTTGAGGGCATTGGCGATTTATACTAACCCCTATATCAGATAGGGAAAGGAAGCTCAGCAAAAGTACAGCATTTTTGTTGATATGTAGGTGTATAGTGCAAAGAGTGCTTTAGATTAAAGAGTATATGCTGTAAAGGCCATAGAGAAGGCCTTTCTCAAGATATCTGAGAATGGAAACGGATTAGTAAATATATTTAAGATTTTTAGTAAGGTTTTCAATCGGAAGTTCAAATTCTCAGAGCATTATAATAATACGAAAATAATTTTCTGGTGTTGAAGGAGATTTATGAGGGTGACAACACTTTGTATGTGGTTACATCATATTTGGAAGGATTGAGTCTGAGTGGAGAATTAGAAAAAGCCAAGGTACGATTAAATATCCATATCAAGACTCTGCCCAACAAAAGACTACCAATAAACAGTATAAAGATAATAATGAGGAAACTTTTGACGAATTTAAAAATTTTGCATTCTCATCGTGTATTAATAAAAATATAGTTATAGATTATTCATAGAGACTTAAAACCAGATAATTTGATGTTTTCTAAAAAGAATGATTACACATCGTTAGTTCTTGTCGATTTTGGATTGGCCACTTCAGAGCTTCTAGACAAGTAAGAATTGTGATCAAATATAAGGTATTTGTTTCCCAAATGCGGGACACCTGGTTATGTGGCTCCTGAGGTATTGACAACTAGATCAGATTTGAGATATAATTGCAAGGTTGATATATTTTCTGCAGGATGCATATTTTATAAATTACTTACTGGACACAGTTTATTCATTGGATAGAATTTCGATGAAGTATTGAAGTCCAATAAAATGTGTTAGATCGATTTGGATCTACCCATTGATGGCGTTTACATTACAGAATAATCAATAGTAACTATTTCTAAGTATTCTAGGATATTTTGAGGAGGATGCTTAACAAGAATCCAAAAATCAGGATCAGTGCCACTTAGGCTCTGTAGCATTAATTTTTAGACTCTAATAGTGATTTCAGCACTTAAGCTATTTAATCAACTGGTTAATAAATGACTAAAAACGCTATTTATTAATTGAATTTGGCAGAATCTGAATCCAAATATAATAGTTAGAATGAGATTAATGATGAGTAATTGTAGAATTCTAAAATTAACGATACAAAACGATATTTATTGATGAATGAGATGCCACTTTCAGCAAAAAGAAGCAGTGGATAGTTTTCAGGTACTTTTTATCATAAGGACCCTCTATCGGCCGTAAAAACCATTAAGATTTCAAATGAAACATCATAACCACTTAAATTAAGTAGTCATTTATCAGCTTCCTAATTTTGATTCTTTATCTTATTTTATAATATTATACAATATGATAATTCACTTAAAAGACAATGACTTTTAGGATCCAAGACTCTTCTAACTCAGCATTTCCTCATGAGCAACTTGTAATGAAGTATAATCCCCTTTGACTGCCAGGATATGGGCAGAAGCAGCAGCTTGCATTGAAATTCTTCTAATCATTTTTTGCATATCCTCTTTTGATTTTGGATTCTCTATTGAAATACTTGAATTTGTGGACAGAGTCTGAACCAATATTATTATTACCTATTGGTTAAACACATCGAGGTTGAACGGAGGGAACAATCGCTAAGTATATAGTATATTAATAATAGATTAACTTGGCTTATTCACCCTTTGATATTGTTGCTATTGCTTTTATTGTAATTGATATTGCATCTCTTCATTGCAAGCTTGGGAGTTCCGTAATTTAGATGTGAGAGTGTCGACCTAATCTTTCAATTCCTAAATCTATTAGTCTTTATGCGAGATTTCATCATACAGTTTTTGAATCAAATCACTATCGTCATTCATCGAAGAGTAGAGTGCTGTACTGCAAGATACCTTGGAATCTGCTAATTTTGTGTCTGTTTCTCTTATATCTTTGAGGATTGTAAGAAGTGTATCCCTTCTTTTTTTAAGTACATTCCCTTTTTATTATACTAATCTATTGGTAGAGTGAATCTATGAAATTAAATCTTATAATTGATCTTTATGCGATTCTTAAATAATTCCTAATAATTGAGCCATTAAGATAATAAAATTTTAATATTAGATTGTATTAATTTTCCTGGTGATATTTGGCATATTAAAGGTGCAGCCTTGCATTCGAAACATAAAAATAAAAAATGATGAAAGAACCTGAGAAGATCATTAAGAAACAACATATAAATGGCTAATTGAAATATTAAGTGAAATGGAAGGGTTTTGATGAAACGACATGGGAAGTTGAAGATAATGTAAAAAAGTACAAAGAACTAATTGAAGATTTCAACTATTTCTGTTTGACAGGAGAAAGATATGATGACAAGAAACTTGATGAAATCAGATAAATAACGGCATAAGCTTAGCCTAGAACTGCAATAAAAAGAGTTGCTGGACCGAGACCTCCTGATCCAAACAAAAAGGATAAAAAGACAGAAAAAGTAGATTAAAAGTAATCAGAAATTAGCGAAACCTTGTCGTAAAGTCAATTAGAGAATGGCAATAACAACCACACTCTTAGTGCTTCAAATAATAATAACATTCTTATTTGCAATGAAAACTAAACGCCTCAGAATTCCAATTAAAATAATGTAATTTCAAATCTGTAAACCTCGCTGATTGTCAATATGCATTAACAGAATCATAAAACTGGTAGTATAATCTCGTAAAAACAATAGGAATTAACTTAGTAAATTTTATTTATCATTTTTATAGAAAAGTAACCTAACATTACGCAAATTAAGATGACAAATTAGCAGTGATTAAATTATAAATAACCGAAGACAATTGTGTATTCTAATTATAATGGAAACAGAGGAGTGATGGAATAACTCCACTTCCTGAATTCTACAGCTATGAATAGTTTAAATTGCAAGCTCCTTTGTTTTTTATTAAATTTATAGAAACATGTTTACTAGAATGTTAGAGCAGCGACAGTGACATCAAGTAATGAATTCATCATAATAAATATAGATTCGAAATAGCAGGAAAGGATATGTTCGAGAAGACAAATTTAATAAAAAGTGCCTTATAAAAAAGAGAAATGGGTGACAAAAAGAAAGGTGTCTAACAATTGTTGATTTCATGACTTAAATATGCATGTAAAAATTAAAATAAAATATAATGATAACAAAATAAGAATTGTGTGTTCCATCCATCAATCTCATAAATTAATATATAAATAAAATATTAATGTACCTAACAACACCCTAAAGATATCCATTATTCAAAGGTGTCCCCAATTCTCCAGTTATGCCTCGCCCATTTTATCAAACATCCTCACCTACAATGAGTTTCGTAAACCCCTTCGTTTAGTAAAATACTTATCGTCCTCAACCTTCTCTGCCCATAAGTCAAAGAGCTCCAATCCCTACTCAAAACCCAAATCAAAGAGCACAGACACCTCAAGCTCGAATCACAGGAAAAGCCGTACCCTCAAATCCTCCACCTCAAAGAGTGTAAGGAAGTCTGTCCAACAATGCACCTCCAAAGGGATAGAATCCATAAACTGTAATTCCTAATAAGCCTTATACCAGAACAATGCCTCAACCTAATATTAAACCTCAAAGCACAATCCCAGTAATGTATAGTAATAATAGTTAGACCAATCAATAGTAAATGATTTAGTAATTGAGCAAAGAGAATTTAGACTTAAAAAAGAAATTGGCTGAGAAAGATCTAGAATTATAAAAATTGAAAGTCAAAGAAGAAGCATTGGAGCAGAAATTTAAAGAATTATAAGATTAATAAAGGAGTTGAATACTTAGGCAGATAATATTTATATATAAATCATTCTTATGACCATCTTGCTATTCTATCTATATTATCATTTAATAATTGTTGTGCTTCCTAAACTCTATCCAATATGAATTGTCTATTTAATTATGATATACAATACCTAGAATCATTTCTATCTTATAACTTTAGTCCTACATCTTTCACACCTTCCTTACCGACACTAAGTTCATAATCTTTTTGTTCAAAATGAACCTCCAATTGCTAGTAGTGTCTCTAAGCTTCTGAAAGAGAACTACATCATAAAAATAAATACGCATTTATCTCTCCAGTCAATTTATTGTACAATCTAATATTCTCTTGTTCTTTGGCTTCATCAGCTTCTAAACTAGCGAGCACTGCCTTGTTAAGACTTTCTAAAAGATTCAAAACCTTTTCCGCTTATTCAGTATCTAAATGAGCAGTTATCTACATTTGATTAGCAAAATACTTGAGCCAAGACTTCTACATGTTTTCCTCTACCTAATTATTTGATTTCCTCAAGAAGATTATCCATTTCAATAAGACTATGACCATCTAATGAAAGTGCGTGAACTCTCTCAACCAAAAGAGATATTGTTTCAAGTATAACATTTTAATTGGCAAGTCTTTTTTAATATGCTGCTTAATCTTAAGAGAAGAGATTATCAATGATCTATTGTTAATGATTCAAAACTGAAATCTTCTTTGCAGCTGTGTCCACTGCTTCCTTTAATTCTTGTACTTCATTTACTAAACCTTCTAATCCAGATTCAAGAGATTATTGTTATTCATTGAAATATTTTTCATCTTCTGCTTAATCATCGGCTAAATGTTTTCTTAATTCTTCGACATGGTCATTCAAATCTTAGAGTGTTGCTCCTTTTTGAATGAATGCTGAAAGCTCTCCAAATAATTTATTTCCGAAATCGCTTGATTATGCAAATTATCCAAACACCTCCTAAAAGGCTGAATGATTTGCTGTTTAGAGCATGATGTTATTGGACATAACAAGACCTATAAGACAGAAAGAAATCAGCTTCATATCCGTTTTTATTTTTAATAATGATTACTCAAAACAAATTAAATTTCCTCAACTCACTTCTAGATTAAGAACTCCAACAATTAACGTAAAGTTGTGATCTACGAGATATACCCAATAACAAAATATCATCCCTTGAATCCCACTTACAACGAAATAATGATAACCAACTTGGTTCATAACAATCAATCATTGAAAGAGCATTCCCAACTTTAGGTGTTAAAGATACTGATGAGGATTTCACTCCATTTAAGCAAACACAAAGAAAATCTACTCGCATTAGAGCCACGTCATCTAAACACAAAAAATTGTCAATTGAACAAAAAAAAAGCTTAAAGAAAGTTTCCCAAGAATAAATTAATGCTAAAGCCTTGATTTTAGAAAAGCAGAAAAATTCAGAACTTCAATAAGAAGTTAAATAATTGTCGAAAAAATTTAAAAAGGCCTAAGCATCAATCACACAATTAAAACAATAATTGTTAGAGAATGAAAAATTTAAGGAAAACTTTCTTAAAAGTGAATCAATCAGATAATAACAAAAAGAATTAATTCAATTCTTGAAAAAAGAAATCGACTAACTCAAAAGAAAATGATATATATTAAGCTTACTTATATACAAGTATACTATTCATAAAGATTTATAAACTAATTATAAATATTCTAGCATTCGATGCAGAGATGATTACTTTTGTTGATTCCACAATCCTCTCTTTGTTTGATAGTCCAATGCACACTTGGTCAATTCCAAAGCCTTTACAAATAGTATTTTATTTAATTAAGTTATTTATGTTGCATTTCCTATGTATTCTCGAACTGTTATCCGATATTAATCTGACCATAAAGCCAATATTTAATAGAGTTCATCAGCTTTTTCATTAGTAAATTTCAGATTGATATATTATTACTAAGAGATTTCAAGTAGTTCAACCAAAGGATTCAAAAACACTAATATTTTCTAGTTACTCACATAGGCTTCTAATTTTGATTGCCCTGTTAGCCATGATATTAAAAGAGTGATCAATTATTGTAAATCCTTCATCCCTTATTCATAAAGATCCAAATAAAATTAACTTAATGGTTTCTATCCTCTTTTTGGACGATCCAATTAATCTTACTATAGAAAATCCCTGATTTATTATTAATTCCACAGGAAGAAATCTCGATTCCTTGAGTCCATTACAATAAATTGAATTCCTCTAATGCTTTTAACTGCAACAAAGGAAATCCAATGGTTGGTTACACCAAGCATATATGTTTAAATCATTTCTTCACTCTAGGAAGGCCTAAACTCTTAAAATAAATTGAATTTTCTAAATTATGAATAATACTATACTTTTATAAAGCCAAACGTTCATTGTATCCATTAACTATATTACCATATTAATAGAATATAGTATCATTAGTAATAAAGTACTTAATTCCGTCAAAGACTTCATTTTAAAATGTTTATTTAAAAAGTGGTTTAGACTCTAAACAGCATTTCAAGTATGTTCTTTCAAAGTCTCCATTTTCTATATCGTCATTCCTCCATGGCCAGACTGAACCATCTAAACCTCGTGAGTCTCTGTATAATTTTAGAAAATCTTAAGTTCGACGAACATAGGACCAAAATGCTGCTATATCATAAAACTAAGGTGAGATTCTGAGAATATAATTACACATTTACTTATATTTGATACTCTAAACACATTATATTAAGTTATAGGTAGCATGGTAACCACACAGATTTGGAACAAATTATTTATGAACCAAAATATGATGGAACTGTTGTTTATTTGGAACATATTCATTTTGCAATTCTACTATTCTTATTGTATTTTAAGTGATAGCTTTAATTTCTTCTCCCTTATGATATTACTTAATCCAGACTCCTTATTTTGATTTATTAGAATTTGTATTAACAAAATCTATAAACTTATGATGCTATTCAATATTGTCAAGAATGTTTCTAACGATTTCTTCAGCAGGATGTAAGTTTTCCATTATATTTATTAATATTGACATTTGACTTTAAATGTAGAATTTGCTCGTCAGATTATAAAAGAATACGAATGGGATTTTATTTTCACAAATTATAAAATATTGTAAATTAGTTATTATTTTTCAGAATATTGGTGATCTAAATTTTGTCTAACCCTTTTACTGTATGTGTTCCATAGCAAGGAAATCCGATGTCTTAATCCCTTAGTTTAATCCATCTAACCATTTCAGAGAATTCCACAAATTCAGGGACATATCCTAAAATCTCAAATACTTTATTGTGTGTGTAGTAACATATTGATAACTAAAGATCCTAAAACTAGAACTCTCTTGGTATTTATTCTATAGGAATTTCAAATTCCCCTTCTAATAGAATATAAGATTCTTTTTGAAAATGCATTCCCTTTATATACTTCAATCCCTTGCCTAACTTTATAAGTTCCTCCTTTAATAAATGTCCAGCAGAATGCAGTTAGGAATGAATAAGTCTTACTTCTGGGTTTACTTTCTATAAAATAGGAGTTTTTTTTGTTCTACAATCCAATAAAAGATCGTAAGCTTCTTAAGAAAATTCGATATCCACATAACTCTCTTGATGCTGCCTATCATTATACATATTTTTGATTATGAATTCCTTATCCCCAATAATGATGGAACCAACGTCATCAGGTTACCCACCTCCTTGAGGATGAAATATATTTTCATAGAATTATATCCTGATATGATAGTGATGCTATTTTGTTACAAATTCTCTAAAATACGCCTTCATTACATAAGTGATGTAAGAGATGTGTTCACATTTAGAAGCATCTTCGAAATATAAATTAATTTATTTTTCTTTTGGGTGATAACTCCACTCATATTTGAAACTCTCTACTAACCCTTAAATTACATCATGGCACTATTAAAAAGGATCGTGAACCTCCTATTATCCTATTATAGAATGAATATGTGATGTGATTTTATTAACTTAAGTTAACAATTTTCTGGATCTATCAAAAAGAATAGATACCTCCTTTAAGACTGAAAATATCGTGTTTTTATATTCTTAAGCCCATACGATAATTATGTCTTAATTAATTTCTGCTGGGTTTGCATCCAAAAATTGTTATTCTGACATTCCAAATAATTCATATAAAGGTCTTACATACATCAATGTAGAGGAATCACACAAATATTCTGCAAAATTTAATTCGCCTCTTAAAGCTTAATCCATTAATTTGATTAATTCTTGTAAATCAAGAATTCCCTATAAATACATATCTAACTCATAAGGTTTATAAGGGATTCTACCAACCTTAATTCTTTAATTATTGATGTCATTTAAGTATTCTTGTATTTGATTTACTCCTTCCATTCACAATAATCAATATTTTTTGAATCCATAAAATAGAATTTGGTTTTACTTTTAGTTTTAACAGCCACAAAGGAAACCCAATGAAAAGTAATCCCTAGCATATAAACTTATATTAATGGAGCAACTTAATCGTAATTTATAAATTGTTAGATAGAATGTATTATCTATTCTTTCTCCTTCAAACCATTGACAATTCTTCCAAATTAATACTATATCACAATAACATCATGATAAAGTTCTTTCCAAGGCTTTAAATAACATCTTTCAAAATCTCCGTGCTCTATATCATGATTACTCCAAGGTTCATGATTGATATTATGTTTGGTTCTGTATAATTTTAGATAATTCTAGACGAACTTAACATATTTCCAAAATGAAACTGAATGATATAGATAGCACTTCTTTTAATGAAAATGGTTAAGTAATTGTAAGATATTATAAGTTGCATGATAACCACAGAAATTATAAACATGTTGCTAATATACTTTAAGATGAATGACATTGTTAAATTCTCTGATTATTTGTAATTCATTGGTGCATTCTTCTTGATCCACCTTTTCTAATATTTCCATCAAAATTTCAGACATTAAAATGTGTTAAGATTATTAATCAGCTCTTTATATAAAATAATTATCTTAATAATTCTGATGATTGATTAGGATGTACTAAGAATTGTGTGTAAGGCGAATAATATCATTTAATTTTAATGGAAATATTAATGTACATTAAATATCAGAGACATTCCTCCTCAATCAAATTGAAATATTTATCTTTACCACTCTTACTCTCATCAATTATGTGAGTGTATAAATTATCAGGTGAAATACTGAACTCTTATTCAATAGAAGTATCCTCCAACAATTGATTAAACTTATTACCGAATTTATTTTTGAAGTCAACCTATCTAATTCTATTACCACTGTGCTTATAATTATATAATTCTTATTGTATGAATTCTTTGATTCGTTTGTATTTGGACTTCAAATAAGCAAATGCTATTTCCACAGTATCCTCAATCATTTTGTAATTCCTTTTGATACGATCAGGGGTAACACTCAAAATTTATGGATTATAATTGATTTCTAATAACCAGATATCTAGTTCATAATCCAATAAGAAATCGATAGCCAAGAATTCTGAGAACCTCGAATCTTTATAGAAACTATATTGTCCACTCCTGATGGTGTGAATAATTTTAGAGTAAATCCTAGGATACAGGTATTCCTGAAGCCATCTTTGTTTTTTACTTATTCTTCCTTATTCAATAAGTAACTCTTCAATTCCTTCAAGATTCCAATCAATAAACATTTCTTCATCCTCTGATTCAAGACCACCCTCGCCCTGATTTGTTTAATTTTTATGAGTTTTCTCTGTGACTGCCGTATTACAAATATGCGCAGGTATTTATTCAGACAATGGATTATATTCATTAGCACATCTCTTTATCAATGCTCTCCTGTAGACGTACAATTATAATGGATTGCTGCTTGCCAAATATATATATATTCTAAACTCTATTTTGTGTCCCTTATATAAGAACGGTCTATTTATATATTTTTGTGCCACTATCTTCTCTGTAATGTTCCCACACTTTTCTCCATTCTGATACACTTCAGTGATATTTTCCATTTGACTTTAAAACAATAATCTGATTCCTTCTCCACGATGCTCATCAGTTTTTAACAAATATTCTGGACCATTATACATTTTAACATTGTTCTTATAATCATTTTGTAATTGGGTTAATTTCTTAAAGAATTATTAGCATTCCTATTTGACATTCAATCTCAAAGTATGCGGCACATAAGAAGCATTTTAAATACATTGCTTACTCACATTCCTCATCTTCATATCATATATATATTTTGCATAATTGTAAATTAAACTATTCTTACTTGCTAAACTATACAAGCCTGGGATATGATTAAATTTTTAAAACATGCATCCCAATCCTTGACCTAAGTAATAATTATCCTGTAATCTCGGTTTGTAAGTGTAAAAATAAGAAAGTTAAGGAGGTACACGGTGTTAAAATTTGGTTTAAGGCTCTAATCCTATTATTATTGCTTACTATTTAAAGGAGATAAATTCTAGATTGAATCGAACATTCTCTTTTTTATTATTTCTCTTTGTAGATTCCCTCTGTCAAGCTCTCTCACTATGTATTTATCCTCCAAGAGGATATCTGGATGCAAAAGTTTCTTAGAATATTTATATATACCTTACCAATGTGTCCGATTCAATACAATAACTTGGCTCTTCTATCATGTTCAGACTACTTTCCTTACAATCATTACAATCATACATTATATGCTTATTTGAATTTGCTATAGTTAGTATTATCCATCATAAAGGTTTGTAACAGAGGCACATAATGTGTTTTTAGTTTCTTCTGGTTGGAATCATGATAATCACAAATCGACGCCATTATTATGTATAGGAATGAGAATATTACGATTGCATATAGCAATTTGTAAATTATCATTTATATAATATAAAATACTAAAGATATCATCCATTTCTTTATTCTTATTATTATTTCCATAACTTAGCATTATTTAAGAGCATTCCCAGATTTTTCTATTGAGGATTCTCTTCTGGGAAAATATAATCATAATATTCCTCATAACCTAATAATAAAATATAAATAGATACCAAAGTCTTCACTTTCATCTCCCAATAATTTGATTTTTCTCTTCTTGATTGTTTTAGTAGGTTGTTTATCACTAATCTTCTTTATTTCCTGCTCATCTCCAATTTCTATTTCCATATCCTTCCATTATTCTAACAATATGGCTCTTTCTTCTTTGAGTTCTGGTTTTCCTATATAGCATTTCTCTCCCCTCTGCATAACTGCTCTAAATCCAGTAATATTCTTGATTGATAACTCAAATTAAGCATAACTGATCCAAATTTTGACATGTTTGGATCTTTCAAGTAGTTTTTCATATAACTCTCTGACCTTTTCATAATTCTACAACTTAATTTAATTATCAATATATGCTCTCCATATAGTTTCTGGCATGTTCATTTGATTATTCTACAATGCTAATTCAAATATCATTTCTGATCTTTCATATTCTTCTAAATCATTTTCAAACTCTGCAAATTTAATCCAAGGAATGGGATTATCTGGGAATATTTCAATAAACCTCTAGTATAATATTCTAGCTCTGTCAATATTAGCTAATTGCAATTCAATTTGGATGTATTCCTGGAATATCTTTATATTTGGACAGAATCCAATAGCCAAACCATAAACCTTTCTCATTTTATCAATATCTTTACTTCTTACTAATAATTAAGCATATAAAATCCATAATTTAGAGAATGTAAATTATTGGTGTGGAACCAATTAAATAGCTCTTTCAAATATTTCAATAGCCTTTTAAATATTATTTGCTTCTAATTCTTCAAAAACAGCATAATTATACCACAAATATATGTATCTTCTCCAAAATCTTTTTTCATTTCCTGGAGGGACATTTTTAATAGCAGCTTCAAAAGAATCTCTTATTCTATTAACATCTTTAGTACTCATTTCTAAATTGGCTAAATCGAACCAAGCATCATAATTATATGCATTCTATGATATTAATTCCTTATAAAATATTCTTCTCTTATTAAGAATGATTTAATCAATTTCATCCTTTTCTCCATATTGTTTTTCAAATGCCAAGTATTCTTAATATAATTAATATGCTTTATCCTTGGCTATGTTTTTCAACCCGAATCTAAATATTTCTCTAGCTCTTTCATATTCTTTATTTCTGATTTCAAATCTGCCAAAATCTATAAAGTATTCTTCTTTTAATGCTTCTTATCCCAATTCTTCTAAGGTTCTCTCATAAATATTTCTGGCTGACTCCCAAGCTTTTTATTTGATTTCAAATTTTGCTACCTTCAAATACACCTTCAACTTAGGAAATGCTTCCATATACTTATACATAATTTATCTTTGATTTTCTCTTTCTCCCATTCTTTCTTCAAATTTCAAGAATGCCATCCATGCTTTTTCTTCTGGCTTCCATGTCATCCATCTATTAAATATTTCTCTTGCTGCTTAATAATTGCCCAAGACTTCCTCCATGTAACTATACTTAAACCAAAACTAATCAATTCTTGGCATTTGGTAAATTGCTCTTTCAAATACATTTCTAGCATGATTAATAAATTTATGTCTCATCTCCATTTCGATATATTTCATCCAAACTCCAATGTTAGAAGGATCAACCTCTAATGCTCTTTCGTATATGGATCTAGCCCTCCTAAATTCTAACAATCCTTCTTCAAATTAAGCATATCTGATCCAAATTCCCAGATAATTTCTTTATCTTCTAACTCTGTTTTCAAATAAGATTCTTTTCCTGAATTTATACTCTTATAATTCAGCCTCATCCATGATCCTTTGTTGAGGAGGTCTAATCTCTTTGGTTTGATGGATTTCAGCATCCTAAAATGATAATGTGTATGAATTATACTTTCAATAATTATTCAGCTGTAATCTGGATATCATTGGGCTGATTGTTTTAAATGCCAGGAGGTCTCATTTCAACGAGATTCCTTCCTTAGGCGTCAACCATAAACTTTTATTCAGCTATAGACATTCTTTTATATATATAATAATTAATTTTCACTCAATCTCTTAAAATGAAATTGTGTGTTTATTTTGGGGAATGTCATTATTATCATAATTAATAAACACATATAATTATGTTCATTTCACACTATTTATTTAATAATCTTTTAATTATAAAAAGCGGGAAATGAGAAAAAGATTAATAAAAGCATCTCATCTCGAAGAAGAAAAACCACGAATCGAATAGCCAATAACCTTATAATAGGACTCATCATCTGATGATTCTGATTAGGAAGACGATAGAAAGCAAAAATATTCAAGATTATAATTTATTGATGAAAACAAACAATAGTAGTTGGATCGTTTTTTGCAGAAGGGGAATTAAGGTTAGAATGTTCCTCAACCAAAAAAACAAAAAGTCATTGAATTCAAAATGGTAGAAGAAACCAAATAAACCACCAATTAAAAGGATGAGGAGAAACGATGTGACCTGTCTGATGATTAAGACAGTGACTTTGACCTTCCTACTAACTTTAAACATCTTGCTGGTATCACAAGAACATCCACAACTACAACTCAAGCTACTCAACTTTTAAAAGTCACATCTCAACCATCAGATGTAGAAATTAAATCGTTTGAACAGGATAAAAGAAATCAATTTGAATAAGAACATGTTTAAGTAGCCTAAATTGAAATCGAGGAGGATTCTCATAAAAACACTGCAAGTCTACCTTTGGAAGGAAAGTCTTATTATATATTGGGAAATTTAGGGAAATACGTACGAGAAGATTTAGTCAAGATTATTAAACTCTATGGAGGATTCAACAAATGTAGAGTTCTTTAGGATACAATTTTGCTTTAGGGATCATTACAGAACAATGGCAAGAGTATTTCAAATAGCTAACATTTGAAGGATGCTCAAAAGTACAAGAACTTGATTCTTGATGAAGAGGGTTTTAATAATTATTTAATATCATATACAGGAAATGATTTATAGAAATCCTATTAATTAGCATGTAAAGATAACCAATTAAATGGACAAGAAATAAAGGAATAATCAGATCAATAATAAAAACAACAAAGTTAACAATCTTCATAAGTCTAAAAGTCACAACCATAGCAACTATCTAAGTAACCTACCAATTAGGCTGTTTAAGAAGTTAAAAGCAATCTTAGAGCTAAGTTTGACAGTGAAGTTGTTATAGTTGAAAAATAAGTTGAATTGAAACCAGAAATAGTTAATTTCTCCAAAAATAAACAAATCCAAGAAGAATAAAAGAAAGTTCAAAAAATAGAGTAAATAATGGTTGAAGACACTAAATAAAAATGTTAACTTTGGACTAATAAATATGCTCCTTCTAAAGTATCAGACTGTCTAGATCAAACACATGTCCCAAATATTGTTAAATGGTTAGATAAATGGGGCAAGCCTTAATTAGAAAGTATGTTATTAATTTATAATTATCAGTCTGTCCTGGCTCATTTTAATCATAAAACTTTGCTGCTAAGGCTCTCCTATTGTCGGGTCCTCCTGGAATTGGCAAAACAACCATTATCAGATTGATCGCAAAATAAAAGTCTTATTAGTTGATTGAATGGAATGCATCTGATGTTAGAAGTAAACTTTAAATTGAAAATTATGTGAAACATCTTTAAGACAACACAGTGCTTAGATTTAAGGATGCTAATTTGATTAGTGAAGGAAAGACTATAATCCTAATGGATGAAGTAGATGGAATGACTGGTAGTGATAGAGGTGGAAATAAATGCTTAATTGATATGATCAGATTAACAAAGGTGCCTATTGTTTGTATTTGCAACGATAGAAACAAATAATCGATGAGATCTCTAGCCAATTACTGTTTAGATTTATAGTTTAAAAAGCCCAATTAAGTGGAAATTTTTAAAAAACTTGAATACATCTGCAAATCTGAAAATATCAGTTACGACCCTGCAGAATTAAAATAATAAATAGAGGTTTCTTAGTGTGATATCAGATAATTGCTAAACTTATTGTAAATGCATAAAGTTGGGTTGAAATTGCACATCGACAAAAATATCGGAAAGGATGGTTCAGTTACTACCAATTTATATGAATCGACAAGAATGCTATTGAATTATAAGGACTCACAAAACTTACCTATCCATAAATTAATGGACTTCTATTTTTAGGATCCAGATATGACTCAATTCTTTTATCATGAGAACTATTTAGACTTGAGTTTGGTGAAGAAGACTCCTTCCAATTCAATTTAAAATATTTCTCTAGCTGCCTCATCACTGGCTGATGCTGATGTTTTGAATACAAAGGTGAGATCATAGATGTGGGGATTGATGCCAAATGTGGGATTCTTATCAACCATGTATCCTACTTAAATTTTGAAAGGGAATATACTTTCAAAAGTGAATTTTCCTTAGATGCTTGGTAAAATATCGAGTGAGAATAAAATTAAAAGACAAATTTTAGAAGTGAAAGAAGCATTTGCCTCATAAACATATTTAACAAATACTAAAGCAATTAAATTTTAATACATAGAACCATTTTCATTCTTTGTTATTTAAAGTTTAGCAAGCGCTGGCTTAAGTTGCATTGATGAAATAGTAACGTTGTTAAAAACCTACAATCTAAATATTTAATAATTTGAAGAATGTATTGTTGGTTCATTGGCATTGTTCCCAAAAAGGGACTTGATGACTGAAATAACATCACAAGTCAGAACAGCTTTGAATAAAGCAATGAAATAATCTATGGATTCTGCAGATAGATTAGGTAAAGACAGAAGAGCAATAGCTTAAACCAATTTTGTTAAGAAGACCAAAAATAATGAAGATGATTTAAATGAAGAATTTAATTAAGAGGAGGAGAATGATGAAGACGATTAAAAATAGAAGAAGAATACTAAATAAAAAAATATTAATGTTAAATAGTAAGAAAAACCAAAAAAAAAGGAAGAAAAGCCATAGACTGATAAAAATAAATAAAAAAAGAAAGGAAAGAAATGAATATTATATTTATGTTTAAATTAGTTGATTTATTGTCATTTCTAAATGTTCATTATATCTTTATATCGTTTCAATTATTAACAATTTGTAATTACACTTATTATTAAATTTAGAATGTAAAAAAATTAAGTTAAAGAATATCTATTGAAATTAATTTTATTTCCTTTTATTTTAAGTTAACTGAAATAAAATTTTATTTAATGAATTTAAAATCAGGATAAGCTATCTAATTGAAAGGGCTAGGGCTAGATCTCTTAGTTTTCACAATCCTCACAACAATTGCACCTAGAAGTGCACCTGGTCATTCTCTTTTGACATTCACAATAGCGTTTGGAACAACTATGCAAATGATATTAAATAAGATCACTTTTGTTTTCTACAATTACATCCATTAAACTCTATAGAAGACATTTTGGGAGGTGCAGATTTGGGGGATTTATTTGAACAATTATAACATTCACAATTTGATTTACATTCCTAATTATTGGCACTACAGACACAATAGTTTTGAATGCATTTAGATTTACGACATTTGCAAGATATATTATTAGAAGTTCTAGACACTTATAATATTTCATGGTCATTTGTTTTGATCAATTTGTTAATAATTTCATTTTTATGATTAAGTTCTATAGAATTGAGAAGACCCAAGGTATATGAAGCATTAACTTAGTAATATAATACTCATACCTTAGTTGCATTTAGGAATTTAGTGAGTACTTCGACTAATTATTCCATCCTACTTTATAACAAGAAATTCATCATTAAATTCTAGCTTCTTTATGATCTTATTTTTTTTAAATTCCTCTTTGCTTTATTTGGGTGAGTTTTACTTCTGATATGTATTGGGTGATCTAACTAAAATTAATTTTTAGGGGGATTTTTCTAAATATAAATGATTATAGAGTTACTATCTGTGGAATCACGGTCCTTTATAAATTGCTAAAAGTTTATGAAATATCAAATTACTTCCATTTATCCGCCAAAATCAACAATACGATTCGAATAATAAAAATAATTCACATAATAAAAATTTTTGAGTGTGATAATCAGCTTGCCTTAAAAGACCCTACTAAAAATTGTCAAAATTTCATAGACATTTTTAAATGCCAATTGCAAAAAATTAAATCTTGTTTTCAATTAAAAAAAAAGAAGAAAAGAATGAGAAGAACTTTAATTTAAATAGAAGGTGATAAAAAATTATATTTATATTTATGCGCCTATATACTTTTATAAAATTTAATCATTTAGATATATTGGCAAACGGCAAAGCCATGAAGGTCCCTAACATAATGCCAAAGCAAAGGGAAAATCCTGACACAAAGCCAATTTTTTCTTTCACAAACCCTTCGTTTGTCTATAATATAAATACTTTCAATTACTTTCTCTGGTCCCAATATCATGTAGCCTGTTGTGACAAATCCATTGAGGGTTCCAAATAAGAATGTGTTTAAATATGAAATCCAATTGGCATCTAGGGTTCCTTTGGCTATTGCGATGTAGGTGTAATAAAAAACAAATCTTCCTAAAAATATTCCAATTAAAATTTGTAGATTAAATAGCTTTCTATTTCCTGCTAAGAATTTTCCTAAGGTATCTCCAATATTGTATCCTAAACTAATGATGCATTGACCCCAATTAATGAAATCGGGATCGAAAGTCTTCTAGAAGGCTACTCCTGGGAACATCATAAATGTTTAAATGTAAAGAATCACAAGCAATAATGGAATGGGAAAGGCAACTTTATTAATCCAAACCAAAGTTTAGATTACATTCATCTTCTCTATAGAAATTTGATCAGTATCTTTGTTGGCTACTTAATTATCAATTTTAGGATTTGAATCTTAAGTTTAATTATTTTAATTAAAAGTGTCAGGATCGATGATGTCAGAAATTACACTATCATTTTATACTAAATTATCAGGTTCCTCCTTGGTAACAATTTGATCGTGAACTAAAACCGACTTCCTGCCCTTTTTGTGAGCTGAAATAATCTTTCTATATTATGGAGTCTTTGTAAATGCAAAATACATCAAAATTGCACCTATATTCCAAAGCACTGCAATTCCAATATATAAAAATATTGCTAAACTATATAGATTTGAATTACATTTTTCGCTTTCGATTACAGCCAAAGATATTAATCTGAAAATGGTGATAATGGTTCCAGAGGCACCTGTACCAATAAAGAAGACGTTGACATACTCTGGACCAAGAATCCCAGACATCCCAATAGAACTATTCTATTAAAGTGATGAAAATATTCCCATCATGAAAATTGTTGTTAAACATAACCAAAATCCTTTTTATATTCATTAATTTCATACCTAGAGCACTATGTATTAACAATGCTATTATTGGTAAAAGAATCAAAAGAATGCACAAAATTATTAATGACCACACAATCCTGAAAAACATCGAGAGCATAGAACTGATCCTAGGCAAGAATAATCCAATCAGGCACAAACTTATGAAGTTTGGGATTGGCAATATGAAATAGACATTACGCCCTAAATATTAGTAGTCTTATTAATACCATCATATTAATCAGCAAAATACGATAACCCAGTCAAGATGGCATTCCAACCTGACAACGATGACACCCCCAAGGTAAAGAAGAATATCTTTTGGAAAACTTGTGACTTTTTGGATTTTTTATCCAAAAGAGAGGATTATGTGTCATCTGTCGTATTATTAGGATTCATATGTAAAAAAATAATTAATTAATTATAATAAATATCAAATCTCGTTTAAATTCTTGTTTTTTCGTTTTAAACACAATATATAAATTGCTGCAAAAAGGTAAAATATTAAAATTAATAATCCAATTGTTGTTGTAATTGGACTCTCAAAAATCTATAATGAAATTAAATAAGTTAAAGTTATAGGGCAACTCTATTACTCATTCATTGATATCACTTGTCCCATTTTTATAAAGAAACCAGCCCTAAACGAAATTTCCTTATAACAATTTGAATTATTGATAGTAAATGTTAAATTAGGATACAGTGTAGTTAAAAGGCCAATTAGTGTAAAATTCAGCAAATTTTTCCTTATTATCACTGTCAAGTTTGTAACGTTGTCAATTAATTCCCTGTCTACAATATAAATAAATATTATACTTTTTGAGTACTAAATTCGGTTATTTGTACCAAAATACATAATGATAATAAATATAAATTTAAATATTGCAATAGTGATTACTTCAACCATTTTGAATTGAATCTATTACATTTTACTCTCTTAACTACTTTGATCCAATTAATTCGAAAAAAAATCGATGGCATTCAATTAGCTCAATAAATTGCTATTTGGATCAATGTACTAAATAAAAATACAAATAAATCCAAATATTAAAACAAATGCCATAATTAATTGTATTGTGTTATAGATTAAACTTAAGGATCTTCCAAATAACTACATCAAATTCCATATAGATTGAATACAAATTATGACATAATGCTTGCATAAGTCTGAGATATTAACGTCGCTGTTATCTTCTATATCCTCAAAAATTAACATTGAATCCGATTCTGTATTATTTAATTTTGCTAACTCTTCATCTGTTTAGATTTATTTCATCTATAAAACTGACTTAAATTTTATATCCTTTATAAATGGCCGCTTAATCATTTTTATAGATGACTTAAAATTATTTAATGGCTGTTCTAGTAGAACTTGCATAATTGGTGGCATCGAACTTATAGCTGAAAATAAAAATAGAGCTCTGATATAAACTATTTCTAAACAATCTTTAAATTGCTGACTTCTATCCAAGTATTTTATGTATAAAGCACATATAATAAAAATAAACTAAAATAATATTGTTTATAGAAGTGACTAGATTAGGATCAAAATTTTATAACTAAGTCTTCTGTTATTTTGATGCAAATTTTTCAAGAATATAATAATAAATAGTATTCCTATGTAAATTGACAATGACTATATGTAAAGGGTTATTTGAAGTCTTTTTAGCATTTATACCATTGTATAATTGATATTCTTGCCATATCCCAAGTATTATTATATTTATTGAATTTCATTATATATGGTTAATATGTAAACTTAAACGGTGAGAATGTTAAAATATGCTTTTATTATATTCCAAAAGTATTTTTCTTTATACCTGTAAACCTAGATCAATATGATTATCACACAACTCAGAAGTTATAATTTATTCAAATTTATCATTATTTTTTCTAATTATTAAAGAATACATTAATAATAAATTAAAATATAACATAATTCATGATGCTATTGGCACTAATAGTGATTTGGGTTATTCATATTAAAATATCTCACATGCTACAGGAAATTTATTCATGGAGTCATTATTGTTTGTCACTCTGGTTCTTCCTGAATATTTATTTTTTAATTCATCCTAATTTTAATTGGTTCTTTTTCTAGAACTATTGTTATTTGAAGTAGTTTAAGGCTTACGACTTGATTAATATTAAGTATAAGGTCTTGAACTAACTCCATTTTCTATTTCATTATATCTTTTGTAATCCATAGCCTTAATCTATTCAGAAGATTGATTTCTCCTTGAATAGTAGGCACTAGTAGGTTTCAAATATGATAAAGTTGGTAAACCTAACTCTTTATTTAGATTCCTATGTAAATTCTTTCTTTAAATAACAAATTGGCCAACTAATTAAGGAGACTCTATTTTTGAGGTGAAATGCTCTAATTAATTGATGTCACTTAGAATCCCAGTAGTTTATGCCATATTTCTCATTATCTAAACTGTATATTGTCTTTCTCCATATAATCTCTCAGTCGCTTGCTTAATCTGCACTTTAATTTCATTTTATTATTCTTTCATTAAAGGTTTATCTTTTCTTTCTTATTCCTCTTTCAGTCTTAATAAATCAGCAGCTATTTATGCCTTTAATAAACTCCTTTCTTACTCTAAGTCATCTTTTAAATTGCGAGCTGTCTTACTCTCCACCAATTTCTTTGATTTTGCTCTATTCATCTTATTTTCACCTTTAATCATGGAGATGCTTTCAGAATTTAATTATTCTATATTGCTACCTGGTCTATCTTTAGTAGAAATAGTATCATTATGTTTTTGATCTCTTAATTACTCATTTTTCTCTCTTATTTTAGCCCGAAAGAATGTTTAAATTTAAGATAATTTATCTTCGTCCAACCTTTCTTTTTTTGGAAATAATAGAGAGGGATCTGACTAATCAGATTATTATTACTGTTGCTAAGATACACTCTAGATTTATTCCTCTTCTGTTTTTGGTCTTAGATTTTATATTTTATTTAAATCATTTTTACTATTTAATGGTATTATTTCTCCAGTTTTATATTCCATCATTCTTCTTATAATTAAATCTTTGGCTGATTAAATATCTTGACCTTCCCTCAATAGTAGTTTTGTTAATTTTTTAATATCAAACTTTGGATTAATTTCTTTTAAAAATTACAATAAATCTGAACTGATATCTCTAATCTTCTTATACATTGTTTGATAATATTCAAATAATTTATGAAAATTGTATTTAAATATTTCGATTAATTGATCTCTAAATTCATTAATGATATCTGGACTTAGTAATTTTTATAATGTTGAATTCTCTTAAGATCTTAAAAAGTTGGTTAAATTTTCAACACTCAAATTAAACCATAAGATTTAATCTGTTTTGCTTTAAATGTAGAGATACTAACTAATTTGATGTTATTCTTATTCTTTGAATTTAGGAAACACTTCAATTACAATATTATGAATTCCAAATTAGTTTAAATGTTATTGAGTCAACTCATTATTTTAATACTGACTTTTGCTTATGTTATATATTTTTGATATCAATAAATTGATACCATTTATTTCATTATTTAAGCTTGGATACTTAAATTTCTTATTTTCTTTATTTTTCTAATCTATAGCTTAAATAATTTAATAAATTCTATGTAAGTATTCAGCTAATCCAAGTTAAAAATTCATTAACAATCCTTATGTTTTAGTAGCCTTTATCCAAACTACTTGTTCAGGATGTTCCTCTATTTCCATTTTCTTAATATTTAGAGTTGTAGTTTCATTTTTTAAATTCATCAAGCCAGCATCTTCAGCCACAATTGATTACTCATGAATTTCTAGATTTGGATTCTTCTATTTTAATTCTTCTAACTCATAATCTAGATTCTCAATTTCATCTAAAAGAAGTTCCTTTTGCTTCAAGAAATTTTCATAAGAAATACTCTATTTAGTTAATTCTTATTAAAGATGCCAATACTCCTCTAACATAAACTCAAGGATGTATTCAGTTCTCTATTCATTGTCTTAATAGAATTTATTGATTTGAGATAGCAATTCATTTCTATCAAAGTTCATCTCTTGCTCTTATTATAAATTATCATTTTATTAATTATGATTCCATTTTTATAAAAATTCCTCATTCACTGTATATTGATCAACCAATCTAATTTCATTTGGCTTTTCTTTGTTCATGAATATTTATTCAAAAATCTCAAAAAATTCAATATAAGTAAGAATATATCTGCTTTCCTATTTCTTTTTCAATTAATTTTATTTCTTCTCTTCTAAAATCTCAAACTCTTTATTTTATGCATCTATAAATCGTTCTGCTTCCTCCATTTTTAAAACATTATGTCCTATGTTTTCTTCACCAACATATAGTATTTTTTACAATTATAATTATTTATTTTCCTATGAATGTTTGTATGTGTCTTACATTTGCTTCATTTAACCAAACTCATTTTTTATAGATTATAGGTTCTTCTTACTTAAAAACCTTTTGTTTTCGGCCATCAATCTTACAGCATCAGTATTATTAAACCTTTTACCTGCTTTGCTTAGTATAATTTGTAATTCTTCACATTTTTGTTGTTAAATTAGTTTAGATTTTTCAATTTCAACTAGGATCTTCTACAATGACTCACTCTTCTCCTACTCCTCCAATATCAAATTTTCATAACGAGACTCTTACAACAGCAATGATTCTATATATTAATCTCTCTATTCCAAATCTAATAACTTAAGATTCACATTCCCACTAAAAGTTTCAAACAAAGGATCAGAATGATGATTATTTATAGAATGAATAACCCCGTAGCCACTGGTGGATGCATGCATCTAAGAAGTTCCTGTTTTAGATTTTCTTTTATTTTATCCTGCTTTTAACAGAAGTTCCAATTCTTATTGTTTTTTTTTGTTGAAGCTTTGCAGTTTATCTAATTCTGCCTTAAACTTGAAGTCATTGGATGAAACAATTGAGAGGTTGTCATATTTTCTTATTTCTTCCTAGTGTTCAAATTCTTATTTTAACAATTCCTTTTTTTATTTAAGGCTTTCCTGATCCAAACGTGCTTATTCATCTTCCCCTAATTTCTAAAACCTTAACATTATTATTAACTCACTATTGAATTAATAATAAGAAAAAAATTTATTATATTAATAGGATTGATTAATATCAACCATCTCATAATCAGTAAAAAATTTCCCAATTCCCTTAATATTAAAAGTCTAATTCAACTTAATCTCTAATATATGCTTAATCAATTTTTGCTTAAATTTAAGAGACTCGTTTTTCTAGTATTTGCAAATTCATTAGATAAATTAACATTATTGACACAGACTATAAATTTAAATAATATTTCATGTAATAAGAGCTTGATTATCAATAACAATTTAGCATCATTTTTATAAATCAATTAAGAACAGGGAGATAATTATTGAATTTCAGAAAAAGATGAGAATTTGGAAGTATTATAAGACTTAAACTTTTCATAAAAATTTGATTTGATACTTAAAAACCACTTTGATGAATATCAAAAAATATTTATTATTTTATAAAATCGCAATTAAATCAATATTTTTATGTGATTATTTTTTCACTATTTTTAGTAATAATTATTGTATTTTACAAAATCTAATCGATGCTCTTTATGCTGATGCTTTCACTAGTGCATTCATAGATATAAGATTGCCAAATTTAATAAGGAGAATGTTCAGATAACTATGATCCAGTTTGTGGTTTAAATATTTCTAATACATCCATCCAAACTTTTGTTAATTATTGTTATGCTTGTAAAGCAAGTTAGGTGGTGAAATATCTAAAAGGGGATTGTTAAAAAAAGGGTGATGACATTAAAATAGATATTCCACAGACCTCTGTCGGAGTGGATAACAATAATCCTAAACCTACTTCTGGAAATTATACTTAGACCATATCTTGTACAAATCCTAGACCCAGTGTATGCGATACGAGGTAAATATCATTTAGAACCTATGTAGTGTAAAATCTATATGTGGACTCTTTGATTCTACTATTAAATGTACTGGATAAAATTGTTTACAGCAATTCAGCAATGAATGCTTGGCTTGTAGAAATACTTCAATTCATAGTTACTTCTTTGGAAATTGCTCTGATTATAAGTATATTAATAAATTAATAATTAAAGGCCTTAGACTCCTACAGTAATTTAATGTAGCACTGAGACTTCAAAGAACTGCGAATTGAAGGAACAAGTTACTGTTTGTGGCTTTTTAGATGAAACTGCTGTATGTTAAAACCCGCCTTGTTTGTAACCATTCGATAACAAATGTGAACCATGCCAATAAACCAATATTACATCTTATTTTGTTGGTGATTGCAACCAATACTAAGAACTGTTTTATAGTGCTGAACAACAATCAGATACTTTTGTGGCCAATTACCAATATTGTTAGGTTCAAAGACCTTCCGAGTGTGATCAACAATATGTTCAAACTTGCGGTGTCTTGAAGTCTTGCAAAGGTAATGGATGCGAAAGAACTTACGATAATCCTTGCAGTGCTTGTCAGAATAATGAAATTGAAGGATACTATGCTGGAGAATGTTTAAATAGCTATGTGTCACTAATCTCAATGTTTATTATTGCTTTGTTAATATAATGATAATAACTAATTAAATATATATAAAAATCAATCTAAGAATAGATTATTGTTATATTGTTTCTATTGGATATACCAGGATTAATAAAGATGAGGATCAGTTTTTTCATATTGTTCTAGTAATAGTTAGAGGGGAGTATTTGATTTTTTTATTTCTTTGTACATGTGGAAAATGAGACCAGTCTGATAATTTCGTAGTATATTGTTTAGTAAATGAGATGACTCTTTTTAGATTAATTTGTTTAGTTTATTATTCAATAACTATACTAAAACCATCTCCCCTACATTCATTACCAATTATATTAATAATTCTCCTGATTCTTTATATAGTAATTAAAATAGTGGTGTTTCAAATTCTAAACAAGAAAGAAATTGTATTAACTAAAAGTATTTTGAAGCGTATTTTGTGATCATCTTAAACTAATTTTCTTTAGCTCTGTCTGTATTATTCAATATGCAATGTATTGAAAAAACTGTATTCCTGTGAATTTCATTTTTCAGATCTATCTAAATCTTTCCCATTTGAATGAACTTTTATTTAACTTATTCAATTTTTGATATACTCGATGAAAATCCATAGCATGAGCATTTAGATTTATTTCGAACTGAATATTATCCTTCGTTTAATCTAAAACTTTAAATCATTTCAGCATAAGTTATCATCTAATATTACTAAATTGGATTTTATATTTGTTTCTCTTAAATGGGAGATTCATTTTCTAAAGTAAGTTGGAAATTAAATTTACCTTCAATAATTATCTCATTTACTTATCTCATCTACTTTTCTTAATTCCAATCTAAGTCTTTATTTAGAGAGACCCATTCTATATAACTTTATCCAAAAACGCTGGTTGACAAATCTCTAGTTGTGGAGGTTAATGGTCTTTAGACACTCATTTACAATTCAATTAATTATTTTAAGTATTAATAGAGTAAATATCACTTTTCTTTAGTCTTATCTCTTCTAAATATTCCGAAAACCCCTTGACTTTTCTTTTCTGCACTCTGAAACAACTTGTTTATAACTAATTCATTATATTCAATACTACAAAGACTCACTAAGCTTTGATAATACACTTGTATTTCTTACTTATTCCTATGAATAATATTATAATTTAAACTCTTTTTGTAAAGATTCGAAAAACTTAATTAATAAGGAAATTAATTGTGAGGCCAAGGCTCCATCCTAACAATTCTAAATCTTTTCATTCAACTATTTGATCTCCTCCTAATGTTCACATATCCTATTTCTTAAAGATGTGTTCTCCTCCTTAATTCTTTAATTTTATTCCTAAAATTAAAATCTAATTAATACTTCAAATCTTTATTCATCGTCAACACAGGATTTCAAACAAGACTTTAATTTAGTATTCTCAAACTTTTCTTATCTCAACATAATTTGAACATTCCTTTCTTTAATTTTATATTTCTTTGTTCTTCTTATTCAATTGATCCTTTAATTTAATTATTTCTAATTGTAACTCACTTTTTTCCTTACTTTATTCCTTATAAGCTTTTAAATTTCTATTTCTTATCTTAATTATATAATCAGTGCTGATTCCTTCAAAAGAGTAATCTATAGAAAATCATCTTGGCTCTTCAATTAGTATCTCTATAATTTATCATTCTCCTCCTATAATTATACTATTTTATCTTAAAGCTCACTCATTTTTCCTTCTTATTAAACATAATTTTTCTAAATTTTCACTTGCATCGTCACTTACTGCTTCTAGAACCGATACCAACTGTTTTCTATCAAAATTGTCAGATATATGAGATTTATTTTCATCAAAGTTAATTATTTATGCCCCTTATTCTTCAACAATAAATTCCTTACCTAAGTTTGATTAATTTGGGTATTTCTGAGACTTTTCTTTTACATTAATGATATACTTTTAAATTTGCATATCCCTTTAGCTCAGTTTAAACATTATTGATAACTTCTATCTAACTATTTTATTTTTACTTTTTTTATTTAATCTAAGTTAGAAGTAACTTTAAATTTTTCTTCACTTACTTTTGAAATTTCAAATTAATTTTAATTAAATTGATTACTTTTTTAATTTTATTCATCTTATAGCTATTATTTAATATCTAAAACATTATCTAATTTTGTTAAATGATTTATTTTCCTTAATTTGGTGAAGCAATCTCTTATTTATCTAATTCGACTTCCTATATCTGGTTTAAGTATCATCTTCTAATTTAACTTCAATAGACTATTTTTCATTGAGGATTCTATTTACTTAATTATTAAATTTCTCTTTTTCAGCAAGTGCATTCTAAAGTTAAGTATTTAATTCTTCATTTATTTTTTACTCTAATATTTCTTTTTCTTAAAAATTCTGATATGATTTTCTTCAATTCAGAGATCTCGAGCATTTAGTTTAAATATAAAACTTATAGTTGCTACATCTTATAAAACTAGAGAGCAACATCTTCTTTTTTTTATCGTTCTAGCATTTTTTCTTAATTTAGGGATAAAACTTATTAATTCTTCATTTTTGGAGAGGACAATTTTTTTGCTTCGAATAATTTATTTTATAAATCAATTATGGTATTTGATTTTTATTTAACATCTCTTTCCATACAATCAATTACATTTATATCAAATATTTTTCATTTTATTTCATCAAACTTCCATATCTTTTTGGTCTGATTCTTTAATATGAAAGAATAATTATCTCTTTTTCAGAGTTAGTATGTACCATTCTTTATTAGTTTTTTTTTTTAATGTTTTTTCCAATTATACAATTTAATCTAATTAAGGTTTAGAATACCTTTTAATTTATCAATATCAAGTTAAAATTAATGTGATAAATTTTTTATGTTTCTTTAATTTGTTATACTAATTTGTTTGAATTATTAATTAATTCTGAGATTTATTTATCTTTTTCTTCTAATTGTTGATCTCTTTATTAAATATTTGAATTTTATTTTTGTTTAGATTTTTCATACTCTTTATTTAGGTCAAATCAAGTTATTAAATTTGACTTTTTAATTATTATTTATCTTGGATATTTTATTTTATTATTAAGAATGATCTGGTAATTTGAGTTGATATTTTTATTTTTCTTTGATTATGAAGGTTAAAATATTCTAAAATTCATCAATTTTTTCTTTATGTTTTTCACTTTTCTCATCTAAGATTACATTTATTAGATTTAAATTGATTTGAAATTTATGTTTATTCACTTACTTATTCATAATATGATGAGAAATTGCCCCTCGATCTAGCATCATCAAACTAAGATCTGGAATGAGGGAAAGACAAATATAATAATTCATATGGTCTTTATTTTTTATCTAAATATGTCAACACTTGATGAGACGGTGGAGATAATGAGAGTGCCTTGAGTGGTTTACATAATTTCCTTAGTTAATAATGTCTAATTCAATTTATATATAATTATAATTATGAAAATAATTAAGATTTGATGATATTGTTTAATGGAAAGTTCACCATCAAAAGAATAATTATCGAGAGTTATTAAAATATCAACATATTTTATTTATGCATAATTATTCATTCAAATATTCAGCTCACCCAATTTAAAGAAATAAATTTAAGCGAATGAAGCACTCTCTAATTAAATAGGATTATATTTAAATATGACTGAATTTGAGTCTTTCAAACTATGATTGTTCTCTCTAGCAATTTAAGTAAATTGATTGATTAAATTTCTTCCAAATTATACAGATTCAAATTAGTGTTAAGAGAGAGTCTTGAATTCAAAAATTGGTTTTTCAGGATGAAAAGCTATTGAAAAAATTGGATATTTTCTGCCTTCTGATGCAGCAATATAAACTGTCCCTTTTGCATCTGAGAACAAAGCTACAGATTTAAAGAAATTGTCCAATTCTGAATGAGTTTAATAATAAGAAGGATTCACTCCCCAATTAGTGTTGAAATAAACTATAATCAATAATAAAAATACTTTAATTATCTATCTCGATTTATTTTAAAATTGGTGCTTTTAAATCCAATAACATTGTACTGCTTTTATCAGTAAATGTTAATTTCTTATTCACTCTTATCATTCCAAAAGTAGGACTTAATATATCATAATCTTTATTAGATAGAATAAAATGTAAGGTTTAATGTCCTAAACATATCGCAAACAATGGGAAAATGTCACCTTACTAATTTGCTTTTACAACTTTATTTAATAAGTATGTCACTGTTTATAAATACTTGGATGGCCCTGACTCTGTTTCTAAAGCTAAGGTGCCTCCAGTTAGTAATAACCCATTAATCTATGAAAAGTATCTATCCAGAGTTGCTTCATCTGCTTCGTAAGGTATAGGCAGAACTCTTGCACCAGATGATTCTACATACTTTACGTATGAAGCAGCGAAGTATGAATACTTTGAGGCTGGGTACTCTGTATAATCTTCATCAGAAGGAATTGTTAATATTCCTATGACAGGATTTAAGTTAAGCGTATAAGTTATTCCTATAAAGAGAGCTAAGAAAATAATAATTTTCATAAAATATTTATAATTAAAAAAAATTATAATCTGAAAATCTTTAGACTTCAAAAATCCTAACTATTATAAAGTAAAATCAGTCTCTTAATATATTTATTTGAATTTAAAATCAAGTAGAATATATTAAAAACAAAAAATTATAAGAGGCATTAAAAGTTGTATCATCACTATTCAAAATGATGATAGTAATATTTAGGAAATAATTGTCATTAATGATTTTGAATTTTGTGAATATAATATTATTCTTCTAATATTCTTTTCAAATTATTATAAATAATTGTAGAGAATTTTACATCATTTAGGTCAATGGGATTTCAAATAAGATTAAATGATTTTAAATGTCTATTATAATTTATATGAGTAAATGTTTTCTTCTGAGTTATCTTATAAAGAAGAGATCGAAGCAAGTATCATAAGATTGTATTTTTAAAGAATAAAACAATTTACACCTTCAATATGCCAAAAATGCTATAATTATTTTTATTAAAATTAAAAATTAATAAAAGATCATGATTAAATAATGAACAAAATCTCATCATTCTGACTTGTCTTTATCCTTATAAATTTATAATCTGAACCAAATTGCAAAAATTATTAATGCTACAACACCTATCGCCTTTATGCTTTGGATCTAAGTTAAGAGGTGATATTACGAAAATGTAATTTGTTAGCATATTCTACAATTTTCTATATTTGTTAAATTTGGGCAATGGGGCGAATTCAAATTATTTTGTTTATTCCAAGTATTCAATAAGTTGACCGCTTTCACGAATTAGTTCAGCATGATATTCGAATTTATCATTTATGTAGATTCCATATGGAAGATAATTATGCTCAAAAATTCCAACAATGCATTATTCAGAATACTCTTTCATATCTAATTGCATGAATTCATATTAAGTGTAATTTTTAGAATATTATCTAAATTAAAAACTTAATTTACAACCAAGGCGATTTGATTTATTAATATATAGCACCATACTTGAAATAAAATAATAAAATAATCGGCTATTTTATTTCATATTCTATCGAAATTGATATAAACATATTACTTCTCTCTAGTAATTTATTAATCAAGTCACAATCAATTTCTTGGATTTAGGCAAACACTATCTAAAAGAATATTAATAACAGCATTAAATAAATAAATATTTATATAAAATTAATTAAAATGAATAAATATATGTTATAAAAAACAAATATATCTAATTCCTAATCATAATATTCAATTATTTCATTTTATGAGATTATTTATAAATCTAATTAACAAAATGAGAGATAAATAAAAATAAAATACCATCAAAAAATTTTAATTAAAATTTTGTACTAAAAATAAAAGTTCAACCTTCAAGTTTTAGAGATATATTATTTTATGCGAAAAGATAGAAAGAGAATTTTAATTAAATCAGAGGAAGAAAATGTCATATTTGCTAATTGGCATATGTTTATAACACTATAGCTTATTTTAACTACTTACATCCCAAAAGGCTCTATTTACTTTCAAAAAAATTATTTTCATTTAATAATAATTATGAATTCTTCCAAAACTTCAAGAAATACTAAACCAATGCATCTAATACATTTAGAATAAAAGGTCTATTCCAAAAATCAATTTAACATTCCTACTTTAAGAGAATATGTTCCTACACTCTTAAAGCCTTATACTCTATCTCCTACAAAATAATCATTACCCTAATAAAAATAACAACAATAGAATGGATATAGAAAATTGTCTATCGAAAAGAAAATCATTTAACTAAGAAAAGAAATAATGAACTCAAAATAAGGAAAATCGAAGTAGTTATTTCAAACATAAAAATTGCAAATCAAAGAAGGATTCTATGTTATTGATGTAAAGAGCGACATAAAATCTATTCGATCTAATGATAATCGTTTAGGGAAGAAATTTAAAATCTTCCAAATTCCTATTGAGGTTCAAGAAAAGTCTTCTAGGTAATCTAATTCATAAGAAAAATAAATATTGTAAATTCCTCATCTAAAATTCTAAGACAAGTAATCTTTGGTCATAGATGACTTAGGCAATGCCACCCCAAAATGTTTGGCATCTACAAAATAACCTAGTGAGCCTAATTCGCCATATTTTATTCGAAAATTATAATCATAATAAATAACTCATAGGAGTATTAGTCAAGGTAATTTCGAGAAGCCAAAATAAAATTAGTGGATGGCTTGGCCCAAAAACTTAGAAGGTTGGAATACTCATATGAATAACCATGATGACGATCTACTATTATAACTTCATTATTATTGAATGATAACTTTATTTGTATATGTATAGCTTCTATTAATTTATGATTTTGTATTAACTTATATTCTTTAACATTTTTAGATAATTTGATTATTTTATAATTATCCTTTGACTTATAACATTCTTTAAGATTTCAAATAGAGTGTATCGTTTAATAAGGGCAGATAATGAGAATTAATAAATTATTATTATTTCAATAATATAGCAATTTAAATTCAACAGATAAGGCAACAAGATTCTCTTTCTTTAGGAGGTTTAATTTCTGCTAAAACTTATAAGTTTTCTCTATTATCATCCTTAAAATCCGATTATAACCCTATGCCTTTGGTTGGCACATAATGCAATTTAGGTTCTTGTTTAAATGGAGATAATAATTGCTACATCAATCCTAACTGCTATTAAAATTTGTCTTCATTTGCCTAATAAATGATTGAATAATTGTTTACTTCTATAAGTTAGGTCCTATATTATTTCTGATCCTTAATAATTAGAATTCTATACAAATAAGACAATCTTAAATCAAAACGTAAATTAATTGTTACATTTTCACAAAATGATGCATCTAAACTTTAATCTTAGTAATTAACTGTCAAATAGCATTGGGGAATTGTGGGTAATGCAAAATGTCTGGGCCTTACTTATTAGTATATATCTTAAATTGGTATTTTGATTTGAGCTAATTCTTTATAATCTTCTCCTGAGGTTCTGGCATCTCCGATTTTATTCTCTAATCTCCTTCCCATCACAATAAGAGAGATTGATTCTATTGAATGATCGTTAGAAATGCAGGTAGAGCGATTCGAGTTTTCAGGGTATAATAATTAGTAATTCTAGAGTGCTGTGCCTAACTTATATTTGATACTGTAGAACTTATAATCTTAATTTAATTTACTTTTGCAATCTCATTTATTTAATTATTTTCATCAACATAAGATATTACGAATGCATTCTCTTAATTATATTCGGTTTTATCTATCATAGAATTAATTTATGAGTACTAGCTTCAATTATCTTTAAAAACTTGTCAAAATTTTCTATTTCATCTTTATAAGAATCAATATTTTTTTTTAAATCCACTACTTTAGTATGTATCATTTAAGCTTCATCCAATAACCTCTGAACAAAAGCCTCAATCTTTGTTTCTGTTGCGAACTATGTAAAATTATCACTCTACATGATCGTCTTTATTATAATCATAACCAATGGCATCATTAATGATTTTCCACAAAATATGATCATAACTCTTATTGATTTCAGGTAAAAACCAAAGTTAATCATCAAACACAGAATTAGGTTTATAGCCCTATTGCTCAAAGAACTATAAGATTTCCTCTTTTTTTGATTAGATAATCTCTTCTTCTTATTTAACAAAAGAACCGTTCAATTATTCTGTCATATATATAATATTTATATTTTTATTTGTATAATGTAATTGATAATAAGCCGAAGTTAACTTTAATTAGATCATTTTTTTTTCTTACATGAAGGACAGACATATATTCCTTAGACATTATTATTTAATGGTATGCATTCTTTGTGAAACCATAATTAACAAATATCGCAAATTACTGATAACCTATCAGGATTCATTGGCTGTCTGCATTTGCAATGCTTCTCCCATTTTTAGATAGGTGGAATGATTTACGAATTTTTATAAAATGATCTATGAAGTATAATAAAAGTATTACCTACAGAAAAACACGAAGCCTGTTGATAAATTTTTCTGCTTGAATTGTTCAAGCTCCAAAACTTAGGCTTCACCGACAATTATGTCCGGTTGTATATAATCATATTGATCAGACAAGAATAATTCTCTTTAGCTGATGCCATCCCAATATTGTCCTATAATTAATTTTAAATCCTTTTTAGCGTAATACCATTAGACTTGAATTATGGGTGTATATTGTTGGAATCTTGCAACTCCTATTATTTAAACTGCTTTAGCAATGCGATGGCCATTTTTTTTTGTATATATGACAACATCACTATTTAGTTTAATGCATAGATTATTAATTTTAATTTCCTTGAATTCTTTTTGAGCTTGGTTGAGACTTTAAATATTCTGGAGGAGTAAAGTTAATGATTAGCATCGCTTCACTTGAGTAACAAGATTGTTAGTATTAGAAATTTTTTTGAAGGCTTCTTAGGTTTTTACATTTTCTAATTTAATTGAATTAAAAATTTCATTTAGTTTTTGATTAGTTTCCTGATGAATATTGGGTTCACTCATAAAATATTAAAAATGCTATTAAAAATATTTAAGTTTAAGCAGAAGAATTATTATTTTAATATATTTGATGATTATAATATCTCACTTCAAAAATCCAAGATTTGATTACAATTTTCCATTGACAGCATCAATAAATTGTTCTGTATTCAAATAAGTTGATCTATCAGCCTTTGGACCATGAACAATCAAAGCCAAATCCTTGGTAAATAATCCTGATTCAATAGTTTGGATGATAGATGATTCAATAGTTTCAGCGAATTTGATCAATTCTTAGTTGTTATCCAATCTTCCTCTGTGTCTGAGACCTAAGGAGATATGAATATGATGTACCTCTGGTCCAAGCATAGATACTGGCAACTGAATTAGTAGATGTTTCCTTGCCCTTTTGATGTTCTCTGTAATGTCTAGTTATAGTTCCATGAGCAGCTTCAGATTCATAAACTCCATCATTAGCAACCAATTCTGATGTCATCATACCCAAAGATCCATATCCTTAAGCAACGATGTCTGATTGGACATCACCATCATAGTTTTTCAAAGCCAAGACAAATCCTCCTGATGATTTCATCATTTAAGCAACCAAATCATCGATCAATCTGTGTTCATACCATAATTTATTGGCATCGAAATCCTATTGTATAAATTAGATAATATACTTTCTTGTATTTAGTTTCGAATATCTCTTAGAAAATATCTTTGAAATATCCATCGTATTATTTCAATATAGTATTCTTTGTTCCCAACATCAATGGATATTTTCTCATCAAGGCATATTAAAATGATTGATGGGCAAAGTTCACAATAGATTCATAAGTATTGTACATTCCCAATCCAACACCACCTTTTCCTTTGAATTCAAAGATTGTTCGCTTAACTTATTCTCCTTATGTTGGTGTGTATATTAATTCTAATTTTCCTGGTCCTGGCAATTTGACATCTTAACATTTATATTAATCTCCATATGAATGTCTTCCAATTACAATGGGTTAAGTCCATCCTGGAACCAATCTTGGGATATTTTTACAAATAATGGGTTCTCTGAATACGGTACCATCCAAAATAGCTCTGATTGATCCATTTGGCGATGGCCACATCTTTTTAAGTTTGAATTCTTCAACTCTTGCTTCATCTGCTGTGATTGTTGCACATTTAACACCAACCTTGTGTTTTAAGATAGCATATCCTGAATCGAAAGTAACCTTTATTTTCTATTAAAATATCATACCTTATCATCAGTCTTGTCTCTATGTTCCATACTCAAATCGTAATATTCCAAATTCACATTCAAATATGGCAAAACCAATCTCTCTCTGATCATTTTCCAAATGATTCTTGCTTATTCATCTCCGTCCAATTCAACTACTGTATTTTTAACATTGATCTTTCTTCCAGTCCATTTGGCTGCTGCCTTAAACACAGGTCCTGACATTAAATAATAAAGATATTTTTTAATTTCTTAAACACGTGGTCCGTTATATACATTTTCATTTATACATATAACCTATTATAAATATTTAATTTTATAATAATTTATCTAGCACCATATCTAATCTCTCATTTCATCTTCTATTTTAATATCATAATAACATCGCAGTTTTTATATTGCAATTATAATATTGCCAGCATCATATTATTGAATTTTTTATACATTATTAATCTACAATACTAAATCAAAATCCTATTTTATAATTATTACAATTTTTATGCTATTAGATGGTTTTGATTTAAGCCTAGAAATATCATTTATAAAATTATAAACTTTCAAAATAAAAAAGTATACAATAAAATTACATTGCAAGATTATAAAAAATTACATGATTTATAAAACTATTCAAATGAAAGCTCTCTTTATTTAAGCGAGAATTATTGCGTCGTACCACTTGGATAACAAGAATCTGAACTTTCATTAATAAAATTGTCTCTTAATCTTGTTAATATTATTGAATTTATTCATCAAATCAACATTTATAATATCATTCAATAGTCTAACTCTGATAACAGTTCTTAAATAATCTGAAATCTAACGTAATCATTAACATTATAATATTTGTGAACTTTAGATTTTTTAATAATCATACAAACAATCCTCTAATCCAAACTTTTAATTTAGAGGATCATTATCTTAATAACATAAAGTCCAAGTTACAATTTATATTAAAAGAATTAAAAAAAGCGGAAAAATAATGTTCGCATATGAAATTAAGTAACTAAATTTTTTACATTTTATTAATATTTCTAATAGCATATTATTAAATTTTTCATTAGATTTATTTTATGATAAATAAAAAAAATAATTTAGTTATAAATATGATACTGATACTAAAAGATTATAGGAAAGAATTAAAAATAGGTGGGTAATTTGGCTTACTGAATGTTAGGTTCCTTTTTATTAAGAGAATCGCTATTAAATTTATAATTATTAATATAACTTATTGTAGTTAATTTAAATAAAGAAATGGTTAATCTGTGAACTTCTAATTGATAGATTTGTAAAGGAAAGTATACAATGGTTCAGATTGAATTTCAAAATATTTTATACAGGTTTTTATAAGAAATCTGTATAGTTTTATTTTGATATTAAAAATATATTAAATATGATTAATGACCTCCAATTAATAGCTGAATCTTAACATTTATATGATTTTTATCCAACTAATAATTCGTGCCCTGTAGGAGAACTTATGGAAGCAGATTCGCCTAATAAAAGACACTATATAAGTTCATTATGTTTCTAGTTAAAAAAGTACTATAAATAGAAATCATTAACTTTTTAGAAAAATCAAACGTAATCAGAATAGGCCAAGCGTATTAAAAATAGAAGATAGTGGAAGAAATGTTAAAATATATTAGAATACTCCAAGTTAAAATAATTTAGAAAGGATGGAAGACAATTATCAATGACTAACATTCTCTTTTAATAAAAAGATTTGGAACTAGTTTATTATATTTTATATACATAAAATTGATTTCAATAGTATATTTTAATATATTTCAAATTTTTCTTTATAGAATCAAAAACTTCAATTTTGCAATAATATCATAATTATTTTGATACTTTTAGAATTGATAAGTTTTTATGTTTATCCATTTTAATAAAATTGGAATTTGGTTTTTTGTTTTTTGTATTTTGTATTTTATTTTTAACAAATATTTATTACATTTTAATGGATTTCAGTTATCTTAAGCCTCCCAAATAGGCAATGCAATTAAAACATGCAGGTATCATGGTTATTTAATTAGATGAATATATTAGGTATTATGTGGAAGGAAAATTAAAACGAAATGTGTTTTATAATGTTGAATTTGAAGATGTTGAGGAAGAATTGATCAAAAAATTAGAGAATCTAATCGCAAAAAAACATGTTTAACTACCATTACCTTGGGATAAATAAACAACCTTGAAGTTCTGTTATTCTGGCAATTTTGACATTGAGATGGCTTTTTAAACTTTAATGAGGTATTTGAAATGGAAGGAGGATTCAGATTATCAAGTATTAACACAAGCAGGGGAAGATATCTTAGTAATATTAATTATTGAATTTTGAGAAAAAAGGTATAGTCTTTAGTTTGGGAAGAGACAAACAGTTTAGGCCATTAATTTTTATATAGGTTTCAAAAATAAGTACAAATATTGTAATATTTTATTGATATAATAGGAACAATTGCCACCAATTCTCAATGCTATATGTGTTCTTTTAAATCATATATAAAAAATTTATGTTAGTGCCTTACCATGTGGAGAAATGGAGAATTATAGTGGATTTAAATGATATCAGTATTTTTAGATTACCACACCAAGTAAAAGTTTGTATATACTATTCAGATAATTAAGAAAATTATTGATGTCACATAATCAAACTACACAGCTTCATTAGAATAATTGCATCTACTCAATCCACCTTTCGTTTTAGTAGCAGCCTGGAAATTAGTTGAAAGTATATTTGAATATTAATTTATAGAATTGATGCATCCAGAAACGGCAAAAAAGATACAATTTTGTAAGGATCCGAGCTATCTTCAAGAATACATTAATGAAGATTAATTGATGCTTAAATATAAAGGAACATTACCCAATTTTACATGTTTATGGTAAATTCTATTACATAATTAAAAAAGGCCAATAATCAACACATTTAGAGGAATGGGAGAGAGCATTCATAGGAATATGACTGATAGTGTATAAAAAAACTTCATGACAGAAAGCGCATATTTGAGTATGCTTGATTCCTAATACTACTCAATCTAAACCTTTAAAGAAATCGAATTGAGTAAACCTTAAATAAAAAGCTAGTGTTGCTCTTGTAACATTATGTGATAATTAATTGATTTTATTTCTAAATAAAAAATTATTAAAGAATCAATGGTTATATTAATTGAGTAAAATAAGAAAATAGGATTTTCATTTCAATATGGGTACTACCACTATTTAGTGAATAAAATCTGAAGAATTTCAGAACGTAACGACATATCAATTTAATTTTATTGTTATCTTTGCATTTATTTTAATCTCATCATCAATATCAAGAGAATAGTACTATTGATAGAAGGATCAGAATTTCTAGATGGCTTGAATAACTGCTGCTGGATAATAAATCACAGAACCCTTCTCTTAACTCATATCCATCTTAACATTGTGTACAAGCATTGTATGATGAACAAGATGCGCAATACTAATTTGATTAATAAAATAATTACTCCTGGACATCCAATACAATAATTGACAACCTCATTCAAATAATACCCAGTAGGACAAGAGTCAACACATTCAGTTCCTTTTCTGACTTTTGTGCAGTTTTCTTATTCACAACCTGATCCATAATAGTTTCCATAACAAGTGCATTGACCTTTCATACAAAAACCTCTTTTGTTGCACTAATTTGGGCATTCATCTGCATTTTCACAAAACTATTTGTAATTCTCTGGGCAAGTGATGCTACCACTCAAACCCTCAAGAGTTTTCTCTCCTCCATTAGAGCAATCTATAGATTTACCGTTGACTGTGATAGTAAATGTGCCATCACAACTATATTTATAGCAACTGAACTTTTGAGGAGTACCACTTGAGGCTGAAAAGCCACCAATGACACACATACTATGATAGCCAAAATCTTAAAAGGTAGCTGCATTGTCAGAATATCCAGCTGAATTAGCATTTCTACAATCGAGATTAGGATCGATCTAATAATACTTACAACTGTTAGATAAATCATCGCTAGAACAAACTCCAATTCCATTATGGGTAATAGCACATCCTACACTTCCTTCATCACTACAAAATTCAGAGAAATCTGATTCGCACATTGAATCATAGAAGTTGCATCCTTCTCCTTCTCCCCATGTTAATATATCAGGTTTGTAATCAGCTAATCTATAATACCCTGTATCTTATAATAATTGAAATGTAAAGTCTGTCAGTACAAAATCACTAACCATGTCATTTCCTGTCATCATTTCATTGTAGAATAATGTTCTTTCCCAATGAGATCCAGCTGTTCCATCACCACCTTCCTATTCCATTGGTACTCCTGATATATCGTCACATGCGAAATGTTTCCTCGCAAAGGCTAAAACTCTAGGAGTAATTATCTTCACGACATCATCCTCTTCTATCATGCCTCCATCTGGATAGACTTCACCTGTAGCTGAATCATAAAATTAGTTAAATAGATCCTCTACAAATCCGAGTCCATGAATGATTTCATGGACTGCTGTGGCTAATTGAGCTTCAAATCCAGCATTTGTTAAGGTACTCACTTGACTATAGGCCATGTTCCATCCGATAGCACCAAAGATTGGTCTTTTGGTCTTGTCGTCGAAAATAACTGGAGCGCAAAATGCTAATGTACTGTCATTACTATCGTTCATTGTATTTACAAAAAAGACCTAAAAATCAATTACAATTAGTTACCAAGTCGGCATCGTGTTAGACAGACAACATATCAGTACTCATCTCAAAGAATTCCTTGAATTAGGCTGGGGCATCTTGAGTTAATTATATTTTATCGGAACTCCTTCTAATCAGAAGGTGTTTTGACAAAAAGGTGCCACATATTGAGAAGATCTAATTCAAAAACTCTTTTGTTTGAAGATCAGCATCAGTTACATATTCAAATTTAATTCTTATGGGCTTCCAAGTACCTGAAATATCAACTGTAGATTCTTCTAATTTTCTTTTAGCATGTTCGTTTAATCTCCTTGATTTTGGAAAGGCAGCGGTTAATGATAAGCAAAGTAGCAGAAGAAGCGTTGGCTTGTTCATTAGTTTAATTTTATTAAAAGTTATTTATCAATATCATGGTTTGGTTTTTTGCAGATATAAACTTGAATAATATTACTTAACAACATATAAATTTAAATATTTAATTCCTTTATAGAAAGCTTAGTTATTAATAAAGATTTAAATAAAATCTCGAATAAATTAATAATAATATTTATTCATTTTTAATTATCATTAGCAAACTCTTGTGAATACCTGTTTAAAAGTATGGTAGTGGAAATCACATAGAATATACTAAAATTATTAACACATTCTATAATAGTAGGGCTATAAACAAATCAAAATCTAGTAACATTACTTTGAAATATAGAAATTTTTCAAATTGATTATTTTGATTATATAGCCTATTTCTGTTAGGAATTAAGTTACTATAAGTAAGAAAAAAGAAGAAAGGACAATGACCCCTACATCCAGATGAATACTTAAATGAGTGAATCTCTTTTACAAATTATCCAATTATATAATTGATCTTATAATAGATCATAGCTTATAAAATTAATAACTTCTCTTGATGTATATTCTAAAATTTTACAATCTTAATAGTTTGATAAAATAATAATCTGATAGCTTTATTATATTTTCTATATTAGGTTATATTTATTCATTGATCAATATCCTAGTATTCTTTTTCAGGTTTCCAGTCAACAACGTCTATTCTTGATAAATAATCTTGTTCCTATTTTTAATCACTAAATTAATTCGGCAAAGAAGTCGAAAGATCTAAAGTATGAGAAAAAATCCTTACATTCTCCTTTGGCAATTGTATCTAAAAATACAAGGTTTTTCATATTTTTAAATATTTCATTTCTTATCATTATGCTCTCTTGTTCAGTTACATCTTTAAAATTCCCTGCAATTGATAATTGAATTAATTTCTCAAATAAATAGAATTCTCGCAATAATTATTAATCAGAGAAATCTAATTGGTTTTACATAATAGATAAGGATAAGAGTTTGTCTTGGTAATATTTTAAGTGGACTAGTTCAGAATTGTGTATAAAATTGTAATCCAAAGTCATTCTCTTCAATGATTCAATTTTTGGAATATATTGTAAAGACACTAGATTACAGTTATTCAAACCTAAGTATATCAATGATTATAATCTAGAATAATAAGAATAAAATACGATGATATTTAGATGCCAAAGTCATGATCTAGTGTGAACCTGCAATTCTCTAAAATTAATTCGAATATTGGTGTGGATTTATTGATTTCGATAATTTTAGCAACAGTAAAAGTGGCCTCTTCATATTCAGGTTTCTTGAGCTTGTGATGACATTTGAACAGAATCTGGGCTTTTTGTTTATGCATAATATAAAATAATACCAACCATTTTTAAATATATAATCACAAAAAAGCCTGTATTATCTAACTTATTTATTTTTAGTACTGTTCCTGAAGTAATATTATAATTTCCCAAGTAATTTTGATCTGCCAACTCTCTGCCATTCAAATATAATCTGCAGGTTTTTTCTTTGGCTGCTTCCAAAATCTTCTATTTGATTTCAAGAACCTTTGATGTACTTTCTGTTTAGATTAAAAAATCTTTAGGGAGCTTACTACTACGTATCCTCACCTAAATAGACTTACTAACAATTACTTGCAGCTAAGATACTTCAAAATTCAGAACTAAGGGTTCTTTGTTCCATGATATTGGTTCATTAATAATAAATACTGGAACTTAAAACACTTGTTCTTTATTAATAATATTTATACTATCTGTAATTAATAATTGGATTGAGTTTCCAATAAGTTTTAATTTGCACAATGTCAATATGGCAATAGAGGATTCTAAATTTTAAAGATGAGATACTTTCATCATCTTATGACAGAGCCTTGCGAATGCTTGACCAATATATTGAATCCTTATAACTATCTTTATATGACTTTATTACTCTACCCCAAAATTAATTCTGCATCATTTCCCACTCATTCCTTGATAAATTGGTTGTGTATTTATTGGTGCGTCTAATACCTTTACCAGTAAATTAATTTTGAATTAGAGTGAAATGATTGGCATATTTCTGATTCACATTGACAGGATTTTGAATATCCAATAAATGCAAATATTACTAATCTATTTGGTATAATTATGTACATCTTCTTAGTATTTCAACCCTTTACTCTTATTTGAACATACTCCCATTTTTAATAATATTTATACAGATAATGGATTAATTTATTTCAAAAGTCAGCTTCATTATCATCATCCAAATTTTCAATTCCATCATCTTCATCTTCCTCTTCTTCATCATCATCAACTCCTCCCTCTATATCATCAATATCATCTACGTCTTCTCCACCATCCTCATCCATTTATTATCTATTAAACCCACCTTATTAGTTTCTCATAAAATCATTATTACGCTTTTCCTTATTGCTTGATTATAGTCGAGAATCTCCTCCCAATTAATCTAACTATTCATCATTTTCATCATCATCCCCTCTTAATTCTTTGCCTTACGCATTCTAAATCTATACCCTCACTCCTTTAAGTTAATCATCCTTCCTTCTTTATTCTAACTCAGCCTACCTATTTTGAGCATCTAAGACGTGCTCTAAATAAACTAGATTTCTAAATTTCTCGACATAAATCTAATAATTAACAAATCCTATTACCTGATATAACTTCTCTAATTCATATTCTTATCTATCATATTCCTCCTAATAAGCAGGCTTAACACTCGTCATGCCCTTTAATCTTTTCTCTGCTTATTCTAGCTCTTTTGTTTTTCTCTTTATTTTTTCCTCCAATTATTTCTGATCCCTCTCTAAACCACCTACATATTTAGACATCTCCTGAATATTTGAGTCTTGCTATTTCAATATGGTTTGGATGCATTTCTGTATTTAAGATTATTCAGATTGTGAATTTCCACCTCTAGAGACATTGGACAAAAATTGCAATGCTTTTTCCTATGGATTATCATAATATTCTTACCCTTGCTACTTTGACTTCATCCTCTTTCCCTAATTAATCATAAAGTCTTGTGGCCAGATCAGTGATCTCTTGAGCCAATAACTTATGACTCTTAATATTACTTAATTTTGATGGGAGGGACTTTCAATACTCATAGATATAATTACAAAATCATGAATCTCTTCTTCATCAGCAGGCGGAGACACTTATGCTTTATACAAGAATGTTGAAATTTTCAAAATTTCTTAAACTGCATAAACATCAGCCATATACAATCTCTTTGGGTTTATCTTAAGCCTGGCCTTACTAACAAATAGTGTTGTTATTTGCTTAATAAATTCTACCCTATGTCGCTAAGTTTTAATATTATTTTTACTTCCTCGTCAATATTATCAGAAATATCTGAGTTTGGATCATACTTTTAAGCTAGCCAAAAAAGGATGTCAGCTACAAGCTCAAAATTAGGCCTTCTAAAGTTTTCCATTGAAATTATCCTATGATAACCCAAAGCCCTCATTTATTCACAGAAGTTACGAAGTTCTCTATATGACATTAAATTATTATTATTATTTCATATTTAATTTTCAAAATCAACTATCAGATGCCGAAAACTAATGTATTTGCTTAATTACTCAAATATTTTTGGAATGAGTTACGAATGTTAATTGTAAATTTAGAGTTTATCTTAAACTCAAACTTATAATTAAAAATACTAAAACTGGAAAGCATAGCTAATATATTTTAAGAAAACATTGTAATTTAATGATATATAAAATTCAAAATGATGCTTTTTTAGATGTAAATTGTCTGAAATTTTTTTTAAATAATAATTATTTAGATTGGTTTTAATAATCTAATTACGAATACTTCAATAAAAATTTGAATAACTTTATAAATAATATTACATTTGTAAATTTATCATATTCTCAAAATAAATAAGGATATTTTTATACTCTTAAATTTAATTGATATTGCTAATTATTATTTGTAAATTATTATTTTTATTGATATTACTCTGATTCAATAAATTATTGCTAAGAAAATGATAATTGATGTGATAAAATATCTAATTTTTTAATTCTTAATATTTAATTAGAACATTAAATTTAATAGTAGGCAATTCAATCAATCACTCTTGTAAATTTGAAGTGAATTAAGTATTGATAAAGGCTAGCAACTAATTAAATACATAGAGCATTCAAGAACAAATATTGAATTCAATTTGTTAATATTTACTAAGTAATTTATTATATATTAATATATAACAGTCATCATATATAAATTTATATTAGATAATCGAGAGCATTAGCTATGGATTAAGACAAAAACCTTCTGACGCAATCATTGATTTTTAATATTGCTAATCATAAATAAAAAGAAACAGATATCTTTGCTTTTGTAATTGATGGAAAGTTGACTCTTTTGGATAATTTAATGCATCAATTCAATAATGTTCAGGAAATCATAAATGCAAAAGATTTTGAAGGCAAGACACCTTTATTTTATGCTTGGTTTTTCAATTACAATAAAAAGATATTATAACTTCAAAAATATTGTGATGTATTTGCTAATGAAGGGAGCGGATCCATTTCTAACATCTAAATCAGGATTTATGTATTTCATGTCTGTGCCTAAAGAGGTAATTTGGAATGCCTCCAAATACTCTTTTAAATGTTTAAACATAAATAAAGTATGGCTAAATGGGAGGAATTGAAAATAACAATGAAAAAGTATCAAATCAAGAAATCAGACTCATAAAAAGGGTAGTTGATTAACGCAGATAAACATTTGAAGCAAGTTCAATAAAGATTCTAATAATTCCAAGCAATTGTTAGTGAGTAATATTAATAATTTTTGGATTAAAATTTATAATATTTTAAACTAGTCAATATGACAAAGATCATTTTAGAGAAATGCTATACATTATGGCAGCTTATCCAAATACACCAAATGTTTTTAATGTATTAAATAATTGGCATAATTTGATTTTGAACCTTAAGGTTGGGATTTATTTTATGATATTTTTATGTAAGTGTAATTGTTGGTGTAAACAACAGACTGTAAGATTGATCCAAGATAATACAAACAATATCGTGAAACTATTTGCAATTTCTTAAATTCATAACTTCTTTAACAAAAACAAACTAATCTCATGAGCAACATAAAGAAACTATAAAAAGTTATTGTTAATTAATAAGATAGTGATGGATATGTAAAATTAAATATAATTTAAGACACCTATGCATTTGGCCTCTTTTGCAGGGGACTTTGCAGCAATTCAATTTATGTTGTAATTGGGAGCAAACCCAAAAATTAAATGCAAACAAAAAAATAAGAACTCCTTTGGAATATGCATCAAATGATTCTGTGGAAAATATCTAATGGATCTTAATAATGCAGTAGAATGAAGGAGATGATAAGACCTTTACATTATTAGTAAATTGTGGGTAAAGAGTTAATGGAAAATCAACCATTTACGGGATAACACCTGTGCATAAAGCAATAGAACAGACTTATAAATCATCAAATAAAACTATGTTAAAAAAAGTTTTAGAAATGGATGCTGATGTTAATGTAATAGACACAAATGGATGGATCATTGCATCATGCTGCTTTCTATTGGGAATTATGGGCAATAACTACTTTAATAGAAAGAGGAGCATATCAATAAATCTCATATATAAAGGATACTATCCAATTCATGTAGCAGCACTAAACAATTAAGCAAAGGCTGTTTAATTGCTAATAGAGACAGGAATGGCTTGTTAAGAGAGTTTTGTTGATTTTCAGGATAATCAAAATTGTACATCTATTCATTTAGCAGCAAAAAAATGCCATGATTAAGTTGTTTAGGTGTTATTTGAATCAGGAGCAAATATCTATCAAGTTGATAAAAGAGATTGGACTCCTTTGCATTATGCATCATTTTATCAAAATAGAAATGTGGTTCATTTATTAAGCAGGTATGATGCAGATGAAGATCAGTACTGCGCTATGAGAACAAACAAGGGTTAAACAGCTGATTAAATGACTACTGATTCTGAAGTAAAGTTTGCATCAAGAGTTTAAATAAATTCTAAATTTAGCATTATGGAGTGCTGCTAGAGATGGAGACTTAGATACAGTTAGAAAACTAGTGACACTGAATCATCCAATAAATGAATAAACCTATGGAAATAAATTTACTCCTTTAATTTTGGCTATAAGAGGGAGTCATTTCCTAGTTGTCAAATATCTATTATCAGAGAATGCAGATAAAACACTAAAAGACAAATGTATTATAATTACCTAATCTAGATGGCAATAGTGCTTTGGATTATGCAGAAAAATAGGTTAATTAAAAGATTAAAGAATTATTATAAGAATAGTAATGATTTAATAATTCAATATTTATAATTATATTTTAATGGTTATTAGAGATATTAATATAATATGTTGATCTCTTATTTATTGGAATCTTTGTGAGTTTATTTTTCGGCAACTTCAGTTTCAAATAACTAGATAAAAATTAGCTAGTTAAATTTATAATTAGCATCCATTCAACGAATTAAGCCCATAAATTTAAATATTTGTTTGTATTCTTTAGCCTTAATTATCAAAAAGCAAAACTTTAATTATTTGTTATCTAAATTTAATATTTTCGTAGAATAATGAAAATTTAGTCTCATAAAATTATTAATTTTTTCTTTGAAAATATTTGATTGAATATCATTAGAGTTTATGGTTTTGAAGTAGAAATAGAATGTAATCATTTTGCTATTTAATTAATTTTATCATTTTTATTTCTAATTATAAGATTATAATTTAATGATGTAATAAAATATATTATAATACATTTATGGTTGTTTATAATGTTTATACAGCATGGGGCATATAGGGGTCATTAAAAATAATAAGCAAATTTGATATTTTAAATTACTTAAATTTTTTAAACATTTTTACCTTCATGCTTTTTAATTGTCAAGGATACTTGATAGCAAATGACTAATCTAAACACGAAGTTTTCCTGAATGCAAACCCCTTAGGTTTGACCATAAAAGTAAAATCAAATCTACCTAAATAGATGACAAGTACAGATTCCTAAATAGCTTTCATTCCGCGTGGGACTATAGACAGCGTACTAACTTGGTTTCGCTCAGTAAACGAAGGTATTTTGATCTCTAATTATGAGTGAACAAAACAGGAACGATGGACTTAGAAAGCATTGACAGAAACATTAAGGTTACTATTGACATTGACTTACGAAATTTACAGAATTTGGAACGTCTTCTCCGTGGAAAAGTACTGTTCCAAAGAAGGCCTTGTTTTAAAAGAATCAATGGGATAGCCAACAATATTTGTATCTGATAATTATCATCCTAGTTTTATTATAGATAGAAGGAACCAATAACTATATGGTCGAAAAGATGGCATACTTTCCCCATGTGTCTTCTGACAATTCTAATTTTACACGTTTCGTATAAAAAGTCATATAATCATAAGGAATAAATAAAGTAGGAATAGATGATTCTGAACAATCTAAGGGATTATCCTCATCCAAATATAATCTAATTGGAGGAGATTTCATGTGACGATAATTCCTTATCAGTATTACTTGAATACTGCCATGGAGGTGACTTTCTTAAGTATTTGAATCAAAATAACAATAATATCGACCATCAATTGGTGATGAAAAAATTATTAAGTGGTATTTATAAAAAAAAATCCATAATTTAGTTGTTTAGCATCTACATTAATTGGATATACTGCATCGAGACATCAAACTTTAGAATGTTTTACTAAGAATACCAAACGATGTGAGCAGTCTAGTATTGGCAGACTTCGGGTTGGCTTGTCATAAATCTTAAATTCCTTATTACAATACAAGGTATTATAATAAAACTACAATATCCATAGATGCGGAACCCCAGGTTACACAGCTCCTGAGGTGTTCACATAAGCCATCTATGATACCAAGGTTGACATATTTAGTTGTGGCGTAATGTTCTTTAATTTGTAATTCAAGTATTAATTTTTAGATTGACTTTAAAAAATCCTTTTGGGTCATCCAGAAACCCATAAACATTGCTTTTGAAAAATATCTCCGCAGACTATGATCTAACTCATTTAGATCTCATAAAAACTAAAACTCCTTTGGCTTATGATTTAGTACTATAGATGCTTCATAAGGATCCAAAATTACGACCTTCTGCTACACAATGTTTATAGCATCCCTACTTTGAGTAAACAGTATTTGAACAAAAAGAAGATTCTACTTTAGACAATATCTAGTATATCATTACATTTACATTAAGATTCCATAATCCTATCCACCAAGCAGTGAAAGTAAACTAAACTAAGTCACGCCAAATGCCCTAGTTTAAATGATTACTACTCATTCATTATTAAGTGATTTAATATTCTTATTATATTATCAATCTTTGAAGAATTTAAACTAAATTATAAGTTCATTCTTACCTGGTAATTGACTTCTCAATCGCTACTCTATAATTGTAAAGAAGCTACTATTCTAATTTTATTCTCCTATCTTCCTATCCAAATTTGATAAAAATAAAACGAAAACATCAATCTTTATTTAATTTTAAACTTTGGAATATAAATATTTCTAAATTATTTTTTTTGTTATTGTGACTAGAAACAAATAGAATCGACTTTAAGAGCGTTCATCCTTTCCAATTCTATAGAATTAGTTTTAGACAATATATTCTTAAAATTACTTAGACTTTTATTGACATTCTCTAAATCCATTAAATTAGAAAAAATAAAACTATTTCGAGTAGTATCATTTTATGGTGAGGCAACTGCTCAATTATTATTTTTAATATAAACATACTTATAAGTAGAGCCTCATCTTAATCTTAGTTGATTGCACTTAGGTTTACTTAAAATTCAAAATAATACTATAAGTTAGAGAACCTCCCTACATTGAAAATAATTTTCTGGTTGAATCAATTTCGAAATTCAAAAATATTCAGCTATCCAATTATGTAGTACTCAGATTAAATTTTAATTTATTATAATTTTTTTAAATCAATAGTATCCAAACTTAGTTAATGCTATAGAAAAACAAATAATCTCTTAATTATTGCAGCATCGTAGCTCTATCAATGAAATTATTTAATTAATAATAACACTTATTTTGTTTTTATATGAGCAAATAGTTTTGTGGTATGATAATATATTATAATTAGTATCCAAGGTTTTAAGCTGATTCATTTTTTTTATTTAGAAAAAATTACTCATATTCTAATTAGTAATAAATACTTGGTTTCTTATTTATTTTATTTGCAAGAATAGTATTTAATGATTCTGTAAATTTATAATAAAGAGATGTAAAACAATCTTTCAAATGAAAATAAATTTACTATTTTGTTTCCCAAGATGAGGGTTAATTTAGATATATTTTCACTCTTTAATTAACAGGTTTCATGCATAAAAGATTTTGGAATGACAAAAATCAATAACATATAGATATAATTCCTACCATTGAAAACTCATCAAATGAAAAAGAATTTAGGCTATTTATAATCTTTAGGATATCTACTTTTGTCTATTTTCAAATACCAACCACAAACAAGTGAGAATTTCAAAAAAATTTAACCTTGAATAACTGCTTCTCCAAAATCCCCTTTAACTGTAAAGCATTATTTATGCTTTACCCTCATACTTATAAATAGACATGACTCACTTATTGATGGATAATTGCTAAAATGGTGAAGAACTTTTTTGAAATAAATTTTGCCAGACTCCTAAAAATAATTATTTTTGGCAAAATATCATCGAACTTTCATTATATTCCAATTTTAGATTGGAAAGTTTTTGGAACTGTTTAAAACAGATCATTCTATTTCTTGTACTCCTTCACTCAATTCATTCGAGTTTACATGAATTTCAGTAAAGAATTTCGAAATCCAAGTAAAATATTCACTGAGACAGATCTTCAGCACCTGTTAGCGCATCTTTTATAATTAGTTGATTTCAAATGAAAAATTTCTAAAATTAGTAACCAATTTTACTTTGTGTTTAAAATTTGACAAGTTAATTATATGAATTTTATGTTCCAACATTGTTAATTACTCAATCAATACCATATTATCATAATAATTTAGTTTGATTGATGGCGAATATATATCATCACAATTTTTCCAATTGTAAAGATTTTCAATATTGAAAGGATAAAATATTATTTTGTAGAACATTCGATATAATTCAATTATGATTTCTATATAATTTTACTTAAGATTAATCCTTATCATATTACAAAAATTGATTAGATTCTTATTATTATTTAATTTTAATGAGAATTGCAAAATGAATTCAAAGAGTAATAGTTTGTTTTATTTCTAGATTTCTTTTTATATTTCTAATTTTTTTGTCATCGCTCTTGCTAATTTTTTGTTGGTCTTAAATTGAAATTCTATAATTTTCTATATAATTTTTTATCCATATTATAATAACAGAATTATACTATTTTGAAGTGCTTATATCTTTATTTTTCATCATAAATAACTCTTATTAAAGATTTCTTTCAAAAGAGTTGGCTTTAGAATTCGTAAGTTGAAGATGTTTATATAAATATATAATTGATTTAGAAAGAAAAGCATTGTAACAAATAAAAAAGGCCCTAATGAAGATTGAGGAAATATCTACTAATGATTTTTATAATTATTTAAAATTTGAGCGCCAATTCAACAATTTAAAACTTAAAATTGAACTGAACTAATTTTAAGTTGTGATTCAAACGACCTTATTATTCTGAATTTATATAAATATGATTGATGTTAAATTCCTCTTTATTTATTTAAGTCTTCTCATTTTATGAATTAAATATAGGAATGAAAAGTTAGTTCATAAAATTTTGAGAATCAATTATAATAAAATTAGATGAAATAAGTATTAAGTGACAATAAACTTTTTATAATCATCAAATTATTTAATTCATTTGACACAAAATTTAATTTTTTCTCCCAAAAGGTTAATGAATTGATTGGTAATTTAAGAAACAATTGTTCTTTTCATTTTTAAGAGATGAAAATTAAATTTACAATCTAATTAGAAGTTCCTTTGCAATCTTAGAGTGATTTATTTGGATAAATGACAATTCTTAACTTGAAGAAATTTGAATGAATTATGATATAACTGATTAATGAGATGGTATTTTTATATTGTATTGAGTGTATGTAAATGATACAAAAAAATTCAATAAATATTTTTAATACTAAATGTACTTATAAATTATTCACTGGTTTTAATATTCTGTTAATTAATAAAGTGATTTACCTGTAATAATTCAAAAACCAAATGATATTCACAGGTTTCATTAATAAAATTAATGTAAAAATTGTTTTTCATAACAATATTGGCTGTTGGCACATTCGGGGCATTAACTGCAGATTTCTGGTGCGATTGTACAGAATTCACAAGCTAAACTGAATGTAACAATGTTGTTGACTGTGTTTGGGGAACTGCATGCGCAAAGAAGGCATGTAAGGATATATCAACAGATGTTTGTGATACCCTTGGTACCTGCACAATAAATAACTCTGGAGTTTGTGAAGACTCGAAGGCATGCTCCACTTATGAAGCAGCTAAGCCAATTTTATGTATGATTTAAAAAGGAAACTGTGCAGCTGCATCTTTAACTCCAAATGCAAATGGAAAATACACTTGTTCAACCTACACAGCTGTTGCAGACTGCTCAACCTTACCCACTACTGGTTGTAGCAATAATTTTATAAGTGAAGAATATTTCTGCTGGTTGAACGCATCTACAAATAAATGCGATAAATTCAGCACAGAAACTTGCATAGGTGCTCCTATGGATGTATGTGCAGATTTGGGATGTGATGCATCTGGAACTGCTTGTAAGGCCTTCACCTGCTCTTCTTTTACAAGTGAAGCATTGTGCACCGTAGCTAATGATGGTATCTTCGGTTCTTAAATATTATGTAAATGGGATAAAACAACTAGCAAATGTGGAGAAAGAAGCGATGTTACAGATTATACTCAAGACACTTGTTCAAAGAATACAGACGGTGGATACTATTGGAGCAATGATGCTTGTGTTGCTTGTGAAGATGATGAATCTGAAGATTCAAGTAGCCCTTATCTATTGGCTTCATTGGCAGTCTTTTTAACAATCATCCAATGATCAATATATTCACATTAAAAACGATATTTTTTATTTTAAATTCTTCTCACTTCTCATCGACCTTCATTTTGATGTGATTTATTATTTGATCGATCTCATCTGGTTCTAATTCTAGTTTCTACACTGCTTATGTGATGACACTTGGATTGATACTGTGCTATAGGAGTTTTGAAGATTAAAATTTAATTTCGGCAATTATTTCATGTCTCTTAACTTCATTTTATGAATCCACCTATTATTGTTCATGGAGCTTTATTATAAAGTGTCTCTTCCAAAATTCAACATCCATTAAACAAGGTTGTTTCAATATGTTATCATAATATAATGTTATTTGATCTTTTAAATCATCCTGGACGGGGAATGTATGATACTTTTGTAATGTTTACTTAATTAACTTTATGGTCTACTCAGTTAGATTCCTATGGTATAACTAAATCTCTTAAAATCAATTACATAATGAATTAAATCAACTAATAATTTATGAAGGTTCTGCATATATATATTTAGCTTTATCAATTATGATTTTGCGTCCATTGGTAACTTAGATTCTCTTAATGAATCTAAAAATTAATCGAGTTCTTCATTTGAGCCCGCCAACTTTGCAAACAATTGATCATTAACTACAAAATTTGATTAACTCAATGAATTAAAAACTGAATCATAAGAGCTATCACGATTTATAGTTCTTTTTATTTATGACCATAATGACTTTATCTCTTAAATTAGATACCATATTACCTTGTGTGGCTTATTTTGATTTCAAATTTAAAGATGGTTATTAATTTCTAATTTCCATTTCAGTTTACATTATGTAATCATTAATATTAAACTTATTCAACACTGGTCTTGTCTAATCTTCGATTTTAAACATGAAAATAGGTTTTGATATCTCTTGAGCTTCTATTTTCTATTTTTTTATATAAAATTACTTAATTCATTTTTTTAAGTGCATATTCTACATTTTTGATGGTTGAAATATGAAAGACTTACAATTTCATTTAAATATCATTGAATACAGTTCTTCTTTATTTATCTAATTGAATCACTATTTACTCTTGCTATGCACATCCTTCAAAGTATTCACTTATTGTCTGATTGTAATCTGTTATGGCCTATCTTAAGAAGATATTGTTTTATTGTTTTTCTTATTCTAAGGCTGTTCTAATCGAATCGGTTTTAGCAAAAGGCAAATCAATGATGCTCTATTTATATCGATTGGCTCTTCTAGATAAATTATTGACATTAGATTTGAGTTGTTTATCTAAGAGTCTGCATGTATTCTCAATTTTCGAAACACCGTCGTGTTGTTTAGCCAGCAAGTCTTTTAATACAACCAAAGCATCGTTTTTATAAGATTCCTTCAAGTATTCAGCTTACTCTTTTTCGCATAAAATTACACTCCTATAAGCTTAGACTATATCGATTATGTCGTCATTTATTATGCCATCTTCATTAAGATCCAATATTTTAGCTAATTGATCCAAACTTTAAGCATATGAGCCTTCCAATAATGCTCTTTCAAAAAGTGCAGTGTTAAGAACTTCCATCACCTTCATGTTTTATGTTTAATAGGTTGAGAATTGTTGATACCTATTCAAAATATCAGGTTCAAAAAGCATTATTAATTAATTTATTTCAATTATTTGAAAAATCCAACTTTAACAAATATTATGAATTTGCACATAAAAATGCATGTATATATATGTTTCAGAAAAGACTAATCGATTTATTAATCATTTATCATTAAAATCTTAAATTCTCATCATTAGATTATTTAATTAAGTTAACTTTATATTTTTGAAATAATTTATAATTTATTTATTATGGGAATTTTATTATTGCAAGATTCCATTTATCTTTACATACCCAATATCAATATGCACATATATAATATTATGTAAAATGGGAATTATGATAGTTGTTATAAAGTATTTGATTGATTTCTAGCTAAGAAATTAACTAAAAACACAGAGGACATTAAATTAATTAAAAATGAAGGGTGGTAGATATAAAAAATAAATATATAAATAATTACTATCTTATAGATTATTAAATAGTTGGATATTTATTAATAAAATTTATCAAATTCGTTAAAAAACACTACTCTCTTATCTTTTAATTAATTTTTTTATTTGTTTAATGAGAGGTACCCACCAATTAATAACTCAATTTGAACTTAATGGATATACTCTGCCTTAGATGGAAAAGAATATGTGTATTACGTTTTTAAAAGATCTGCTCTAATAAAACCCAATTGAAATTGACTTTATACTTGCTAATACTAAGCCATCTTCCCAAGAACTGAAATTGCTAACCTTATAATCAAACATTCTGTAATTAATAAAGGAGAATAAAGATCTATCGATTTCATCTCCTAGATTTGATTATTCTTAATTAGATAGTATAATCCCTAAGAAGAATAGAAATAAAATAAATGAAATTAAAACAAAAGTTGAAACTCTTCTAAATAGTAATAATATTGACCCTCCTTTGACTATTAAGAAGAGGTATAAATGATATTAATTGGATAGATGGTGGACAGAAGAAGAAGATTAATAACTGAAAGAATTAGTCACTCAACATGGTGCCAAAAATTGGAAGAAAATAGCATCAAATTTTGAAGAAAGAACAGATGTCTAATGTTTACATAGATGGCAAAAGGTTCTTAATCCTGATCTTGTTAAGGGTCCTTGGACTTAAGAAGAAGATGAACTATTAGTTAAATTAGTAATCAATTGTGGGCCAAAAAATTGGAGTTAAATTGCTAAGCATTTACCTGGCAGGATAGGTAAATAATGTAGAGAGAGGTATTTAGTTAAGAATTGATGTAGGTTCCATAATCATCTAGATCCAAAAATCAATAAGGAAAGATGGACTGATGAAGAAGATTAAACCATAATCGAGGCACATAAAAAACTAGGAAATAGATGGTCATTAATAGCTGGCTTATTGAAAGGAAGAACTGACAATTCAATTAAAAATCATTGGAACAGCACTTTAAAAAGAAGATTAAAGATGCAAAATAGATGGGAAGATTTATAAGTTTTACCTAGATAGGATGAGACCCAAATTAAAGGAGTACCAAGAAGATAAATTTAGAGGAGAATTATGTATTACAAAACTCCAGAAAAACTGGTTAAAAGAGATCCAGTCTCGAGACAGTTGAATTTCTTGACTCCATACTCAAATAACACCCCAAGTAATAATACATATATATTTAGAATCTGAAGCTATTCCTAAGAATCTTAGTATAGTATATCCGAATTTATCTACCAATGGTTTAGAAATTATGTAAAATTATTAATAGATTTTTAGAGATTCATGTTAACTTTTATTTAAATAACTAAGTGAATTAACAAATACGGATCTTGATTTCAATAAATAATATAGTTACAAATGATATTTTTAATATATAAAATAAGATTTTTCAATTTGGATTTGGAGAAGATCTTATATGATCGATATAATTTATGTAATATTTGCTTTTATTTTTGTCCATCAAATTTGAGGAAACATATTAAACAAAAATTTGCACTTTTTATATTCGAGGTACTGACAAATATTTTATGATTAAGAATAAACTGAATAATGCAAGTTCTCTACTCAGATATATAAATGAAAATATTTAAAAAGAATAAAATGAATATTAGTTAATTAAACAATAAGTGATACATAGTGTATTATTTATTTCATCAATACAAATTTTATTTTAAAGCCTAAATAACGGCTTGATTCTAATTATAATACTGAGCAATTTTTATTAATAAATTAATAAATGAATTAAGATTTCTTGGTTTTCAATTGTTTATTACTAAGGTTTGTAATTTTACGTAAAACTTAAGTCCTTTATTTTATAAATCTATTATTCAAGTACTATAAAATAATGATTAGTTTTAATATATCAATCAAGGCATTTGTTAATTCGAAACAGAGATTCTGTCTTGGTCCTTACTCTCCTTGTTATGAATCAATAATTAAAATATAATCAAGAATCAAATTTTTATTATTGTACTAGATAATATATATATGGTGTAATGATTCTAAAATTAATTAATAATTTATCTCTTAATAAAAAATGCTATGTAAACCAGTCAATTAATTGATGAAATATTTCTTAAGAAATCTATAAGCTTTATTTATTCTTTTTTTGAAAGAAAATCTTAGCTATATTTATTGTATTTAATTATGAATCAAAAATAGTTCAGCTTTTGCTGTTTATGTATACTACTCATTTATAGATGTGATAATATCATAAACAGATAAAAAAGAAAATCTTATAATAAAGTGTATTCGCATTTACTTACTCAGTTGAGGAACACAAATTGTAAAATTATCCTCTATGTTATTGAAACTGATTTGAATAGAATTCTAAATAAATTTAGACAATATTATTTTGACTCTCTTTTTTAGAATTGTTTATATATTGTATTATTGATTGTAATAATAAATATATGGTTAATAATTGAATATTAAAAATTCAAAATAAATATTTTTTAAAATATCACTAAGGGCATTATAATATGATAAATATTCTCATCTTAATCTTGTTTGTTATTTTCTTCTACCGAAAGTTGCATAGTTTAACAGTGTAAAATGTATTTAGATTTTTAATAATTCTTATAAAAAATTAATGGGTCCCATAAAATAGTTATAAGCTTTTGTATGTGCCTAGACATTTTGGCCATAGTTCATGATTAGATGGTTTTAGGCTGAAAAAGGTCCTTTTACCATCTTCTTTTATTGTCCTTTAGCAAAATGGGGAATATCAATCGCTAATATTAATGACATGATGAAAAAGCCTGTTGACTCAATAAACCCGGTTTAATAATCAGTTATTACATTGACAGGAACCCTTATTGCTAGGTATTGCATGAAATTATTCATTAGATGGTGCTGGGTTTTATCACCAAGATAATATATGTTAATGATATGCAACTCGGTGATGGCATGTACAGGAATCATTCAATTATGGAGAAAACAGTAAATAATTCATCTATCTTATTAGTTAAGCTGGTCTCTTATTTTGAAATATTTTATGCATGTTTCGAATATATAAATTATCAATCAATCGTTGTATCTTTTTATATATATATATAATATTTTCAACTTGAAGAAATCATTGATATATTCTTGAGTCTTCTCATTAAATTCTAATACGGCAATCCATTATTCTTAATAAATTCAAATTTAATATTCTGTACCTTAAACTGAAACATCATGTCTATATTTATTTGTGTTAGTAAAAAAACTAAGACTAAGTTGATTCTAAAAAGGGTTGAAAATTTCTCACTTCTCAATTATCTTCTCAAATAAACTTCATTCTACTTGACACATACTAAAGTTGATTAGGATGGCAAAAAATATTCAAAAAAAGAGTGCTCCAATTATTTCAAAAAAGATGAATAAAGTATTGTTTATCACTTAATATTTTTATGTTACAATGTAAGGCTTCAATACTATTAATATTATTTTATAAATTCACAAACAAATAAATTATTTATTATTTGAAATTGAAATTCAAAAAGAAGATATTAAAACTTATGATATAAGTGGATTATTGATACTGATGATTGTACTTAAATAAAATAAATGAATCATTCCTAGTAACCAGTTCTTTTAATCTAAGATTATGATCCAGTTGGCCCAGTAACAGTTAAAGTATTGCCAGCTCTTGATGTAACAGTTCTTTGAGTTACAACAACTTCCTAGATATGAAAATGTGATATACTCTCTTTGATCCACTCTTCTTGAGAGATTCTAATTCTGCTTAACACATAGTCAATTCTTCCTAGCACTTATTGTATTCATGATTGGTTTTAATAAACTTTTGCTTCCAAACTTCCACTTCCTAAGATAGATAAGTGACTTTCTCTTGAATAACAGTAGTTCCCTAAGATTCTAATTCAGTATATCTAAATTTCCACTCATTTAATTCGGCATCTTTATTTCTGATTTGAATTTGCAACCTTTCAATATCAGTAGATATTAAAGCTAGTTTATTCTAAATAAATCAGTAGCTTATTACTTCATAATCTCTGATTTGCATAATGAGTTCATTATTTTTAGTATAGGATTCCTACTCAATAAGCGTGCATTTGTTTTTCCAATTCAAGATATCCTAATTGGCTTACTATAACAATCTTTCAAGTCTTGAATTCTCATCCTTAGATAATCTCAATTGATTTTCTAAATCTCTCAATTAACTTGTGTCTTGGGCACTTGTTTATAATCTTGATAGTTGTATTCTGAGTTATTGGATTTCTCCATCCTTATTTAGAAGTAATTGTTTGAGTCTATCGTTTTCTTGTTATTATTAACTTAATTGAAGTTCTAGATCAGAAATTTATCGTCTCAATCCTGCAATCTAATCTTCCAATTAGGTTCTCATGGCAAAGAATTCAGCCTATAATGAAGCAGCATCTGCAGCATTAGAACTATGTAAGGTGATATCTCCTCTTAACGAATCCAATTATTATTCATAGCTACTTCGCATTTAGATCATTTAATTTTTAAGTTGATCATTCTCTCTCCTTAATTGTAGTAATTGAGCCTCTAATGATTCAATTCTTGTATTGTCAGTGACCACCTTGACTACTTCCTTTTCAACAACTTTGGCTTCCTTTCTTCTTTCTAAATCACCAATAATCGACTAAAGATATTCACATTCTAATCTCCATGGGGTTTCAATTTCTTCCTTTGAAACTACTACAATGTTCATACAAAGTGGGGGAGCTTGTTGGCAATTTTGTTGAACACTGTAAGTGCCTGGATAAGAGGAGACCTAAGGAATTGAGATGTTTTATCTCAAGACCTTTTGGCTTTAGATTCTGTGAGGAGGCAATTATTAAGTCGACAGAATTGGAGCATCTTCTTAAGTTTTGATTAATTATGATTAAAATTCAACTGCTGGTGACTATCTTTCGAAATTAGATTAATACTTATGTAATGACTTATCTGGTTTGAGAATTTACTAATCTTATTCCTTATTCAGCTCCATTTAATAATTTTATTTTGCCATCATCACTTACGAAAATTTCTTAACTCATATTTATCTTTATTAAAAATAATTTTAATTCCAACTTTTATCAATAATAGATATTAAATTTATAAACTATTAATTTATTTTAATTAAATTATCAAATGCAAGTTTAATATGGCGCAGTACCAAATCCATAGGCATTAGGAAATGCTATTGGAAATGCCATAGTTGGATAAATACAATAATATGGAGCTTAGTTTTTCACAGCAGATGTAAGGAAGTATCTTATTTTAGCCATTTGCAGGAGTGAATTTTATGCTCATTGATCAAAAACCAGAGTAAGGAAGCAACAATAAATATTAGCTGCGTAGAATGCATATGTCCATGCATCGGGGAAAAGAAAAACAGCTATCAGATTTCAGTCTCTGAACAAACAGGACACCTTGCTTAATAGTAGCTTGGAATTATAAAGGAAGAATCCGAATGTGCTCAAAGGTTCTTTTGTTAATGCTGGAGAGCATTAGATCTATTATTCATCAACAATTAAAATTAAATCATGTTTAAAGCACAACGTAAGGAAGGATATATATTTTAGGAATTTATAAAGTTCCTTCAGTTTTATGTTTACCATGTGAGAGACCAGAAATGGTTGTGTCTCGTGACTCTGAAGTGATAGGATATCTCAAGTAACCCTTCATGTGTTGTGGAAGATCAGAGTAAAGTATCAAATCTATATCTAGATGCCCATTACCAATCCTTGAAGAGATTGATATTTGCGACCCCTCAGGCAATACAAGGTATTTCATTTCTGGAGAATTTGTTCAATGCGGTTGCATTACAAGAATTTGTGCCATACCAAGGTGTACAGGTCCTTGTTAATATATTGACTATGACATTTATAATCCTATGAAATAGAAAGTAGGAAGAATTAGAAATATTTTTAATGGTTGCGCATAAGAATATTGTAGCAAAGCTGATAAATTTTTGGTTGAATTCCCACCTCAATGCACATCTTAAGACAAATGCCTAATTCTTTTTGCTGCTATCACAATTGATTATGATAACTTTGAATACACATTTTGCAATTTGCCTTGAATATTATAAATAAAGTATTTTGAGTGATTTCAACAAATTTTCAATTCAAAGTTATAGACCAATAAAATTGCTAATCCTGATAAGAAGGTCATACCAGATCCTATTGTGATTATGTCCAAAAACAATTATTGAAGTTGGAGAAATACACTTCTTCATCATTATCGAATTAAGATAGGGTATAAAGTGTTGTTTCAATGACTAAGGTCCAAGTAGAGTTATAATTATTGATCGAATGGGGTTTAGTTTATGATAAAACGAATAAGTAATCAACAATATTATTTTGGTTGCAAATCTGAAATGCTAACTAATTATTAACAGTTGAACATTTTAAATGCCTATTTGGTTAATCATATTCCTTATCTATCTAACCTGAAAAAATGAGAGGAGTTAGAGATCTTTAGGAGAGTTAAGGATATTTTAGAATAGCCCTAATATTCAGTATAAAAATAGAATGAATAAAGTTATTAATTGCTTTGTAATTCCTCTGATATAGAAGCGTTTATAAATGGGATGATGGATAATTCTAAATAATATTCATTATTTCAAATTAACTCAAAACATGCACATATCTCCCTCTTTTGTTCCCTATTATGAATGACAGCAATATAATTATTCATTGATGATGTCATAAATCTTGTTACCATGAAATATTTGCTATATGTATCTCTTTTAATAGTTATCTCTTCATAGTTCATGGCTTTGTTTAATTTATATTGGAATTTAGAACATACATAAAGATTTGATATGATAATTGTTCATAATAATATATTTCTTTTTACTTAATCATAAATATTTTTAGATAAATTACATATTATAATTTTCACTTTACATTATTTGAAAATCCAATTTCTAGCATCAAGGCCTTGAATCCATTTAAAAAGTTTTTAATGAATTCACTGCAGATCTCCAAAGGAACTAACTCATCTAATTCTTCTTGATCTATAGACATGAGTCCCGCTTCTTCACCTGCTTATTGTAATAGATCAACAAATTACTAAATATCTATATTTGACATAATTTTGGTATTTGATAACTATAATATATTATAAAATATGATACTTCGTAAAGTATTTACACAGTTTCAAGTTTAATAAACAGATGATTTTTATATGGAATTACAGTATCATTGGTAGTCAAAAGACGTATAAACCAATCGTTGACATGATCAACGCCATATTTGCAAATATCATCCCATAAAATAGATGTGCATAATCCTTAGAGTTAAGATTAAAATTCATAGGTTTAAACATTTTTGAGATTTCTTACACAATATTAAGCAAAGTGAAACAATTAATCAATCGTGATAAAGCCTGTGCGCTTACTATCTAACACATAGAGAGTTCCAAGATGTGCAAATGTAAATGGAGAATTATCTGGATGTTAAAGTTTTAACACTTCAGATATTTTAAGATGCTGCCTTTGATTATCACTCTTAACTCTATCAAACTCTTATTTTATGAAGGCCTTGATACCATTATCGATTGTGTTCTAATTACCCATTTTCAATTAAATTATTTGAATTCATCAATCAATTATAATTATAATTCTCTCAATTCATTTACTCTCTATTGATTGTCTTAGATCTCTAACTTTAATCTTTCATTTTTTTTTATGATTGCATTATAATCAGAATGCAAACTTTCTTGTTCTAGTTCCAACTACTTTAACTAACTTAACAATTCATAATGAGAATGCTACTCTATCTTATGTTGCAAATGAATGGCTTTATCTGCGTAGTAATCTATTTCATCAATATACTCTTACCTTTATTTTAAATCGTATTCATAGTAGTTACCGATTTCTTTTAAGATTATGTCGTAGATTGCTTACTTTTCTTTTCATTGCAACATTTAAGATATAATGAATTAAATGTATCATCTTATGATCTTTAAGAATTATTGTTGGTTGTTTCTTAATATTCCAATTTTAATTGCTCATATTTTCTAATAATCGATTCCATATTAGATAAATTCATATTTGTAATCTAAAAAATTTATATATTATGGATACTGTTTCCAAATTAAATAGATCTATCTTTTTTGGATTTTATTTTTACTATTTTTACAAATCTTATATCAAATAGTCCATTTGTTTTAGCAATTCGAATTTGCTTCTTTAATCAGATAATTTTATAATTAAAAATTCAATGCTCCTTAGAATTAATAAACTTGGATTCAAATTAATAGATGATTGCAATAGAACAATAGAAAATCATTAACATATTTCTATTTTTTAGAGTATTCATGAATTGTCAATATTCATTTTAATGAATTTGACCATTATATCATATTTTCATTCTTAAAGAGTAAACAATTTATCGCTTATGTAATAGATTACCTATAATTACAAAAAGGAGTTATTAATAGATTGAATAATAAGAATGAAAACGATACGATTATCAAAGACCCTCCCCCTCCCCCTCGAGAAACTTAAGAAATTCCTCAATTCACTAGTAATTTTAATTAAATTATTTTAAAATTAATATTGAAAGTATTCTTAAAAAGATTTTTCTTTCATTGCAATTAAGAATTGAATCTGATAATCCTACCTAAGAAATATTAGCTATAAAAATTAAAATACCTTTGAGGAATAAATGTCAAATAATTAATTATACTCATTTTACAAAAAAATAATCCTCTTTTCTCAAGAGTAATTAATGCTTTGTCTATTGAGGTTATTAATGATGAAAACATTAAATATTCATGAATAATGTTCCAACTAAAAATCTTAATAAAATTCTATAATAAATAATACTCCTTAAAGACTGAATTAAAATAATTAATGATTTCAAATCAACATTCTTCAAAAATATGTGAATAAAAATATATTCATCAAATAGATTAAATCTGCATTGTTTACAGGTGCATCTTCTTTAATATCAGTTGTGTTTTTAATTGTTTCAGTTGAATTAGATGTAATTTCAGTTGAATTGGATGATATTTCAGTTGAATTCGATGTAATTTCAGTTGAATTAGATGTTAATTCAGTTGAGTTTGAAGCCGTTTCAGTAGAATTTTTATCTATGCTTGTACTATTATTATTGTTGATATCAGTCGAATTGGTTTCGGTGTTTGTGGAATTAGTGGTTGAAGTATTAGATGCTTCATTTATGGTTGTTAAATCGAATGTAAGAAGGTCAGTCAACTTGAAATTATCACAAAATGCTCCTCTTAAAACATAACCTAGTTTGCATTAGGTACACTAATTATAATTAGAGCATGTCAAACAATTCTAAGATTATTTGAGATAATAAATACTGCTGGACATCCAAGACAATATTTGATATTTTCATTGACATAAGTTGAATCTGGACATTTGTCTAAGCAACTACCCTTGTATCTATATTTGGTGCATTCTACACTGCAATCTGGTGATGAGTATCCTTACATACAAGTACACTATAAAATATAAATGATGGATTACTTCTTTATTCATACAAAATCCTTTTTAACTACAAAGATTAGGACATTCATCTCTATTTTAACAAAATGTTTAAGAATTTGTAGGACAGGTGATATTTCCATAATACTATTCAGGAAGTTTGATGCTATCAGATTTTGAACAATCATATTCTTATCCTGCGATGACAAGGGATAATTTGTTGTTTAGATCGCATTTATACTACACACAAGAGTAATTTTTATATGTTTATTGTTTTGAAACAGAGCCAGAAACACACATGCTATCATATCCAAAGTATTATATTAAATCTGATGATTTCCATTTGGCAATGTTATCAGGGTCCCTACAATCTTAATCATCATTTATGTAATAATAGCTGCAAGAACCTGACAATTATTCTTTTTAACATTCAGAGACTCCTGTATTGTAAAAGGAACAACTTGATGATTTATCTTAAGTGCAGAATTCAGTGAAGTTCCCTCCTTTACATTGTTAATTTGCAAAATCACACCCTTTATTCTTTCCCCATAATGGTTAATCTGGTGAATAATCAGCGACTCGATAGAATCTAAAATAGAAATTATTTTTACCCTGTATCTTACAATAATTCAAATGTAAAATCTGTAATCAAAAAGTTTCCTATCATATCTGAGCCTGTCATTATTTCATTATAAAAGAGAGATCTTTCAAGATGAGATCCTTGAGTCCCAGATCCTCCATTATTTTCCATTTGTAATCCTTTTAATGTAGTGCAATTAAAATGATATTGAGCAAAATTGGTTACTCTAGGTGTGGACAAAAAAATGGTCTGAAAAGTAGTAAAACTATTAGAAGACTTGTAGCTATTTCCTGTTATGGAATCATAATAAGTATTGAAAAAGTCATCAGTAAACCCTAATCCATGAATGATTTCATGGACAGCAGTCTCAACATTACCTTCAAATACTGTATTAGTCATCTCATCCAAACCCGAGTAAAAAATATTCCAAGAAATTAAAGCAAAAGTTGGTCTTAAGGTTTATTCATTGAAAGTTATAGGACCACAATATGCTAAATAGGACTCAAAAAATGTGTCCTCAACATTGATAAAAAAGACCTTTAATAAATTCTATAGGATACCAAGTCTGCATCATATTCTTTATTTTTCAAAGTCTCACTTATAGTAAATCCATATATTGAGTTTGGATAGCTTCTCTTATAAGTAAGTTTAGAATCAGTTCTTTGAATTAACAGATGCTTTGAAAAGAATGTGTTTGTTATATCGAGAACTGTTGATAAAAATTTCACTGATTCAGAATCATAAGAGCTATCTAAAAATTCATAGTGAATTCTTATAGGTTCCCATGGTAGAGAGGCTATCTTTGGTTTACTCTCTTCCAATTTTTGTTTTGACCCTTCGCTTAACTTGTAGTTCATTTAAGAATTGCCTCTGATGCATAAAATCATTAGCAAACCGAACACACAAGATATTAATTGCTTCATTATTATAATTGTAAGAACCTTTCATCGATTATGTGTTATTTCAATTAAAATTCAGATAGAATTTTTGAGTGATTCATAAATTTAGTTGGCTTTTTAATCATTTTTTATCATCAGAAAATAATTACACTTAAAAATGAATATATAATTAATAAATATAAAATGTCCAATCCTGTTCCCATTTTCTTTTTAGTCGATATCATTAACATTATATAAATGATTAATCAATTTATTCTTCTTTTATGTTAATAATCCTGTCTTTCGAGAGTGTTTTCAAATACATAGAAATTTCAAAAGGAAATTTAATTACAATTTAATTTCAATTGCATTTCAAGACAAATTATTCCTTAGATATGTCTATCAACTCATGATGGATTTTTAGATTCAGATTAAATAATAATACTCTTGATATATTGCACTTCTACGCTAACGATTTAGAATCATTAGAAATAAAATATTAAATTTTATAGTCGTTCAAATAAATTAAGCAAAAAACTTAAATCCTAAACTTCTGCATTTTACAAGATTGATTAAAATACTGTTACAGTAGACCTCATTCGAATACCCATGGTAGCTATTTCATTCTTTATAATAAAACTTTTTTTTTATTATCTGATAATAAAAGTAGATATTTTTAGTTACCAGAAAGAGAAACTAAGTAATAGTTTTATAATATGAACATTTACTTTTTTTATATTATTTATTCATTGTAAATTTGGCATCTAAATATTGAGTTTAATAATCTTAGTCTTATAACATCCTAGTGTTCTAGTATTATATTATATTGTATTAATATTTATTATTATAATGTGTGTCTAATTACGATTAATATTGATAGGAAGAGATTAAATAATATATATTTTAACAATGATTATAAATAAAACTTAATCTAACTTGAATAATATCAATTTCAATGATATTATAATTCCAATAAAATTGCAGCATCCTTCAAGAAGGGTTCAAGTATTGGAAAATGGTAAGGCAATGCAATTATTGAAAAGCTATCAAAAAATTCCATAAATAATAACAGAATTTCATTCTCCAATAATGGTTAATAGTATTAAATTAAGAAAGGACTCGAATTATTCATTCCAACAATCATAGCAATAGCCAGATAAGGAGAGCAAGTAGATAAAAATTGATTAGGAAAATGTGACAAGCAAATTTAAGTCAATGAATCCTTAAAGTAGTTTACCACAGATTCCTCTATCAGCTATGAATACATAAACTAAATTAAGCGATTTAACTAGAAGCAGCAATTTTGTTTAATCACCCAAAAATAGTGATACAAAAAGATCGTTAGTGAGATCATAATTTAAAACGAACAGCAATAATCATAAAAATAATCTGATAAACAATTCCACAACAACAGGAAGCAGTAAAGATTCAAGTCAGAATTAAAGCAGTTAACAGTACTAAATTTATGCAAAAAACATTATTTACTCTTATTGTGGAAAACCAAGAAAAAGAAAAGTTAATGTTTCAGCCAAAAGTTTTATTGTTTACGATTGTCTTGAGAATAGAATAATTTCTTAAAGAAAGTGTAACAGGAGGATGGAAATTGCTAGTTTAACCAAGATTATGACATTCTACATAACTATGGTTATCTTAAAACAATTGAATCTCAAATCCTAAGATATCAAAGTTAAAGTTACTAAAAAGGCCTCGGAAACCATAGGAACAACAGCTGAATTGAAATACAATGATATCTTGACTATTCAGGATCTATTATATGGTTTGATGTTGCCTTCAGGAAATGATGCTGCAACTCTAATTGCACAAGCCATTGGGACAATAATGTAAGTTTATATACTCTATAATTAGATTGTTTTATGAAGCAGACAAACGATTGGATTCTAAATTAATAGATATCGAGTAAATGAGTGCTGAGGGTCATTATTACAATGTAGAGTTGAAGAGTCATCAATGTCCAATTGAAATATTCATTAGTAAGATGAATCATTATTCAACTTTGATGGGACAATAAAATACTCAATTCGCATGTGTGCATGGATTGGCCAATGAAGATAATGTATATAATTTTCTTATATTAGTATTCCAGTTGTCATGATATTGTATTATTATCATTGGAGTGTATGAAATATGATACTTTTCAATAAGTCATTTCATGTAAGGAGTACATTTCGAAGCCATTATACAATTAAAAAAGTTATGAATGGAAAAACACCAATAAATTATTAGACAAAGGCTTCTTTGGCATTAAAACTGGAGTTACTGATTCTGCTGGTCCTTGTCTAGCAAGTGCTTATCGATCTAATGAAATGGAATATTACATTATTGTTGTGTTAAGTTGTAAGAATTTGCAACTCAGATTTGATGAAACTATTTCATTGTTATAACATGCAAAATACAAAAAGTCTTTGAATTCAATTATATAATGAATAAACCATATAATTACTTATTCAAATTCATCATTGTTGGAGACACAAGTAAACATTCTAAACTATTAAAGAGGCGTTGGAAAGAGTTGCCTTCTACTTCAATACGTTGATAAAAAATTTAGAACCGACCATGAAGCCACCATTGGTGTGGAATTTGGTGCTAAGCAAATGATTATCAAGTCTAAAGTAATCAAAATTCAAATCTGGGACACAGCCGGTCAAGAGTCATTCAGATCCATAACTAGATCATACTACAGAGGGTATTCCTTAATAAAATGCATTAGTTCTATTGGTGCCATATTAGTCTATGATGTTACTAGAAGAGAAACCTTTGAAAATGCTACTATTTGGGTTAATGAAATCAAGAAATATGGCAATGATAACATTGTGATCATTCTTGTTGCCAATAAAACAGATTTAAGTGATATGTACAATTTAATATATATTTAAGTCGGAAAGTATCAGAAGATGAGGCAAAAGAAATGGCAAAATAAAATGGTTTAGAATACATTGAAGTTTGTGCTAAATAGAATTACAAGGTTGATGAAGCATTTTAAATAATTACTGAGAAAATATATAAGAAAATTGAGTTAAACTAAATTGATCTATCTAACGAAGTAAAAATATATACGACTATTTTAGAAATGCGGAGTTAAATTAGGTTCTAAAGGTAGTTTCATTGAAGATAATTAGTAAGAAGAAAAAAAGAGGTAATCACTATGTTGTTGATAACCTTTTATTCATTTATATATATATAAATTTTATTATCTTGACAAATTTTATCTAATTATATTTTTATTAAAAGTAGCATAATTTCTTTAATGCTCAATAATTAATGTTAAGAATGGCTTATGGATGTTAATCATAATGAAATTCTATTGTTTAGAATTGATTTCGCATACAGTGAATTTGAGATTCAATAGAATTAAAATGATTTAATATTATAAACAGCTTCGCATAGTAATTTCTAGAAACTTTAATAGAAATTATTAGAGTTTGAAATAATCTTTTATAGAAATAAAATAATTAAATATCAAAGTGATGCAAAAGACAATGTAAATTTTATTCTCGAAATTTCTCTAGCTCACCTATAGTGAAATGGGCTTAAAGAAAGGACAATGTGTTTTTGACAGTTGAAGTGAGAGATTTGAAGGATGAAAAAGTCGAGTTGACTACAAGTTCACTCAAATTTTCAGCTAGTGCAGAGGGTGTTAATTATGTTTTTGAAATTAACTTCTTCGCTGATGTTGTTGTTGAAGTACATAAATTAATTATATCATTTAGGAAAGTAAATGGACCAATTATGGATTGAATGTCAGATTCATTTTATCTAAGAAGGATAAAACTGCTTCATATTGGACTAGATTAATTAAAGAGCCACATAAATTACAATACTTATAGGTTTGATAAATGTTCTAATAAAAGGTCGATTGGACTAAGTATATTGATGAGGATGATGAAGCCGAAGAAGGAGGCAAGGGTTTGGATGATTGGGATTAGAACAAATTCCAAAATTTCGATTAAGGCGGTGCAGACGAAGATGATGAAGAGGCTGAAGAGGAATAGCCTAAAGAGGGTATCCCTTAAAATCTTAATGTTAGGAAATGTCGATGATTTAGAGAATGAAGAGGAAGTCTAAAAAAATGATCAAGCACCATAGGAAGGCGAATAAGAGAAATAAGCAGAGAGTAATTGATAAAGATATTATAATTATGTTTAAATATGAAGATGAATGTGTTCTGTCATTTAATACTATAATAAAGGTTAATTGTTAGTTCTTTCTGAATTCTACTGCAATATTTAATTAAAACCAATGGAAATATAAAAATAATAATATAATATACTTTCAGATATCATTTATCTTTGCTTTATTTAAGAATTGAAAATAAGATAACTTCATTCTCTGTTTGCTCTTCTTTGAACTTTTGATCAAGCCGCGGGTTTAATTTCTCTTTATCTATCGCTTAGGTACACAATTATAAAGTATCCTTAATCTAAACTACTTCATCATCTGGCTCGAAAACGCAAACTGTGATGAAAGATTCGAAGTTAATTCCATATCTGCTGCCTTTTGCAATCTTTCTCCCTTGACTATCATATCGATCACTCCGGCTTAATTTATATCTAATTTTCTTCCTTTATATGATAATTGGCTCAAAGTCATCAGGCTCATCAGGGATATCTTCTTGATTCTCAACCTAAGCTCTACTTAGAACCAATTTGGGTCCTAAACAACTTGTTCGCATGGAAAAGCTAATTATTAATATAATAAACTTTCATTTTTGTTAATAAAAAAAGGAATTTCAAGAAAATATAACAATTAAGTTCAATAAGAGTTTATCGAAGATATTCTTTCAATAAAATTAAAGCTTCAATAAATCTAAATAATGCTTATCACTGTTAAAAATAATTTATTTATTTATTAATTTTCATTCACTATAATCAATCTGAAGACCTAAAGTGCTTAATCATAATAACACCTATTAAAATTCATTGTCTGAATATTATTATAAATAAATGACCATAGTTGTAATTTTACGAAAATATTAAATTGATAGTTTAATACAATTAGTTTAAAGAATGAGAAATAAATGATAAAAATAATCAATTTCTAAATATTCTCCAATTTTCCCAAGAAATATATTTTAACTCTAATCTCATTGTTAAAATTATTGTAAATAATGCTCAAATTAACATGAGTTTCGCTTATTTTACAGTTAGAATTAGTATCTTATGTGAATGTAACTTTGATAGAGTAGTAAAATAGTTTTAGTTACATTTCATTATTATTTTAGAAAGAATAAGTGTTAGAAAAAGAAATGATAAAGCTATATATATAAAAATAAATAAGAATTTTATAAGAAATTAAAGATTCTTATTTTTATATTAATTTAACCTGTTTTACTAGATATATATTAGATTATTATTTAGGAATAATTAATTTTTAGATTGGGTATTTTAAATATAAATATTCAATCACTTACAAAATCTTCATCTAATACTATTCCAAAATCATCATCATTTTAGTATTCTGTTTCTAATTCTAGTTTTTAGGCAATTCTATTTTGTATTTAATTGTGTTTCTGAGATTTAGACTAATTCAAAGCTGCCTAAAATTCTGAATAATAATTCAATTATTAATTGTCTATTTAATTCATAGAATTAGTTTCATTTGATTTATTGGGTTTTCTTTTAGTTTCACTAAATTACATAATTTCATCAAATTATTATTATTCTTTTGTCTTTTTTGGTTATTATAACGATTTCGAAATCTTATAAAGTAATTTTTTTAATCGTTCTTCACATTAAGGAACTGAAAATCCTGTTTCTTATTCAAAGTTGCTAAATGGAATTCCATAGAAGGCGTATGCTAATAACCTTGCATCTTTCTCATTATTCCATTTATGTAATTAATTTGCTAAGCCTTTTGATTTAAATAGGTCCTAAATGTATTTTGGATATCTTTCTGGTATTCTCTTAAATATTTCACTCCAATCTCCATTATATAATTCATATAAGAATAGTAACATCTCTTCATCTTCCTTATACCAATACTAGTTTAAAAGCACTAAGTCTTTATCTTCTCCTTCTAAATTTAAACAAGAATCTCTTATTTTGGCGAATCTTCGTTTGCATGAAGCAATATCTTTAGTTTTAACAACTTTCTACACCATTTCCCAATCCTTACCTAGTTTATCTACCATTTGTAATAATAAAATATCTTCATTTAATTCCCAAATAGGTTTAGGTTTTTGATTTATCAGATTTTTGTATCTCTCTTCTAGTAATGGTTTAGATTTGATATTCATCACTTTTGCTATTTTATCCCAATCCCGTCCATATATTTCCACTCCCTAAAGTAATTAATTATCCTCTTATTTAGTCCATGATCTTCCTGGCTGTACCTTTTTCATTTTTAAATTACTATTCTAATTAAGATTGAGTATTCAATTCATATACACTAAATATTAGAATGCTATTTAAATGTTGTTAAAATCATTGAATTTATTAGAATTTCAATATGATATTTATAATTTAAGTTTCCGTCATACGAAAAATACTTTTAATGAAGTTTATACATATTTCAACTAACACACATATATTATACAAATCAATTTAAAATCATCCTCTTTTTTTTTGTTTTTTATTGTTGTCTTCTTCCTCAATTAAATCTTATGCTTCCTATTCTATTGATTAGGGTTAGTAAAGATAGGGTTATGGTTTCAAAATTTCAAGTAACCCATTTTTCACTGAATAACAAATAACAATCCTTTAATTATTTAATATGTCTAATCTATTCAGTAGAATTGGATCCATATAAAGCAACTATCTCTTATTTTTCATTTTTTTAATGTATTTCCTTGCCATTTCCTACAAAATATTTAAATTCATTATCAGCCATAACATCAATTAAGTAATCTTCATGAAATTCATCCTATAAATTATAAATAAATAATACATTTTTATGGCTTAGAACTAATAGAGCTTTTGATCATTTTATTAATCTAAGATAGTAATTTAATTTGTGGTTGTAACGCAAAAGCAAAAATTATTCCAATAGCCACAAGAGTTTAGAGGTTAGTCAAATCTAATCATCATTTATAATGATTCTTCCTCATTTTTTTAAGTCAAATCATATTAAACTAATAATCCATCTGTTGAAGATCATAAAAGTTGCGTTTAATCTTAAGGATGGAAATTCAATGAAGATAATTCATCATTTTAGGATGAATCAAATCTAGACCTCCATTTCATAGCATTGAGATCATAAAAATCAATTCTACCCTCGCTTCCACCTGCTAAAATATGTTTAGATTTAGCAATTGAATAAAATTCTTTTTCGTTCTTAAATTAATGAATTTATTTTTTAGATTGTAAATCAAAAACTTTAATTGTTCTATCATTAGAACAAGTGAATGCTACATTGTTTTCTACTATCAATTATTATATTCTTTTTTAATGATGATTCTTTAATTCCCAAATAACTTATTGAGTATTTAAATCAATCCATTTTAATGAAAAGTCAGTCATGGCCATTAACACAGTATCATTGATTAATTACAAGGAAAGAGGGAACTTAATGTATTATTAATTGATACTTCGTTATCTGAAATTTAGAATTGATTAACAGGTGAATGCTTAACTTTAATTTAATCCATAAATTAAATTTATGAAATAGAAGGAAAATAATGAATTAGATGAACTTCTAATATTAACACAGAAATCGAAATTGTTAGTGCCATAATTTAAGCGAATCCAATAATAATGTGATTTGTATTAGATTAAATATAACCTATAGTTGTTAAAAATAAATGGCTAAATACTCATGTCCTAAATGTAATAAGATGCAATGTTCATTGGACTGCTACAAAACCCACAGTGAAACATGCACATCATCATTCTAGAAGGAGCATGAGATATAGAAGATGAAAGGGTTGAAGGCTACCTTCGACGAGTAAATTGAGATGAAAAAAGCTCTTAATCAATTCTATGAAGAAGTAAATTAATAGTGTAATAAAGTCTAAAGATGAAAATATTGTTCCAATGAATGAGGAGGAGATAAATGAAAGATGGGAAGAATTGTAAGAATTATGTGAACAAGGTAAATTGAATTTGGATTAATTGACATTGGCTGAATAACATGAGTTTGCTAAGTTTATTTAAGAAATGGTTATATAAGAACCCTGGATTCCCTGGTGGGAAGTAAATGAAGTAAAGATTGATAAATATACAAGGGAGCATTTTCATTATATGTTGATGAATTAGATTAAAATTAAAAGACAAATAAAGAAATTCATCAAAATTCTTACCTTGAATTTAGGTCAACTCTGAAATAGAAAATATAAACTGTGGTGCCCTTCAATAAATTATGTAAGATTTAGCATGAGGATTTAAGAAATCATCTATTTAATTTAATGTAATTTTTAGAATTATTATTTCAATTTAGTGCTTCCATATCAATCATAGCGAAGGTTCTAGATGGAGACATCATTGAATTGAATAGAGAATTCTATAATATGTTCACAATTCTCAGCTACACAATGGATGACAATACTTCATTGATTGGAAATTTAGATCTCTCTTACAAAAAGTTAAAAGAACATGCTCACAAAGTAGATAAAGGATTAATTTTACCATATATTAATAGGGAGGACTTAATTAAAATATTCTCAAATAAATTTTTTGTTATTGAAATTTTGTTTTATGCTTATGACGCCATCCATTCAATTGAACATTAAGCATAAAATGAAGACAATAGTGATTTTGTGGAAAACAAAAAGTTAATAAAAACACTAAATCTTAAAAAATAAAAATTGCTGTTTTATATTTCTTATGCTTTATCTAAAAATCATGAATTCTATTAGCAAATAAGAACTTAGATCAAAGAATTGAATGAGTGAATATATAAAGAATCAATAAAATCAACAATTACTACTGATTTCAAATGTTTCTTTGCTTTCATCATCATCTGTCTAATCCTACATTTTAAGTTCAACATGAGGGGAATTGAGTCCAGCCTCTTATCTCAATTCTATTTCTTCAAAGTCCTGATGATTCATAGTATGGGTTCTTGGAATTTCGAGTTGTTTTTAGATGTTATCTTGATTCAAAACCATAGATTATGAGAGAATCTATTTTTTCGAAATTTTTCGTGAATGCTAATTCTTCAACATAAATTACTAACATAATTTTTATACAGGTCGAACATCAGATTGCTTTAATTATATTATAAATTACTTGACTAAGCCAAATTAAGAAGGGTAACAACATATCTAACTCTTTATCATTTTTATCCTATATAAAATCTTTGATTAAAAAGCCATTCTCTGGTTAAAATAAAAACGACATTTAGGAATTCTTATAAAATCAAGTTTCTTTACATCTATTATTAGCACTTCTTTCAAATTTCTTCCTAATTTGTTTAGATTTTTGGTCAGTCCTCCTCTAATTGGAGTACAGCTTTCTCTATAAAGTCTTGTTTGAATCCTTCTTTAGGGATCAATAATATCAATAACAGGATCAGCATACTCTTTTAAGCTAGCAGTCCATAATACTATGTCAAAATGTTCACTTAGTTATTCTAAAAAGGTTTCTACTCCTGGTCTAACTGTAACAAATACTTTAAATAATTGACTTTATACAATTATCTAACATATTTTTAATATTACATCAAGTAAAAAATCATAACCATTGTCACCTTTAAATTAACTATGTACTAATGTTTCATCTAAATCTAAAACACAGAGTTTTCTAGCCTGAGATTTATTTTAATCTAACTTACATGAGATTTCGGAGTATCAATTCCTAATTAATATCTTTCATTAGCCCTAACATCCTTCTTTTAAAAAAAATAAAGGCATGAACATAGCTATTCTAAAAACGAAGGTTTTCTCTCTCTTTACTCCTACTATTACTAATATATAATGTCATTGTTATTCATCCTCAAATATTTAAATAATGAATTAAAATTAGAATGAGGAAGGTAATATATTTATACACAAAATTAGCTCCTAAAAAGCACACCATCATTCTCTGCACAGGAAACGTAATAATATTCTAATCATTTAGAAAAATAAACTTAAGGAATTTATTCAAATTATGGGAGATCAATTTCACATTGATTCCGAACCTGTGGATTGTAATTCATTATAATTAATCATCAGTGCCTGAGTTATAGGGACCACCTCTTTAAATAGCAAAAGAGAAAGCCCTACTTGCTTATGAGAAAATGGGAAAGGCCTGTGTTACAGAGGATACTTCATTATGCTTCAATGCTCTTAATGGAATGCCTGGTCCTTATGTGTAAATATGGTTAATTGTTCTTAAATAGGAAGTGGTTTTTGGATGCAGCAGGACCTGAGGGATTAAGCAAAATGTTAGATGGATTTGAGGATAAGACAGGTTATGCTCAATGCATTTTGTCTTATATGGGACCCGAATTGAAGGAACCCTTACAATTTGTTGGATAAACCCAGGGAGTAATTGTACGACCAAGAGGACCAAGAAATTTTGGCTGGGATCCAATATTTTAACCTGATGGATATACAGATACGTATAGATTCGAAATATTTAAGATATGCCGAAATGGATAAGGATGTGAAGAATAAAATATCTCATAGGCTTAAGGCAATCCAAAAATTCATTGATCATTTTCTAGTAAATTGAGTGGTATAAAACAATGTGTTTTATGATAAAATGAAATTTCATTATTTATCTAGAAGATCTGCCATCGTATACAATCTTCTAAAAGATTTCTGATTCGATTTTGGTTTTTCTTCGTTAGGATCAATCACCTTTATTTATATTTGTCTATTGAATGAAACTATTTTCTTTCCAGGACTAACTTTAGGTGAGTAATCTTCTTTTTAGATTGGTTATAACGAAACCTGCTTATTATGTTTTAACATATTCAAATTGGATTTTTATTATTATTATTATTTAAAATCTTAATTATCAAGCTCGAAGAAATCAAATATATCAGTATGTTCTCGACTGTTTGAACTTTTTCTTTTGAGAATACTTTTTAATTGCATTTGTTAATCTTACATATTTTCTTCTTTTTTGAAGATGTGACGATGATTTTATTCATATTATTATTTTGTAAATGGTTTGAGTATGGATTACTTTTTTTCTTCTCTAAATATTTCTCTAATAAGTTCTTTTCTTTGTAATTCAATTCTAGATGTGAATTGTTCAGCAGCAGGTTCAAGATTAGGGATTTTATGGAGATTGAGTAAATCCATACCTTTTGAAGGAATCAAGATGCTGTTTTATTGTTTTCGTAATTAATTTGAAGAGGGAGTTTGAATAATTTCAGGGAGAAAATTGTTACTTTTTGAGGAAGGTCTAGAGATGAGACTTTGCTTTTTGGTTTCTGATCTTAGCAATGCTTGAGAAATCATTAAATAATTAATTAAGAGAGGACTCGAAAGGATTAAATATTATAAAGAATAATTAGACTCTGAAAAGTTGATGTTGATGTAATAAGTGATAGAGATAGGATTTTAGTAATAATTCTGATATGATAAGAATTTCATTTTTCTGTAAGCTCTCTGTATCCTTTCCAATCATGTGGAGCCTTTCCTCCATGAGAATGGATGACCTCCAAAAGAGTGTTCGATGGACCATCCTTGTGATCTGGAATCATATACTTAAAGATATAATACAAATGTATACCAAAGTCTTAGAAAATAGAGATTATGCAAGTTCCCATTAGCCTTTGATGTAGAATTGGAAGCCCTCTAGCCAAGCCTGGTAAAACTCCTAATTGCAAAGATATATAACAAATTACTTTGGTATAAGGTTCTCTGGCATGGATGATTTCTTCATCAGTATTAAATTAATCAGCAACATTGATTTTGTCCTTGGATACATCCTTTTAAAGTTAGTTTCTTTTGAATCTGTTGAGCACTCTGAACTGCTTTTATTCTTGTTAATTCATTTTGGTCACGTCAAATTTGTCATGCAATTCTTTCGTTTTAGCTATGAGATTCTTGATTGACATATCAATAGTATGGATTTCTACAGGTTCAATGCTACCTTTCACAGTAACAATATCAATGAGTCTTAATTGTTTCTAACATTGCTCTGTGAGATGCTATTTTAAGATTCCACTAATTAGGATGACAGAACCAAATTATTTTGTGGCAGCTTCTAATCTGGATGCCAGATTGACATTCGGACTCAAATATGATGCATCGATTTTAAATGAGGATCCGATTGCACCTTCAATGCCCCATCCCATGTGTAATCCAAATCCCATCTTAACAGAGTAATCCTTCATACGAGCATTCAATCCTGCATGTTTCTTATACTTTTCTAATTTCTTGGAAATTGAGATTGCCGTGATAATCTTTAAGAATGACAACACTGCCATGTCGCCCTTCTGCTTAATATGATGTTCAGTGCGAACAATGAGTTTGGATGGATATTGAGGATCTGGATGGTATTCCATGGGGAAATACTTCCAAACTAGAAGGAAAGCATCTCCAATGTTTTTATTTGCAGATCCTCCATAACTGTCAACAGTAGAATGTACAATCTCTGCAATTTCATTGACAAAAACCATGACATCTTGTTGCAGTACTTCTGTAGCATCAGTGAAATTTCTGATATCACAAAATCCAAAGATAGCCATTATCTTTTTACCAGGTAACATGGGATCAACACTGCCTCCTTTTTTAATGTTCTCAGCTATTATTTCAGATCCTGCCTCACCAAATCCTACAGCCAACAATGCTCCCACTTTCATTATTAATCTCTACAGAAGATAGGTTTCCATTCTCCTTTCCATATATTTCTACTTAATTTTCTCATCATCCTCATCTTTCTCCAATTGCTCCATTATGAGATCCTCCTATTCTTCAATATAGACAGCTTCTAAGGGATTCTAGGCTATCAATTCTATTTTTTCCATCATCCTTTCTATTGGATCTATCACTAATTCATTGACATCTTTATTAAATAGCACTGCACTACCAGCTAAGACTATGCATACAAATATAGTTTAAAAGATAGAAAGAATAGCATTTGTTTTATTGTATTCTACTAAATCAGCCACAGAGCAGGTTACCAAAATGTTATTGGAATTGACTGCAGCATAATATTACTTATCTGATTATCTGTATTGATCTAATTTATAACTTGTTTCTTGAAACCAATTGTGATTTTGAGAGTAGTTGAATATTTCGAAATTTGAATCATTGAGTTTAGGAGAACTCTCAGTCACATTTTGTCTTTATACAAAAACAGCAAGAATGGGATAGATCTCATCTTAATGGAATCCGACATATTATTGTGTAAGACTTGAAACAATTTAATAGTTGTCCTTAAACTATGCAATTCTAAAGATACCTGAATCATAAGAGTTTATCGTTTCCTAATAAGTGTCCAGCTATAAGGCTGGTATACTTATTAAAATGGATAAAACTATTGTTATGACTCTCCTCATCACCAAATCTGACAATTTAGTACCAACATTGCTTTCCTTCACATTATCACTGTTCGTTAAAGATATCTGACTTGACTTTAATTAATCATTTAATGTGATTGCAGCATTCACATTTGCTTGATATTGATTAGATTATTGATTAGATTGGGCAGACAACTATGAACCTCCTATCTGGTTGTTCTAAGGAACTAACGATTGTTGCATCTACCCAATATAAGGTTGTTTACATTCAGTAACTAGTTTTTATTGTTCGTTGAGTTCTTACCCATCATCGTTAGATTTAAAATGCTACCTACCTGATGGAGGAGGAGATGGATAGGAAGAGTTTCTCTACATTAAATATTGTTGATGAGGAGTGCCATTATTTAATTATTAAGATTATTATGAATGTTATAATTATTATTATTATTGCTAATACTGTTTTTAATTTTCCTCGCTTATTAGTTTGTTTTATTTGAGAATCTATTAAAGAATTTTTTTTTATTGCTCTTTCTCATATTATAATCTTGCATGTTTATATAATTTTACCAATCTTACTAAACGAATTATTCGAATCACTCTTGCTGCCTTCCTAGCCACTCTCGAGGCCCTACCCAATGCTTTTATGGTTGCAGCATTCCCGATATCGCCTTCTTCCCCATACCACAAATCAGTGATCCAACCAATATCTAAAATCATTGTTGCTGTCGAAATTACATCCAAAAAAAAGTAAAACTAATAAAAATCAATAGGAACTAACTACATACATTCAAAATATAGTTTGGGTTTACTATGGAAGTCAATATTATTTCAAGTGAAAAAAAGGACATACTTATTATAGTTAGAATGAAAAAGATGTCATCCTCCGTTTTATCAACTGATAAAATTCTCACATCATCTCCGAATAAAGCATAAAGAGTTACTATGGCCATTATAATAGAAAATATCCATCCCTCAATCAATAAGGAAATCCATTTCTATAATGTAGGTGTTTATTTTATGTTTTGCAATTTAGACAGTCTAGCCATTATTGTACTATTCAATCTCCGAGGGGGTTTTTTTCTCTGCTCATCGTTTCCACTTTAATTAATCACTAAATTGGAGCCTCTTGCACTTTTTACACTTTTTGGGCTTCTATAAGATCTCAAATCATTCAAGTCAGCCACGCTGGAAGGACTTCTCACTTTACGAACTTTTCCATCATTTTCAATCTCCTCTTCTCTACTTTGGTCCTTCTTAACAAGAGAGTTGGCTTTCTGTTTATCAGTCAACTTTTACATTAAATTATTAAATGTTATAAGGGGCTCATATATTTGAAATATCAAGCTAATTGAATCAATTTCGATAAAATGAATATCAACTACTTTTGAATTTATTATAATTAATCCTATCTATTGTTTTGAATTTGTTCATTTTTTAAATTTCCATATATTCGGTTTCTAAATTCAAAGCTGATAGATTCAACATTAAATTTAATCTTTTATAAGGAATCATCATTAACCAACTGCCGAATCCATTATTCAATTCAATATTGTTTTTAAGAACACTATATTTTGCTTTACTAATTTTGTTTAGTTACACTACAATATCAAGACATTCTGATTTTCGATTATCTAATTAGATTATTACACTAATAAAATATAAATACTTAAAATGTAACACTCGTAGGTTGAAATCTTATAAATATATAGAAATTCATGAATGTTATATAATAATTAGATGAAAAAGTAGAAATTTATCAACAATTTTCTTTTTGTAAATCTTACATTTATAAATTGTAAATAAAATAAAGACTTCCAATAAACTTATTCCTATTTTAAGCTTATTAGAAATATGTTAACTCACATTTAATCATATGAAGTGCATCTACAACTCTATTTGAATGGAACTAAATAAAAATTGAATCAACCTTTTTTGCAACGATACTCTTTCTGAGATTCAAGAATCTAAAATTGATTACAGCATCTTTCACACTGAATACCAATATATTATAAGGATATCTTGGATAATTTTAAATCTCTGGAATAAATTTGATTACAAGTATCGATTAGTCTCTCCTTGCTAAAGGAGGTAGAAATAACCATATTGATGTCTTTTAGGATAATTATTAAATTGATGATATTTCAAATTAAATCTAATTTGCAGCAATAATTTTTAATAAATCATAAAATAATGTTCATTTTAGAACTGAAATAAAATATTAAAACTATTCTAAATATAGTCTAATTTTAATAAATATATCAAAATCATGGAAAAAAGATTTTTTATATTTTTGATTATCAATTTTAAGAAGGAATATAAGAATAAAATATAGCTTGGAATTAATAATGGGAATAAACTTTTGCCTGATTTATTAATTATTATTTTAATTGGGTTTAATTTTGCAATATAACTAATTTAACTAAATTCTTGATATAAATGAAATTTATAATAAAATTAATGAAAAAAAGCTAAGTGATAAGGCCTAACTCCAATCATAAAAATGATATTAAGAATAATCAAATCTACATTCCAAAGGTCTCAAGCATGATAATTTCTGAAAAAATAATGTAGAATCTACTTCGAACGACTTCTGGTAATCCACTACCAAAAAATCCACCTAACTAAAATCCGAGTCCTACGAAAAAGAACTACATACAAAGTCCCATTAAGAATTAAAAGAATGTTTAACATTCGAATTCTCTCAATAGTTAGAATAATTATGTCGTCACCAATTCAATCAGGTATTACAACCCTTCAGCTAAGTCCTATTTATCCAATAGTTTTTCGAAAATTCCTACCAAAAGTGGGCAAAGAGTGTGCTCAATCATAACAAAAACAATGAACCTATCCTCATTAATAAAATATGACTAAAATTCTATCCCTTTACATAAATTGATATCCAAGATGAAAAATCAAAGTAAGGATAAACGATCGATATCTTAATTGCCTACTATGTCGACGGAAAGAGTAATTCAAGATTCAGAGGGATAACAACAAAAAAGGAAAAAATCAGTTCGATTTCATGATAAAGTAGAATACCTTGTGATTGGGTGTTCGAAAGGAATCGAAGAATACAAGTATAAGTTCTTTGAACCTCTGGATTAAGAATCTGTACATTCGTGATGTGTTTCTAATTACATATTTAATTAATTTGTATATATAAAAATATTAAATTGATATAATAGTTTAAAATAAAATTCAAAATAATATAAGTAATTTTATATTATTAAAGGTTTGTATGGAAATGTTTTGGATTCAATTAATGAAGCAGGGTTTGATAAATAATTATCTAATTAGATAATGGATAAAAACAACCCAAACATAAAAGAATACATATTATCCTAATTAGGAGAGGATCCAAGTGAGGAGGCCATTAAATAAGTTGCTGAAAAAACCTAAGTGTTGCCCATATTAATCAAATAATGGTTGCACTTTTATAAAAGGAATAATTAATCATAAAATGGCCAAGATTTACAACCACAAAAGCTTGAAAGTGTTCCAAAATTTAATGGAAAATTTGAGCAATATTACGATGTCGAAGACCCTAATTATGAACTCAAACAGAAGAAATAATTTATATCAGACAATCATTAGAAGCACACATCTTAAGAAGACAAAACAATAGAAAAGTAATTGAAAGAAGTGGAGAAGGAGATAAAAAAGAGAAAAAAATTATTGAAAACAGACAAGAAATAAACAGATCCATACTTCAATGAACTTTATGTGTCAGATGAGTAAAATTAAGATTTCAAAATCAATGATAATAAGCAATTTAACTTAAAGGAATAATATATTAATGTGCCTATCTATTACATGATCAAACTAGAGGAGAGTCTCATGGAACAAGCCATTAATATCCATTAAAAAATAGTAAAAATCATAGAGGCAAAATATGATTATCTTAATTTATTATGAGTTTCTAATAATTATATAAAAATGAATTCGCCCTACAATGAATAGAAAATGAAATAAGCATCCACCTAGTTCTCATTTAAGCCTACAGTCTTACCTCAAGTTATGTCAACTTGCAGATTGGCTCGCTTCCCTATGGATGGAAAACTTACAGAATCCTTTCAGGAATCAAACAAAAAATAAAACAAATGGTATTTCAGAATTCAAACATAAGCAGAGAAACAAGAAAAAGTTGAAAAAGACAAAGTCACTGAAGTACATTTATCTTTTATTAAACTTATTAGGATGTTTATATTTAGATGCAAAATAATTAAGAAGAAATTTGCGAAGATATGAAATAAAAAGACTTACTTGGCCCAGAGTCAGTTAAGAATTATTACTAAACCTATAAAAAAATAAATAGGATCAAGGAGTAGAATAATCTCTTTGCGATTTAGAGTAAGATAAGATCCAAATTAAATTAGACTCTGTTCAAACCAATCTCATAATAAAATCAGAGCAATTAAAATTACTTCCTTGCAAGATGGGATTAATCAAATAGAAGGGAGAATCCAAAGTATTGAGTATAGAAAATCACAAATATGGTGATAAATATGTGGAAGTACTATCTGAGGGTTTGAGAACTCTCCCTGTAGTTTAGGATTTCAATTTTAATTCAAACAGAATCAAGGAAAACGGAGCTTCTTTGATATTACCTTTAATTTCCAAATAAGCGAGGTCTATTGAGATGGTTTCGAATATAATCGGAAAAAAAGGATTGGAACCAGTTTTAAGTGTGCTCCCATCTTAGACTTGCAAGTATCTATATCTTAATGAATCTAAGAATCCAAGTCTTGAATTTGGAAGATAATCAGTTGGGCGATATCTTAGCCCAGGAGCTCTTTAAGGCTTTATAAAAAAATAATACCGTCAAATTACTTAATTTATCTAAAAATCAAATCACTAATATTTCTCACACTTTTATTAAATAAATGATTGAGACTAATGACTCTTTGGAAGAGTTGTATCTTCATTGGAATTTACTCAAAGGAAGTGGTGGTGCTGAAGTTTTTAAAGCATTGATTACTAATAAGAACATCAAAGTTTTAGATTTGTCTTATAATTTATTAGGATGTGGTGGTTCAAATTTAACTCCTGTTCTAAAATAATTTTTTGAAGACAATAAAGAAATGATTCATTTAGACTTATCAGCAAATTAATTCAGTTTAGCAGATAGTTAATCAATTTCAGAATCTTTAAAGGAAAATCATACAATCTATGGTTTTCATTTTTCTGGCAATTTTGGATATGTTGATTCAAAAGGATTCTTAATGATATAGAATGAAATGAGGAACTTCAATTAAATTCATACAGATTATAGAATTAGAGGATGTGAAACTCATAGTAAACCATATTCAAAAGGTCCAAGATCAGAAAAAATAATGGATGTTTGTTGGATCTGTGATGGATGGTAGGGTTAGAAGTTTGAATGGATTCCAAGTAATATGTATCATTAAAAATAATTAGATAAGAGTGGAAATGCATCAGAAGAACCAATATTCATTCATTTTGATTTTGAGGGATATGAAGCCATATTTTTAGGGAAACCAGATGAGAATGGTATTTACTTGACAAATCGAATGGTACCAACAGGAGAATTAGATTATTTTTATACTGGATCTCAATTGCAAGTTGCAAGTCTGACTGAACCATAAAAAGTTCATAATGAAAAGTTTAGAGTGAGGACTAAAATAGCAGATTAAATTATAGATGTGTTATTGGATGAAACAAATCATCAAATGATAAATAAAGGGAAACCAGTTATATAAGATTGGGATCCAAATTATAATGTAAAACCAAGGACTTGTGATCCAATATACATTCCTGCTAAAATGAAAAAATAGAAGCGAGTATGGTCATATCCGATTTCAATTTGGGCACCTAAATACAAATTTGATACAGAAGAACTATTGCGTAAATGCTTTGAGAGAGATTGGAATTGTTCTAAGATCACAAAATTTGTTAAGAAAACTGATGAATAGGAATAAATTAAAGAGATGTTATGGCAATCATATAAATCAATAAGAGAGACTTATAGATATTATTCAGCCATAAATCCAAGTGGTGATGTATTCTCTATGTCTCAAAACCCAACTTCTGAATTTGTGAATTAATGTTAATTAATAGATGGAAAATAAATGAAATTGGCTGATGTTGATTTAAAATTTATTGCTACTTGTAGTGCTTCATAATCAGATTGGAAGGGCAATTTTAGAAATCCCGAGAGATATTTAGTCAGATATTAGATGATGGAATTTTTAGTGAGATTATCAGAGGATAAATACATTAGAAATTAACCTGGTTCTCCATCATATGTATAAGCCACGCGAATGATATTAGATTAATGTCTACCTCATATGTCTTAATATGATTCTCATAAATGGAGAATGGAAAGGTACTTTATAGAATAATGTGATGATGTATGTAAAAAATACAAACAAGTAATTGATTATGTGTACATGCATAATTCATAAAAAAAGGTTAAGCCAGGACAAGCACCATTCATGTGTCTAGATGAATTGAAGGATGTGTGTAATAAGGCCAATCTTTTTGATGAAAATTTTGTTGAAAGAGATGTTAATTTAGCATTTTGCTTATCTATGTTGACATAAGTTGATGAATTAGAAAGTGATAGACTATTTTAGATGTAATGGATAGAATTCATGGAAGCATTGGCGAGAATAGCTGATAAATACTCTCCAATTGGAATTGGAAAGCAAAGCGAAGTATTCATTTCATATAATTATATTTAGAAAGAATGGACCTATGAATAGAGGTTCGCACAGCCTCTGTACTATAAACTAGAAGCTTTTATGGTTCATTTGATTCATACTTCAGTCGATGAAGAAACTAAAAAAAACTGGAAGATACCTACAGTTTCGATGTTCGATATTATTGAGGATGATGATTAATGATAATATTATATACTTATATTTAACTGAATTGAGTTACAACTAACTGGTGCGATGATGAATAAAATAATATAAATTAAAGATTTAGTGACTAATATTGTTAATGGCTAATTTTCAAGAGTTCCTTAGTAGCTTAGGCTAAATCAAATAGATGGAGATTCCTTTTTACTATAGGAATTAGTTTAAGATCAAGGAAAACTTCATAAATCCTAATAGCAAACATTTCGACCAAATTGCTTAAAAGTAAATCATAATATATATAAGACTCTTATCGGAAGATAATAAAGGGTTGAAAAGGAAGTGGGATAAGCAATGTAAGATGTTATTTATTTGGGTTATTGTGAAATACTTTTAAGTTAGAAATAAAAAAAACATCAATCCAAATTCAGATGAGTGGTTAGAATTATCGGGAATATTCAATTTTGATGAGGTGACTCTGAAACAACGATGGATTACTCTGATAAACCCTATGGCTAAAAGTTTGAATTGGGAATCAGAAGAAGATGATATAATAAGATCATTGATGATGTATATTATTAAAACTTTAATTTCTTCATTTTAGATAATAAGAGGAAAAACACATCTGGACCTAAATTGCCTTAGAGCTTTATAATCATAACAATGGACTGTATGTTAGAACACCAAAACAAGTCAGAGAAAGATGGATGAATTATTTAAATCCTAAATTAAATAAGTAACCCTATATTTAGCAATTAAAATTAGATCTAGTTGGACTGATTAAGAAGACCATTAATTGTTGTAATTAGTAGTGAATAACGGCAAGAGATGGTCCTTGATTTCCTCATTATTGTAAGGGAGAACTGAAAATTAAGTGAAGAATAGGTATCAATTTATACGCTACTTAAATTAGATATAAGAGTCTAATTCATAAGATTTTCAAAGAAGAAGATGATGATGAAATTGAAGAAATATAAGCCATTAGATAATATTTAGCTAAATAAACTTCTACTGCAATTAACTAAGAGAACAATCCATCAGATTCAGTAAAAAATGAAACCAAAATAAAATGTGAAGAGTCTTAATCTAAGAGTATTAATATATAAAAACCAAAAAAAAAATAATAACTCAAAAATCAAGATGAATAGGAATTGTAGATCTAAATCAAAAAGAAAAAAGTTAAGGTTATTGAGAATCTCTATGTAAAATAAGAAATCGATAAAAAAATATCACCTAAATTACTCAATCAGTAATTTTGTCTATCTACAAATGGAAATTGTGATACTCAAAGCTAAGAGAATAGAAAAGGTATATCTAGTTCTCATTCCTAAGGATCAATATAAAATTAAGAATTTGAATGCCAATCTTAACAATTCATCTAATCCTAATCTAAATGCTAACTTTAATCCCCTTCCTACATTGGATAAACTCAAACGAAAGATACAATACCTTAATACACTGGATTCAGGCCTTACATGAATGATGCTTGTAATGATCTATTCTAATAAACACCTTGTTAAATTAATAGACTAGGATTTGGTCTCAAATAACATACATATCCATTCTAATAGTTATCACCATTTCAATAATAGATTTAATAAACACCAATCGTATACACTCCACTATACTTGTACAATTCCCAATTCATTGCGTAATCTCCATACAAGAGTCCAATTTTATCACCACATATATGGATGTAATAATAATAGTAAATTCAATAATAATATGAGATTGAGATTCAGAATGAATAGTTAAAGTAGGAATAATTTGTAAATATTTATGTGCTTATCGATTTAGAATAATAAGTTAGAGTTTCTTTAAGGCTAAGACTTGGTTTCTAAATGGAAGAATAAAAGAGTGTAGGAGAAATAGAATTAGTCAGAGTTAAATAAGATTATAGATCAATGAAGATTGTTTATATCAACATAATCTATGTCACTATCTTGTTTTCAGTTTTGATCTAAGAATATCACAATGTGCTTCATTTCTTTTTTGTATTTTATGAAATAATAACATTGACTTTTATTAAGTAATTGATCATAAATGATTACTGTCTAGTCTTTAATATTATTAATTCATCCAATTCATAAACAATAGCAAATGTATTTTTGCATTAATTTTATCTTTTTTTAATATTAATTTCATGATACCTTCAGAAAATGAAGATTAGTTCTCTCCTAATTCTCAGTTAATTATTTTATTTATATTACAGACATAAACAACAGTAAAACGACTCTAATCAAAAGTAAAAAGATTCCTATAAAAAATATGCAGTTATTGACTAATCAAAAAGAGTGTTATTGTTAAAAAAGATTTTATCGAAAGAATCTACGATTAAGGAAGCAGCAAAAGAATTTGGAGTTAATTTTAGTACAGCTAAAGCAATTTTGCAGACTTATAGAAAGGAAGGTCGGATTGGTAAGAAGAAAACAAGAGAGAGAAACAAAAAAGAGAAAAGTGAGCCGGAATTCAGTGTCTGCAGTTAAAGAAAAGTATAATCCATGTACGATCTTGAACGAGAGGTTTAGATTCCTTAAAGAAGCTTTTCTCCTGATTTAAAAGTATTAAATTTCATCTCAACTAGGCATCCGACAAACACATTACAAAGAGTATCTTATAATAGCAATCCTTATTGCTGAATAGATAGAAAAATTAGCCATAACAAATTAATAGCAATGAAGAACAGAATGCTTAAATTGCCTTGGCTGCCTGTCAAAGAGAATTAGAAAAATAAAAATTAGTTAATATGCAATTGGCATTAATGATATAAGTAATCAAATCTATTAAAATCCGTAGAATTATTAAATCCATGGGTTTTAGGCCTAAGCGCCAGAAGTAAAAGAAGAAGATGATAAAATTAACTGAGTTTATCATCAAAATTCTGAATTATTGTTATTCCAATTAATAATTTTTATTTATAACACATATATATATCAAGGAAATGAAAAAATAATAGCTTCTCGTAAATGTTAATGAGATGGATTTAATTTTAGATAAAACCTCAACCCAAGGAGCACTATGGTTGGGAAATCTAAAAGCAGCTCAAAATATTAAATAATTAAAAGAAAATAACATCCAGACAGTCATAACTGTGGCAAATAATATTTTAGTAAATTTTAAAAACTCTCTAAACATCTCTCACAAAGTAAAACTTATTATGAAGTCAGATTTATAGAGTTGAAGATACAGAAAAAGCACAAATAATAGATTATTTCGATGAAATTATCAAGGAAATATCGACTGGGTTAAACTCTGGTTCCGTTTTGGTACATTGTGCTGCAGGCATTTCAAGGTCCAGTGCATGTGTGATTGCATATCTCATGAAAACTAATAAATGGCCATACGAAAAAACCTTTTATTTTGTGAAGGAGAAGAGATTAGCAATCAATCCAAATCCTGGTTTCAAGAAATAACTTATATAGTATAGTAAGAATCTGTAATCAAACACTTAACAATTAAATCTCGACCTCAAAGAATCTAAAGATTTAAATGATATGAATCCCTTTACTTCAGGCTATTCGAATTCTTGGGGAAAACTGAAGAAGAAAAATTTTTCAAACCCTCATGAATTGGTGAATTAACTCTCTTAAAACTTAGTTAAATCTCCACTTAAAAAAATCGATTAATTAAATCATACATCAACATCCGAAGAAAGATAGATCTATCGATAATTATTAGCGAAAAAACTATTTGTTAATACATTTTCAACTAAAAACTCTGTTTCAATTACAAATTATCAAAGTGAACAGTCTGTTGAGCAAAAGAAAACAACTACTGAAAAACAACCTATAAGAATCAAAGCTCTTTTAAGCATGTACAAGAGAATTGAATATAATATCTTAGAATCGGAAAGAACGAAAACTTGATAATTTACTATATTTAACTCAACATTTAATATTTCATCATCCATTTCTAATTTCAAAGTCTAATTCCTATAAGTAAAATAGTATATTTTATTGATAAATATATTTTAAACCATGTTAATGTTATAAATTTATTCTACATATAGAGTGATAGCAAATAATCTTGATAATAAATATAAATAGTTAAGAAAATACAATTTGAGTCAATTCATTTTACCACTTTAGGTTCAATCTGTTCTAATTTCTACTTTTGCTCTAATTAATTATTTAAGCTTTCGACCTATACTACTAACTATTGTTTATGAAATAGGCAATACATTCAGTATTGTATCATTCAATTTATTCATTACTTCTAAGGAAGTTTATACATTGTTTTCTAATTCATTGATTCTTGTTTGGTATGATTGAGTACGAGTTGCAAAGGTATCTTATTTATTTGAATACTGTTCGGGAGGATTGTTATTCTATTTATCTTCTAAGTCTGGAAGTGGAGAATTACGACAACATTATTAACCCATGTTAATTATTTTTATTAATTTTAGTCAATTATTGATGCATAATGATAAGAAAATAAAAGAAATAAAGGATGGTTTACGCAATTTTCAAATAAAACCAATAACTATAATAAAGGGGACATCTGGGATTGGAAAGTGATTTAGATGTTATAAGTTTAGGTTGCATTTGGCGAAGTCAATTCTAGCAGAATTCAAGTACAAAATTTTGGAGGTAGATTCAGCATTCAGAGACATTTGGATGTTAAATGAAGTGCATCCTCTAATGTATTCTATGTAAGATTAACTATCAAAAATTGATGATTAAAGAGGTATTTGTATTGGTAATGGTGTTAGTTATAATTTTAAAAGAAATTAGTGGGATTAGTAATTTGAATTCATTAAGATAATTGTAATAATAATACACTTACACAAAATGCAATAAGCCATTAGTAATAATTGTAAATACAACAGTATTAAAAGATTATGAATTGACTAAAATTTTAAGTTAAGAATTTATTAAAATATATTGCAATATTGTGTTGCTCAAAAGTCCAACCAACAATAAGATTGAAAAGTATTTGCACACTTGTTTTCCAAGGGTCAATTCAAATGTGTTACATTAAGTAAATATGATATGTTGACTAAGATAGCAGAACTATCGAATGGAGATATTAGAAATGCGTACAATTAAGCATTTATTTACTCAATAAACTACAGAGATGAGAACTAAAGCAAAGACTCTTAATTAACATTTTTTAATACTGTGGGTAGAGTACTTTATAACAAAAGATTGGATTATTATAATACTCCAAAACAATTAACATATGAAGAAATGATATCTAAACCTGAACCCAAATATTACTTCGATCCTTTTTAGTTGTTGGAAACCATACAAGTGACCTAATAGACATATAGAGGGTATAAAGCCTAATGTTTAAATGTAGGTTTTTGTTTATCAACTCATTGAAATTCTTGCATGACTTAAATGAAATGAAATAGTTTTATGAGATTCAGAGTGAGGCTGATGTAATTGAAAAAGGATTGTGCAGATTCGATAGAGTTAATATGCATATTATCTTTAGTATTAAGGAGACATCTTTAATAATCAATATTTAGTTAGTATGTTTGTTACTTTGGGTTACATGTAGACTAACAAGCACGTCAAACCTGCTAAATCCATGATGCTTACACTCAATGGTCCATAAGATTATCAATTTAGATAGGAGAGACTGCTAAAGCAAAATGAGATGAAATAATTAAAGCCATTTAAAAGTTATTAAAAAGAACTAGTCTTAAGTATCCTTTATGGAAAACGAGTTCAGTTGCTTAATTCCAAAAATAACTTCATATCGTAAATCTCAATTGAGGACGATCAATATGACTAACATTGGTTTGAAGAGGATTAGCAAGAACAACAGCAAACTTCCAATAAAAAATTAAGTTCAAAGAATATAAGAGTAAAAAGAAATTAAGCGGAATTGATTTCTAGAAATAGAAATTAGAGGTTGATTGAAGTGTGTAATGAATTATTAAATTGATTATTAAACATAAATTTAGCAATTTCATGCAACATCATTAAAGAAGAGCGATCACTTTATTTTTTTGTCCTTAATCTTAAACATTCAAAATAATGTTTTCTATAATTGCTTTGTATTATTGATTTTGTATCAATCCCTTTACGGTTGTCACAACGAAGTTTAATTATTCTTCTTTAAGCTATTTACATAGATATATTTGATACCTTATAATGCTCCTTTTAGATGAGGGAATCTAATAACAGTTTAATAACTTATTCCATTCTTGGAGTAACAAGATCAGGAATAGTATTACCTAAGTTGACTAGGAATCTTAATCCGGTGAAATTCTCCTCAACATCTCCTTTGAATGGTAATTATGCCAAGATATGATCAAGTGTGGTTTCCAAAGGCAATGCTTATGGGAATCTAATAAGAATTCTGCAAACAGCGGCAGTAGCATTTTCAGCAGCTTCTCTGTATGTAGTTGCGGTGGTAAAGATATTTGTGAGTGTTTAGATAATTTAAGGGAGAGCTGAAGCAACATCATTTTATGGTCCAAATTCACAATATGTAGCCAAAGCATAAGCTGCATTTCTATTTAATTCTTAATCTCCAATGGCAAGGACAGTATTCAACAAGAATGGTAACACAACCTATTGGCATTCAACGATAAGACTTGATTCATATTCAAAGATTTGAGCAAGACATCCAATTGTGCAAATGATATCATCAATTTCTTTATCTTTATGGAGATTGGTTGCTAAATGAGGGAAGATCTCTCTAAACATAAGAACAAATCCATTTTTCAGATTTTTAGCTAATGTAGGGATCAAATCAGTGAGATTTTCAAGAACATTAAGATTCATATCTGAATCATTTTCTTCTTCACCTTCTGAATCAAGATCAGCTCCTAAACACTTGATTTTCTTATTCAATACTAAGGTAATAACTTTGGCTAAATCATCAAGATTCTTATAGACAATTTAAGGACCTAATTTCTTGGTTAGATGATCAATGACATCTATGGCAAGAGCAGCACATTCATAGGATTCGTCTTCAGCAATAACTCTGATCAATTTTTACATGACATCTGTTTACAAGAATGTTAAGAATTCAGCATCTAAATTTTCAATGGCTGGTAATCCTTACTATACTTTTGGTAATACACCATTATGTCTGAATAATGCATATCCTTCGATTAAATCTCTGTAGCATTAAAGAGTTTACATTCTGATGTTATCATAGAAGAAATCAACCGTTTCATCTAAAATATCAAAAGTGGGTTTGAAATATTGTCCAAATTATTATGGAACAGAGAGTGCAAATTAACCTAAGGCATGGATAGCAGCAGCTTTCTCATCCATTTAGGTGACTTTGACTCTCATAGGTCCTTGTTAATTTTCATCTTCAGATTCAGTATCTAAAGAGAACTCTTTCTTTTCTTTGTCATAAGAGATTCCTTCTTTGGATTCTGCCAACTTCATAGTGTAACTGATGATTTAAGTGAAGATGGGAGCAAACTTCATCGCCTTAAGCTGCAGCCATATTATAAAAGAATGAGCTAAACAAGCTTCTCTGATTTCAAAATCTTCATGTTTAGTTAACAATTCGAATATTTATGGAGCCAATGGAGTGATCAATTGATTTTACACTTCTAAATTAGATTTGAATGATTCAGCAATAGTTCCGAATACTTGGATTGCCTCTGATTTGATACTCATGATTTCAGGAGTATCCTTTTCTTTCAATACTTGTAATAACAATTCACTGACATCCTTCAAATAAGTTGCAAATGCTTCTTTAGATGAAACGATAATGCTTCCGATTGAAGACAAGCAATGTCTTCTGGCAATGAAAGTAGTTGTTTATTGTAAGAACAATTGAACCAAACTAGGCAAGAGTGTTTACATGTAAGGAAGTATCTTCTCTGATTCCATATTCTCAGCAAAAATGTCAATAGTCAATAATGCTTTTTCATAAATCTTGTGATCTGTAGATTTAAGACAATTAATCATTTCTGGAATGACAATCTAATCGTAAGTCAAGATTTCTGGACATAACCATTCACTGAAATAGGATAAGCACTTAATTGCTGCTCCTCTTACGGCTGTTCTTTCATCTTTCAATCCTTTGGGAATAATGACATTCATAATTGGATTTTGTAATTATCTTCTAATTTGATCTTAGAGTCCCTCTGTAATAGCTGCCAATATCAAGAATCCCTGCATTCATTTAGTTTATATCTCCCGAGTCTACCAATTTTATGATTGTTTCCAAAAATAAACCAAACAGAGTCTTCTTCTTACCTAAACCAATCACCAAGGTTTCCAAAAGCCATAAGGTCACATCTTAAAGGGGTTCTTCATCTTGAGTCAATTCCTCTTCTGTGTATGGTTAGGCAACGACTAAGGATAAACATTCGATAAGTTATTTTAATAATGTTGGGTTCTTATTCAATACCTTCTTGTGGTATTCTACAACATTATCAATCAAATCCAATACACATTCCTTAAATTTGCTGCTACATTTTGGGGTTCAACAAAAGCTAATGAATAAATTATGTATTGATACATTTTAACTAGCAGCATATTCAACAATCATACCCAAATGAGTATCTAAAATTGTTAATTTGCTTTCAGCCAAATATCCAAAAGCGTCAAAGCAATGATAGGCATTATCTTCATCTCCTTCTTTTATACATTAATCTACGAATCTTAAGATTGGTTCAACTAGAGTTTTGTATTATTAAGCCTAAGTTATTTAGATTACTTAATTACTTCTTATTTGTTCATATGCTCAATGTTATCAAACAAAGAAATCAAACATTTGACTGTTTGTACTCTGATTTATTTGTCACTATCTTGGAGATTTTCAATGAAAAATGGATAAAATACAGAGTAGAATGGTTTCAAACTATCTCCAGAGTAATCAAATATTAAAGCTAATAACATTAAACCTCTTTATCTAGTGACTATGTCTTAGTTCTTTGCTGTTTAATTTTATAGAACTTAAAATAGTTCTGGCCATTTATTTTCTCCTAATGTTTAAATTGCAATGGTTCCTATCAATGATCCGATACTTGTTCTGATGGGATTGACTGGTTCTGAAAAGAATCTCTCCAATAACAATTGCTTTAATTGAGTTTAAGCAGTAGCATCCAATTTATCATAATTAGTAGCCATGTTTCTTTTTAATAAGACTCCTGCCAAATGTCTAAATGATTACTACTCTATTAAACCATAATTCATACATTCTCATTTTGAGATATTATTAATGCCAATGGTCCTACGCAATTCACAGACTTAGTGTATACTTTTAAAACACGTGTGGCCTCTTTAATCTTTTCGTTATCACCAGAGAGGACGAAGGTAAGCATCTAAAACAATTACTCCTGTGTCAAGTTTGAAAATTCAGCCATAAAAAATCACAAATTAAAAATTTTTTACTTTTTATGTAAAATTCATCATAAATTAAATACACCCGCAAAATTATACTCAGATTATTACAAATTATTTCTTTTTTATTTTTATTGTGCTCTTACTAAGTTTGTTTTCTACCTTCTTACCACCTTCTTCTTTTTACTTTGGTTCTTCACTCTCATTTTGTTTCTCCTATTTCTTTACAATCTGATCCTTTTTCAATTTCTTCACAAAAGGCTATTAAAATTTTGCTCTTCTATCAATATCGTCAAATCCCAATCCCTGTCTTCTCTAAGTATATTGAATCATCATTTAAATGTCACTCAAATCTGTGTATTCTCTTTCATTTGTTTATTGCTATTTTTTTGGTTTCTTCTTAAATAATTCATTTAGTATTTCCATTTCTTAATTATAATAATAATATTTTGTATTTAAAATTTAATTTATTAACTTAAAATAAAAATAAGAGCTTGTCCAATTTTAAATTAACATAAAGCATAATTTATTACAAAAACATATATTTATAAAAGTTAGTTAAATCTACCTAGATATTATTCAATTTATTTATTATTAATATTAATATGAACTTTTGTTGAATCCATGTTTAAAGGGAGAAAATCTCCTTTTCAAATTATTACTTGTAATTTATGAGCAATAACTACTCAATTTGAAATTTTTGGTGGCAATTAAAACCTAACATTAGAAAAATAATTTATTAATGTTTTTCCTATTTTCAGAATCCGATATAATTAATCTGGCTTCTTGTTAATATTATTCTATTTGAGTCTTCTAATAAAATATTTTATTCATTTGAATGTTTCTTTATATGAACTTATTTTACACATCCAATTAAATTTATTATGTTAATATAGATTGAAACTTAAGAATCAATCAAAATAAATATTTAATCTTAGAAATCTAGAATTTTATTATAAAAATAATTTCCATTAAAATTAAATTCTAATTTTATATTTCATTAATATTTATGATTATACAACCTTAGAGTTCTGGTTCAATTAATATATCAGGTGATAGTCATTAAAATGGACTTGATAATTATGTGACAGAGTTGAATAATTAAAATCTGATGTAGGTAAGACGACCTAATGAAGATCAAATTCTCGCATTCATTGATTATTAAGCACTTAAAGTTGATAGAGTTAAATAACATAAGACAGTTCCTGATAAAGTGAAAGATGATAAAAGTATTGGAAGCAAATCATCGCGTTAGGTTCGTAGAAACAGTGCTGATTAATCTGAAGACTCCCCTTTAAAGTAATCACTTAGGGATGAATTAATCCCATTTGATAGTCCTAACTTTGAGCTGAAAAAGTTGGGGGATACTGAGGAACACAGAAAAAGTAAGACTGTAATTAGTCCAGTTGTTTAATCATCCAAGTCTCCAAAAAGAAAGACTAAGCATTTTTCAAAGATTTTCTCAAAAATTACAAATAGAATGCATTTGGCAAGAAAATTTATATAAAAAATGAAATAGTTATCTCCTTTTTCAAGAAAGGTCAATAAATAACAAATGCAAATAATTTAAGACTTAAGTTCTGATATTAATAATCCAAATGAGAAATGCATAAATTAGAGTTTTATAAAGATGCATGATCCAGTGAAATCAAAGAAGAAGTTACAAAGAATTAATAGTCTTTAAGCATTTACAGCATTAAAATCGTACTTTAATGTGTGTAAATTATAAGTGTTTCTAAATAAAATTAAAAATGATACAATTGATCCCCAAGGGAATTTTCTATTCTTTTGGGAATTAGTGAAATTTTTTATAACATTATCGTCTCTATTTTAATTGTCAATACAAATTTGTTTTAATTTGAATGTGTTAAATTGGTACTTTGTGGCAGAAAAGGAAAATTCATAAAACATATTAATATTTATGTTTATATATTATTTGATAGATATATTTTTAGGATTTAGGACAGGATACTACGAAAATGGTGAAGTAGTAATAAAATACTAAAGAGTAGCAAGGAGATATTTCAAGACTTATTTTTTTGTAGATCTGATATCGATCTTACCAATTTTCATCAACATTATATTGATTCAAACATTTGAGAATGACAATGCTATAATTAAGATAGTGAATTGTTTATCATTTTTAAGATCTAATGCCTTAAGCAGAGTCTATCATTCTTTGGAAGGCAGATTATTGAGTAATCCTAGATTTGTTATAGGATATAGATTCCTAAGTGTTATCGGAACAGTATTTTTGTACGCTCATGTATTTGGATGCCTATGGTATCTGGTTGCATAAAAGAACCATAATAATTGGATTAATAAAGCAGGAATAGTGGAAGATTCTTGGTTTGCTCTTTATAGTTATTCAATCTATTGGTCAGTAATGACTATGACTACTGTGGGATATGGAGATTTAACACCAGCAAATCATGAAGAAGCATTATTTTGTGTTTGTACTATGTTCATAGCAAGCGTAGTGTTTGCTTATTCAATAAATACTATAGGCATGATTATTGCTGAAATGAATAAATTTGATGAGAAGATAAATGAGAATATGGCCATAATTAACAGATACATGTAGCGAAAGAATTTCGAATAATCTTTATAGTTTAGAGTAAGATAATATTTATAAAATTTATGGACTTAAGAAGACAAATTTAGAATTGTTGATGAGAATAAGATTATCAATTGTTTAAGTCCAAATTTAAAAGAGGAAATTTAAATATGTTTGTATGGTTAATTTATAACGAATATTCACATTTTTTATAGATATTTTAGTTAGGAATGTTTATTGGAATTAGCTAAGAATGTTTAAGAATATAGAGTGGCACCAAACTCTTATGTAATTGAAAATGGTACTCATGAAGGGGTTGCTTTGTATTAATTAGTAAGTGGGGATGCTCAGATGTTTGTTGATTTGTAGGACAGAAAATATCACATAGGTAAAATGAAGCAAGGAGATATCTTTGGCCATGGACCATTTTTCATGAATACTTTGCATTCTTATAGTGTGAAAACTGATAGTGCTTGTTCTTTTGCCTATTTATCTAAGTAGATGTTTTTAGAAATCCTGCAATCTCATCCAGTTGATTATGTAATAATTGAATATATTTAGCAAACATATAGGATGATAATAGACTAGTGGACATTCTAGAATCAGAAGTTAGACTTAGGAGTCAAATGCATTGGCTGTGGGGAGAGTGAGCATGATATTGATCAATGTAGCAAACTACATCTAATATTAAATAGGAAAATGATATTAGCAAAGCATTTATTTTCTATTCCCAATAAACGATCTTTATTCTAAAGAAATAATAGAAGGACTACCAATGCCAAATTTGGTTAAAGATTATTTGAAGATGCTGTCTCCTTATTCTAAGAAAATAACTTTTCATTCTCATCTGATGAAGAAGATCCAGATGCTAGTCAAATTGAGAGGACTCATTAAACTAAGATGACATAAGAAATTAGGTATTAAGAACATACATCAACTCATAAATCTTAATAATAATAAGCCTAATAGCACTATCAAACAGCAAAAAATGTGAGGTTCAGAAAACGGTCTAGGTCATTGAATTCCTTAAGTGTTCATTCTGAAGAGGAATCTAAATTCTAAAAATCTATATCTGGAATCAAATCACATGATTCTCAAATAGATAAAATGAGTGGAATTCCAGTTAAGGTATAACAAATACCAAGCTCTTAATTATCTTAAAGCTCATTTAATGTATTTCTGAAAGAATATCCTAAAAGAAAGATTTCTAAATAATAAGATTCTGATAAATATTCCAATCATTCTATAGGGCAACGTCAATAATAGCCAAATCATCTAAATTAACAATTATTACACAAATCCAGCAGTCAATCCAGTAGCGGAAACTTACCATAAAGTAGTATGGGTATACCTCCTGTACCTAATGCTTCACCTCCTTTATTCTATTAGGATGAAAAATAGTTGTTTTAGAGGAATAATGTTGAAGATAGTTTATATATTGCCTAAGATAGAAAAAAGAAATCTCAAATTGGGACAAGTTAATCAAACACTAAATCCATTAAGAATCCATTATAGGCAATTCCTTCTGTAGGAGAGATGAACGATACAGACAAAATTAACAAAAATCTCTTAAAGGAAGGATCTTATACTTCAAAATAATTATCTATGCAAAGTAGGTCAAGAAGCTAAAGATATACGATATCATTGAGAACTGATAGCCAAAAAATTAGAGAAGATACTAAGCTGGACACACAGAAACACGATTTTAAATATCGGACTGACACTTATAGATAATATAATGAAAATAATAGTCCATTAAATGAGGAATAGTTTCACAACAAATTTGAATAAGCATGCGATCTTAAATCTTATTATCCACAATATAATAAAGATTAGATTATTTAGAAATATAAAAGACACCAACTCAAAAAAATCACATATTCATATTAATTAAAGTGATGATTAAATTATATATTATTCTTAGTTATGTTTTTTAAATTTTTCAAATTATTTGTTTGAATTTTTTGTTAAGATTTAATTTTTTTTATTTTAATCGAACTCACGTAATCAAAAGCAAAGATTTCTAAATTTTATCCAGATAATATAAAAACTAAAGAGTGAAATCAAAATTTATCTAAAGAAATTAAAATTGAATTATAGTAACAAAGAATAAGCTAAGATAAATAAATCTTGAGGTCGTAAACATAAAATACTAAGTGAATTATTAAATCTATTGATTAGGAATATTTATATTTAAATATCTGAAAAAATTGAATATTTGTCTTATTGAAAAGTCAAGCCAAGTATAAATAACACTTTAGACTTTTATCTAAATTAGATTGATTATCTCAATGATATTGATATTGAATCAAAAAAGTCTTTTCTATTAACTGTTAAGAATATATATGTTAATTTTGTTCGCTTTTCCCGTTATTTGATTATCAGTTGTAAATTTATATAACAAGTTATTATAAACTTGAGAAGGTTATTGGATGATGTATTGGTTTAGGGAGAATGAGCAAGCATTTAGAATTAAATATGACAAATGAAATTGTTAAATTGATTAATTTAGTAAATGAATTCAAGAGACCCACCCAGTAAAATTTTGTTACTTATCATAACTTATCTACCTCCTTCTTTCCCTCTTACGAATGATTACTTGTTCGAGACTTTCAAACAATACGGAGAGATCAAGAAAATACTCATTTTTGAGAGAGGAAAAACAAACAAGGCATTCATTGAATATTACGACATCAAACACGCAATCTCAGCTAGAAGAGATATGATGGGTAAATCGATCACACCTTAGGGAGGCAGGTACCTATCAATTGTGGAACTACTTATAGGCTTCTTATCCATTTTTCTCGTTTAAAGTAGCTCAATCTCGAAGTGGTTGATCATACTCGTGGCACTTAATATTAACCTCACGAAGTAGAGACACAGGTTTAACCCTAAAAGCAGGTGTAAAATCTGCCAAAAGCCCCTTTATTTATAGAGGAAGAAGCCAAACCACCCCTAATAGATTTAACATAAGTATTGAAATTAGAGGCAGTTGATGTGTCTCAAGCATCGGAAGAATCTCCAACGAAAGCAATGTTTAAAATTATTATAAATTTATAGTATGGAAACATAATTAAAATAATTGGAAAGAATTTTAGATGAAGATTATGCAAATGAAGTAGCAAGATCTAACCTAACTCAATTTGATGAATAACAACAAGTCATTAATGAATTACTGGCTTAAAAACCATCAAAATATTTGAAAGTACAAAACATAGATGAGAGAGTGACTGCCAAGATGTTGTATAACCATGTTCAATAGATTTGGCCATTTGAATGCACTGTTGTTTTAAAAGAAGGACAATATTGCAATCTTACAATTTACCAACATCGATCATGCTACTATAGCTAAGGAACTGCTCAATAATATTATGTTTTTCAACAGAGAAGTACTAAAACCTTATATCAAACTTAGATAAGAATATTGTTTCATTAGATTGATAATCTTGAAGCATCAAATCCTAATGAAGAATATTATGTTGGAAGTTAAACCAAATTCAAAATAGTCCCTCTTAGTAAAGTCCTCGTTTTTTCTGGAATCAGTGATCTGCTTGATATCCAAGACATGGTAAAACTTGTTGGGAAAATTTAAGGTATTCATCAACTTTATTGATTAGAAATTAAATTAGAATAGCACAGTATCTAGATTACAATGTTGGATATCTATGAAGCATTGAAGGTCATTTCAGTTCTTTCAGAATACGAGTATAAGGGAAATAAAATTAATCTAATTCTTAAATGATATATAAAAATGTGTATATAATATGATCTTATAACAGTATTCAAATTAATCCGAAAATCACATAGAATATTAATAGTAAGAATGCCAACAATAAGACTATGAAGACTACCAATTTTCTCACTGCATTATTGTTATTAATATTGTTGTTATTGACATTCAATCTATCCGGTGCTTCTGGTCTTTGTGGGAGTAGGGTTACCTGAAAATCAGGCTATTAGGGCTAACTTTCCTATTGTTCATTTAAACTAATCGCCAACTTATCAAAATGAGGAGAGAACAGTTCTGTAAATTATGGGTTTAGTAAATTATGCTTAATTGACTATTTTGCATAGATTTATTTCTAGTAGTTATTGCAGTCAACACCACCCACTGTTTTCTCATTGGTGTGCATAAAGGATATCAAGCCAATAAGCATAGATGAAATCGTCCATGAAGAACTCCATGTTTCTGGATGGTAATTTGTGAATGATCTAAGATCTTGATATACATTTACAAACAAATTTTTTCTCCGACAGCAAATCTGCCATTTGGAGTAACAAATTTAATTGCTGGAGGTTTAAGTGGGTAGTCAGTTGGGATGTGGATTATTCCGTGATATTGTCCTCCTTTGTAAGGTGAATCACTCGCAAAATTAAATAAGACGAAGTGCCACTCAAAAATATTAGAACGGGTAGGTAATGCCAAAAATGTATCACTTGGATTTTGCTCCATCTTTTATTTCTCACGCATTAATCTTTGAGTAGCGATTTAATTATTTGCCATTATAAATATTAATAAATGTCGAATAACAATTTAGAAGATAAACCAAAATCAGAAAAATCAGATAAGACTAAATCCCTTAAATCACAACAACAATCCCAATAAATTTCTTAACCATCAATTTCCTTAATGGAAAGAAATTTATAAAAAATGAGAACATTAACATAGAAACTAATCGCTCCAAATGTTTTAGAAGGGCATTCCGAAACAGTCATAGAACAATTAAAATAAATGACTCTGCCTTAACCATCCGATGATTTGATCCATATCACTGAAACTTTGGAAGAAGCTCACAATATGCAATTTGTTTCGCAAACAATTCAAATCATCTAAGGATAATTATAAGATAGAGAGCTTTTAAATGCGATAGCTCTTATTGTTAGTCATCAATAACTCTTTAGCTCACTTTATATTATAGATGAAGAACAAGATAGATACATATTCAAATTATACAAAAAGAATTAGAGATACTCAGTAATTATTGATCCTTTTGTTTATTTCTCCAGTCATTTACCAAAATATTCTCGTTCTGGTTATAATTCCATTTGGGTAAGTCTATTAGAAAAGGCAATGTCTATTATTTTGGGCGGCTATGATTAATTGGTTGGTATTTCTCTGAGAGACTCAATAAGAAATCTGTGTGGCTTGGATCCTGAAATAATAGTTTATGAAAATCCTGATAATGTTAATTAAAAGTAGTTGTAATAAACTTTGACTTTATTATAATAAAATGGAAGCATTGTTGGATTCATGCAAATAAACAGTATAGGATTTAATAAAAATTAAAAGGTTCAATCCTCCTTTCTACCAACATTAAATTAAATGTATGTTTTCGAATCTATTCAAGAGAATAAAGTCAAAATTGTGAATCACTTTTAAGTAAGCTCACATGAGATTACAATCAAAGACATTACTTAAAACTTCAATTGCATTGTAATAATTAAAGATTTCCCTGATGATTACAGAGGACTCTTTATTAATGTCACTACGACTACTCATGGTGTTCCTGGTAATAATTAACAATGGATCAACAATCCAAGTTATCAAATTGTCATAAACACATAAAATGAATCTCAATTCATCTTTCGATTATCAGAATTAGAGAATTAAGATGGCATTACAGGTTTGCTACTTGTCAATTAAAGAGATGTCAGGACATTCAATTAAAACAATGTTGTCTTTATGACTAAATAGAATATAGTGTAAATTGGATAGAGGAAATAGAATTATTCTTGCTTTAGTGCTAAAATAAAAGGGTTTCATACCTTGTTTATATTCAGCACAAGCAAAGAACCTAAATTAGTGTTACTTGAAATCTTTTATTCAGGCAGGCCATCGTTGATTGAGTTCAAATTCAAAAGTAAACCTATAATTGAATATTGCATTGGAGAACCTTAGGATTCAGAGGGACTTAGAATATTGAGAGATGTCATAAAAGATAAAGAGTTAGTAATAGGAAATTTTAAGAACTAACTTCTGAATAATCCAAATCAACCTGTCTCTTCTAAACCTTATAATGATGTCATAGAATTGGATTAAGAGATGGCATGTATATAGGAGTATGATTTTATTATTATAAAGAAATTAACTATAAGAGGAATTGTTAGCAATTAATCTTGAAGGAAAGGATCCTCAAGAGACTGAGATCTACGATTTTAATGATTATTAATTAACAGATGAAGGGTTCTAAACCATTTTACCTGATTTGATAGCTGAGCCTGTGATCAAGGAATTGAGATTGAGAAATAATTTATTGCATGATGAATCAATTCTGTAATTATGCTACGAGTTAGATAAGTCATATCATTAAGAATTAGAGTTGTTGGATATTTCACAAAACTAATTAACAAAAAAATCAAATGAAGTTTTGAATAATCTAAAAAAAAGATTAAAGAATTTATAAAAGATAATTTAATGACTTTATTAATATATTATTTCAAATAGGAAAATAATATATATGAATAAAATTTGTTTGTAAATTGTAAGTTTCTTTGATAATATCTTGTAAAATGGCTCCTTGATTTAGAAAAATCACTTTGATTTCTTGAACACAAGGCATTTTTAAATACAAATCTTCATCAGAGAAATTGGGATCACCCTAGTCTTCTGCAGGTTTCATATCAACTTTTTTGGTACTTTGCAATTGGATTGACGTTTCGTTTTCAATTATATTATACCCATTATTCTTAAGCCAACGATTTTTTAGTAAAATTTTGTACATAGAATTCAGAAATTTCTAACCTCTATACAATAAAGACAATTTTCTTTCATGCTAAAAATATATTTTCACATCATCTCCTAATGAACTACCACAATGAATTTCCACTTATAATGGGTAAATAATTGAAGGAGTAATCTTAGCTTATTAACATTCTGATTCATGTTTTTGTCTACCATTCTTCAAACAAGTTTTATCACAATAAAATGCAGAGTAACAGATAGTACAATGTTGCACGATATAGATAAACATACCACAGGATGCACATGGTACAACCACATTAGGAAATGTTTCTTTGCTTAGATTCAAATTTGTTATGGATTAAAAGACCTCCACCAATATTTCTGATTTGAAATTCATCAACCTAATGAATTCGTGTAAACAGCTTTATAATTCATTATAATATGGATATTCACCTTGATAGAGACCCAATTAAAATCTTTTAATGATCCCATTGATAACAGATTCATAGAATTCTTACATAGATGGTGGACTAGTTGCATTTGGTCTGTATGTGAATTCAGCATATTGATCTGTTTTGCTCATGATGCCTTGTTTCTTCATTTGCAAAGTGGGATTGGTTTATTCATTTTTCTTAAACAATTACCATTCAATCCATAAATTCTTGGCTAGATTAGTATTATTGTTATTCATTAATTTTAAAAATGTATATCCCCGTGAATGACATGCTTAAGCACTTTAAGCAAGACGCCCCTGCAATGGCCAACATTACTCATAAGAGTGATTAATGGAGTCCATATCATGATAATTCAGGGACTGTATTAGGTAAATACAAGAATTAATTCAAAAGCTGTGGGCATTCCAGGAGCAGTCATCGTAGCAGGAGACACAAGATTGAGCAATGGATACAACATCTTATCAAGAGATGCCACTAAATTGTCTTAATTGACAGATAAGTGTGTCTTGGCCACAGCTGGTCAATATGCAGATTTTATTGCATTGAGAAAGTTTCTATAACAAAGATTATAATTGTATGAGTTTTAGAATGAAGTGCAAGTAAGAATGTATCATAATTATCAAAGGCTTCTACAGAGACTGTCGCTCATTTGCTGTCAAGAGAATTGTACTCTAGAAGATTTTTCCCTTATTACACCTTCAACTTATTGGCTGGATTAGATGAAAACAATCACGGAGTAGTTTATGGATATGATGCAATTGGTAGTTATGATTAGATGACTTATGGGGTTCAAGGAAGTGGGTAAGAATTAGTAGTGGCTGTGTTGGATAATCAATTGAAAGGTTACAATAAAATAAATAAAACCATTCCTTAAACAAGGGAGGAAATACTGGACATCATTTTGGATTGCTTCAGTTGTGCAGCCGAGAGAGACATTCATACCGGAGACAACGTTGAGATCTTGATCATCACTGCTGCTGGAACAGAAAGAATTGTTAAGCCTCTTAGAAAAGATTGATTATTAATAAATAAATTAGTATAAATGTTATCGTTGATATAATATATATGAATCAAGCAAAAAACTTCTTTTTTAAGCTGTGTGCCGAAAACTCCTTCATGATTTCTTTCTTATTCGAGAAATTTTGAGCAAAAGTAAAATTTAGACCCTCGATTTAATTCTCTAAGGTTATAACTCTGATCTGCTTTTGCTATTGCACTTATTATTAAGTTCTAGGTTATTGAGATGAATATAATTATTATTGAGCCTCTTTTACTATCTGCAAAATCTTCTTACTAGACATTGGATCAGACGTCACAGGCTTCCTAATTACATTGTTCTCCTTGTGTCTCGGCAGTTGGAATTTTTTCTCCTCGAACTACCTCAAGTCAATAAGACTTGATTTCCTCGCAATATGCGTTTAAGGCTTCGATATTAGATTAGTCTCTGGACTGTATCCAAAATGACTGCTTTATAAAGGGCTCAACAATCGTTTGCTGGTCTCCTAGGTGTATTACTTAAAAGATCTAATCATACTTATCTTATTCTTAATTATTTTATTTAATAATTTATGGTTTTATTAGAATTTTATAAATATTGATCTTCTTTCATCTTCTTCATAACTGACATCTTGTATATTCTCTGGGATATCCTACGCTAACTACTTTCTATTGTCCAATCTTCCGTTCATCTTAAATCTGCATTCTTTCATTTTATTTCAAATTAAAATGCGGGGCAATTTAAAAGTTTATATTTTTAACCTCATTAGATTATTAAATCCAAATTTATTCAATTCAGAAAAAATTCATGAATTTGCTTTCAAATCATAATCATATTAATAAGACAACATTGTAAATAATCAAAACTTTCTCTTTAAGTTTAATCAATCTAAACTTAAATGCAAATGAGGATCTGAGATACCATCTTCAATGTTTTTTTGCATCTAGTCTCTAAACCTTCTTAAAGCATCTCTGACATCTGGAATCTTCTTCTGAACTATTTGAATCAGTAAGGGGGATAGAAAAATTAAGGCTTAATCATCCTAATCTCCATACCAACTCTGTATCTAGATTCCATTATCCGGTTGAAACTTAAAGTTCTCAGCCAGATTATCGATAATTATGGTTCTCCTTACATCTCGACCAATCCTTTGAATATCTTTGATGTAAGTATTGTCGACCAATGTAGTGTGCTAACGATATAGTCTATATCCAATCACTCTACCTTCATCTATTAAATCCAATATGAAATCAGCATAATCCTACTGTGCTGCAGTAAAAATCACTATTTCATAGTACTTAGACATCTCCTTCAAGAATTATTATGCATATGGTCTAACTAAAAACTATCCATCATCCACTAACTATATAAAAATAAGCTCAATTACTTCTTAATAATGGACTAATGTTTCATCTAAATCTATAACCAAAGTGTATTTATTTGTTTTAGATAAGTAAGGTATCTGTTAACAATCAATCACTTCTTCATAGTCAAACTAAAAGTCCGAAGAATCTCTTGTTAATCTCAACTATTAAATATGTACTAGCTTAAAAATATAGATTTATATTTAATACTATTTTATCATATTAGTATTTAATAAATTTTGTTCCTTATTGTAAGTTGATGTTGTCGATTATTGATAAGACTTTTTCTAATTAATTAAGATTATTATCAGTTGCATTTTCAACGCTAAAAATATTGATAATAAACTTACAATAGAATTAGAAGAGAATATACGACATTACTATTTTTGCGTATTAAATTAATATCGATCATTTGCTGGTTTTTTCTGGCTCTAACCTTATTTAATCTAGCTTGTATTGATGCCTTTTAAGATTGAGAAAAAGAATTTGATTAAAGCATCGACTCCAAATGTAAAACCATGCTGCTGTGTATGTAAAATACTAAATTTTTTATGTTTTATTAATCCTCATCAAATGTATCAGATAATGCTTTATAGAGAACAACTAAAATGCCAATTCTTTCCAAGATCATTGATTTACATAAGATTTATTAATGTATCTGATCTTTTTCTTCAACCATAAAAGTAGATATTTAATTAAGATAATTTTAGCATTATTTAATTACCTTTTACTTTTTGCTGATAACAGCCAAAATGGTAAACACAATTTCCTCTAAATTAATAAACTATTATATTTATTCTTCTGAATCACTTATAGTATAACTTGTTGATTCATTTTTATGGGATTTCGATTCTTCTGTTCTGCATTTAAAAGAATCGAGTTTCTAATTTCTATTTAGTATCTTATCTTACCCAACTTAACAATTTATTTGTTGATATATTTTTTTCAATTGCTAAGGCATTTAATATAAAAGTTATGGTGAAATAGATCTTTGTGTTTTATTTATTAATGATTTTTCATGTTAAGAATTCGGAGTAGAAGTTCTATTAAAATACTATTCTTATGAATTAGTTCTTTTTTGAAGTTCTTATAAAAGAACATTAATTTTCGGAGTTGATTTTTTTTTTTCATTAAATGATATATTCAAGGTTTGCCTATCCTTTGATTGATCTCCAACATTTCTTGATGATCGATTATCAGTAGGAGGCTTCTTGTTTTTACTTGTATATATTTTTTTCAGTTGCTGTAGATCGTAATTCATTAATTAGTTTTACTATATATTTTATACAAGAATTAAAAAATTTTAGATTATTTAGAATAAGGCCTGGGGTTGTATTTTAATTTGCAATATCGATATAATTTTAATTAGAATTCATTTGCATTAATGTGTTTATCACTAACACTATTTTCTACTTTAATTCTATCCACTTTGCTAATAAATACTTATTGAGAAACTTTTTATTTGATTCTTATGTGCTCAGTCAAAGCACATCATAGAAAGTTTTCGCATTTACACTAAGATAAGGATGGAATAGTGATCTTAATTTGAAATTGAGTATATTATTCCATAAACCAGTGAAACTTTTAGTAACAGCAAAGACAAGACATCTTTTTACATATCTCTTATAAGCAAAGAAAAATTAATCAAAGGTGATGTTACACCCTCAAATTGATAGAGATTTAGCACAGAATACGAAATCCTTATAAATAAAATGAGTATTTTATTATGATAATGATATCCTAATTCTAATTTTATTAATTGCTTAGAGTGATCTTTAAAAATAATGATTTTTTTCAATTATATACGATCTTCCCATTTTATCAAGACAATAATAAATATCAATATATTATAATGTTATTTTAAATATAAATACTTATAATTAATTAGTAAAATGAATAAATACAAATATTTGCTATTAAATTATAAAGATATTTTAAATATCTAAAAATAAATCTCAAAAGCGACCCTCTAGAAATGTGACCTTTCAAATTATACCATGAGATATCTCTCCAGTAAATACTAAAAATTTGCATTTCTAAATTATTTTAGTTTATTAATAACTCAATTATGCTTAGTTATCAAACCTAAGTGAAATCCTCTTAAGTAGATGATAACAGATTTCACTATCGAGACAAATAGAATAGAACAAATACTATTTTAGTAAAAAGTTAATTTACTTTAAAACAAATACAACTTGATAAAATCTCTTATTTTATGATGTGATGTCTAAAACAACTTAACATACATCATTATTCATCAAGATAGTTGATTTCCTGATCACCAAAAAAATGCATTTATTTTAATAATATAATGAATACCATTCATTTTTCTCATGTCAAAACTGAATCAGAAGACATAACTAAACTTTCTCCTACTTCCACTAAAACAACATAGTAATTATATCCAGCATAAGATGATATCACGAGTCCCATCTCAGGCAAAATAAAAATAAAGGATAGTTTTAATGAGTTCTTAGATGGTAGGATCAACACTTTTTAACTTCTTCAAGCAAAAAATTGTCCTCGTCTACATCAGCAACAGTAAATTGAATAATATGAAAAACAAGCCAGAGAAAGAGAATCTAAGGGTATGGTTATTTTGGGGCCATTACTTAGATTTAAACACAAATATAAACATGTTAAAACTTAGTCTGAAGAAAGAATAAATTATCTGAAAACAAAGATAGCAGCCCTTAACAATCTAATTAAATCTAAAGTCGTAAATAGAAAGAAGGACAATGATGAAAAACGGAGAAGAAGTTTGTAAAATGTTGGACTACTAAAATCTATAGTCGAAGCATCAGAAAACATAAATAAGAAAATTGAATAGGTTGAGACATATGAAAAAATGGTACCATAAATGAAAGCATTAAAAACTGTTACAATTAGTTATGACGATTAAAAGATGTTTAGAAAATAATAATTAAAGTCAAAATTAAATACATAATCTTCAACTAATCCAAAACTATTTCTCAAAACCTAATTACAAGATTCAAGTAAATAGTTTTTAAAAGAATTAGAAGAGATGAATGAAAAAAAACAATAAAACTTAGACAGACTTTCCAGAATGAAATTACTGTCTGATAATAAATTATAAAAAACACACAAATACGATCTCTTTGTGAAAGAAGTCTTAACATACAAAGACATTGAATTATATGATTACTTACATCAACAACCCAAATAGGTTTAATATAGATGTCACTTTACAAATCAAGCAGAAGAGGCTGCTAATCTAAACAAGGCTAAACCAAAAAAAAACCATAAAAAATATAAAACTCTTACTGAAAGTAATATGAATCAAATTCTTGATGTTTCTGATACATCCTCTTTATAATCTGCATATGAAATACATTTAGATAATTTATATACTTAAACTATAGAAGTGAAAAAGTAATTGTTGAAGAAATCTATGTTACCAAAAAGAATCCGATAAATGATAAAACTTGATGAATTAGGTAAACAGACTCTACATACTAGTACTCATAAACTTAAACATTGAATATATTTATTAAAATATAAAAATTATATTGCATTATGTATATATCTTCTTGATTATCATATTCATTGTTAATATTTCTCTTCTTCAACTTATTAGGTATGTATAGCAGATTGAATCCTTGAATTTCTATTTTTAATTGAATTGATAAGTGATCCAGGATCGACATTTTATTTTGGAATTTCATCCTCCAACAATTGATTTATACTTTAAATTATAAGATAACATTAATTACTGATTCATTTGAGTTTATCTAAAATGAGACAAATCTTATTAAGTAGAAATGAACTCAACACTCCATACTTCAATTCTATCAATATTCAATTTTGTGATATGAGGTGCCAATATGTGACCTGTTGCAAAAGTCTTATCATCATCTGTTATATAGCTATCCTTCAAATTTTGACCATCAATCCAAATTCTATGTTGTTCATATCCACTACCTCCAATACCCAATCCAAATTTGCTTAATTTCTTCTATAAAGATTATGGCAATGGTCTTCCTTGATCACTATTCAATAGGGCATATTTGCTTTGTCCCTTTCCTTTGCCTGTAATAAATTGTTAGTATTTTGGAACGATGGAAAATATTGATGAATTCTTATCTCCAGTGATGTCTGGTGCTAATCTCCACCTTGATGAATTGAAGTAACCAAATAGATAATGCTATTCAAAGGCTTCTAAATTTTCATCAGGTGTGTGTTGATATGGCAATTTTTCATACTTATTTAATCGTTCAACATGTCTAAATAATAATAGAGTTGGAGAATTTTAGGATAACAATTGATTTGATAAAAGGTTTAAATCGAATTAATCTTAACCTTCCTAATAAGCAAATAGCAAATTCAAATTTTTTTTGGTTTAGTAGAACCAAGGAGTGCTTAAATAAAACAATCCCAATATTTAATAGTTGATAATGAGGGAATTATCAGTCAGTTCTGGGAGTTTAATCTTGTGAGAGGAATCAGTAAACTTTCCAGCAAAGTACCTTCTTATGACTGTATTTATCAAAGGAACTTCCACTTTTATTTAATTTGCAAAACTATTGGAGATTCCATGTTGCTTGTTTTATCTATAGGATAATTCTCATTTATGTTACCTCCAAAAATATTATTGATCAATAGTTTAGCTGCTACATCATCGTCATCACTTAATCTATTGCCTTTTGGACTTAGCATATTGATTATCTCCTTTATGAATATCCCTGCCTATAAATATGTGATTTCAACTTTGGTTAACAATTACAACTTGAATTCTTCTCTCTTATAAATTTCAGGATGTTAAATGGATATCAATAATAATAACTAGTATTGTTCCAAATGCTTGTAGTTATTTGTAAAAACATATATTTCTGATTTCTATTTTGTAAATAGTTCCACTAATAATCGTTTTTAACATCATTACTTGATAATACAAATGTTTCCCTGTTCACATTGTTTGTTTCACTTTGGCTTTTGATAAATTTAAAGATTTTATCAGCTAATTACGTATTTTCTGTGAAGGCTGTTCTAAAACCTTCGATGGCAATAAATTGTTCAGCTTTTCTAATTTATATGAATCAATACTACCCTGGTGCAATTGAGGACAATTTCTTAAATTTCTCATTGCATTTCTCAAGTTCTTTGCTATTTAAAGAACTCTTTTCTTAAAGATTTTTTCTTGAACTATTACAGCCCATTATATCTATATCAATATAATTAAATAAATAAATAAAATAAAATTATATAAAAATGAGAAAACATTTGGGAAATCAGATTAAAATAGATTATCATAATTTATTCATAACATGTCTTAGTCATCTATATTACATAATCTCATGAATTTTAATTAAACAATACTTAAGATTCATAATTAGATTTTATATGTTCAAATTGATTTATTTCAAGAGAATAAAATGGAAAGCCTTCAATAAAAGGATCTTATGATATTCTCTAATCGACTTTTTAATTAAACTTCCTCATATCATCACTAATAACAGTTAATATCTTTTATTAAAAAAATTCATATAAATTCACTTCAGCTCTATAAGATTTATTTTCATTGCAAATGATTTTAAATATCGTTTCCAAAGCCTGATATACCTATTATTTAATATCAATAAGTAAATATTAGTATAATCATTATCAGTTTTGTCCAAACAAAATGTAGCAACCAATTATTTGTTATTGGAGAATTCTTCATATTTTATGTATTTATTTTTATTCTTATTGTGATTTTCATCTGTTTGTAGAAATTATTTTATGATAAATTAAATTAAATACTATAATTATTATTCAATTTGTTATAAAAAGAGCATAATGTGAAATATTAAATTTTTTAATAAGCGTATCTATTTAAAATATTGAGATTTGGATTGAATGCAATTCTTTAAAATATCTGTAAGATTTTTTAGAATTATGAAAATCAATTTCGATATGATTAAATGTGATTTTATTATTGATTTATAATAATTTCATACTAAAGTCAAGGTTGTAAGGCAATTAATTATTTTGCATAAAAATGCTTATAATCAGGATATCTTAAAAAAATAGTTGTTTTTAACTAATGTAACCAATTGATTTTAATTTACAATTTGAGATAGGTTTTCATTAGTTTAAAATTATTTTTCTAAAATTGAGAATAGCATTCTTTAGACGCTCCTTTTTGTATAATGATGATAAATAATTGGTATCTGAATATATTAATGAATCAAATTATCAAATTAGTTTGTCTGAATTGAAGCAGTTTTTCATTCATTTTCTAATTCATGAAAATGATTCAATATATCGTCGATGTCATCATCCATAACTTCCTTTAAGCTCTCAAATCTATTGAGAGGCAGAGGCTTAATAGGCTAAATGACAACCTTTCTGAATACATCAATATCATTTGTATATTGACTCTCCTAAGATATTGCATTTGAAATTGATTGAGAGGATTGGGTGACTGTTTACAAGCCACAACATTACTATGCTCCCATATTTAATTTAATAATAAATTAAAGTGTATTTACTTTGAATATTAATGAAGTAAATTCGAGTGTTATAAAATAATTAATATTAAATAAGCAATCTACTCCTATTAAAATTGTGATGAATTTGGTAGCAAGAATTGAGAGCATTTGAATGATATTATTTTAGAATTATTAATAAAATTATTATTTATTTTGGATGTGGTATAAAAACTTTTCAAAGCAAAGTTGGAATCTTCGTGTTTGGAGGTATACTTTAGTGATCATAATAAAATAGAAAGGCTAATATATTATTCAACCAAGACGACATTGGTATGTTCAAGACAAAGGGTGTTTTGAGATGGAAGGATACTGTATTCAGAATGGCCAGAAGTGAAGCATGTGTATGAAATTATCCCTATGAATGATAGTTAAGAGGATTCAACTTCTTCTTCTTTGCTGGAATGATCGGGTCATTCATTTGGGTTAAATCAAACTATTATGATCCAAAATATGTAGCACCTAAAAAGGTCGAGAGCGAGAAGGAATTAGAGAGATTGGATGCAGAAGCTGATAAAATATTATTTAAGAATAGATTGGAGGCATATTCAAGACCCCATAGAAGTTTGGAAGACTTGATTGCCTTCTTGTCTGGGTATTGATAAATAGATAATTGTTCATAGTTCAAAGACCTTCGATCAATTTGCTGACTTTATCAGTTATGAGGAAGCAATGAATAACAGTATGGATCAATAAAATGGTTTGGATTCATGGATGGATGACTAAGACTAAAGAATGCTTAAATATTATCAAAGAAGTATTGGACGCACTCCAAAGTTTTGATTGAGTAGTCAAATACATATAAAAATAAATAAAATATATATATTGATATTTTAATTCTGTTGTTAAATGAATAAAAAATATAATAAAATCACATTCCAGAACTAAATATAATACATATATGATTACTAGTTGGGTCCTCCTCCGGCTTCTGGGACAGTCCATCTAATATAATCTTTGGGCATCTTGATGTCACAAGTCTTGCAATGTAAACAATTCTAAGCATTGATTTATAGCTTTTTGCCTTCCTTAGTATCAATAAATTCATAGACTTTAGCTGGACAAAATCTTTATTCAGGACCATCATACAAGTTTATACTTTCCTTAGGTCCAGCCTCCTTGATCACTTTAAGATGAGCTGGTTAATCATGCTCATGGTTGGTTCCACTTCACATGAAATCAAATATTTACCTTCTTGCTAAGTTGTCCAATAAATCAAAGGTCAATTTTCCATCTGGTTTCTCATATTTAATTTAAGGAGCTTTATCTTTAGTCAAATATGATTCGCTTTCTTTCACATGTGATTTGATATTCCAAGGTTCCCTTCCTTTTGAGATGAAACCATCAAATGCACCGTAAAATAGCCCAGAATAAATATTGTATTTAAATGAACCCTTGAAATTTCTTGATCTATACAATTCATCATAAATCCAGGATGATTTAACAGCATTCTCATATTCAACTAATTCTTATCCTGGTTCTACATTTTGTTTAGCACAAATAGTTTCTGCTGCCAACATTCCTGATTTCATGGCATTATGAGATCCCTTAATTTTCATCACATTTAAAAATCCAGCTGAACAGCCAGCTAACATACCTCCTGGAAATGTTAATTTGGGAATTGAAAAGTATCCTCCTTCATTTAAGACTCTTGCACCATAGCTTATACAGGTTCCATTCTTGAGAAATCTTGAGATTTTTGGATGTTTCTTTAAATTTTAAAACTCTTGATATGGACTTAAATTTGGATTCTCATAATCCAAACCAACAACCAACCCTAAATGTATTTGATTAGTATTCTTATGATACAAGAAGGAGCCTCCATAAGTATTTCTACATAAAGGCCACCCAACTGTATGTTAAACTAGACCAGCCTTAAAATCTTCAGGAGGTACCTCCCAAACTTCTTTTAATCCAATACCATAAGATTAAGGTTCACAATCTGATCATATAGTTCATTATATTTACCTTTTCTCAAATTGTATTTTTCAATGACTCTTTCAGTGATTGAACCTCTTGCTCCTTCGCATAATATTGTTTAATTTGCCACTATATCTATTCCCTCTTAATAATTGGATTTTTTCTCTCCATTCTTAGCGATTCCCATGTCTCCTGTTGCAACTCCGATCACTCTATCTTTTTCATCGAAGATCACTCTTGCTCCAGCAGTACTTGTAAAAATATCGACTCCCAAAGCTTAGGCTTATTCTCCCATCCAAACACACAAATCGCCCAAGCTTATTACATAATTTCCATGATTTCTAATTGTAGATGGATAAAACATATGTGGAATCTGTAAACTCAATTTTTCATTCCAAAGGATATGGAAGTGATCCTCTGAAACTGGAGTATCTAAAGGAGGTTTCTAAATTGGAAATTAATGACAAATATACATTTTCCATTTTCTCCCAATTAGGAAATAATTCATTCATTGCTGTAGGTTGAAAGCAATTACCACTCAGAATATGTCCTCCCAAAGTACCTGACTTCTCTATGACGACAACTGATTTGTTAGGGTCCAATTCTTTAATTCTTATGGCTGCTGACAGACCTGCTGGACCTGCTCCAACAATAAGTACGTCATATTGAATCTTTTCACGCGAGAAAAGAAATCTCGTAAATTTTTTTAACATTAATATTATTTTCAATTCCCAATAGAGGCATTATGAAAATCAATACTAAATTACAATACCTTCTCAATTTTAATCATATTGTTAAATTGTCAATTTTAATTAAATGATTTGTAATTGATTTCTACATGTTTACACTTTATGATCATCTACTTAACTAATTATACAGTTTAAACTCAAGGAAACATTTAATTAATAGAAATCTAATTGATTTCTTCCTGCCACAAACATATTCTATCCTTAAAGGCTTTGCATTCCTTAATTATATATATTAACTGACAAAGTAAAGATCATGTTTTTATTTCGAAATATCTTAATTTTATTTTCTCTATAGAGTGGAGTAGGGTATTTATAGAAATAGTCATTTAAAGTAAAATAATTATATAAATATTTTAATGAAGACTCGAGGTTCAAAGAAACATGTTTAAACTCCTTAAATTTGGACAGGTATTTAAATAAGATAGCTAAACAAATTTGCTTACGCTATTTTATATTGAAAATTTTAATTTATTTTTAGAAACCTAACTAAAGTAAGAAGAAACAACTGGCGATCCAATTATAACCAAGATTGATATGGATAACGAAGACTAGGTTAAATAAACTAGTGTCATTAATTTTCACTATAATTAAGGTATTAAAAAACTATAAATTACAAAATCATATCCAATTGAAAAAAGCGGTAATTATTTTCTAAATTTAAGCAGGTTTTAAAGCAAACAAAACCAGAAGCAAACCTCTAGTATTGGATTTATTTCATAGCATAAAATAGGGGTAGGACAATAAACTTTATGATATCTTGGATGTTAATCAATATATGTCATTGAAAGATTAATAATAGTCTCAAAATGTTCCCAAATCATTAAGATGCAAATGCAATAAATCTATGTGTTTGAAATAATATTGTGATTGTTTTGCCAATGGAAATATGTGCACCAATCAATGTTAGTGTTAAGGTTGTCACAATAGCGAAGAATATATGGAAGAAAGAGAAGAAGCCATTAGTAAGCTGAAAATACAAAATACATCTTTTGAAGTACAAAAAATGATTTATAAACTAGAAAGAAGCTCCAATAGGAATAAGTTGTAAATGTAAAAAGTCTAAATGCACAAAGAAATATTGTGATTGTTACTAAAATAAACAAAAATGTAATGATAATTGTTAATGCAATAATTGTGAAAACTAATTAGAAAAGGTTGAATACATAGAACAAAGATTAAATCCACATTCACAATCGTAATTTGATGAGAATAGCAGATATCCCAAGTCTCCAATTATCTCCAGAGGATAATATTTATTTAGAAGAAATGACAGCATGAATTATTCAAATTCTTTTGGTTATTCAAGAAGTATTTTGATATTAATTATGATTAGAAATTTTAATTCAATAAGAAGGCCCATATTATTTAAAGCAAGATTCTTAAGGATTTAATTGAAAAATGATATTAACTGTAATTATATAAAACAATAATGGGAGACTCTTTTATATGTTTTCTAGGTGTGCAACATACTATTGACTGAATTAGTGAGCTAAATAGATAAAGGTTTATGCTACTTGTTCGGCTGTACTTTTAATACTATTAATCTAAATGATTTAATTTTTCTGGCATTGCTTTGAGTGATACTGAATTTCTTTAAATTTTAAATTGCTGCAAAAACATCCTCCATTTATTGTATTTTTGGTACTTAACATTATCCCATAGTATATAAATAAAAATTAATTATTAATAAATAAATTAATTAATTTAAGGATGTCAATGAGTGAACAGAGTAAAACAGAAAATCGGATATTTGTGACTGGATACTCAACAAAAGATAAAAATGAAGAGGATATCAAAAGCCTTTTTTCTAAGTATGGTGAAATCATTGAATTCTCTTGGAAGGGTCGTTTTTGTTTCATAGTAAAATTAGCGTCTATTTTATTAGGCTTATTCAAAAGCAGAAGAAGCTACAGAAGCTGTGAATGAGATGAATTAAAAAGATTAAGATGGCAACACTTTCGTTGTAGAGATAGCCAGAGCCAAAAAAAAAGATGGTGAATGCTACAAATGCGGAAGAATAGGACATTTGTAAATATTTGATGAAAATTAATTAGTGCTCGAAATTGTAGATAAAAAGGAAGATCATCAAGTTCAAGTTCAAGGTATATTTAGTTATATCTAGACGACATAAAAGAAAGGTCAAGAGACACAGAAGAAGAAGTCCATCCAGTTCATCCAGTTCTTCTTCATCTTCTTCATCTAGAGATAGAAAGAAGAAATAGAAAAAACCAAAAAAAGGAAAGGAATCTTCATCATCAAGTGATTGATTTAAAAAGAATTTGGATATATATCGATGATAAAAAATTATCGTGTTTTTTTGTTGTGAATAAATCAAATCATTTTTTCAATGCTTATTCGTTGTCTCTCAAAATTTATAAAGCAGTCTTTAACGAATTCAATTAGCCTTCTCTCTTGCTTGCATTGGATCTGAAATTTGAATCATATAAATCTTTTTGGACTCTTGTAGTTTCTAATAATTATTAAGTGGTTGCTTCATTTTATTCTAATTATTTATTTCTTCTTTGAGTAATTTTCTATACAAATATATTAGAATAAGTTACTAAATCATTTTATCTATTCTTTAAAGCACTGGTAGTCTTTTGGTTATCCTATTGTAATTTGTCTCTAACAACAGTGACTTCATTCACTAAAGAATTAAAGTTTTCTTCAACTGCTGTTTGATTTGATTCTCTGTTTACTTCTCCTTCCTTGATAGATGCTATGATTTATTCAATCAATTCAATAGCCCTCTTAGCAGTAGCTTCATCGAATCTATGAATGCTATTAATCATTTTTACTTGGATGAGAATTCCAACAATAATGCCAATGGGTGTGTACGTCCTAATTCTTTTTTGACTTATTTGATCATCTCTTTCTTTTCAGCTTCCTCAAGAAAAGATCCTGTATTTGAAAGAACTGCCTTTACTAATCTATCGTGAATATCTTCTAAAGCTGCTAAAATCCTTGAACCAGCAGATTACTTTGTTTCCAAAACTTAAATTTCTCTCTATCTATTATCTCTGATTTATTCCTCTCTTTGATTAATTGTTTCCAATTGTTTTTTCACAGCTACACTAGTAGAAGTAAGAGTTGAGATTGCCTAAGTGATATCACCAATTTTCCTGTTGTTGGTTTATACCTCACTTGATAATGTTGCCAAATTAGCTTCTAATTACTCAATACTTGATTCAAATGCAGCCATTCTTGAAGCGTGATCTAAATTTGCTGCGTTGATTTATCCTGTTAAATCATCAACCATTTTCTATAATAATTCAAACACTCTATCCAACTATCCACCTGCCAAACTTAATTCTAATAAATCAACTAATTATGAATTATATTCATTTTAGTCTAATTTATTTCTTAATTTTTCAATAGCAGGGCTCTCTGTTGCAACTGCCATTGTTACTAATAGCAATACCATTAGAGTTTTAAATGTCATTTAATCCGTTTTTATATTAATTATTAATAATCATTATTATGATCACCTTTATGCAAACCATGCCCAATATTGTTTTTCTACTCAAGACTAAAGTAATATCTATATAAAAACTTAAAAATATTATCTAATAATTATTAACAATGCTCATTATATTCTCTTTCTTCTGACTATTAGATTTTAGTACTCTAATTCTATTTAAAATACGTTAAATATATTAATCTTGACCAGATTCTTATAAGATTTGATTAAATATATCTAATTCTGATTATCCATTAAATATCAAATAGTTAACTATTTTTTATTTTATTAAATTCTCTTGTCTTACTATTTTTCTCAAAACTAAATTAGCATTTTGTATATAAGCATAAGAATGTAAAAGTTCAATAGGGGTTGATTAAATAAATGTATAATCTTACACTTATTAATTGTATCTTAGTAAATTATTAGTATTATTTTGGCAACAATGGATTTAATCTTGGAAAGAATAAACTGATATAATATGAAATAAATGTTTAAATTGCCTTAATCTTATTGAATTAAATTTTAATTACTTCTAGTTCTCATTAAACTAATAAAGCATCAATAATCAAATGAGGTTATTTACTTTCGAAAATCTATGGTTTTATTCGATTTATAATGTATATTAATTGATTAAAATAATATTTTAGACACATATCACTAAAATTATATGGTATTAAAGTATTTGTGAAAATAATTTGGATATTAAGAGAAAGTTTCATATTTTAAAATTCTAAATTTAATGAAGTATTTTTAGTTTGAAGGTTACATTTCTGAAACTTTTAATAAATGGACCCAAAATTTAATATACAATAATATTATTTAGAATGATGCAGTAATTATATTCCTTATTTACTATATTGTAAAATAATCTGAATTGATTTAAATTAAGTTCACGAACACAAGAGTATCCCTAAATTATTGCTTATATTACTTAGCAAATCAATTTATTATAATATTTATTCTTAATTTAAGGGTATCATAGTTTGTACTATTTTGGAAAAATTCTTATTTTTCTTTCAAATATATAAATAAAAATTCCATTAATTTTGTTTCAAAAAAAATCAAAGTCTTTCTAATGTAATATATATTCATAACAACAGTTTTGGGACTATTATACAATTATATTAAATTTGATTAATTCATTTTTACTATTAATTATACAATTAAATAATTCTCAATAATATACATTAAATACAACGTAAAATATAAAATAGTATAATCATTATTGTTTTAACGGTTATTTAAAGTAAAAATTGAAACAGAGAATCAAGAATTTCTTTGAATTGTAATAGAATTTGATTCATATTTAGGATGACTTAATTTTAAATTCTTATTCATTCCAAATTGTTTAATTCTATATATTACGACAAATTTAATCTAATTCAAGGGTAACTAAATATAAAAATCGATTTCTAAACCGGAGGAATCGTTTTTTGAATAATTTTAATTTTTTAAAGTAAATTTTCAATTTAAATTAAGTTATTATCGGACCAATTAGCCTACTAATGGTCATTCTAATAAAATTTCTTCATCAATTTACAAGAAATTTGATATTTTATGTATTTTAGAATCGTTCTTTGAAATTCTAGATATTTTTATAAAGTTTTACATGAATTTCTAAGAATTTAATAAATAATACTAAAGACTTTACATTTGATGGGTTCCAAACCATGTTGCTGTGAATCACCTAAAAACTCAATGAAAGAAATCAAAATTATAATTCATTAGATAAGCTAAGAATTTCAGATACCAGCCAATACTCCATCAAAGCCTGTACCTTTGTAAATGATGCAATCTCTTAAAGAAGAGGATGATTTTGGATTATTTTTGGTAATGGAGTAATATGAGAGACTACTAATTAAACAAAATAACAGGAATAAGTCCTATTCTCACTCATATTAAATACAAACTGAAACCAAAGACTTCACTACCATATACAACTCTAAAAAGCACTAATAAAAGTTTGATCTCAAAAAATCAAGATCCTTAACTAACTCAAAAATATCAACAGCAAGTCAAAGATCTGCAATTAAGAGTATACTCAAATAGAAACTAACATAAAATTAAATATCATATAAATAATAAATTTCTGATCCACAGAGATCAATCAAAAGTGTGCATTTTGACCATGTTTTGAGTCCTAAAAATAGGATTTCAAGGCAATCACAATTCGCAAAAAAGAGGATATTTTTAAAGTCCTACTTTTGATATCTTTAATGAATTTATTCTACCCTTAATTAATTTATAATAAAGTTAATAAAATTTATGCTTCTTTCTCTTATTGAAGTAATTTTCTCAAGATTAAAACCATTAATTCACTCCTCAAAGTTTTTAAATTGATTAAAATATTAATTTAAACAAATAAATAACCAAATATTTCTTAAATCAAGTGATTAAAGGAGTTTTTTTAATTTAATATATAGCAAACATTTTTAACAGATAATTAATCTATATTGAACCTATAATCAGATTATTTTATACTCTTTATGATATTCAATATAATAGCTAAAAAATATTAAAATATTGATATTATTTTTATAAATTGAAAATTACGATTCAAAATTTAGAAGTAATTTTTAATAATTTATTAACTAATAGAATTATTGAATATTGAATATTGAATGCTATGACTTAGAATAATAGCTAAGAAATCTTCTTAGGAATACATATTGATGTTGCATATTTATTCATAAACAATATAAAGAAAGATTAATAGTTATATAACAATTATTTTATCCATTCACCAGGAAGATGATTTAAAAGGAACAAATTTTTTAGAAAGAATCGTTTAAGTTGATAATGAATTTTAATAGTAAAAAAATATCATATGGCTTTACTTTAAAAATTAAAATTTGAATTTCTAAACCAACTACTTTTTTATTTACTATCTAAGAATTGATTGATCAATTTATAAGAAATTTAGACATTATGGGTTAATATAGTATATGATTAAATTAATTAATAAATATATCTATGTATAGGTTTAGATAGCTTTGGAAATTTAGCACGCTTTAATTTCACAAAGGAGTTAGTGAATATTAGAATGTCTCTGAAAATGTTGTTTTGAGAGGAGTGACAATTAAAGGTAGATATAATGATTTACCTAATTTGCTGTTCTTCACAGAAGCATGTGATCCTGTTGAAAATTGGATACCATTCTTCAGTGATCCGAACAACAAAGTAGAATTCTAAATAAAATACTTAGATCCTGGATTACAGAAATGTGCATATTTTGAGTCCCAGAAATTTTGGTACATCAGATAAACATTATTCATTTGATGTTCAAGATTTAGCAAATGATGTTATCAGATATATGTACTATAACAAAATTACCATGGCTACATTAAGTGGACATGGATTTGGAGCTAAGGTAGCTTTGGCAGCAGGATGTTATCACCCAGAGAGAACAACTGGTGTATTTTGCATAGATTATTCTCCTATGGATTAAAGATATCACGAAGCATTCACAGAATTCAGAGGCTACATTGCAAAGCTATCATAAATAAATACCAAAGAATCAACCAAATCATAGATTGAAACTTATTTAAAAGACAATATTGATGTATTCAAATTGAATTATTTAGTGTCCAAAATGGAGATCAATTTTCAGTGATAATCTTATTAAATTGCCATCTGGTTAATGGGATTGGAAGTTTGCACTAAAATTCTTAAATGATAATGTTTCATTTAATAAAGCTGATTCCATAGCCTTCTGGCCAGTTAAAGCAGGTCTCTTTACAGGCAGAGCTCACTTTGCATTTCCTGAATTCTCTAGATGGGTCCATCTTGGAACAAATACTCTACCTATGTTGAAAGTCTGTCCATAAGTGAGAGGATTTGGTCATGATATTCATTCTGTTTAAGGAGATAACAATACATTAAATCATTGGATTTATGAATTTGATAGTCAGTCTTTTGTCTTTGCTAGTAGATTCACAAAGTAATTAAAAATTGCTATTTAGATTTTTGTCTATGTATGATGGAGTTCATTTGTTATTAAAAGATAGAACTGATGTTGGAAAAGAATTTGTTCCTTCAATTATTTATTCAAAGAAAGACCCAAATCATATCTATTCAGACTATTCTCCTGCTCATTATTATCATAATTGGAGATTTAACAATGTCTATAAAAACTTAGAAACACCAAATAAATGAAAATATCAAATCAAATATATTGCATAAGATCTATACCAATCATTAAATCTACAAATCTATTCTAGCCAATATTGAATCATCTTATTTTATTATTCCATTTAATTGATCATTTTACTTTAATGGTCCAACTCCATGAGGAGTTCCTGTTAGTACCAAATCACCTGGATTCAAAGTCATGAATTATGAAATATAACAAATTAAATCAGCAATCTTGTAATACATAGAACTTGTTTTATCCTGTTGTACAATTTTATCATTAATTCTCAATTCTAAAGTTAAATTATAAGGATCTTCAATCTTTTCCTTTCCAATCAGATTGCTAATCGGAAAGAAGAGATCTTGTCCTTTAGATAGGTCCCAAGGAAATCCTTACTTTTTAAAATGAGCCTGTAGTTCTCTATCTGTCAAATCCAAAGCAAGGAAATATCCTCCTACGTAATCTAACCAATCCTCTTTCTTAATGTTCTTCCCTTATTTACTAATCATGAAGCCAAGCTATAATATAAATAGTGTAAATCAATACTTCTATTTCATGATGTATCTCATGGCCAAGTTGAGGTAACTTTAATACTTGTGGCTTATCAACCAAAATAATTGAAGTAAATGGTTTTTGAAAAATGATAGGTTCTTTAGGTGGCTCTTCTCCTCCCATTTCCTGAACATGCTTCACATAATTTTTCCCAACTGCCAATATTTTAGGATTATTAGGATTTACTATTTTCTTGAATAATTCTTCCATTATAATTTTTATTAAAATTTGATAAATTATAATATTGAATAAGTAGTTTTCAATCTATATTATAAGATTACTTTTCCCATATCTTAATGAAAAGATTCTATGCTCTCGATATGCTTTACAAAATAATAAAAGAGATTCTTTATGGATTCTTGAAATGATATAATTAGAAACTATTCATTTCTAGAAATACCCAAAATTTTGAATCATTAAAAATGTATTATAAATGTATGATAATATCGATTAAATTTTGAGTTAATGTAGATATAAAGAGTATTGATATAATCAAACTCCTTTTTTTTACAAAAATTCCTCTGCCTAAGCTATTTTTTAATGATAAAGCATCATAATTTCAATGATAATCTAGTTTTCTTCGTGTCTCTTTTATTTTTCCATCACATATTTCGCCTTTTATTAGTTATAAGCATCTAAGAATAGAAAACTAATTGATTACTTTAAGTTTATTGTAAGATTCTTTATGTATTTCCTAATATTTTCTCGCATTAACTTACAACATCTTGGGCTAATTCCTTGTCATCTTCTAGACTATTTAAAAATTTTAATCTGCTATCATATTCTTATTTTAACAGCACCTGTTCATTTAATAGATTTCTCCTATAATCTACAAAATCATTAGCTGATGTAATCTCTTGTTCTTCTAATGTTTTAATATGTTCTTATATTTTAGAAATCAATCCTTGAACTTTTCCTACAATTTCTGAAACCACTTAAGCTGCTTGATCCTCTTATGAAACCTCTAGAATCATATAGAAATTATACCTACTTAAGAAAACACTTCTTTGTGGTCTATCATATTAGTGTAGAGTGACAACTTAGAAGTATATTCTTAAGCCTCCTCCTTTTATATGAATGCATTTTATTCTTTGAGTTGAAGATCCCCATTAACCCACTCTAAAACATTTAATGCCTCTCTATAATCTCTTAATGCATCAATAAATAATGAATTGGCTTCACATCTCTATTCAGCCAGATCTTCTAATTTCATATCGTTTGACTTTCTTCTCTTCTCATTCCAATTCAAATAATCTGTAGTTTAAGCAATTTTATCATCTACTGCTTCTAAGTCTTCTGAATTCTTTTGCAAAGATTCATTATTCTCCTTCATAATACCAGTAAACGCTGCACAATCATTCAATACACCACCTTCATATTCTTAGAATGCTTTGTCTGCCTATTCTCTAGTTGTAAAGATCTCATACTTTTCTATCTAATTCTTCATTAGCATTTTTAAGGTCCTCCAATAATTGCAATACTGCTTAAATAGCATCTCTTGCAGTCCCTAATCCAGTTCCAGTGCTTATCAAATTTAAAAATTCAGGATTGAATTTATGTTATTACTAGCAAAAGATAATTGTAATGAAAGCTAATCCTATAAGCAGTCTCATTTCCGTTTTTATTTTCAATAATATATTATAAATTAAACATAAACCAACATATAAATTAATATTATTCAATACTTTGGAAGGCCCAAGAAAGTTATGATGATCAAAATCAACTTGACATTCTCTGCCAATAAAGCCAATAATACTGTAGAATAGTTTAATTTTAACGTGATCAATAAGAAACAAATACCATTTGCAATTATTCATATTTATTTTGAATCGAAAACTCTTTGAAAATGAATGATATTCAAAGCTTATTAATAATAACTATGTGTTCTAATTGATAAGTTGTTATGTTTGTGATTTTATGTCCTTAATTTACTCCTAATTATATTGTAAAACAAAAATTATAATTATAAATAATTTTTTAGAATGGAGACACAATAGGTTTTACGGAATGATAATGAAGACTTAAGCTTTTTTGAGCCAAAATATTTTCTGATAGTTGTGTTAATTTGCTTTGCAATCTATTTTCTTTTGAAGGATGATGGAAAAAAAGAAACTATTAAGGTAATTTGTTTCTGAATTCAAACAAGGATAAAGTATGGAAAAAATTGGCTTTCTCATATTAAGACATGATGAATACATTTGACAACTCTGAGAAGGAACTTCTTAAGCATACTTTTCATAATACTATTTTTAATACAAAATTTACTACAGTCAATAATTATATAAGGAATCCTAGCAAAAAGAAAAGCAATGTGTCTTTTGATTTAGATAAAAATGTTACTCATATGTTTTAAGAAAATGGGTATTGAAATGTAATTATTTTCTTGTGAATTCATTAATTAAAAATGTTAAATATATTCATTAGTAATTTTTTGATTTCTTCAAGGCAATTTACTTTAATAAATCTATCGTTGCTTGAATTTAATAAATCATAAAAATATTCAATTATTAATGGTGGCTACAATATTCATCATTTGTTGCTAATACATTCTATTAATTAAATTAATTTGAAATTATTATAAACATATACTTATGCTATAATATCTCATTTTAATTATATAACTCTATTTAGCATTTTATATTAAGATTGAAATCTTAAAAATTGATGGCCATTTCTTATATTGACACTATAAAGTAAAAGATGATACAAATCAAAAAATTGAATGGAATTAAAATATTTAAAATATGAAGTACAAAAAATTTCAAAATCTACATTCCGATTTAATTTGTGATTTAGTTTAAATTAATAATAAAGTAATTAAATATTATGCTTGAATAGTAATCCAAGGCAAGAGAATATTTACGCCTGATTTTAAATATTACAATCTCTTCACTCTTTGCAGTATTGGAACAACTCTTATGTAATATTTAGGGGACTCTGATTTGGGATCTAGTTTTTATCCCTTGTGGGATTATATTCTCATTAATACACATAACTTCATACTTTCATTGGAATAAAGGTAAGGCAACTTAATTAAAATAGGTGATTTATCTTCCTTTTTTTTTTGGGCACTGTTTATGAAGAGAGTATTTCTCTTTGGAATTAATTAAGGAGAATTTGTATTCTTTTTATTTGGATTATTAAATGGAATTTACACGAACAAATTAAATGTTAATGACAAGAAAAAGTACTATTGGAAATCTAAAACCATTGTTTAGGTTCTAGTGATATTCGTGTTGACTATCATCAATTTAATGAAAGAATTGAGGGAATATAACAATGCTCACATTTCAATCTTCATTATTCTTACAATAATCTTAGGTGTAAATGATAATATAGATATTTAAAATTAAACTACTACAAAGTAAGAAGAATTTCAAACAGATTTGAAGCATAATTAATTTGAAATTAAGAAATGTCAAACAACCATATTTTAAATGTAGTAGTAATAGTAATAACAAAAATCAAACTGGGAATAATACTAATAATAAACAGATGAGTGGATATGCAAAATAGATTTGAATAGGTATTCAATATTAGAAAGTTTAAATTCTTGCGAATAAAATTATGCATTAAGAAAATCTTTAGGAGATTATAAAATATCGATTTAACAGCTATTTCAAAATTTGATGATTACAAGTTAATCTACTAATTTATAGCAATCAATTAATCTCTGGTCAGAAATTGTGGAGACAAACTCATTATAGAGTTGGTTAGAAAAAAACTTCTTTTCTGATAGTTCAGCTTCAAAATTGGAATAGGCAAAGTAAAAATAATATAGATATGGTATGGATGGGATTTAGGGGATGCAGGAGGATCAAATATCAATAATATCACCCTAGAATGAAGGCAAAGGCACATTTAACAATAAAGATCAAATTCATGAACTTTCTGGATTGTCAGCCTTTTAACAACATGGTGATATGCAAGGATCGAATTCAGTTTTATTTAATAAGACTACTTTAGGTTGTTATTTTCAGACCAATTAGATAAGGATTGAAATGAGTGCTTCGATATTTTTGATGGATGATGAATTTGACAATAAGAAATAGATTATAATTTTGGTACTGAGAAATATTGACAAATAAATAACAAAGATTAAAACTAGTTTAGAGAAAACTGAACAATAGAGGATTGTATTTTATAAATATATAAACAGAGTAGCTGATGATGTATCTCAGATATTATAATAAATAGTGCAAATAAAAAAGGTTTTAGATTAGCGATAAAAGTAATGTATTATAATAAACTAAAAGAGAATTTGATAAGATAAAGCAAAATAACTTCATTACTTTATCTTTCTGCGACGGTGATGCATTTATAAAGTCTGAAAAATAGATAGGTGAAATGAAACTGTCATAAAAACTAAGCATACCTATTTAATCACCTGTTTAATCTGCATTTCAAAGAGTGACCTCTTCTTTAAGTTAACAACATGATATTTAGGAGGAGTAGATTTAAAAATTGCACACTATTTCATAACCGTATGAATTAACGAAGCAAATAGAGAAATGGTAATTCAATGTGCTATAGATGGAACAGAATAATTTTAATTTTTTTGAGTTATTTTCATTAAGTGAATACAAAACAGATAGATTTAATTTTAGTACCAGTTTGAACATAGTGAAGGATTTGTTTAAGGATGATAGTTGTGTAGTTAAACATAATATTATGATATCTCAAGTATTGAAAAATGAGAACGAGATGGAATTGACTTCAGACAAAAGAAGAGTTAAACAATTGCTTATCAATATAATTAAGAATTCAATTTAATGTTTTGATTATAACATTTCGAAAGGGAAATCAGAGTTTCTGCAATAAATGAGAATTGAATAAAAGTAAGAAACCATTCACTAAGAATTAAAGGTCTAAAATACGATCATAATCAAGTCTTGGGCAGACGACGAGAAAATAACAGTAGAAATAACTGATAATGGTGGAGGGATTAATTAAGAAATGCTCAAAAATAGGACCTAGGATTGTAAATTAGGATTATAGGCATGTTAGAAGATCCTAAAAAACCTCTCTCATGACCCAAGGAAACCTTTGGAGATCATCAATTATATGAAAACCAAAAATGGAATCAAGGGTACTGTTGTCTAATTTACTCTATCGAAATAGTTTGTGCCCACCCAATCAAGCGAAGAAAATGTGTTCTCAGATTCATTGACTATTAACAACAAAGTTGAATTGAATTGATAATATAATTAATTATATGTAATCTCCAAATAAAAGTGCTTTGTCACATAGAGATTAAGCGGATGATGTTAGGCCACTTGCAGTTTAAGAACAACTAGATTTGGGACCATTTAAAATAACTCCTCAACAATTATAACAAATATTTCATCTAAACACAAGAAGAAGCACTTGCGAAGAGTTAGATTACTTGGTACAACAAGGAGGCATAGGTAACCCAATATCATGATTCATTAATTTAGATTGGTTAATTGATGGTTTACATACATCTATAAAGGATGGAATAAATGACGACCAAGATTAAAGAATACAAGTTTATGGACATAACAAAAGAATAGTGAGACCTCCATAAACATATTGTGAATTGTTATGGAATGCGTTAGAAGATTTTACAATGCGAGTTTTATTAATAGCATCAATAGCCAGTATTGTGATAGAGGTAGCTACTGCAGATAATGAACATCGCCATTTAGCCTGGATTGAGGGTTTTGCTATATTTGTTGCAGTATTGGTTTGTACTAATGTTGCTGCTATGAATGACTATTCAAAAGAGAAGTAATTTAGAAAGCTCAATGCTGCCAGTGAAAAATCAAAAATAGTGGCAGTTATTAGAAACAAGCAATTGATTCAAATTCATGAAGAGTAAGTGTTGGTGGGGGATATTTGTAAACTAATAGAGGGAATGGAAATTCCAGCAGATGGAGTACTACTTGATGCTTCTGATGTAAAAGTGGATGAATCCTCAATGACTGGAGAAACACATTCAATTACAAAAGGGACAATAAATTAATGTCTAAAGTAGAAATAGGAATTGCAGGATGAAGGAGTTCAATTCGGTGAATAAGATAGATTTAAAATACCATCTCCTGCATTACTATCCGGTACTAGAGTATTAGAGGGAGAAGGATTATTTTTAATTTGTGTGGTTGGAGATCTCTCCTGTTTGGGTTAAATTAAAGCATCTTTAGAATAAGAGGAAGAAGAAGGTATAATAATAATTTAATTAATTTACTAGAAACTCCTTTATAAGTAAAATTGACTATGATAGCAGAAGACATTGGTAAGTTTGGATTGATCTCAGCCGTTCTGATATTCTTTGTCCTAATGATTCGTTTCGCAATAGAGAGAGGTATAGCCAATGAATGGGATCATAGCAAACATTGGATGGAGATATTGAATTTCATCATTCTCTCCATTGTGCATTGTGGTTCTTACAGTCGCTATTCCTGAGGGATTGCCTTTGTCAGTTACAATTTCTTTGGCTTATTCTGTTCAGAAGATGATGGATGATAAGAATTTAGTCAGGAAAATGTATGCTTGTGAAACTATGGGGGGAGCAGATTCCATTTGTTCTGATAAGACAGGAACATTGACAATGAATAAGATGGTCTTAACAAAAATTTGGAATAAGCAGTTTTATGAAATTGATTATTTGGCTAAAGAATAGAATTTGAGTTAGTTGGTATCAAAATCAATGGAAAATCTATTTTTAGAAGCATTATGTTGTAATTCATCAGCTGAATTGACACCTGAATCAGGATCAAAGACTGAAATAGCTATACTAGAATATTTGCAAAAGGCAAGAATAGACTATAGAAGAATGAGAGAGTAGGTAAATTTTATTAAGAAAAACCCATTCAGTTCAGCCAGAAAAAGAATGAGTGTCATAGTGGATACTAAACACAATGGATTACCAGTCAAAAGATTATATATAAAAGGAGCATCTGAGATCATAGTGTAGAGTTTAACACACATGCATACTTATGATGATTAGAAATTAAAATTGGGAGTTAAGGATATATAAGAGATTGAGAGAATAATCAGTTAGATGGCTAAATAATCTTTAAGAATAATCTGTGTTGCTTACTTAGATTTGAGAGGGGATGAAGACTTATAGAAAATGAATGGAAAAGTGTATGATATAGAGACTTAAGATCTTACATTTCTAGGATTGTTTGGTATAATGGATAATCTCAGAGAAGGAGTTAAGGATGCTGTTACTAAATGCAAATAGGCAGGAATTAAAGTGAGAATGGTTACAGGAGACAACTCAGAGACTGCAAGAGCCATTGCTATGAATTGTGGAATTATTGAATAGGGAGACGGTCAAGCCATTGTAATAGAGGGAGCTGAATTCATGAAAGAAGTTGGAGGAGTTGTTTGCAAGAATTGTACTACTGAACTGTGTAAATGTGCTAAATCATCCAATGAAGCTGAAAAGAATGGCACTTCTTTAAGAGTGGATACCTTGGGCAATATGTCCAGATTTAGATAGATCTATCCTTAAATTGCTGTTATGGCAAGATCTAGACCTACTGATAAATATGCTATGATCATAGGATTGAAAGAGTGTGAACATATTGTGGCAGTTACAGGAGATGGTACTAATGATGCACCAGCCTTAAAGAAAGCAGATGTCGGTTTTGCTATGGGTAAAGCAGGAACATAAGTTGCCAAAGATGCTTCTGCCATTATCTTAATGGAGGACAATTTTAGTGATATTGTTAAGGCTGTCATGTGGGGTAGAAATATATTCCAATCCATAAGAAAATTCTTGTAATTTCAATTGACTGTCAATGTTGTTGCAGTGGGATTCACTTTGATCTCCTCTGCTCTATTAAAGTAAGATGTACTTAAACCTATTTAAATGTTGTGGGTCAATCTGATTATGGACTCCTTTGCTTCTCTTGCTTTGGCTACTGAACCACCTTCCGAAATCCTCCTGAAAGATCGTCCATATTCAAGATCTGAATCCATTGTTACAAATAAGATGATTAAACATATTATTGGATAGGCCATTTATCAACTGGCTGTCATCCTTGTTCTTGTGTTTCTAGCCTAAGAATTCATACCTGAATATGCTGATGACTATGATGATGTCATTAGAGACAGAATATAGGAAAAAATCGAAGAAGATTCAGATTTTGTTTTTGAACAATCCTCTCTTTATCACCCTAAATACAATACAGACTATTATCCTGAATCTTTAAAAATAAGAAGCGGAAGATTCTTGACTGTTACTAGTGAGAATGATTTTGAAGATATTTTTAATGAGTTCAGAGTGCCATCTCGTCATTACACCTTTATTTTCAATGCTTTTGTTTTTATGCAAGTTTTCAATTTCATTAATAGCAGAAAGTTAAATGATGAGATCAATGTTTTTGCCAACATGTGCAACAAGTAATATATATTATTCTATTTAAGTCTCATGTTCGTTTTGATAGTTTTCTTCATAATAATCTTGCAAATAATTTTAGTAACTTTTGGTAGTCTTGCTTTCTCTTGCTATAGTTATTATGGACTTACGATTCAATAATGGGTGATCTCCCTTATTATTGGATTGGTTGGACTCGTTGTAAGTTTCATACTCAAACTCATTCCTGAATAACATGTAATTGAATGATATTTTGTTTAGATCTGCCCAAAAACATAAAATGCAGAATCAAAGACTCTTGATAAAAAACCATCAGGTATTCTAGAATTGAGAAGAGGATCGTCTTTAAGGAAAAAATAATCGATGCATGTAGATCAACCACCAATTTAAGATAATCATATTTAATTAATTGAAAAATGATTTTTAAGTTTTCATTTAATGGATTTTAATGATGAATTAGTTTTTGATGTAGTAGATTATTTCATCTATTTGATTGGTGTAATGTTTAGCTTTACCTTGGCCAATTAATTCAGTGACTTTGAAATGGACAGTATACTTTTTCCACTTGGACTTTTGTTCAAACCATCTAAATTTAAATTGTATGTTATCTGTTCCAAATTGTATTTCTACTCTTACAATTAGGATAGTTAATTATTCATCTACAATATTTCCTATTCCAATTAAGCTTTGTTTGGTTTTATCTTATTAATCAACTAATCCTGAACCATTTAAATAGATTGTTTTATTTCATAAATCTTATTATTTAATTCATTCTCCTGTCTTTGAAATTAGTCCATTTTCTTCTTAAATTCTTATTCCATATATTGAATTTCTTACTCTATCTTACTTGTCCTTTCCAAATAATGTTTTTCATTTTGATTCAAATGTTCAATCTCTCTTTTCAATTTACTTAATTATTGAACCACTTATTTAAATTAAGGCAATATCTATTGATCAACCATAAAGATATTGGTATTTATTGCCTATTCCGAAGTTTCAAACTTCTCAATCAATTTCATAACATTAATGAATTATTACTAAAATTACAACTATTCAATTACATTCTCTTTCTCCGATATTATCTAAATTATTTCTTCCTAAATGCTCAACAACATCCTATCATAATCCTCGTGCTCTTTCATCTATTGTAACTATTCTTTATTCAATGTTTTGTACATATCATAAGCTTCTAAGGCAGACTACTCAACCATACTCTGGAATTAATCTTAAGCACTTTCTTAGGTTTGAAAAAATACATTTACTCATTTATTTTAAATTACTCCTACTACTCTTCTAATTATTTGATCACCAATCTTTTCATCTCCATTTAACTATCAATCTCTTATATCTTATTCTAAATTTACAGTTCCTCCCCATGGTGTCTTAGACTTAATTTCATTTCAGACAATTAGGTTTATATCAATTTTTGTTGCATCGAAACTATTATAAATTATTCTAATTAAGTAATGAATTCCTTCATGCTCCCCCAATTAGTACCTTAGTTTGAATTCTTGAACAAATTATTCCTTAATGATTAGAGATACTGTGCTAATTTAGTATTAAAATCGCTCTAATCAATAGATGTAATATCATTTTGCTATTAAAATTCTTAGAATAAGTTGTCTGGATGAGATAAATTAAGACTTTTGTGCAATGGAATTATCTTATTTCTTTAAATCTTAATTTTTTAATTAGCTTAATGTAATTAAACTTCTAGTAATGTTGCTTAATGTTATAATCCTAATTGCTTCTACTTTTCTTCTCTTTATTGCTACAAGACTTTAATCTCTTTCTCCTGCGTAGCTACTTGATTTTGATTTTCTTAGTATTTTTTACCATTTAGAAAGTACATCTAAGAAATCATAAACAATTATTCATTCTAATTCTTGACTTATTCTACAAATTCCTCCAATTCTTCCTTTTAACCCACCAACTCCGCTCTTTGTAATAGATGGGTGTTTAAGTCTTCTTACAAAATTTACTTAGTTTCTATCATTTAACAATATAGTTCGTTAGCATTTTATTTCTATTTAATAAATCCTTAATGCTCTTTGTTAATTGTTTCATACAAACTTTTCAACTTATTGAATTCGGATTCATAATAATCGAACACTGAACTCTACTATCGGTCAATGTCAAATTACATGGAAGAATAACTAAAGTTTAATGTTTATGATTACTTTTGCTCTTCCAATCTTAGATCTGACAACTATTTTTAGAGACTGTCATAATCGATTGATTTCATAGTATTATTGCCAAGTAAAATATTAATCTTCTATTTGATCAATTGCTAGTAATTGTATATACGTTTATTGATTTATTCTAACTATTCAAATATGTAATCCTATTCATCGTTTTCATCTCTTTTTTTTGCAGGGCTATCTGAAATGAATTTCTATGTTAACATAGTTTAACGATAATATTATTTAAAATTAAATTTGTAAGTTTTTTTCATTTGCCACATTTAATAAAGAGAAACTAGAAATAGTCAAATATTAATATTTTAAATATTCAATGGCTTCACATTGTAATACAACTCCTTAGAAAATGCTCTAAAATTACAGCACTGATCATTCCTAAAGGTATGTCTCCACTTGCAGTGATGGTTCTGACTAGGACACTGAGAATCTAATTAAATAACCTACAATAAGAAAGAAGAGCTTCGCGACACCAGGCGATAAAAATGATTAATCAGATGGCAAAAGACAATAATTAAGAACGAAAATCTGTCGGAACTTTCAAGAAAAAGGTTATTGCCAATACAAAGACAAGGTACATTTAAATGAAATGAAAGTGTTCTTTTATACATGAGCCACATAGAATAGAGAACTTTGGCAATAAACGAACTAAACCTTGCCGATCTTTCTTTTCCACGGGTGTCTGTCCATTAGGTCTAAATTGTCAGTATGCCCACTATGAAGTAATTGATAAAGAAGAACTACGAGATTTTGTAGAGAAGACATTCAGGGAACAAAAACTTATGGTTCCCTTGCATCCAAGTATCTAATTAATTAACCAAATTAGACAAATTGTAGCTAGATCTGAGAAATGATTTACAAAGATTTTAACATTTGTATAAAATCTTTGGAAGAAAGCTAAGCTTTAGAAGAGACGATTTACTTGTCAATATTTGCAGAGAGTATTATAATATTTTATATAAATAGAAGAAATTCCATTTTCCTTAGACTTTGCTAAAGTGAGGTACAGGAATTCACCAACTTTCTACAATGATTCACCTAATATATATATATCATGTTATTCTATTATACCAAAAAATTCTTAAAGAAATATGTATATACATATATGAGTTTTATATTTAAAAATTAAAATTTTCTATTATTGGAAACTAAAAATTAAATACAATTTCCAAGATAAAACTCATTCTTTTCTTAAAAAATATCAAGCAAGGAACTTATATTAAAGAATTTAAAAACGATAAATCTAAAATTACTATTACTTGATTTATAAAATAAAATCGAAATTTTGATTCATTCAGTTTAATAGAGTGCTTTCACCATTGGCAATATGTTTTTGCCATTATCCTTCCACTCTTCAATACACTGTTGAGCCCAAGAAGAGTATACTTGTTTTTCAGTTTGATTTCGTTATTGCATTTGTAATGATTCCTTCAACTCTTGCATATATTAATTTTTTCGTTGCTACTTTTTAGCTTCCTTGTATAAATACAAATATTACTATCTATATTTTCTAATAATCCTACAAGTCTTTATTCCTCCTTTTCAATACATCATTTTGCAGCTATTCAACTTATTCTAATTATTCTAATGCTTTTAATTTTTATTTAAAATCTACTTCCTATTCTGCCTATTAATTTGCCTTCTTTTATTATTAAATTTGAAGTTGTTTCAATCTCATATTTTCTGCATCTTAAATCATTTATGTTTTTTCTAATTCTTTCTATTTCAATTCTTCATCCTATTTTTGTTTGAGTTCCTCTGCATGTTTTTAAATGGTTTACATATAATTATCTTCTTATTATTTTTATTATTCCACCCTAAGATCATAAATCTATTTTCTGAGTTATTCCTTTTTGTGTTATTTTTAATGTTCCTAAATACTATATATTAATATTATACTCTATCTTTTCTCATCTATAACACTTTTTCTTTGTGAAATTCATGGTCAATTATTTTCTTATCCTCTTCATCCAAAATACTTTTTTCTAGTTCTTATAATTCTCTTCTCTTTTCCATGAATTCCTCATGTTCTTTGAGTAATTTCTACTACTTATGTTTGATATCTAATTTTTATTGTCTAAATTATGCATATTAATTACTCTCTGAAAATTTCGTCTTCCTCTGCTTTCTTCTTAATTAATTATCCTTCTTGTTTATCTAGCATCATTTCCTTCAAATATCTCTCCTTGACTTATTTATGCTAATCAGCTAAGATCTCATTGCATTCTTTTTTCTTCTTTGCTTATTTCTCTTTCCTAAGCATTAATTCCTGCTCTTTATAATATTCCTGCATTTCATACTCTTTTTCCTTTTCCTCTTCATGTATTTTTTTGAGTTCTTTTTATTCCCTATTAATAGCATTTAATTATTCATTAGTTCTCTCAACTTCACTTAACATCATTTATGCCTTCAAATTTCGAACACTAGAATTTTGTAAATTTTATCATACTCTGCTCTTTGATCAAATATTTTTTAATTCGATTCTTTTACAAGTTCATTTTTGAGTCTCTCTTAATACTCTTCCTCTTCTTTATCAATTTTTCTTCTTTCTTCCTCCTCCTTAGTGAATCTCTCTAATTTCTCAGCCTCTTTTTATTATCTTTACTTTGTTATTCTTTATGCCCAAAGTCTTTAATTATCAAGTGTCTATTGATATATTTAATGTTACTTTTTTGGTTTATTTCTCGCCTTATATATGATTTTTAATCTAATATAATTCACTTAAAGCAATAACTGATACAGAATTAACTTATTCTTATTTAATGCTGGGCAATTAAATGGATTACTAATTTATTTAGATTCTTAAATTACAACTTTGGATTAAACAGCAGCCTGCTCTTCTGTTGAATATCTCGATTTTGCCTTGCTCATAATAATATATAATTAAATAATTATATTATAATGAATAATATAATCCATCTAATTATGTTATTGACAAAAGTATAGCCTTTATAGTTAAAGATAATCAATATGCACATTATTAATTAAATGGGATGAGAATTAAAAAAAATCATTATGGAAGGGTTTATAGATTTTGTGAAGGCTTCTTTTCTATTCTTATTTTTGAGACCTCGCAATATTTTGGCATAGAAAATTTTTTCCTAATCGATGCAAATTACTTTTTATCTTGATTTTACAATAGACTGCACATTTCTTTTGCACATATTCTAATGTCCAATTCATTTAATCCAGTAAGAGGTACCATCTAATCCTAATTCCATGAGGGATGGATTCGTCTAATTTTATGGACCAGATAGATAGAAGCACTGGCCAACACATTGTTTGAAAATTATAACATTGAATATTCTAAAACAGAGAGTTCTATTAAATATCTAAAATAAATTAAAATATTTTCATTACCTTGCTAGCATGTAATTTTTTTGATCCAATTTGGCTGTCTCTTAATAGGCATTCAACATTCTTAGGGGACTTGTAGTGAGTAAATCAAATCCCAATAACGAGAGTAATTTCCCCTCAGTTGCCAGGATTTCCTCTTTTGTATATGCATTGTCACAAACATACACCAAATCTCTTACATGAGGGACAGTATAAACTTCTTCATATTTGGATGCTATGAATAAGGCAGTCACTCCATAGAGTTAAAATTTGGATTTTGAAATCTAGTGAATTTCAAGTACTCTCAAATTTATTACATAATTTACCTATCAATTATTGAAATAGTTAAAAATAATGTTTCCTAATCTAATTTGAATTTAAAATGAACATCCACTATCCAATCAAGTAAGATACTGCGCATTTTTTCTGTAATCTCAGTTTGAAATTATAAAGCATTCAGTTTATAATTGGACCGAAACTACATTAAATTAGATTGATTACGCATTTTTCTCTCATATATTGGACGATTTCTTTTTTATATGCATTGACAGACTATGGATTATCATATTTTTTAGGTAATTAGAAGCTTTTATTTGTTAATAATGTAGTAACCCCACTAGTGATACTGAGGTTTCTACCATTTCTTAAAGGCATAGACATATTTGAATCTGTTTTGACTCTATGAAATCCTTCTTTGGTACGATTACTAGATTCATCATTCAATTTCAATTATGGTTTTTAAGGTGGGATCATTGTATGGAATGAGTTTGATGACTTCTCTCTGATTGCCAGGGATGATTGTACTCTTTGATGTTTGGTGCCATTGTTAAAATTTTCTTTATTAAAATCAGCAACACAAAAAAAGCGTGGGATTTGATTTGTTTTCATTTTGAATATAAATTATTTAACGGAAAAATACTATTTTAATTAAAATAATTATTCATTTACGAGTACCTTTAGATCTCCAATCATTGGGCTTCCTATCTTTATTCTTATCCATCTCCTTTTGCTTGTCATTGTCTTGTCCAAAACCCCACTTTCAAATTAATACGAATTAAATTACCTATTCCTCTATTTTAGTAATAGAAGTTTATTTATTAGTATAATTATTCTCATTATCTTCTGAAGGCCGTGATCGTTTAAAAATAGAGTTTGATTTAATGCTTTGTTCTCTAATAAAGTGATTGTAAGAATGCTTCTTTTTTACATTTTAAGTATCAATCTTTATGGAATTACCCGAGATATTATGAGGACTGGTTTCATCTAATTAGCCTTTCTATTCACTTTCCTCATATTCCATCAATTAAAGCTATTCTTTTGGCTGACTTTATTTTTTAGCACTTTAATTGTGAGGCCAACAACTAGGATTCGTGATAGTTTATCTGAAAATGGTTTCTGTTTATTTCTAATAGAATAGAACGTAAGCCTATGAATCTACAATTACTTTCTCAGGATCTTGGATCTAAAGTTAGAACTATATTACCTTAAGAACTGCATCATCGTTGTACATATACCATTAATTATCAACTCTATGTTTACAAATAGACACATAATGGCCATATTACAAAGAACCATGATGCTATGCCACTGCATATAAATTATAAACAGTATCGTTCTATTAATTACAATAAGGAGACATATCTAATTAATTGAGAGGGAAGTTGACTTTCTAAGTGATTTTACCTGACTACTTAGTTCCGTATTCGAATCTCTTAAGATGTATGATTAAAATATTGGGCAATTTCCATATTCTAATTCCTTTTTTACAATCTCTGGTTTCCTAACATTTAGGACATTTCCATTGGATGGTTTCATCCTATTGAAATTGATCCAAACACTCAGTCAATTCACAAGTGGTGTCTTGTTTTAATTGAGAACTCCCAAGAGTTTTAGATTAAAATGATTATTATTATTATTATTGTTATTATTGTTATTTTTATTATTTGATAGGTAAATTTAGAAATAGGAACGGTTCCCATTTATGACTTTGATAATTACAATATTTGCATTCAACTGTAGATTTCAATTATCCCTAAAACAAATCAACCACAATGCTCTTATTGATTTTAAGATGTTCCCCCCAAGATTCTGCAGCCCATTCTTCTTTGGGATCACCTGTATAATCCTTTTCTTTGATATTCTCCTTCTTCTTACATCTATTCAAATCTTCATGAATCATATCTAATAAATAACTCAGCAACTCTTGACAATCCTCCTGCTCTAATTAATTGTGCTAATTGTTTACATCCTATTTCAAATCTCCTTGAGTATTTCTGTATTAACAACAGTAACCTTAAAGGATCTACCCAATTCTCATATTATTTTTATTTCAATTGCTTGTCCTTACTCTTGTCCTTAGTATCATTCCCCTGATTTATAGTACTCATTCCAATACTTCTTTCATCCTTCCAAATATCACTCAGCAATTAAGCAAAGCATTCAGTCACCTAACCTTTCGATCCTAGCTTGCTATTCTTGTTAATTTCCTTTTCAAAAACTCTCGATAACATATAATCAAGTAAAGGTTATGTATGACTTAAACAATGTATTGCACTGTTGAAATAACATGTGTTACCCAAATTTTTCAAACCCACTACACCATGAACAACCTTAATTTCCTCATGTTTGTCAATTTTTCTGACGATTAATGGAATAGTATGGTAACCTTATTGAAGTTTCATGTATGGATCTGTTATTGTTAATTTCTATTTGTTTGTAGTCTTAAAATTAGCAAGATTATTAGCCTACGATTCCTCATAAACAACTGGAATTGTAAGTGATCTACTCGCTCCACTTCCCATATTAAAAATATATATATAAAAAAAGTAATAAATTCAATATCATTATAATGAGAAATCTAAGCTATTCTTGAAGCAATTTAAAATAATATGATCATTTCGGAAATGCTTTTTTTTTAATTTTCACTTAAATGAAGATGTTTAAGATGCTAAAATTAATCTAATTAAATCTATCTGAAAAAATATCTGTTCATAATCAAAAATACATAATATTAATTCATTACTGTACTTAAATGTTATATTCCACAAACATCTAAATATTATCAAATGTCATCTCTTATTTATTCCAGAATATTGCATTTCTTTCACCCTTCTTTTGGAGAAATAGAATGATATCTGGTGTTGATCGAGGATAATAAAGATCAGTAAAATCATTCAATCTTACATCAATTTGGGCAATTAATAAACTCTAATCCTCTCTATAATGGTATGCTAATTCTTCATAAATTGGGTCCAATTCCTCACAAGGTTAGCAACCTTTTACATGATATTTCAATAATACGTTTTTGTTACTCTACTTTATTTCAGTGTCATAGTTTAGGCCAACAATTGTCTAATATATTTAATATATCTGTTACCTTAACGTATGAATTTGTGTGATCATTATCAGGTATTGGCTCTGATAATTTGTAAGAACCTATTTACCCTTATCTTAAATTAAAAACGAAGGCTTTAATTCCATTTACTGAAAAATCTGGACCTTCATATTTATATTTAAGTTTGCCATTCAAAGCTACGATCTTAGGAATTATTCCATCATTGACTCCTAATTCATCGAGATAGTTGAAGTATTAGTCATTCGAAATGTTTATTTTTGAAAATTAGTAAGAATTATTGAAACCTATTGCAACTTCTTTAAAAGCTGATTCAGCTTATCTTGATGGTTCATCTAAATTAGTAAACAAAATAAAGGAAAAGCTGGTTGCTTCAAAGATTAAACCTTCTGATTCTGAATTTAATTCTGGAATTAAAGGAAGTGAATGTTTAAGAATAAATTTCTTAATATTTTCAAGAGTGATTAAATGATGAAAAGTAAATTCTTCATTTGTCTCTTTTTTATAGAATTTCAGACTAAATAGATTATTCTTTTGATAGTGTGATGAGTAAGCAAATACTGTATTTGGGTCAGTATTTTATATAGCAACTTAATAGAACTTATCAAAACTTATGTCGTATTTCAGGGAAGAATTTTTTTAATAAAAAAGAACATTTTTATCATCTCCTAGTAATGAGTTAAATTCTGATTCTGATAATATTTCTTTAGGAGGATTATTACCATTAAAAAACTAAATAGAATTAATTTAATAAATACTTCTTAAATCCATTTCTAAACTAAATGGGACTTTTTATTGCCATCATACATATGAGGTATTTCATTTTAAAAGAACATTATTGTTGGTGTTTCCACAATACCAAACCTATTCATTGATTAATAAACAGAAAAATCATCTTTTCCAACATCATATACTCCATAAGTGATATTCAACTAATCGCTCTCATTTTTAAGTATGCTTAACTCTTCAAAGAATTGCTGACTATAAGGACATTATTATTAGTAAAAGGTTATGAGAATGTTTGGATTTTCTACAATTATTAAGCTATTATTATTAGGACCCATTATAAGTAGATCAAACACTTATAGATCAGCATTAGTATTGTTAATTTGAGGAGAGTGTGATTCAGGGTTGTTTGCTTAAGAATAGGCAAGAACAACAAATATAATTAAATTTAACATATTAATAAAAGAATAAAAGTAATCAGTGATTTATAGTTTATAAATCAGAAAGAATCAAAATCATAATTAAATGGAATCAAAATATAATGCAATATTATTTTATTGGTAAATAAAAAGTGTTTTATTATTATTATTTAAATTGTCTAATTTAATCGAATAATGGTATCAAATTCCTTTTATTTAATTATAGAATAGCAAGCTAAGTAAAAGGTCTAAAAAGAGTCTTTTGGCGGAAGAAACCTAAAGTATGATAAAAATGCATAATGTAGATAAATAAAGGAGTCAAGAATAAACAGAGTTGATCGTAAATAATGTTCGAAATGGTGATGCTTCTAGTCCGGAGGTGGTTGTGATAGGGGAAGGGGAATTGTAAAGGATGAAAGTAAGAAGATTTTATATATATGCTTTCAGAATAATGCAATAATTACAACTAAAGAAGAGCAATTATACTAAAAGAAATTGCTTGAGGAATAGAAGGAGAAGTAGATGGCTGCTGCCAAAGCCAAAAAATAAAGAATGATGCAAATGGAGGAAGAAAAAAAAAAATAAGTTCCGTTGACATCATAATAGGAGGAGGATAAAGTTGTGAAAGATTCCCTTCTTGCAAGAGTATTTGTTGATACCACTTGTATTTTAGGCAGCAGAAATAATGAATGAGTAGATGGATGATGTTAAAGAAATGAATAAGATGGTAATGTATGCTAAATGTGTAACTGTTCGAGATAAGCAACTATATGAGAAAAAAGAATTGATTAATCAATATAAGGTTTAGGAAAAGAGAAAGGATTTGATGATGGAAATAGAAAGGCTGAAATCCATTAAATATCATGAAGAGAAGGATAAATAGAGAAAAGTTGAATAAAAACAAGGGCATGATATTATTATTGAACAAATTAAAGAGAGAGAGTTAATTAGATTGAAAGACAAAGAAGAATAAGAAAGAGAGGGATAAGTTATGTTGAAAAAGATTAAGCAGCTATAATAAGAGGAAGCATAAAAAGCTATGCAAAAAAAAGTATCGTAACAAAAGGTTCAAGAAGAAATCTTAGAAGCCAATGATAGAGCCATCTTAGTAAAAGAAAAAAGAAAATTGGAAGAGAGAGAAGAAGAAGAAATGATAGTCAAATACAATTTACAAAAAGCGCAAAAAGAAGCTGAACTCTTAGAGGAGCAAAGGAGGATTAAAGAAGAAAAAGAACGTGAAGTTTAAAGACTGAGGGAAATGCAAGAAAAGGCATAAGATAGATAAGCTGAATTAGATGCATTAAGAGCCAAGAGAGCCATGGAATAAAATGAAAGATAAGCAAGAGAAAAGGAAAGAAAGGAAGCAGAATTAAAAATGAGATTAAATCACGAAGTACATGAAGCAAGGAAATTGTAATAATATGAAAAACAAGATAGACTAGAAGAACAAGTATAATTTAATCAATACTAATATAGGCTAGATTAGAAAGAGATGAATTTTAAAGAGTTATATAAAAGTAGAAATAAGAACGAGAAAATGAACTTAAGTTATTGCATGATAAAGATGCTCTTGTTAAAAAGCATGCAGATGAATTAAGAAAGCAAATTTCTTTGAATGAGGAGAAAAGAAAATAAGAGGAAAGAGATAAGTAATTTCCTCTTAATAATTTAGATTAGAAGAAGGAAAAAAGATTAGAGACAAAATGTTGAATGAAAAAAAACTGTTAGAGAATATCAAAGATACAAAATTAAGAGCATTAAATGATAATGGAATTGCTGATAAATACAAAGCTGAATTAGCTCGAAAAAAAATCAATATATTAATTTGAAATTTGAAAATTATTTTATCTATAAATAAATGTTTAAATAATTGACTAACAATTTCATCTATCTGATTTTACAAAATTATTAATAAAAAAAACAAAGATAAAAACAATGTACCTTTTGAATTATAACAATGTTATTGAACAATTCAAAATGATGATAAATTCTTTTTGGGATATACAAATATTTAAATATTAAATCCTTTTTGAAAAGTAATACTTTTAATAAAAATTAATAAAACTATGAAATCAAACTATAATCATGAATTTCCTTTGAAGTTAACGTTAGATAATCTGAATTTTTATATTAGGGTTTCTCTTTTATTTTTATTAAAACAGGTGATCTAAAAAATGAAAACAAAATTACTTTAAAAGTTTTGTCTTTACTAGATGTGCATAAAATTTCTTCGTCTTCATTCCATAAGATTTTAGTAATAGGACCATTATGAAGCTTTATTTCATAAATTGGAATTTTCCTTTTAACATCCCAAACTGTAACATATCCTTCCTGATTCCCTATGTAAGCTTCATCTCTTAAATGAGACCAAGCAATACATCTACTTTTAATTTTGTTTTTGAATTAAGTTGCTTCCTATTTCTAAATTTCCTTTTATATTAAAATTAAAAAATTACTTTACCAACAATATTAAGAACAATAGCTTAACCTGTTTAAAATCCAATAGCTATGATAGTATCTTTGGATTTTTTAATAATAAGATCCCTAATAAATTATAAGTTAGTATCCAAACTAAATATTAAAGTATCTTAATTATAAGTGTAAATGATTCCACCTCTGTCACCAATAAATGAATAATCTCTGTCTTCATCATATTTCAAACAAGTTAATTCATTCTTATGATGAATATCTCAAAAAGTTAAGTTATCAAAATTACCAATATAAATTTAACTTTTTTTTATACTCATTACTTTATATCTTTAATCTTTACTTACAGAATATATATTGTCTCCTTAAATATGCAATCCCATAATCCTGCCATTGTGTTAGTGATAGTCCTAAGATGATAGCATATGCTTTTTAGATTTGAATTAAAGATGATTGATTATTCCATTATCCAACCTTAAAGTTACATTAATAATTTACCCTACTAAAATATTCTTCATAGTAACGCACATGCAAATTGGTTATGAGTTATATTTCTTTCTCCAAATCATCTATGGCCCAATATAACAATCCAAATATCCCAAAGGTTTCAGATTAGAAGTAGCTATAACTTCTTACCAAGGGAATTTCATATTGTGAAATTTTCTAGTTGCTCTACTTAGTGGGTTCATTTCTGCTAATAGAAAAAATATTGCATCTTCATAAAAGTAGAAATCCCTTAGACCTAATTCAAATGTTCCTACATAATCTAATTATAATTTTGAAATTGTAAAAGATGGAGATTAAATAAATTCTTTAAAAATTATCGAGTCGACAATTTGTTCATTCTATAAAATTTGCTTTAAATAATCTTCTAGTCCTTTTCTTCTTAGAATTATCTGTTGTTCCGTTTTTCTTACAATAAAGTTCGTGTATGTCTGTTTTGGCAGTTAAGGAATATTGTTCCCAAAATATTCTCTTAGTCTTTAGTTGAATTGCTTAAACTGTTTAAACCTTATGCTAAATAAAGTGAGGATACCTTTTCTCGACTGTCCAAGATTTATTTCCATAATTAATTTCTATTTCATATAGGATAACCTTTTCATTATCCAAACTAGGATAGTGGTTTTTAATTAGAACCTTAATTTTATTAATGTTATATATTACTTCCATAAAACCTTAAAGTTAATTAAAAAATAAAAATTATATTGAATATATATATTTTCATTGAATTATTGTTAGTTCTCAATATTCTATACTTTTTTTGTTCTTAATTATGGTTTTCCATGCGTTGATTATAATTGAGATTTCTTCACTTCAATACAATATTATATCTTCTAGATACAGCTTTATTTCCTTAATAATTGAGTAAACATTTTGGAATTGACCTATCAATCTAATTGTTGTCCTTTTCTAAGGTAAACTTTGATTTTGAAATTAATATCTTTGTGATTTTGTTTTATTCAAAAATTATCATTAGTTATTCGAACATTATAATTTATTCATTTTTATCACTTACAATTCTTAAACTACCTATTTCATCAATTTCCATTTATTGTTATTCTATGAGAAATACTTTAATGTTTGCATGCATAAGAGAGCACAACCTACATTTAAAAATAGATGTCACCTGATAAATGAAAAATTTGGCCCTTTAATGATGAATTTTAAGTTGTAACAACAATTAATTATAAATGGAATAGAATATTCAAGAAGTCTATAATAAAATATTTTTCTACCTAAACTTTTATGAGGTAAAATACTTAGTTACTCAACTTAGACTATTCTAAACAAAAATCAATTAGCAATATTGAGAATAATCTCTTGTGGTAGTCATTATGCAAATCTAATTACTTTCCAAATTAAGTGAATTAATCTTAATTATTGCATAGAAATGCCCTTAAGTATCAATAATTAAATAATTAAAGAGGGAAACCTATTTAGAATATGATTATCTCAATGTATAGATCTATTGATTTCCTATTAATATATAAATTAATAAAACCAACAAATTTGTGAATCCATACCAGCAGATAAGTTTATATTACTAAAAATAACTCATAATCTTCTATATCTCAGTGTTTTTTTATTTCAAATAATTGAATAATTGTAATTTGATTAAATGAGTATAATATCATACTTATTAATTCTTATTAACAATAACAAAATAGAGCAATAGCTAAAAATGATTGCAAAATATTATCAATATAAATATAAATTATTTGATTAATAAAATGGCTTAATAAACTCCAAAATAATACAAAGCGAATTTAGATTAATAATCTACTCCAAATTAAAATAATAAAGGATGTCCTCTTAATTAGTCTTAGGGAGTAGACAGTGAATTGTTATCCTCAAAAAAGAAAGTATAATATAAATAATCATCTTAAGGAAGTCTACGATAGGATTATGAGTTCCTAAACAAATCGAGATAACTAAACAGATGTCTCCTAATATTTCGATCATTTAGGAGGTGAGAAATCAAAATTATATCAATTTTAGGAAAGTGTCTATGTTCATTATGTAACTGTGGAAAACATAAATGCAACAGTAAGAATTGTGTCAACAAACCTTAATTACATGGAAATTACACCATCTATTAAAAGGAGTTTGTAAAAAAGACCCCTGAGAATGGATCAAGATGCAACTAAAACATTTTTTAGTAACCAAAGCCTGAGGGTGATTTAGGAAATGTTACCACTTATAAAGTAAGTACTTGGAAACTATTATTTTAGCATGATTTTCCAGGATATAATAGCAAAGTAGAATTACAAAAGAACACATCCAAACCTACTGTTAGTGGCGTTCCATTCTCTGGAATTTCAACCTATAATAATATGTATTTAAATTGGGGAATGGGTGACACACCTCAATTATTACCATAAAACAACCCTACTGTTATCAAAGAAATGCCATTTATGGGAAAGAGCATTTATAAAGATAGCTATTAAGGAGCTTAAACAGTACCAGTGCAAAGTTGTAAGAATATGAACAAAGCATTAAAGTAAAAGACTATTAGAATAATTTTATAGATCACCCTTATCACCTCCAGATCTGAAATTTTATGCAGAATCAATATCGAAATCTTCATATAAACCCTTCAAACCAGAAACAACTTAAAGTGCCAAAGGTAAATAAGATGTAAATACATTAATCAATACATATAGTCAACTCTAAATCCATCATACAATGGTTAATATAACAGTGAATACCGTAAAGAATTTGATCCAAAACATTAGAGTCAATGTCCTGCCAAAGAAGTGTTAGAGGAAGTTGCTCGTAGCACTTAATTTTGAACTCAATCCTATGGGTTTGATTATAGATAAACATAATATCATTTATATGTATTTTCCAAAATATCCATTAAATTCTTAATTAAAGAAGAAAGCCAAAAACAAAAAAGAATAAATAAATAGTAGTTAAAATAATTCAAGATATGTAGATTGAAGTAATAATATACAATTTTTTGATAATCTTGTTAACATCTGATTCAAGTCAATGTTTAGAAATTATTTTGATTATTATTATTATTAATTTTATTTTCTGTTATTTCATAGAATAAAGTCCAATCTGATGTTAGTAAAATTAATTCAAGACTAAGCATTTCTCAATTGAATAGTTGTAGATGATAGTGTTGGATAATATAAATATTTATTTCTTTTTAATTTTTATATTGATAATTTGATTTAATAATTAAACATTATATTATATTGATTTTATATGAAATCAGTATCAATCTTAACTCCTAGTAATGTAATTTTTTGGAGCATAAAGATTCAGAATTACATATTCTTAGTATTTCCTAACAGTTTGTAAATGGTAGCAATAGAGAGAACGTATGATTAAATTGAGTTAGGATCGTCTTTTCAATGAAGAAGTGGATTTAAAAAAATAACTCTACTTGTTGATAAGAATACTTAATAAAGATACACAGTATCTTGGAGACTAATAATCAATTACATGTAGATCTTCTAATTAGAATTTTTTTGAAATATCAATTTATTCTATATATAATAGAGTTATTAGACATACATTAAAATTCATAACCGACCTGCGTTCTTCTACCTTAATGTATGTGTCAAAGATGTGAAAATGAAGACATTAATGAATACTCATAATTATAAAATGATCTTTTATTGAAAATATATCGAGTACGTCTTCCATTTATCTTTAACTCTACAACTTCTATAATACATTGTATCAACCTACAAACCCGATTTTGAACTCTTGATGTTTTGAATTCAATTCAAAGCACTATTTTTTTCACTCAGTCCTTGTTACTCTGGCTCTAATTCTTCTGTAATGAGATATCAACCTCAAGAGAAACATAAAATACTAATGGATAGTTAGATGTCTAAAGGGAAGAATTTAGATATTTGGTAGCAAATTATTACATCTTTGATATACTTAGTATTTATTAACGATGACGAAAGTATTTTTATAGTATTTTGAAATTTAATTTGATTAAATTCATTCCATATAGAATAATGAATAAATTAAAAAAATTATTAAAACTCTGACGTAAAGGTCAAATTATAAATGACATCAAAGAAATTGAATTCATAAATGGCAGTATTGTATTTTTGATAAATAAATTACAAAATGTCCAAAACATTATTAGCTTTAGGTACAATCGCACTCCTCGGAACACTTATGATGGTGAATCAACCAGAATAACTTGATTTCGCCTCAAAATATCAAACATTCAAATAGAAATTCGGAAAGGTTTATTCTTAAACTGAAGATGCCTACAGAATGGCTGTCTACACATAGAATGTCTTATATGCTGAATCAGTCAACTTGTAATAAGGAAAAAGAGTGTTCGGTGAAACTATCTTCTTCGATTTAACAAAAGAAGAATTCGCTGAAACTTATTTGACCCTTAAAATCACATAAGAAGATTTGAATTTGGAAAGAATCCCAGCCAAGAATATCTCAGCTGCTGAAAAGATTGATTGGTCATAAAAGGGAGCAGTCACCGATGTTAAGGACTAAGGATAATGTGGTTCATGCTGGACATTCGGTACAACAGGAGTTTTGGAAGGTTTCTTCTTCAAAACCACTGGTGAATTACCAAACTTATCAGAATAATAATTGTTGGATTGCTCAACCTTCTAAGATTTCAATCTTGGATGCAATGGTGGTCTCCCATACAGAGCCTTACAATATGTCAAGAGAAGTGGTATCACAACTCAAGCTGCTTATCCATATGTATTATTTTAATATTAATTTTTTAGAAAGGAGTTTAAGGATCATGCCAAATCAAGGGAGGTGCTTATCGTATTAAGGGAGCTGTCTAATTAGAAGCCACTGAAGAAGCTTTGATCTCATATCTTAATGAAGGACCAGTTTCAGTTGGAGTCGATGCTACCAACTGGTAATATTATAACCCATCAGACGAAAAAGTCTTCAGCACTTGCGATTCAAGCTTAAATCATGCAGTCTTGGCTGTTGGTTATGACAAAAATTCATTGAAAATCAAGAACTCATGGAGTGCTTAATGGGGAGACAGGGGATACATCCACTTAAAGAGAGATGGAAACACTTGTGGAGTTTATAACACCAATGTTGTTGTTGTCTGAACAAATTAATAATTTATATTTCACAAAGTAATTTATTACACACATTCAATTTATTTTCGCATGTTTTTTTTATAAAAACATAGGATTTCTGTGAACAATCAAAGAATTAATGTATTCATTTGGAGAGTATTCATAATTTTATTATTGATCTGTTTCACTCAATTCTTTCAAAAATATGTCAGTTAAACAATCACGAGTACTCATGTTTTCAAATTTTTAAGTAAATTTTTTATTTACATTCACAAACTCTATCAAATTGCTTGGATTCTTACTCACCTAAACCTATCTATGATATTTCAATGTCTCAAAATCTGGAAGTTAATTCGACTTTTTATATTGTTTTAAATTCATTTTTTATTTTAATATCAAATTTAATTTTTAATATTATAGTTAATAATTTTTATTAATTTTCTACATTAAATTTTTGCCTGGTGATATTTTACATATTTAAGAGTTTGAACAATTATTTGTCTACCTAAATAATTAAAATGATGAAAGAGCCTGAGAAAATCATGAAAAAGAATATCTTAAATGGACAAATTAAATACTAAGTTAAATGGAAGGGCTTTGATGAAACCACATGGGAATCAGATGAAACTATGAAGAAATACAAAGAACTCATTGAAGATTACAATTATTTCTCCTTGACTGGTGAAAGATATGATGAAAAAAAACTAGAAGAAATCAGATAATTGACTGTTCAATCACAACCCAGAACTGCTATCAAAAGAGTAGCCATGCCCAAATTAACGCCTCCAAGTGAATTAAACAAAAAAGAAAAAAAAATTGATAAAATTGATAGCAAGCATATTGAAATAATAGACAATCCTAAAAATGATTAACAACAAGATAAAGTAAATATCATTTAGCCTTCCAATACTACAATTAATCTCCCTGAAACAAATAAGTAATTTTTATATCTAAATTTAAGAAATGCCACAGAAAAATTAGCTAATTCCAATGACAAATTAGAAATAGTCAAATTGCAATCCAATGAAAATAAAGGCCTATTTTCACTTATTTGGAAACAAAGATCAGATGGCATTCAGCCTTATTGTGATGAATACTCCTATGAGGATTTCAAAACGTAAGCTCCCTTATTTTTTATACAGTTTTTTGAAGCATGTATTTTCGAATGTCAAAGTTAAAATGATGTTAAGTAATTATTCAATTATATTTAGATTCGAAATACAAGGCTAGGATATGGCTGAAAGAATTAAAGTGATTAAAGATATTTTGGAACAAAATGATTCGGATAAAAAAATTAGCCAAATCTAAAAATGAGAAAATGATTCTTTTTCATATATATAAGGCATATGATAATTAATTATTTTAATACATATATTATTAATAATTTCCAAAGTTTTTTTAATATACTTACCATTCATTGAATATTATCACTTTTCGATATTCTCTCAAATGGATTTTATTAAAATGTTGATAAACTCTAATCCAAATAATGAAGTGATATTGGTTCTTCGTTTTATTATGTAATCTAATTTTCTTAAGAATAATATAGCACTGCTTAATTCACCTAATTCTTATAAATAGGGTATATCAATTAAGGATATATATAAAAGTGAAATTCTATTCAAAATCTATTATAGATTTATATTAGTTATTAAAAATGTAATTTTAATATAAATCAAAATCTAGCAAAGTAGAATAATCTTTTTATGCTTATATTGATAAAAAAGAAGAGAAGGATTAAATGGAAATAGGAACTACTATTAAAATTAATAGGAAAAGAATTATTGTAGTTAAATGCGTGAAACCTTCATATAATTTCAATTCAAGTAAATATACTTTATCTTAAAAGATCAGGCTGTTGTTAAATGATATATTTGATATAGATACTAACAATTAAATGTAATTTCTTTAAGGTATAAATCCTAACTTTATTCTTGAACTGAGATTAAATTAGAATAACAATCAAAAAGATTTCCTTTTTAATTTTCTAATATAAATAGATATGGAAAACAATATGCTTGGAGGAAATTTTATCTAAAATCAAATTATTAATTCATTCATAATTGGATAGATTTGATAAGAATGAATTTAAATTCTGATATAACACATCTAAGTCTAAGATAAAAAGAATTATCAGAAAAGATAAATTTGATTAAGTTATTCATGGCTATTTTAATTATACCCAAAGAATAATTGATTTTTTGATACTATTAAATAAATACTAGTAATTCAAAATAACATTTAAATTAGATGAAACTATTCAATGATTAATTATTTTATTTTTAATGTTAATTCTTGCTGGAAAAAAATTAAAAGACTTAAACGAATATACTCAAATGTAGAATAATGAAATCAAACATTTGGATATTTCTGTATTGATTTAATATTAATCTAGTAGAATAATTTGCTTAAATCTGGAAAGGAATTTGCTTATTTTCAAAATCTAGAGACGTTGATCATTGATAATAATTATTATTTTAATCTAAATGATTTTCCTTAACTTCCACAACTCGTAACTTTAAGTGCAAATAAGAATAATTTTAATAATTTAGAAATGTAATTCTGATCTATTTATAGATAGTTTCATAGAAGATTGTTAAACTAAGTTTCCTAAACTAACACATTTGAGTCTCATAAAAAACCCAATTTGTCCCATGTTTATTGGTGAAGAGGAATATTAAACTTATAGATCAACTCTAATTAAATAATTAAGGAATTTAAAAAACATAGATGGAGTGCCAGTTGACCCAAACGAAGTCGATCCAAATTATTTTAAATAATAAAAAATTTAGTAATAGCAACAGCAATAATTAAATGTAATTCTATTATTTAAATAGCAGAAGCATGACGAAGCGAAAGGAACGATCGAATTCAACTAAAAATATTAAAAACCTGGGTCTAAAACTGTTAAACAGAGGAGTGAGGGCAATAGATTTGTTAAGAACAATTAATTGTGATTAATTATATGATTTTGTGTTAATAGAATCGGGATGAGATTTACCTGTTAATTTTTTGATAGAAGAGTCATTTCAATTTTAATTGCATAATATTAATTAAATAATAATATTGATGAGTGATTAAAATAAACTCAAGTAGTACAAATTAACCAAGCCAGAAACCTTTTCTATGTCCTTTTATGATGCATACAAAGAATATTAAGAATGGCTTAATAATGCTAACAATCCTTAGAGACAACCGCGAAAATCTCATAAGTGGCATTCCAACATTACAGACTATTTTAATTATGGTTTTAATGAACATACTTTGCAAATCTATGTGCATAAAATTACCTAATTGACAGAGATCTATAGAAAATATAGACTATAATTTGCTGACAAATGTGATAATTCTAAAGAAACAATATTTAATTCAGCTTAGGAAATTAGACGACAAACCAAAGATGTATATCCAATTGATTTAGGTGGAATATTTATACCTGTTGATGATAAAGTCGTTGATTTTGGTTTTAAATTTTAAGTTGAAAATTTATATGAATAATATAATAATTAATCTAGCAATGAAAAATTTTTGTACAATTAGTATCATTGCACTGGTGAAGCCTTAATATTTAAATCCAAGTTTATTTCTGATATTTTTAGAAAATAGGTAAAGGATATTTAAGATCTCTATAAATAATATAAGAAAGAACATTAAAGAGATTTATATCTCTTAAACACAGCTGTAAAAGTGTTTCCTATTTAAAAAGAGGATGAGATTTCTATTTAAATTGCATAGCTTGTCAAAAAAATTACTATAAATTATGAGAAATCAGAGAAATCAGACAAAATTCAGAGACAAAAAAGACGTGAAAGATCAAGAACCCCTAAAAAAAGTAGATCTAAGAAATAGTGATTTATAATTATCATCATTAATAATATATTATATATTTGAAATTCAAAAATGCGTCGAAATAGAATAGGCACCAAAGCAGAATTTCTATGGGCATGTATCATATTCCGTACTAACCTTAGGGGATGTTGAAGATATCTCTCAAATGAATGGACCTTTAGCAGTCTAAGAATACATTTAAGAATTAATAAGTAATCTAACTTTTTCATCAAATAGGAGCTGACTCATCAAATATAAAATAAATCATCACTCCTCCTCCCGAAGTAGATATTCATGTTTGGCAATATGAACATTTAAGACAATTCATTTTAGAATTAAATCTCTTAGTTACATAATTGAAAGGATTATGCACAGCTTAAACTTGTCCAAAAATGAAAGCCACTGAAGATTGGCTATACTTATGTGCTGCACATAAAAAAGCATAAGAATGCTCGGCTATTGATTACATGATACATAATTTAGATTAGAGCACATCTATTTTAACGAATATTAAAACATACCCATCAAGGTTCTCTATATTTTTATAATTAGAGTTTCAATTAATCCTCAAAATGCAACAAATAATTTTGCTTTTATAGTTAGAAGACTCTATAGATTATTTTCTCACACTTATTTTAATCATAAGGAGATCTTTGAAGATTTTGAAGTATAAGTCTATTCCAATATTAGAATGAAATGTTTTTGTGCACAAGGTTTACAGAATTCGCCTTAAAGTTTGATCTAATGAGTCCAAAACTAATAACAATTCCAAAAGAAGCTTTAAAATTATGACATTTTATTTTTTCAATATTAACATTTTATGATCTATTCTTGATGAATTTAGAATTTATCCTATATTTCACAATAGGTTTGTTATAACCTACTATTGAATAATCTTAGAAAATCTAATTTAATTCATTTTACATGTTTTCAAACCAAATCCATTATCAATAATTATTTCACTTTTATTTTTCTGTAATATAATAATTAATTCATATAACGGTTAAGAAACACTTTTATTTGAATAAATTAAACCTAATTTTAGAATAGTATATTTAATAGATAAAGTACTTAAGTTAGTAATAGTTTACAACAAGTCTAAATCGTACTAACATGTTTTAAACTGCTTTTTATTTGAGTGCTAAGACATTTTTCCAATATATTTATCTTTATTTTCTATTATAACATGTATTATACAATCATTTCTTTAATTAAATTTATAAAATTTGAGTTTTTACAAAGTAAACGGGTGGATTCACAATCTATCTATTTATCATAATGAGCTGAAAAAGTTATTGAATTAACTGTGAATCAAATAAGTCTATCTGATAAAATTTAAATTTCTACTGAGTCATTTGAATATATAAATCTGTTTTGAATGTTTTATTAGGCTAATGAAGTAACAAAAAATTTCTTAAACAGAATCTACATTAGAAATTGTCTATTGGATCTTAGATTCTATATCATAATTCTCATAAATAATTGCTCTAGATGCAAATTAGAAATGAAGAATTATAATCCATTAATTTACTACTTAAATACTATTATAACCAACTATTAATATAAATTCCCCATTAATATTAATAAGATGATAACATTTTATGGCATAAATATAAATATCAGATATCTCTTCTAAAGATATTTTGTTGAACAGCTAGAAGAATGGCCAGTAATCTAAAATTTTTTGGCTCAAAATAATATGATATATTAAAAATAATACAGCTTACAGTATTGAAACTTCAAAATGCTTATATGATAAAAAATGGTGTTTCTTATGTGGATCATTTTAAATAGTAATTTTGAAGTTAGAAATAGTGGGGTTCATATTTTAAATGTGATTTTGAGACAGTTTTGTTATTTCGATCCAAATTTGGCTAGATATATCCTCCAGCAGATACAAATTCTTATAAATTTAGATTTTCTAGGATATTTAATTAAAGCGTATTAAAACAATCACTAATGTTAAAAATGGGAAACCAATGTACAAGTATTGATGATTTTAAGGACAATAATTTCCCCAAATATATCAGTTTAAGATGAAGTGTTTTTCGAAGAAAGAGTTCCTATAGTTGGTTAGAATCCTAGCAGATTTAATGACGATGATATATGATAGTAAGCATCATTCTATAAATTTTAGCAGTGTATTAATCGAACAATAATAATTTAAACTATGGAGAAACTCTCTAGGAAAAGGGTACATGACAGCCTAGAAATGTAATCTCAGAGAAAAAATCTCTAATAGCAATATCATCACTTCAAGCAAGAGGTGGAACTGACATAGGGAATGGTATGAAGATGGTTTTATCAATTTTAAAACATAGAAAAGACAAGAAACCTGTATCTGCTGAAGAGAAAGTGAGAGAGGATCTATACTAATATAAAATACGCGATTCATTTACAATCAAAACAGTTGGTTTTGGAGGAGATTGTCGTCCAAGTTAATGTCAGAAATTGCTCATTTTTAAGAAGGATAATTTTACTTTATTCCAAATCTTACTAATATTGATGAATGTTTTACTGAAGCTTTGGGTGGTCTGGTTTCAGTTGTAGCCAATTATATTCAGTTATCAGTCTAACCCATGAATTCAAATAAAACCTAAATTAAGAAGGCTTAAGGAGATAAATGGATATATGATTCTTAGAAAGGAGCCTACGCTCTTTACTAACCGAATTTGTTATCTGGAGTTAGAAAAGGTTACATTTTCGAAGTGCCTGATTACAAAGTTTCCACTAAGCAGGAAGTCAGAGTTCTGTTTTAAGCTTATCCAGTTGAGGTCGGAGGGAAAGTTACTATTGAATAAATTATTGAAATTAAGAGTTCCGATTTTTAAAATGAGATTCTTCTTAATTATTATAGAGTCAAAGGTTTAGAATGTTTTGAGCAAGCAAAAATTTATGCAGAATAAAGGTAATATTAAGCAAGTTAGCAAATTCTCTAAAATATTAATTAAGAAATCCAAATCTGTAAGTAGTTCAAACTGATATTGAAATGGCTCGTAACTTTTGATACCCAGGATAAAATATAAATAGAATTATTTTAGCCAATCGAAATAAAGGTAGACATCATATACATCAATTACATATTTTTCATATGTATCAAAAATCTAGAGGGGTTCAAATAAATCAAAATTAGGATGGACAAATTATCAGTCTAGATTGTCAATATTAAAATATTTTATAAAAATAATTTAAGGATTAAACTAGATAAATAAAGTAAAATGATCATAACTATTGGAATAGTTGTGAAGTAATATTTATATGTAATCTTATTTAAAATAAACCAAATTAATTCCTTGATTCTTTTTTTTTACCACACATAAAAGCATATACAAATTTGTTATATTTATATTATTATTAAACTTCATATAAATTTATATTAAAATATAATAATAAAAATAATATTATTTTTCTAAATTTTATTATATAAATTTATTGAAATATAACATATTATCACAGCTTCTTTATTTAACATTGTTTATTTGTTTAAACGATAAATTTATCCATTAACTCTTAAGTAAGATCCTTTAACTGGAAGTATATTTGGAAATTTTGTTCCACCTATGATAAACTCAAATTCTCTCGATTAATGAAGTATTAAATTTAATATCTTTATAAAAACTAGTTTTTCGAATTTGTTTCGATCTCTTATCTCACGTGTATATCTGCATGGAATTTTGTACTATTATAACAAACCAACTAAACTCTCAACTTTTTATTAAAAAAAGTATTGGAAACCTAATTTTATATAATTTAATTTTCAAAACCCCATCCAGATGGGAAGGACTAATTCTTAAGTAAATTATGAATCATCATGTCTTAATTGATTCCAAACATTTTCAGCCATGAATTGTTGACTATTCGATTACAGCCAATAATATCTTGATTAGGATTTATGATGAATTCAAATTTTTCTAGAGGAACATCTTTTTATTATACACACTCTAAAGTTCTTTGTGTATCACAACTATAGATATTCATAGAAACCTAATCTAAATTTATGTAAAAAGGAAAGTCTTTCTTAATATCAAGCAAATTTGTTTCCTTAAAAGGGAGACATTTCACAATTATTTCCTGTTTCTATTGTTGTAATGAAATAATTTTGTAAGAATTGTTAAATATATCACTTTCCAGATGACCCATTAGATAAGAACTCGTTTTAGTTAGACTAGGAAGTTCTGTTAGTTAATTTTTGTCTACTTTTTTAGAGGAGGTCAACTCCAATAGATATTTAACTTCGTCCTTAGTTGAAGTAGACACTTTCTAATTATTTTGTCCATTCTAGGCTTTTGCTTTGGACTTCATCTTCTTTATCTTTTTGTTTGTTCCAACTTATTTGAGAGACAAATCAGATGGCTAACTGAATAGATGGTTCATCATTCTAAATTGTGTTTAAGAATAAATATAAATCATTTTGTAAAATATCTTGTTATTCAGCTTTATGAAAAAGCTTAATAATGATTTTGCAATAAGGAGTTAAAAAAGATTAAAAAAAAAATTCAAATTCTAATTAAAGTTTATAAATGCTTAATTATTAAAATTGGATATTATTATGATATTATAATTAAGAGCAATATAACATGATAAATGCATTTAGAATTTAAGTTGTAAGTGGAAATCCATTTGAATATGATTTAAATTGTAAATTTACGAAATTACAATCAACTCTCCTTTTTAGAATAAGGAACATAAAATTGATTTTAAATATACTAAATCAAGATTCTGAAAATTAAGATTAATTTTCAGAATCATTTACATATCAAAAATCCAATTCCTTGTATCTACAGTTTTTATTACACTAAGTTGACTAAGAATCTTCTGATGCCAATCTTATTCTTAACTTGTCTTGATTAAACCATTTTTCATTAAAATATTCTTCTTAATTTCTCATTACTCTCTATTTTGTCAGCCATCTCGGATCACAGTCATAAATATAGTAGGCATATTCATAATAAGCATTCTCTTCTTCATCATAAGTAAAAAAGCTTTTATTCTAAACTCGAGAATGAAATATCTAGCCATTATAATTCATGACCTCTCTCGTTCTAATATCTTATTTTAAATTGCCTTCAAATAATCCAGAAAGTATCTCAGAAACATCATCATTTGGATCAATGTAAGTAGAAAAGGGTAATGTGCTTGTGGACAGTACATGATCCTCCAACATCGAGTAACTTATTCCTAACAAATCCATAAATTTGTCATTGATAACTCTTTAAATTGTTTTACACACACCGTTTTTTAATTTGTACAAATAACAAGTGAACGCAGAATCCAACTGCAATTCGAAGTCTTCAATAAATTTTTCCTTTGTTTACTTATATGTATTTGTATCTAAATTTCTGGTATTAAAAGCAGAAAAACTTTGCGCTAGTCGAGGATTAGATGATTAAATTTTTTAAAAGAATTGTTCAAAAGGTGTAAAAGGATGATCGATTGTTTCTAGAGTGAATATAGTCAAATTATTTTTCTTATCAATTCTTATTACCTTATAATTATAGGAGTGAGGATCAACCGACAAATTACCTAATTTAGCTTAAAATTTGAAATCATTTGGAAACTAAATGTTGGAGTAAAGTCTTATAACTTATATTTCAGCAATTTAAGGAGGAATATTGTAATAAACTTCTAAATAGTCTCTCAGTATTTCTGTATTAATATTTGATCCAAATTTAAATTCCACTGTATATTAATTTCTTCTTTTTGGCTTCCGAATAGTTTTCTTCTGCAAACAGCTGTTTTCTTCCACAATTTCCTAATAATTTTTAGCTATAATAGACATTATAATAATTAATTTGTAATTAAATACATGATAGCACTTAAGATCTTACACATTATTAATAAATTAAGAGAACCATTATAATCACAATTTAACAAATTTATCGTAATCAATGATATAAAATTAAAAATACGCTATTTCCCTGATGAAATTCTGATCATTTATATACATTACTAAACTTTTGTATTCAAAATTACGAAATAATGTAGAAAAAAAATATATATTCATTTTTCCTATTTTTGGGGTAATAATTTAATTAATTTAGTTAATTCAATTATAAAATGCAATTTCTAGAATAAATTTTATTTTATAGAAACATAAACTCCTTAGAACTTAATCAGGTCTGAACTTGCCAATTGTTAAAAAAGGTTGTCAACCGCCAATTGTTCGAAAGTTGCCAAATTTTTTCCATTTTTTTATCAGAATCAAAATTAATTTAAAATTTATATATTAAAATGAAGAATCTATGCCCTAATATCCCAAATTTATTAAAAATTTAGTCTATTTACTGTGTGATTAAGTATTTGCCATTTGATTCTTGTACAAATTTATGTTAATCTTAATATAGTGTTATTTATTTATAGAATAATTAATATTTCATTTATGAAATTTATCAAATTGTGTTAATGAAGTTTCTAATTAATCTCTTTGTTTTTCAAAATGATATTTTGGTATTAAACCAATTGTTGTTCCAATTTTATAAGAGCCAGGACCCACATCTTCAGCTTCTCTAATAGGAAATCTAGCAGCTTTCGGCATACTTACAATTAATAGAAGATATACCTTATTCTGGGACCAGATTATGATGGCAGGGCTGTGTAACTTCCAGGTCCAATTTCCTTAAATTTTGAAATCGTTGGATCACTTCTGTTACTTAAACCCATCTAAGGAGTAGCAGTCTTTGGAACAGTATAATGATAAGGTGGTTTGTACTCAGATTATTAACCATATTTGAAATCGTAATCAGGTTCATATTTGCCAGGAGAAGGATTCTAATTGATGCTTTACTTTTCATTTTTTTATCTCATTGAGTATTTAGGACCTCCTAGAGTTGAAAATCCTATTTTTTCTCTTTCTTCCTGTTTTTGTAATTCAGTCTTTTCTGGAAGTTCAATGTTGTCATCCTAAGCTAATTCATATCTCTTGGCAACACCAAAACCATGCTAATTTTCAATAGGTACTTCTTTAGGCTTAATGGTGTCTGTGCTTTATATATATTGACCAGGGCCTGGTTTGAGTGTTGATTCTCGAGTGACTAGATCTTATCTTTTATCTTTAGGCATTGAGATATATTTACCATTTGATGGCAATTTTTGATTATAAGCTAAGTAATACTAAATATGTACTTCCAGGGCCCGGAACATAGAAATCTGATGTTTTAAAAGGAATGTACTTATGCCCAATACTGAACGCTTTCTTTACATTGACATTCTTTGGAGCATAAGCACCAGGACCAGGAATTTCAGATGATTTGTAATATTGTCTTTCACTTTTTGGGAATGATATGGTTAAGCCTTTTGGAAGTTCATTTGGTTGATATTATCCAGGTCCAAGATCAATTGATTTAGGCCATACATTTTTTGGTGCTGAACCAAACCCAGTCTTTCTATGTTTTGTGTCTTACCAACTTGTTGTAGTTCTGAATTAACTGAAGGTTTCAGAATTGTAATATTTATCAGGTGAAGGTCCATCTTTAGTCCAATTAAAAGTTTCCTTATATCCAAATGATATTGGAGCTTGAGTTTTGCCCGGGATGTTTGGATTATAAGATCCAGGACTTTAATATATATTGATGCACATACCCTATAGGATCTTCTCTAAATTGTTGCTCTTTTCCATTCACCCATGTTGGATGAGTGTCAATTTCTCCATTTGGTTTTATTTTGCCTAAAGAAGTTTGAATTGTAAATTAAGCCTTTTTTTTTTCTTATTGTGTTTTGTCTGAGATATTCTTGATATTTTCTTCATCTAATATGAGTTACTTATGAAGATTATATTGCCCTACAGGAGGATTTGTTGACTTTATTGGTTTGATTCTGTCATCTCTAGGAAAATTAGATCTAGTAGATTTTTATTAGCTTTGTCGTAATTTTTCAGTTATTCTGAGGGTCTCCTCGAATCTCTCGCACATTGTAGCTTATTCTGTTTTTGATTAAACTTTATCATCTCTTTTAACCCAATCTGTTCGTTCAGATGTACCAAAGGTGTAAGCTCCTCCAAATTGATATCCTAATGGAGTGTTCCCTTAAAAGTTCTGTTCACTATTATTAAAAAACATGTAATTTTTATTAAAAAAATAAATAATTATAAAAGAATTATTTTCATAAGTCTTCATCACTACTTTCTTCTTCTTGCACATACTTTCTTATATCTATGGGGTCAGATAATGCTACTCCTTAAAAAAATAATTTAATATTATTGAAGTTCTCTTTTAAATTCTCTTTAAATAAATATGTTTCCGTTCGAACATCTTTAATTTTATGTTATTACTGAACATAAATCAATAATTCATGATATGATGTTTGAAATCTCAATTGAGTATTATTTTTATCACTGATATATCAATTCAATAGAATAAAATACTTGGTGAAATTCAAAAGGTGATATTGATTTTTGAACACTTCTTAAAGGAATATTGCAGGACTTGTTATTCCTGTTGCAGCCAAATATCTATGCTTTAAACCATAATGATATGTTATTGACTGGATGTATTTAACAGTTAACTTTTATATTTTGTTAAATACAGAGAACTAAATAGAGTCCAAGCATATTTATGGTAATATCATAAGTATAAACAATTAATTACTCGAATGATTATTCAAATAAGAATAAATATAATTTAATTATTTGTATTTATTTACTTATCTTTTGCATTTCAAAATCTCATTCTAATTGTCTTTTTGTCGAAACATTATAAAATATTCAATACAAATATACTGAGCTTTTAGAAATAATTTTGCCAATAAGTTTATTATTCTTCTTTTATTTTTAGATTCTTATGAAAAAACACTCAAATTTCTAATTTTCATCTAAGAGTGCTCTATAGATTACTAACCTGAACAAAATCAGGATAGAAATTTCCTCAACATGGCTTCCTAATCAATTATACATTCATATAAACTGAATATTATGTTTATCTGAGTATTTAAAAATATCTAAATTTCAACATAATTCAAATATCTCACATAATCCTAAAAATTTATATATTGGACTATCCTAAATAAAAGTGTGGAATCAATCTAATTTAGTTATTATCTTTATAATTTTTCAAATTTGTTATTATAATGAGTATTTAAGAATTGGAGGAAGTGTTTAATTTTATCATCTTCGATGCTCATTTTATATTTGATTAAAATTTTCTTTTTTTAATTAACATTAATAATGGATATCGTAGGAGTAAGCTATTGTTTAATCATTAGAACGTGCTGCCATAAGTTTTGAAGGATGAAGCTACAGAGGACAAAGGCGAGATGGCCAGATTGGTATTATTTGAGTTTAAAATTTAAGTAAAGTTTTGTAGGCGCAATTGCAGTGGCTGATTTAGTAAAGACAACTCTAGGTCCAAAAGGAATGGTATGATATAGTTATTAAGAGATAGGATAAAATATTGAAACCCACAGGACCTGGTTAAGAGATGACTCACATCACTGTTACTAATGATGGTGCTACGATTTTAAAATCCATGTATGTTGAGAACCCAGCTGCTAAGATTCTGATTGAGATCAGCAAAACCCAAGATGAAGAAGTAGGAGATGGGACAACAACAGTAGCAGTGTTGGCAGGTGAATTGTTAAGAGAAGGAGAGAAATTAATTTAAAAAAGAATTCATCCACAACATGTGATAGCAGGATGGAGAATAGCTAGAGATGTGGCATTAAAGAGATTAAGGGATATTTGTACTTATATTGATTATAATTTCTAGCAACTGAAAATGACATTGAATCTTAAGAATTCCATAATGACTTGATTAAGATTGCCAGAACAACTTTGAGTTCAAAATTGATTACAACAGACAGAGATTACTTTGCTGATTTGTGTGTCAAAGCGGTTTTGAGATTGAAGGGATCATCTAATTTAGATTACATCTAGATCATTAAGCTTCCAGGAGGAACAATCAGAGATTCCTATTTGGATGATGGATTCATTCTTAAGAAATAAATAACAATTGGTTGTAAAAGAAGAATTGAAAATGCCAAAATCTTGGTTGCTAATACAGCCATGGATTATGATAAGATTAAGATTTATGGTACCAAAGTCAAAGTCAATTCAATGGACAAAGTAGCTGAAATAGAAGCAGCAGAAAAAGAGAAGATGAAACATAAGGTTGATAAGATTCTTAAATTTTAACCAACAATATTTATAAATAGATAACTGATCTATAACTATCCTGAATAATTATTAGCTGATTCTGGAATTACTGTTATTGAACATGCTGATTTTGAAGGTATGGAAAGAGTGGCTGCTGCTACTGGAGCAGAAATCTTATCAACATTCGATGCTCCTGAAAGAAGAGATTAAGTATTAGGACATTGTGATTTAATTGAAGAAATTATGATTGGAGAAGAGAAGGTACAAATTATATTATATGTATAGATGATCAAATTCACAGGTTGCAAAAAGAATGAAGCTTGTACAATTGTATTGAGAGGTTCTTCAATTCATATCTTGGATGAAGTAGATAGATCAATTCATGATGTTTTGTGTGTCTTAATCACTACAGTGAAGAATAGAAGAGTTGTTTGGGGAGGTGGTAATTCAGAAATGCAAATGGCTGCTGCATGTGAAGAAGAAGCCAAGAAAGTTTAAGGAAAATAAGCATTAGCTATAGAAGCATATGCTAGAGCATTGAGATAGATTCCAACTATCATCTGTGATAATGGAGGTATTCATTTATTATAATCAAATTAGGTTACGATTCAGCTGAATTGATATAAAATTTCAAAGTGGAATTGCAAAAAGGAAATTTATCTTATGGATTGAATATGAATGATGGAACTGTTGGTGACATGAAAGAATTAGGAATCAAAGAATGCATGAGAGTTAAGGAGTAAGCAGTTATGGCTGCAAGTGAAGCAGCTGAATTAATTATGAGAGTGGATGATATTGTAAAATGTGCACCAAGAAAGAGAGAAAGAGCATGATATTATGTTATTAAGTATTAAATAAGATTGAATTAAACAACTAATCATTATTGAAGGATCTAATATCAATACTCAATTTCATAATTTAGAAGACTTAGGAGTGCTTGAGGAAGTAGGTGGCTTACTCAATCTGGTTGATGATTAACTTGAAACAATCATAAGATTATTCTATGAAGATTGTTATTGACTACTATCATAATCATACCCATTAAATAAATCTTAGTAGTTTAATTACAACATACCTTATATTGAGTTACGTCTTAACAATAGTTATTATTCTTAACTAAGGGAATCGTCTGAATCCTTTCTGCCATCTGACGGCAAGTAATTATCCTCGTTGCACTTATTAAATAATTTAGATAGATTACATTTGGAACAAATGGAGCTACCATAATTTTGTTCTCCAACTTTTGCCAATTAAAATCTTTGAACCATGGATGTTCCTTGACTTCATCAGGACCATTTGAACCCAACCGATTTTAGGGCTTTCTTTAGAGTAACTGTTTGTCAAATAAAACATTTTACCTAATTTGCAAAATCGCCTGCCTATATATTCCATCCTGGTGGTATTTCCTATCTTTTAATTGCTGCCTATTTTGATAACATTTGTTCTCTTATTTCTTATCTGCTCCTTCCGAGATAGGGTCTTCTTCCTAACATGCACTCGTAAACTATAACTCCCAGGGCAAAATAATCAACTGCTATTCCGTGATTATGACGACACATAACTTCTGGAGCCATGTAACCTGGGGTTCCACTAGTATCTGCTGAATTCTCAGGTTTCCATATTCTTGCTATACCCAAATCAGTTAATCTCAAATAACCTCACTTTACTATTTAAACCAATTACCACTGCTATCAAAAACCAAATTTTCAGGCTTCAAATCTCTATGTAGTATCCCATTTTAATGTAAGTATTCAAGAGCTATTATAATACAAGCAGCAAAAAATTCTAATTCAAATTTTCAAACTGTACTTGTTTATTCTTCATTGAATCTTCTCAATCTCCCTATATGAAATCTCAAATCTCCTCCTGTTAACAAATCCATTACCAAATACAGATATTCCTTATCTTGAAAAGCACTTTGCATATTTATCAAAAATCTGAAAAAAATTACAATCTAACATATACCCATGTCTCAAATTACTCAGCAATTATCTCTCATTTATAACCGACTAAACCGACTTCTTTAGGATGATTCTCAACATATATTCAATTTTAAGTACTTCGCCTTCGACATCACTTTCAACGCATAAAGCAACTTGTTTTTCTTTTTTTTCACCTTCCATACCTTGCCAAATCCCCCTCTGCCTATTGCATCAATAAATTGGAAGTTGGATATCGAGGTAACTTAGAATAGGAAGAATAAGTACTGTTGCTTTCTAGCAAATCCTCTTGCTTCTCATTTATATTACAATTTCCCATAAAAAATTTATAAATTAATTAGAAAGCTCTATTCATCTACTGCTTGTTAATTAAAAACGAATTAAATAAATATTTTATGATTCTATTTTCAGCTATTTCCAAAGGATCTCTAATATTATGTGAATATACTGAATCAAATGAAGATTTCTAGTCATTAATTTTGAAATAGCTCAAATTCATTAAAAATAATGAAGAGAAACAACAATTTCAAATTGTATTTCAAATCCTTATTTTATCCTAGAATGAGTACACGTTGTATCACCTACAAAAAAACCAATATAATTTTATGTGTTTATTGCAACAGCCAGAAAATAGTGTTATCGAAGATTAGAAAACATTTGCCTACTAGTTTCTTTAAGACATTGCAGATCAATTTTAATTGATGACTCAGTGTAAAATATAATTTAACATCAGCCTAAGGAATAGACAAGGGCCAATTCACTAAGGTGATTGCAGAAATTATGGTTTAATATAATTAAAAAACTGAAAACCACGTTGGCCAATTAAAACAAGAAATTTAAGAGTAAATTAAAAATATATTTTTAGAATACAAACTCACTAAGAAATCAACACATAAAATATGTATCAGGAACCTAAAGGCATTTCTAAAAAAGAGCATTTCGGTTACAGCATTTATACCTGTAAATCAATCTTCTTTGTTATTAACTTATTTCTAGCTGGAATGCTTGTTGAATTATTTACTAAATTTGATAAATATTTATGAGTTTGTGTATTAAGTGCTTTTTATCATTTCAAATTCTTATTTTAACCTCTATGTCAAAGTTTAACAAACAGTCAATTTACAGCTACACATCCCCTTTATAACCAAAATTCAATTTTAAAGCAAAAAAGACTACTATTTTATTTATAAAATATTGACAATATATCACAATAAAATAGATATTTATTGAATAAAAGTTAAGCAGCTTAAGAATTGAAATATTATAAAATGTTCTTTTTATGAAAAAGCAGGGCATAACTTATAAGCGAAATGAAACTAAAACGTGATAAAAATAGCAGTAAAAAAAGGCATCTATTCTTGTTATTGAAAGAATTTAATCTTATAAAATAGAATAACTTGAATAATCGTTATTTTCAATAGAAATAGCTAAATTGACAGAATTTAATATTGAAATATAACAAGAATTGTTGATAACTATAAGTAATCTCATAAAATATGGATTATAATAGAAAAATTAATATATCATATTCTAGAATTGCGACTTTAAAGACTTGATGAAAAAATATTGATAAAAATCACAAGAATCTGTTTCTTAAGCTTTTGTAGCAAATTAGATGTAGTGTTCAAATACTTGATATAAAAATATCTATATATTGAAAGTTCAAATCAAATAAGAAATGAATAACTCTTACAAAATGAAAATTTACTTTTCGATAGAATAGTTAGAACAAGTAAAAGAAAATTCAACCAATTTTAATAAGAATAAGAGTATATAATTAGAATTTAAGGAATTCTCAAACATTTTTAAACTAATTGATAGGAATATCATACTTCAGAATCTTTGTACTCTTGTTTAATTAGTAAACAAATTGAAATATAAGCATTTTAAGATTTTCAGTAAATATATTTAGTGATATATTAATCATAAGTATTTGCAATTATACAAAAATTATCAAACAATAGTCTTATTGTAGGAGGATCTCAATCGAAAGTTTTTTAATATAGATTCTTTATCAGACTTCTACTGTAGAGACTTATTTATCTAAATAGTGTAGCCATTAATTAATGGATTGAACATTTTATTAGGCTTGATTTGATTATGATTTTTTTATATGAATTTGTAGTAGTCTGACCATGAGAATGGTTCTTTTTACTTTACTTGAGCAATCTGTTTGATTTTCTTTTTGTTTGCGGATACCTTTAAACTAAATTGCTTATAATTATGATTATATTAAATCGCAGGAGTTTTGTTCATTTATATGTTCTTCATTTTATCTACTATTCTCTTATAAGTGGTTGAATGATTTGAAATACCTAAGTCTTAAAATTATGCATGACAACTTCCAGCTCTATCATGTAATGGAAGAGTAATTTGAACTGTTTACTAAGTTTCACTTGAGCGTTGTCTACTTTAGGTTCGAGATTAAGGAAGTTTAATTTTTATTGATCTAGTTTTTCTTTCTTATTATTGTTCCTCTTTCATTTTTGGAGATAATTGGAGGAAATTATCCTGATTTTCATCCCAAGGTTCTACAAAAAAATCCTTTTCATAATAAGAAGATTTATGTCTTATGGGTTTTATAAATTCTATTCCTGAATCAAGATTAAGAAGATTAGTTTTAGGGTCTTCTTAAATTTATTATTCATTCTCTAACATTTAATTATTAATTGATTGAGAATTAAGAGTCACAAAAGGATCATTCTAATTTAGTAATCCCAAAAGAAAGGAGAAATGAGAACACAAATAAATATTGAAAATGTGTTAGAATATTTTTATAATTATTTTGATGTTTTTACATTTATTTAAAAAATGTGGAGACAACATTGATGATAGCAATGTAAGCTCAAGACATTCATATAGGAAACTTCATTAATAAGTGATTCAATTCTCTTAATTATTGGATTATTGGTATTCAATGAATTGCTGCTCCAAACCATTGCCACTAAAAAACTAAAATATCCCTACTTAAAATATATCAATGACACTATTATAACTACATCCATTGGATTAATAACAGGATATATTTTAACTTTTTCTAAATCAGGAAAGGATATAACAATGACCATGAAAATGGGGTTTAGTTAATTATTCTTAATAATATTGCTACCGCCTATCTTGTTTGAAAGGTATTCAAACATATAAATATAAGTGCTATTCACATGGATTCGGTAACTTTCTTTGAACATTTTGGTACCATCAATATTTATGCAATTTTGGGCACAATAATATCAATGATAATAACCTCATTCTTTATCTTTATATGTGGTTAATTAGGTTTAGCAAAGGAACTGCAATTATCTAAATGCTTTGCATTCGGAGCAATAATATCTTCAACGGATCCAGTTGCTGTTCTAAGTGCTTTCAAAAATATGAAATAATCAAAAATGCTCTACACTTTTATTTTCGGAGAAAGCATTCTTAATGATGCTGTTTCTTTAACATTATTTAAGTAATAAGAATATTTATTGATTTTAATAGTGCAGTTAATGAAATAATCAATTAAGAAACAAGTGATTTATTGAAAGTAATTAGTTAATTTCTATTAATATTCTTTCTTTCAATAGCTATAGGTTATGCCATGGGAATAATAAGTGCTTTTGTAATAAGGTTTAAAAATCAAGCCATTGCTAATTTTGAGGCATCTTTGCTCTTATTATTACCTTGGATTACTTACCTTATATCAGAAGCATTAGAAATGTCAGGAATTGTTAGTATTATGTTTTGTGGTATTTCAATGGCTAGATACACAATTCCCAATACAAATGAATTGTCTAAGAAAGAATTCACTAAATTCTATGAAATTATAGCTCACATCTTTGAAAATTCAGTGTTCATCTTTATTGGAATAGGAGTCATTGGTTTTAATTTGCCATATTAAGAAACTGGGGTTGGAATCATTATATCTACTTTTATAGCTATAAATCTTTCAAGATACTTCTTTGTTTATTTAATTACCAAATTTGCAAATCAATTTCGCAGTATCCATATAATTAATGAATACTAAATGAATATGCTATGGTTCAGTGGATTAAGAGGAGCAATGGCATATGCTCTTTCAATATAAACGATTATACTCTATGGTCCAATAGGTGAAGTGCTCTTAACTATCTCTATAGCGATCATAATGATTAATGTACTATTTGAATATTATTTAGATCTATGTTTAAGGAGTGATGTTAGATCCAATACTCGCCAAATATAGTCAGAATCTTATAGAGAATTACGAGGATGAGGAACAAGAAAAGTCAAAAAATATCTTCAAATAAATCAAGGAAGGAATCAGCTAAATTGATAATCTATTTATTCAGATCTGTCTTTCTGAAAATAACGATGAGGAAGTACCTTTATGTATAAATATATGTTTCTAAAATAGAAAATGGAGTTTAAGGAGTTGAAATTGACAATTGAACATAAGATGTCAATCTTATTGTATGTATCTATGTTATTATTTATTTTGAATTGCATTATTGTAAGTCTGTCTCACACTTTATTATTTATAAATAATGATTCATGGTCCTAATTCTTAATTTTCTGGCGCTTTCACTATAGGCAAAAGATATGAATGTAATCTATGTTTTAATCTTAGGTGCCATATACCAAACCAATCCAAATCCTGGGTATCATATTTATTCACATTAGACCAAATCATTATTCAGTAAATCCCATAGATAAACCTACGGGATATAAATTTTCTAAATCTAACAGGAAACCACTTTATTAAGCTAGTGTAGCCCCTGATCCTGGGACTTATGACTCTAAATTGCAGGCAATTATTAGTATAACTTAATTAGGCAATCATACCTCACACATCCTCAGTCAAATTTACTAAAGCAAAGGAGACATCTCCTAAAGAAACCGAGATTGGCCCGGGATCATATAATTTATCTGATTCAAAAAAAGCACCTGCATTTACTTTCTAAAGTAGATTTGATTCCATTGGAAATGAAATCATGAAGACTCCTGGTCCTGGAAATTACCAATTGGAGTAGAGTCATACTCAAAGACCTAAAAATAAGGGATTTTCTACTAGCTAAAGAACAAACATACTTTTATCAAATCATCCAGGACCTGGTTCATATGAAATAGAAAAGCCCAAGTTTTAGACAAATATTAAGTAATCTTTAGTTATATACCAAAAGATTTCCAAAATCATAAAGGAGCATGGATTGGAGTCAGATTGGGCCAGGTCCAGGAGCATTTGATCTTAATTCCCCAAAATAATAAGGCATTACATTTGGAAGCAAAACAAATTAACAAATTGACAGAGCAAATGTTCCAGGACCAGGTAGTTATGACCCAGATGTAGTTGAGGGAAAGTTTAAAAGTATTAAAGGAGCAAAGTAATGAAATTATTAATTGAAAGAATAGGGAAGTCGGAGAGAAGTAGTTAAAACTTTTCAAAACTTGGTCCATCTCCCCTTGATTATGATGTTTCTAATTATAAATATCCTACTAGACATGCAAGGTTTTGATTTGGATCTATAAATAATTTTAGCTTCAATAAGGCAATGAGACCATCAATAATATCAACAGAAAGAACTCCAGGGCCAGGATCATACACAATCGATTCGCAACTAAAAAAGAATGGGGCAATCATACCAAAGGCTCCTAAGGATCAAATTAATTTTGAAAATTTGCCAGTTATGATTTACAATTATAGTAGGGACCTGGAAAGTATAACCCCAATGATTCAATGATTTCTAATAAAGGACCTAGTTATCATATTGCAAAAAAATATGATAAACCTCAAGAGTCAAGTTTACTGGGACCTGGCAGATATGATATTATAAGAGATATTAATGATGGACCCAAATACACATTTCCTACTCTTGAAAAAAGTATGGAGAAAAAATCAATAGATCTAAATCAGTAAGAATCTAACTAAAAATAGTTCACATTGTTATGAAATACAGTAAACAATAGGATACATTCCTTAATATGTTCTTCATAGTTGAGTTATATTATATTATATTGATTTACAATTATCTATTAAAAGTGTCAAACTTTAAGGACCATGTTTCAAATTAATAAGAAATAAATTATACTATAATTTTTTCATTTTAATGAATTTAACTAATCAATTTTTTAACTGATCAGGAAAGTAAATCTCTCTATAAATTACATATATTGGAAAATCTAGAATTCTCATATTTTGTTCTTTAAGAGTATGCTTTAAAAAAATGTTTGAAAGTGGGCTAAGAAAGGTTAAAATCACAATAGTAAATTTATTGATTAATATAATAAATATATATATTTAATGATTACTAATACAAATGGCATTGCTGAATCTATTTATCACTATATTTGGTTAAAGGATGATTCTTTACTCAAAGAGTCTTTCCAATTGAGATTGCCAGATACAATTATATTTAAGAATGGAATGCCATAAGTTTGGTATTTTACAAATTAATCAGGAGAAATCCTTATGAAGAAGAATGACTGTCGTAAACCTGAAAATATCATCAACTATTTTTGTAATAATAGCAAATAAAATGGATAAGTTATTGCATATTATATTTACAATAGTAAACACAATGTTAAGGATCCAATAAATGATCCTCATGAAATTTAAAAGTCTAAGCAATTTGATGTAAATGAGAAAATCTGCATCTATTATTTGACCAAAGAGACATTTCCATAATTTATTAAAAATAATAATAAAGCCCCTGAGGGAATACTTTAAAAATTTATTGATCCTATTGCAAATCATGAACAGCTGATATAAGCTATTTGGAGTCCTTCTGTTTGCATTCTTTCAAAAAAGTAAAACAATAGAGACCTCTATGACATGCAATTTGATCCTTATGGTAAATAGTCATTCTATTCAAACCTTAGAGCGATGTGCAACATTTGATGGATGCGAAGCTTATTCTAAGGTGATTCCTCTGAGAGGCAAATAGATTTCTTAAGAAATTAGAAAGTAGTGTTAGATGATAATCCAAAAATTGACCAATTTAAGTTATGGTTAAACCAATATATCTAGAGTTGTCATGTACTTTAAACCAGACAAGTAGAATCACGTTTGGTTTTTATATTGCTCATCTATTCGATTGTAAGGAGAAGCTGACGAATAAATTTAGCAGTATAAATCTATTTGGGGGAACTCAAATATCAAAAAGAATAACACGCCAATATCTTTCAATACTAATTTCAAACGACCACATTAAATCAAAAATGTATTAACTGTGAATACTATGCATCCAGTCACTCTAATTAAAAATATAGAGTGTGTTGAATGTGGATCACTCTGTTAAAAAGATGATCTCTATCATTTGGCTTATGAATTCATCATTAAACATTTTGAGATGAACCCCAATACGAATCCAATAATTAACGACAATATCTTAGTTCTTAAACCAAAATCCTTTGTCGTCAGTCAAGATCACATTAGAGACATACATTCTCATATACCTCCACTCATTATTAAACTGTATCCTTAAATCACTGTAGCACTTTATGAATAGATGAAGGTTAATGATGCTTTCTTAATTAAAACTATACTAGTTTGTGAATCCTGCTTTCTGAAATATAGTTCTTCAAATTCCACATTATCTGGTTCAAGTCAGAGAGTAGCCAAACAAAAGAAGATGTCAGTAAGATTGAAGAGTGCAAGCATATTACAGAGGAAACCTGAAATCAAGGAATACCTATTTTAATAAAATTTAGATCTCATTCAATAAAGAAAGGAAGCCTTTTTTAAATCAAATAGCAACAAACAATCATTTAATAGTAACTCTTAATTCTCAACTGCACTTAATACTCATTCAGCTTCCCATAAATATAAATTGTCACTAGAAAGCAATTTCGATCAAATAAGTTTTTAATTAAATACTGCTAGATGATATTATAACAATAATTATATTAATAATATCATTTATCAACTATGTGATTTCTTAATTTTAGTATATGAGTTTGGATTCTTGTTATTGTTTTGAATATAGAAATTTTGTATTAGTTTTAATTATTCTATATACATTATATTTATAATTTACAACAAATTGTATATTGATATTAAATTATTTCAAAAAAGAGAAACAAATTTAGGACAATGGTAACTTGTGTATTCCTGTTTGTAAATTCAGTTCTTTAATTATCAGAGTACTCAAGTGTTTGATTAATATATTTTAAATATTACGTGATCAAATAATAGCTATTTATTAATTAATTGGTCATATAAACATATTAAATAGAGAAAGATGGCTTTAAATAAATAAATATAATTATAATATAGCTACAATGTCAGCAGATAGCATTGAAAGACAGAAGTTTGCTAAATTTAATGAAGAATAAGTTCTTGATAATCAAGATTAGTCTACGACAACTTAGTTTAAATAAAGTAGCAATGCTCTTTCCACAACTTCTGCTTTCACTGAAAACAATTGTAAGATCAAACCAATTAAAACTTAAAGTATTTTTAAAATATATCTAATTAGGAAGTCTCTTGACTCTAACCCCGTAAATCAGTTAAAGAAGGGGTTCTCAATCTTTGGCCGACCAGACTATGAGAAATGACGATGGCGTACATATATTTTTCAAATATTAGCATTTTGCTTAAAACCATTATGATAAAAAATGTCTCTATATGATATATTGGTATGATTCTAATATTGATCATAAATATGAGATCCCAATTAAAACTAATAACTTTTAAATCACAATTGGAGATCTGATTTAACTAGCGATAGCTTAATTTAATGAATAAAATGAATATTTACAAACTCCATTTTCATCAGATGTAAATAATTAATATTTGTATGAATTGTACATTCCAAAAAAGAAAAAAGGAACTCCTAATGAAGATTTTCCATGTAATTGTTCATTCAAATTTTAGCCTTTGCCAATTCAACCCTGCTATCCTAAACTAATCAAACAGAGTTTTCTCTTAAAGTAACTCAAAAACAATCGAAATATTCAACTAGCCTTTCCAATTCCAAGCATTCTTCTGCAATCAAGCAAAATGAAAAATAAGGAGTAGGTTCTAAGAATTCTAGTTCAAAGAAGAAAAACCTATTTCAAAAGCTATTTTTTTGCTGTAATCAAACAGAAGAGTATTGAAATGTTTCGAAGGATAACTGTTTAATGCTTATAATATTTAACAAATTAATAAGAATTCATCAATTGAGTTTTTAAATCTCTATGTTTAATAGTGTCTATTGATTTTACTTGATTCCTTCTGATAATTTCCTTAATAATTTTATTTATTTTATAATTATAACATCTTTCAAATGTACTTTAATTAAAAATCTAATACTGAGCGATCTAAAAATATTATTACTTTTAATCCTTAAAATGGAATAGCTGATGTACTTAGGACAGAAATGGAGGAATACACTTTCTTTAACTGGAATTTCATTAAATACATATATGTTTCATATTCAGATTAAAAATAAAGTTTTTATCCATGTATTAAATCTCTGTAATTTTAATTATCACATTATTGGTATAAAATTCATTATATATTTTATTTTATTAGTTTAAGTTTAAGTTAATTTTTCATTTAATATATCTTTAATTTGAGACATTATTCAATCACTTGATAATTTTTATGAAGTATAACAATGATAATTGCTGCCTTACCATGCAATTATTAATTTCCAAATCCTTTCAATAAATGTAAAGTACTAATTTTATTTATTTATTTATTAAATTTTCACATAACCAGTTCTAATTATTTATTAAAAACACTCAAATATTAAAATGAAGGCAATGATTAACTACATTTATAATCTCAGTATTGAAAATTATATTAAAATATTTTATTAAAATAATAAATGAATCAGGCTTTCAGATCACCTTAAAGAAAATTGGATGGTATTTACTAATAATAATTTAAAAGGGCCAATAGTTAAATTAAGAATGAAAAAAATACTTGATATTGGTAAAATACGAAAAGAGGAAGAATAATTTTAATGCATGTTAGATTCATATGAAATAGATTAAAGGTATCATGAAAGCTAATTAAAGTGTTTCCTTTTAGGATAGAACCTTTTATAACAGAACTTTCAGATCTACTTCAAGAAGCATTAAAAAAATAGACGATAAAAAAATCTCTGAAGAATACACTTTGTATGGCTTTTCTCGAATTAAAACTGATAGAACGCCTTTATTATTGATGAGTAGAAAATAAAAAAGAATACACCCTACAATTGATGAGGATAAGGATGTTAGCAATTAAGAATGGTTTGAAAAATGCAAGAGAATGAACCCACCTTAAGCCAAAGCTTAGTTTTATGATAAAATTACTAAGTAAAATATACTTTAAAATAAGTTCATACATATGGTATGATGTTACAGTCTTGGACTATGTCTAAGAGACAAAAAAATTCTCAGTTTAAAAATACCCAGATGGATAAACAAAAAATGTTACCAGATTATCTATCTAGTTTTATAATTAAAATTAAGAACTTTTTTAATAAGCTCAAAAAGAAAAGTAATTAAAAATATCAATTATAGAATCCAATTTCGATCCTTAAAAAAAATTGAACTTAAAAAAATTCAAGATATAATAAATGTTAATGATGTGGAAGTAAATAAACTCCCAGATCCTTTGAAGTTTAGATTCATCAGAAGATTTTATTAAAATGATCGTTATGGATTATTATCAAAGCTTTTAGAAGAAGTGAATTAAATTTATACTTTTGATATGAAAAAATGTGTATTTTATAAGGATTTGCAGAAATACAAATAAGTTTATTGCCCTTTGCCAAAGTTTTAATTTTACTAGAAGTATTAATAATAAATTGAAAATAACTAATCATTTATGTAATAAATAACAGTATAAGTCTGGTAAGTAATGAATACTAGGTGTTTAAAGTTCAATTTTTAAGTAATTGATTTAAATGAATTATAATTGCCAGTTCTCAATTCAGTTTTCTTGGACTATTGTTAGAAAAATATAAAAAATTATATTTATTAAATCAATTTGCAACGAAAATACAAAAAATCAGAAATTTAAGATGTCTTATAAAAAAAGTATAATTTCTTAGGCAAAGATTAAAATGCTCATTAGTAAAGCCCCTTACATAGAATTTTAAGAAGACTTGATTTAGTTTATGCTGATTTTTTAAAACATTAATTACTGGTCAACACAGAGGCTATTCTCAATATTTATAAGAAATTTATATTAAAACCTAATGATTATTATTTTATCAATACATCTACCTTTTTAGTGTTGGAATTACAAGTTAAGATTTTAAAATAAACAAAGCCAAAAAAGCAATTAGTGAAGAAGATGGAAAGATTAACTAAACAATCATTTAGAGAGAAAGAATAGGAAATATAAAAGGAGGAGATTGAGTATGATGAAGAAATTACTATAAATTTATCTGAATCTGAAGTTATTGAACTTTTGACTTTTCCTTAATAATAATTAATAGAATAAGTCAGTAAAGTCAATAAAATGGAAGGTGATATTATGACATTATTATTGCTAAAAAATGAGTTAATTTTAACACCAGAGGATATAGAATATTAGAAATAATAGATTGAACCAACTATAGAGTTTATAAAGTTCGAGTATCGTAAATGTGAACAAGAACTCATCAAATTAAAAAAATTTGAATTTATTTTGAAGAAATTCAGAAATACTGAAGTAAACGAACTCTTAGGAATACATACCAAAAGAGTTCCACTATCTTAATTAAATTTTGATGATATAGATGAAAAGATCAAAAGTTTAGAATAAGCAAAAAAGGAAATAATCAACATTTCTTTTGATTCACTAAAATTAGGTTTATTCACTCTGAAATTAAAAGGAATTAAAGAATTTCTCATTAATAAAGCTGAAGAATAAAAAAAAATGATAATGAATAGAATTCATGAAGTTATTTTATTCAATATAAAGAACATAGGAGAATAATATGAAGAAGCATACAAGAAAGGATCACACATTCCAGACACAGAATAAGAATTAATAGACTTGAAATTGATGCTCGATGAAATTAATGTGCAGTTTGGGAAATTGCGTTTTGAAATTAGTTAAATGTAAGACTTAATTATTTAATTTTAGCATGAAGTATGTTAATATATTTGAAGATAATTATTTTGAATATGATAACAAAATAATTGAATCATATTACCATCTCTTATATAAACCGAAGGATATTACTCAAATAATACATTCAAATAAGGATGTAATTTAGATTAAGGAGAAGGACTTTTTAAAGCGTTTAAAATAAGATGAATAAGATTTCAAAGAAACCATGTATGAGATAGCAGAACTATTTAATTAAATTAAATAATTTAATGATTATAGTTAAATTAAGACTTATCTTCCTTAAGTTAACTCATTAACTAGATCATTCAATTATGCTAAGGACTAAATCAGCAGTTTTAATATTCGCTAATAAATGCTATCGATGCAACTAACTAATTAGGCTGAATTAGATAACATAATATTTTAGTTCAAGCCCTATGAAAAGTTGTGGACTTTAGTGGTATTCATCTCCTGCATATGCATTAGAGCAAATTTGAGTCCCAAAAGGAAAAATGGATTAGTGGGTCTTTCAAGTCTTTGATATATTAGGAGATGATTTGGAAGATAAATTAGTTTGCAAGTGAGATAGGATCCATGAGTGCCAATTTCGAAGGGGAGAATGAAAATTTGAAAAATTTATTAAAAGGATTTCGGAAAGCTTTGGATTCTCTGAAGGACATTTTATGGGTAGTAGAGGCCTTGGCAATTGAGGCATTTACAAAAAAGCCTTAATTTTGGAGAGAATTATTTAAAGAGTGCAAGATTAGTAATTTTGATCCAAAAGAGGATTTTCCATTTTTTGTTTTGTTAAACAGAGGAATTTTGAATTATAAAGATTAAGTGATTTAAATATCAATCAGAGCAGAAAAAGGATGGAATATCGAGAAAAGATTATAAGAGATGCATGAAAAGCTATGTTAAGTCGTTTTAGAAGTGAGTCCTTATAGAGAAACATTTATTTTTAAGAATTTAGATGAAGTATAAGTTGTTTTGGATGAATAATTCAGTGTATTGACAATTCTAAAAGCTTAACCTCATATTAAGTTATCTGTTGGTTAAGCTAATCAATTAGAATATAAAATATTATTAGTATAAGATACTTTAGATTTTGGAATGAAGTGTCAAAAATAATGGATGTATCTAGATCCAATTTTTTCAAGTGAAGATATTTAAACAAAACTAGTAGAAGAGACTAAGAATTTTAAATTAGTTGATCAAGCATTTAGGAATTGCATGAAAGAATTTAAGAAGGAATCTATTTTGTGGGAATGTATTGATAGTGATAAAATGAAAGTTGACTTTAGTAATGGAGTTTTGATGTTAGATTAAATCTAAAAGAGTTTAACAATATATTTAGAGTAGAAGAGAATTGTTTTTCCAAGGTTTTATTTTGTTTCAGATGAAGAACTAGTTTAGATTCTATCATAGACTAAAGATCCGACCCAAATATAGAATCATATTTACAAATGTTTTGAAGCTATGCATAAATTATAGTTCACTGCATCTAATGCCATTACAGGATTTCAATCTACTTAGGAGGAGAAGATTTAATTATTCAAAGATGTTAAGGTTATGGAAGGGTCGAGGAAAGGAAATGTTGAATTATGGTTGTTAGATCTATAAAGTGAGATGAGAACAGCTATCAAAAATTATTCTTATTAAACTTTGATTGATTTGATATCAACCAAATAGGAATTTATTGCGAAATGGCCTGCTCAATGCATTTTATTGGCAAATCATATAAGATGGACTCGGAATACTGAATCAGCTATCAGAGGTTAGCAGAAACTAAATTTGGGAATATTTTTTGAATAATTAAATAAAGAGTTGCATGAAACTGTACAATTGGTAAGAAAAGAGAATAGAATTATTCCTAAAACTATTCTAGAGGCCATGGTTGTCATGGAGGTGCATGCAAAAGATATAGTACAGTCTTTATATAAATAAAATGTCTAAACTATTTTTGAATTTGCATGGATTTCATAATTAAGATATTATAATGAAGATAACAAAAATGTTTCAGCTAGAATGATAAATGTATCTGTTTAATATGGATTTGAGTACTTAGGAAAGGTAACTAGACTAGTAATGACATCATTAACAGATAGATGTCAAAGGACACTATTAGAAGCATTACATATGAATTATGGAGGAGCCCCTGAAGGTCCAGCAGGTACCGGAAAATCAGAGACAGTTAAAGACTTGGCTAAAGCAGTTGGAATGCCTTGCATTGTGTTTAATTGTTCAGATGGTTTAAATTATATTGCAATGGGTAAATTTTTTAAGGGTCTTGCTTCTTCTGGATCATGGTGTTGTTTTGATGAATTTAATCGTATTGATGCTGAGGTTTTGTCTGTTGTTGCTTAATAGATTTACACAATCTAAAAAGCTATTAAAGAGGAGAAGACTAATTTTATATTTGAAGGCGAAAATGTTCAATTAATTAAAACTTGTGCTATAAATGTCACAATGAATCCTGGATATGCAGGAAGAACTGAATTGCCAGATAACTTAAAAATCTTATTCAGACCTTGTGCTATGATGGTACCTGATTATGCAATGATAGCTGAAATCTATTTATATAGTATTGGTTTTTAGAAAGCAAGAGAATTAAGTAGTAAAATAGTGACATGTTTAAAACTATGCAATGAATAATTATCTAGCTAAGAACATTATGATTTCGGTATGAGAACCTTGAAAGCTGTCTTAAATTCTGCTAAATCTATGTTTAATGAAATTGAAGAGGAAATATGTTTAAATGCTTTGATCAATGTTAATAAACCTAAATTTACTGATAGTGATCTCATGTTGTTTATGGCCATAACATAAGACCTCTTTCCAGGAATTTAATTAGCCGAAGGAGAAGAATTATCAAATTTATATGATGGATGTTAGGAGTTGGACTTATAAATGGATGCCGAATTCATTGAAAAATGCATCTAATTGAACAATAACATCAATGTCAGAAATGGAGTTATGTGTATAGGTTAAGCATGTGCTGGAAAAACTTCCGTATTATAAACACTCAGTAAAAGTTAAGATGCTCTTATTTTGAAATTAAATCCCAAGTCCATAACAAGTGATTAGCTCTATGGAAAGCTCGACCCTGAAACAAAATAGTGGTCAGATGGAGTTGCACCTATATTAATTCGAGATAATATTGATAAACGATAAAAAGTTTGGATAATGTTTGACGGTCCTGTAGATTCTATTTGGATCGAAAATTTGAACACTGTTTTGGATGATAATAAAAAGTTATGTTTGACATCAGGCGAAATTCTAAAAATACCTGATACAATGTGTATGCTCTTTGAAATAGAAGACTTGAAGGCTGCTTCTCCAGCAACAGTATCAAGATGTGGGATGGTATATTTTTTACCCGTAAATTGGTATCTCATCGTTTAATCTATCTAATTACCAAAAGGATTTGATAAAGATTATACAATTAGAAGAATCAGATTGTAAGATATGATTAATATTTTATATAGTTTTTTAGATAACACAATAGCCTGGGTTAAGTCTAAACATCATGTTTTTATACTTTATGATTCCATTAATATATTAACATGTAGTTTTCTTAGGTTGCTATCCAAGTACCTAACTGAAGACTTAATTTAAAAAAATAATGATAATATCATTATATTTTGTTTGATTTGGTCATTTGGAGCAGCTATGGATGAATAAATTAGACCATAGTTTAATTTATTTTTGAATAATTTGATAGAAACTAAGATCTCTAATTTATAAACTTAATTTCCAGCTGATTCTTAGCTGGAATTATAAATAGAAGTTTAAGATGACTATTTTTCATATTGTTTTTACCAAGGAAAATGGGTTAAATGGAGTGATGTATTTAAATTATTTTATAAATAGACATAAGCTCCTTAAAAAATACAAGTATCTATGCAATTTCATGAGATTTTTGCATAAACAGCAGAGACCATTAGAAATGATTACTTCTGTTAGTTAGGCTTACATTTTTTGTTTGCAGGTCCTACTGGTACTGGTAAGTCTTTATCAATGAATAAATATCAATAATTCTTAATTACTTGTTCTGGGTAGACTACTGCTAATGTATTATAAAGATTGATAGAAACAAAAATCAATAAGAGAAGAAAGAAAGGGCATTATTACGCAGAAGAAGGGTAAATCAGAATATTTGTAGATGACTTAAATATGCCCTACAGAGAACCTGAAGGATCAGTTCCAGCAGTAGAATTATTAAGGTAATGGATGGAAATGAATGGATGGTATGATTTAGAAACTAAAGAATTCAAATACATTTGTGATATAACATTTTTAGGAGCAATTCATCCTGTAGAAAGGAACTAGATTACTTTAAGATATTTAAGATTTTTTAATCTTTTATATATAGGTGGATTTAACCAACAAAGTTTAACAACTATGTTGAATGTCTTCGGCGAATGGTTAATAATGAATTAGGTAGAAGAAATAAGAGATTTAAAAAATAAATTGGTTGAGAAAACAATCAATCTTTATTCAAATGTTTAGAAATCGTTATTACCAACTCCTTAGAAATCTCATTACATATATAATTTAAGAGATATATTTAAGATATTTGAAGGAATCAGTAAGGTTAAAGTCATTGAAAATTCAATTCATTTATTTAAATTATGGGCTCATGAATGCTTTAGAGTATTTAGTGATAGACTGATTGATGAGGAAGATCAAAATAAATTCGAATAGCTTATATAGGATAGTCTTATAAAATTAGGATAAGAGTAAATTCAAGTCCATAATCTAGTTTTTTCATCGTGTTTAAATAAACAATATGAAGAAGTGTATGATATATCCAAATTAAGAGAAAAGTTAAACATGATTTTAGATAAATTTAATTCACTTGATTCACAGAGTAGACTTCAATTAATCTTTTTTGACATGGCCATCATTCACATTATCAGGATTGTTCGTATTTTATCTAATATTTATGGTCATGTTTTGATGATAGGGATGGGTGGAACAGGGAGATCTTCATTAAGTAAAATAGCTAATTTCATTGTATTTAATAAGTCCCTAAGAACTATAGATTCTAGATCTTGGAATGATCAATTATTAATCTAATTAAAAGAAACTGGATTAGAAAATGAATAGAATACAATTCTATTTAATGATTCTCAATTTTAATCAGAATATATGTTAGAAGATGTATGTAATTTAATGAGTCATGGTGAAGTATCACATTTATTTCCTCCTGAGGAAAGGATCAAAATATAAGAAACCACAACGTATAGTTAATTTGTTAAAAATTGTAAATTAAATATTCATGTTGTTTTGTGTATGTAGCCAGTAGGATCTCTATATAGAAAAAGATTACGCACTTTTCCAACTATCATCAATTGTACAACTATAGATTGGTTTTCATCTTGGCCTTAAGATGCCCTGGAATCAACTGCAGAGCAATTCTTACCGAAATAACTCGTTAAGATGGGTGTGGAAGTTCACTATAAGATTCTTTAAATTACTGAAAGGTTTAAGTAAGAATTAAGAAGGTATTTCTATGTGACTCCAACTCAATATTTGCAAATGCTTTATACCTTTTAAATTATTCAGGAATAGAAAATGGGATAATCTTAAGTATTTATTGAAAAATTTGAGAATGGAGTTGAACAAATCAAAAAAGCTGAAAATGATGTAGATAGAATCAAAGCTAAATTATTTGAATTATAACCAAAATTATAAAAGGCAAATGAAGATAATACCCAACTGCTCATTAAGATTCAAAAGAGATAAGAAGAAGCAGATAGGAAAAAGTAAGCATGTGAATATGAAGAGAAATTATGTCTAATATAAAGTGAGGAGGCAAACCAATTGAGAAACGGTTGTTAATAAGCATTAGATAATGTGCTTCCATTATTAACTTAAGCTACTGAAGCATTAGAAAGAATTACTAAAGATGATATGATATTATTGAAGTCATTCACAAATCCACCAGTCTCTGCAGCTATTGTTATGGAAGGTTTATCATATGCATTTGAAGAGGATCATTTAGTGAAAAGCAAAAACAAAGAACCCCCTGTCTTATAAGATTATTGGGATTATGCCAAGAAGTGCTTATTGAATGATAAACTTATTAAGAGAATTAAAAGCTTAAAGTTAGAGTAGATTAGATCAATATCTTTGAAGAATATCTAAAAGTTATAGATTTTTGCTAAAAATCCCTTATTTGAAAAGGATAGAGTATTCAACGCATCAAAGGCAGCAGGGAATCTAGCACTTTGGATAAGAGCAGTTCTGGAATCCTATATGGCAGTTGAAATAATAGAACCAAAGAAGGCAGAGTTAAAGTAAGCTGAAGAAAAATTGCAATAGGCTGAAGAACTTGTCTAAGAAAAGAAAAATGCTTTGGAGGTTGTATTGGAAGAGTTACACAATTATTAAATAGAATATAATAGGGCTAAGGCAGAAAAAGAAAGAATAGAAGAGCAAGTTGTTACTATCAGTTCTTAATTGTAGAGAGCAGAACAATTAATTGCAAATTTAAGTGAAGAAAAGTCAAGATGGTAATTAAAAGCATAACAATATAAAGATAGCTAAAAGTATATTATAGGTGATTGCATGCTTAATTCAGCCATTATTGCTTATTTAGGAGTATTTCCTATACAGTATAGAGAAATTTGCTTAGACTATTGGAAATCTAGATTGTAGGAATATGATGTCTAAATCTCAAGCCATTATTCATTACAAAATCAGTTAAGTGATCCTGTACAAATAAACAGATGGCTTCAATAGAAATTACCTAATGATTAATTTAGTATTGATAATGCCATCATTATGAAATAATCAACAAGGTGGCCACTAATGATAGACCCATAACTCTAAGCAAATGAGTGGATCAAGAATATGGAAAATCAAAAAAGCTTAATCATATTTAATGCTATGTGGCCAATCAATTAGATATAACTATAACTTCAACATGCTATTTAAATTGGTTACGCTGTTTTATTAGAGAATGCAGGATAAACCCTGGATCCATTGTATGAATAAATATTACAATTCAACTAATAAAGAGGACAAAGGAATTTATATATCAAGTTTGGTGATAAGATGATAGAATATTCTAGTGACTTTAGATTTTATATCACAACTAAACTATCGAATCCTCATTATCAGCCTTAAGTTTGTGTAGTAGTGACCATGCTCAATTTTTAGGTTACTTAAGAAGGATTGATAGATTAAATGTTGAATATCGTTGTTAAAATTGACGAACCTTTGAAAGATGAATAGAGGAATAAAAACATTTCTTAATATGTGATTAATAAGAATAAGTAAATACAAACTGAAAATCTAATCTTAAAATTATTATCTGAAGCCTCAGGGGATCTCTTAGAAAATGAAGTTCTAATCAAGACTTTATAGTAGTCAAAAGATGATGCTTTCGAAATTGAATAGAGGTTATAGAAATTGGAACATGATCAATTACTTTTCAATTAAATTAAGTCATTTTACAATCAAGTTGGTGAACTAGTTTCAAATATCTACTTTATTGTAAATGACTTATCCATAATTGAACCAACCTACTTGTGGTCATTGGAATTTTACATCTAATAATATTAGAGATCAATTAAGGAGGCCTAATTTGGCAAATAGAAAAGAGTGTAAAATATCATAGAGAGATTTCTTCATCACATTTACACAACCATAAATCGATCATTATTGGATAAAGATAAATTCATATTTAGATTTCTGTTTTGTTTAAAAGTACTAAACATACCAATAGAATAAATTAGAACTTGCGTTATTGGTCCCTCGATAACTTAAACTGATTTAAAAATGCCCAAACATTATGATTGGTTGACACCAAAGATGTGGTTAGGTTTGGTTGATTTAATGGAGAAGTATCCTAAGGATTTTGGATGGTTGAATTAAGACATGGAAGAAAATCATCAATTTTGGGACGGGTACTTTTATAGTTAATAATCATATAAAATACAAATACCTTAGATTGTAAATTAATTCAATTCTTTGATGTTGATAAAGATTATAAAACCTGAACAATTTATTAATAGTTTCAATGAGTTGGTAAGAACCTTAATGGGTAAGCAATTCTTAGAGAATATCCCATTTACATTTGAATAGTTCTATTAAGAGTCCACTCCCACAACACCCTTATTATGTTTAATCTAACCAGGCAGTGATGCAAGATAAGAAATAATATAGTTGGCAGAAAAATTAGGATACTAAGATCATATCTATACGGTGTCTTTAGGGTAAGGTTAAATATAGTTGGCGTTGAAATTGATAAAGAGTGGTTTGCATTAAGGTAAGTGGGTTTTATTATAAAATTGTCACGTTGCCCAATCCTTTATGCCAGAGTTAGAGCAGTTATTTGAAAATCAATTTAAAGGTCAGCATATAAATAAGGAATTCCGATTATGGTTAACAAGTCAACCTACAAATTTATTTCCACATAATGTTTTACTAAAAAGTAATAATTTATTATAATATTTATAGCATTGAAATTGACATATGAATTGCCAAGAGGTTTAAAGAACAATATGTTAAGATCATATTTCCAATAAGACTAAGAGAAATTTGAATAATGTAAGAAATAAGACGAATGGAAGAATTTATTCTTTTCTTTGACTTTATTTCATGCATGTATTTTGGAAAGAAGAAAATATGGTCCTTTGGGATGGAATGTGAGTTACAATTTCTCATAACATGATCTCGAAATATCAAAAGAATAAATTCTCTACATTCTGAATCATCAAAATGAAATTTAATGGGATGCATTACAATATTTAGTTGCTGAATCAAATTATGGTGGTCGAGTGACAGATCCTTAGGATAGAAAACTGTTGAATATACTGGTACATGAATTCTTAAATGAACACACAGCTAAAGTAGGGTATGTGTTTAGTGAATATGTTAAAATACCAGAATCTAATAATATACTTGGATATATTAACTATATTCAAACTTTGCCAATTGAAGACCCTCCATAACTTTTTGGTTTACATTCAAATGCTGAAATATATTGCTCAATTTTATAAGTTGATCACATCAGTTAAGAAATCTTGTAGGTCTTACCAAGAGCAATTGGAGCACAACAAAATACTGATTATATTTCCAAGCAAAAATGCAAAGAAATCATTGATTTATTGCCATAACAATTCAATCTTGTAGAATTGGAATAAAAGTATCCCATTTTATCGAAGAATTCTTTGAATACTGTACTACAATAAGATGTTGGTAGATATAACAAACTATTGCGTACAATAAATTCATCTTTGTCTAATCTTATTAAATAGATAGATGGATATATTAATATGTCTGATGATTCCTAAGACATTCTTGGAAATATTATGGATAACAAAGTCCCTAATGAATGGTTGAAACACTCATATTAGACAACGAAACCATTAGCAACATATATCCAAGATTTATTAGATAGAGTAGCCTTTATTCGAAAATGGATCATCCAAGGAGAACCAATCATATATTGGTTAGGTGGTCTGTTTTTTATACAAAGTTTTTTAACTGGAATTCTACAAAACTATGCTAGAAAACATTAGATACCAATTGATGAAGTTAAATTTGACTATGAATTCCATTAGAATAAACCAACATAGAAGCCTGAAGATGGATTTTACGTTGAAGGCATTTATATTGATGGTGCTAAATTTGATTTTAAGACTAATTCAATCGAAGAACCTGAAAATCTAATACTTTACTACAACTCTCCTATCATACACTTTAAACCTACTTTAGAATAATAGATATTACAGAACTATGCATGTCCATTATACAACACAGTTTAGAGAAGAGGAAATGTGACTAGCACTGGAGGATCAGCCAATTTCATTTGTAATATTAGAGTACCAATCCGCCAATCTGATAGCCATTGGACAAAAAGAGGAGTAGCCATGATTCTATAATTAAATTGATTTATATATTATTATGATTGTATGATTAGAATATTCTTATCAACTTTTATAGTTGGTCAATGATTATGAACATTATCCATATTTCTCTTAAAATTCTCTAACAAATAATTAGTCTTTATATTTAGATGAGATCATAACTATACTCTCAATGATTTGACTTAAAGGTCTGTTTATATGATGAATAATTTGAATAATTTATTTAATTTAAAACTAACATAAAATTAGCAATAATTATGAAGATTAAGTAATTATTTGTTAATTCTTTGATAATTAAAAATTAGAATGATTTATTACTTAGTCATTTGATGAGTTATTTTTGCATCATTTGATTTATTTAAAGTCAAGTATTTTTAAATGAGTTTTATAATTGGAATTTATAAGGAATTAGATTAGGGGATTGTTTGAAATATTAGATGTTAAGAATATAATATTATAAATATTTGTTTAAATATTTTCACAAAGAAATATAATAAATATGAATAGATAGTTTACAAAAGAGAAGTCTAGAAGCAATGAGGGGAGGAATGAGAAGAGTGTTATATTATCAAATTGTATAATTATATTTATATGCTCAGATATCACCAAGAAGGACTTGGAGCAGGTTAGTGGAATATTATAACCATAATTAAGAACTTTAAATTTCGATGAACTAACTAATGTATCTAAATTATATATAAAGCATAGGGAACGCTCGATGATCATATGAGTTGCCAAACATTTTTGCATTGCTTGCCGAATCAAGATAATTTGGATTCCTTGAGTGATGATCATATGTGTCCATACAAGAGAAAATATATAATTGACCAATTGAAGAATGTCATCAATTAAGGATAGGGTAAACACCTTAAACATTATATAGGAATTAATCTGTCATTGCTGAGAGCATTGTAAAAACGAACTGATTCCTGTGAGAAGAAAAGTGATATCAATGCCTTAACTGATGACGAAAATATCTCGAATAGAGGATTGGAATAAATTAAGACAGTCATGGATAAGTATTAGGAAAGATAATAAAAAATTCAAAGATATAAAAATAAAAGAAGAAATTGGGAACGAAAAATATCTTACTCAGGAAGGTCATAAGTTGCTGAACAACGATTGAGAATTAAAGGCAGATTCATAAGTAAAGAGGATTAATAATCAATTAAAAAATTGATAAATAACAAGTAATCAGAAGATTTTTATGATAAAAAACACAATCTTAATATCGAGAAATTTCATTTGCATACTAAACTATTTACATATGCAGAGGACCCTAAAATGATTCCCAAAAAATAAATCTTAATGGACATCAGGGATGAGTATCAATTTCAGCAATAACAACTAAAGATACTAAAATCAATCAAGACAAAAACTAAAATTTTTTAGATTGTTTAGAAGTAAAAATCTTGAAACAATTATATTATATAACAAGATATTAATTATTATGTTAATAAATTGATATAAATGGAATTAGAATTAAATTATAAATATATAGATCAAAATTGAAGTTACTACTTATTTCTTGAATCAGGCTTTGACTTAACATTAGTGAATGTTTGCTTAAGAAGATTTTCAAAGTTTGTTTATAACTAAAGATTTGTTAACCCTTGCTTTGGATTTTTTTTAAGAGTCTTTTTAATCAATTTATCTAATGTTGCCTTGTTCAAAATGACGTTGTTATTATTTTTATCTTAATCTTTAGTAAAATAAAACTAAGAAGAGAACATAGGTTGAAAGGCAATGTTTTACTTCTGTTCTCTTTAGAGTTATTCAAAAAAGTATTTATCATTTTAACTCAGTTATTTGATATTCAATTTTTGAAGATCTGGAATGTATGGAGGTTTAACTTGTTTATTAATAAAAGAGGCCAAATCTACATCCTTAAACCATTTGTGTGAGAAGATTTCGTCAATTCCAAAACGAGAACCTAATCTTTTATGAGGATCTTTGACCATCAATTATCTTATTAAATCTTTAATATCTGTACTTAGATAATCTGGAAATTCAACCTATTCCTTAAGCAATCTGGCATATATGATATTTTTGTCCTCAGCGTAAAAGGGAGGCAATCCAGTAACAAATTCATATAATAGACATCCTAGACAATAATAATCAACTAATTAAGTGTGACCTGCTGTTTAAAACATTTCAGGGGCCATATACTCTGGTGAACCACAGAATGAATAAGCACATGTATCTTTGGTCATATTAGGTCTAGCCAAGCCAAAATCAGCCAATTAAATGTGACCACTAGAATCAATTAGAATGTTCTCTGGTTTAATATCTCTATAAATTATTTATTCATTGTGTAGGAATCCTATGGCTAGGATAACTTCAATGATGTAAAATTTGGCTTGTTATTCTGAGAGTCTTTGGAGTCTTTTGATGAAATTGAACATTTCTCCTCCAGGACAATATTCGATTCCAAAAACAATCCAATTCTTAGTTTCAAAAGCACATTCAATTTGATTAGTAAAAATAGAACCACTATAAGTACTTTGAATTAGAATGTCTCTTTCATTCAATATTAGATCTTACTTTTAATGCTACAAGATAAATTATTTATTAATCAATTTAAGAGCTATAAATTTGCCATCTATCAATGACCTGGCTAAGATGACGGTTGAGAATCCGCCTTTGCCAATAATGGAAATGAATTGAAAACTACTTAGATTGATTCGTTTAATGTTTTAATTATAAATAGGCTTCAACCTAATTGTTTTATTGATAAAAGAATCCATTGGTAAATTTGGTTGTTATAAATAGTAATCAATAGCATAGTTCTCATCCAATGTTGAGAATCCAATAATCTGAATGTTGTTGTTCTGTTGTTTTTATTTCAAGAGATTAGTTATTTTATCAGTAGTGATTTAGGGAGTGAAACGATAGTTTTGAACATCTTCTTATGAATAGTGAACATAAATTGATATTTCTTACTTCTGAATTTTATCTTGAGATTGTGATTTTCCAATTCCAGTATACATCGCACTCCCAATTAGTTCTTCCATACTATTTCTTCTTGTCATTGAGCCTTAAATAGGTTTGAGTTATTGACTATTTTATTGTTAAGGATTCGAGTTTTTCTATGTGAGAAGTAAATTAACACCCTTTGTGATGTGGAAAAAATTTTCAGTTGGAATGCGTAATTATTTGCTTATGGGTCTTACTTTATCTTTTGAAACAGACTTTTGGGATTTCTATAAGCTATTTACTCTTTCAGTCAAGCTCCCATTATTTGTTTTGGTAATATAATTTGATCTAACAACAAAATCCTCAATGACACCCTGGGATATCTTTCTATTGGGAAATCTTTAAGGAGAGATCAAAGTGTTCTTAGAGATTTAGGTTTTTTACTAAACAGCCAATCTTGATGGAGAAATTAGTATTTAATGTTACATAATTATATTAATAATCCAAATATTAAATGTTAAAACACCAGGATGAATTAAGAAAATGAAGTTAACTAGACTCAGTTAAATAACATCCTAAGAATTGAGTGGGAGTATAGGGATTGAACAATTTTTATTGTTTCCTTATAAGAGAATAATATTAATTGATAGGAAACCTTAGATTTTATAAAAAGGCTTAACTTACGATTAATAATCATATTGGCAAATTGGATGATATAATATCTATAAAATAAGTAACATATCTCCTTTGAATTTTCTAATAAAACTAAATGACATTTTCATTTTAATAATTATTATTGGTCACTTTGACTTAAATTTTTAAAAGATAATGTAAAAGGCAGAGTTCTGTAGCTTGGTTGGAACTGTAGGATATTCATTAAAATTAAGAAAATGAAATTTTCATATCAATTTTAGTAAATAACTAATTTGCATAATGTAACGACTGGTTTTATTATATAATAATGGAAATTGTGATTTTGTATTTAGATTGAAAAGCCCAAAGAGTTTAATTATTGAGACATCTACAATTAAGATTTAGGAAGAGTAGAAACAGCAGTTATAAAAAAAAGTAAAGTGGGGAATATTAATTTATTTGTTACATTTTTTCTTTTTAACATGAAGGATAGGATGAAACTCATTTAGTGTTATCTGAAGCAAGGAATAATTGATTATAATTAATGTAATCAGAATAAAGTGAAGAATACAAACAGTCTTTAGAAATCACATAGATTTTCTATATAGGTTAAGATATTTGATATAATCTATTTTAATAAATATGGGTAATCTCAATAATATAGAAGAGGTTTTAGTCATAAGTTTAAGTTAATGGAGGAAATTCTAGAAACAATTTTTGAATGTATAAAAATATATTAAATATTAAAATGTAATAAGCTATTCCTAATATAACACCAGAAGTTAAATAAAGATTGGAAGATTAGGGATTCAAGCCATTTAAATACAGACCTTTGCCAGAATATGCAAATCCACATTCACTTTAATGTATACTCATTCTTACATAGATTGGCTGACTAATGCTGGTTTAGGACTCGTTTGTCTTGTTGGCAGACATTATGCTACATCCCAATAATCCATTAGAATAATATGGTCTGCATCTGCTGTATTCATTCCTCTATACGCCATTGCTACAAATGCTAAACTTGATGGATTGAGATAAAACAATTTTTATAGGTTTCCATTTCACCATTCAACTTTAGAAAAACATTGGATGATAGACTTGAATTGCATCCATTGACCAGGAGAGCTTGGGAAAGAGCCAAGTAAACTCACAAGGAGTATTAGGATCAATTGAGAGAGGAGATTGCTACTTTGGAAGCAGAGTTAAGGAAATGAAATTATTGCATATAAAAATAAATTATATAATCATGAATTATTAACTTCTAACCAAGGCAGCATAAGAGTTTTAGTAGTAAATTTACAAAGTAAGCTACGAATTCATCAACAATAAGGAAATAGAATTCAAACTAGAAATATTACACTACAAGAATAATGTCGTATATTAAAATCTTAATATTGATACAATCAAATGAGAACTGTATTAAATATTCAACAAGAAATTGATCATATGTTTATTTATTGAAGAAATCAAAGATTAAATGAAATTAAGTGAAAACAAATGAAAACAACATCAACAATATTGAGTCCAAAAATAACTGATGAAATCTCTATTAAACTATGATTAAAAGATATAATTCATATGATATCTCTCTCCCTATTATTAAATTAAGAAAAAATAAACGAACAAAAACTATTACTTGTATCTTAAATAATAAAAAAAACAGTATAATTGAGTTAATTACTTTAGTCAATCTAACCCTGGAGTATAGCCTGACTCTGCTTCTTCCATTTCACTGAATTTGAATACTAGTAATAAAATATCTAATAAACTGATAGCTATAAATAAAAAATAAATAGTAGAATGGAACTACTATCTAAAGTAAAGACTCTTCAACAAACTTAATGCTATAAGAAATTACATCTCAGACTATTCCGCAAATGAGATACAGTTTAATAATGATGATATAAAAGTAGAAGGGAAGCTTAAAGATGATGCGTAAGAAGAAATCAATAATTAAGTTTACTTTATTGTTATAAATTTTTGCTGTTTTAATCATATGGTTTTTTTATGATGAAGATATTCTATGATTTTTATCTATTATTTTATTGTTATTATTATTATATGGAGGATTAGATTGATAACGAATTTCTTGATGAAAATCCAGAAAACCAAGATCTAGAATCGTGTGATCTTTGCAATAGGAAGTTTCATCCTGAAAGAATTGAAAGACATCTTATCGCTTGTCAAAAAGCACAATAAAAATAATAAGAAAGGGATAAAATAATATAAAAAAAGAAAAAACAAAATGAACAAAAAAAATAGCAACTTCAATAAGTGGATGTTGAAATAGTTAAAACTAATTGGAGGGAGGAACATCAAAAATTTCAAGAGTAAATCTAGTATAACCGAAAATTAAAATAAGTAATAACAGCATAATATATTAAGTTAGAAACTGAAGGATAAGATGTCAATTAGTTAAAACCATTAGAAACCAAAGTAAATTCCAATTATGTTTTCTGCGAATACTGTGAAAGGCATTTTGATAAACGTAACAATTAAATATCTATCTCTTAGATGTTGCTGAAAGACATATACCTAAGTGTAAAGAAATCATAGCCAAGCCTAAACCTCCTAGAAAGAAGACTGTTGAAATGATCCAACCTTCCTAGCCATCACTTTAAGAGAAAAGATAAGCCTAAGTTAGTACACCATCTACTTCCAGTTAAATGGAGAGGAAACCTATTATCAAAAAACAATTATCAGATTCATCATAACAATTTAGACCTACTAGTTTATAAAAATTTATAGCGGAATAATCTGGCAAAGCAAATTTAACAAATATAGGTATCGAATCATGTTCTAAGCAGGTTTTATCGATTGCAAGGCAAGAGCTACTGCTATCTAAGATACAGAATGTCCACATTGTAATAGAAGATTTATATCCAGGGCAGCAGAAAGACACATTCCAATTTGTGAAAAATTAACAAGAAAACACTCTTTTCGTATTACTATTTAATTAACAATTAAGAAATCAAATATCAAAATAGAAAGAGTGTTCCCATCAAACAAAATAATTTAATGGTGTTGACTCCTACAGCTATTTTACCTTAGATTTAAAGAAAAACCAATAAGTAATTAGAAGCTGGAACTCTGCCTCCTATTGGAAATAGTAAAAAATTTTGCACAGAATGTGGAAATAGATTCTAGGCAAATCATAAATATTGTGGTGGATGTGGACGTAAAAGAGAACCTGAAATAGTAATTTGAAATAACACATTCATGACACACTTATTATTTTATAAATATGATACAGTTTTTCTAGTCTTAGTACTTTATTATCTTTTATTAATATTCTACTTGAGTCCTATCAAATTCATATACAAATGTTATCTGCTAAATGAAAATACTAATTATACATTTTATTTTTGATAAGAAATAAATTTATAAATTCTAGTTTGGTAGATTTCTAATAAAAATAAACTATTTAGATGAGATTTATCATAAATCATCATTATTAACAAAGGTCCAGCCTCCTAAATGAGCTTTAGATTCATCTACTATACTCTGCATGTCAAACACATTTCCATCGATTTTGGTATTGATTCTGATTTTTCTATTTGGTTTTGGCATCGCCAATTCTCTATTATAAACAACCTCCCAATTGACATCTTGAAAATATTGATGTGCTTTGATTTCTTCTGAGTCCCCTTTGCCTGAGCCTAGACGCTTGGCTGGATTTCGTTATAACAACTATTGAAATTATAGTAAATTGATACTGCTTTTAATAGATTTTTAGCCTCATTAGAAATATATGAAGGTATTTTGAGTTAAGCATTTTCAATATTATAAAACAATTCCTCTCTATTATTGGCATAATAAGGAGGTAATCCAACCAATAATTCATACATCACAACCCCTAATAAGTACCAGTCGACTGCTTTTCCATGACCAGATCTCTTCAACATTTCAGGTGCCAAATATGCAACTGATCCACAAAATGATCTAGCACCAGTATTAGGTTCCAAGATTCCTTCTTTGGATAATCCAAAATCTGTCAATAGTGCATGACCTTCAGCATCCAAAACAATATTATCTGGTTTCAAATCTCTAAATATTATATCTCGTTTATGTAAATCCTCTAAGGCTAAGACAATTTCACAGAGATAGTTCTTTACTATACTTTCAGGGAGTCTCTTCTACTTTTATAAGACTTCTCCTAAATCTCCTCCTGGACAATAATCTAAAATCATGAACAATTTATCCTAAGTCTAGAATGCAAATCTTAATTTAACAATGAAGGGATGTGATGTAATTGACAATACATTCCTTTCTGTTAAAGCATATCTAGTCAGATTATGTTCTAATTGTATTATAATATAATTGTACTCATAATTCTGCTCTTATGAAGTACTTTCATAGCATATAACTAATTGTTTTTCTAAACTAAATATACTTCTCCAAAACTACCCTTTCCAATTAATCCAATCACTTAGAACTATTAGGGTCCAATCTTCTCTTCTTCCTTATTCTTAATAGAATCAGAGTTTGTCGAAACGGTATTTGTTAATTATTATTTGTTAGAATGAGTTGAGTTTATTTTATTTAATCTCTCCTATTTAATTTCTTATTAAGTTCGATTGTTTGGAGAAGATGATTGTTTGTTAACAATATTTAAATTTTTACATGAATAACTATTTAATTGTGTTGGAGTTTAAGCAAAATTCTGTTACGTTTATGATTGAATTCCTTGTTATTGTTATTAATTCATCTATCCTCTTTTATATTAAAACATTTTAAGAATGACATCATTTTAAGTGTTTTATATTTAGACCATATTCATCTTCTACTCTTAAATTAAGATATACAAATGACTTACATTATTTTTTGATGTCCTCATTGTAATTCTAGAATAAACGTTGGATTTCTTCGTTTTGCGCATATTATTCAGCACTTTTATGTTCTTTGTTTTTTTTAAATTAAAGCGACTGTCTTTTTAATAACAATTAGACAATTGCCTTATGATTTGATTTACAAGCATAATGTAATGCTGTATTTCCTACAGAATCTTAGTGATTGATGTCTGAACCTGCATTCATCAAGATCATCAAGACTTCTTCATGTCCACTAATATGTTAATAATTAATTCAATACTTGATAGCAGCTAAAATTAAAGGAGTCATGTTATCTTTGTTTTACCCATCAATAGCTATTTACTTAAATATTAATGCAGATGTCAATTAGGCATTCCCATTTTTGGCTGCATAATGAAGTGCTGTGTTATCTAACATATCCTTAGCTGAAAGAGAAGCTCTTAGTTCTGAATTGATCTTCTGTCTGGGAGGTAATTTTACTAAGATTTATGGATATCATTTATACAAATATTATGAACTAACGTAGGTTCCAATAACTAGAGACATCCTCCCGTATTATTGTTCTTACTCTCTTTAATGAACCATTAATTTAATTATTTTTTTATGTCTTCTAACTCACCAGTCCTTGGAGATGTTGTTTCTACTGTTTTTGTAATACCCTAACTAGAAATTGGTATTTTAGGTTCATCAGCTTAACTTGTTTATCTCTTTGAACTCGATACTTTCCTGTTCTAAAAGAAAGGAATCAATTTATGTTAAGAGTGAGAACGATCAGTTGATGACTTGGTTTGTTATTTTAATTGAGAAACTGTCTTAGGAGTCATTATCTTTGAGGCATTTGATTATGATTTTGCTTGGCTTAGTCTCCTATTATTAGCATCTTGGATTTGTTTCAATTTATCAAGATATTCCTAAAGGCTTGGCTTGCTATTACTGTTAATATTCATTTATTATTTTTCTAAAATATAAATAATATAATAATTTATAATTATCACTTTGCATATCATCAAATTGATTAATTCTATGTTCAATTTCCTTTTTCAATTGTAAAGGTTAACTTAGTGTTTGAATTTGTAATTCAACGATACCATTCATATATCTTTATCATAAATCAATTAAATTTCTATATTCATATATATTATATTAGTATCATCATTGTTCTCTTTACTTTATCTAATTATCTTCATAATAAACAATAGCATTATTATTTCTTAAACATACATCATTGTTTGAATTATCTTTCTTTCTTTTAAACAGCTTTCACATTCAAATTACATAACTTACTATATGACAAAACTAATTAAAATACCTACATGAATAGTATATTATAGTTAACATAAGAGTTTAACAATTAATTGATGGAACCAATCCTTTAAAATGAAAGGGAAATTTCAAATTACTTTTAATTATCAATATTATGGATAATTGATGTAAAAATATCAAAAAAAAATCATAAATCACTTTTATTTATATATCAACGTTTTTACTATAATTACTACTATTTCATCATTCTTAGTCTTTTTGATTGCTCAATGGAATCAAAGTAGTGTGGTTAACAATTTTACTATTAGTATCTTTAATCTTATTATTATTATAAAGGTTGTGTTCTTTCTTACATCTAATTCAAATCTTAATTATATTGTTAACGTAATGTTTCTAGTAAGATATTAATAAATACAATAAAACTAGGATTATTGAGTTTATTGCTATTCTAAAATATTTTATGCTGGTTTCAAAGGCCCATATACAAACCTATCCTTATCATCTGCTGGATTATATAGAAATGGGTGAGGATTGCCTAATTATACAATTAATTATTACCAGAAATGGACTTTTAATACTCTATTTATTCCTAAGTCAATGGAGGAGAGGATTATGGATAATATTTAATGTTCTTATTGTTCAAATGCTTTATTTCATATTGGTTTAATGTTTATTGCATGTCTAATATTACAATAGATCTTACTTCCAATAGTATCCTCGATGCCACCCAATTATTGTATATTTTATTTGAATAGTTTAACTTATTCAGGAGGAGAAGGATCGTTTATTGCTTAGAGATATTGAATTTATCTCTTTTAAAATTCACTGACATCATGAGGGTCTTTGAAATATGTGGGCTACTTAATTATTTGACCTAACTAATTTGAATTAACATTAAAGTCTAAATAATTATTAGGCACAGGAACGAATTAACTCCCCAACATGTGATCCATCAATAAGTGTTTTTATTGAATGGGCTTGTTATTCTCTTATTGAACCTTAGCATTTTCTAGAGTCTATGAATATTGGAGTAATTATCTAAATAAATTGTTTCACTACCCTGAATCTGCTAACAGAGTTTAACGAGAAAAATGATCAAGCAAAGAATTTTGTTATGGGATATTCAATTGTTATTGATAATAAGTGGGTACTTAGGGATATGCTTAGCCAAGGTTCTAGCAAACACTAAAATGAGATGTAAGTGATACTCTCGATCATATTATTCCATAACTTATGGGAATTGATCAGGATGCTTTATGTTAGGGTTTTAGCAGAAGTTGGAAGCGCTTTATTTGAAATCTAAGTAGAAATTTCTTATATTTACAATCCCTCTCCATTTAATTGGTTGTTATATTTAATAATAATACTTAAATAATTATAATAATATAGAGAAATTGGGTATCTAGAATTCTTTATTATGTAAAGGAAGATATTTAATAATAAGATCATAAAATACTAATTTGACTTTTCATCATTAAAGAATTCTAATTTTGGAGAGAATACTTCTGATAAATAGTCTTTATTTTCTTCTTATTTTTCAAAAGACCAATCTTCCAATTTGAAATCTGAAACTTTTGGTTGTATATTTAATACTTCTAATTTTGATTGTGGGATTTCAGTAGCTTGTTATGAAAAGATTTGTTAAAGCTATTCCTACTTTTCTGACTTCTAATCAACAGATTAAACTTATTGTTGCCTCTTCCTTCTTTGCTCTTCAAACTTTACTTTCTACAATTATCTCATTCACCTAATATTTGATATCAAAATTTCTGATAAATTCATCCTACCAAGCCTTACTAGCCTTAAAGTTTGGAATGCTAAATAATTCTATAGCTTTCTGTTTTAACTAAGATCTCCTAACTCTTCTTCTCAATTCCACACTCTCTTTAATGATCCATTATCTGAGTTCCTCCTCTGCCTTAGTGTTGAGTTTCTTTCTTCCACATCCTGGTTTGCGAGCGATTCCATCTTGATACCATCTTCTTAGGTTTTTAATTGAGGTGTTGTATTTCTCACTCAAGATTTAATACATCTCAAGGGATGAGTCTTTTTGTAAGCTCTCTAATATATGTTGTTTGTCATCCTAACCCAAGATATTGTATTTCTTCAAGGCTTTATTCTTCTTATTTTAACGCTTGGTATTGGAGTTGCTGCTATTGTTATAGTTCATTAGAAGTGATAATATTATTAAGGAATTTTATTAAAAGGGGGAGGTTAAGGTTGTACAAATCCTTGTATTAATTGGTATATTTATAATTATAATTTTAACAATCTTACAATTTAAAATTTAAACTGCATAACAAAGGCAATTATAGATTAGTAATAAAATTGCAAATTTAAAAAATATATTATATATATATATTAATATATCATCAATAACATACTCTCTGATCAGATTCTCTTGATGTTGTCGATCAACAATATTTCACTTCATCAACGAGATATCATTGTAATTTATTTCTCAGTTGTTTTAAGATAATGATGACTGTATGATTAATATTTAAATGTTATCTCTCGTCCATCATAGGACAGCTTATAACAAATTTTAAATGCCTGCATAGATATAACATTAAAATCATTATTTCTTCACTTGTTTCAATGCTCCTTTCTTGTTAGGTTTTTTGAATGCCCAGTCAACCTGAATCTTTTTGCCGCAGATTCCATCTGATTTGTTAACACCATTCAAAGCATCCTAAGCGTGTGCAAATTCACTAAACTCAATCAATGCATAACTAATAATAATTATTTAGCTTCTACCCTTTAACAAAGCCAGTTCTTCTATCAAGATTCAAATGAAGATTCTTAATTGGACCATATTTGCTGAATGCATCAAATACATCGTCTTCTTAAGCTTCTTCATGAATTCCCTTTGCAATTAGAATCCAACCCTCAACAGCTAAATTATATAATTTAATCTTCTACATTTCATAGGTCCTGGTCCATCATCACTTTCCAAAGACTAGAAGTTACCTGCCTCTCCTTTGTATCTATCAGCATTGTCACTTACTTATTTTTTAGACATTAATTTATTTAATATATAGAGAAAGCATTAATTTATAAACTTCCATTTTCTGAAATCAATTGGAGTAGGTTCTAAACGAATTATAATGGCCACACCAGAATTGTATTGTTAAAAATTAATAGTTCTATTATTAGATGATTTTTAAATACACTGATTGTAAATACTATAATGTAATTATATTTTTCATTTCTAAAACATCTTTTATATTTAGCCTACTGCTATGCTATGATAACTATTCTTGTATAAGTTGAATATTCTCTATCCTAAATCTGGTTGCTTTTCAGCCAAAACTCTATATACAGGATTTATGAACTTCATTCTGCCATTCATACTTAAAAATTAACTCAACTTATCTCTAAATTAATATTAATTTCTTCATACCCCAAAGCACTTGGATAACCACACTCTATTCCATAAATTAAAATTCTATGTAAAATCTCAGGATTATTAGAATCAAGCAGTTGATACTCCTCATCCAAATTCTTTAATGTGTTTTAGTCAATTTAATTGTTGCCTAATAAATCCAAGACATAACACTTTTCATTTGAATGTAACTCTTAGAAATCCTACAAAGGCAACTTATTCTAAAAGAGATCATCAGCTAAATTTTAGTATTTTTTAGTAAATTATGGATCTATTTTTAATGAATTTTTAGGCAAACCAGGCTCAACAATCCATTACTACCATTGAAGATCCACTCCTTAAATATTATTTTCAAGAAGAAATCTCTTTAAAAGAGTTCTGAATTAATCCGAATTCAGAGTATTCTAAGAAACGATTAATCTTATAAACTCTTAGAATTTCACTTCTCCAATCTAAGATTCAAGCAATCTCAAATACTAACATCCTTTTTCATAAGGAATTGAAGAGAAACAGTCATCTGGATTTTGTTAGTTGATTTTTGGAGATAAAGACGTATAAGTGTGAGTTGCTCCAAAGCTACTTATACTTTTCTATAAATCATTATCCTAAATATAATATTTGAAAATACTCCTAATAAGCCATGTAATGTCTATTGATCTTTTCCAAAAATCTTGCCAACCATTTTATTCTCAATAAAAGTAGTGATACCCTCATTTAACCAAAAACATTCCCAATTTTAACATGTCATATTATTCCCAGACCATGAATGTATCATCTCGTGTATAACAACAGAGGCCTCACTCTTATCCCCCACAATCAAGGAAGGTGATAAAAATGTCAAATTTGGATTCTCCATCCCTCCAAAAGGAAAGGCCTTTGGTAATACAACAACTGTATATTAATTCCATTTATAGGGTGTTAAATAGTCTTCAATTGTTGAAAGATACTTTTCCATGTCAGAAAATTCATAGCTACATTTATTTATTATAATCGGTTCTGATATTACAAATGTCCTCTCGCTTATTTATTTTTTCTCCAAATCTCCAGCACAAATAGCAAAGAGATATGCAGGTATTGCCACAGGTTAATTAAATTAGAATATGTTCTTGTCTCCCTAGTTAGTTTCTTTGACTATCAATCCTGATCCATATGCTTTTAAAGGAGCAGGAACAATCAATTGTATATCGAAAGTTGATTTCATTGATGGACTATCTTGACAGGGAAACTTATTGAATACATTAAATATTTACTAATGATCTTGCATAAATTGGCTCTGATTGGGTAAATAAGAAAGGATGCTTACAACCAAATGTTTAAGATGGTAAAAGCCAATTCATAGCTACTTATTCATTCTGTACATTTTATTATGTTGAAAACGTGATTTCAATCTGAAATTCTTCATTTGCTTATTTTTATGTTATTATTTCTAATTGATCTCCCAAGTCATTAACTACTAATTATTTATAATTGAATTGTGTGTCTTCATTATTGACACTTACCTATTGTACATTCAACAGTTTAGCATCTAATAAAACTTTATTAATATCCTTTATAGCCTTCATCTTCAATGTTACACTTCCTATTAGTTATTATTGTTTAAAATCAATTTCAATCTTTATTGATGTGTTCAGTGTTACAACTTCTTCTAAATTAGACAATGAGCATTTATCCAATTAATTAAAAATTGTCCCTTAAATTGATTATTCTTCTGATTGAAATTGGTCAAGAGATTACTACTTTGAATTTTATTTCCTTATTTTAGTTGAAATCAATAGTATTACTCCTATTACACCTAAACCTAATACACCATATACAGATTTCTTGTAGTATTTACTAAGATAGAATAATTTCAAGGTTTACATTAATATTTTTTTATATATTTTATTATGCTATAAGAATTCTAAAATCAGTAACATCATATTAAATGTAAAATATATACTTACCAATATACTAGTATTAGATTAAAAGAAAGTTCATAATTTAATATCAAAACTAGTTATTCAAATCTAAAATGATAATAGATTTATAAACTATATCAAATCGATATAATTTTAATAAAAAATTCATAAACTAAATTAACCTTTGAATTACTACTCTATCTTATAAAATATTTCAATTATAAAGATACATTCTCAAAAGTAATTTGGTTTATTGGAACAACTTATGAAAAAAAGAAAACAATAAATAAACCTTTATTAGATCCTTTGATATATTATTTATTTTAGTTATTTTGTATTTTATAAATTATTCATCTCTTTAAGGAGTTAATCGATTAATCTTATTTGATTTTTTTTACAATGAGACTATAGGTGTCACTGTCTTGATATTGCAATAAGTATGCAACTTCTCTCTTTACATTTTTAGCAGGAAATGACTTATAATTTTGTAATATCTTATTTAATGATTATTGTTTGTCATTACTGACTTATTTAATGTTTTTTTATTTCATTTTTTATGATATCATATTAATTTTTTCATTGTTCTATTTATGATTGTTATTATTATTATTGCTATTATTATTACTGTTATTGTTGTTATTATTATCATTTTCTTCAGATTCGTATTCACTACTTTATTAGTATTCACTACTACTTGATGAAAATGAAGATGAAGAGGATAATTCTTGAATATACTAAACATCAGATCTAAATCATGAATTACCAAATAATACTTCTAAGCTTTTTTAGTTATTTTTTTTAACTTCTTCTGATCCTTTTGTTTTTTTTGGACAGATTTTGTAATTGATGATTTTTATAATTTTTATTATTTCTGTTATTTGGCTTCATTGTTCCAAATAAGAATGTCTTATTCCAACATTCTCCATTTCATTTTCTCTCTCCTCATTAATTGAGAACACAACAATCTCAAATTCTCAAAGTCCAATCTTATTGCTTGCATATCTTTGAAGTTATTCAACTACTATTTTACAAAGGAATACCCAGTTCTCTTATTATTATTTAAATATATATACCTGAAGCTGGCTGGGTTTCTTCCTATATAATTAATCATCTGTTAAGGGACGAACATACTTTTCAAAGATGGAATCCTTAGTTAATTATTCTAAATCCCCTCCACAAATTGTATATAGATCCTTTAATTTAATCATTATATCATTTCTCTGACATCTTGAACAAAAACATATAGCCTAATTTAATTTTGGAAATTACCTAACAAAAAGGACAAACCCAATCTGTCTTCTATATGACTTCTTCTATTTTTATATCATAATTTTATTTCAAACACATTCTACAGAACTTTCGTTGACATATCAACTCACCATCTAATATAATAATCTATATTGATTAGTACTCTTCTTTGAATAAATGCTGTATGCTGTTTTCTTTCTATTTGGAACTTGTCTTCTACTCTTGATGCCCTCGTCATCCACTATGATTTTCAATAATTTTTACTTTGAGTGAACAAATATGAATCAGTTATTGATGAATTGATTATTGGGAGTCCCATGGTTCCACTTCTATAATTACAAGAGATAAGATATTCTTCTCTAAACAACATTTTGCAATGATGACAAGCCTCATATCTTAGCAAAGTAGAATCATTATCACCAGATTAAGATGCTTTAGATTCTTTAGTTAGATTTTTATTTATTAATGGATTAGGCTTCTATCTATTTTATTGAACTTGATTTATTCCAACAAACTTGATTAATACTATAATTCCATACATTTTAAGCGATGTGAGAATATTTAGTTTTCTAAGGGATGTTGTAGAATTTAAATAAAGATGTATCTCTCAATTTATCCAATTCATACATCAAATCTTCATCTATATTTACATATGTAGAATTCAAAGCCTACTCAAATGCCACACAGAACTAATAACCATTAGGAGAATGCACAGAGTTAATGACTTTCACTATTGATTCTGCAGTTTGTCTAAAGTCCAGTTGTTCCAGACTCTTCCTCAGATAAGTCAATAGTGCCTCATTATTATATATAATTTGATTCTTGCTAAGATTATTATTGCCTCGGGCTTGCTTGTAAATGTGCACTTAGGTTCCAAAGACATTTAAAGGTTGTTCACTTTTAATTTTTTAAGTGAGATTTTATAGATCTTTCTTATTAGATTTGTTTAATTGTTGTAATTCATTTGAATACTCTTACAATTATTGAAAGATTTCATCTTTTTGTCCTGTTCTCAGTTCTATCTGTTCATTCAACTTGTCCAGCAATTTATCCAATTAAGCATTTTCTTGTATTAATGAACTCAATTATAATGTACACAATACCTGATGTCTTTTCATTTAAACTTAACCATTGATTTTTGTTTCATGTAATATATTTTCTCGATCTAAGGTATTTTCAGAGCTTTTGCTTTGTGAATGAGACCGCTCAACTTGATGTGCTTCTAAATATTCTCCCAATAAGTTTTATTTTCTGATTAAATCTGTTATTTATTTAAGATTTATCTGGCTTAATAAAACTTATAATCGGCATATTTCACAGGAAATTCTGTCACAATAGCATCATCATTCATAGCTTTGAGATATTCAAGTCTCTCCTATTCAGGTTCATCCACTTTCTTAAAGTACACTTAGTTAATATGTCTCCAAAAATAACATAAAATGTATTCATTCTAATACGAACTGTTGATGTAGGAATTGTTCTATGATGTCCTAATCTTCAGCTTGCGTCTATTTGTAATGAATATTGATCTTACCTGGAGTATTTATCATAAATATCAAAATTCCCATTCTTTTTATCTAACTTTATTATTTTCTCAAGATTATTTTTGTTTTAGTTTTTATCAGCATTCAATTAATTTTCTTCGCTCATTCCTAAAATAATATACTTGAAATAGCAAAATATAAATGTATATAGGAATACGGAAGAATATCGTTCAATATTCTCGTTGTATAACAATACCTTTCTTTGAATTCTTCTCTTACAAAAAGAGTGATATTTATTAAATAAAATAATGAAATCAGGTATAATTTAAATTAATACATTATCTAAATTTATTTACAGGTGCTCGATTAACATTCCCGCACAGACTCAAGAACAAGAGTTGTTATTATACACATATATATTATACACATTATAATCAAAAATATTAACAAACCTTTTATATGCCACTTTTCTAAGAGTTTCGAAACTCTATCGCAGGCGATTTTTTTTTTTCAACTATCTCAAAGAAAGCGCTTAAATAGCTTGTTGGTACATTTATTAGATATTTAATTTATTCTAAATAACATTTATTAATAGTTACTACTTAAAATAATTACAAATGATTTTGTATTTACTACCCTGTTTTGATTAAATAATTCAAAATCATTTTAAATAATTTATCATAAGTGAGTGTTAATTAAGAAGTTATTGACTTATAGATATCGAAATATATAACATCAAGTGTACCTACGGTTTTCTGTATATTTAAAAGTGATTAATGGCCCTTCAAGATCATCACAAATCAGTATATTTAATAAATTGATTAAAAAATTGTGATTATTTTCTTAAAGATACAATTAAGCACTCGTCAGTTTTCAAGGGCAAGTAATTGTACATGTAGAGTTGATATTATCTTTTGAAACATTTTTAAATATTCCCGTTTTAAAGAGATTTATAAATTATATATATATATAAAATTTACTATTTTTATATACATATAATATTGTTTCCAAAATTAATTAAATATTATCAAGTGCTATATACGATTATTTATATAATTTAAATTCAAATTAATGGAAGAACCTAAAGGGATTGTCCGACATATATAGACATTGCAAGATCCACAATTGTCTAGATCATATAGAGGACATGAAAAAACTTACTGTCTGTCATTTGATCCATAAATGAGGTAATTGGCATCTGGAGGAAATGATTCAATAATATATGTCTATAGTTTCAAACCACAAGGCAGACCATTTAAATTTAATGGACATAAAGGAGCAGTGTACAGTGTGCAATTTTCACCAGATGGTTAAATAATAGCAAGTGGTGGAGAAGACAGGACTATTCGTTTGTGGAAGAATTCTGTGTAATTTTATATTAATATGAATTGAATAGTTTAGGAAAGTGCACGGCGATTAAAGGACACATTGGAAGTGTGAGATCTTTATCATTCTCTTCAGATAGCAGTATGATCGTATCCTCATCAGATGATAAAACTATAAAGGGATGGAATGTATTAAAGAACAATTTTATGTTCTCATTGGCAGGACATACTAATTGGGTCAGACAAGCCAAATTGTCTCCAGATTCTAGATTGGTTGTGTCTGGATCAGATGATTCAACAGTTCGTTTGTGGGATGTCAATATATCTAAAGAATTGCAGAAATTCAAATGTGAGGATTCAATATATACAATTGATTGGATCAGTGATGGAACTACAATATGTGCAGGTTAAATGGATGGCAAAATTAAATTATGGGATGCTCGTTCAATGAGATTAATTTAATATTATGAGTGTAGTAAGAAATCAGTAAATACAATTAATACTCATCCTAGTGGTAATTTTCTATTGTCTGGTGATGATGAAAGCAATCTAAAGATATTTGATCTAAGACAAGGAAGATTGGCATGGTCACTGTATTCTCATTCTTAACCTATTAAATAAGTCTAATTTAATTATGCAGGTGATTATTTTGCTTCAGCTGGATTGGATTCAAATGTATTGGTTTGGCAATCTAATTTTGATGAAAACATGAAACCTTGCAATGTTATCAATTTTATTGATAAGAATATATCAAATAATGATTCATAAACATTATCATCTTCAAATTAATTTAAAGTTCCTTAAACTACCTTCAAAGCTAATAAATAATAAAATAAAATCAATTATGAAAACTAGACCAATTAATCTCTGTTGATTAATCAGACTCATCAAAGTCCTTTGGCATAAATGTTATCAACCAAATTTGAGAAAATTGTATCTTAAATGGATCAAGTTACATAGTTGATTGTCTCAATCGATAAGAGAATCACATCAAATGAGGATCAAGTGAAGAAGTTATTATAGGTATTAATATTATATATTGATATTTTAGAATGAGAGAGTCAAATCAATCCTTGGCGTTTATGAAGATTAATATAAGGAACCATATTAGAAGGCTGCTGTTTGGGAGAACTATAGAAACAAGCAATAATAGAACAACAATTAATTGACTTTGCAACAATAGTAACAATTACAAGACCAAGAGCCTGTCTTTGGAACTGGATCATTTATGAGAGACGGTGAATTGGAAGATTTCCCAGAAGAAAGTGAGTAGAAATTGAAGTAAGAGTATGAGGAAGAGAAATACAAATTGCAATAAGAACATATATTGGAAAATGATTAAAATCAATAAACCTTCAACGTTACTGGTGAGTAGAACATATTTCAAACAGGGGCTCTGGATGGAACTTTAAGCAACTAAAATAATTATACTAATACATTTTCATTGACTTTTACTTAGAGATAAAACTTATAAGAGTAATTGAATAATTTAGGAGATTGGAGAGAATAGCTTGAGTAAGTGTAAAGGGAAGTAATGGAAAATTAACAAGATAACGATTAGTTTATAAGGGAGGTTAATGAAGATGACGAAGAATAATAGGAACAATAGGAACAATAGGATGAATAAGATGAATAAGACGAATAGGATATACAATAATAATAGGAACATCAAGGTTAGTAAGTAGAAATTCAAGAGGAAGAACATCCCATTTAGGAAGACTTTTAGGATGAGCAAGGAAATCAAGGAGAGGAGGAAATCAGATATTAGGATCAAGGAGCTTAAGAATGAACTAATTAATATATATCAGTTTTTAATGATTTTCTGTTATCTACCATATCATGATTGGGGTCAAAATATTGTTATAATTACAAATGTGCAATTAGAATAAAAACAGGGGATAGGCTATCAACAATCTTCTATGTTGTAATCCTAGAATCTAGAAGCTAATATATGATGATTACAGTATCAAAGGTCTTTGAAACACTGGCAGTAGACCAGACTGCACATACTATAGCTAATGCATATCCGAAAGATGAACTAAATACATTGAATGATGTTTAAGTACTTTAATTACAAAAATACACTGAGAAAAGATAAGACAACTATTGGTGCCAATCCATAACCTAAATAACTCAATATTTTGTAGAACTCTATCTACTTGCCTTGTTGTTGAATCATAAAGTTCATTAATAAATAGAGTAGCATCCAACCCCACAATCCTATCCCGTAAATATAATTGAAATGCACTTTTCCTGTCTGATGAATTAAATAAGTATTTACTAATAATGGCAATAGGCCCAATGATACAACAATAAGGATGGGACCTGAGAGATCAGGGTCTTCCAAATACTCGCTATCGCATTTTTAGAAAAAGAGCACACTCATAATCCTAGATTTAATGAGCAATGGCGATGTAATATCGAGGTCTAATTAATTACTGGATCTATTGGAGTACCTTCTAATAAAGGTAAGTCTTCTACGGTTTCTTGAGACTGTGATTTCTATGAGTCAAAGAGCAAATGTTTCTCTTCTTGATTTGCCACGTTGTCACCTAATTTAATGGTTTCATTCAATTCATCATTTTCTTTAATGATTAGGAAATGGGATACATATGTCAAAGGGATTACTCTGGTATTGCTTTGGCTTCTCATTTGGATCTATAATACCAAATGGATTTTTGAGTGGCTACATTAAATTAATTAATATGATCTAAAATGGTATTGTATTGAATATGAGATAAAATGGAGCTGAGAATAAAAATAAATTGATCTGCAGAAAAAGTAATTATAAAAATCATCTTGCTTTGATGGATAGTCGTTTTTTAATATTTTTGTTATTATATGAGAAACTCATATTTGCTGTTGATCATTGCCATTACATTAGTACATGTACATGGCTTGGAGGAGTCTCTGACCCTTATGAGTTTGGAGTAGATGAATTCATTGGACACATCCCAATTTGACTGTTCTCGTCCTTAGTCTGAATTCATATAGATGGAGAATTCCTTGTCTTAATGGCAAGACTTGTTGGAACACAAAGATTTCATCGATCATGATATTTAAGTACTTCAAGGCATCCAAGCTAAAGTGGGTCTCAAAGCATCACATAAATAAGTGATCAAATCATTAAGTCAACTTAAATTACCTAAAACATCCACAAAGATAGGTTTGGCTGAAGTTGAAGCACTAAAACAATAATGTGGATGTCTCAAAAATTCTGATGACAATTGTGATGCTCTATTAAAATTGCTATCTTACTTCATCCTTTCCCTAAGAAATGTTTAATCCCAATGCCAATAACATCCAATAACTGTAATTAAAATTAAGGGAAAAATCCATGATCTCCAAGTCATTAGAGGTGGCTGTGGAGGTACCATAGATATCAAAGGTGATGAGAGTTGCGATACTCAATAAGAAACCAAACCAGATGAGCCATCAACTGATCCAATCACTAAACCAACAGAAGAGCCTGCTACCGATCCAATCACAAAACCAACCACAGATCCAATTCCAGATGATCAAAAAGACTCAGAAGATTTTACAGAAGAAACCACAGTTGATACTACAGAAGAAACAGTTGATACTCAAGAAGAAACTGCTGACACTCCTGAGGAAGATCAAGAACAACCATAGCCTGCTGAAGAGACAACTCAACCAGAAGAAGGAGAACCTGCAGTTGATGAAAAGAAGCCAGAAGAAGAAGAAGGTGGAGCTACTGAAGAAACTCAACCAGGTGCTGCAGAAGAATAAGAAGGATCCCCAGAAGAAACATAAGCAGAAGAGGCAGTTGATACACCTGCTGTAGAAGAGGAAGCTGAGCATTAAGTCCCAGAAGAAGAAGGAACAGAGCAATAAACACCAAGTGCTGAAGAAGGGGAAAGCCCACAAGAAGAAGTTGCTTTAGCTGAGGAAATTACTGAGCCAGAAGAAGAAGTTGAGATTTAAGTACCAGGGGAAGAATCTGAAGAAAATCCTGCTCCAGCTGAAGAAGTCTAAGCTGATGATGCTGAAGAAGGATAATCAGAAAGTGCTGAAGAAGGATAAGCAGAAAGTGCTGAAGAGTAAACTGGACCATCTGAAGAGGGTGTAGCTCAAGCAACTGAAGAGGGTGAAGTTGAAGCACCTGAAGAAACAGCAGCATAAGCTGAGGAAGAAGAACTATAAATTGATGAACCAACTGAAGAAGTTGATATCGAAGTACCAGCAGAAGAAGAAGCATGTGCTGAAGAAGAATGGGGTTGGGAAGAGGAAGAAATTGAAGAAGAAGTAAGTGAAGAAATTAGTGAAGAAGAAACACCTTAAGAAAAAGAAAATTAACCAGCAGGAGAATCTGGAGAAGAATAACAAGGAGAAGAGGAATAATAATAATAATAATAACCAGGAGGTGAGGAGACAGAGAGTGGAGAACCTTTAGAATTTGAAGAAGAATAATAAGGTGAAGTTCCTGCAACAGAAGAAACTGCAGCTCCAGGGGAAGAAACTGCAACTCCAGGGGAAGAAACTACCACTACTGATGAAGAGACAACAGATGCTGAAGAGAGCAGTGTTGGTGATGAACCTGTACCTGATGATTAATAAGATGAAGAATAAGAAGTATTACCAGAAGGATGCAGAAAAGTCCCTGAAGATGTTTTGGATATCAGTTGGTAGAGTACAGAAGCAGTAGCTGTAAGTGATTTACCAGTTACAGAGACTTAAATCATTGGATTATCATTCTATTTCAGATGGTTATCAAAATTCCCAGATGCTGTTCCAGAGGGATTGAGTTAAGAAACTAAGTTCTTTGTTGCTGGATTAGGAAATGCATTGAAATTCTATGTAGGATAAGGAGGATTCCATTTCAGTTCATTCGATGAGAATGGTGTTGAAACATACAAGAATGCTGGTCATGGTGATATTGAAGGACAATGGGTACTTGTATACTTCGGTATTTCCAATTAAAAAGTTACAGGATTTGCCTAAATTTAAGGATAAGATGTTGAGACTGTCGAATTTGATGTTAATTTAACATTAGATGAATCTTATCAATTGGTGATTGGTGGACCAGATGGTGATGTTAAATCATTTAATGGTTAAATTGCTAGAGTATTTGCATTCAATGATGAATTGTACACATAAGCAACTGAATTCACTTAATTTGTTACTAAATGCTATGGAATTCCTAAAAACATTTATAGCGGTAAGAGATTAACAATTCCAATTGAGAAGGAGAGAACATTTGTGTCTCCAGCTTCATTTGATTATGATAGTGTTTTTGAAAATAAGAAGCCCATGTTACCAGATGAATATTCTGCCAGTGGTTGGTTCAAATGGGAAAAACCTAATGACTAAAATATCTGGCATTTCAGGATTTAGATGGACTACCAATAATCAAGAGACTAATCAGAACTTCAGAGTTCTTGGAGATAGAGGACTTTCTTTCTTTGTTGGAGATGAAGATAACTTACAGGGACATGTTGCCTTTTGTACATATTCTTACAAGACTGCTAATGGGTATTTAATTTAATTATTGTAGTAAATCAAAGGTTAATGATTGCAAGATGGTTAAGTATGGCAATAAATTGACTGAGTGGCTTCTATGTTTATTTTGGATACAGTAGACACTTGAACAAGGCTTATGGATACATGGAATTCACTCACGAGATGGCTCAAATAGAATTCAAGGATGTTAGACACTATTTTGCCAGCAAAATTTATTTCTATTTGGGATAAGATAAGTTCTATCCACCTTTCAATGGCAAGGTTCAAGGATTCATGTTGAATTTCTTCGATGGATCATACAGAACATCCAGTTATGATTACAGTATTAATTATCTTCATATTGCACAATAGCTTTCGGATATTTCCCAAGACCAGTCTATGAATATGATGACTCCAAGGAATTGATCCCATCTGAACCAGTAGAAAAGAAGAAGTATTTGTCACTTCTTATATTGTAGATGTCCTAAAGTGGTTGAGATCACTGTTGAAAATGCATCTGATGTTTTGTGTGCCTTGAGTAATTATTTGTCTGCAGTTGCACAGGGACATGATCCTGCTTCAGATCCTAAAGCTGAATCCTTCTGTTTCTGTTTGGTCTATGAGGAAGGTATTTATTGATTATTTAACTTAGAAAATGCAACTCCTGATTTGTTGATGTTAGCATAAATCTTTGGTGGAAAGATTAAATAGAAATAATCTAATGTTAATTCCTCAATTAAGAGACTGTTAAGCAGATAGAATGCACTGTTAAAGTGATTGTTAGAACATTCAACATTATTTTATTAATTAATATACTCTCATATTAAAAGTGGATTTTCATAATTTTTCTATATTATTTAATATACCCAACATGAAAATTTTTAAGTCAAAAAAAGATGAACCCAAAAAGAAAGTTACTGTCACCATCGTATTTTAATTTATCTTAACTTAGTAATAACTATCCATGTTATTTATGAAATCAAGGGAATATATTAATTTAGACAAATAGAAAAAAATCAATGAAGCTATGTAGCAGGAAACTTTATTATTGAACATGCTCAAGGCTCCTTAGAGAAATAGGAAAGACGAAGAAACTCAAATCATCAAAATTGTTAATCTTATTAATACTATCGAAGCTTATGATAAGGCAATTATGTAACAAATTTACATTATTCATTATAGTCAAATAGGCAACGTCGATCAATTCAAGAGTCAAATTGTAGCAAGCTAAGGTGACCCAACCAAAGTCTCACAATACATCCCGTAACTTTTCTATCGCTACCATTAGTTATATCGCCAGTGTGTGTTACTACATAGAAAATACCAATGATTTAAGAGGTGCTGTTGATCTCAAATTGCAATTAAATGAATACTACGGATGTGATATTGCCAACTCCTTTGAAAAATCAGTCGATCCCTAAGCTAAAACTTTGTTTGGTATTTTAAATCTCTAATCTCCATCTGTCCAAAAATATGCTTAAGACTTCAGTAAGAAATATTAGATCCCTGATGTCCCAGGATTAAACTATCAACCATAATAATAATAAAATGCTAATTAATATCATCAACCAACATAAGGAGGCTATCCATAATAAGGAGGCTATCCATAATAAGGAGGCTATCCACAATAAGGGGGTTATCCATAATAAGGAGGCTATCCATAATAAGGAGGATATCCATAGTAAGGAGGATATCCATAGTAAGGAGGATATTAACAATAGCAACCTCAACAATATCCATAACAAGGTAACTATTAATAATCATATCAAACATCATAACATCCATAATATCAACAATAAATCCCATAGCAAAATAATTTCTATCCTAATTCTTAAACAAATAATCAAGGAATATAATAAAGTTCTAATCCATATGGATAACTGCAATTTAATTAATAGAATATTTACTAAAATAATCCAAATGTTTATTAACCTTAGATTTCTCAGCCTTAAATTGGAATAAATCCAAAATAGAACGCCAACTACAATTATCCATAACAATTACAATCAATATACAATACATCATCCTAATAATAAAATAATAGCATTGCATTTTTACCTTTATAATAATAATCTTAATTTAAATAACCATAAATTCAGTCATAATAATAAGCATAGGTGGTAGATCCATTTGCCATACTTAATCAAACAAGCAATTAAATGATGGTAGAGTTGCCTCTTCCCCCTAAATAATCAAATTTCTAATCCAATAATCCATAGAGCTAAAATGGAGGTGGATTTACTTCCAATTTGCCAGTCCCTCCTCCTGATGAGTAGGTACCATTTAAGTCTTAGAGCTCTCAAGATTAAAGTAATTAATAATTCTAATTATTAGATAAAACTGGAAGCTTTGGATAGATCAATTCAATAGGGAATAGTTAGAATGCAAGGGGAAGTAAGTTTTGATTATAAGTTTAGCCTAATTCACCGATCCATTGAGTGATGATAACATCTTTTAGACTACAACAATTGGTTAAGACATGACATATAGTATGCCTTTTGCTGTGGATTAGACAAAGCAGGAAGTTCCATTAAAAATAAATCATGATTTACGCTCTTTAGAAATCCTACACAAGTTCAAGACTGGGATTTCATAATCTATTAATGATTCATTGAATTAATTACAGAGAGTTGGTCTTAGTTTATGAAAAGAATAATGCATATATTTCTATAAAAAATATAATTGTATTGATATTAATTTAAGAGTTTATGAATTTTATGAGATATTTAATATTTAAATAATTAAGCTAACATTTACAAGCATTGAAAAAGTAATATCTGCTCCTTCTTCTCTTAAATCCCTCTCATATATTTACAAAGTGTTGATTTTTTTATTCTTAGTGAGTACGTCGAATGATAAATATGCATGGACTTAACTTTAAGAGGATGGTAATAATTTGTTTTTTGATTTGTTTCTGTTCTATAGATCTTCCTAGAAACCAATTCTTCCCGCCATCTATGCTACCAGAAAAGGATAATTAGAAGAACAGCAATTGTAAATTGCACATTGGGAACCTTCCTCTGCAGATAACTGAGGAAACCTTGCATCGAGTATTCTCAAAATATGGGCAGATAAAGGAAGTGAAGATAATTCGAAAAAATAGTCAAGGGGTTTAGTTTATTATTTAAATTATAATAAGTAACCTTTGAAAGATTATTGCTATGGGTTTGTTCTTATGTGCGATGGTGAGGGAGCATAGAATGCAGTTACCGAATTGAAATAAAATAGTCCTTTGGGTACTACTTGGACAGTTGCATTTAGTAAGGACAAAAATGATGTATGTTTGTATATGGTTAAATAAATGAAGGACATTGTAGGGACTGGCCATCAGAAATCTGAGAAGATAAGGAAGAAAGATAAATCAAAGGAGAGATTCAAGAAAGACAAGACCAAGCCAAAAAAGAAGGTTGTAATATTAATTCATAAACGAATAAGAAATCGGAAACATCTTCATCATCCGATTCTTCAATAGCAAGATCGGATAAAAAACAAAAAAAATAAAAAAAGAAGAAGCAATCAAGTTCCTCTGATTCATCTTCATCCAAATTGCCAACCAGAAGTGCCCTTGTTAAAATAGAAAGTAAGCCAAATGATAGCAATCTTTTCGATATGGTGTTTTCAGGCGAACTATAGTCCCATTCTTTGTATTAATAAGTATACGTATGTTGTCTAAATAGCCATAATCGCAATATTAAATTAAACATAATGTGCATGTAAGAGAGTTATTTATATCTGGTATTCCTTAATCTAAAACCCAATCTGACATCTAAAGAATCTTCTCTCATTATGGAATAGTAGAAAGAATAGACATAATACCAAAATAAATAGCAAACTTTGCATATGTGAAATTTAAGAAATTGGATGCCGTCAATTAGGCAATCCAGAACCAACAATTTATCACTGATCAACTTGATGGTTCAGGAAATGTCAAAATCTATCCATCAGATCCCTTTAAACGAACTCAGATCGTAGGCAATGCTGAAGATACTGAAAAAGTAATCGTTTATATTACAATTCAGGATGAAGACATGCTGCCTATAATGTTTATAGGATTCCCCCCCAATTAAAGTTTCACCATTGATGAGAAGTTCCTCAAAAAAATGGCTTAGAAATATGGAGGAGATGTCAAAGGAATTCAAATCTTCCAACCTTAATCTCCATAACTAAGATCCTATGTTCTTATAGAGTTTTCCTAACTTAGAGATTGCAAAAAGGCTAGAAGAAAGTTCTGCAGATACAAGATTCAAATCCTGGGAGATAAGAAATGCGATGTAGCAATATTATCAAATTATTCCGCTAATCCACAGAATAAGAAATAAGCCAATCCTTATATGCCATATGGAATGGGTATTCAATACTATATATTGTTCTAGATTATATGGCACCCAATTAACAGATGCCTATGCATATGATGTCCAGATAATTCTAACCCTAAATGACTATGATGTAACCTTATCCAACTTAACCGTTGCCTTAATAACAATTCTAACAGCCTCATTATGGAGATTACAATTAAATGCCTATTATGTATCCTCAATAGTAACAAAATCCATAATAAATGATGTACCTTAAAACTTAGTCTCAATTGCCTTTTTCACCTTAATCACAAACACAGCAATAATTTAGGCCTCATCAATAATAGCCAATGAACACTTATTACTAATAAGTACAAACTCCATAGCCATTAAATCAAAATTATACTCAATAACAATTCATGGATATGATCATGCCTCCACCTTAACCAACCAAATCTGAAGATTCAAATGCCACCTTTTGGAGTGGATATATGAATAGAGGCAAATAACATAGAGTTGGAATTGATGCTCGGATGTATAGTGCTGCCATAGATAGAAACAAAAGTAAGTTAGCATCTAATTATTTAGTCAATTTACCTTGTAATCTAGAAATGAGTTATTTATGTTCCTATCAAGATGCCTATCAACGAGCTATTCAAGATTAGTCTGCTGTTCTCATATTTAGTCCAGCCTAAGAATCAGATATTCCAAAATTCTCAGAATATTTATAGTATTTGAGAAGCAAAGTAACAGTTTTATTTCTATTCCAAATAGCAAAGAGCTGGAGTCATTCAAACAGATTTATATTCCATTTATGTGATACCTCCTGGAGTACAAGAAGCACAATAAATATGCAATATCAACTAATAGGAAATGATTGCCATTTATTGTAATAAGGATTTAAAAATATGAAAAATAATCAAAAATATTTTAAAGTATAAACACTATCAATCCCTTTTATAATCAATTATAATATAATTAAATTGAATCATAATAAAAATGAAAGAAGGATCATGTTAGCCAAAGCTTTTTCAAGTCTACTTAATATATTGTGTTATACAAATAGGTCTAAAGTATTCATTATATACTTAAATATATATTAAAAGACTTTATACAAAAAATCCAAACTAAAATTTGCCATTAATTAGCTGATTTATTTTTAAATAGAATAAATAGCCACCTACTTCGCCTTTTGGCAATTATTTTTTAATGGTTAATAGTTATAAAATTACAATAATTGAATTCTATGGGATCATTGGAGTTAGGATATTTATATTTATTTTCACAAATCATATACCAAAATATTCTAGAACTATTTTCATACATAATAATAAAGTTGTGTTTTGTATATTTATTTATAATATTAATATTGCCCAATTTCATTCTTCAAGCATTTTTTTCCCTTTTTCTGCATATTCTTTATTTAATTCTTCCCAATTTTCCAAAACCATTTCAAATTACTCAAAGATCATTGAATGAGTCAATCTATTTCTAGATGGTCCAACTTCCATAGAGTAAATCTTATGTGATGTATTAGTTTCAATTGTTCTGTTTAAGTAGACACCATAGCTATGATTAACTTAATGATATACACATAATGAGGAATCCAAATTACTGCTGCTAACCCAAATGAAAGTCTTGTTTCTCTTCCAATGTAATCATCGTAAAGACCTCTAAACCACCAATGTCTATTTCTTACTGCAATGGCTGCTCCCATTAATTAATTAATATATTTAATTAAGATTTATTTTATAACAACATAATGTAATTACAGCAAAATTTAGAAGGTCTTAAAATTTAGAAACACATAAATTAAATAATTTGGATTTAATCTAATTATAGGCTAACGAACTCAAACTTCAATATTTTATATTGTTGTTTTAATGTCCAAATAATAAGCACATAAAGATATATGAAATTGAACTTTAAAAGACAAATTCTTTTTCAATACTATATTTAGTGATGATTCTAAGTAATATAGATGTATAGTATATATATTTTAGAACTTCTTAATTATAAATTTTAATTTATAATATTAACAGTTAGTAAAATGTATTATCATTAAGTGTTGAATACAAATCAAAGTCAGACATTTGCAAATACAATAAATACTGAAAGAGTGAGATGTCAAACTTAACATTATAAAGAGAACTCCAATTCGTTTCTCTATTAATAACCGATTTAAAAGTAATAGTAAAACTTGAATGAATAGTTATTAATATAAAATTAAAAGGTATTTAAATAAAATGAACAATCTTAGCTTAGTGATTAAAATGTTAGATTATAAAACGAGTGTAAGAGACTAGAATATCATTTGAATTTAATTTAACAGAATTTTTAGCAATTAAAATAATTGTACGATTAAGATTAATTGGAAATGCAACGTATTACTAATTTTTGCCATCAACAATAATAAGAGCACAATTCAATGTAAACAACAATATTGGATTTGGAATAAGAGAACTTTTAACTTCATCATGAAATTGATCATTATCAGAAGAATTTAAAAGCCTAAGAATTTATTGAGAATTAGCGAAGAGAAATTATGATTGGTTAATAAAAATTGATAGAACTATAGGAAGAGATGAAAAAAGAAGTAGAACAAATAAAACATGATCCTTTAATGGAAATCTTAGAATTATGGAGAGATCGAGCCTTAAAATCATGTACATATAATAGTCAATAATAATAATCAAATAAATTAAATACAACAAAAGAGAAATATTAAAAGTTGACCAGGTTAACAATGCAAGCTGCTGAATTATTAAGCTTTAAATTAAATTATAAATGATTAATTATAAAACAAATTAAATTTGTTCGAATTATATTTTATTTACATTGGAAATAATAATTATTTTTCTTCTTAATCCTTTTCAAGATAAAGCTCTAATATAAAAATATGAAATTAAATTAGTAACATAATCTTTCGATATCATTTAGAGTTATTCTAAAGAGGGATGCAAATGATTTTTAATCTGAAGGCTATCTATATCCAGCAAAAGTGACTAAATAGAAATATAGATGGGAGCAATAATGATAACAAAAACCTGAAATATCAAATGCTATTCATAATCCTATCTATCACATAATTAGAATATTTAATTTAGAATTAATTGAAAATATTTATATATTAGATTCTTAAGCTGATGAAGCTAATGAGTAAAAGGATGTCAAACTGAAAAACCTCAACATTATTTTGAAAAGCAGGCCTATGAGAAATAATTTTATTAAAGTATGAATCCAATTTAATAAGAAAAAAATAAATTTAAGTCCTGCTGTATGTAGAATAGAAAAATATCAGAATCTGATAATAATAAGACTAAATTTAATTGGATCATAAATTTTGATAAAATTGGAGATTGCCAAAGAGTTACAACAATAAATCCTTACATAATGAAGAACCTTAATACAAGCGAAATAAATTAAGACCAAAGATTTAATAGTCTAACTAGAAAAACATAGGTGATAAACTTTCAAAGTTTAAGGATATTATACAACAATTAAATTATGATATGTGATACAGCAAATATAGAGATATTTAAAGTAAATAGTAATGTGCGATTAATGAATATATTAGGTTTTAAAAATTGATTTTGCACATTTAATATAAAATTAATTTATTTTATTATTCACAAATATATTGTAATCACACATTTTAATGATGAGGTTGGCAAAAATATTTCGATTTATGATTTCAATTAATTTTAATTTAAGTTTAATATAAAAGAAAGTGTTGATAGTATTTTAAGAACTCCCACTTTACTAAATTATAATTGTTTGTATCTGGAACTTACATTATTCTTTCTTCTATGTTATGTATGGGTTATACAAGTGTATGGATATTAAGAGACCATAGAAACAATTTGGGTCAATGATTTGAATGAAATGTTACTCAACATATTCATTTAAAGTTATTGACGTAATGAACCTATTGAATATTTTATATATTTAACCACAGATTCGGTTGTAGTATTTTAAGAATTAATTAAGTTCTTTTATTCGAGATATGTCTTTGATCATTCGAAATATCTCAAGCATAAGGGAAGAATGGAGATAACTCTTGAAAAAAAGAATTAAAAAAAACAAAAGAAAGAATTAATATACTATACCATATAAGTTTGACGATGATACATAGAATGCTAAATAAAAAAATGACTCTTTGCTGATTGTTTAAAATATTCCAACAACTATCCCAAATAATAATGTTTTTAGATTGAAATCAAACATTCAATTTTCCTTAAATATCAATAAGGATAATTCATTAGGTTCGCTCTTTGTTGATCCTCATTCCAACAATTACAAAATTGCCAGAATTGATAAAAGGAAAAATCTAATAATACTAACTTTAGATTAAATAGATAGGCCCATAACTCCACCAGAAGTTCTGTATTCTATATTTAAAGATAGAAACTAGAAATTAGCTTAAACATTCATGAAATATAATAACAGAAACCTTGACCCAACTAAATTCATTCCATCTAAAATACAGGAAATGGTAGATTTTGAATAAAAGATTTAAGGAAAGCCTTATGCAGTTTATGTGAATATTTATAAAGATGGTATATGGAAAACATTTTAAAAGATTTTTAATCTAGAATAACTAAGAATTTTGGCTATATCAGAGGAGATGTTCTTTCATTATTGTAATGAAACCCAGTTAATCCCTATTAGTGCATTTTATGATTAAAATGATTAATAATTGAATGTATTTTATAAGACATTTAAAGGGATTGTTGGCCAATAACCAATCAAAAGACAATATATGAATTATAATGGAGATCAATTTACTGCTACTCTTTTAGTCTAAGGTTTTTTTATAAAAGACGAAGAAAAGAATTTATTTTTTGAATATACATACTTTGTAACAGAATGTGATTAGAAATGGTTAGCTTAAGAAAGAGTGAAATAAAATGAGCTGGATTATTTTAATATCAGACCTATATCTTATTCAACTGAAGAATCTTTCTATGAAGAGCCATTAAAAAGATGTGGATTCAAAATTTTGAATTAGAAGTGATAATATTTTAATTATGAATCATCTATTATATTTTTGTAGTTTAGCGAATAAAACTAAAAATTATTAATAATATTATTTTTATTTACTCAACAAAACTTTAGTCTGATGTCCCATTTCATTAATTATGATGCTTATTATCATTACTTCTACCAACTATTGAACATGTTATTTTAATGTAATTTAGGCTTTTTTTTATATATAATGTTAAAGTGGATTTTATAATAATTATTATTTATAAAAATACTAAGAAGATGAAATTTAAACTTTAAGAGAAATTTAATTTGTTTAAATGTCTTATATCAATTATGTATAAAATCATTAAAATCATTTTAATTGATTTTCTATATAACTGATATATAATGTAGTTTTTTATATATTTAACAACTTCTATTCATTTTTAAAGTGTAAATTACAGCTAAGTTACTTATAAGATGATATCAATTTAAAATCATTAATCATCATTAGCTTCCTCTTCTGGATTATTCCATAATGTCAGATTGTCTCTTAATAATTGCATGATTAGTGTACAATCCTTATAGTTTTCTTCATTTACAGAGTCCACCTAAGCAATAGCTTATTCAAAGGCATCATTAGCAATTCGTATTGCTTCTGCTGCATTTTGCAAAATTTCATAATAAAACACTGATTAGTTTAAATGTAAACCTAATCTGATAGGAGAAGTAGTAGACAAATTTGACTTGGCCAAAACGTCTGCTTCTCTAATAATTTATTGAAGTATTACTTATAAGCTTGGGTTGCTTAATCAACAGCTGCATGATATTCATTATCTAATAAAAATTCAGCAAGATATCTGTTGTAATCACCTTTCATTTTCAAATAGAAGACTTTACTATCAACTTACTTGGAATTAGGATATAAGGCGGTATCAATTAAACTCAAAATTTCAGCACAAGAATTTTTCAGTTCTCCTTCAATTTTATGTTTGTAATTTCTAATATAATTAAGGGTGTATTGATCTGTTTATTTTCTGGATTCTTTTTATTCAATAGCAGTCAAAACTCTTAATTCAGCTCTTTTGTTACCAACCTTTGATAGAGTAATAAATTTGAATACCACATTTTTGTATGCAGCTGATAATATACTTCTCTCTTCTTTATTAAGTTCTTAATCAAGGAAATGTTTAATGAATTCTATCATATCGTTGAACCTTTCTGTTTGTTAGGCGATTTTAGCTAAGAATAGAAATTCTTCTCTGCTAAATTTATTCATAATATTAAATTTATTTATTTTCTTAGTGATTCCATACAATCATTTGATTTATTGAAATCAGACATAAAGAAATTAATAAGTTTATAATTAATATATAAAATGGCATCACCTGTTCTTAATAAAGTGAGAGAGAGATTATTCTTTTTATCTCCAACAGTCTAAGCAGGTTGGGAACCTGAATCAAAGAGAGAGGATTTCGAAGAGTTAAAAATCCTTGGTTAGGGTACAGTTATTTAGGATATTTGAATAGGGGCATTTGGAGTAGTAAAGAAAGTAACTCACAAAAAAACAAATATTGTATATGCGATCAAAATAGTGGAAAAGGCAATGCTTAAGAAAACTAATATGGTTGAATAAATGTAGAACGAAGTGAAAATCATGTATTCACTCAATCATCCATATATATTGAAGTTGTACAATCATTTTGAAGATGACATAAATGTGTATTTGATTTTAGAATTTGTTGGAGGAGTAATTTTTAAATTAATCTTAGGGATAATTATATGCAGTCTTGTGGAGATAGCCGTAAAAAAAGTTTGATGAAAAAACATCGGCAAAATTTATACTTTAAGCATGTCTTGCATTAGAAAATATTCATTCCAAAAACATTGTTCATAGAGATATTAAACCAGAAAATCTATTGTTAGATGAAAAATAAGATATTAAATTGGCTGACTTTGGTTGGTCTAACTTCTTGAAGCCTAATGAAATCAGATAAACATTTTGTGGTACCTTAGACTATTTGGCCCCAGAAATGTTAGAAAAATCCAGGCAGCACGATCATCAAGTAGATATTTGGGCTGTTGGTGTACTCTGCTTTGAATTATTAACTGGTCTTAGTCCATTTGCTCCACAAATTAATATCAATAATCAGACCTTCGTTGAGAAAACAACCAAAGACAATATAGTGAATTTGAGATTTTAGTTTCCTCCTACATTCCCAGCATAAGCATAAGATCTCATTAAAAAGATCTTGGTTAAGGAACCTGGAAAAAGATTTACTTGTTAGTAAATAAAAGAGCATTAATGGATTGTGTGTAATAATCATTATTATTACTAGAAAATACATAACATGTTAAAATTCCAACCTCTTTGACTGTCTAATAAGAGAAAAAGATAATTAAGAATCCTGAAATTGAAAGCTTACAAAAGGATGGTAAATTAGCTTTTACTAATGATCAAATCTATAGTTTTTCTAGACCAGACTCTGTATAATCATATTTATTAATATTAGATCATTGTCAAAGACTTCTTACAAGGAGATAACACCAATACTAAATTAGTTGAAGCTTTGAATAACAAAATGAAGGAAAAAGATTCTAAAATTTAAGCCTTAGAAATTGAAAACTAAAAGAAATCATAAGAAATTAATGAGCATTTATCGACTATTGAATTAATGAAAAAATCTGGATAAGCCAGTTAAGAAATTTAATCAATGCAACATAAATTAAAGTTATAGGATGAGAGATATGCATTCATGAAATAACAATATGAATAACAATTATAAAAGAATATAGAATTAGAGAAAAAAATTAGAGAACTTGAATCATAAGTATTTTATTGAATTTATTGGTATTAGAGCAATTAAATTGAATAAATGAAAGCAAAAATGAATAAATATAAGGAAGAAGCTGAATCATTCAAAGCTAGGGCCAAGAAAGCTGAAGATCAAGTCCAATAAATGGTTATATCAGGCATAAACGAAAAGGTTTAATTCTATATTTATTAATAGGAATTCTAAGAAGTACCAAAGTAATAAGATCAAGCTTCTAATGTTGATGATCTATTAAAGAAATTACAAAACAAATATGATCCAAAATCATGAATTATTCAATATATCATTAATCAATATATCAATATCTATTTTTCATCCCAATTTTTTTCTTTATTTCTTGAAAATTTGGTTACTAAAATTTAGTTTTATATATATTTAATGAAAAAATAACATTTTCATCGAAATGGAGGAATCAAAAAGAAACATCTGTCATTTGATTAGAAAGTTATGGTCTTAAAATAACTAGGAACTAAGCCATCTAAATTAAGAATCTAAACTATGGCTTAACAATATAATATTTCGTCATCTACTATTATGAATTGGATTGAAAAAGGATTGTGGACTTAAATACCCTCTGTTTAACCAGAATTAGATTTTTAATTAAATAAATCTAAATTGTTGGCATAGAGAGAGAACTTTATAGAACTTGATGAAACAGACTAGAATAACTCAAGAGATCAAAAGAAAGAAATTGATGAATCTTAATAAAATTTATATGATTAAATAGAAATTATATTATGACAACTTAGTTTGCATCAAATTCTTAATTTTATTTATTGAATATTGGATTAACTTAATAGATCATCTTGTTATTTACAGTGTAAAAATTAAAGATGTAAAGTGGTATGAAATAATTTCATTAATAATATCATGTTAAATTTAAAAATTTTCAGTTTTTCTTTTTTCTAAATCTACGCGTAATATTAGTAATGAAATGCTAAATAACAATTGATTGAAATATGCTATTAAACCTTTTAGTTATTAACTCTGAAAATCTAATATGTAATGAATTTAAATGGATTTTCATCGCTTGATAATCAGTGAGTATTTATATGTAAAGATTCAATTTTCAATTATTTTTAAAAGATTGAGCTTAATCTAATAGCTTCTATTAAATATAATGAAGATTAAAAACAATTGTTCTTTACGGGACATCACTAATATATTTAATAGAAATTGAAATATTAAGCTTTATAATTTAAAAATTTTAAACAATCACTGTAAAAGTGACCATAAATAGAGAATTCAAATTAAAGTTATTTAAAAACTAGACTCTGAATTTTATAAAATTCCAGTCACCTTTCTTTATAAGAAATACATTTCTATTTAAAAATTTAAGAAAACCCGAAAAGCCAAAACCATCTGTCATTCTTTTTTTCCTTAAATTTATTAAAAAAATTTAATTTTGAAATTCCTTTTTGAGGCCCAAAAACCGGATTTAAAGGGAAGGAAATTTGAAATTTAAAT